CAAGTCACCATAGCTTGAATACGGGGCCTGCATCATATCCTTTGACACCGGTGATCGTTCACCAGGTGAAGATGTGTTGAAAAGATATGACAAGAAATCCTCGGGCAACCCAGCATAGGGCGACTTGTTCAGTATGTCGCTTCCAAACACCGGGACAGTGCCAGGCATGCCCATTTGACCTAGCATCATCATCTCGGCTTGTTGACTTTCGGTGTATTCGCCTTTGATGCCGGCCGCATATGACTGCGACACGTCCCCTTGCGAGACCTGCTGACCGCTACCATTCCCGTACTGTGAGGGTCCGAGGTCAAAGGACATCATGTTGTGTTGAGGCACATAGTTGCCGCCAACGGGCGCGGATCCGGTGAAACGCTGCTGCTGATTCGGCACCGGTGATGAAACACCATAGGGCCGATCCGCGGTAGGGTTCGCTGGAGCCACAGGGGAGTGCGGTTGCTCATGGGATATGGGGTAGTGGTAGCTGCCAAGGTTGTGGTGCCCGTTCACATGCCCTCCATTGGTGTATGGCCCTGGTTGTGCGGGAGTGATCGGGGAGTACGACCCATCGTGCTGATAGCCGCTGTGCGCACGCTGCTGCTGGTAGTCTGTTGCAGGCCTTGCAGTCTCGGGGGATGCAGAGCCCAAGGCATTGCCTGACTGAGATACGTGGCTAAGCACAGAGTCGCGGCGACTGAGTTGTGAGCCCTTGGCTGTGTGGCGGTCCATGTGCCTCTTCAACAAGTCTCCTCGGACGAAAGTACGAGTGCAGTCTGGGAAGCTGCAGCGGAAGACTGTTTTGGAGCTGTGATTGAGCTGATGGCGGTAGCTAAGCAGTTAGCGAGATGCTCAGGCGGTAGTCCGTGGTACTCACAGGTGCTCTGCTCTTGAATAACTTTTCCCGCAGCCCTCCGTCGGGCATTCAAACCGTTTGCTGAGTCCTTTGCGACTGCGGCGGCGCTTGCGCGCCGGCCCGCCATCCGAATTGGAAGAGCCTCTGTTCTGCGCGCCCTTGTCATCTTGACCGTCGTCCAGATCGCCTTCTGGCGACTGGCTGCCGACAACAGCAAGTTCAGATTCGTGGTTCATGATGCTGTGGGTTGGGCTTGCGCCCTATAGCTTCGAGCCTTGTTCTATAGTTCCGCTTGCCTTGAAATTCCGCAAGGCCATGCCACGAAGCTATGCTGTGACTCGTACACCTCCTTGTGATCCGAGGGTGGTGGGTACGGGGAGCAAAGGTTGTCGTCGGCTGGCAATAACTGCGTCGGTCGATCGCGCGGTTTATGGCGCAGGTCTGCGATCCGAGTCGCGGCGCAACCGTCGAACACCGTTCGGCTCGTCCACGTCAGATGGTTGTGCGACCATGTACCATCACGGCGTAGGCGTTGCAGAAAGCTGTCTGCTGGACTCCTCGCGTGGGATCGGGGCGTTCAGAAGTAGCCGGTTGTAGGAGATGGGGCAAGTGCTTGCCGTGGCGAAGTTGGAGTAGGTAGCCGTCTACAGCGCGCGGTTGTTTCTTGGTACCGTGGCGAGTGAACGATCTCTATCAACGATGATTCGGTCCGGTTTGAAGACACCTTTGATGGCATACTGCCAGAAGACGGAATGGAAATAAGAACAGAGGTCGCGAGCAGCTGGGTCGAGGGTGGTGGCAGTGGTCATGCGTTGCGCGCGCCCGGATGATTTGACCTGGCTTGGAGGGTGGAAGGTGCAGCCCTGGAGGTGCAGGAGGGCTGCGACTTGGGGGCAGCTCGTCGCGCCCTGCTATTGGCAAGATGAGCTGTGATAAGTGGGTCGACTCTGTCCGCACTGTATTCTTACTGTGATTAGCTGTCCTCTAGCGCCGTGCCCCGCTGTCGCGCCCCCCCCGACGACTGAACCCCCCAGGGTGGTCGCATCTCACCTGGGGGTCCAGTCATGTCTGTGAACGGGAATCCAGAAAGGCAGATCCCGTCAAAATCACTTGGTTTCGGGTATACAGCCTATTCATCGACTATTCTCCTTCGAGGGCATTCCTACAAAGCTGCGCAAGGCGTCCGGTATTTCGGAGTATAGATTGCCTCGAAGGGACTGGAGCTAGGGGCCTGGGGGCAGCCTGGAGCCAAAAACATTCGCAGCTGAGACTGGACGCCTCCTCATGCTTTCTGCCGATGGCCCGATTTGTCAAAAAGTAAGATAATGCAGTACGGATTGGAATCTCTCACGCAAGCATTCACGGATCAACGGCGCCTCACCCTACTACAGCTCTTCCATCTTCAGAGCCTTACAGGCAGCTTGGCTTTCCCATCGTCTTCCATTCCCGCACAGCGTCACTGATCAGTCGCAACTCCAGTCCATGTCGTTCACAGACTCGGGTTGCCACAGTGCCAAAAGGCACTCGTCGGAGCGCGCCTCTACGGCACACGGCCGGTGCCGTAGTGGGGATCGGGGGTTACTGTGCAAGTGTGCACAGGCCTGTTGTGAGGCTGAAATTGTCATCGTGATCTATGATCTGGTGGTGCCCAAGGATACTTGATAAGTCCGGACCTCAACTCATCCCACAAAGCTCCCGTGGCTTTCAGTCGATCCATTCATACGTGAGGCGAGTTCTCTGGGTGTTTCTGGCCTCTGCGACATCCGCCTCGTGAGTCGTGCCACTGGCCGCTCGTCTGGGGAAGTGGGATGATCCACATTCCCACGCCAGTCCTCGGTGGGGGTCATCCGCTAAGAAGCAACACCACGTCCAAATTGCCCCGGATTCCAGAGAGCGTGACCTGGACATGAGTGGCTGTACTGACGATCAAACAGGTGACACAGTTTTACAAATATCTTCAACTGATGCACAGGTTGCGGGCTCACGGACCATCTGCTGTACGTAGTAGCTATGCAAGAGGGCCCTTAACCCAAAGCATACTTTGATCCTGGAAACCCCTGGGTCCAGGCCATAAACGACCATAGACTGCCAAATGCACAATCTTCCCATTCCGCTGGCCTGTGTTCACCCTGAATATGATTCTACATATAATAATAATGCGCTTGTCGCTGTGGTGGACGACCTCAGAAACACCTGTCTAAGATGATCCCAGTGCGACAACATGCAGAGCACACGTCCTTGTAGCTGCAAGATTAACGCTGCAGAAGGGACCCTGTGGAAATTTATCAGCGCACGTCCGCACACACAGCCTGCAGGCTGCAGCTGACCTTCATTTTCAGACAGAATGGTTGGGCTTGCCGCTCATCGGGACCCAATAAATCCCAGGTTCCGAAGGCTGGGCCTAAAAGGCATCGACCTCTACGGTCAATGTTTGTCTGCTAAGACTACTGACACTCACTATAGAATTGGCATCATGCGAATACCTTTGCATTCTCCATATCGACCAATGCTCCTCTGCATAATAAACACCTGCAGATGTTGGATCTGCAAAGCGGCGGCGGACATTGTAGCCTCCGTGCGCTCGACGATCTGACAACCGTACCTCTCTCCCCATTGATCGGGCCATTGTGTGACATGTCTCTGGCAGGCAATTCTAGCGAGCCACAATGTCTTAAAATTCACTGCACGTCGATGCATAGGGACAGTCCAGCTATCCGTACTCAGGACCCAAAAGGGGGGCGCGTACAGTGCGCCAACGCTGTCACATCGTAACCTCGTCACAGACTCACAGGTCCTCGGACTTGACGCGCCCATCGTGTTGGAGTGTGGCACCAATTGCTTGCCCGAGCAGATAAGGTTCGAAAACACATGAAATTGATAGATCGTACAAATAAAATGCGGTCGATCTTCCAATGCTCGTCATCTCCACCGGGAAAATCGCCAAGTAGCTTGCCAGATCAGCAGCGTGGGGGTCTCAATGACAGGCGCAATCAGCGATCCCGAGTCAGCGGTCGTGTGGGTGCCCAACTACGCCATGAATTCAGCGTACGTAGTACGTGGTCTCTGGCGGGAAATAAGAAACTGGTCAAGGTGGCCTCGTGATCCTTGGTACATGTCCATAACACGTGGTATTGTACCACAAGCAAGTGGATTCTGTGCCGTTGTCAGGTTCGGAGAGCGAAGCCAGCCACAGACACGATTATCTGTGCTGCAGTGAGTAATCGACCCTATCAAGTCATAGCAAGGATACAGGGCTCACTCGATTGAAAACAGAGTGAGTCACACTTGCAAGTTCATCTCACTCACCATTCGTGGTGTACAAGCACGTTGGTGTCTGTTGCTGCGCCTTGATCAGAAAACCTAGACAATCTTAGTCTTTGACCCAGAGGTTCACATACTGTATGGCACAAACTTTGACTAGAAGAGCTTTGAAGTCATATCGAATCCGAAAACTCCCTAGTCCTTCGTGAATAGTTGCTTATGGCCACCGAGTAGCTGACGCTCTAGGCGGAGGAAGAAGCTAAAGTGTGATACTTTAGGGTAGGCATATGCCAGAAAAAGACGGGGGCTTATTATAGACGCCGAACGAGACGCGCGCGCATAGAGGAAGGGTCAATTCGACTCTACTATTGTGCCGCACGCCGGGACAAGTCCATGAGAGTCTTGCATTGTGGAACGAAACAAAAATATCAGCATACTGTAGTATCACATTCGCCTAGAAAGACTTTCCTAGCAAGATATAAATACTCCGTGAGACTGCTGAAATTGGAATTTGGACCCTGAGTCTAAGAACGGCGGGAGAAGCAGACCCCACTCTTTTGCTCACTGGCAGTGACGTCGCGTGCACTTTTCGCCCGAACCCGTGCTCTCACAGGCGGAATGCGCGTGGACTTTGTGCCTGCCGTCGCCAAAAGCCCATTTTCCCGCCGACCGCCAAAAGTTCAGTTCTGCCCCCTCTGCTCTCCCCCCTTCGACACCGACAATCCACCCTCGTCACCACCATTGCCTACCATCAATGACCTTCATCTTGGCTCTTCTTCCGCGCTTGTCAACTTCTGATAACCGACTGCTCAAGATTCTGTCACCAGATCCTCCCTGAGCCGCCTCTCTCGACTCGCTTGCCCCAGCCTCCTCCCCCTCGTCCGTCAGAATGCCACCCGCCAAATCTGCACGCAAAGACGCCGACGACGGCAAGGCCGATACTCCAACAGGGAATGGAAAGAATGGAAATGCTACGTCGGCTAAGATGCGTCGTATCACAAGCCAGCAAGGTGGCTCGCAGCTGCGCGAGGTCACCAACGCGTCGGCGACGAGTGCGCCCATGGCCCAGACCACCGAGGCGACGGCACCCAGTGTATGCTCTCTCCCCTACCGCACTTATTCTCGGCGCAGAACGCAATAGAGCCATGGATAAGATGTGTCGCCAGCACTAACCACCGCATAGATCAACTGGGCCTCACTCTCTCGCGAAACGCTCCACACCTACGCTCGACAGCACGCCCTCCAAACTCCATCGTCCTATACGTCGTCCTTCCACCGGACGGTGCTTTCCTCGCCCATTGGAATCGGAAAATACTCGCCAACAATGCGCAAAAACCAGCGACAAACTCGGGAGAACCTGACGCGGACCGTCAGGAAGCACTTCAACGGGATGGGCGTACAAGAGAATGATGTGATTGTGGACTTTATATACAAGATTCGCAGCGAAGATGCGGCCAAGGCAAGAGGGCCTCAAAAGACGAGCATCGTCACGGAGTGACGGGGTCCGGCGAGCATTGCTTCCACCCCTACTTCTGGAGTCATCAGGTGTGCATTCGGTGGTGTTTGGCGTTTGGGATTATTGCCAACAAGCTGGTCATTGGGAACCAACATGATACCAGGACAAGAAAGGCGTTTTTTTTGGATTAGCATTTGCATTGCAATGTTTAACAATGGATCTGTTCGTGACTTGCGGCGATCTTCAAAGTCAATGGCACTCAGGGTGACGACCACCTAGTCTTCGGCATCGACTGCGATTTCGCTACTTCTCGGCGCGGCGAGAGCATTTCTTGGAAGACGCGTAGAAGTCTTCAATGATCCTTTGGCCTTTTCTTCGTGGTGCAAACTAGGCGCATCGCAGGTAGTATCGACTGCGGCATCGCAGCTCGGCTTATGACGGCATTGTAAACCTCAGGCAACCGAGCCGGCCCGGACTCCATCTCGACGGGAGATAAAAAGTGGAAATCGTCGCAGCCGACCACTCATGTCGCGCAAAGAATTTCTGACGACACCGGAGCGCCAGAACGTCCTGGACCTTTCCACGCGCGAAGTCTTTCTACGCAGTCCATCCAAGGCGTGCCCCCGTTCCAACAACCCAGAACGACACACGTAGACAAATCTCCCCTCTTTCGAATCCGATGCTGCAGCCTTTACGATGAACCCCAGCGTGTTAACGAGGGCGGCGGGCCCGGTCCGAGTCTTTGCGCAAGGCTGTCGCTCTGGGCCAGCTTCGACCACATGCGGACGACCATTTCACAGCGCGACGGTGCGCGTCAGGGGTGACGAGAAGACGCCCCTGTCACGAACAGCTAAAGTGCCATCCTCCAAGAGAGTGCGTCTTGTTTCCCTATCTGTCCGAGAGAGCTTCAACTGAGCTAACGATTATAGGCCTTCCACACGACCAACACGCTCTCTTCGAAAGACCCGTACGGCGCGCTTGGCGTGAACAAATCTGCGTCTGCCTCAGAGATCAAGAAGGCCTACTACGGCCTGGCGAAGAAGTACCATCCCGACACAAACAAAGATCCGTCCGCCAAAGAAAAGTTTTCCGATATCCAGTCTGCGTACGAGATTCTGTCCGACCCCAAGAAGAAGGAGCAATTCGATACCTTTGGCGCAGCAGGCTTCGATCCCAGCGGGGCAGGCGGCGGCGGCGACCCCTTTGCGGGAGGAGGCAACCCCTTCCACGGATTCGGCGGTGGCCAGGGTGGCTTCGGTGGGGGCTTCAACTTCGACGACATCTTCAGCGCCTTCACCGGACAGCAGGGACCATTCGGCGGTCGGGGTGGCCGTGGCGGCCGAGGCGGGAACCCGTTCCAGCAGGAGATCCTGGTGGGCGACAATGTGGAAGTGCAGGCGAGCATTACGTTTATGGAAGCGGCCAAGGGAACGACCAAGACGATCCATCTCACACCCCAGGTACCTTGCGGTACATGCGACGGCAGTGGCTTGAAGAGCGGTACGCAAAAGTCCGCGTGCAAGAGCTGTAATGGCACGGGTACACGTGTGCATTTCATGCAGGGTGGCTTCCAGATGGCTTCGACGTGCGGCACTTGTGAGGGCACCGGTACGACGATTCCCAAGGGCAGCGAGTGTCGCACCTGCTCTGGAGACGGTGTTGTGAGGGAGCGGAAGACGATCACCGTGGATATCCCGGCCGGGATTGAGGATGGCATGCGCCTGCGAGTGGACGGTGCAGGTGACGCGCCACCCACTGGGCGATCGGCTGATCCCAACGCGAGGTCGCAACGTGGTGATCTCTACGTGTTTGTCAAGGTGGCCAAGGACCCCAAGTTCCGTCGCGAGGGATCCAACATTCTCTACACGGCCTCCATCCCCCTCACAACCGCCGTGCTCGGCGGACAGGTCGCGGTGCCGACGCTTGATGGCTCCGTCAACGTCAGGGTCGCAACTGGCACCAACACAGGTGACAAGATGACGATGACTGGCATGGGTATGAAGAAGCTTGGCGCGCGCAGGGGCGGATCCGGTGATTTGCGGGTGGAGTTCAAGGTCAACATGCCAAAGTACCTGAGCGCGAACCAGAGGACGCTTCTGGAGATGCTGGCGGACGAGATGGACGACAAGAGCGCGAAGAGGGTCATGAATGTTTCAAAGAGGTAAGCTGCCACGGTCACATGCAAGTATGCACCTCCGGACTAACAACGAGCAGCGCCTCTACCGATCCGTCTGATGCCGAGTCCCATAAGAATGAAGGCTTCCTCAAGTCCATCTGGCACACTCTCACCAACCATCCCGCGCACCAGAAGTCGAGCGAAGACAGCTCCTCCTCGAGTAACAAGGAGGGCGCCGCGAAGGACGACGCCAAAAAGGACACAAAGAGCGATTCCGAGAAGAAGTCCGACTCTAGCTCCAAATGAGCAGCAGTTCTCCCCCCCTCCTTGAGTGTACTATACCATCGATGTAATGATAGAAGGAAGGTGTATATGTGGAGGACATGGCATTGGTGGTGTTTAAAAAAGGGGGCTGGCAATTTTGTCTTTTAGTTAAGCGTTGTGGCCGCGCGACACCTCTCCAGATCTATTGATTTTTTTGCAGAGTTTGGTCTATGGCCAGTTGTATACTAGCGAGTAGTATAGACATGGGAGCGGGTACAAACCACTCACTCTCCTCAAAGCATCTTCACCTACGTCTACGATCTACGTCCTTACCTCGCTGTGATGGGAGGGAACAGCATCTGTGTGCTCACTCGTGCGTACGTACGTCACGCCCTGCGAGTCTGAAGTGGTCAGAGTCATTCCTCACAGTGTTATTCCACTCACTGACCAGTGTAGCCATCTCGTATGTCCTCCGGCCGCAAAATCTCCTGCCTCGTGGAGGCGAGTTCCGTGATGACGTTCCATCCACCGCAAGCAGATCGAAGTCTAGCCGATGGGCTTCAGCTTCTTTTTCTTCTTCTTGCCGCCCTCCTCGCTCTTCCCACCCTTTTGGAATGTCCGCCAACTGCTGATTCTCTCGTCCCGCGTCTGCTCCCAATCCTTCTCGTGATCTCGCTTGCGCTTTCTCTCCTCGATCTCCTCATCTTGCTTCCTCTGCTCGCGCCCTTCCTCCTGTAGCTGGGCCTTCATCTGCCGTCTCCGTCTGTGCTCGCTGTCAATCAGAACCTCCCTCGCCTTGTTACGCCAGTCCTTGAGGAACTGGTCAGTCTTGAGCTCCTCCGAGTCCACGGTCCATTTGTTCTCCCGAATCAAGAGCATGCGCGCATCGGCAATGGCTTCGTCGAGACGCTCGCGGTGCTTCTCGTCCTGAAGCTCCGTGACTGCTTTTTTGAGACGGTCGAATGCGTCCGGCGCGCGAGGGTTTTTGGTTTTGTCGGGGTGAATGAGAAGTGACTTTTTGCGGTAGGTGATTTTGATGTCGGAGTCGGGGACACCGGGGTTGAGGTCAAGAACAGCGTAACTTGGGGGATGTTAGTAGAGGTGGCTTGGTGTAGAGAAGGATGCTACTCACGCATCGAGGCGAAAAGCTTTGAGAATACGATCGATTTCAGCGTCCTACGCGCTTGTTAGAGAAGACCCTGGCGAGTTGATTGGGACAGGCTCACCTTGTCGAATTCCTTCGCTTCGAGCTCGAGCGCATCGAGGGCGTCCTTATCGTCGTCCGACATTAGGTCGTAAGCTGGGAAGGGAATGGATTTGAAATAGCGTTCTTTCTGGCGTATAGACTGGAAGTTCCGACTGCGATCTATCTGTGCGCTCTAAGACGAGTGGTGTTGGGTTGGTATTGCATTAGTTATGTCGTGATGCAGGTCCGGTCGCGCGACAGAAAGACAGACAGACTCCAGGTCCCCCGGACCCACCGCCCACCCGCCGCCTCGCATGATCTGCCCCGCGATAGTGATAAGATAAGAGCGCGATAACAGAAAAAAAGTTCAGGCACCTTCACCTACAACACGAGCGCCCGCCAACCACCTGTCGCAGCTCATCCATCCACCATCCTTCACTGTACATTGTCGGCAACGACACGCACAACAAGGCACCATGCGCGCCTCACCAACCCCCTCCGAGGGTGAAGTCGACATCTTCACATCCCTCGCCGAAGCGCCCTCTGCCCCGAATGGCGCCCACCCTGACGATCTCGACGACATTTTCGATGTGGCCCCATCCGACGACGACGAGGCCTTCATCGCCCTCCAGCAAGCCGCTTCGTATCGCAAGTCGTCCAATCTCAAGGGCCGAACCGTGAAGAAGGGAGGTGGTTTCCAGGCCATGGGCCTCAACCCCAATCTTCTCAAGGCCATCACGCGCAAGGGTTTCTCTGTGCCCACACCGATCCAACGCAAAACGATCCCCCTCCTGCTCGACCGCAAGGATGTCGTCGGCATGGCGCGTACAGGTTCCGGAAAGACGGCCGCCTTTGTCATCCCCATGATTGAGCGACTCAAGAACCACAGCGCGCGGTTCGGCAGCAGAGCGCTCATCATGAGTCCCTCCCGCGAGTTGGCGATCCAGACGCTCAAGGTCGTCAAGGAGTTGGGTAAGGGAACAGACCTGAAGTGCGTCCTGCTGGTCGGTGGTGATTCGCTCGAGGAGCAGTTTGCGAGCATGTCGGCCAACCCGGACATTGTCATCGCCACGCCGGGTCGTTTCCTGCATTTGAAGGTGGAGATGTCGCTGGATCTGTCGTCGGTTCAGTACGTGGTCTTTGACGAGGCGGATCGCTTGTTCGAAATGGGTTTCGCGGCACAGCTCACAGAGATTCTGCATGCGCTGCCGCCATCGCGACAGACGCTGCTCTTTTCTGCGACACTGCCGGGTTCTCTGGTCGAGTTCGCCAGGGCAGGTCTGCAGGACCCTGAGCTTGTGCGTCTCGATGCTGAGACCAAGGTCTCCCCCGATCTCGAGTCTGCATTTTTCACAGTCAAGGGCGCCGAGAAGGAGGGCTCGTTACTCCACATCCTTAACAATGTCATCAAGATGCCCACAGGACCGCCCGCGGGTGTCGCACCGTCTACCGGCGAGAAGCGGACGAAGAACAGGAAACGCGGGCCTGAAGGTGCTGGAAAGCCTACAGAACACTCGACCATCGTCTTCACCGCCACGAAGCATCATGTCGAGTACATCGCCACCCTGCTCCGGGAAGCTGGCTTTGCCGTGTCCCATGCCTACGGTTCCTTGGACCAGGTCGCGCGTCGCATCCAGGTGGAAGACTTTCGCTACGGCAAGACGAATATCCTGGTAGTGACAGACGTCGCCGCGCGTGGTGTGGATATTCCCGTCCTCGCCAACGTGATCAACTACGATTTTCCCACACAGCCCAAAGTCTTCGTGCATCGAGTCGGACGTACCGCTCGTGCCGGCCAACGTGGTTGGGCGTACAGTCTCGTCCGCGAAATGGACGCCCCCTATCTTCTCGATCTCCAACTCTTCCTCGGCCGGAAACTCGTTATTGGACAGGTGAAGGAAGACGTCTCCTTTACATCGGACTTTGTCGTGGGTGCTTTAAAGCGAGACGACGTTGAGTCACAGGTCGAATGGATGAACAAGATCCTGGGCGACAAGGAAGACATTGACTCGCTGCGCAAAGTCGCCGCCAAGGCAGAGAAACTCTACCTGCGCACACGCAACTCCGCCTCCTCACAGTCGGCCAAGCGAGCACGCGATCTTGTCAAGTCGAATGCCTGGTCAGAATTGCACAAGCTATTTGGCGACGATATGAACAACGACGAGCGTGCGCGGTCAGATATGCTGGCCAGGATCAGTGGGTTCAAACCCAACGAGACGATCTTTGAAGTAGGCCAAGGTGACAGAAAGAAGGGCATGTCACAGGCAGCCGAGATTATGAAGAAGCTACGTCACAACATCACGCCGAGAAATCGCCAGCAAGAAGATAAAAGTGCCGAGGGGCTCTCGGACGACGAGGACATGCTCGATGCACCACAAAAGGTTGCATCCGAAGCAGAAGAAGACGACGACGAAGAAGAAGAGGAAATGGTGGAGGCGGGCGAAGCTGGAAGTGAACAAGAAGACGACGACGATTTGGAAGTCACCGTATCCAACCCCTCCGGCAAGCAACGCAACAAGACCGACTGGCGCGACAACGAGATGTTCATGTCCTACACGCCGCGCACGACCAACGCCGCCGAGGAGCGCGGCTACGGCGTCCACTCGGGCGGCAACTTTGTGCAGGCCGCGCGCGACGCCACCATGGACCTCACCAACGACGACACGGCCAAGGCCTTTGGCGTGCCGACGCGCAGCAAGATGCGCTGGGACGCCAAGAGCAAGAAATACGTCTCGCGCGACAATGACGAGGACGGCAGCAAGGGCGGCAAGCTTGTCATGGGCGAGTCGGGCGTCAAGATCGCCGCGAGCTTCCAGAGCGGACGGTTTGACCGCTGGAAACGCGAGCAGCGTATGGGTCGGCTGCCCCGGGTCGGCGAGGAGGAGAAGCGCGGCGGGCAGCATGCTGGTCTGCCGTCTGGACCGCGGTACAAGCACAAGGCGGAGAAGGCGCCCAAGGAGGCTGACAAGTTCCGTGATGACTTTGAAGTGCGCAAGAAGAGGGTCAAGGAGGCGCGGGAGAACAGGGTCGGGCGTTTCAAGGATGGCATGGGCAGTCGAAAGGAACTCAAGGGGGCGGACGACATTCGCCGCGCGAGAAAGGTCGAGCAGCAACGGAAAGCGAAGAATGCGAGGCCACAGAGGAGGAAGTAGTAGGCACTGGTCGAGAGGGGGTAACGTATCTATCAATAAATCATGTATATGTATGGTCTGGCCAAACCCTCCTGGAAGAGGCGCCCCATATCCCTCAACGCCGCCGCCATGCCGTACACCATCTATCTACCTCCCTCCGTCCAACCAATCTACTCCCTGTACCCCAAGTAAGGATAGATAATCGAGTCGCGGAAGGGTGTCTCCTAGATCCAGTGATCTTGGGTATAAAGAAATATCAAAACCGGGGTATCGTGTAGGACCAGCTGACTGGGGCAAATTCCCAAGTCTTAGCTGCCACTGTATGTATCTGCCGAAAATTTCAAGTAGTATGCGCTTAAGATAAAATCAGAACGCTGGCGATAATGGGAGGAAATCGTTCTTCACGTCAAAGACGCAATCTGTTCATTCAGGTCCGTCGAGACTGGCCAACCAGTCCCGGACCGCACTTTGGAGTACGCTCCGTTGGTAGCGACCACCGGCACCGACCTCTGGCTCATCGCGAAGATGGCCACCACGGTCTATCATGTCCCGTATGATGTCTTCCAGTGCCGACAGTATTGTCGTTTTGCATTGCACACGGGGCACATTCAGTTGAGCAGCCGCATGCTGCGCGGGCTCTTCGCGTACATTGGTTAATGTGTGGTTGCTGCTTGCATCGCCTTTGCTGGGAGCACTGCGCGCAAGAGGGCTGTCCTTGCTGTCGTCTGGTGTACACATGAGCACTTTCTCGAGGGCATCGACAAGGACATCATCAGGCTTGAAGATGACCTCCTCGATGAATTCTTCCTCCAGTGGCGTCTCATACGGCAAGATTGACGGTGTCAGGGACCCCATTGCAGCGGCTGCATGGCCAACGTCGGGTGAGCGTTGCTTGACAAGACGTCTGTAGATGACCCTCCGCACAATATTGGCGCTTGTGTCGGCGAGGACCACTGAGCCGACATCAATCCACCTCTCCGCTGGGCCTTCGGTAGAGTGGAATGGAGTGGGCGTAGGCTCCGCCCGGAGCGTCGCCTTGACGCTGTCCATGAGATCAGGTTGCGGTGGTATGGCCTGCAATGTGAAGTCTGGATGGAAACGGGTAAGCCATCCTGCGGCATTCAGGTGAAGATCACCGTCCAGCGTGGCTTGTGACAGTTGCTCGAACGACTCCAACCCTCCGGCAAGGCCAGGCATGGACAAATAGCCACTACTAGAGGGTGAGCTGATGGCCGAGCCCATGGAGGTAATGTAGTCAGGAAATGGAAAGTCGACGTCGATGACGCCGTCCTTCTCGTTGACTGTTGTCTTCACAGGCGAGTCAAAGTGAGCAGACTGTTCGGAGGTCCGGTGCGGCAGGCTGAATGAAGGTCGTGGTCGTCCATGCTGGTCCTTGGGAGTTGTTGCTCCTGCAGCGCGTCCTGCTTCAAAGGCATCTGTTTCCTCCATGGCCGTCGCTTCTTCCACCATTTGTGCCAACTTGCCTAATCTGGGTGGCGTGGGCCTGGTAGGTGACTTAGGATCGTTGGGAGCTCCAGGCGAGCTCGTTCTAGTTGAGCCGCGCCGGCGGGGGCTCCAAAGGCTTCCTATCACGCTGCCCCATCGAGAGCTACTTCTGGAATCGGTACTTCCGGTGCTGTGGTGACCACTGCTTTCTCCGCGCTTCAAAGATCTCTTCAAGTCATCTGTAGCCACACTGCCGCTGCTGTCCGGTCGAGGCCTCCTAATGCTATCGACTCGTTGCACAGAAGAAAAGTGTGGCGTGGTAGTGTCGGGCATAACAGTCGTCGTAGTCGCGACACTGCTCTTTCTACTCATGACATCATTGTTCGCGATTGCTAGGCTCGTCGGGCGGATAGAGCTGGCGTCAGACAGGCGCCGGTCGTTGCCTGAGACTTGCGACGGAATCACGGAGCTCCGCTGGCTCTGGCTATGCGTTCTGGAATGGGAAGCTCGTCGGCCCTTTTGTCGGTTCATTTTGCGCCTTAAAGATTCCTCCTTGAGCATCGGCGCGACGAAGGTGGGCGGTGACTGGGCGAAGCCACTGATGGATGTCGAGGTGCTCGGCCTGTGGGCCCGAGGGAATGACACCTGCGAGTTCGAGGGCAGGAACGCGGAGAGTAGAAAGATCATCCTGCGCGCCGCCATCTTGTCTTCTGATACTATGACCGTGCGCGCAGGGAGCGACAGGTCCTCTTCTTCCCTGCGATGCCGACGGGTCAAGTAGCGGCGGCGCACGGAGGGAGGGCTGAGAGCCTGCAGCCAGTCGGTGTGCGTAGCAAGAAACCCCGTCATCAGGTTGTAGAAGAATGGGCTTTGGTCCAGAGACTGCGCCCATTTGGATACCCAGATGGCCTCATCACGCCAGATGCCCCACCGTCCCTGCCCTGTCGTGACTCTGGAAGCCTTGAGGCCAGTCACAAGTCTTCGCCGTGCCAGATTTACTTCGGCTGCAATGTTGACGTCGGCCCTCAAACAGCCAGGCTCAAGGGTGACTAGCTTCGTTGTTCCCTTTGACGCCTTAGACCGGGGGAACTCTCCGCTACGCCTAGCTGATGAGGTCTGACCGCGCATGGGCGCTGCGGATATCGGTGGCACAGATGTCGTCGGCTCCGGCGAGGCAACATCAGCTTGTTTCAAGAGCGCCAGTAGTGTCGTCCCTGTCACGGACTGGAGTTGCGTCAAAGTGCGCATGACAATGTCCCAATGCTGCGTGATGTGGTCGAGCCTATCTTCCACATCGAATGCGGAGGAAGGTTCCATCCCCTCGCCGTGGACACTGCCAGCCCACCACTGTGGCTTGGTGGAGCCATACGAGGAGGAAAAGACGTCTTCAGTCGGGTAGGAGCCAGGTTCTCTGAACAGCGAACGAGGTGTGGCGACTGTGGAAGACCTCGTATTCGCCAGTTGCACGACGAGGACCACGGCGTACATAGGAGTGCGGCGCTGCTTGTGCGGCACTTTCTTCTTCGCCGCGTCCTCGTTGCCTGACGGAAAGGGAAAGCCGCTGTTGTCGTCCGAGTAGTGACTTTGTTGGGGCGTGGTGTCGGACGTGACATCATCGTTGGTGAGGTGTACGGGGAATAGTCGTGTGATCAAAATCTTCTTCCTCGACCCGGAGGATGTGGCATTGGGCGGTAGTGCGGAGGTGTAACCCCCCTGTGACGTGAAGGACTGCGACAGTTTGCTCGCTCTCCCACTCGACCGACCGATGGACGTCCTGCCATCCCCAATGATAGAGGAGTAGTACTGCGAGGCCTCGCTTGGTTGAGGTGTGGCGGGGACGGTGTGCACTTTTGTTGACGTTCCTTTGTGGGCCATGAGTTCCGAGTTGCCAAAAATACAGCTCGAGAAGGTGGCGAGCTCGTCCCGATACTCGCGGGACGCACGCTGTGCCTCGGTCTCCATTGTGCTTGGCGTCCTTGTATGCATCGATCCTCGCCTGTCGAAGGCACCAGGGCGAGTGGGTACTGCGTTCTGCGTGTTGATCGAGACGGGCCTCGAGTGCTGTCCTAGGCTTCCCTTGCGAGATATCGTCGAGGTCCTCCTGTGATCAGCGGCAGGACGGTCCGTGCTGACTGGTGTATCTGGGACGGGATGGCTGTCGAACAGGAGTGAGGCGCCCATGTGGCCCAATGTGTCTTGCATAACTAGAATGCGCACGTCACGCGTGTCGAGGTCCACCTCTTCGTTGCTGTCGAATGCGTTGGCCACTCCGGATGCAGGAGGGGTCTGCGGGGTGGTCGACAGTGGGAAAACCTGGTCATTGCGGTTTTGCTGGAAAAGAGCGCGAGGGTCTGGGAAAAGGAGATTCCTCGTATGTATGTCTTCATGCACCGAGTCGAGGGAGGAGATCGGACGGGCGTTGGCGGTGGATGGTGCGGCACTCCCTGCCTGGCCGCCGCCGGAGCCGAACTGAAGGAGACGTCCTATCATGGCGTCTCTATACTGATAAGAAAGGGCTTACACAAGAGTGCGTCGAGGCGGATCTTGCTGTTCAAAGAGCGGTCAAGTCAAGCCTGCACTGAGCGGACGTCCATGGCCCGCAAGCAGATGAGCTGGAGAGGAGGCGCAGACATAGTATCGTTCGTGTTCCCCGAGCGCCAGTGTATCACAACTGCGACGAGTTCGGTCCAGGTGATGAATGACGCCACTGGCAATTGATCTTCTCGCCTCGTTTGTCAGGGCTGGGGGGCTGCCTGCTTCTGAAGATTATGGCGGTTAGCAGAACGCGGCGCGCGCTCGCCAGAACAACAGCAGGGGCACGCTTCGAGAGAGCTTTGTGGCGGCGCGCGTGCAGTATCGTGCTTCTTGGAAAATGCTGGCCTCTGGACCAAGTCGGCTGGAAATTGGCAGAGGAGGCAAAAGGGAGCAAAAGCTGAATTGAGGGCGAAATGCTGCAGCTGCGTAAGGTAAGGCTGCGTGAGGTAAGGTGATTAATGGCAAGCACCTGCGAGGATTGCGCGAGGAAAGAGCGCCTCAGGAATGAGCCCGGGCGTCGATTAGTGATCAGAAGCAGCAACGAGCAAGGGATAACGTATGATATCAAAAGGACAATGTCGACAATGTGCCCGCGTGGCCCCGGCGACTGTGTGTGATGATGTAAGGAATAAACAATGCGGCTGTTGATCAACAAGGACCACGATGAGAGATGAAGTCACAAAGAGCAGAATTGCAGGTGAGATGAGCTCAATCCGCGGCGGAGCAGCCTGCAAGGCCTTGGCGGCGCACCCAATTAACGTCACGCCCGCTGTGATCCTTGCTGGGGCTGGTGGTGCCGGCGGTGGCGCCAGGTATTTTTTCCAGTGGAGCAGGCCAGTCCAGGCCCCGGGGCTCCAGGCCAGGTGCGCTGAAGGGCACGTGAGGGCCTGCGGGCGAGGTCTGGGGATTGACGGGAGCTATTGTGCATATACGGATAGTTACCTACTTACGGAGGACGCTTTCAAAAGACTTGTCCTCGGCTCAGGAGGCGCTAATCAAGGAAATATCAAAACTACTTCAGAGGTACTTTGTCCAATCACTATAACTCCGAGAAAAATATGTAGCGTTTGTGTATTTTTTGCTAACAAGTGATATTACTAGCGCCTTGGCAGGACATCACTTTTGAAAGCGTCCTCCGTAGTACTCATGCTTGAAGACCGGCAACGTCCCGTCAACATCTGAGACCCTCAGGCTGACGATAGCTCCATGTTTGCTGGGAACTCGACAGACGCGAGACCCGAGAGACGGGATCCTGAGCCCAACGCCCTGGGTCCAGCCGCCCGTATCGAGTCGCTGGTATTGTCTAGTCTGGTGGACCTCACTCATGCGACGCAGCCATTCACAATCTCGAACCAGGGAATCGTAGCCCCATCGAGCACGCGCCGGGGCGGCCGAATCTTCAAGTTGAATCAGCACGTACGTGTAGCGCTGCGCCAGGGCGGGCTTGCCCAGCCCAATGGCGTGTAAGACAATGGAGGTTTATAGGTACATCTGAGCACTCTGGCCAATGTCGATGTAGTAATAGCAATCCACATGGAATCAACGTTGCCGTTCACACGTGTGAATGTTAATAGCCTCGCTGTTTTGTGTTGATGATGGCCCGATGGGACCGTTCATGATGTCTGTCTCGCACTTGTCCGTGACAGCCAGCCAGCTTCACTTCACTCACTCACTTACACGGTCACCGCCTCCTGCAAACGCCCGTACGCATGCAAGCCCATACACAAACCGAGGAGCAGCCTTTAACTTTGCATGGTCTCGACTTCCGCATGCTCTTGACCGGTCCAACCCGTCGCAAATCCAATACCACCACATTGGCTCCCACCAATCCACCATGCATGGTAAGCTTCCTGGTGGAGGGGCTGGTCCCGCCCTCAATGGCAACCACTGGGCACTGGCTTTCTGCCCCCCTACCAGCTAATAAATAAATAAATGGGGTCATCGTCGGTCAAAATGCGGTGAGCGAGCAAAACTTGGATGTGCGCTCTGATCGCCCTCACTTGTACCGTCATCACTTGCCTATCTCGAATAGGCGTCAATGGCGGAGGCTGCTTGTCTAGGATCGACCTTGTAATACACCAGACTTCAGCCTCCAAGGCCTTTTGAATGGGAAGGGACCGGGGAGACACGTACGTAAGTCGTAAAGTGGCATCGGGAGCTCGCCGAAGCTAATAAATGACTCAAGCTCTGCTGGCAGGCAACGCATTCACATGCTGCTCCGGAACAATCTTGACTACTTTTTTAAACAAAGATATGTCAAGATCGATCACTTCTTTGAATCGGCAATCTAATGGCACTCGTTAGATAATAGCTCAAGGGCCGTCTCTACGGACTATGACCGTCTGGATCGGCATGTCCGGGCCGCCACGTATTCAGGGTCCGCTGTCTGCACCCGAATGTCACTCAAGCGGGCCAAGTCGGATGACGTTCCAACTGCCTTTTTGTTTTGTATTACGCGGGCGGTTCTACGATTTGACTGCCGATCGGCAGGGCTGTTCACTTCTTACTCTCGTTTCAGGTCACCCTGACTAGAAGACTTGTATCCGTATTCCATGTGGTCAACATGGTCTATAGCGATTATTATGTGCTTGCCATTGTCCGAATCGCACGGTCCTTTGGTTCACTGGATTTCGCAGCTGATGAGGCGGCATTGCTCGCAGCTATAGACAAATGTTGTGTATTATCTTCATGTTGACCAGCATGTAGACAAGTCGCTTACTTCCACCTACCAAACCCCACGACGTTGATGACCTCGTGTTGACCCTACATCAGAAAGCATGAATCCATCCAGCACGGCTCACATCACCGCGACACGAACGAGAATATAGAGGAGACAAGGCTTCTCTTAGACAATAGTCGCTGCAGGCACTGCGGTCAGAGTCCTCTTCCGGTCAAAGCTCATACATCCCCTCCCTTGGCTCGCGCATCCGAAATCATATGATGGCCAGGAAATGCACTATTCACTGATTTTGTGTTTAACCAACAGATTGACTAAGCCAAGCCTCACGCTGGTTGCAGCGCACCAGATCACCCGCAGTGGCGGCACGAAGATGGTCTGAGGAATGCATTCTTCATGTGCGGCCCCGCATCGCATGCGCCTGATGATCTGATCAGCCTTAATCTCGACGATACTCCCATCAACTTGGGTATACTTATAATCAAGTCTCAAACAACACGTCGTCAAATGATAAATCACCTTCATCATGAAGCTCTCGGTATTTAGCGCCAAACCTTACGACAAGACCTACTTCGAGGCAGCCCACGCCGAGGCGGCGTCTTCGGATTCTATCAAGGTCACATACCACGATTTCCCCCTCAACGAGGAGACGGTCTCCTTCATCAAGGACACAGATGCCGTGTGCGCCTTTGTGAACGATTCGCTCCATGGAGCCGTCATTGACATGCTCGCCGAAAGGGGCGTCAAGGCTATTCTCCTTCGCTGCGCAGGCTTCAACCACGTCGACCTGGACGCGGCCGCGCGACACGGCATCATGGTCGCCAACGTGCCCTCGTACTCGCCCGAGGCTGTCGCCGAATTTGCCGTCGCGCTCTTGCAGACGCTCAATCGGAACACGCATCGCGCGTACAACCGTGCGCGCGAGGGCAACTTTGCCCTCAACGGGCTTCTGGGAAGGACCCTGCACGGGAAGACGGTGGGTATTCTGGGCGTGGGCAAGATTGGCCTCGCCACAGCGCGGATCATGAAAGGCTTTGGCTGCAGAGTCATTGCATTTGATCCCTTCCCGTCCAAGGCGTTTGAGGAGTATGGCGAGTACCGAGATCTGGACACCTTGCTGGCGGAATCCGACGTTATCAGTCTTCACTGTCCGCTCATGGAAAAGACAAAACATATCATCAACGACCAGAACATTGCAAAGATGAAAAAGGGGGTACTGTTGGTGAATACGTCCAGGGGCGGGCTGATTGACACCAAGGCAGTCATCAAGGCCCTCAAGACCCATCATATCGGTGGTGTGGCTCTTGATGTCTATGAAGGCGAAGGCGATCTGTTCTATGACGATCACTCGGGTGAAATCATCCACGACGATGTGCTCATGCGGCTCATGACGTTTCACAATGTGATTGTCAGTGGCCACCAAGCGTTCTTCACCGTAGAGGCCTTGACAGAAATCGCAGAGTGTTCGCTGCGCAACCTGGAAGAGTTTATGAAAACCGGATCGTGCGCCAATGCGCTAGGCAACACGGACAAAGGGGCGAAGAAATCATCGCTTCCTGTGAGGAACGTGTAGAAGTATCTGAAATTATGGGTATCCTATGCTCGCTGCTATTTATGTTTTTCAAGTATGAATCTTCTCTCCCCTGTGCATTACGTATCTTCGAACCCCTGACACCCTTTACGGGTTGCTCACGTAGCTCCTCGCCCTCCTGAGGTCCTCATCCTCGGACTCGTCATCCCTGGTGATGCCACCCACGGGGTTCTGCGCCATCTTTGCCTTCTCCACGTCATCCGCGCCCGTCTTCTCCTCCTCGTCGACATAGGCGTACTTGCTCCTCGCCCTGATCCGCGCGCCAAACTTCCAGAACAAGAAGGGGATCGCGCAGCAGGCCAGACTAATGAATGCGATCAGAGAACTGGCCCACTGGTCGCCCAGGCGGTCGTACATCTGCTCCGTGAAGAGGACGACGGCGGCGCCCCAGAAGCTGCGGATAAATGTCTTGGCCGCGAGCGCGGAGGCGGCCTGGTGTTGGTACGAGTCGACAAGGTAGTTGTTGGCCGAGTTGTAGAGGAAGATGAAGCCGAAGCCGACGGGGAAACCACCCATGGCGGGTCCGGCCCACGAGAGATCGGAGTAGCTTGTCCAGGCGAAGATGAACAGACCGATGGGGATGAACCAGCAGGACAGCATCATGGGGATCAGTCTCGTCTCGGCAGGTGGCTTGCCTCCGTGCTTTGTGACGAGCGTGAGGTAGTGCTTGTTGACAAAGGGAGCGCATGCCGCGGAGAGCAAGACACCCACCGCGACAGGGATGAACATGAGGCCCGTGGTGCTGGCGGAGTATCCCTTGCCCTTCTGGTACACAATCGGGTAGGCCACAAAGAACATGTACAGCAGGCCGTAGAGAACGGACATGTACAGCGAGATGAGGAACACGATGAGTTCGCCAAACAGGAGCTGGAATGGTCGAATGAGGAAGACGCGCAGCCGAGCTGAGATGGGACGCGGGTCAATGTCCTGTTCGGAGACGTGCGAAGGGTCGTCTGTCGACTTGCGCAGCTTCTTGGCGCGGCGAGAGAGGATCGTGGGGGCGTAGGTCTCGGGGACCGTGAATGTGATGAGAATCCAGACGATAAAGGCGAGGATCAGCTGGATCCAGTAGAGCCAGCGCCAGCCGGCCGCATCAGACAGGAAGCCGCCGACAAGCGGACCGACTAGAAGCAAAGTGGTTAGTCACTGCGCTACCACGATCGAGTTAGAAAAGGCACTTACTGGCTGGTCCGATGAAAGGGGCAGCGGAAAAGGCAGCCATGGGCACACCGCGCTCCTCGTTCCTCCAGAGGTCCGCCAACGTACCGCCCACGAGCGTCATGGGCGCCGAAAAGGCAATGCCATCAATGGCACGGCATACGAGCAGTGTTGTGATGTTATCAGCAACAGCGCTTGGGATGATAAAGATGACGGCAACGAACAAAGTCGTGCCACTGGCTACTGTTAGTCGTCAAATCCCACCAGACACCAGGCCAGATCACCTACTAGATGATTCGCCGTCCGTAGACTTCACTCAACGGTGCGAACACCATGGGTCCCACGCCGAATCCCACGACGAAGATGGAGATGGAGACCAAGGCGACCTCCTCCGAGACGTTAAACTCCTCCACGACGCCGGCAATATCCGCGGTGATGACGGACGACGCGAACGCCACGACGAAGCACGTTATGGCCACCACGAGGGTGATGTACCATTTATACGCCTTGGACCAGTTTTTGGGGTTTCCCTTGTCGTCAGGAGCGAAAGCCACGATTTTGTGCTGTGTGGGCACTTGTTCGTCTGGGTGTTGGGTTCCCGCCGTGGAGGAGGACGAGGAGGACGAGGAGGACGAGGACGAGGAGGGAGCGCCCTCCTCTCGTGTCGGTGCTTTCGAAGCAGAAGAATCCATTGTATAAGAGAGAGACCGCGTCTGAGCTGAAATGCTTATTTTCACAATGCAGCAAACCCATCGGAAAGGGAGACTACTCTGGTTATATATGTAAACCACCTCGAACCGCCAGAACCGCTCTAACCGTTCAGGGACCCACATAACCGGGTCTCTCTTATCACGACTACCGATCCAAGTGCTTGATGGCTATCCACTCTGAAATGAAAGGCTTCTTCATTTTAGGGCCGGCCTTATTCCCTTGAGCAAAGTTCGCGAACAGTAACGTCTTGTTAGCTCGAGCTTCATCAGGGGCCACCTCGGTGCTTCTGGTGCGGATCCTCGAGTCGGCCGAGGTCCGCGCTTGAAGCTACAGCTAGCTGCTGCCATTGTACCTGTAGTGCAGAGCCCCGATTGAACTAACTTATCAGCACCCCTCCTCACGGCATTCGAAAGAACATTGTTCTTCCAACAAGTCAATCCAAGTCCTGCTTGCAAAGTTTTCCCTTCTGGATCCAGGGCAGGCATTGAGACCCACCCGGATCCGATGTGGATCTTTTCGGGACCCATAATTAGTCCCTTATTCCGCTCCGGCCGCGGGAACATGGATCCACACCTAGAACTGAGTCCCGGTGAGCGCTCATGATGTCAGTGAATGAGGGTCAACGTTAACAATAGACTGCATTCCCAGACAACGTGACAAATGTGATTCCTCGTTTAACGCATTTATAATCTACCTAGAATAGCCCTTGGGTATATCCTTTCCATCAAGTGTACCTGAAATCAAGTGCGAGGCTGACACACAGTCTCCATGTCAGCCATACATAGGGGAGCATGTTCACGCCGCATCAGCACCGCTATCCCGCCAGACGTTGGCATCACCAATGCCCAGGCCAGAAACAGTGTTAGGCATCACCAGCGAGGGCAGCTCTTCTGTCGAGGTATTCGTCTCCTCCTCTGTAGGAAGCGGCGGCGGATCTCGATAGACCCAGGGTTGTTTCAAACTGCGAAATGTTAGTTGAGAACCACAGTCACTCGACACGAGTCAACTTACGGGACCACAAGGCTGGGGTTGACAAAAGTCACGCCTTTCTCACGGTACTCATCCAGCGTACTGCCCCTTCGGAAGAGAGCCTGTGATGGCCGCGACTCTCCCTCGTCCGCAAACTGCTCATCCATCAAAACGGCATCCTCGTGATCTTCCGTTGACCTGATTGCCCGAAGCGCAATGTACTTGGTCAGGGGTTCGTAGCGCTTCTTGAAATAATAGCTGTACCATATCGTGAATGGAATCAGCGGCAGGATGAAGATAGATTGCACAAACGCGGATTCGGCCGCAATCTGTCCCACCATGACAATCTCGAAAATGATCAGACCGATCATGATGCGGTAGCAAATAATGCGCCAAGCACCCCCGGTCGCATGCTGTGGTTGGTCCATGGCGTACATGACCATGTACTTGAAGGTGAAATACCCAAGAACGAAGTAGATGATGCCGAAAATCAAAATCGCAAAGCCCCAACGAAGCACGCTGTATATCAAGCACAAGTTGAAGATGAGCAATGCCGTTGGCAGGTAGAAGCCATACTGAAACACGGGCGGCTTCTCCAACTCGGCGTAGTCGCGCGGCGTGGACGACATTGCCCGGTAGATGGGATGCAGGACAACGCTGCCGAATTCGAGCATGCGGAAAGGCATGAGGCCGATGCCCTGGAGCATGATGAAGGAGATGTAGAAGACGGACAGCCACTCCACATCGTCCGAGATGGCGCGGGGGATCTTGCTGGTGTCTTTGAGGAAGTCTTGAAGCTTGCTCAGAAAGTCGAGACCCGTGAGTGAAATGGCAAAGACGAAAAACGTGTTGAAGAATGTGAAGAAGAAGTTCTTGGAAATGACCGAGAGCTCGACATCGCCGTGCGAGATCATGCCCTGGTAGTTGGACAGCCAGTCGTATAGGTAAGGGACTGCCACGTTGAGTAAAGACACCACCAGCGTCGGTACACCATTTTGTAGCAAGGAGTACATGATGGGATGATCTTTCAGCCAGGCAGCAAAGGCGGGTGCCGTCTTTTCCACGGTGCAGAAGCTGAGCAGCGAGGCGAGGAAAACGGTTGGGAATATCCAGAGGATAGTCAGGATGCAGATGAAGGTTGTGATGGACCATGATTTGAGGCGACGGATGCCACGCATCGCGTACGTGTTCTTCCACACCAGATCTGAGGGCGCCGGTGTGGCTTTGGTCAGGAGACTGCCAGGCCGAGGATCAATCCGTGCTTGAATGACCATCTGGCAGGACGCGACAGAGTCCATCGTGACCAGGGCCATGTCGGTTGGCTTAAAATCCTTTTTCCTTGCAGCCACGATCTTCGAATCGATCCGGCGCAGCTTCTCCTCGTAATAGTCGATGGCATCCACTTTGCGAGAACGCAGAAGAAATGGCCCATACCGAATCGTTGTTTGCGGTCGCTCGCCTTCCATCATGTGCGGGTTGTCTGTATTGTCCTCGAGGACGCGCTGGGTTTCGCCGGCCTCCTCGTCAATGTGCGGTGTTGGGTTGCCATTTGCAGGTGCCGCAACCTGGCCTGGCCGTTGTGTTTGCTTGTCTTTATTTTGCGATTGTAGATATTTGGCCCATGCTGTTTCAAGCTTCCGCAGAAGCTTGTCTCGATCATCCATCAAATCGTCGACCTCTTTCCAATTCCGGCACATCGTTACACACTCGACGCTCCCAATTTCGAGCTTTTCGATCAAGTGCTTGACACGGCCTTCGGATCGAAGATCCTCGGGAACACCAGTCAGACGGAAAGTTCGATCGGTGACAGTCGACTGAGAACCTAGGTAGTCTTGTCTGAATTTGATGATGCGGATTGTCTCCCAGTTTATGGTGTACATTGTCATCGCAACGAACAGGTACGTGAAGAAAACATAGGCCCATAGATATGTTCGTTCAGAGCTGAGGTCCTTGTGGTGCCCGCCCTTGTACATGCCGAAACTGCTGTCGTCGTCGTCAAGCGGTAAGAGCGTAGGCGACAAGCCCAGCTGGGATATGTCTTTTCCGTCTTCGGTTTTGTTATCACCAAAGGTCGGTCGGAAATCTCGAAATCGGTTGTTGATGGGTAGAAGAACGACCAGGGCAAAGAATCCCATGACGCAGAAAAGACGAATGGCCATCTTGAAGAAGTTCAGGAACTTGGCACGTTAGCACACCCTGACTCAAGCACCCACGGATAAGTGTTACTAACCACAAAGGCATCAAGACCTGCGCTTGCCAGGACCTCATGCTCCGTTATCCTGTATAGCTTCGGCATCCACCCAAAGAACGATGTCCCCAGTTCGGGCAGCCGAATTTGTGGTTCGATTCGTCGCTTGCGCGCGGCGTATAGTTGGGGCCATCGTGGGCGCAATACCTGAAGTTGTCAGTCGCGAACGCGCGCATGTAGCTCGAATACCAACACAGAAGGTGATGAGTGCCGTGGCACCAAGCGCGAGCGACAACACAAGCTGCACGCCCAGGTCCTTCTGGCTCTTGGAGGGCGTGACGTGCACGCTGCCGGTCGAGTTGCAGCTACTGCTGCTGTTCAGATCGGGCCCGCGGAATATGTCCATCGTGGCGCCGCTCTCCCTTTTGCCTTGTTGACGGCGTTGGGACCGTTGAAGTGATGGGGGCGAAGTTGGGTTGGTGGTTGCCAAGGGTCCAAATGTTGCGGTTTCATGTCGCGAACCATCTGCTGTTCAGGGTGCCAAGTGCCAACTCTGGTGACGTAGTGCACGTGCCGAGCCACGCAGGGTTTCATGCACCCCTGCACCATCGGGTCACGCAGCAAACTGCCGAAGACGTTTACCAATTATTAACACGTCTAAGTTTAACAGACTTTCACTTGTGACTTGTGCACATGGTCAGTGGCTCATGTTTGAAGTCACATTCTATTGATGCTCGGGCGGACAGTCCCAAGGGAAATTTACGTCTGCAACACCAGCCAAGCCCGAGAACATTGTGTCATCCATGATCAGACCCTCGAGGAACGACGATGGCAAGAATGGAAGCCCCGAAGGCGACTGGGATCCAGAACAAGTGGGCGTGAACGCGAAAGACTCGCCCATCCTGTTCCGGCACTGCGATAACGGCACAAAGTCATGATGAGGCTGTGATGGGGAATTACCAGCAAGCCCACCTACAGCCGTATCCAAACCAGAAGGTCCGGAATCCTCGCCATCTGCTCGTCGCTTGAATTCCGACTTGTCCAAGCCTGCGCTTTGCATGCTTCGAATGAACTGGTCCACCACGCTGGTCATGTACCCAGCAGGCTGGTAGTTCCTTGCCATCAGGCTGATGGCGAGCCGCAGCGATGTGATCCTTTCAATCAGCTTGTCACGCTGAGACATGTCTGTCTGAAGTATGACCTCGCCCATGAGCGCTGTTACGGCAGTGCCAGCATGTTGCACAGCCGTGCCATACGCCTGAGCCATGTCGAAGCGTGCGCGGTATTGTTCGAAAATGGTGGCAATATGCTCAGCACTCTCGACGCAACTGGTACGCGACAGGCTGGTGAAATGAGTGCCCACATTCGCTTCAGACTTCTCACTGTAGCGCACAAACGGTCGATGCAGCAATATGACGGCTGCGTGATATTGTGTGCTGTTTTGGGTCAGCATTCAATCTTGTTACTGGCAACAGGTTATGCTAGAACATACTGAAGAAGGTAATACGATGGCGGCATCGATTTCTGGGTTTCGAGGGACCACTGAAGGTGTCGTGGCAGACCGGTGCACCACTCGCGAAGTTGCTGATCGATCGCCGCCATTTTAAAATACGTCTCCGTCGACTTGGGCGCTCTTGGCCCTCTCAACTCACACAGCTGGCTGATCGTCTCCATCATCTGGAGCAGAGCCTCATATACCCTTGTGGTTGGTTTCTTCTCGTGCCAAGATGGTCTACAGAGAATCATCCGCCCAAAATCGAAGGACAGGCAGGCAGGTGAAACGTCGGTGGTTTTGATCGTCGTGGGTCTCCCTAGGTACAACGACCAGAGCCTAGAAGGTCAGCGCGGTCGAGCCATGCTGATGATGGTGTGCTTACCTATCTGTGACCATGCACGCCCAGAGGACCATATGTCGGATCTGCACATCTCGCTCCGGCAGACCTAGTTGACTTGGGTCGACATGCAAACCTGCATCAAAGATGATGCGAAAACACATGCCTGTGTACAGCCAGCCGGTATCGTCGTCTCCGCAGCAGAACTCCAAGCCTCCGAGTAACTGGAAGGCTTGAATGGATGGAATGCCCCCTGGCTTCTCAATCTCAAGCTTGGCGAGCGCTTTTGCCTTTTCATGCAATGTGGAAGTGGCGTACCCCGGCAACGCCAGCCGTCGGATGTCACCTCTGGTCTTGTCTGCATACCGGAATCCTGTCGCCAACATTGTCAGGTGCAGAAACGTCGAGTAGAACTCGACACCTCCATGCTCCTGGTCGCGGGAGAAAGTTTCAGCATGTACCAAATGGACCACAGAGTTGTGTAGATCCCAGAACAGATCCATCAGGTAGTTGTGTGTTTCAGACGACAGATCGCGAACGAGGAGAGCAACTGGCCAGTGTGTATCTCGCCGAGCAGGAATATCATGGTTCGAGCTTGCGCGAGCGAGAACATTCATGTGCGTTGTCGAGCCAAAGTACCGCACCCTGCCAGAGGCCATGTCAAAACGGATAGCAGAAGGCATGAGCTTGGTGACAACCAAGTCCGGCGAATCAACTGGTCCGGGTTCTTTGTTCTCATCGTCACTAACCGGTGATGTATAGGGCGGTGGCTGGCTCGATGGTGTCACCTGGCTTTGAGGTAGAAGGTCTTGGTCGGTCGCCCGAGCTTCCTTCAGTTGTCGCTCGAGGTCGTTTATACGCCGCATGAGCTTTGTCTCGACAGCCTTTGCAGATGCGCGACTGCAGATTGTGTCAACATCGCGATGAACAATGGCTTCTCTTGCTCTCACCTTTTGCGTCCATCTTTGGCATCGTACACGCAGACATAGTCGCTGTCTCGACAGTTCACACACGTGGTACTCTCAGGGTCAAAGATGCACTGCCGCAGTCAATGACCATGATCACCAACTGTTTTTGATCCGAACAACCCACCCGAATACGTGATTTGCGGCATTGTGTACAGGCGGCTGTTGCCCGATGACGATGCCTTGCCGGCGTCGAGGTCTGCTCTGACGACGAAGTCATGGTATCTAGTTCAAAGTCATAGGATGACCCAAAAAGCCGTGAACATGACTGCCCCCCGGAAAATTATCTGCCTGGACTCGGATGTCTAAAGGTTCGAGGTCAAGTTGTGGGTTCCGAACTACGGAGATGTTTTCCCTGGGCGCTCCGGCACCATGTGGCTTCCCCCGTCTTCCCCACAACGGGGACTGTTCCCCAGATTCTCCGCATCAGGCTTCTGGAAGCGCAGTGAAACTGAGGACAGCTGTGCATGAAATTGAATGAACTCATGAACAAGGGTATGTAGGCTGTAAGATGAAGTGCACAATGCCTCCAAGTTCTAAGGCCTGGAAATCCGTGGAAACTCTGGCGAGGATGCGAAGCGTCCAAGCACATCCCAGGTGTGCGACCTTCCGATGGAATCGAACATCCGCTTATGATCACCCGTCCACGCTAACTATTATCCCCGCAGGATGCCATATGTCCGTAGACATTGGAGGGAAGGAAGCACATAAGAAACTTGCTCATTGTTTTGGGATCCGCGGCCTGGTGAAACCTAAGTAACGTGAAACGATCATAAAGGCTCCAATTTTGGGCAATTTTGAGTGCACAGGCTTTCATTCTCCCGCGTGCAAGATACACCCGGAGCAACTAGCAAGATTTATTCACGCACAGGTCTCCCATCCAACCTTTTTGGAAAGCACAAAACAGCGAGATGAAAGATAAAGTCGTCGTGATCACCGGCGCCGCCTCAGGTATAGGTCTCGAGACTGCCAAACTTCTCGCCTCCAAGGGCGCCAAGGTCTCTTTAGCCGATGTCCAGGAAGGCCCTCTTCGCAAGGTGGTGGATGACATCAAGAACAGTGGCGGGATTGCGTCTGGGACTGTCGTCGATGTCCGCGAGCGCAAACAAGTCGAGGCTTGGATAGACGCCACCGTCAAGGAATTCGGCAAGCTGGACGGCGCAGCGAACATAGCAGGCGTCATTGGCAAGGGCATCGGCATCCGAGGCATCGAAGAGATTGAAGATGATGACTGGGACTTTGTGCTTGGTATCAACACAAAGGGCGTGTTGAATTGTCTTCGGTAGAGCCCCTCTGGTCTGGTATGCGAATCCATGCTGACGTGAACACAGCGCTCAGATCCCGCACATGAATGAGGGTGGCTCAATTGTGAATGCCGCGAGTATAGCTGGCTTGATCGGGTTCCAGAACAATGCCGCCTATGTCGCCTCGAAACACGCAGTGGTCGGCTTGACAAAGGTGGCGGCCAAGGAGCTTGGGCCACGCAAGATTCGCTGTAACTGTGTTTGCCCGTACGTGCGCCCCTTCCCGCGGAAGTTACATGCTGACGTGCTTTTTAGGGGACCAATCGACACTCCTATGATTCGAGCGTCCGAGGATATCAAAGGAGGTGAAAAGGTCACTTTTGAGGATGGGATATGTTTGCAGCGAAGAGCTCATCCCAAAGAAGTGGCGGAGGTTGTCATCTTCTTACTGTCTGATGCCGCAAGTTACGTTACCGGGTCATCGCAGCAGGTCGATGGGGGTTGTAACTGCTGAAGTTGGTCATGGAATATCACAAGAGCACCTTCATCCGTGTACATGCCTAGTTCGCAGTACCAGTGACCAAGGACGACCGCAGTCGTGAAACGCTGCGCGCCTTGAGTGTCCCATGGAGGAACGTACATGGGAGGAGCCGATCATGGTGTCGAATGCGATACAGAAGACCGCAGATGTAACACAAATAGTGAAGAAGTTCAGTCCAAAATTGACCATAAGTGCGAATTTGAAGTCATCAGCTACGCACTGTCACGCTGAATCTTGGGTGGAACGTCGTGGAGACGCGCACGGGCCACAGCGAATCATGTGACGCGACGGACCTGAATAATCTTCGACGTCGAACAATGAGATCACCACCATCAACAACCACCTCACCAAACCGGGTTGAACAGTACGACCACCAAGGAAACCGCCTTTGTCAAGAGCTCTACAGCTGCACAACACTCAAGCCCATCGACTAGTCGAGCCACCAATCTCACAGCCGCCGCAATGCGCCGCGCCGGCCTTCTGACGAGCTGCTGCTCGCGCGGCATCGCAAGCTCCATTGGCAGCTCTTCCTCCGCCGTCTCAACACCCCTGCGCTCGGCCATACTCGCCCAGATTCGATACAAGACCACCTCCTCGCCCAACCATGCGACAGCCGCGCAAAAAGAGATCAACGCCGGCACCTTTCGCACCGGCGAAGACATGGCCCGCCAACGCCCTTCGTCCACCGTCCCGCCGTCGGAGCAGGTCCCTTCCAACCCAGCTGGCACCCCACCGCCGCTAGACTGGAACACCTTTTTCAAACTGCGCATGCGCCGCCGCCGCGTCCAGCTTGCCTTCAGCGCGACCACGGGTCTCATTGGATTTGCTACCGGCGCGACGCTGCTCCCTACTGCCATGGGCGAGCCATTGGTCGCCATGATCCCACTTGATCCCATCTTCAGCCTGGGAATATTGACCCTCGCTGCGGCGGGCGTGGGCTGGCTGGTGGGACCCAGCATCGGCGGGCAGGTGTTCAACCTGCTCAACCGTCGGGTCGTCGGGCAGATCAAGAAGAAGGAGGTGGAGTTCTTTTCGCGGATCAAGAAGAACCGTGTCGACCCTACCAACTCGAGTGCAGCGAACCCTGGTGAGTTGTCAATGCTGAGATCCTTGTAGAATGACAGAAAGCTAACCATGGCAGTGCCCGACTACTATGGCGAGAAGATCCAGAGTGTCCATGGATACAGGCAATGGCTCAAGGATCAGCGAGCCTTCAACCGCAAGAAGTCTGCCAACTTGATATGAGGCGGGCAGTACCAAGCTCTCACAGCATCCTTTCCTTAGGTACATGTTCATGATGTGGCTCGGGTCATGGAAAAAGGGGTCGCCACTCATCATCAGTGTAGCATTATTGTTTGAGTACTTTTCAATGCAAATGCAAGCCAGTCAATCTCTGAGGCTCACCATGCTATCTCAGTGCGTGTTATCCCCGGATGGTGGCAGATTCAAACCCCTCCGATGGGTAATTTGTCCATCGCTGGGGATGCAACCCATGCAAGTGCTACGACGGACGCAGGATGCACAACACCCGTGCGGGGTATAGGTGGCATGTCGGCAAGTATAGGATTCGAGTCCTACAATACGATTTTGTACATCGCAACTACCGGTAAGCCATACGGAACATTCGGACTCTTGGCCTTGGGCACGAAAAGGAGACAGTCCCCAATACGAATTGTCTTCAGTGCTTCGGGTCTGCAAGGTCCGCTGAGAACTCTCTAAAAAAAACAGCAAGGCTCGCCAAGAGCCTTGCAAGCCTCGTCAAAGCCTCCAGCGTCGAAGCAGCGGCCAGAGGGGCACTGAAGCCTTGTCAGAACAGAGAAGCCCCTCGGGCCGACTGTCTTCCCTGGTTGGCCTTGTCGAGACAAAATCTTGTCTGGGAGCAAAACTTGTCGTCCTTCCTCGAGCTTCGATCCGCAGATTTGCTTGTTGGGAAATTTTCCGTGATGCTTCGATGTGTCGTGCTCAGCTTTGGTCTTTGCATGCGCAGGGCAGATATAAGCCGTCGAAAAGGGCAGTAAAAGCTCTCGCCCCAGCCCCTTTATCCAGGTCTCGTCCTCGAGATCAACGCCGACTGAGAGTTTGAAAGGCCATGCAGTATGGCTTGAAACGCGTTATGTGTTTGATCCATCATGTAAAGGGCATGTCGGGGTCAACGACCTGCTTCCAAGCGACAAGCCCACCTTCAATGTCTCCGATGAAGCGCCCATTCTTGCCCAACCCCATGTCCATGAGCTTTTGCGCCGCGACTTGAGAATCATTGCCCACTCTGCACACAACGTAGATTGGCTCACCACCCGGGATGGTGTCGGTCACCCAGTCTGGCACTTCATCCCCACGATAGTTCATGAACCTGCCAATTGGGATGTTGACGGCCCCAGCAAGGTGGCAGAGCCCGAATAACTCCTTCTCCCGGACATCCAGGAGAACATGGCCCTTGTCCATGATACTCTCAGCATAGTCCTTGACACTGACACGCTCCTCTGGCTGCAGAAGGGACACCGGTCGCCGCACGCCACAGAACTGAACATAGTCCATGGAAGTTTGTAGGCCTTCGAGGGTCAGGCTAGGCTTCTCCCCACAGGCAAAGCAGTCTTTGCGCTTCCCTCTCATCCTGATTGATCGGAACGGCATCTCCGCCATGCCGCTGAACAGCAACATCATGTTCTTCTCTGGTGGCGCCTCCCTAGTGATGACTTTGAGAGTCTCCAGGGCCTGGAGAACACCCATTGTGCCAACCACGGGCCCCAGGATCCCACCCTCGCCGCAGCCAACGACACTCTCCGGGGGTGGAGGTTTGGGGAAGATACACCTGTAGCACGGTCCCTGACCTGGCGGATCGTTAAGGACCATCATTTGTCCACTTTTCTGAAAGGCGCTCGCGGATACAAGTCTCTTCCCCAGGAGAATGCATATATCCGAGATGAGGTACCGCGAGGTGGGATGATCTGTGCAGTCCAGCACAATGTCCCATTCTCTGACGATCTCTTCGGCATTTGAGGTCGACATATGTGTTTCATACGCCTTGTACACCACGTTGGGATTCAAGTCCTTGAGGAACGTGATCGCACTGGAGACCTTGGTCTGTCCGACGCGAGAGGTTGCATGGGCAAATTGGCGGTGCAGATTCGACTTTTCAACAACGTCTCCATCCACAAGGCCAATGTGTGATGGTCCAGCAGCCGCAAGATACGTCGCCGCTGGGCAGCCCAGACCTCCTGCGCCAATGATGAGGATCTTGGCGGCCTTGAGCTGGAGTTGAGCTGGAAGATGTTAGCCAACGCCTATGACGCCACGTTCGCCGCAAAAATTCATTACCCTCGATACCAAAGTTGGGGACGATCATCTGCCGTGAATAGCGCTGGTATTCTTCACCACTCAAAGGCCAAGCCCAGGGCTTGGCTTGCCTCGCGAGACGATGCTCAGATTCAGCGAGCGCAAGTTGCGATTTCAGATCCGCGAGCTCGGATTCACGGAGCGAGATCTCTCGGCGTAGGTGATCTATGCGGTCCATTCTGGTTCTTGGTTATTCAGGAGGAAATTTTGAGCAGCCTCAGAATATCAAACGGTAATGACCTGCTAATTGACATTAGATCGGACCCTTGGAGGGGCAGTAATTATTGCCAAAAGTGTGTCTGTTCATTTTGGCGCCTACCGAAGTAAGGTACCCCGCCAAGGGTCCTGTCCAGTGCTTCTCGGTGAGTTTGCCTTGCTTTCTTCACCGAAAATATTCTAGCTACAGCATCGCCATCGAGCAGCAGACAATCATTCCCCATTGTCAACATCGCACATCCACCACCCCAATGGTATGCTTCCTCGCCAGATGCCCCAGGTCTCCCAGACTCATCCAGGAGCCAAATCTTCAGCACCCATGTCCGCTAACAAGTTCAAAGGCACCCACAGCGCCCCCGTCCTCCAAACCATCCGCCCGCACCCTGCGCCACCAGCGCATCACGGGCCAGATCCATCCCCTCCTTCCCAGCAAGCTCTTCCGCCCAGACGCCCAGGTCTCCGACAGCTTCATCTCCTCCAAGCGCGACAAGCGAACCATCAAGCACTCCTCCTTCCTCTCCAAGATCCAGTCCACGCCCCATGCGCCGAACCGCGTCGGCAAGAACAAGAGCGGCCACCGGCGGAACAAGCGACCGGGGAACAAGCTCACGGCGCTGGATGGACTGGAGGATGCCCTGCCGGATGTGAGTGACGCCCCGGAGATGGGCAAGGTCCGCGCGAGGAGTCTCAAGAGCCGACCGGGCGCGCTGAAGAGGAAGGAGAGGATGATGAAGAGCGAGATGGAGCGGTTTGGGATGAACATGGCCAACCTGGCCAAGGTGGCCGAGCAAGCGCCGTCGAAAACACAAGAGGCAAAGGAAGGACAAGAGGTGAAGAGCAAAGAGGACCAAGGACGGGCGAGTCGATGGGCAGCGTTGAGGGGGTACGTCTCGTCCACCATGGAGCAGAACCCTGCGTTTGCGGACAAATCGTAAGGTAGGGTCGGTTTGGTCATGGTGTTACGGCTGAGGATTTTTTTCACATTTTTATAGCAAGACGTAAGGCACGAACAGGTTGGAGTTAGGCGCTTGGTATCAAAGCCCCAGGAGGCCAATGCATGCAATTCAAATAATGGCTCGTAAACGCATCAGCTTCGTGAACTCATTCGCACGCAACCCGCCCAACTCCGTCAACGAGAATGCTCACCCGCCCTGAACACCCATCATTACCACGGACCGTGCGTTCCTTTCATATGCTCGTAACACTAGTGAAACAATAGGGAAAGAAGAACAAATCAGTCGCTCGACAAAAGAGACCTATACACAGCCGCAACGCGTTGTCTCGCTCAGCGCATGGGTATCTTGTTTCTAGCGTAGGATCGAAACGGATGACTCTACGGCCTGTGCAGTTTGGCAAAGACCCTGGCGGGGCCCGGCTGTCTGGATGCCGCAGACGGGAAGAAATGGGAAGGGGGAGATGAAGAGGCGGGAGGAGTGGCGTTTGTGCGCTTGGTCGATATCGGTGACGACCCGGGAAAGTCATATACATCTGAATCTAGTGAGGGGTTGACCAACGGGTACGATGTCTTCGCAGAGCCCTTGGTGCCGTACGTCTTGAGAGCATGTGTTTCTTTCGGATCACGCCGAATTCTCAGGGCCTCGTTGTGGACAGGCGCCGGGTGACTATCGCTTCGTGGTGGCGTGTTGGCAAAGCGCGGCGTGCGTAGGCGATTCGAGATCTCCTCGTAGTCCCTCTGGGAGCCGTAGCGTGCCGCATTCTATTCGATCCGCGGGGGCGTCTTTGATGCAAATGGACTTGCGCTTCTCCTAGTATGGTCAGCCACGGTGCACTTTGGCCCATGATCCGTGGAAGCGAGAAGAGTGACTTACGACCGCCTGCGCTCACCTTCCTCGCGCAAGTTTTCAATGATGGCCAGCATCTCCTTCCGCCCGCCGTTGCTATCGACCATCTTGCCGCCCATGCTCATGCTCACTTTCTCGCGCGCGTTCGCACTCAACAACCGCTTCACCAGGAGATGGCGCATGATGATGCACACAAAGACGCCGCAATCGCTGCCATTCTCCTGCTGCGGCGCATCGCGCAAGTTCTCAAAGTCCAGCCGCCTCTTAAGAATGTGGGACATTTTGTTTGTCGCGAGCTTGGCTTCGTGATAGTTCGCCCCACCTAATGAGTCGTAGTGAAACGCTTTCCCGTCGAGCGCGGACACAACGAGGAGTGACCAATGCGAGCCGCCCTCGGCCACGGAGACATTGCGGTTGTCGTTGATCGGCATGAAGATGTGTGTGACTTTCGAGAAGTCCGGCAACGCGGCGCGAATCGCGCGTTGGTCGGGCTCTTTCATCAGGAGGAACGTCATACTCGGTCGCAGCAGAACGATGCGCGCCTGGGGGAATTTCGGCAGCGTTTCGCGCTCGAGGTACTCTTCCCAAAAGGCAATGTTGTTGTCGGTCAACCAGTCATTCTTCAGGGACTTGACGTCCTCAAGCGTGAGGAGGACATCGTAGTAGCTGAGGTAGGGTTTCTCGGGGGAGAGCGAGTGGCCAAAGTGGCGCACGATACGGTCGCGCAATGGCATCCTCTTGCGTCGCAGGGGCACAGGGCTGCCCTTGTCGGAGGGTAGGGAGGTTCCCGACGAGTTGGCGTCGTCTTCGTCGCCGTCAGAGAAAAGAGAGATGGTCGAAGTTGTTGACGCTTCAGCGGAGCTGGCGCTTCCTTTGCGACTTTTGCGCAGAAAGGGGAGAGAAAAGCGACTGCCAAGTCAGAAGGTTAACAAATGATCAGGGGAGGAGGAATGTAATTGAGGCGAGGCGAGGCGGTCCTGGGGGAAAAATGGGATGAGCCCGAGGATGGAAGAGGGGCGGACCTTGAGCGGCTGACCTGGGTTCTGGACCAGCAGCGCCTGCCAGCGAGCGGGAATGACGAAGCTTGAAAATTGGAGATTGCTCAGGCGCCAGGGAATGTTTTCCCTTTTTCGTCTGTCTGCTCGTGAAGCAACGCTCGCTCGAACCATCAACCGGCCAAGCTGTGAGGATCTTCTAAGTTCTCGTGACCACATGCAGCATGTGGTGACCAGAAAAAAAAATCCCCAGTGCTTGATGGGAGTTGATTCGCGCGCGCCAGCTGGACCTCTGCGTGGACCCTGGATCGCGCCGCCCCTCCGTAAGGTAAGGCGGTTGGGCGCGCCCAGACTGGATTCGTCACTGCCACGCGCTATGCGCCACCATGGTACGTACATGGTGGCTCAGTCCCTTCATTCTCCACCGATCCCCAGATTCGCTAGCACTGGCTCACGGCAATCGCCGTGCAAGTGGCAGAGTGCATGGGACACAAAGGCAAGGAGGGACGAAGAGAAGCCGTGTCTCTTACCTGCTTGATGACGATGATGAGCGCCCTGTGGCCTCCTCGTTGTCAAAGGTGCTCATGCCCTGAATCGGATGGGTTATTTGTATAAGACTTTCGAAAGGCAACAGTCGTCGATTCAGACGGCGCAAGTACAATCTGTCGTTCGGTGATATTCGTCGAGATGGCTTTTGTGTATGATGAGAACAATGATGGATTCCAGAATAACAGGAAATGGGTATCGCACTGCTAATATGCGCAAACGCCTGCCTGCTCGTCATCCCTTGGACACGGGTCACACCTGGTTAAAAACACGTTCGTTCCATCGTCACCTTCAGGAATGGGGGGTGCACATGGAGCCAAAAAGTGCATACGTCACGGCGCAGCGCAACTAATCCTCAAAGGCTAGTTACACAGCCCAGCCCAAAAGCCCTCTTTCTAGGCATCGAAGTTCTAGAACTGAGGTGAGCAACTGTAATACATGCGTACAGGTAGTCGGGGGCATACGCTCGTGCAACAAATCCATCCATCTGCACCACTTGTCAAAGTCAATTGGCGCCTCTATGAAAAGCTACCCTACACCACATGTTAACATTAAATGATCTTCCACGTCGTGAATGCTCGAACATTCATAGGCGATCAAATCCATGAAGCTTGGGTTACAATGACATTGATTTTCAATGTGGGCCCTGTATCTGATCGCGACTCTCTTCTTTAAACCCTCCAGACGTTGTCACAACGAAATCAATCAAGTTCCCATCCGCCAACGTGCGCCTCTGCATTTACAAACAATACCGATCACATGCCCAGCAATCATGATTTAAAACCTCCCAAAAATTAACAATGCTCATGATAACACTTCGCAGGAAATTGCTGCACGCAAAGTCGTAACGTGAACGGAATCAACCCTCAAGGATCTGACGCTGGAATGATCGCAAGGTCTGGGTGGCTTGGGCGTAAAGTTGTTGACGATCACCTGATACAGACTTGAAGAAGCCGGCGGTATCTCTGCGTGACTGATTGCCACTCACAACAGTGGCCTTCCTGTCTTTCGCAACGCGGGAAAAAGTGCGGGCGTCAGACTCCCACTCGTGGCCCAAAGCCTCGAACTCCTTTGTGATACGTTGGTCGATTCTGTCGAGACAGTTCAAGGTCCCCTTGTCATAAGCATCGATGACCTCATCAACAGCCTTGGCAGCACTGTCTAAGCGTGTTGTGAGAAGCTATGCGACCATTAGTTATTGTTCGTACCGGGTCTCAACATTGCCTCATTGACGAACCTTGACTACACTGTGAAGTTGGTGCGCAATTTCCGTTCCTGGCGTGTTCACCAAGGTCTGCTCTTCGTCTGTGCACTCCCCACCGTCCGCGCTTGTCGTGCTTCGCGGCTTGCGAAGGTAGACACCTTCCAGGTTCTGTTGCAAAGTCTTCTTCAAGGGTCTAGCATCGTCTGTGCAAGGCCCCTTTCGCTTGAGGCCGCGTGCTAGATGCGAGCCCGAAGATTCGTCGCCCACAATGCCAACCACTGCAGGCTTGGATTTACCAACAAGCCCGACAGGCGCCTGGCCGCTCTTCGTGGACTTGTGAAACAGTAATCTCTTGCTTGAGCGCCTCCGGGTTGGCAGTGAGTCTGTCCCCATATCATCTTCACCTCTTCCGTGATCGTAGTCCACTTGTGCGACTCTGATATCTCCAGGCTGAAGAAGGGGCCTGGGGCTTCCGTCTTCGTTGATGCTGACAGATCTACTCTTGAGCCTTGGGAGCTGACGAACCTGGCGTAGAGAGCTCTCTTCGAAAATTTTATTACGTAGTGGCCGCAGATTCTTCTGGGCTGTTTCCTCGTGCTGAACCAGAGGCAACATGTTTTTTGGTTTCACAAAAGGTTTCTCTGCGTCGACATTTCCTTGGCGAACTCGAGCGCTCGCAAATTCGCGGAAGTTATTCGGACTCTTGACCGCTTTGGCTCCCGGATCTGGTGCGAGAAGCTGCTTGCTGATGTCTTTGGTAGTAACCATCTGTTGTTCATTGATCCTTTTCCTCAGCGTCGGAAACGTAATGCCCGTTGACTCCACATGCTGCTTTGTATTGAGCCCGGCTTTTGCGGTCTGGTCACCAGTGCTCTGATGGTACACCTTTCTTCTCTGTGGCCGGGGGTTATCCGGGGTGATTCTAGTTTGGACCAGGGTTGTCGAATCTTCGCACAGGAAGGACCCGGTTTCGGCATCGTGTCGGACCTCCCTCACACTGTTGTCGCCATCGTGGTGCTCGTCATGTAGTTTGATTTCTTGGCATGAAGCCTGCGGTTTGGCGTTTTTAGTCTCGAGTGAAAGGGACTGATCGTCATCATGTGATACGACGGAGTCGGAAGCTGTGTCACTCTCGATCGCAATAACATCCTCAAACACAGACTTTCCATCTTTCTCAGCGGGTAACTGCTTGGCCGTTGTAATCTCAGTGGGATTGGGGCCATCATCTTGGGCAGTCTCTGTCTTTGTCTTCTCCGCGACCACCACTGCGGGAACACTTGGCACCTCGATCGGGTTGGGTACCGCGGGACTGTCAGTGGGCGAGGCCGGATCGCTGAGGATTTGATTGTCTGCATATGTGTCCTCAATCATCGGACTGCTCAAAGTTTCTGGTGGAGATTCGATGGCTTCCGCTGACCGCTTGCCGCCCGCTGTGGTATGAGTGGTATCAACCGTGACAGCCACAGCTTGCTCCGCCGCCGCGTCGTGTTGAGTACGAGTAGCTTCAGCAGCAGCTTGACCTCGTGTCCGCACGTTCGTTTGAGGAGTGTCGATGGAAGGCGGCAGCATGTCGTTATGCTGGGGTTCGGGCAGCAAAGTGGGTGGCAGCTCTGGCACATGAGATGATTCCTTGGAAGCCTCGCTATCAGCCTTCAGTACCAGTGTGTCTTTGACCTTCACAGTCTCCTTGACTGAAGCTGACTTTCCCACCATTTTGGGGCCTTTCCGCCGGCTTGTCGTGGTAGAAGATTTCGCCTCTTTGGCCCTAGGCTTCTTCAATGGCTTGGAATCAGCGGGATTGGTCCCCTGACCAGCGACGGGTGAGTCTGCCCGATGGCGAAGCTTGGAGGCACGATGGCGTGAAACGTCTTTCACCGGAGGCTTCGAGGGTTTAGCTTGTGGCTGACCCGCAGTAACCTGTGAGGCGTTGTTGAACTGCAATGGCGGCTTGGGACGCTGTTTCCGCTTGATGCTGCTTAGGTTCCCGCTCTTCATTTCAGGGGGGCTGTCAATCTGTTCGGGAGTAGTTTTCATTTTGATGTCTTGTGAGCAATGCTTCTGGGGTAATTGAGCTGCTTCTGGAGAAGCTCGCCTTGGCTCAGAATTCTGAACAGAGCTATCGGCTACTTCCAAACCCGAAGATCGAAGCTGGCGGTGATGTTTCTCTTTGCCGTCGACCTGGACGACAGCTTTCGACTGACCCGGGTTATTGGCGCGGTCGCCTTCCCCTGAACAGCTGATGCGATCTTCGAGTGCCTGTGCTCGACTCTCGCTCTGGCCGAGTTCCACAGTGTCAAAGTTCGAGTCATCTGCTTTGGAAGACTTGACGATTTTCAATGCTGGAATTTCCTCCCACGCGGCATCAGAGAGCAAATGCTCAAACTCCTCTTGATGAGACCCTTGCTTGTGACTGCACTTTGGATCGATAGTTGTGCTCTCAGGATCAGCAGTCGGCTGCTTTGGATCTTTTGGAAGACTGTAGGGGTCAACTAGTCCCTCAGCAAGGGTTGCAAGGTTCCCGATATTGTCTTCGATCAGAAACTCCTCATCGCCTTCACCGTCTTCCCCAGCCGGCGAGCTTCGACGTGCAGTGAAGACCGAAGCTGTCTCCGAGAAGTCCACCGTAGGCAGCTGTCCAACGTACCCTTGTAGAGTGTCGTTCAGAGGAATGGTGTCTGGCAAGTTATCGTACCCTGGTTTGGGGCTGGAGAAGGGCGGGACTGAAAAGTTGTCGTAATCTGTGCCTAGACCAGAAGCAAAATCCTAATCCGCTTTTGGAGTCTGGCCTTCTTTGGCTGGGGAGCTGCGTCGAGTAGAGAATGCGTCGCTGACCTCTGACCAGGCGACGCTAGCTTTACGTTGCTTCGGAGCTTGGTTGTGTTGAAGGTGATGCTCATCCCCTCCGAACTGTTCCCAGACGTCAACGTGGCCGGGAAAAAAATCTGACGTGGGTTTTCTGAGGTGAGGTGTTAGGTCGTTACGGCCCCATTTGCTGTCGAGCTGTAGCTGCTGCTGCTGCTTGGGAGACGGCATGGTCGGACTTGCGGGAGAGACTTCGAGAGGATGTGCGTGCACGCGGGACGTTGATCGTGGATTTGTAGCTGGCCGGCCCCTTCTCGTTTGAGGTGCCATCTGAGTCGTTTACTCTGAAAGGAAGGACCAGCTGGCGCGTGGGCGAATTCGATCATGAAATCAGCCTCGAGGTAAGGCGTGACTTGAAGTGGAGGGTGAAGGGCAGTCAGTTTGCACTTGCTTTGGCGATGAGGATCATATTGCGGGGTGAAGTTCAGGCGACAAACACACCGCAAGTTCTAGATACTTGGCTGCCTCAGGTTTTCCTGTCGACGACATCGGACGCTGTTGTTAGGCAGGAGCTCCTGTCAACACTACCCACGTCCATCTTGGGTGACGTCTCTGCCGTCGTGCCTGCATTTGGAACAAAGCCCACACGGGTCCTCTTGCCTTGTTCACCCCGAAGTAGGGCAGCTTCGCGATAGTAGCAGATATACAGAGAGACCTGTGGCCTGTCGGGGGATTCTTCATGATCTTGTGCATGGCAGTTGCGAAGCTCAGATTCCATGCACCAGGAGATGATTTGTTACTCAGTTGACGGCCTATCGTGGCGCGACTGGCTCACTCGACCTCTGCAAAGTGAATCTCTTGATCGAATTACCTATGCGCATATTTGCATCTGCCACGCTTACGCTGACATCAGTTCGATGGCAACGGTACATTTGCCTGCGGACTTTGCGCGACGTTGCGGAAGTAAGAATGAATCCCGGGCTTCGGAGATTGAAGAGTCAACCACTCATGGTCGGCGCCAACCCCAGAGATCTCTTTAAATGGATCTTGGCGGCGTTACGTGTCCCGCAATTATTCAGCAGCACCCCTGCTTCGCACCCACTTTCCCACACTCCGCCGTGATGAGCAATCATCTGTCTGACTCTGACATGCGCCGCCGATGGCCCGTCCTTCAAAAACAAGCCCGTCGACGGCCCGTCATTGTGGCCATCAACATTCACTCTCTTTCACCTAGAAACCAACACTGGCGGCCTTGCTCTCACCAACCCCAGTCCGAAACATGTCTCGTCAACGCTCGCCGCATGCTGGCGCTTCGACGGTGCAACCGGACGAGGTCAAGAGCGCCCACTACAACTCGCCCGCGCACGCTGCGAAGCCGCCGCAAACGCCCATCGAGCGCCTTACAGAGAACCTCATGCAAGATGATTCCAATGAGAATCTAGAGGCGGACTCGGGAACCATTCTTTACCTCGCATATGGATCGAATCTGTGCGAAGAAACCTTTCGAGGCAAGCGAGGCATCCGCCCACTCTCCGAAGTCAACGTTTCGGCGCCGACCCTTCGCTTGACCATGAGCTTGCCCGGCGTACCGTACGCGGAGCCATGCTTCGGCAACGTTGCGTTCAGGAAGCTCCCCGAGAAGCCCAAGCTGCCAGACCATCCGAAACTCCCATTCGACCCTCCCGCTTACTCGAAAGGACAATGGGATGGAGGGCTCATGGGTGTCGTGTACGAAGTGACAAAGGCGGACTACCGCAAAATCATGGCCACGGAAGGCGGAGGTTCGGGATATCAAGAGATCTTCGTGCCTTGCGTCCCTCTGCCGCCTTCCGCTTCCATACCGGAGAAACCACCGCTGCCCGAACTGCCGCGACCGTTCCTTGCGAGGACCCTATACGCGCCTTACCTACCACCCGATGACCCGAGCCGGTCAAATTGGTGGAAGAGACTGTTCTCGGGGACACGCCGCGATGACCCGGACTATGCGCAGCCAAGCGCTCGCTACAAGAAGCTGATCACTGATGGCGCAGAGGAGCATAACCTCCCCGCTGCGTATCAGGAATGGCTACACTCGTTGCAGCCGTACATGGTCACGTCGACGAGACAAAAGATCGGCAAGCTCGTCCTGATGGCGACGATTGGACCCATCTTCGTGACCTTTATGACCTTGGCCAAGTACACAGCCGACGAGAACGGCCGGTACCCGTGGATTGTTGGGCAGACCATGACTCTGCTTTTCAGTTCCACCTGGATTTTGTACGATTGCATTTTGAAGCCGTTGTTTGGTGATGGCGAGCATACGCAGGACAAGGAGGACGAGGGCCAACCGGCAATGAGGAAGCGACGATTGTCTATAGGCAAGCCTCAGCCAGATGAAGAGAAGACGAGTCTTCTGGATGGCGAGGTCAGCTAAGACCTCGGCATTCAGGGTGGGCAGCGCTAGACCTATACGTAGACCTCGTACCTATGAACACCAATTGACCAGTCCAGCTTCACTTGTGACAAATGACTTGGCCACAGGGACCTGGATAAATGTAGTGCGGAGACCCGAGGGGTTCACCAAGACAATCAGCCCGCTGCAGGGCAGATCAGGGGTGGGATTGTCGCATTGCAGTCAGGGGTGGGATTGTCGCATTGCAGTCATGTTAGCGGTCATCCGTCTTGCATGTGACAAGGATTTCTGTTCCTGGCTCAAAGCGTCCTTCGAAAAGAACGTGAATCGCATGTGAAGGTGGGATTTCCCGCGGGCCACCCTTCGGGGGACTCCGCTGGCAAAGGGACCCCCTGGCTAGCGGGCGTGTGCTACCGTATATGGCAAGCGGTGAGGAAAGCTGTTGAGGACTGGACCGTTTTCTGCCATTTGGTCTAGCCCAAATGCGTCACGGCACGCTTGTGACCCTGAAGCTGCGAGATGGTACATACGGGCTACTGAGATACAGGTGGTGGTACAAAGGCATCCTCGCCCCTCCCCCAACAACTATTGTGGCGCTCTTCTTCTTCATGTTGCGGTCTATCACAGCACGCTCCTCTCCCATTTTTCGAAGTCTCTGTCCTCCTACTTTCCACTACTTTTCGACTTCGACTCTCGTCGGCGCCAGCAGAATGGGCAGCTCCAATTTCCTAGGCGGACACAGTCGCAAGCACAAGGTGACCATCGTGGGGTCGGGCAACTGGTGAATATGGGGTCCTCATCACGCACGGCGAGACGCAACGACTGATGCTAGCTAGGGGCTCTACCATTGCCAAGATTGTCGCCGAGAACACGCGCGAGCAAACTGACGTCTTTGAGGAAAATGTCCAAATGTGGGTATACGAGGAGGACGTCACGATACCCAAGGAGTCAAAACACTATGACGAGTCAACGGCCGATCAGCCCCAGAAGCTCACCGAGGTCATCAACAAATACCACGAGAACGTGAAATATCTCCCCGGCGTCGCTCTGCCGCCCAATATCGTCGCCAACCCCTCCCTCAACGATGCCGTCCAGAACTCGACGATCCTCATCTTCAACCTCCCCCACCAGTTCATCCGCAAGGTGTGCGAGGGCATCCGCGGCGAGATCATGCCCTTTGCGCGCGGCATCTCGTGCATCAAGGGCGTCAACGTGTCAGACGACGGCATCAGCTTGTTCAGCGAATGGATTGGCGACGACCTCGGCATCTACTGCGGGGCGCTGAGTGGCGCCAACATTGCCAGCGAGATTGCCCAGGAGAAGTGGTCCGAGACGACGATTGCCTACGACCCTCCGCCCATGGACAGCCGGGCGCCGACGCCCAGGAACGCGAGTCCCAACCCCGATGCGGCGGGGGAGATCCCCGAGATCCAGCACCTCGACGCGCGGGGCCGCAAGTCCAAGACGAAGCTCACCCCGCTGCCCATTGAGTACCCCCCCCTGGACCACAACTGTTTCCGCATGCTCTTTCACCGCCCCTACTTTCACGTCCAGATGGTGTCCGACGTGGCGGGCGTGTCGCTCGGCGGCGCGCTCAAGAACATTGTCGCGCTGGCGGCCGGGTTCGTGGACGGCCGAGGGTGGGGCGACAACGCCAAGGCGGCCATTATGCGCATTGGGCTGATGGAGATGGTGAAGTTTGGCAAGGAGTTCTTTGGCGAAACGGTGCGCACGGCCACGTTCACCGAGTCCTCGGCCGGCGTGGCGGATCTGATCACGTCGAGTTCGGGTGGGCGCAACTTTCGCTGCGCGCGCAAGGCCGTGGAGAAGGGCATCTCGGTGCAAGACGTCGAGCGCGAGGACCTCAACGGGCAGAAGCTGCAGGGCACGTCCACGGCCCACGAGGTGAACAGCTTCCTCAAGGCAAGGGGCCTCGAGTCAGAGTATCCCCTCTTTACGGCAGTAGACGGCATCTTGCGAGGCGAGAAGAAGGTGGACGATATCCCTGCCTTGGTTTCAGACACATGAGGTGGCGTGCCATGGCATTATAATAGCAGGGGTTAATAGGGATGGGCCACCATAATACAAGGCGAAATGAGGCATTCTGGAATCTGCAATACCATATCTATAATTACATCTTCAGCGTCACGTGTGATGCGAGCGCAATGCAACGCCGAGCATTCGATCGGACAAAGCGATGCTCTTGGCGCAAGAATTCGATGTCTGGTTTCCGCGTTTGGTAAAGATATCTTGTGGGGTAGGATACCCTGCCCGACGAGGCCGGAGTCGCGGAACGAGTTTGCCATCACTCCGTCCGCGATTCCGTGCCTCGAATTGTCGTAGTACATCTCTGGCTCAATTCCGTCAATCCATCTTCAATCGTGACATTGGGGGGCCCTGACGATCACCAGATACACCCACCAACATGACCAGTATCCCGTCGTCGTCGTCGCAACTCAAGACGTCCTCCAGCCCAGACGGCCCAGCCACGGTGAGCGCGAGGACCCCTGCCACAGCGAGCGCGAGGACCCCTGCCACAGCGGAGCCACCAGTTCGGCCCACGAGGAAGCAGGTCTCGCGGGCATGCGACTGGTGTCGCGCGAGGAGGATCAAATGCGACAATGGCAGACCGTGTCGAGCGTGCCGGGCGCGAGGGGCCGACTGCACTCACAAGGGGACTGATGAGCCTCGGACGCTGCCGCAGGCGATGAGGTGAGGATGAGCTGTGTGACGCATGTCATGTGAATGCCCGCGATTGACCAAGATACGCAGGGAGATTGAGAAGCTCAAGCTCAAAGTCAAGGAGCAGCAGGCAGAGATTGCCAGGTTGAAGCTCAAGGAGCAGCAAGCCATGATACCCACGCCAACAGAGACGTCCACGACGTCGGCGTCCCCCACGACGTCCAGTCGGCACAACTCACACAACAGCCAGCAGCAGGGCACGCCCTCCTTCACCCTCAAGCCCAAACCGCAGTGGGAGGGCATCTGGCTGGCGACGTCACGGTCCGACCAGACGTCCTACTATGGGCCCTCGTCTCACTTTTACTTTGTCAGTCGCATCGGCACGTACCTCAACAAGGCTCTGCAGCAGCCATGCACGGCAGGCTGCATGCAGCCGCAAGAGGCGAGGAAGAACATTGCCATGACGAACCCTGCAGAGGCAGAAGAAGCTCCAGCCGAGGAGGGGGAGCCACATTCGCCTGGGACGGAGGGGAGGAAGAATCCCTCCATGTCGCGGATGCAGGAGGAGTACTTTCTCAATCTCTTCTGGGAATCGTACCACTGCTTCGTGCCGGTGGTGGACGAGGCTGACTTTAGGCGCCATTACGCATCACTGTGGGAGCCGAGGAGACCGTACCGGAAGATGTCGCCTCTCGTGGACATTGTGTTGGCCGTCTGTCTGCAGTTTGGATACTCGTTCATGCCCAAGGCGACGACGGGGAGCTCCTCGTCGGACGACGCGACCATGGCGGGTCGGTGGTACTACCGACGCTGCCAGTCGCTGCTGACGGCGGATCTCGAGAGTCCGACGCTCAACACGGTGCAGTGCCTGATCTTCTCCATCGTCTATCTCTGCTGCGCGTCGTTCCACAACATGGCGCATCTGGCGGAGACGCAGGCTATCCGGACCGCGCAGATCATAGGCCTGCACCACGAGCCCGCCGTCGACATGTCGCGTCCTGAAAAGGAGCTTCGACGACGCGTGTGGTGGATCTTGTGGATGATGGAGGCCAAGACGGCGGCCAAGCTCGGTCGCCCCGTGGGCATGGACCGGTCGGAAATGTCGACGCTGATGCCCTCTGATGATATTGAGGCGGCGTCGGCCAACGGTGCCCTGCTGGGGTCGTTTGGGAACGTCACTTGGCTGAGCTACAACCTGCAGCTCACCAAGCTCATCGACGTGAGCTTCAGTGTCCACACGGCGCTGTACAACCGCTGTGGCGAGGCCATTGCCAGCAGTCCGGCCGGATCTCTGTACAAGGACCCCCAAGCACTCGAGTCGTGCGCAGAGCTTCTCGCCACACGCATCCCCGTCATCAAGGCCTGGGTGGACGCCGTGCCCAGCAGCCTCAAGATGTGTCGGCGCTACCCTGGCGAGGCCTTCTCTGTGGACCGGACACCCCTGAACATTGATTTCACGGCCCCGACGTGGCTCCAGCGGCAGCGCATCTGCCTCGAGCTCATGTACCACACGCAGATCCTGAATCTGTCACGGCCATTCATCACCTTTTACTCCAACTCGACGACCTACACGCCCATCGCGGAGCGACACGCCGCCGCCTGCGTGTCCCACGCCATTGCGCACACGCTCGTCATGCACCAGGTCGTCACCGAGACGGACCTCATGGGGGGCTGGTCCGAGTTCTTCTTCTGGCAGTGGAACGCGGCCATTACGATCAGCGGCTTCATCCTGGCGTACCCGATCCACCCGTCGACGCCCAACGCCCGGCTGGCCCTGGAGAAGGGCGTGGCCATCTTTGACATTTTCGGCGCCAACTTTGCCGTGGCCGCCGACGCGGCCAAGATCATCCGCGACCTCATGGGCAAAGCGGACCTCCTCACGGGCCGGCTCCGGTACGGCATCACGAGCGGTGCGCCGCAGGAGATGCCACCCAATTTGTCTTCGTCGACGACGGCGACAGCGCCCGTCCCTGGGCAGAATGGGCTGGACGTCACAGGAGGGGCGGTTATTGATCCCGCCATAGATGATGGACTGGGCTGGCTGGACCCGAGTGAGCAGAGCGATCCCAACTACTTTAGCGAGTTTATGGACTGGGCGTTGTCGGTGGATCAGTACAACAGCTTTGAGAGGTTCTTTGATGCGAGCAACCCTGCGGACCCGTTCTTGTTTGGGCAGCAGATGCCGCTGCCGCCTCAGTAATTAGCTGTTCGCATATCTATCTCTATCTACGTAGGGAGAATGAACAGCCTGTGTACGCTCATCGTGGTGTGGCCCATGCGTGGGCCCTTGTCGGTGCTTATTAGTGCTGATCTCTTGCAGCATTGAATTTCCGCATCTGGACTGAATGCATTCAATGACTGGTTCATCTTGAAGCTGTAATTCCAGACTCGCAATCAAATATACTCGCACAGACGATGATAGGTGTCTCGCGGCCGCATGGCTCGCGTGCTCAAGGACGCGCGACAGAATAGCGACCATTCAGCCACCACCAGACTTAGCGTCCGCTTGCTGCCCGGACGCAGCCATAAGTAATCTGCGGAGTAGCATGGCATACCATCAAGAGGTCCAGTATTCTACAATTCTTTAGGCGTCAAACCTTGTTCCGCATTGGGCATTGAATCAGCCACATACCGTCATCTCCAACAACAGACACTCGACAGCGACAGCGAAGCTGGAATGACTCTCGGGGCTTTGATTCGGTTTGTCTTGGGCTCTTGTTCCCGGCTGGGCTGAAGCACTCTAGTGACATCACCACTTGAAGACGCAAGTCATCCAGACATGCTCTACTAGGCAAAGACGCAGATGAGCCAACACATTCCGGGGCACCTCGCCCTGTCCAGCCGTCGACGACACCCTCGGCGGCCCCGGATGGTGTGATTTATTCGTCACCAGTCCTCGCCATCACCAGTCTTGTCTTGTCGCGACGCGTAAGCTCGCATTACCTTCATGTACACCACAGCTATACATTCTCACATTTGACTGTAGAACCCTCGTTTTCTGCCAAGACACGACACGGATGAGTCGAACACCAGCACACAAACATGAAAGAAGCCATCGTCCACCCTGGCGGCAAGGTCGTCATTGAAGACCATCCCATTCCCCAACCAGGACACAACGAGCTCTTGGTGAGGGTCATCATTGCCGGGACGAACCAGAAAGACTGGAAGTTTCCCTTTCTGGAGGACACACCACACAATGCCGGCGATGATGTCGCTGGTGTCGTGGAGGCCATTGGCGACGGGGTATGGGAGTTTCGCCCTGGCGATCGTGTCGCGGGACTACATGCGTTTCCTGAACCTGGCGGTGCCTATGCGGAGTATGCGATCTTGCCCGCGCATCAGACGTTTCGACTCCCAGACATAGTCTCCTTCGAGGAGGTGAGCGCGTTCCAGTCCATTCCCCCCTCCCATGTACTTTGCGACAGTAGTAGAACGAGGCTGAAGCATAGATAAGGGCGCAACAGTGCCATTGACTGCTCTCGGAGCTGCCTTTGCGTTGTACCACAACCTGCAACTACCGACGTCCTGGCAACGGCCCCCCGACAAACCGACGCCTCTCCTCGTGTACGGCGCATCGACAGCCGTAGGCGCCTACGCCATCAAACTCGCCATCGCTTCGAGCATTCACCCCATCGTCGCGATCGGGAGCGAGCACAGCTGCTTTGTGAGGAAACATCTACGGTCAGAGGAAGGCGATGCTTTCCTCGACTACACGGCGTTCGAGAACCCCTCCGATCTCGTTGAGGCGATCCAGCAGGCCTTTCGCGATGCTGGGGTCGCAGACGGCCGACCGGGCCACGCGATCGACGCCGTGTCAATCCCGGGTACATTTGACCATGTGGTAGCCCAGAGCATGGCCGGGGCGCCGATTGACGGACAGAGGCCGCGCATGGCGGTCATGATGCCCGGGCATAACTACAGCACCGCCGACACGAGCGTCGAGGTCGTCGAGGTGTACACGGGGCTGGCGCACCAGGGAGGCGACGTCGGCAAGCGCTTCGCCTACACGGTTTGTCGCCTGTTCGCCATGGGGTTGGCCGAGGGCTGGCTGGCGCCGCACCCGTTTGAGGTTCGCGAGGAGGGGCTCGAGGCGTTGGAGGGTGTCTTGCAGGATTCTATGAGCGGCAAGATCCACGCCAAGAAGATCTTGTTGCGGGTTGGGAAGGTTGAGCAATAATTGGAGTGATACCACGTCAGCTGAATATGACGAGCGAATGTGTTGATCAACGTCTCCGTCCCGTTCGGTAGTTGAAGGTCGGCTCCACGACCGGGCGTCTGAGTGCCGCGAGGGTTATTAGAAGCGAGTGCCTGTCCTCGGGAACGCAGACGTCCGCGCCGACGAAACGGCGGGCCTTAGCAACAGCCCGAGAGCCCGTGGAGAGCACAAAGTATAAGTGAGTCCTGTGCGCCTCGCCAAGAAGCAGACGTGGGCGATGAGGTACGCGTGCATCCCGAATACGACGGGACACGCGAAACCGTAGATCTCAACCCCAATATCCACCTCCCTGCGACTGGTATCCCCGGCGCGGAACTACTACCCCATTTCTTTCATCGGGGTGGACACTGCCGGAGGATGTTATGCACGATCTGCACAATTATGATCGTCGAAAGAGGCTATCTTCCCGGTTGTACGCTGCCACTATGCCATATAGCGACAACATGGATCCACAATCGTCATCTGGATGTCTTAAAGCCGAATACGACGATTCGACAAAATCCGAATAAAGTCTAGGGAAGGTAATGCTCGTCGGGAAGAGGGGACGGGAAGAGGCGATCCTACATAAGGGGTCCTCCCCACCTAACGACGGTGGTAATAGAGGGCTTTAGCCATTACATGTAGCTTCTCCAGCAAATCCAACACGATGGCTTCACAGGAAGTATACAATAGACTGCACCATGAGCTTGAGGAAAGATGGCCAGTCGTTGCCATCACGGCCCTGACGCTCCTGGCGGCTCTTGTTCTCCCTGGGCTGATGAAGACGAATCATCTCAAGGCGATCCCACTGGTCGGAGGCGGCCAGTTCTCTTTCCTTAAGGGCGGATGGGACGTCTATGCCCAAGGCTACAACAAGGTACATCGTCGCTCCGCATTGACAAAGGCAAAAAGTGATGCTGACCGTGGGCAAAGTTCAAGAAAAGCACATTCCGCATCAAGAGCGCGAGGAGTATGGGCTAGATGGACCCCAATTTGAGATAAAAGATGGCTCACATCTCGCAGAATCACCCATCGTCGTCGTCTCGCCCGTCTTTCTGGGCGAACTCAAGAAACTCCCCGACGATGTCCTCAGCTTCGCCAAGTCTGTCGACGAGTCCATGCAGACCAAGTACACCGGCGTGGAGGCCGACGTCCCAGCCATTCCTCACGTCGTCAAGACGGGTCTCACACCTGCCCTCGTCCGCCTCAACCCTACCATCTCGGACGAGGTCGTCGAGTCGATGCGCATGGAGCTGCCGCAGACCAGCAACTGGGAAGAAGTCTGTATCAACGACAAGCTCCTTCGCATCGTAGCAATGGCGTCTGGTCGTATCTTCATTGGGCCCGAGCTATGTCGAGATGAGAGGTACCTAGATGCGTCGATCAACTACACAATCGATCTCATGACGGCCGTCCACCTCATCAGTTTCACGCCCTCGTGGCTTCGCCCGCTCGTCGCACCGATCCTCCCACCCGTCCGCAAGTTACATCGGAGGATCAAGGAGGCGGATGCGTTCCTTCGACCCGTCGTGGCCGCGCGGAGGGAGGCGGCCAAGAGCCCAGACTACCAGGAGCCCGATGACATGCTCCAGTGGCTCATGAACTCGCAGGCCAAATTTGGAGCGAAGAATGACAAGGAGCTGGCGAAGAATCAGCTGGGCATCAGCTTTGCGGCCATTCACACAACAACTCTGACAACTCTGAATGCGTATGTCGGGTCTGCATCCAACCATAATAGTGCTGACCACTTCTCGTAGATTTTATAACTTGGCCGCCGACCCCAGCCTGGTACCGATGCTGCGAGAGGATGTCCAACAGGCCCTCGCCGAGACTGATGGGGTGTTTACCAACATCGCCTTGCAGAACATGAAGAAACTCGACAGTTTCTTGAAGGAGACTTTGCGAGTCTATCCTCTGGGTGCCGGTATGCCACATATGTGTCACAAGACTGGTAATCGGTCACTAATGCAAGCATAGCTTCATTCCAGCGCATGGTCCTCAAGGACTTCACCCTCTCCAATGGCCAAGTGATCCCAGCCGGGTGCATCATCGAGGTCCCCTCGGGCATCGTCAATGTCGACCCCGAAGTGCACGACAGCCCGGAGCAATTCGATGCCCTGCGCTACTACAACATGCGCATAGCCAAGGGCGAGCAGGACTCCGCCACCAAGACGGCCGAGGTCGTTGCGAATTCGCAGTTTGTCAGCGTCGGGACGTCGAGCTTGACGTTTGGGTACGGACGCCACGCCTGTCCTGGGAGGTTCTTTGCCGTGAACGAGATCAAGATGATCATGGCCACGGCTCTGCTGCATTACGACGTGAAGAATGTGGAGGGGCAGGAGGAGAGAATCCCCAACTGGAAGTTTGGGTCGCAGGTAAGTGACTGACACAGAAGGACAGAGATAAGAGTGCTGACAATGGCAGTCGATCCCCGACAGCAAGGGGAAGATCCTCATGCGAAAGCTTTAGGATCGAAGCTACTCGAGACAGAGACACGGTCAATAAGTGAAAGACAATATGCAGCATAAAAGTCAGGTCCTAACATGTCGTGCAATCCTGCTATCTTGTAAAGTGTATCATCTCCCACTTCAACCCTTACAACCACTGCTTGTTGCCCCAGTGCGATAGGAACTCGCCCGCGTCGCCATTCTCAATGCTTGCCTTGTCAATGACATTTAGCATTGCCCTGATCGACTCCTCAGGCGTAATGGGACCCTTCCAGTCCGGTGCATAAGCCATAAACTTCTGCGCCGTGGCGCCAAAGGCAGCAGCCTGTTCTTCTGTCACTGTAGACGTATTAGTCGTTGCCCCCATTGAGTACACACTCTCCCATTGAGTACACTCACATTTTGTCTTTCCCCATTTCCCCACGTCCACAGCGCCGGGGCTCAGACTGAGGAAGAGAATGCCCTCTCGCTTGTACTGTGCGCTGAACTTGCCGACGATGAGGTTCATATGCGCCTTGCTGGCGGCGTAGAATGGGGCGACCTCAATATCGTGCTTGATGACAACGTCCAGGTCTGCATGTCCAGTGGTGATGGTGATGACCTTTTTGGCCTTTCCCTTCTTGATGAGCGGGATGAGTAGGTTGAAGAGATGGATGTTGGCAATGACGTTGACTTTTGTCAGCATCAGGATCTCGCGCTCAATGCCTTCGGGATCATTGGCCCTGGTTTGGAGTCAGTCAGAGTTCTTGACGACTCTGTCTAGCGCTGGTGAGCTTACAGACCGCCGATGGCGGTGTATGCGTCGTAATCTGTGTAGACCCCTGCGTTGGCGATGATGTAGTCCAGTGCCCCATGGGTGAGCTCGGGAATCTTGTCAGTGGCGGCCTATATCTTCATTAGCACATTCTCATATTCGTGCACATATTTCTAAATGTTCTTACGTACCTTCAACGCCTGATAGTCGGTCATGTCGGCTTCCAGGATATGAATATTGTTGCGGTCAGGCAACTCGTCCTTCACCCTGGTGTCGGTGGCAGCCTTGTTCCGAACGATACCAATGATCAAGTTGTCGGAATTCGCGGAGAGCTGGGTAAGAAACTCCCACTGATGAAGGTCAGCATCAACGCAACCAACATGGAGTCGATTCCAGCTTACACCGAGGCCCTTTGAAACGCCAGTGATAACGTACGAAGACATGCTGACGTATAAAGATTCTTATGTATGAAGAGGAGTTCCGTGCCAGGCTAAGGTGATTTCTGAAAGTCTAAAAGACGGACATCTTCATTCTTATACTATTTCAACAGCTGAGACTTGTCAAGCTTTATTGCTCCTCGCTCATAGTATGATTAATCAAACTCCGCAACTTGATAGCAGTCATATGAAACTCCGACACGCCAACTTTTGACTGGGTGTACCATTCACTGCACCACACTCGCAGGTGAACGTCCTCGAATTACCACATTAGGAAAACGCTCCAGGTAAGCTTACATGCACCATGCATCTGCATGCATATCTGATTATCAAGCACGTACATACTATTCAGAGAAAAGATCCATGCGCCCAGGCTCCATCTCATTCTCAGTCCCTTTTCGACGGCGTCGCACTGTCTGACGCCCTGTCAGAGCCTCCCGCCGTGTTACTGGCACGATGCTCTCGCATCCCCTCAATGCTCGCACCATACTGGCCCATGCCATACATCTCCATGTCATAATCAGAGAAGTACTTCTGGTCTAGTCCCATCAACTCGTCTTCCTCGGAGGCGCGAATATGCAGGCCTGGGATCTTGTCGATAATGAACAGCAGCAGGCAGCTCACGCCAAAACTCCACGCGGCACAGGTCAGGGCAGCAGCCAGCTGGTATCCCATCTGCGCCCAGTGAAGGTTCCACCAGCCACCAGGGCTCCCAGTCGAAACGCCATCCAGAGCTGGGACAAAGTCGGCTGCGAAGAAGCCCGTGAGGACATCGCCCACCACGCCACCCATGCCGTGGATGGCCCATATGTCGAGACCCTCGTCGATGGCGATTAGATACTTGTACTTGTTCGTGTAGAAGCATGCCACGGAAGTAACGCTGCCGATAAGGCAGGATGTATAGACCGGAACGAAACCAGCGGCGGCGGTGATCCCGACCAGACCGCTGATGATACCTGAGCAGAAGCCAACGATGCTGAACTTTCTGGTGTGCAGGTATTCAATGCAAGACCATGTGACGCCCCCACCGCAGGCGGCGAAGTTGGTATTGAGCACGGCATAGATGCTGCGGATCGACAGGTTGGCCGTGCTCGCGCCGTTGAAGGCCAGCCAGCCGAACCAGATGAAGACGGTGCCGATACCGACGAGAAATGGGTTATGGCCCCGGAAGTGCGGGATGCGAGGATGCTGGCTCTCCCCCAATGGGTCCCTGCGCTTGCCGAGCATGCACGCCCAGGCCAGCGCGCCGAAGCCACTGGCAATGTGGACGGGTCCAGAGCCTGCGAAGTCGAGGACGCCGAGCTTGGCGAGCCAGCCGGAGGGATTCCACTCCCAGTATGCAAGGCTGCGAGATTTAGGTTATAAAGTGCATTGTGGGGGACTGGTAGGGTCACGCACAAGTAGTAGACAAACGTCGTCCAGCACAGTAGGAACAACATGCTCGGCATCAATCGACCCCTTTCCAGCATAGCACCAGCCAGAATCATGGCTGTGGCTGTGACGAACGTCACGCCAAACGTTGCGTAGAGAATGTCAGGCACGTCGCTGTTGGCCAGGCTGGGATACGCCAACACATTGTACAGCACGCCCTTTGTGAGATTGCCGAGGATGGAGTTCGAGGTGTGTGACATGTAGAGGGAGTATCCGTACAGCCAGTACTGGATGCCTACGGCGCAGGCGCAGAAGAGTGACTGGAAGACCATGGTCAAGGCGGACTTGCGACGGTGCATGCCGGCGTAGAGGAAGCCGATGGCTGGGGTGATCTGCCAGCAGAGACATGTGGACACGAGGAGCCAACAGAGGTCGCCCTGCCTGTGTCAGTCACGTTTTGCTCACATATCTGGCGGCTCTGCAAACCTTGTTGTAGGGCGCATTAATGTCCTGCTCCATGGGGTTCGCGCCTAGTGGCTGGCTGCTATAGTCAGGCCATTCTGTAACTGGTGGTAGCCTTTCAGAAGACATGTTTATTCTCGAACAAGATCTCGTTTTGTTTGCACAAGACAACAATGGAAGTACTCGGGATAGATTGACCAGAGAGCGCCAGAGCAGCATGGAAGGACATGCATCTATAGATGCCATTCTTATCATCGATGCCTTGGTCATTACCCCATATTTCTTATTGATAAGGTTAATTCCCCCGGTAGGCAATTTCAGCCGACTAGATGCAACCTTATCTCTGGGCTACATGGGCGCGCGAGCGTCGTGGCTGTGCCAAGCCCTGTCATGCGGATGGCACCACTGATAGGTTGCAGATGGCGCTGATAAGGAGGCGCGAGGCGCTCGCGGACACGAGTCAGAGCAGGAGACAACATAGGGAGGTTTGTAGCAGGCAAGATATCTAGTGTCGCGAATTATGTGCCGTTGACAAGCGGGAGTAGACGACCTCGTAACAAGTCTCTCGATTCCGTGGTCACCACTCGCGAGTCGACAGTCAACCATTTCAGCCAGATATCCAGCACTTGACCGCAGTACGATTTAGCGGTCACGCAAAGAGACTTGGGCAATGCCCAGTAAAAGGATCTTTGACATAGGTATTATAGATTTCGCCGTGCACATGGCGACTTATAAATGAAGCAGTGTACATGTAGGCGTGGCCAAGTCCCGCTCCGTGACCGGAGTCGGGCAGCACCCGACACGGAGCGGCCCCGCCGACTCCACACCCGCGACACGGAGGAGCCCCGTCCGTCCATCGACCCCGTCCATTGTGCCGGTCGCGAACATGGGAATAATCTCCCAGCAACAGTTTACTGCTACGTATGCAATGGCTCCCTCGTTCTGTCAGATTTCGGGAGGCCTCATTTCATCAGTCGAAACAAACCAGGACGTCCACGCGTCAAGGGCAGCAGCAAATACCACTGCTTCGGTTAACGGCCTCGATGTCCGAGACACTCGGAGCTCGGCAGACCAGACTGATATGCCCTTTCCTTACGCGTCTTATGTCTCGGCACTTCTGTATGCGATCAAGCCAATCCATTTCAAGATACCCCCAATACGATTCATCTGTCAAGCTACATATGGTATCCCAATCGACACTGTTCCGTCTCTCGTAAAATGGGTCCGGAGTCCGGACAGGCATGGCGCGATATGGTGGCCATTAGCTATGAACAGCCAGGCCGCCCCTTGACAGCATATAGGCCATACGTATCTCTAGGTATGTGTAACTTTCATTCCTGGCCACGCGGCATGGACTTGCCCTCTGTACTTAACAGTGCCACCTCCTTGTCTGACCTTACGCGCGGCTCCAGGGCGCCGATTATTGTGGGCTTTCTCCGTTGATCAGCCCCGATAAACGGCCCTCTGCATATTCTCCCCAGATCCTTTGTAAAAATTGCATGATACTAAAAGGGGCCCACGCCCAGATTGCCATACTAGTCTCGAGCATTTGCGAGCATATCCACCCCTTTTGGTGTCCTTCCATGAGAGCAGGCTACATCAACAGACTACCACCATGACGAGACGGTCCGACATCAAGCAGGCCGAAAGCGCCCTTCACAACCAGGAGAACCTGCTACCGCGCCGGCAACTGCTCACCGTCTTCGCGACACTCTCCATCGCGCTGCTCATCTATGTCATTGATCAGAATGGCATCGCGACCACGCTGCCGACCATTGCGAGCGATTTGAACGCAAAGAACACAATCTCATGGGCGGGTACCTCGGCGCTCCTCGCCAACACCACGTTCCAGATGCTCTATGGCCGTCTCTCGGATATCTTTGGTCGCAAGACAGTCTTCCTCACCGCCATTGCCCTCCTCGCCTTGGCCGACCTGGTGTGCGGCTTCAGCCAGAATGCCACCATGTTCTACCTCTGCCGTGCCGTCGCTGGTATCGGCGGCGGCGGCATCGCGAACCTCGCCATGATCATCGTGTCGGACATTGTCACGCTCGAGCAGAGGGGCAAGTACCAGGGCATCATTGCGAGTATGATTGGATTTGGCAATGTCATTGGGCCCTTTCTGGCCGCGCAGATCGCCTCCAAGACAACGTGGCGTGCGTTCTTCTGGATGCTGGCGCCGTGTGGTGGTGTCACATTTGTCCTTTCGTACGTCTTCCTACCGTCCAAGCCAAGACACGTCAACTTCCAGGAGAGTGTACGAAAGGTGGACTGGCTGGGGACACTCACATCGTCGTTGGGTATCATCTTCCTCCTGATTCCGATTTCTGGTGGTGGCTCATACTTCGCGTGGGACTCGCCCATGGTCATCAGTATGCTGTCCATTGGTGTCCTGTCGCTCGTGCTGTTTGTGTTCATCGAGTGGAAGGTCGCCAAGCTGCCCATGATGCCGAGTAGGTACTCTTTCCTGGCCTTCGCGCCCAGTATGCTGACAGAAAACAGTCGAGATTTACGCCAACCCGGTGGTGGTGGTCATGCTCCTGCAATACTTCATCTTCGGCGCGGTTTTCCAGTCCATGATCTTCTACATCCCAATGTATCTGCAGAATGCCCATGAATTCTCCATGATCACGTCCGCATTGGTCTACATCCCTTTGCCCGCCTTGCAAGCCATCGTCTCGATATCCACTGGCTATTACATCACCTATACCAAGCGATACGGGGAAGTTCTTTGGACCGGCTTCACACTGTGGACGCTGTAAGTGCTTCTGTATTCACTGGCTCGACATGACTACTGACACATTGCCACAGTGGACTCGGCCTCACACTCATCTACACCCGTAGCACGCCCATCGGCATCATCATTATCCCTTTCATCGTCATCGGCTTTGGCGCGGGCTGCATCTTCCAGCCAACGCTCATTGCTCTGCAAGCCCACTCCCCCAAGGCGCGTCGGGCCGTGATCATCTCCAACCGCAACTTCTACCGCTGTGCAGGCGGCGCGTGCGGTCTCGCCATCTCGGCCGCCGTGATGCAGGCCAGGCTGAGGAGTGCCCTGCCAGAGCAGTATGCGTACATTGCTCACTCGACGTACAGTCTCCCCAACTTTAGTGGAAATGTCCCAACAGAGGTGCTGGACGCGTACATGGCGGCCAGTCACGCCGTTTTCACGCTTCAGGTGCCGCTGGTGGGGATCTGTCTGCTGGGCATGTTGTTTATCAGGGATAGAGGGCTGGAGTACAAGGGTGATAGGATTGTGGCACAGTTTGTGGCAGCTGGGTCGGGTGAGAACGAGGCCGTCGACCTCTCGCAAACCACCGACGCCAGTGACATGGAGTCGGGTTCGGTGCACGAAGAGAGCAAGACCACACGTCAACCGACTGCTTGAAGAGGTCGAATATCTCTGGAAAGGCTGGTTGTCCAGTAGGGTCCATGCAATGGTAGTGCTGATGATGAGTGTACCCAATGCCAATGCCAGATTAAAAGTTGTGTGCAATGAGTATGTAGAGTCCCTGTCCTTCTCTCCCTCGGAACTGGCAACCAACGTGGGCAGCCACTTGGCCGCGCTTTGGATTTTGAGTACACACTCGTATCTGCAAGAGACTACTTTCTGCCTGCAGCATGTATTTTCGGTTCAGCCTTGGCTTGCAGACTCAAATGCAGCCCCCAATAGGGCACAGCTACCACAGTCAGGACTCAGGGGCACTGCTAGAAGCAGTACAGTACCCCTCAACATGTTGACCGGGTCATTGCAGGTCGAATGTCACTCATAAACAACCAGTATCGGCCGCGAATGCAGCCAGCCTTTTGGGATAGACGCCGAGACGGGAGCTGAAGGCTTGACACAGGATTGCCAAGACTCCGAACGACGCAGCTTCGGAGTAGGATCCGACTGCTTGATTCGGAGCGGGCCGCACGTGGAGATGACGATCCCAGAAGACGCGAGTGACAGCCAAAAAGCTGCCTCATGAGCTGTACAAGACCGCGCGAACAAATAAGTAGAGTCAGTGGTAAGATCCAGCTCGCAGCATGATGTTTGGGGCCCTATCGCTGTTGTCGCGTAGGGTAGGATATACCTCGTTAGGAGATGCGTCTCGAGGACGGCCTGGACTGGAGTCTAGAACGATGGTGCATGTCAAAAATCAATAATAGCGCACCGGTTTAATGGATCATGATCTTCTTTATCGATAGGCTCCATGACGTCGATGTCAGTTGCAAGGCACTCGACTGCACTTTTGAATTCATCAACGCCAAAGAGTAGGCTGAGCATGGAATTCTATTCACGAGCTGATTGCACCGCAAAGACAAGACAGTGCCTGGCAATGCAAATATTTGTCAACGAAACTCTGCAAGCAGATGCGGTGCGCGATAAGCAGACGAGGGCCGGAGCAACTGGCCCCCCCACCACCTTGACGGCGGCGGCTGTACCAGGCATCATCCAGTGCATCCACTCTCTTGCCTGGCCCTTGTAAATGCCATTCGCGGCAAGGGCTTGCTCGTTCCTGCTTGATGGATACTGTGCCTGGCCCGAATCGGTGTCGAGGCTGGCGATCGCGATTGTCATTGCCATCTTTCTGCGTGGTTAATCCTCACTTGCCTGAGCGAGCCAACGCGTCGAGTTTTGCATCTGCTCGCTTACAGAGGGCTGCTACAGCATGGGTTACACAATCCACGCAGAAGTTGGATGAGTCAATTGTCGACATGCCCCCCATCCGGATGGCTTTTATTGCTACCTGCGTTGATGTACGTACTGTGCCTCACCATGCCGGTGATATCGCGGTGCTGGCCACCCACGGACGGTCAACAAAATAATTTGTTGACATGCACGTACTTTCTGGTCAATCTTCCCGCTGCCCTTTGTGCCATTGAACAAGAACGGGACCATCCAGTCGTCCGACGCACCCGCGAACTTGTGCGACGGATGCTTTGGGCAAGTGGTGCGAGCAACACAGAGGGCATACAATACATCACCGCTGCCAGAAGAAGAGGAGAAGAAAGACCATCAGAATTAGCGGCATCGTAGATCAGCTATTGCATCCCGTCAACTGAACTGAGATTTCCGCCCATAATAGCGCTTTCGCTCGTGGAGGGCCTCTCATTCATCACCTTGCTTGCTGCTTCCCTGCTGCCCTTGCCCTCATACACCTCCCATCCCATTCCTTGGTCCTCTGACATCGTACGTACCCTACCTTACCTCGCCTACCTGCTCTGACCTATCCGTGCTTCTCGATTCCGCGTTCTGGTTGCCCGACTTTTTACGAGGCAGTCAGCCCATTCCTCTCTCTGACCGCTTCGTCGTTTTTATGCTCCTGTTCATCTCTCCCTCTTGTGCATTCTTATACTCATCCATCGCCTAGACGACTTTGGGTCTCCCAACCCAGACTATACCCATCCCGCCTCTGCACGACATTGTCCAGCCAAGCATCCTTCAGGCCGCCCGAAGGCGTTTTTTTTTCTGGAGCATCGACCGTCCGAATTGATCAGAATTGCTAGCGAGAAAAAAAAAACGCCCATATTTATTACGGTGGTGGATCGCGATCCGCGCTGTCACCTTGGTCGTGCCAGACCGTACCCCTGCCTGTGCCAACTCGAAACAGCAGCAGCGAGCGCGGGGCAGCTTTTCTAGCTAGCTCCAGCCCGTCGCTCGTCCTCTTCTTCCCTCAGCATGATACCGCGAACAATGACTTCCAACGAGGTATACCTGCTGCCTCTGAACGACGACGGTTCGCCCCAGGTCGCCGGCGAGTACATTTACCTGGCGCCGAGATGCGGTGATCCCGTCACCATCCGCTTCGCGATCGAAGGCACGTCGAGCATATGTCGTCATGGCAGTCTCTGGGTCAACATCCCCGCAAAGGGCGAGGAATTTCGTCGCGACAAATTCACAGAGTACAAGTAGGTTTGAAAAAGGCTCGATTGTTCCGTTCACAGACTAAGAAGTCCCCAAAGGTTGACCCCGGACTTCAATCGCACGTTGGAGGTCTCCATCCCCATCCACGATGCGGGCGCCTACGCCTTCTACACGACGTACGCCGAGCTCCCTGAGCTGAGCACAGAGCTGTCCGGTGACGCTTCGTCGCAAAATACACTGAAGAAGACGCCGCTCTACTACATTGATGTCGCGCCGCGTCTCAAGCTGGATGGCCGGCCCCTGCCCCTGCCAGCGCTGTCCGTCTTCTCCGTCATCAGCAAGTTCATGGGGTCCTACCCGAAAGACTGGGAGAAACACCTCCACGGGATCAGCGACCGAGGGTACAACATGATCCACTTCACACCTCTCCAGGTGCGTGGATCATCCAACTCGCCGTACAGTCTCTATGACCAACTTGGCTGGGATCCTCACTGCTTCCCAGGCGGCGAGAAGGATGTCGCGCGCATGATTGAGAGCTTGGAGAAGGACTATAGTCTTCTCAGCTTGACAGACATTGTGCTCAACCACACCGCTAACAACACAAAATGGCTCGAGGAGCATCCCGAGGCTGGCTATAACTTGACGACCGCGCCATGGCTTGAATCTGCTTTCGAACTCGATACCGCGTTCCTCGAGCTGAGTGCAAACCTTGAAAAGCTGGGGCTGCCTACCGAGCTCAAGTCAACGGACGACCTGATGAAGATCATGGAGACGGCAAAGAAGGAAGTCATTGCCAAAATCCGTCTGTGGGAATACTTTGTGCTGGATGTGGAGCGTGACGCCGATGCAAGTGTGGACGCTTGGGTTGCTGGCAAGACGCATGCTCCTGAGGATGTGGCCGAGTACGGCGCCCGTGTCGAGAGCCTCAAGAGCTCATCGCTGAACGAACAGGTCCAGTTCCTGGAACAGTACGGCTTGCAGGGCAAGGACAGACTTGGGGAACGCTTCTACCGTCGCGTCAACCCGGACGTTGCCGCGAGCTTACTCTCCTACGTCTTTGGCCAGTATGACGCCAACAGCTCGGGTGCTCCTGACAAGGCAGCTGCGAGAGGCAAGATGGTGGAGATCCTGGACGCTCTCAACGTATCATTCTACCGCGAGTACGACACCGACGTGAACGAGATTCTGGACCAAGTCTTCAACCGCACAAAGTACACCCGTCTCGACGACCACGGCCCCAAACTTGGCCCCATCACCAACGAGAACCCCCTCATCGAGTCGTATTTCACCCGCCTCCCCAAGAATGAGACTACTTCCAAACACTCTGCCAGGGACCTCGCCGTCGTCAACAACGGTTGGGTCTGGGGTGGAAACGCCCTGGTGGACCATGCAGGACCCGACGTTCGCGTTTACCTGCGACGCGAAGTCATCGTCTGGGGCGATTGCGTGAAGCTGCGCTACGGCAAGGGCCCGGAGGACAACCCATGGCTCTGGGAACATATGACCAAGTACGCTCGTTTGATGGCAAAGTACTTTGCTGGCCTGCGTATCGACAACTGCCACTCAACCCCCATCCACGTTGCTGAGCACATTCTTGACGAGGCTCGCCGCGTACGCCCTGATGTGTATGTCGTCGCCGAACTCTTTACTGGGTCGGAGGAGACGGACTACGTCTTTGTGAAGCGACTGGGCCTCAGCTCCCTCGTTCGCGAAGCCATGCAGGCATGGAGCACCGCCGAGCTCAGTCGCCTTGTCCACAGGCACGGAGGACGCCCGATTGGTAGCTTCGAGGTGGATGAGGTGTCCAGGCCTGAAAGCCGCAGCCCACCCACGAGCCCAGCCAGGGCGGGCAACAAGAACCCTCTTGACGAGAGCGGTGTGTATTCGCGGGAAATCATCAGGACCATCAAACCAACGCCTGTCCATGCCCTCTTCATGGACTGCACCCACGACAACGAGACCCCTGCGCAGAAGCGTGATGCTCGCGACACCCTGCCAAATGCGGCCCTCGTCAACATGTGTTCTAGTGCGACGGGCAGTGTTATGGGATACGACGAGATCTACCCGAAGCTCGTTGACCTTGTGAACGAAACCCGCCAATACACCTCCGAGTCTTCGGGTTCGCATTCCGTGAGCTCCGGGCGTGGAAAGAACGGCATCGGCGGCGTGAAGAAGATCCTGAACCAGATTCACACACTAATGGGCAAGGACGGGTATGATGAGACTCATGTGCATCATGAGGATCAATACATCACCGTGCACCGTGTGCACCCAGAGTCACGCAAGGGCTACTTCCTGATTGCCCACACTGCGTACCCTGGGTATGGGAACGGCAACGGAGACTTCAGCGCCGTGCACCTGGCGGGTACCAAGGCGCGTCACCTGGGCAGTTGGATGCTCGAGGTCGATGCGAGCGCTGAAGCGACCAAGGAAGTTCTGGACGATCAGAAGTCCTTGAGGGGCTTGCCCAGCCGGGTGGTCGATTTGCCAGGCATCCGCATGGAGGTTAATGGTGAAGACACCACCATCACGGTCCGCGACAGATTCCCTCCCGGCAGTATCGCTTTGTTTGAGACATGGATCCCCACTGCCGAGCATTCGGCCGGTCTAGACAATTATGTCACCTCTGGGGCGAAGGAGGCCATGGGTCAGCTGGACTTGGTGGACCTCAACTTCCTGCTGTATCGCTGTGAGGCTGAGGAGATGGACTCCAGCGGCGGCCAAGACGGAGTATATGATATTCCCGGCCACGGCAAGCTCATCTATGCCGGCCTTCAGGGTTGGTGGACCATTCTCGAGACCATCGTTCGGGAGAACAACCTGGCCCACCCGCTGTGCCAGAACCTCAGGGATGGACAGTGGGCTCTGGACTACACCGTTGGCCGCCTGGAACGTATCAGTGTCAAGTCTGGGCACGAACGTCTCGCTGCGCCTGCTGAATGGTTCAAGGACCGCTTCAATGCCATCCGGAAGATCCCAAGCTTCCTGCTGCCCCGCTACTTTGGTCTCGTTCTACGCACCGCTTACCTGGCTGCCACGGAACGTGCTCTGGCCCTGATGGGAGAGGACATCCAGCACGGCCAGTGGTTCCTGCAGAGGCTGGCCTTGGTGAGCGTGCAGATGAACGGATACGTCAAGTCTGCCTCTCTCTGGCCAAACAAGCCCGTGCCAGCCATGGCCGCTGGTTTGCCTCACTTTGCTGTCGAATGGGCCAGGTGCTGGGGACGTGATGTCTTCATCTCACTTCGCGGTCTTCTCCTCGGTACAGGCCGTTTCGCCGAAGCGAAGGAGCACATTCTGGCCTTTGCGAGCGTGCTGAAGCATGGTATGATCCCCAACCTGCTCAGCAGCGGCGATCTGCCGCGATACAACTCGCGCGATTCGATCTGGTTCTTCCTGCAGACCATTCAGGATTACGTCAAGATTGCTCCCGAAGGTGCTGCGCTTCTCAAGACCAAGGTAAAGCGGAGATTCCTTCCGTATGATGACACCTGGTTCCCTACGAGCGACGAGCGGGCGTACTCGACGGAGAGCACCATTGAGGATGTGATTCAAGAAGCACTCCAGAGGCACGCAACTGGCATGAAGTACCGCGAAGCCAATGCTGGCCCAGGAATCGACATGCAGATGAAGGACGAGGGATTCAATCAAGACATCAAGGTGGATTGGAGCACCGGTATCATCTTTGGCGGTAACCAGCACAACTGCGGTACGTGGATGGACAAGATGGGTGAGAGCGAGAAGGCCGGCTCCAAGGGTGTGCCAGGAACGCCCCGTGACGGCGCTGCCGTCGAGATCACCGGCCTTCTCTACAGCGCGCTGGACTGGCTGTCAGAGATGCACAAGAAGGGGCAGTACGCCTACGAAGGCGTCAAGACTTCGGAGGGCAAGACTGTCACACTCGCTAAGTGGGCGGCGCTCATCAAGGAGAACTTTGAGCGCTGCTACTACGTGCCGGTTTCGGCTGAGGAGGACTCCAAGTACGACGTCAACACCAGCATCGTCAACCGTCGCGGTATGTACAAGGATCTGTACAAGTCCGGCAAAGAGTTCGAGGACTACCAGCTGCGGTGTAACTTCCCCATCGCGATGACAGTGGCGCCCTCGCTTTTCAACCCGGAGCACGCCTTGCACGCCCTGCGTCTGGCCGACACGGCCCTCCGAGGACCGGCCGGCATGGCGACACTGGACCCGGCCGACCTGAACTACCGCCCGTATTACCATAACAGCGAGGACAGCGAGGATTTCGCGACCAGCAAGGGTCGCAACTACCACCAGGGACCCGAGTGGCTCTGGCCGACGGGCTACTTCCTGCGTGCGCTGCTCAAGTTTGACCTCGGGAGGCGCACAAGCGAGGCTGGCAAGACAGAGGCCTTCCAGCAGGTGACGAGACGTCTTGCGGGGTGCAAGCAGTGGATGAAGGACAGCCCCTGGGCCGGTCTGACCGAGTTGACGCAGAAGAATGGCGAGAACTGCCCCGATTCGGTACGTATTTCGATTCCGTTCCAGCCAAGTGTCTTGATGCACACGCACGTGTCTGTCTGTGTTTTCGTTTGTTTGCTAACCTTGATTGCAGAGCCCGACGCAAGCCTGGTCCGCAGGATGCCTGATTGACCTCTACATGGACGCCGCCGAGGAGCAAGACAAGGACAAATAGGAGGGATTGGATGATCATAAGTATGGGATATCAGCATGGTTCGCTAGCATTAGATCAACAGCATGAATAGACTGGATACATAATGGACTCGAAACGAGCCTAAGGAATGTTGTCGCGTGCGTGGAACGAGACATGTGTCATGGGTCTTGCCGAGACATTCACCATGTTTATTTTGATGTGCGTATGTGTGTGGTCCGTATTTGTACTGTAGTCTGAACATGCGTTGTGGCGCGTCCATCTACTTGGAACCCAGAGTAACAATAAGAGCGAGTGGCAGATGTGCCGAGTTGTTCCCAAATACACCCCTTTTCCCCCTTTCCCAAGAAGATGCGCCGTGGATGGGCGAAACAAAGCAGCAGTAATAATGGTACGATGAGTATGTCCATCCGAGCAACCAAGCACGCAAGACCGGCCGTGAAAATTCATATACAAGAAAACCACCCTCTCCAAAAGAATGAAGCCATCACCTTCTCCAGAACTTCGTCTTGGAGGGCTTCTCCGCAGGCTGGACTTCGGCCCCCGGCATAAACACACCCGCTGGGTCCGAGGAATCGCTCGGTTGTGCGCTGCCCATCGTTGGTCGGGCGAGTACCTTGCCCGCCTCGGCGGCGCGTGGGTCGCCTGGTCCCCATGACGGTCGGGACTGGGAGCCGGACTGCTTCTGATTCCATGTCCGTTGGCGCTCCTGCTTCTTGAGGTAGCGACGGCGCCAGATGCAGGCGCCGACCCAGATGCCGACAATGGCGACGACGAGAACGACGAGCATGACGATCCACTGCCAGTGGTTGGAGACCCTGCCAGGACGGTTAGTGTGGGCTCACAAGAGCAGTTAAGAAGACGGGGCCGCGTACCAGTCACCACCGTTGTTCGAGTAGTCCACCGTGCCGGTCGTCGTTGGCCGTGACTCTGCGCCTCCATTTCCGCCCTGCGTGTCGCCTTGGCCATTTCCCGTTGTTCCAGTGCCTCCGCTGTTGCTATCGCTGTTGCTATCGCTGTTGCCCGTGCCGTCCCCGGTGCTTGTATCGCCCCCCGTGCTCGTGTCGCCCCCCGAGCTGCCGGTGGAATCACTCGAGTCGGCAATGTTGCACTTGTTCTTGAACCACTTCTGGATCACGTCCATTGACTGCACGTCGGAACACACGTCGGAGCAGACGGTCTGGCTCGTCGCCAGGGCGGACACCTCGGAGTCGGCGCAGAAGCAGTCCGTGTAGGTCGTCATGTCGGACGCGGGCACGGCGGGCGGGACGCAGCGGTTGTTGGCGCCGTAGAGGGCGCCGCAGTCGGCGGCGCATGGTGGTAGGCTACCAAAGTCGGGGATCATGACGGCCGCTGGCGGTGTTAGTACTGGTCTTGCTGTTGCGCTTGGGTGATCATGGGAAGCATACTCATGATGGCGGTCTGTTGTTGGGGAGATGCCCAACTCCAACGATGCGCTGACGGTGTTGGATAGTTCAATCTGGCTCCAGCGCTCAATCGGTCGGAGGATCGTTCGGTTGACTGGATTCAGCGTGCCCAGGCGGGCAGTGGTCAGGGTTTGGTCGCTAGAGTCGCGTGGATTCTGCCGGGGCGCTGGGATGGGATGCGCGGGCGAGAGGCAGCCGTCGCCAAGTCTTGTGGGCGGTGTTTGTTGTCGTCGATCCGTGTCTAGTCAACCGGTCGTTCCGTGAAAGTGACGCTCGACGCAGCGGGAGGTGATCGATGCTTGAGGTGTCGTGAAGGCCGAGGTTGCGTGAGCGAGAAGGAGAGAGGCGAAGTGTCGGTGCGAATGGCGGATAGTTGACACGGGCGACAGGTTGGTAAGGTGTAATTGCTGGTGAGATGGCACGGAATGATGGTGTGGATGATGGCGGGAAAAGAAGGTTACGGGCCTGGAATGCCTGTTTCCACTTTCCAGTCGCTGGACTCCAGCGCAGGCGTGGTGGATCCAGTGCTTGGCGGCGCCAGGCCAGGCCTGTCCCGGCGCAGTCGGGTCCAGCGTGTCGCAGCCAATCTTCGATAAACGCGTGTTGATCCTGTTAAGGTTTCTGCGGCCCGCTTGGTGCTGGCCGTTAGCGGTTGGTACGTCGAATATCAATGCAGCTTTATTAGGCTCTCCTCGGATTTCTCCACGGCAGCGAACAGCGACAGCGAGTGAGGGTGTGCTGCTACTTGCTAGGATGGCCATGGCGGCTTGGCTCCACGGTCAGCAGGTGATTGCGCTTCACAAAGCAGGCGGCGCAGCCTGGACAGCGAGGGACACGCTGTAATTTGCGGTGGCTGTTTGCGGCGGTCCTCGTATCCCATCTTTACGAGACGCCTGACTCCCGTGCTTTATTATCCATAATTCATTACGAATAGTTAGCAGCATCATGGACAGACGACTGATGACGCTTTTATCATCACTAGCACCCTTTGACCTCACTGCACGCATGCGTGCTTCCCAGCCACCAGCCATATCACTCAAGCACGCACACAGCATCCTATCGCCCAGGCCAGCGACATCCTTGGCTTGCACCTCGTTGACGTCAGGATAAGGTAGGATCGTGACCTGGCGATCTAGATCAATTAAGCGGTGAACTCGGGTTCATCAGCTCTGTTTAGCTTTAATGCCAGAGACACGCATGGAATTGGGTGACATTATGCAGGGCGCATATGGCTGAGAGAGGAAGAAAGGACGCAAAAAGAACTCCGTTGTCCCTTGCATCGGATGTTTCCTTCACAGGCTGCCCGAGTGAGTTTTATTGCGCCCGGATCGGCGGCATGCACGCGCTTGGCACCTTCCGTGCTGGTAATGGGCGGTGCCCGCTGAGCCACGCCGTGCCAAGGTCCAGTTGCATACCAGCCAGCCCCCTTTTTGGCGCAATGTCAACAAGACCATCGTAAGATGGATGAAGTGAGCATCGATGAAATGGCCAGAGCAGCTGTGAATCATAAGCAGCATACCTGAGCTTGCCAGACTTTCGTCCGCCAGGATGATACACTGCAAAGAACATTATTAGTGTGAAGCAGCAATGGCTGCCGCGAAAAGAATGGCCGCGTTCTGTGGGAACATCTCAACAGCGATGTTAATTAACGACAAACTATGGGCCGAGGACTACATTCTCCCAAAACTCGCAGTAGAGCGACGGTGATACGCTTAAAATTTACAACATCAGAACGTCTCTAAAAGTTTCAAAGAGTCAGTATACGAAGCGACGTAGCACAGCATCACATTGTCTCTAGGGTGAGCAGAATAGCCCAGTAGCAACCAGCCACGCAGTAGCAACTCCATGCCGGTCATTCGTCTGGACTGCGACAACATGAAGACATGACGCTAGGATGAAGAACAGTTGATATAAATCTCAGTAAAACCGAGAATTAATAAGCGCGAGATACTGCAGAACTACTGGGAACCGTCCGATGTGGGCTAAGCGATAACCGCAATCATTAAGAGTACCACCCAGGGTAACACAGTGACAATATACGAAATAAGCGACGGCTAGGGGTGTATAGATATCATTAAGAAATTTCAAACTACGGCTGCCCCCGTGGCCTAATGGCTAAGGCGCTGGACTTCTACTTTGTAGATATGTCTTTATCTAGAGATTGCGGGTTCGAGTCCCGCCGGGGGTTCACCTTTTTGCCATTTTCTCCCACTAGATCCCTACGTATCTTCTCACTGTCGAGAATATTTATTTTTGTAATTCCAAACAAAGCCAGATGCACATCCGCGCACACCTCCAAATCGCAGCTGAAGCTGGTTGGCCCGAGTCGCCCGACTATATCTGATCCATCTTGAGCTAGTGAACACTACCGCTGGACTGAGTTTGAGCGGAGCAGTATTCTGTCCGCGTATAGCAACTCGGTGATGCGACTGATGCCTAGCAGAACGGGGGATAGCCAAAGTCCTCCACATACTCATTGAGGACCACCTCCACAACATCACTTGTTCCGAGCACAAGGGCCCCCCCGTTTCTTAGCTTCTTGCCCACGTAGCAGGTGTCAAGTACTTCCTGCACTGCATTGGCAACATCCTCACTGAGACGAAATAGGTCAGCCATTGACTCCTTGCCACCTATCGCTGGGTTCGGATAGCTGGCCCTACCTAGTCACTACCGTCTCTTGGAACCTGAGAGGCTGCCCGTAGACCATGCTCTTCTCCCGAAAGCAAAAGACCGAGCCTCGTCCAAAGACGGTGATGTTTGCGTTGTGGCCCCGGATAAAGTCGAGACATTCTTTCATGTCCTGTTCCTGCGCTCACCTTAGCCTCAGATCTTGCAATGCGACACCCCGAGGACACTGACAAGTCCAGGGCCTCCGGTCTTTGTACAGCAGTCTGGACTGCGCTTCCCATTTGCTTTGACCTCTGCAATGGACGAGTAACCTGGGCCGGGAGGGCCTGGGACACAGGTTGTGTTGGCGCTTGGGAAAGCTAGAACGGCGTAACTGAAGATGAGAAAAGGCAGAAGAACGCGAATAGAACCCTGTAGGTGCATGATTGTGTACTTGAGAGTTTGAAGTGATTGAGTTGAATGCTTCGGCATGTGTGTGATGCGGGTGTGAAGTGTTAGGAGGAAAGCGCCCAAGGAAAATAGAGGTCATTTTATATCTGATTGGGCCGTGCAGGCTGCAGGCGAGACTCGTGAAGAACCGTGAAGAGTTAAAATGCAGTGCTCAGTCTCAAAATATGATCAGACGGGTTTCGCCGAGTCTTGGCAGTGGGAGTTGAGAAGAACCACCTCGAGGGCTTCGTCAACATCAATCACTTACTTGACACGGAGTGGCCGCTGTATGTAGCCTGATGTTTTGCAGTATATGACGTGCATTTCCCTTCGGAGCTGGATGTAGTGAAACGCGCACTCGTGATAAACAACAGCTTGTGATGGGGGCCATAACGCTCCTCCGTTCCACTGCAGTGTTGCGATTATCGGAGGAGGGATGGACGCGGGGGGCATAGTGTCTTTCTACTGCCAAAAACGTGCTACGCCACGACATTGCCCAGTAGTCGAAACGAGGGAACGAGGAGTAGATACTGCGAGTTGCTGATTCCTCAAGGCTCGGACATAGGACTCGGCCACACTTCTCGGGATCGATGTTTGAGCATGGAGTGACCGGTAGGATGAAGTGCCCCTGTGGTACGACGTTCGAGTCTTTGTATGAGGATTGACCAGTTGACCATATTCTCGGCAGAGATTAAGGATTAGAGAAGCAACGAGTCTCGTTTGAGACGGAATATCCATCATGTCACACACATGCAGGTCTCAAGCCGGCCTCGAAGGAAGGTGATGAAGACCGCGAATGCTACCATCCCACCACGACGTGAGCGCACGGCTGCGCCCAAGATTTCGTCTCACGAAGTTCAGAGTCCCTGAAAGAAGATGAGCATATGCTGATCGATCATTGGCGGCCAACACGCCATCATGCATGTGCCAACCACACTTACTCGGCAAGCCGTCGTTGCACCACGCCCCTGACCGCCCCCCGCACATTGGGGGCCATCTCAGCGGGTGGCTTTATTCATGTTGCTAGGGTATCAGAGGTAGATCTCTTGAGAGGAGTTGAAGGGCGCACAGGAGTAAATTTCCGTCATGGATGACAGATGATCAGTCGAGTCCGCAGACGCCACGACTCATGGCGTGGGGTCACAGACAATTGGGCCTGGTTGGTGGATAACGTTTCATTTCAGTTGGAATATTGAATTTGTACTTGCCAGAAGAAAATGGGCTCCATGTCTGCTGGAAGTTATCTGGCCAGTCTGATTGAAACGACAGCTGGTTTGCGTTGCACACAGAACACTCTGGCTTGTACGACCACATGATCACACCTTTGGACTTTGTGAGCTCTACGCCATCCAATGAAGTTGATTTGTAGATATAGAGCTTGTATATATGGGCAAAATTCGGCGTGGCACTCGCTTAACTTGGACAAACGCAGGGGTCATCGCTTCGTCAAGGATGAGTTGATGGCCAAGTGGAAAGCCGATGCACGGACTTTATGGGCAACTCAGGACCTGCATCTCTCTTGACACGTTTTGAGCGCCCGCTGTGTCTCTCGGCAACCCTATCATTGGTATGTTTTGGCTCATTGCCGTTACACCATGCAAGAGCGGGACAAGGGGCAGTGTCCGCGGAAGCACCCGTCTGGTACTAACCCCATACTTATCGATGACCAGTGATTTAATATCGGTGATCCCGGGCTTCGAGCGAGCTCAGTGCCACGTGTTGATCGTTCGGCCGGTTGCCAGGGGGTGAATGGACGTCATTGACTGCAGCGCGTCTGGCAGGGGAGAGTCTGTCTGAGTGCAGCTGGGACAGCGGGTGTGGCATCGTGAGTTACATGTACAACACAAGAGCGAACAACATCCATACTGATTGAATTCTTTGAATTATCGTCACCGACCGGATATCTGCGCTATTTTCTTGCAAAGAACGAGGTAGTATTGCAAACGACTGGAGTGAGTAGCACGAGAGACATACTCTACAGCCCAGACGACAGAGAAAGATGCGACCCAGAGTGTCGGTGTAGACAACAACCGGTCTGGCTGCGGCCCAGGTTACACGAGGTCGATAGGCCAACTTGTAGATTACAAAACAATTCTTCGTGGAACCAAAGCCCCGGTGCATGTATCGCGTCATCATTCAGCGGCCCAGTCTCCTCTTCCAGAGTCCATCCTCCCTTGCCTCTTCTGGATGATGGGGACGGCAGAGGGGTCCCATGAGAGCGGATACCCGCAGATCTGATATGCCAGACATTCGCATCTGACAGAAGTCCTAGCCTGTGTGAATCCTTGCAAGTCCAAGACGCCGTCGCGGAACAAGAAGTCCCGCGCAGGGTTGTCAAATGAGAAGTCCTATCTACAGTTCACCATACGGAGTCAAATCGGCACACGCCGATGATTGAGATAGAATTGGCGCTTTTGAACTAGCACACAAGTTGTAGGAACATGTATCCAAACGTACGTCTACAAGAGAAGAGATATAATTTGATCTTCCATGTAGGGTCGATCATACGGGCGCAAAAAGGGGTCGCAAACTCTGGGTGGAAGTAGGCTGACACACCTGCTTGGACGTCTGACCAGGAGGCCATAGTTTCATGCAGTGCTAGATGCATGGAGAGCTCTGACGTGGCCGTCTTGGAAAATTCGAGGCAGCCGGTGAAGTGTCAAATCAAAGCTGTGTATGTCGAGCAAGTTCTTGGCTGGGAGGAGACAGCCAGCATCCAAAGTCCTTTCCGATGTGCAGCTTGGTCTGGTCATGGCTACGATTATAAAAGGGGGTCTGAAGGCCGTCACCAGAACACATGGAGTATACAACTGCATCACTTTCAGAACTAACTTGAAGAGAGCAAGCATCCAAGCAGCGGATAGAAAGACTTGTCCCCAACCTTTCAGATTTCGTCTTCAGACAAGAAGTCGACATGTCCAGCGAAGAGAAACCGGCAACTCAAACGGAACAGTGCTCTACGGAAAGGGCAGAATGTAAGCCTCGAGCTTCATTATTTGGTCAATCTGCCGTGTCTGACACTGTCACCAGCCTCGGCTGATACTTCTCCCATGGACCGGTTCTTGGCCGAGTCCAGCACCGACGCCCCCTGGAACAACATTGCAGACACAGCAGCAAGACAATCAAGCGGGCCGACGTCAGGCAGTACCGGCAACTTCACAAACAAAGAAGAGGATGTGTCTTCGACTCGCGCCACTCAGGGCTCAAATCCCAAGGAAAATGGCAACACATGATCTGTCATTGTTGCCGCTGTTGTCGTTGGCGTGCACTGTCTGTTGTCCTGGTGACATATCAGTGGGAAAGATATTACATTTCTACTAGATAGAGAAATACGAAAATACTTTGGTCTTGTTCGTTCATTGGGATTTGATCCTGTAAGTCAAAGTATTGCCTTACCCTGTAGCGCGCATGTTCTAGTGCCTCGCCTGTGCAATCTAATCACCATCGGCTTATTGACTGTTCGATTCCTGGTAATAATAGCTTGGCCATTCCATTGCCATGAAGGGAAGCATATCTGTCAGCCATATTCTGCCATATTACGACATGGCTTCAGGGGCACCACCCACCACACTGACGGACCTTACGCATTGGCGTCGAACCTTTATAATGTGGACAGCAACACAGTGCATTCAACCCAAAAAACATCTTGAGGGACTCACCGAGTCCTCGCGTACTTATTATACCCGGGCGACCCCTACTTAGGCTGTGCCACTCCACATTATACTGAAGTCCCCATCGATTAGCGGTCCGCATCCGCGAGCGGATCGATTCCGTTGGCGACTCTGCGGGGACTGGGGACGCTGGGCGCGCCCTGCTCGTCATAACTTGCCCACTGGGCGTTGTGGGACCAGCTTATTCACCTTCATTCATACTCTTTGTGACGATCAAGAACTTGCTCCTGACATTGATCAAGGAATTGTCTCACCAGCCTCTACCATTAAAGGCGCCTCATCCACTGTGTAGCCATGACACCACCGCATCCTTTTCAGCCGCTCAGTCCAGCCGAGATCCGCGAGGTACAGTATATGCCCCTGCTCTGGACAGAGAACAGCCGGCTGATATCGCGTGTGCAGGCAGCACGAGTCGCACGTGCCGCTTTCCCCGGCCAAAGTCCAAACTTCAGAGTCATCACGCTTCAAGAGCTGCCGAAGCACTTGATGATACAATGGCTCGAGGCGAGTGAGCAGAGAGAGCTAAGCCTTGCGCAGCCGCCTCGAGCGGCACGCGTGCAGGTCATACTTCGCGATGAATCAGGCCCAGGACAGCTCCACGAACTGCTCATTGATCTGGACACTTTGGCTGTGGTGCGAAAGGAACATCTGCCGGGCAAACACCCATACATTGACACGGAGTACATGCAAGCTGTCGAGTCAGCTTGCCGTGCCGACTCGAGGGTCCAGCAGGAGATCAGCAAACTGCAGCTACCGACTGGAGCTACCGTTGTCATTGAACCCTGGGCTTATGCGACTGATGGGGAGATTGACGTATCTGAGCGCACGTCCATGGTGAGTCTGACTGGATCCGCGCTGTGAGAGGTGATACTGAAAGGGACAGTGCTGGTTCTACATGAGACTGCTGGAGAGTCCTGATGCCAACTACTATGCCTATCCTCTTGACCTGTGCGCCGAAGTGTCGGAACGGTTGGTGGTCACCAAAGTATACTACCTCCCATCGTCCGAGCACGACCGCACGTCTGACGAGGGCCGACCCTATGATCATCGCAAGGTGCATCCGACAGCTGCGAGCGAGTATCACCCTGACCTAAGACCACCCCCACGCTCTACAACCAAGCAGTACCAGGTGCACCAACCAGAGGGCCCTTCATTCGCGACGGACGGCAATTTTCTCACCTGGGAGAAGTGGGAAATGCACATTGGGTTCAACTATCGTGAGGGGCTGACGCTGCACAATTTAAGATATGACGGGCGAAGTTTGTTCTACCGGCTGTCACTATCCGAAATGTTTGTCCCCTACGGCGATCCTCGCCGCCCGTATCCCCGGAAAGGCGCGTTTGACCTGGGCAACGACGGGGCCGGGATCAACGCCAACAACCTACAGCTAGGGTGTGATTGCCTGGGGGTAATCAAGTACTTTGATGCGTGGCACACCACCAGCACTGGCGAGCCCCTGAAGCTACCCAACGTGGTCTGCTGCCACGAGCAAGACGACGGCATCCTCTGGAAGCACACCAACTTCCGCACCCAAAACGCCGTGGTCACGCGCTCGCGCATCCTGGTGCTGCAGACCATTATCACCGTCAGCAACTACGAGTACATCTTTGCCTTCCACTTTGGCCAGGATGCGTCGATCCATTACGAGGTGCGCGCCACTGGTATTCTGTCCACCGCGCCCATCAACATGGGCGAACAGGTGCCTTACGGGACAGTCGTCGCGCCTGGTGTATTGGCGCCGTACCACCAGCACATGTTCTGCCTGAGGCTGGACCCTGCCGTCGATGGGCATAATAACAGCCTTCAAGTCGAAGAATCACGTCCGCTCCCGGTAGACGACGAAAATGTGCACAATCCGTATTTTATGGGCTACGAAGCCGTGAAACATACTATAGAGAAAGAAGGCGGACTGGACCTCGACGTGTCCAAGAACAGAGTGTTCAAGATCATCAATGAAAACAAGATCAACCCCATCACAGGGACGCCGGTGGGATTCAAGTTGATCCCCCATTACAGCCAGATGCTGCTCGCGCACCCAGATTCATTCCACGCCAGGCGATCCGAGTTCGGCAAGCATGCTGTGTGGGTGACGCGCTATCAAGACGACGAGCTCTTTCCGTCAGGCCGATACACCATGCAATCGCTAGGAGGCGACGGTATCGAATCGGCGATCAAGCGTCGTCAGGCTGATCTGGAAGGCTCAAGCTCTGTGCGGGACGAGGACATTGTGGTCTGGCACACCTTTGGGTCCACCCACAACCCAAGAATCGAGGACTGGCCTGTCATGCCGAGCGAGAAGATGACAGTCGGGCTCAAGCCTGTCAACTTCTTCAGTGGGAATCCAGGTATTGATGTTCAGACGTCGACGCAGGATCGCAACAAGAGTGTCCTGGTGGATGGTGATGTTGGTCCGCATAGCTGCTGTGCTCCAGAATCATAGACGTAATGTTGAATCCTTCGATGCCTCATGACTCTGGGCCCACGATCTTCTCCATCTCGACAAAGTACAGATCTTCCGGTGCAACGGAATCTGGTAACGCGTCACGCGGAAACGGGGTCGTCTCCCCCGTCTTCGCGTAGCCACGTCGCGTGTACCACGAGATGAGCAATGTCCGGGCCGACAACGCGTTGAGCCCGAACCTCGTGATGCCCCAGCGCTGCTGGCCGTAGTCCTCCGCGTGGGCGAGGATCTTTCGTCCAAGGCCACCTTGCTGATGTTCCTTCTGTATGGCGAGAAAAATAATCCTGCCGCGCCCCGGCCCCTTATGCGCGACGGTCACAGTGCCCAGGAGTGTGCCGTCATTGTCAAAGGCCATGAGCATGTCGCTGTCTGCATCATTGATGATACCCAGGACGACGTCGAGCTTCAGGCGAAAGGCAGCTCCCAGGCCCAGATTGTCGACCCAGCCTTCTCTTGAATCTTCTGCGCGAAAGGCAGCCTCGATGAGCTGTCGGAGCGGCTCTGCGTCGTCGACGGTTGCGACGCGGAATTGAAGCTCACCAGCCATGATTGGTTTCAACGGTGTGATCTAATAAGTGCAGGTGTAAACGAAGAGATGGTGATTGAAATGGGGATGATTTGGAGAAAGAATTGGTAAAGGTGCTGAATGTGTGGCATAAGCACAGCAATTTAAAAGCGCATTTTCGGGTACATTTGTCCATAGTAGCCTGAAGGGCGCGCGCGCATACATGTACGTCCAAGGGCGCTGTTGACAGACCGATACGAGCATCACCGACAGGGACCTAATGGTATATCTGACTGTCTGAGCGATGAAATGGGCAACCTAAAGCTTTAGCAGCTGGGTCGACGGTGGCTAAGAGCCCTCCAGTACCAAAAGGCACCAACATGCGAGCAGCATTGGATTTCAAAAAGAATATATCATTATTTCTGAAAAGGATCATGATCTATGTACGAGAAAGATTGCGTCTTGTGCACAGACGCACCCACATACCCCCCTTTGTATCTCTATATCCAGGTTGTCATTTGGTTGGCGTCGGAGGGATCTCCTAACTCTCACGGCTCATCGTCTCTCTCGTTTTGTATACGCAAAAGATCCTCATCGGGAAGCATGATGGCATGGTCAAGGGAGTAGGGCAGTCCGCGATGGCGTCCACGGATCATCATAGCGCAGATGACGAGTTTGCCAAAGACGCCGAACATGCCGCTCAGGGAGGTCATGACGGTGGGATAACCGAGACTCAGCCCAACATTGCCACTGGGATAATAATTAGTGCAAGTCCATGCAAAAGGCCACACTAGAACACTTGGAATGAACGTACTATGCAGAGGTGACCTCGAAGAAGATGGTCCAAACAGTAAAGGCCTATGCGGAAACACTCAGTGTCAGTCCAGAACCAGTGTAAGACGTGACAAGGATACTTACGGGCTCGTCTGGGTTGGCGATTCTCTTCGACTCTGCAATGCATAAACAGAAAATGCCGAGGAAGATATACCACAAGTCAAAGTTGAGCTGGTTCTGCAGGTGGGTCATGACATAGGACCGTCCATTTGCTTCATTGAGCGGGTTCTCATTCGGGTAGATGCCGAGCGACTTCTCTTCGTACGTGTTCGACGCCCTGATGCTCAGCGCGATGGGGAAGATGGCGATGTACATCATGACCATGAGGCTGAACTGGACGGCCGGGCTGACGCTGGCGAGATTGAAGGACGACGTGCCCGTGTGTCGGGAGGAGGCAGCCTGGAAGATGGCCGCGAGTATGCGCTTTCCGATGGGCAGGGCATTGACCTCGGGATTGTCCAGGTCGAGGACGATGATCAAGAGAGTGTCGATAAAGTTCAGGGCGAAGATGATGCCGAAGAGGATCCAGGTGGGACCGCTGGGGAAGAGGAGTGTGTAGCAACGACGCGGGTATTTCAGAAGGAAATGAAGAGGCTGCTGAATCGACGATCCCTTTGGCGCGACCTTGGATAAGGTCCAGATGACGAGGCGGAGAAACACGGGGTACAATGTGTTACCGGCAAAGGCGAGGAAACTCATAATGATCATGGGCCACGGGGCGTCGCGGAAAGAGATCATAGAGTCGGGGGTGAGTGTGAAGCCCAAGTTGTCGATCATGGTCTGTGAAGAGTAGAAGGCCCTGCCAAAGTCAGACCACGACACGAACAAGAGGCGCAGTATTTCCGTGGCACATACCACCAGTTTTTGTCCTGCCCTGCCTGTTGTAGGACGTCCGTGTACTTGGGACTGGCGTATTGGATCCAGACGACGAGGCAGATCGCACCAAAGATGTGGAGGCCAAAGAAGTACGCTGCGAGAGGTTTCAGTTCAACTGTTTCGGAGATACAAAATGGTCAGGGGTCTTACCAAACACAATCTTCAGGAGCAACTTGAGACTTTGGTACTCTATGCCACTGAGTCGCTCGCGATCCTGCTTGGTCAGATTCTGGAACTCTCCGTTGCGCCCAATGGTAGCATGGCGGGACAAGGAGAGAGTCTTGTCGAGTTCCACGGCCTTGACTGGAGGGCGCGTCATGCTTGAAGCGCGGGAATTGCGACGCTGAGTCCGCTCAGTGTCGAGGATGAGCATAGATCGAGCCACGCTGGCAATGTTCCCGGTCGATTGCGCAAGGGTACCCGACGTCTTGGTGTTTCGCCGACGGAGGTCGGCGTTGCTAGAGCTCGCGACGGTGTCTACGGGTTTTATGGCATCTTCTGCGTGGTCAATGAGGGCTATACCACATTGTGTTTTTGTACGCACCATCGTAGCTCTTTCGGTCCACTTCCATCAAAGGCGAGCCTAGTACGGGGGATTCGTTAGTCGTGCCGGACGCTTGGAAGGAGTCGACTGGATCAAGCCCGAGGTTAAAAAAAAAAGGACACTCACCATGTTCTCGATCGCGAGGCCCTGGGATATACAGAGTCGAGTCCTCCCGAGGGAGATTCGCGGATGGATCGATGGTGATACGTCGTCCTATATTCGACGGGGCCTCGGCTGGGACAGTGGTGTCTGCCGTGTCAGGCTCGTCAAGGGTCTTTGGCTGTTCAGCATCCTCGACATCCTCCTCCGACTCTGGGGATTCTCGGCGACGTTCGCGTGTAAGAAGCTTGGGCGCTGCGTCGGAGTTTAGTCTCATGGCACCGCAACGCGCTCAAGTTTCCAAGACAAGATGTTTACGCACCAACTTTCTTGAGATGCTTGCGGAACCAGAATAGGCGAACGAGAACCGTGAAAGCATTGATGAAACCGAGGTTCGTGAACATGGGAATGAAGTACAGGTACAGCTGTTGGTACAAGTAGAGTTCCTTCACGTCGACACTGCAGGAGGTCAGTAGCCAGAAACGTCTCCATGGCACCGCAGTGAACATACGTATTCAGGCCCGACTCGGTGGATGCACTGGCACCAAAGAAGTAGGCATCGATGGCTTTCAAATTACCGGCCGGGTAGAGGATGGCCAGCGAAAGAAGGCCCATGAAGATGATGTAGACATCTTTCGAGCCGTTAGTGACAGCCAAGCGCCCTTGCCAAGTGATCACCCACAGTGAATAGTCACAAAATTGATGGGGGGTTTGAGCCGTGACCACTCCATGACTGTCAAAGAAGTCTCAAGATGGACTTGAAAACGACAAGGAGTACAAGAAGTACAAGTAAGACAAGAAGGTTTGTATTAGAGTTTAAGTATAGTTGCACTGCATGTGCGAGCCAAGGCTGTTCTCGTCATTAATATACCTGGCGGGCACGGGCATCGCGCAAGACCCTGAATGTGCTCTCAGCTAGAACAGAGGTACCAGACATGAGAGCTATTGCATCGGATGGCCATTTTCGGTACTTGGAGATCATCACGCGAAACAGGGCTGGGAGGCCTCTGTTTGCCGTCATGGGCATGGCCGCATGGCGACTGCAGGATCTGGTCGCATCAACTTTCAAAGCCTCATACCGTCACATGCGGCCGCTCACTTGCCAGGCGAGTTCCGCCAGGAGGCTGTGGCACTTTCGCTCGCTGCAAAATACCTCACGGAGTTGCTCCTTTGCCGGTAAAAGCACTCTAGCTTCATTGCCCCCCCGAGTCTGGACAAGATCGATGCGTGCCCCCTCCCACGCACTAACACCGGCATCTTTGCCGAGGAACTTGTGCTTAGCGCCCGAAGCCTCAGCGACACGAATCACAGCGCAGAGGTTAGGCGGACAAAGCAAATACGGGGCCCGGTCAGCTCGGAATGCGTGCAATTGTGTGAGTATAGGGTAAGTTAAATCAAAAGGTCACAAGGCTGAATCCTGCGTCACCTGGAATGAACGCGCTTTTTTTGAACAGGAGAGAAAACGACTCATTCGCTTGACCTAGCAAAAGATTATCTAGCCGCAGCTCCCGCCGCCTGTAATTTCTCTCATGTCCGTCCCACCTAAGGGCTATCGTGGCCCAGACTCACTCGGCTGGGAGAACCACGAAACGCAGCTGGGCCCAGGAAACTGAAGGTCCCTAGCGGTATGCTAAGTCCGTGGACGACAATGCTACAGAGACAAAGGAACCACACGACCGTCCTGATCAAGCTACCGAGGTCCTCCACGTCGCTGCGTGGCACGCCGTTCTCGTCCGACAGATGCATCCGGATAAAGTCGAGACTGATGAAAATGTAGTAGACAGCAGACACGCCAATGGGTCCAAAGAAACCCATAAAGGCAGCTTGCCTCCTGTCGGCAATCTGTGGAATCCACCAGTGCATGCCGAGAATCCAGGGAAGCCTTCTCAGAACCAGTACGCAGACCGCCAGGAAGAAGAGAGTGCCCAGGTTGGTGGTCGCATCTTCGACGAAGCGGTTCCAGGGCATGTAGGCACCGTACCAGAGGAAGACGGAGACGTTGAGGAGCATATCAACCGTCGGCTGCAGCGAGTCACTCTCCGTCTCCTCGCGAAACCAATCGTCCCACGTCAGCGCGTTGCCCGCGATGAAGCAGGCGAGCACCTCGTCCGTGCCGATGAGGCCACAGGTCCCGAGCACGAAGAGGGCCAGCGCCACCGCGAAGACGAGAAAGCTCTCGCGGTCGACAAAATTGCGTTTCTCACACCAGTACAACAGCTCTTTCCCGATCCAGCCCACGACGGTGCCGTACAGGATGCTGAGGAAGATCACGTAGCACCATGTGAGGACGACCCAAACACCCAATCCTTCGCCCAGCCCCCCGCCCGAGGTGGCGCCCGCGCCCACAAACTTGATCAGGTACAAGGCGAAGAAGAGGAAGGGGTACCCAAGCCCATCGTTGGTCCCCGACTCGGCGATGATCAGGTTCTGTAGGTCCTTGGGGATGTTCTGGTCAGCGAATTTGCCCTTGACGATGACGTTGGACAAGATGGGGTCCGTGGGCGTCACGCACGCGCCTGCAGCCAACGCGTGCAGGAAACTAGGCGGTCCAGCGACTAGATAGACGAGCAGACTGGTAGACAGCCACATGCACACCATCCCGGGCCCGATGAGCAGAAGGAGCGGCTTCCATTCGCGGAGCAGATACTTGCTGGGCAGCTGGACGCCTGCAATGACCAGCTGAACGCCCAGAACTAGACGAGAAAAGTTGACGGTGATAGAGTCGAGGTTCTCCTGGCATTGAGCCTCGGAGACGCCATACTCGTTGCACTGTGCATAGCTCCGTGGGCGGATGAAGTTGGCGCCCGCAGGGCCGAGTCCGATACCAACGAGGAGAGCGATCACTAGAGACATAGTTTAGAGAAGTGAGGGGGCTGGCGGTGGATGGTGGAGGGGTCTCACAAGCTTCTGACATAAAATAGTGCTCCTTGAGTAGATAGGAAACGAGACCAAACAACGATACAAAACCTCCTAGGACAGAGGTGATGATGTTGAAGTTGGTGAGCTCAAGGGGAACTGCCCAGATGTTGGGCGCCATGGTGTTCAATGGCCTGGCCTGTCGCGGGCGGTCAGGATGGAGGAGTAGGATGGAGAGGAGGGGTTTCCGCCAGCCGCTGAGATAAATAGACGACGGACGGGGTCCACTCTGAGGACGGGGTTTACACTGGAAAATGACCGTGAATGCAGTCGATATGCTTCTCGTGAGGAGGTGAACGAACCACCTGACCAGGGGTCTAGGTTAAGCTGCGCACGCAGCCAAGCCTGTGACGTTGTCGTCGTCATCCTGCAGATACAACGACGGCACGTGAACATTGGCACAATCAGGCCACTTTAGCGATCATTGTCTTTGCTGCTTCGCTTGTAGAGGAAAATGGTCAATGAATCTGCTAGTTGGACACGTAGTCAATCAACGAATCCACAAAGCTACGCCGCCTCTCCTCCTTGGGGACCACCAGCACCATGGCTTTAACCGCCTGCGTATCCGTAGCGCTGCTGGGCGGCAGCGTCACGCTCCCAATGTCATGGAAGCCAAAGCCAGAAAAGAGGATGTAACCGAGAGGCCCGGCGACAGCCGTCAAGACGCCGCCCGCCTTTTTCGCCTCGGTCATGCCAGCCTTGACGAGGTCGGTAGCGTAGCCTTGGTTCTGGTGGCGCGGATGGGTAGCCAGAAGCTGCAGGTAGCGATGCTGAGGATAGTCTTTGAAGCAATCCGTCTTGGCCTGCTTGAGCAGCGACACGATCGCCTGTGTGCGAGAATCACTCAGATCCGTATGCACTGCGGGGGGCTCTGTGGTTCGTGGTGCCATGTCAATGAAAAGGATCTTGCAAAGTGATGGGGGGGTTAATAACTGACTTGTCTCTTTGGTATCTGCCATGCTCGAAACATCCCAGATGGCGACGGCCACAATCTCGCTGGCGTCACCCGTGTCTTTGCTGTTCTTGCTGCTGGCGAGATCGACGACCTGCACCTCCCAGTCTTTGTTGGCGGAATCGGCGTGCTCCAGGAGCAAGTTGACAATCTCCTGCACGTACCCATTGTCCTGGGTGGTCTTGGACGGCACGAACTTGGCCCAGAGGCGATCGTTGTTGATGGCCGCGAGGATGACGTCTGTCACAGCAGGTATGTCCTTCTTGGTGGCGGTGCGTGTCTTCATGATGGCGCTGTGGAAGGGGGGGGGGGGCGAAAGAAAGAAGATGGAAGTCAAGCCATCAAAAAGTCATGCACAAGATACAACTCAGTTCCTGGCTGGCGGTTGTGTTCCTTTATAGATGGTGGTGATGTGCAAGGCGCGACGTTTGGACCACCCATCGCGGCCATCAGCCCATTCATGATGGACAGTTGGAGGGTGGGCTGCCTCCGCACGTGCAGAGGGTGACCTCGGGAGAGACCTGTACCGCTAACAGTGGCGTCGCAGACGGTTCAGCAGTATGAGAGGCAAAAAGAGCGCTAGAATAGGAACGCCAGTGTCCAGTCTGGATTGGATGTCTGGGGACCTCCGACGGATTCGAAGGGTTGTGATCAGCCCGCAAAAGGTCCAACCACTTAACAGCTGCATGGCGAAGCTTAAATAAAGCATACAACAAGCTTACGGGGCACGTACCTTGGGCGGACCGATGCGATGACGGCCAAGGTTCTGCAATGATGTGGCATATGGGGCCTGTAGATGCCGAGTGCCGAGTTGGCAAACACTCACAGGTCGGTTGGGTCAATGCAATGGCCGGTTTGTCGCTCGAAGAACGAAGATCGTGCTCGCAATGATTACTGGGATCGCTCTCCACGCCAGTGTGTTGATTCATCCAAGCATATCTAGACCTGTGCTTGTCCTTGTACTCTTGTGCGTTTCTCTTTCACAGCAACAGTCTCTCCGAAGCCACGCTCTATTTTGTGAGCTACCCTGTAAGTCTGGTTGATTGGCCTGGATGCTCACCAATGGCCAGAAGATGCGCAATGAATTCCCTACTCGCAGACCGTGCAGTGTGCGGTATATCCAAGTTCCTTCATCAAGTTCCTTGCCTTGGCACCTTTGGGCGCGCTTCTAGCAATATTTTTTCTTTCCAAAGCTCTCCAGGAGGTGCACATGTGCGTATCCCCCTCCAGTTCAGCGACTTTGCTCCTGCGAGTCCTGTCTCAGATCCCGCTACCGGCACTTAAGGCGTCGACTTACACCAGGGAGGCGCCTATATGGGCCAATCAAGAATGCCCGCTTAGACGGACTTAAGCGGCCATGGATCCGCTTACCCACATACCGATCGCAGGTCCACCATGTAGGGGCATGGGTCAAGCCTCGAGGACATGCGTGAGTGCGTGCAGAGGCGGGCATTATTCACTGGCGAGCTGAGCCGCACTTGGCCAAGGATGTACGTATACGTCCTGTGCACAGTCGACGCTCTCCTGGGGCCTCTGTCCTTCTGTTGTACTCAGCGAGAAAAAAGAATCGCAGCCTGGCGATGAATGGCATCACTCTCCCCCCATTCTCAGTCTGACACCAGACATGGCCAGGCCAGCACCGTAAACAACGAACAGTACGCGTAAGTCAACGTGGATCGGTGAGACTCCAGCGCAAAAGCGCAGCAAACACCCATGTCCGTCCCGCATCCTAGACTCCAGTCCTCCTAGTGTCGAGGGACCCCGCGCAATTGCAACTATGCGGTTAGACGGAGTCCATGTCGCTCGCGCCCGCCAAGGGAACGAACAGTCATCATGCTGCTCACGCTATTTCGTGGACCCTGGGAAAGCATCTCGTTGCTGTTGCGGGCATGTGCTCGCCGAAGGCCAGCGGTCCCGTGTGTCATAATTACACTCAGCTTGTCGAACTGGCGAGGGACGGACCTTGAGGCCTCCTGCATGAGGTGAGCGAGCTGGGTGGCCGGAACAGGCCTCTTCTCCTTTGCATGCGGTGGGCCCAGACCAGCATGTTGCGCGTGCTCGCTCTGTGTACTGATACTCGGCTCGTACCTAACGTAGATGGATGGGTGCCCATCAGCCCATGGTGCATCAGGCACGGGGCTGATCTCTATTAGTATTTCTTACATATCACATCCCATTCACCACCACCAGTCCCGCCTTTTCCTTCTTCAAGAGCTTACCCACCGCCACCACTCCTCGTCTTCCCAGAGCACACAGAGTCTAGAGATACCAACTTTGCCTTCTTGTCTAGCTATTGTGTCAGGCCTGATCTGCACATCCATCCCTTCCCTTCGACGACTGTCCTCTTGGCAACCGTCTGCGCTACCGAACGCCACCTCCAAAGCTTGCCTTTGAGCCTCAAGCAACCACACCGAGCTCACCTGCATCTGCCCTCTCCGAGTTCTAGTCCGAATGCCCTCCCTGCGAATTGGCCCGAGAGGAGAAGCCTCCGTTCCCTCGAGCATCCGTGGTCGCAACTTGGGCGTCATCATAGGCTGCGTGATTGGCATTGCAATTCTCATCTTCATTGCGTACGTTGTTTTACTCCCCGTTGTGCCGGCCACATCATCTCGTCCAACGAAACTGACAATGTTTGACAGGAGACGCCTGTTTGGCCACGCCAAACGCAGCAGACGAGGGGAGAGCATGCTAGGCTCGCGACACAATGAGCGCCCCCGGTACCCCGACTCGGCACAGTTCATGCGGTTCTGCGCCCGACGGGCCCAGCACATGCAGCGGGCGCAGAAAAAGGAGCACCTGCTCAGCACCGAGGAGTTGAACGCCGTGGCTCCCCTGACTACGTTGGGACAAGCATCCGCTCCCGCCGCAGAGACCATTCGAACCTCAGACCTGGGCCAGATCCGTCGTCCACCGGCCGCCGCCCTCCCTCTTGGCTCGAGACTGGACGTCAAACCATCGATACGGCCCAAGGTCTCGCCCGTCTTTTCACTGGAGCCGATAGACGAGAAGAAGGAAATGGCAGGACGTGTCACAGTCGAGGAGATCCACGACCCCTCAGAGCAGCCGCGGCCCTCGAGTTCGGACGCCTTTCTGTGTTCCGTGTGCCTTGGAGAAGCGCAGAGTGAGGACGCCATCCGCATCACGCCATGCTTCCACGGCTTTCACGATGACTGTCTCGCAGAGTGGCTCACGTCGTACCAGAATCGCTGTCCGTTGTGCCAAAGGTGTCTGAAGCCAGGGGGGACGGAGTCAATTTGAGCCTTTGTGATTTCTTTGCACCTGGACGGCTTTCCTTTGTGATTCGTGCGTTGTGTGCAGGCGGTGAATGAACGACCAGTCTTCCCCGCCTAGTGATTCATCGTCGCCCAGTCTCCGTCGTTGCTGCCTAGATTCAACAGATCGTGAGGGTGGAATTCGACCGACAGGGCTTCCGCTTGTTCGAGCATCTTGTCAGCCTCATTCTCCACCTCCAATGGATTGTCGTGGAAATAGTCTTCGTGCGCCGTGATCTGGTCCACGACGGTAGCCATGACTGGTCGATGGGCAGTGGGAAGATCTGCGAGGGCAGGAGTGTGCTCTCTGCTCTGCTGGCTGCTCCCGTATTTTACGGGCGCAACCATGTCGCTGCAGTGATTCAGTGTGGTAGCCTCAATCTGGTTAAAGTCGATGTAAATCGTCTGCCTAAGGGAATGCGTCATCAACTAGACAAGAACGCGGTCAATAATGTGGCGCGAGCATCAGGGAATGGGACGAACCTTTAATAGTTCCAGGCACACGGCAGACATATTGTCAGTACATCTATTGGCAGCGATGATCCGGATCCCCCTGCAGGCTCTCTGCCACGCGACACTGGGCAGGGTGGTGGCCGGATGCGCCGCTACCAAGAACACGAGGCACATGACCGACGAGAACACAACGTGAGTAGTGAGCCAGGAACCACCAAACGGGGTGGGAGTCGGCTGCTGCTTCGCAAGGTTCTCCGCTGCCAGGATGGTCGACGAGGCCACCTTGATACATGCCAGCGCATAGTAAGACTCGGCCACAGACACAGTCTGTCCTAGGTACATGTCACGGAAATAGTGCAGATGCGGACGGAACATGAGGATCTGGCATAGTCTGAACATGTTGTCAAGATCGGTCTTTGCGCTGTAGGACAAGAAGAAGGATGATTGTCAGTATTACCACCACGCACTCGTATAGGATGACAACGTACCCACGATGTTTTGGAGTTTGCCACATTTTCGACATGAGCGAGGCGACATCCCGTTTCCAGCCATGACAGGCCTCTTGGGCCTTTTGCAGCGCCAGAAATCTGCCTCCGTCTGCTCCATCGTCTTTGGAACTCGCTTGGCCACGAAGCGAAAGCGGTATGGAGAGGAGCGTCGCGGACTTGAGCAACGCTGCCGTGTGGACGTCCCCGTTATTCTCGGCCTCGGTGGCCAACTCTTCAAGCCTCGCACGCGGCAGCTGGTTGGGGTGGATAAAGGTAGGTAGATCGAGGACAAGTGAGGCAAGCATGTCGACGAAAAGCACACCGGCCAGCAGGCGCGTCCTCACTCTGCTGTCGCCAAGCACGGTCCCATCGGGTGGTGAGCAGGATGTTGAGAAGAGACCGAGGCGAAGGGCAGCAGAGCATGCGGCGCCAATGAGCGAGTGAACCATGGAAGTCCTGTAGGTGGAGAGGAGGAAGACAATGGCGCTGAGCAGAGCCGATAGAGACGTCAGGTCTTGCGCAAAGAGACCGGGTTCCGCTAGCGCCATACCGATGAAGAAGTGTTGTGTCGCCTTTTGCACAGAGTCATCGCAACCCTGTGCTCGATGTTGTCGAGCGTCGTTCTGGTACCCGAGCGCGAGGACAAAGTGGATGAGAGACAGGGTGCTGCGCTCGGCCTCAGACGGAGGGGTAGTCGGTAGGTGCGTGTGTTTAGTAATGTCTCTTAAACATTCTTCCTGGAGGAAACATATCATCAAATCGCCTCCATCCAGCAGAGCGTCAACCAAGGCTTGATCCTGCGGTTCAACACTCTCATAGGTCTTGTCGGCAAAGTGGCTCGGCAGTGGGCGACTAAGAAGATTCGATATGAAATCAAGCCTAGACTTGGAGCCATGGGCATCAGAGGGCTGCGTTTCCAGCAACTCGATCGATCCCGCAATAAAGGACACGTCCGAGTATGCGCCATGGAAGGCAGGTCGCCGCACGTCAAGGCCCGCGAAGCGATCGGACCCTATAAGAGGTCTATGCTGTTCTTCCCTCGGAGGCTGAGGAGGTGTCACCTGGTCGTCGCCCTTGGGACGAGGTTGAGGCGGGTCATCATTGGCAGACGAAAAGTCAAGAGAGCGCAAGCACGCGTCGAGGTCCAGTCCTGGGATCTCGCCTGGTGTCTTGTCCTTGATATGCTGCAGCCATCCCCGGGCCTGTTGGAGGTGATTTTGCAAGGTGCGTATCCTCGACGTGGGCCGGGGTGCTGGTCTGCGGAACGCATACGTGCAATCTGAACACAGGAGGTTAGGACACGGCTGCGTTGTTCTGTCAATTGGACGTACCTGTGCCTGATCGCCGGCACGGCTTGCAGGGCTGCGCCGCATCACAGGCTCGCTTGCGCAGCCGGCACTCATCGCAAGCATACGGTCCTCGCCGATGCGACCGCTTGGAGACGAGGGGACCGATGGTAGGAGGGCCACGCGGACTCAGACGAGTTGTAGGCGGTGTTGCATTGCTGCTGGTTGATTGTTCCGGCGACATTGCATGCTTTCCATCAGAGGGACTTGAAAAGATGGAACGCGGGTGGTCTAGATAAGGAAGAGTTGGTGCAAATTCAACAGTGATGCCATGGAGTAGCTGAGCTGATGGGTGAGATTTTACCGGGTAGGTAAACTCTGATAGCCATCACCCTCCACTGAGTCCACTCCACCTCCGGTCGCCGTCTAGCTGACATAGGCTGCCCTGGCCGATGGAAAAGGCCTACGAATAGCGTTAATCTTGCTATTTAAGTAGTTACTTCTCGTACGGGGATAAAAAGATCAAGCACTTGATTAACTTATGAACTCTAATTATAAAACAATTCAAATTAATTCAACGTTACCTTACTAATTCTAGCTCAACCTCTTGCATTAAGGCTCTATAAAGCTATATAGCTATAGCTTTCATATCGGGCTAGCCTAAGTACACGTGACTAGTCCCCGCTGCATAATTGGGGAGAGTTAGAGGCGCTTGTTATTGGCTATCGTAGCTTAATAGTGGCGGCATAGACCAGCATCCTCCCAGCCCCAAGCAATCAACTGCCCAAAACACAAGAATCGACACTCTGTGCTGCCTCTCGCAGCGCCTACCCAGTCTCCTCGAATTCGCAGAAAATCACAATCCCGTCGCACGCTCCGAGTGCGTCACAATCGACATTGCGAGCGGGCTCATGCGGCGTGCCAACGCCCCCGGCGCGACTCTGCGCGCGAGACCTCAAAATGTCCTCCCCACGCGACTCACGGCCCTTCACCCACCACACGCCCCCAGCCAGGCCCCCGTCGACGCTGCCGATGCCTGGTGAAACGAAGATAGTGATCCCGATCCCTTGTATACCAAGATACAAACGCGGCACTGGCCCTTCGCTTCAACGGATCACGCTCCAGCCCGTTCACGACTCGACCGCGTACATTGTCGAGCGAATCTTCCTCCCACCAAAGGGCACAGGGCGCGATGGGCGAGAACTCCCGAAACGACCTGGATATATCATTGGGTGGACGGACTTGCCAGCGGCCAGAAAGGTTGTCACAGCGCGAGACGTCCTGACATATGTGTCGCCTCGAAAACTAGAGGAGTGGGAGAGCTCCTTTGAGGAAGAGCTCAATGCCGAACGGAGGGAGCTCAAGGCGGCGAAAGAAAGAGCATCACAAGGGCCGGAGAAGCCTGCTGGCAAGAGGAGAGGTCGACCACCGAAACATGCGGGCATTGAGAGTGCGGCTGCTGTGGTGGACGAGGACAGCGACCAGCCAGCTGGCGCTGCCATGGCCGTAGGCGGCGCCATGCTCGCGACGCCGACGAAGAAGGCCGGATTAAGGGCATTCGAGGATCCATGGGGCGACGAGCCAAGCCGGGAGGCTACGGAGCTTCCCACGGAAGATACGGACGCTTCGGGGCGAAACGATGGGCTGCTGGGCGAACAAGCTGCCGATGATGAAAAAGAAGTTTGGCAGGGCTTTTCTAATGAACCAAGCGTGCTAGATGACGGCTCCAATCAGCTGGACGATGTGGACATGGAGGAGGAAGCTGCCCCAACCACAATTTATGAAGGGCATACTGTGGGCCAGCAAGGAGTCGAGGATGACAGCGACGAGGAGGACGAAGAGTTGTCGACCCGAGCCCTCGCCCGCGAGCTCTACCGGAGAGGAGTGGAAGCTATGAGCAAAGCTGCCGAACCGAACGGGGCTCACGAAGAATCGAGAGAAGTTCAGGACGACGAGGACGACGACATGGCCGAATTCTACGATGCGCCTGAGACGGCCGACGACGCGGGCGTTGAGATCAAAGATGAGCCGGTCGATGTGGAATCGGTTCCGATCAGTACTCTGGCCAGTGTCGAGACGACGCAGGCTCAGACAGCAACGCCGGCTGACACCAACGGCGCGGCTACTATGGAACGCCGATACCACCAGTTGAATTACCCACAATGGGTCGCTATCGGGTCATCAAAGAAACCATCACAGATACATGGACTGGCGGCACAGTCGACCTCACAATCTTCCGACTCGCCCATGCTGCCTCCTCCCTCTGCAGAACAAGGCTCATCGTCGATGAACAAGAGCAAGTCAAGGGGCAGCCTCGGTATGAAGACACCGGCGCACAAAGCGCGCAAGCTCTCAAAGTCCTCCCCCGCCTCCGGGAGCAGGAAGCGAGCCAAGTCCACGCCCCGATCGAGGTCCTCCGCCGCCCAGACCCCCGTCCTCGTCAACGGCGCCCAGGAGTGGGTCGTCAAAGAGATCCTCGACGACGAGACGTACCAGGTCGAGGACCGCGGGCTGGTGCGGTACTTCAAGGTGCGCTGGGAGGGGGACTGGCCCCCCGACCAGAATCCGACCTGGGAGCCGGAGGACAACCTGCCTGCGCAGCTGGTGAAGAATTACTTCAAGATGGACTACTCACGGCTACCGCCGGCGGCGCGCAAGCGGCGGCGCGAAAGGGCGTTGCTGAGGGCGAGTGGGAGTGCGCACTTTGTCAGTGTCAGAGATGCCTTTGCCGGGGAACTAGACAAGGTGGATTCCTCTCATGATATGGGCAACGGAGGGACGGGCACGGCGGAGTATGGGAATGGACATGAGCACGAGCAGGACGAGCCTATGGCTGTGGACGATACCGGTTCGCCTCACAATGTGAAGCGACCGCGGTTCAGTTTCGGCATGAGTGGAGGCGTGGTCGTGGGACCATGGGGAGGTTCTTAGGGGCCAGGCGGGGGTGCCCATCTCTTGATTCAAGCGAGCATAGCATTGCACACATGTTGTGTCATTTCGGGCAAGGCGTTAGTTATCATGGTTGCATGGGTACCGCAGGCTTATAATGAGCAACTAACTACGAGATATTGCCTCTCCTATCCAGATCATGTAGATCAACGCTGTCGCCTTTTGATTCCTTTGCTCTCCGATTACCTTTCAACGCCAAAGTCCCACAACGAAAAATGCATCACCAGACCTCAGACGTCAACATGACAGTCCGGCAGCCGATCCAGGACCTCCTGCGGAATGCGACGAGTGCGTCGATGAACGGCCATCTGCTCAGCAGCCATCAAGAACTGGTTGCACACCTGGCTCCCACAGCCACCCTTGCAGGTCATCGCATTACTCCCCGTCATCTTACGACGATGCGCCGCCAGCGTACCGTACCACGTATGATGGATCAGGTTATTCGTCAGAGCAGCGTGGTCCGTAAAGAAACCCTCCCAGGCAGCGGTCCACTCTCGATCGAACATTGTCTTCTGGAGAGCATCGTATTCAGCTCTTCTATCCTCTGGCACCTGCCATGTCCATGCCTTGCGATGGAAGAAGCCTGCGTCTTGTATCATGGCGCGGCGGGTACGCGTGGTGCGTCCGGGTAGGGGACGATGAAAAGGGGCTAGCTCGCCGTATTCAACGGCGTCTGGGTTCCAGTGTCTGCTCTCGGGCCAGTCGGTCATGTAGACGGTGGCCGCGAAGTGCTGGCGCAGATGGTCCCTTGGCACGTGGGCAACGACACCGATATCGCGCAATGGCAAAGGGGAACCGCGCGTCATGTCCAGGACGCTATAGAGAGACGGCCCAGACGCTGTATCATTGTCGTCCTCGTCTTCTGTGAGGGCGAGATGGTGAGTTTCATCGCGTGCCGGTTTGAAATACGGGAAGCGTCCGGCATAGATAGCATGGGCAGCGTGGTAGGCGTCAGCAACAGTACGAAACTCGATGCGGAGCAGCTGTCTCGTGGCGTCGTAGTGGACCTCGATGAGAGAGTCGTGACCTAGAGCCGTGAGAATGAAGCCAACAGCCCCTTGAGGGAATCCCGACGCCTCCTAGGTGCGGGTGTAGCCCTCGTCGACCCTGTGCTCGACAGTCTCGGGGAGTTTCTCTCGGGGACCACGGGGCAGATCCTGTACATGCAGTTGATAGGCAACCTGGTCGGCGCCTTCGAGGTAGACGGGGTATTGTCGGCAGTGTGCCACGTAGAGGCGCGCGTCGCCGGGGTCGTAGAAGTTGATGGCGACGGTATCGAAGTGGGCGTCGTCAGGCTCGCCTAGAAGTTGGGGGCAGCGGAAGACGTCCACGAGGCCGACATTGCTGCGGACGGCTTTTAGGACCTGGGCGGTGGGACAGGTCTTGGGGACATAGTGGAGAAGGACGCGGCGGGAGATGTTGTCGGGCAGAGTGGCCAGTGACGCTTCGAAGGGATGCTCGTGAAGGATTGTTTGTTCATGCGGTTCAGCTTCGATCACAACGTGGGCCGGTTCCTGGCCGATTGGGGGGGCTGGACTGTGTACTTGTTCGGATGCTGTGTCATGCATCTTGCCGTTCATGAATTGTAGTGTTTGGGAGGAGCAGGCCTGATGAACCTTGTACTCGTGAGTAAGCTATGTGGTCGTGACTCGTGAGCGCTTGGTACGTCGCCAGGTTTCTTGTGGCTGGTGAAATTATGAATGGAGGAAATGATGATGCGCAATGAGAGACTCTGAGAAGACCTTGCCGGGTACTTTATCAATTTCGGAACTGATGTAAGTTCGGAGAAGAGTTGCCTTGGGCAAAGCAATATGGGGTGCCTCCTTGAAAAGCAAAGGGAGCTGAGCAAGAGGCTCTGTGGACTAGAGAGAGGGATCTGTATGCGATGAAAAGCACGCCAGCAAGAGGTTGAGATCTATAAATAGATTGTGCATTGTTTGATCTTGGTCTGGTGCATGGCCCAGAGAAGACTGGGCGTGGGATGGGCTGTGAGTCGGGATGAGGTGTCGGCGGTTTGGGGGGCAGTAGTTGTGCTTCTTGAAGGAGCAGGGTGAGCACGAACTGGATGCACGAGATAATTAGCTGCCAGCTTTGTTGTAGTCATTTGGACATTCATAAGCTTCTATAGAATCCTCTGATGCCAGAGGCAGACAAGCAAGCTTCCCAAGTGGGTAGGCAGCTTCTTCTTTAATCCGCCATCAATGCGTCCTCTCGCCCATCCGCATCGTAGCAGGCTAAACTAGGGCTGCTTCTCTCAACGCCCTTGCAGAAAGCCAGTGTATAGGGCCACCAGTGACGCAGCGACTAGTGCCCCAACCACCGAGGCAGACACCTCACGAAGCGAGTCAACATGCGTCCAAGAGGTGTGGCCGGCCACCATGAGGAGAAACCAGCTTTTCGTTACCCAGGGCAGCTACTGTCTCCTTCATTGTGGCTTCTGGACTTTCTAATTTGATCAGAAGCGACGACTTGTCGCTTTGCAACCCATGAGGCACGTACTCCGTACTATGTACTCTCGAACCCATCATCCATATTCATATTGACCATGACAATCGACTACTAAAGTAGGCAAGATTAAACTCTGCACTTGCTGCTATAGCGCAATTGATGCGACCAAATTATCAGGGATCTAGGGGCGATCCGAGCCCTCGGACTCCAAACAGGATCCGCCCAGCCACCCGGTGAGAAACGAGGACGAGGGAAGAGGGGGCACAACACGACCACCACAATTGACCAGACCGCGACGTCACCGTGCAAAAAGCCATTCAAATTTCCAAGGCTATTTTCCCATCGAGGTCTGAATTTGGTGCGACAGGGATTATCATGCACCAGCAACTGGACAATCCAATGTCGATCAGCCAGATCGTGATGTGGCCATGACGTGCATGCACCGCGTAAAGTGGGATCTTTGCTCCGGCCCTCGGGGACCAGGAACTGCGTCCAGCATAAAGACAATGCGATGCCCAGCTCTGGCGCGTGGCTTCCCTGTAACTCTTCCAGCGAGGCGATCTTTATCACACACATCCTGACTCCATCTTCAACTCTGCACACCCAGCATGCCGCCCTTTGCGCCCTCCTCGACAGTGCCTGATGCGTCCACCCTCGTGCAGCGCCAGTCCGAGGCCACCGTCACCGTCATCGCAGACGGCACCTCGAGCAGCGGGCACTGGCTCAGCAGCGGCGCCATAGCGGGCATCGTCCTCGGCACCATTGCCGGCACACTCATCATCCTCTGGCTCATCCGGTCATGCATCAACTTCAACAAACCCCTGGGGGAGCCCGTCGAGAAGGCCCGCTACGAGCCAAGCCACAGCCACCACCACCACCACGGTCACCACCGTCGCAGCAGAAGCTCGAGGCGGAGGAGTAGCAGGAGACCAAGCAGGGCGTCGGTGGAGGACGATGTGATTGAAGGTCCGCCAGCAATCTACTACACGGAGGCGGAGCGAGGGCAGAGGGCACCCAAGATTGTGTATGATTCGAGGGGGAGGCGGTAGTAGGGGTTTATGATGGGCGTTCCATGGGTCTCGGCAGTCAAGCAGTCCAACTTTCCTCCTTGGACAATATACTATTATTATCTTGTCGGCAGGCCTTGGCCCTTGAGCCGTGAGTGACGGAGGGCCGACCGGGAGGAGCCGGAGCCGAAGCCGAAGGGGCTTCGGAAAAGCGGGTCGTTCCGGAGGTGTTCCGGCGTCTTGGACTCTTGGCGGGATTTGTGACCTTTTTGGGAACGTTTTCTACATCGACTCGAGCTCAAGTGTCCGTCTGCTGTCCACGAGGTCAGCACTAGCACGCACCCATGACAGACGCGTCTTGCCCAGCATGGCAGCAAACCCCGTCGTCGACGATGAATTTTCCAAGCTGTTCCAAAAGCCTTTTGTCAGTACCTTACCTAGACAGTAGTATTATTCCCGACCCCAGCATTGCCGAACGCCGAGTCTCATCCGCCCCAGTTAGTTCCCATTACGCGATGCGAACCCTCAGAAACCTCCCGACTGGCTCGTCGACATGGACACCAAACCCCATTCAGCGCGACTACAATTTCCGTGGCCAGCATGACGTGCGGCCCGCCCCCAGAGCGACACCTCATCTTCTGCTTCAAATACCGACAGCGCGCGCATCTCCGCGGTAGTCGAGGGGACTTGTCCTGGACCTGCTATCTTCCTCGTTTGCGCCCGCTGTCTTGCACCTGCACCTCGATAACGACGCCACGAGCCAATCGCCAGGACGAGGATGAGAAGCGCCTAGTCGGCACCCACGACAAACAACCATGGTGTCGAATCCCCGGACGTGGTCCTTCACCATCGACCGCTACATAAACCCCTTCATCCCACCTCCACCATGGCACCTCATCCCGTCCCCCATCGCCCGCTTCCTGGGCCACCGACCGCCAGGCTATAAGCCCGCCGAGGTGGGCAACCTGCAGCCCATCTTCTGGGCCTTCATCGGCATCTTCTGCGGCGTCGCCCTCATCGAAGGCGTCGACATGCACGTGCCCTCCTTCCAGGCCCGAGACGCCCCCCTCATCGTCGGCTCCTTTGGCGCCGCCGCCGTCCTCGAGTTCTACGCCATCGACTCGCCCCTCGCCCAGCCGCGCAACGCTGTCCTCGGCCAGCTCATCTCCGCCTTTACCGGTGTCGCCGTCTGCAAGCTGTTCCTCCTCGGCGACTTTGACCATCTCCGCTGGCTGGGCGGTGCCATTGCCTGCGCGGCGGCTACGGCGCTCATGGCCCTGACAAAGACTGTCCATCCACCCGCGGGTGCGACGGCTCTGCTCGCGGTGACGGATCCGAAGATTGTGAATCTGGGCTGGTTCTACCTGCTCATCATTTTGCTCGGGTGCATGCTCATGCTCGCCGTCGCCATGCTCATCAACAACATTGGTCGGCGGTTCCCGCTGTACTGGTGGACGCCTGAGGACGTCGGGCGCAAGAAGCCCGGGCAGCACCCCATGTTTGAGCGACGGGCCAGCTCAATCAAAAGCCAGAAGCACGCGTCGCACGACCGTGAGAGCGAGAAGGGGGATGTGGAGGCGGATGCTGGCTTGCCAGACAGGGTGGAGGGCTCTGGGCACGAAGAGTCGCCAGACCTTGAACAGTCCGAGGTGGTCATCCGCCCAGGCCAGGTGTCCGTGCCAGAGCACATGTATCTGACGCAGGAAGAGAAGACGCTGTTGGAGATTTTGAGCCAACGCTTGTAGGCGTGCATCGTGGAGCTTGCATACATTTAGGGCCTGCATACAATGGAGTTAGGAGTACGTTGTCATCATCAATTTCAAGCGACTCTGTACAAGTATAGCCAGATGGAAGAGAAACGCATTATGCCAGTCCGCCTGCAAGTAATTGACCCGCTCTCGTGCATCTGAGCGATCGGCATTGTGCTTGGTCCCCGCATCATTGACCGTCGAGTCATCCGCCGAAGCCTCACTCGCATCGTCCGCGCTTGACTCACCCGGTCAGCCCTACGATCAAGAAAGTCTCCACTCCAGGCCATATATAAGTGCAGGGACAGTGTAGATTGAAGGATCAATCGCTCTCCTTCAGAGGCCCCCTCTTCTCGACGTGTAGCCAGCATCATCATGGCCTCGACACACCAGCCCCAGGGCGAGACCCCTTGGTTCCTCCAGTCCAGCGCACCCGTCCTGCTCCCTACCTTGGACGCGCTGACCTATCCACGCGATGAGTTTGAGGCGTACATTCACAAGGATCTCGCCTCGCGCCATGATGGCGACCATGTCACAATGGACGATGATCCCACGCAGCACCAGCAGCCTACAGAGGCGACATCAGAGTCGTTCACATTGCTCACCTCGTCCACAACAACAGCAGCCGATCTGGCCACAGACATGGACAACATGAAAGTCGACGCGACGCGCGCAGAAGAGGCAGACAAATCTAAAAGGATGGGCCACCCCTTTATGGACGCCCTGTTCGACAACGCGGAGCAAGACGAGGAGCAGCACACCCCCAACCTGGAGAACAAAATGTTCACCGACAATGGCGATATCACCAACGCATCCACCACAAGCCCCCTCGTCGACCTCTTCGCCGAGCTGGAGAATGTCATCACTGGCCCCCGCCTCAACGACCTCCTCCACGCAGCGTGGGCGCACGACGCCCTCGCCACCCTCAAGATTATCTTCAACGCGCGCTCCATCCATCTCGGCAAATCGAGCCGAAAGACATTCTACCTCTGCGCCGGATGGCTGGCCACGCACCATCCTCACACCCTCATCGCCAACCTCCCATGGCTGAGCCGCCCCGTCATCCAGAAGAAGGAAAAGAAGGACGACGACGACGCTGACCTGGTCATCGTCGAGGCCGAGAAGGACGAGAACGACCCGGCCAGGCACAATGTCCGCCACGGCGTCTCGCACGGGTACTGGAAGGATCTGCTCAACATACTCGCCCTCGCCGCCAACGACAAGCTCCACGTGCTCGCCAACCCTTCCGACGTCCTCAACATCCGGCAGACGAAGGAGAAGAAGACACGCAAGAACCGACCCAACAAATCCTCCCGCGTCCAAAAGACATCAGGCCGCAGGGCACCCACGCTCGCCGCCACGAAGCCCGAACTATCCACCAGGCAAATGACAGAGAGCCAACGCCGCGCCAAGGACAAGGTCGCCTCCAAACTCGCCAAGGAGGACCGCATCACGACCCGACAGGCACGCCAGGCCCGCGTGGCCAGCAAGCTCCAGACCGACCCCGTCTACCGAGCCCTCCACCTCGCCATCGCCCGCCTCTTTGCACAGCAGCTCCAGATCGACACGGAGCGTCTCAAGAGCAACGACAGGACACTCCAGAAGGACATCTCCCTCTGCGCCAAGTGGGCACCAAGCCACGACCGCTTCCATGACCGTCACACCCTCATCGCCACCTCCATTGCCGAGATCCTCTTCCCCATGTCCGCCCTCGATCTCATCGATACTACTACCACTACTACCCGCGAGGTCTACCTGCGTCACGCCCGCGAGGCCTACCGCAAGACCACCTCCGCCCTCCGTGCCCACCTCGACATTGTCGAGCGCAACATCACCGCCCAGACCTACGACGCCATCCGCTACGAGCGTCTCCCCAGCCAGGCCATGCGGCAGTACACGCCGCAGTTCGTCACGCACGACTACGACCGCTTCGAGGCCTACCTCGACAAAGTCGCCAGCGGGCAGACCATCATCTCTGGCGCCACGCTCCTCCCCAGCGTCATGGTTCACAGCGTGAGCCACAACAACGACACACCTTCTCTCCCGGCCAGCGCGCTCGCCGGCCTCACGCCCGCCAAGCTCCTCGAGCACAGAAAGGCCCATCTGGCGGCGCAAGTCCTCGACGGCCAGTGGAAGACCCTCGTCCAACGCATCAGGGACGCCGGCACGCTACGCTCCAGCATCGCCGTCTGCGACGTGTCCGGCTCCATGGGCTACCCCGTTTTCCCGGACGGCACGATCCCCATGGACTCGTCCATCGGGCTCTCCCTGCTCGTGGCGTCCGTCACTGAACCGCCCTATGGCGGCGCCTTTATCACGTTCCACGACAAACCGACCGTGCAGAGGGTCGATCTCGCGGCCCCCTTTTCCGCGCAAGTCCGTAAGATCCGTCAAGCGCCTTTTGGTTTCCGGACCGACTTTGAGGCCGTCTTTACGCAGTGCATCCTCCCGCTGGCGCGTAAGCACAAGGTCCGGCGGGAGGACATGGTCAAGCGGGTGTTTGTCTTTAGCGACATGCAGTTTGACCAGGCGCGGGGGATGAATGAGAAGAAAACGTGGTCGAGCAGCCTGGAGCGCATCCGGAAGGAGTATGCCCGGTTCGGGTACGAGGTTCCGGAGCTGATCTTTTGGAATTTGGCCGGTGGGAGAGGGGGTGTCAGTCCCAAGCCTGTGACGACGGCGGATCAGGGGACGGCCATGGTGAGTGGGTATTCGCAGGGTCTGCTCAAAGTCTTCTTGGACTCGGGAGGCTTTGAAGAAGCGGAAGAGGAGGAAGAGGTGACCGAGACGGTGGAGGGCGAGGATAGTATGGAGGTGACGACAACGACGGTGGTAAAGAAGAACCCCATGGATCCATTGAACACGGTGAAGAAGGCGATCGGGCATCCTGCGTATGCCATGCTCCGCGTCGTTGATTAATACCATAGTAATAAAAAAGCAAAGCATTCAGGGTATCTTGTACGTGTCAACTCCCCCGCTCACACCCCCTTCACCAGCGCCCCAACCATCTTGAGGAACCTCTCTCTATACTCCCCCGGATCCGCCGTGATGCTCATCGGCCCCTTGTCCGCCACGCTGTTGAACGCCCGCACAAGACCCTCCATGGCCTTGGCCTGGGCCGCACTCTTTGTCCAGAAAAAGTCCAGCACGACAGCACGGTACGTCCACCCATCCTCCCCCCTCACTCCCTCTCGCCAGCTCCCCACGCTGTCGTCGTTGGCACCATCCCCCCTCGTCCGCGTCCGGGCCAGGAACAGCGAGTAATCCACCGCCTGGTTCGCCTTGAGAATGTCCGTGTCCTTCTCCAGCTGCGCGAGCAACATCTCCCTTGCACGCGCCGGCACGCGCGCCTTGTCGGGGAGATCGTCCACCAGGCCCTCAATAACCTCGTCGCGCACCAGCGCGCCATTGGCGATATCCCTCTCGGGAAAGAAGTAATCCTTCGGCTTCAGGTCAAATGTCTCCCACTCCTCCTCGCCTCGCAGCAGATTCTCCATGACAATGTGACAGGGGGGTGCGGCACCGAGTATCCCGCCTATTGAGTGGTACTTGGCATACGGCATGTCCGTGATGCGCACGAGGAGTGCGTCCGGGTGTGCTTCCATGTGTTCCAGGTACGGCACAAAGAGGTCGTCCGTGAAGAATTTGTACTCAAACTTGCGCGGCAGGCTCTTGATGAGGAACCGGCCATCGCGCGTCGTGAAAAAGGTCGAGCCAGAGTAGCCTAGGTCGCCTACGGGCACCAACTCGCCCTCTTGGAAGCTGCTGACGTAGTCATCCTCCTCAATGTTCCACACATTACGGCGCAGGGATGTAAAGTCCGCCGGGCGGAAGAGCGTGAGATGCAGTTTGAGAAGCCGGGTGAAGGCGAGGATGCGGATGTACAACGCAGACCATAGTGACGAAGGCGACGACAGGCTCGGGAAGGTGATGGCCTTGGCGATGGAGGCAGAGATGGACGGCGCGCGGATCTGCATGATGGCCACTCGACTTGGATGATGGGCCAATGGTTAAAGTACAGTCCAAGTGATTGTGATGGTGATGAGTGCAAGTTCGAGGAGCAACAAACAACGTCTGTCTCTAATAGTGAATGTGGTGGCTCTGACGTCATGTGCGCTGTTGGCGATCCAGGATTCCACAGAGTCAAACGTCAACGAAGAGATGGACCACGGAACTTCACTGGGAGCACGACAAGGCATCTCAAATGAAAGAAGAATCGCTCGCTCACGTTCCAGATTATCTATAGTAGTAGCCCACCCACCAAAGCCAGGAGAATAACGACACCCTCTTTGCTGCCTATCAATGACCAACACAACCAATGCAGACCAGTAACAATGCAACCCAGTCAAAATGCAGCCCAGACCCAAACGCCGACCAAACAGAAAACAAGTCGTCAATAGTCCCGCGGGACTCGCTGTCGTAGCCAGCTCATGCTGTTCTGTATGTTTCTTAGACTCTTCTCCCTCAGAAGCTGAACAGTCCACTCCTTCTCTTGCCCAACGGATACACAATCAGCGCGCTCATGAACAGGCCCACGCTGATGCCGATCGCCACCTGAATCACCTTGAACAAGACGTTGAACGCCGTGCCCTCGATACCCACACTGTGCTGTCCGCCCTTGGATGTCAGAGAGTCGGCGGATTGCACGCCCGCCAACAGCGACCCTCCCACCGCAAGACCGCTAGGCACCTGCACAAAGATGGCTGGCAGCATGGCTGCCGCTGCAAGGCTGTATCCAACGGAACGCTTCTTGCGTTCGGGCTTCTTTTCTTCCATGGGAGAGCCAGGACGCGACTCCGGGTCGGATGGCTTGTCCCAGCTCATGCTGGTGGCCTTCTTGCGACCAATAAGGCGCACCAGACGGGGCTTTATGGTGCTACTAAAGAAGTCGACACTGTCAAACCAGGCATTCTGGATGTGGCGGCCCATTCGCGAGTACAGGTTGGCGAGGATGCCGACGGTCAAGGCGCCAAGCATGTTTGAGATCTCAGTGTTCCCCTTGAACACCTGACTGCAGTAGCTGTTCACCGCCCACCCGGCAAGCGACATGAGCAGCATGACGGGCGTCTGCTTCCACTTGGCCTGGTTGACCAAGCACAAGCAGAGGGTGAAACCGGGGACAAACAGAAAGTACCAGTTGCGGTTCAGCGGCTCTCGACAATCCTTCTCGCTCGACGCGTTGGGGTCAATCATGCCGTAAAGCGAGGCGCCAATGGTGATGCCATAGCCCAGGAACAGAGTATAGATCAGGGCGTGTACCATACGAACACTGCCGGCGACAATGTTGTAGCTTTGCAACTCGAGAGAGCTGCATAGAACCATGTAACCAGGGAGAATCAGGGCGATACTGCTCTGCGCCAGGGCGCCAAAGCAGAAGGTGCCGCCGCCATTGATCGAGCCAAATGCGCGTGCCAGGAACGATGTGAGAACAGAGGCAGACACCTCGAAGACGTGGGCGTAAAGCTCGTTCTGGGGCGCGAGCACCAGCTGCAGGAATCCGACCAGGGAGCCTAGTAGGAACGCACACGGCATGTCGATGAAGCGGCCCTGGAAAGCAAAGGGCGCCACACACGCCGAGGCCACACCGTAGAACATCACGCGCCATGCGACGTGGAACTTGACCTTTCTGTTCATGACGTCGTCGAGTCGCTGCGTCGCCTCTTCCACCCCGAGCTTGTCGTGGACGACCTCCTTGTAGATGTTGTGGACATCGCGCAGCTTACCCAAGTCGATGCCTTGCATAACCCGGACAATCTTCACCTCCGTAGTGTGAGTCGTGCTGTCGTCAAAGCTGATAATCATGCAGCTAGGCATGTACAAGAACTGGGCCTCGATCTCGAGCGCGCGCGCTGACATGCTCAGATACTCTTCCAAGCGATGCGTCGGCGCACCGTAAAGCATGAGGGCCCGGCATAGCTTGATGAGAAACCGGTGCCGGGCGAGGATGCCTGCAATGTGCACGGTGATGCGGTATTTCTCCTTCTTTGGTTTCTTGGGGGGCGCAGACTCCTTGACCTTCTCTGCCATACGATCCGAGGAAACGCTCGAGCCGGGTGCGGCAAACATGGACGAGGACTTCATGAGTTCAGTAAGAGTGAGGGACGACGCAGAGCCATGGGAACGGTGGAGGCTGAACAAACCGCTGCTAGGACGGCCGGATCGGGCAGGCCGAGTTCGAGAAGAAGATCGTGATGCGGATGGCGAGGACTGGGCGGAAATAGACGGTGTTGCATAAGCTGGAGTCGTGCGGCCAGAACTGCCCGCGCTTCCTCCTCCTCCTCCCCCAGCTCCTGATCCGGCACCGCCAGCGTTGTGGCGTTGCTCGTCGTTGTAGAGCTTGAGGAGTGACGAGAGGACTCCTCCGTGGTATTTCTTGGGTCGTGGGACATAGTCGAGGTCGGGGTCGTCGATGATGGGAGTTGATGTGCCTGACTGACGGCCACGAAGCATGTCCGAGTGAAAGAGATCACGCTTGCGTGTGTGTGATCGAACAAGCTTGGCCGCCACGTCGTGGTTATCATACGAGTCCTCCGTGTCTAGACGTTGTGGGCCATCGACAAATGCTGGTCCCCGATGCCGGATCGCGCTGCCTCCTCCATGCTCGCTGTCCATGGCGCCCTCCAGGCCGGTGGTGAGACCCGTTGCCCTTGTGCCGTGCCTCTCGAACGGAAGGGGCTCGCCCGCATCATAGTCGTCCACTACGACAGCGGGACGGAAAGTCGATCGTCCGCGCGAACTGCCGTCTGAGACGCCTACCAGATGCTGGAATGAGGCGCCAATGTCATCCGAGTTTCTCCTGGAACCCGGGGCCGAGTGGCTACCCAATGAGATGGCCAGTTGATCAGCACGGTGTCGTGCATCGGTAATGGATCGAAGGACTCTCTCGTTGGCCTCTGACTCTGCCTTGTCGGCCTCCTCACGCTCGTGAGGCGCATCATAACTGGTGTTGCGCCTGAGGGCCGGTCTCGGGCGGCTGGGCAAGGGACTCATGCCCCCTCCCGTCGGGGGGGAGTCCTGTGGTGTCTTGAGGTGGGCATCTTTTCCCGTGCTCTCGTTTGGGGAGGGCTCTTGGGAGAGGATGCGGGTGAGGGCCTCGGAGAGCTCTTGGGCGTCTGGCGCACCGTGGGGGTAGGCAGCTGGCTGGAACTTGGGCGAGCCTCCAGGCGAGAGGGTGGAGTAGTCGTCAACAGCTATCTTGTTGGAACTTAGGTCGGGGTTGAGGTCAGGATTGCGCCATCCGACTCTCTTCTTTTCCTTGCGGGCCGGTGTTGTGGTGTCGCTTACACGGCCGCTGTCAGGCTGCTCGCCCGACGACATGGCGTTTACAGAGTCGACGCCGACAAGGCTTGGTGAAGAATGCCAACCGTAATGATGGGATCCGAGACGTGTCTCGCGGCTCGAAGATGTGTAGTAGTGAATGCTTGTCGTCAGGGTTGGAAAGAATGATGTGGCATACCACAGGTGCCGGGTACGTGTTGCGATTGTTGTTGGGGTGGGTCAAGACCCCTAGGCGGTGCACCGTCGAGGTGTCTTTGGAAGCGAGTGTGAGCGAGAGCGAGGTTATGATGATAGTGGTGGTGATGGAGGGTGTTTTGTTGTCTGATGGACAAGTCGGAAAAGAGGAGCTTAAAAGGGTCCTGGGGCGGTAACAGTTCTTGCAGTACCGTATCAAAACTGGAGTCGTTGGGTCCTTCCCGATCACGCTATGCCACCGATCCACTGCCAGGAGGAAGTCGCGAGGACACACTGTCACTTCTCGGAATTGAAGGCGCAGTACCTATCATTATTACAGGAGGGCATTGGGCCTTTCTCGCCAAAGTTCAGGCGGTCCAACGTTTGATTAGAGGCGCCGACCAGGCCATTGGCGCCGCTGATAAGAATTGAAGAAACTTGATGTATTTGTGGTGGGTCGGTCTTGCCCGCCGAGTGAGCACCGAGACAGATTGGGTTTTTGCGTGCCAGTGCTCTGCTCCGCTGTTTTGTCCTTTTCCGGCACGTACTGGTCGGGAATAGGCACATTCGTGTCTATTAATGGATGACAAAACCTTGATGGGCATTTTGTGCTATGCGTAGTATCCTGGCTCAGCGACGACGCATCAAAGCTGTCAAAATCGTGAGTGAGGGCCCATAATTGCAGATCCCTCGCACGGGTTGGCGGTTGATGGTCCCTTCCTTCCAGTCCCTGTTGGCTGCCGCAGCGCTTTCCCGATGACGTCGGTTTCAATAGTGCCTGTGAGTGTGTTGCGCGTCCTGCTGGCACACAAATTCGAGCTGCTATCAGCGCAGCTCAGAGCCGCTAATCACCAAGTGCTCGTCTCATCCCACTTTCACATGAAGACATGAAGATTGCATCATGGACGTCCAATAGTCACTTGGGCGGTGCATCACACAAACGCACACGCACGCGCACACACCCGCCGGCGCCGACATGGAGCCGCATCGGGTTCCGGTGACGGGCGCCGCCTCCCACTAGGGCCGCAGCTTCCAGGGCGCCCGGCCCACTGACAGCCGTGCCTGGAATCCTGGATGACCCCCACGAGCAGTTGTTCGCCACACAAGACCCGCCCACGCAAAGCTTGTCGTCACCGCGGACGCTGAGTGGAGGAAAAGGCTGTGAAGTGAAGGCTTTGCACGTCGACCAGTCGCTTCCATGACTCCCAGTCGTGTTCGAGAAGGCGCTGGATGGCCTTGGACGTCTGGGCAGCGCAAGATTCCCTGGACTCCCTGCTGGTTTCTAATCCTGGCTCGGACGCTGACGCTCGGACGCGCGTGCCCAAACGCTGCCGCTTGATGGGTCGACGACGATGGCGGTCCCATCTTTGTTTGTTGATATCGTAATGGGGACAGCGAGGAGCTAGCGGAGACTTTGTCGAGATCTAGGCTGGCCCGGGCCCCGTGGGCTATCGTGGCCGGGAATACGATGTACGGCAGAGCAGCGCTGCCCGGCTCATGGCTCGGGTTGCCTGTTTTGTCGAGCCGGGAGAGGGAGGCTGTGTCTGTCTGAGGTCGAGGTGCTGGTGCTCTTGCTATCGTGACGGGAGCTTTTTGGTGTTGCGGGGCTCTCTCTCTCACTGTGGCTGGCTGGCGACCGCCGACGAGTAATCAATCACGCCATCTTGGGCGACCGACCCTCAACTTCCTCCCATCGAGCAGCAACAGAGACATTGACCTTCTTTCTCCTCATGCAGTGGTCTCCACGGATTGCCGGGAGTTCATCTTTCCTCAAGACCACAAGTATCACTCTGCAGCATGCCTGCACATCGCTCTGCCAATAGGATCGCGGGCCTGGCAGCGTCCATCCTGCTCTCCTCGCAACGGACTGCGACGACGCGTGATCATCTCCACCGCATCAAATGAAGCTTTCCTTTTGATCCAAAACACTCGACGCACCGACCCTCGTCGCTGCCCAACGAATTACCAAAGGTCCACGCAAAGTCGCAAACATGGCCAACCCCGGTGCCAGCGCCAGCGCGCTCTCGGATCGCGTCGTGCCCATGCGCGTTATCGTCTGCGGCGTCCAGCGAACCGGCACATTGAGTACCGCTCCCCGGCCCCCGATCATTTGCCCAACGTCGCAAGCTAACAGATTCATCAGGTATGCGCCATGCGCTCTACCGACTGGGCATCCACGACTGCTACCACATGATCACGGTCCGCGATAATCCCGAACGGGACGGCCAGCGGTGGATCCGGGCCATCGACGCCAAATACAACGACAATGGCACCGCCGCGCTCACTCGCCGCGACTGGGACGGGCTGCTGGGCGAGTGCCAGGGCGTATGCGACGTCCCGGCCGCGCTGTTTGGTCCTGAGCTGGCCGAGGCGTACCCGGAGGCCAAGGTCGTCATCCTCAACCGCGACCCGGAGAAGTGGTACGTCAGCGTGCTGAACAGCATACACGGCAAGAGGTCGCTGGCGTCCAAGCTGGAGATGCTCTTCTGCATGCTCTTCGACTCGACGACGAGGGCGTGGATCAAGTTCGCCATGGCGTTCGGAGGCCAGTTTGGCTACGACCACCGGACAGAGAAGGACAAGGCGCTGGCGTGGTTCGCGAACACGTACAAGGAGTTCCGTGACAGGATCCCCGAGGACAGGAGGATCGAGTTCACAGTGGCCGACGGCTGGGGCCCCTTGTGTAAGTTCTTGGACGTCCCGGTGCCCATGGACCGCGACGAGGACGGCAAAGAGGTCGAGGCGCCTTTTCCGCGTATGAACGACACGGCAGCGTTTTTGGGCTCAATGGATGAGTGGCGCCACGAGGCGAGCAAGCGGGCGCTGGACAACGTGTTCCGTCTGGTTGGGAAGTCGGTCGTGGCAGGATCCACGGCGTACGTTGGGTACCTTGCGTTCAAGACGCGCCTAGGTGGGCGTTTCTAGTCACTTGTTGACTCTGCTCATCTGTCCCCAGTCGGAGCCTCTGCTAGTACTTTATGTGCTCTCTCTTTGCTAGAATTTCGCATAACATACGTAGAGAATAAATGTATAGTTGTCTAACACCGCTGTAGTTTAGAACAGTGATAGAGGAAGTTGGCGCCATGTGTTGAGATAACACACCCCCTATATAACGCATTGTGACAGCAATGGCCGCTACAACTGGGTACTTGAGCTCAAACAGACTGAAATTAAGTCTCACAACATCTACAAGGCATCCACGGGCACATTCATCTCTTTCACATTCTATGCATGCAACAGATCAATCATCATGAGCTGCGGTCATGAGCTATAGGGTAGGCATGTACCGCCTGCGCCACGCAAACCGGAAGTCCCCAAGCTCGTACCGTCTCAGATTTACCTTATATACCTCTCCATTCATTCCTTCACAACAACATTTCGAGATCACCAAGAAGGAACAAAAGTACCACAAAAGTGCCAAACCTCATGCACCATTATACGCATTCAGCCTGATGCTGGGGATGCCGTATCTCCGCGACCCACCGTAGATCGGCCGAGGTCGGCCACCATGGGCTATTACCTTATCGTAGCAGGAAGTCCTCCTTCATCTTGGGGCATCACGACATCACCAACAATCCCTCGACCAGGACCGCCATCATGTCTCTCAAAGCAGCGCTCGTCCTCGCCGCCGGCGCCACCGCGTGGGTGACGCCCTCGCGATTCGCAGAGGATCAGTTCCAGCTCACCAAGCCGTCCCCCTTCAAATGTGACCTGCCCCCAGCTCTCGAACCCGCAGGCGACGATCTGGAGAATGCTAGCAGCCTCTTCACCGGCAGGGACGCGCTCGACAGACAGGTCAAGCGGCATCAGGGCATTGTGCGTGTGCCGAGCGTCTCGTACGACGACAATGGCGAGCCTGGGGAGGACAGCCGATGGGAGCCGTTCTACACGCTCCATGACGTCCTGAGGGAGCTGTATCCCAACATGTAAGTGCTCTCCCCGCGTGGCCAGATCTGGTACTGGGCTGACGCGGCGAACCAAGTCACCATCACGCCAAGCTGGACAAGATCAACACCTTTGGTCTGGTGTACACACTCACAGGCTCCGACGCATCCCTCAAGCCGACGCTCCTCACAGCCCATCAAGACGTGGTGCCCGTGCCGGACCCGTCGACCTGGACACACCCACCGTTCGATGCGCACTTTGACGGCGAGTGGCTCTGGGGCCGCGGCGCAGCCGACGACAAGAGTTCCCTCACCGCACTCATGTCCGCCGTCGAGGCGCTCCTGGAGCAAGGCTGGACGCCCAAGAGGACGCTAGTGCTCGCCTTTGGCTACGATGAGGAGTGCTCCGGCTACCGCGGTGCCACCAAGATTGGCGAGTATCTCACCGAGAAGTACGGCGACGACGGTGTCGCCGTCATCCTGGACGAGGGCGGTTTGGGCTTCGAGGCGCCCGAGGAGAATGTGCTGTACGCCCTGCCGTCGGTGATGGAAAAGGGCCACATGGACATCTGGCTCACGCTCAGCTTTCCCGGTGGCCACTCCTCCGTGCCCCTGGCGCATACGGCCATTGGCGTCGCCGCGGAGATTGTGAGCACGCTCGAGGCGAACCCATTTGAGCCCCAGCTCCTCGAAAACGGCCCGACGCATCGCCATCTGATCTGCAATGCCCGCTACTCGCCCGATGCGAATCCGACAGTCACTCGACTCGTCAAAAAGGGGGATCTGCAGGGCCTGGCGGACGAAGTGATCAAGGTGTTTGGGCGCGGGGGCCGGTACATGCTCCAGACGTCGCAGGCTGTGGACGTGATTCAGGGGGGGACCAAGATCAATGCCATGCCGGAGACGGTGGCCGTGGGCGTCAACTACCGCATCTCCCCGCAGGACAGCATCGAGAGCATCCAGGACACCGTGTTGGCCAACATCAAGACCGTGGTCGACAAGTACGGACTGGACGTCAAGGCTTTCCAGGGCGAGGGCGAGGGCGAGGCCTCGGCTGCGGTCGCCAACGCAAACGGGACACTGTATCTCGAGGCGAACCAAGTCTTCCAGCCCACGCCTACCGCGCCAACCGAGGGCAAGGTTTGGGATGTCTTCTCGGGGACCATCCAGCACACCTTTGGATCAGGAGACGCCAGGACCGTCGTCCCTGTGGGGGAGATTATGCTTGGCAACACGGATACAAGGCACTACCTGAGTGAGTGAACGCCCCAAACACGCTTTAATGACTAGCCAGCCACACGTACTGACCGATTACAGACCTCTCGCCCAACGTCTACCGCTGGAACCCCATCTCGCGCGACGCCGCCATCAACATCCACACGGTGGATGAGAGGCTCCGGATGGAGGACCAACTGCGGATGGTGCAGTTCTACTACGACTTTGTGCGGAACTTTGACCAGGCGGATCTTTAGAAGAGTAGCGGCGCTGCTAGGTGTCGTCGTCCTGTCACTTGGATACTGCGCAAACGTCGTTGAGCTCTGCTCCTTTTTCCATGCTTGGCTGTTTCGGTCCACCCACCTCCTCCAGCACCTTGTGAATATGCCCGCACGTCGCCAGCAGGCCACATGAAGCAGTGTCCCAGTTTCAATGGCCAGCGTCAAGCAGTGTCGCCCACAAGACTGGTGTCGAAAGAGCCCACGATACGTACATACTCTGCTGGTCCCGTCCGCCCGCCCGCCCGCTGTAAAAGTCAACATTGTCGTCCTCGTATAATAGTAGATCTTGGCTGCTGCTTCGCAATGTGACAGACGCCCCCAGAGTCAAGACCTGACCAGAGGGCGTGGCCAAGCCCATCCGCGGAACCTCTGCGCGCTTCCACCAAACCCCATTCCGCCCGGTGGAGGCACTGGAGAGGCTTGACGTGATAGAATGCGCCGCGATACCCGCCTAGGTCTTGGACGCTACGGACTAATCAGTTAGAGCTGTTGGCGACGCAACGCGGCCCCCCCCCCCCCCTTTATTACGCCGCCCACCGCACAGAGCTCGGGGGACGATAGGTTGGCTCCCGTCTGGCAAATCATGTTCACGAGTCCCACCTGGAGATGAGCTGCTGTAGATAGGTAGAGCAATCGTACGCTGGGGTCACGCGATTCGAGACCTCGTGCGTCGCGGCGGCCAGCCACGTCTCCATTCGGATCGATAGACGACGCCTCGCCTCGCAGCGCTAGCGGTATTACGGAGTACTGCCGGATAGATTTGCACGTGGAGAACATTGTCCGAGGTGTCAAGTCAAGTCATGTCATGCTGTTGCTCCTTGCCTTGTCAGGGGTGTTATCACGGCGTGTTGAGAGTCGAGACGGCCGGTGCGTGTGGCGCTCGCTGGTGGGTCGCCGTCCGTTGAAAGGGGTTGTGGGAGAGGGCGGGCTGTATGCGTACTTGGTAACTTGGTAATTATTAAGTTGGAAGACGTGCTCTTTTTGGGCTTCTCGAAGCATGGGGAAGTTGATCAATCATTTCCTGGGGGAATTGCTGTTTGATCGGATCCCTTATTGTCCCGACGGATGATGCATCACATCGCTGTCACCTGTGCTGTACGCACGTACTCGGTACATGTGACTGTGGCTCCAGTCTGTGACTCTGTGAGCATCTATGGCCAGGGGACCCCAGCCAGGCCGGATACTGCCATACTGGGACGAACGACATTTCTTTCGTGACGGGCGAGGTGCTGCCGCCAGAAAATGCGAGTCAGAGGGCTGCATATCAGACCATCATCATCATATCAGGGGAGTAAGGACAGAAGAGCGACAGGGGATAGGAGCCGGATAGTGATGGTCCAAATAACTGGAGATGCTAATCATGCTGTGTGTGGTTCCCACAGACATTCGTACAAGTACGAAATCGTAATTAATGAACCCTGGCCCAGGGGCAGGGCCAAGACGGCTGGGTTGATATGACTATCTTCGCCACTACTATAGCCCATGTACGGATACTAGTGGAAGCTCCAGTCACGAGTCACACCCACACGCTGCCCCAGCCCATATCGTCCTCCACAGACGGTCGTCTCGCGCCATCTCCAGCCCTGAGAGGGTCTCCTTGAGCAGTGAGGAGAAGGGCGATGAAAATGAGGGATATTGCCCCGAGGACGACGTCGATCAATGGGGAAAATCGGGGGCCACCGTCCCAGTGGCTTCAATCGCTCAATCCACCATCGTCGCCAGCCGTGCCGCTGTCATTGGCCTATGGCCCATTCATTCGAACTATCATGACCTATCGGACCGTCATCGGCTAGTAATGATGTTGTCCATTCGGCCATTGGCAGAATTGTCGTGCCTTCCAAGAGATGGACTGAGCACGGACGACGCCAATATGCGGCTGAAGGTCTGAGCCAGGTCCGGGAGGGCTCGTGTCAAACTCTTCGTTGGCCCAATCCGTCGACGTACATGCGCACATAGATTTGTCTGCCAGGGGTCGAGCCCCTGCGATTCGCTTCAGCTTTTCCAATGCCGTCCCATCTGCGACGTGCCCTCACACGTGGAAGGCCACCTGGCCTGGATGACCCTGTCCATCTGGACTACAAGTGGTAAGACGTATGTAGAAGGTGGCATAGTGCCTGCAGGCTCAGCATGACTGCCAGCATGACTGCCAGCAGCCACTGCCAGCCAGTTGAACGTGCCGGCCGCCCAGCGACGTGGGACGCTGGGGTGCTGGCTGGGATCGTCGGGGATGGCTTCTAGAATGGAATTGGGGGCGGCGGCGTGTCATGTCCTCGGCCTGGCGTCTTGGCTCGCCAATGAAAGATAGGTCGATTCCCTACTTGATTAGGCCCAGATTGGTTTAGCGAGGCTGGTGAAGAGTCAATTGATGGTGGTGTGGGTGTCCTCGGCTGGCTGGCTGTCCGCTGGCCTAGAGAACGATAATATGGAGACTTTCCTGTCGTCGATAGCACCAGCCGCCAACAGCGGCCTCAATCAGAGTTCTTTTTAACTACCTTACCTTGCTTCACATAAGGTAGGCGCACGGAGGCTTGCCTCAGCCGTTCCTGTATCTTCACTTAATTACCTTCAACCGCCCACGCCCGTCGTTGGTGCTGCTTTCCGCCGCTGCCGTACCTACTAATACTCACACTACCAACACCGTCTAGTCGTTTGGCTTTCTTTTCTTTTCTTTTTGTTGTGTCTACATACTTCCAAGGAGCGTTCTGCGACAGGGCAACAGGATATCATTTACCCTGGGATGCCGTACTGAGACTATACCGGACTCGACGACCCCTTCGCATAAATGTCGTCCGAGTCAATGCTCACCCTCACGGCCGAGAGTTGGACCTGGTACGCGGTGACATGGGTGGTGGTGATGATCCGCATGTGAGTGCATCCCGCGGGCAATCTGTCCCATTTCCTGGGATCTTCCCAGTCCTTGGGATCTTCCTTGTTGACACGCCATCCAGGGCCTCGCGCCGCCTCCTGCTCGGCTCGTGGCGCAAGCTGCAGGTCGAGGACGCCCTCATGCTGCTCGCCATGGCCACCGACACCGTCCTCATCGTCGGCATGAACATTATATCGACGACGTCGAGCAACCTCATTGACCCCAACGACCCGACCCCCCTGGACGCGGCCAACATCCAGGAGCGCGTCTTCGGCTCCAAGATGGTCCTCGTCGTCGAGCAGATGCAGTGCATCACCATCTGGCTCGTCAAGGCCTGCCTGCTCATCATGTACCACCGCCTCACCATGTCCCTGCGTCAGAACCTGGCTGTCAAGATCGTCGCCGCCTACGCCGCCGTCACCTTTGTCGTCATGGAGATCCTCTACCTGGGCGTCTGGTGCCGGCCCTTTCACGAGTATTGGGCGGTGCCCCCCAAGAGCAGTGCGTAGCCTCCTATCCTCTACATTATGTGTATGCTGACACCCCCCAGCCCAGTGTTCCGCCGCCACGAACCACCTCATCACCAACGCCGTCTTCAACATCTCGTCGGACATTATGATCATCGTCATCCCGCTGCCCATCTTCCTCAAGTCGACGCTCTCGCCCAAGCGCAAGGCCGTCCTCTGCGGCGTCTTCGCCGTCGGCACCTTTACCATTGTCTCGGCCGTCCTCAACAAGTACTACTCCTTCAACCAGCCGTTTGGCAGCGACTGGACCTTCTGGTACATCCGCGAGTCCTCGACGGCCATCATCGCCGCCAACCTGCCCCTGACGTGGACCCTGATGCAGCGCGTCTTCAACCTCAAGAGCTTTGCCGAAAAGTACTACTCGAACCAGCGCTCAGGCGGCGTCCAGACCAACTCGCAGTTCCGCTCGACAAACTACATTGACCGCCAGCGCCACCGACGACGCGCCGACAGTCTCGGGTCCCTGGGCGAGACAGACCGCTCCGCCAGCGAGGAGCACATCAACCCCATCCCGCTCAAGATCTACCAGAAGCACGAGGTGGAGATTAGCACGCTGCCAGCGGAGGACGACAATGGCAGAAGGATGCGCATGGCGTCCACGGACTCGCTGCCGGATGGGCTCAAGACCGTCACCAATGTCCGGGGCGGCCAGTCGGTGCAGAGTCGGCGGACCGAGGAGGACGGGTCCCTTAAGAGCGTGGGCGGGGCGGTTGTATGATGTTTGATGACACTAGATACCTGGGCAACCATGCTATTGACAGCACTTGAAAACATTGTGAATATGAGTAGCGTCTGGTACATGTACTTTGGCCGCAGTGAGTGTAGGGTAGGCTGTCCTTGCTGTACAGGCACGATACTGGTCGATCACCAAAAGTTACAGTATTTGATGCAACGCATGGACGAAATGCCCTGTAAACACTCGTGTCTTTCGCGAATATGGGATCTGCGTCCACAGCATGACAGCTTACACCCTACTCCCTACTCCCTGGGGGCCTGTACGCCACGTCCCTGGCTCCGACAGCCGAATCGAATCCTACGGGGCGGGCCGCCTGTCGCTTCTGGCTAAAGTAGCAAAGGACGCGATTATCGCTGTGATTTGCAGGGCCAACTGACACGTATGTGAGTGCCGTCCTGATAACGGCACTAGCCGCAATCCTTCAACTTGTCATCAACCTCTGATCGAGGGTCAAGTCGCCAATGATGAAAGGTTCCGGGCTACCCGGTAGCAGACACCCACAGGTTGACGTCTTGTGCCAAACTGCGATCTAACAGCTTTCAACACGATGTCTCGGCGGAATAGCCTATTGAGCAAGTCGAACTTGTGCTGAGAATTGAGTCGTCAATAAAAAATCTCTTCGTTATTCCCTTCATCGATCCACGGTGTGACGCGTTGATCGCTGTGTAAAGGCTTTAAAGCCAGCCTTACCCCTACGTGCGGATACTTGTGGTGCGCTTGGCATCTCGCGTTATTTTTCATGCTGTCAATGACCCTTGGACCCTCATGGTTGTCTGCTGTAGGGCGCAGATGATTCCGAAAGTGAAATGTCCGCTCGGAAACCGAGTCCATGACCAACTTCAAGTCCATCCCACTGCCGCGCAGACCATCATCCCACAGCGCTGAGTAACGAGCGGTGATTAAAAATGCGCAAGCAGGGTCGCTTCTACCCGCACTCGCGATGCCGTCGCAGCCGCTCGTCAGCACAGATGGATTGATGAATTATGGGTCGGGCCACGATGGACGACGATGCGTGCGAGATCCGCCTTTTGACGTCAACCACTCCCTCCCCCCAGCGCCATCCCGGCACCACCACTACCGACAACGACACCCAGTCACCAGTCACCACCGCTCGGGTTTAAATGATGACTGCTACAAGTGAAAACTCCGAGCTGGCGTGGACGACTGTCCTGCCACCAGACATCGCCCGTAATCCCCGGAGCGCGAGGTTCGTTCGCGCGAGTGTCTCCAGACTCCGACCATCTCTCGCTCTCGCTATAAGTGCAGTGTGCGGCTGCCATTGACTCTCGAATTCACGGATGAATCTTTGATCGATTGACTATTACCAAACCCCCAGCATCAACATGGACCACCTTCACAGGGTCCTGTCCCGGGCCAACAACAAGCCCTTTCGCACCAAGCACCTGGAGACACCACCAGCCCCCTACCTCAACGACAGCGGCCATGTCGACTTTGCGCCCAACGACGTCGAGAACCCCCAGAACTGGAGCACCGCGCGCCGCTGGCAGATCACCGTCGCCGCCGTCTGGCTCGTCATGAACGCGACGTTCGCCTCCTCCTCCCCGAGCGGTTGCCTGGGCTCCATCGCCCAGAGCTTCAACGTCTCCCGCGTCGCCGCCGGCCTCACCATCACCCTCTTCCTCCTCGGCTACGTCGCCGGCCCGCTGGTCTTTGCGCCCCTCAGCGAGTTCTACGGACGTCGCTGGATCTTCTACACCTCCTTCAGCCTCTACCTCGCCTTCAACTTCCTCTGCGCCTTTGCGCCCAACTTTGGCAGCCTCCTCGTCGGTCGCTTCCTCACGGGTACCTTTGTCTCCGCGCCCCTGAGCAACGCGCCCGGCGTCGTCGCTGACCTCTGGAACCCCCTCGAGCGCGGCAACGCCATGGCCGCCTTTAGCGCCTTAGTCTACGTTGGTCCTGCCCTCGGCCCTGTCATCTCCGGCTTCCTCGAGCTGAAGGAGGACTGGCGCTGGTCCTTTTACGTCCTGCTCTGGCTCGGCGGCGCCTCACTCATCCTCATGTTCACCATCCCCGAGACGCACGGGCCGACTATCCTGCTACACAAGGCCCGGCGGGTACGCGCCGCCAAGATCCCCGGGTACGAGGACGTCAAGGCCCCCGTCGAGGACAGCGACCGGTCGCTCGTCGCCGTGTACAAGGTCGCCCTCACCCGACCCTGGATCATCCTCTTTGACACCATCTCCTTCCTCTGCGCCGTCTACATGTCCGTCGTCTACACCCTCCTCTACATGCTCTTCAGCATCTACCCCATTGTCTTCCAGGAGAAGCGTGGCTGGAACTCGGGTGTCGGTGAGCTGCCCCTGCTGGGCACCGTCACGGGCGCCGTCCTAGGTGGTCTCATCGTCATGCTCGACACGCGCCGCCGCAAGCGCAAGATTGAGCAGGGCAAGGCCAAGATGGAGGATCTCGAGCCCGAGGACCGTCTGCCCCTGGCCATCCTGGGCGGGATCGGGTTCCCCATCACCATGTTCTGGTTCGCCTGGTCGGCGCAGTACAACTCTGTCCACTGGATCGTGCCCACCATTGCGGGGGCCTTGCTCTCGACATCGTTGCTGCTCATCTTTGTGGGCTATCTCAACTATCTTGTTGACACGTGAGTTCTTTTCTCCATTCACCACTCTGTCCTGGCTAACACATGACCAGCTACCTCATGTACGCCGCCTCGGCCATCGCCGCCAACACAATCTCCCGCTCCCTGTGCGCCGCCTCCGCGCCTCTCTGGGTAAACCAGATGTTTAGCGCCATGGGCGTCGGCGGCGGCGGTTCTCTCATCGGCGGGCTCGCTGCCGTCCTCGCCGTGATCCCGTTTGTCTTCTACAAGTATGGCAAGCCTATCCGGGTGCGAAGCAAGTTCGCGCCCACAAAGGAGACCATGGCGCGCAAGGGGAAGGATGAGGAGCAGGCGACGCCGGAACAGGCGCCTACGCACGGGAGAAGGAGTAGTGATGAGGCGGTGAGCAGTGGCTCGACGGCTCGAAACGAAGAGAATGAGGGACCAAATTAGACATGACATACAACATAGACTTTATAACCCAAGATTATTGTTAGATACAATCAAGCACATACGACTTGAATTCCCATTGCGGAATAGGCAAACCATCAGTGACGCTCAATGTGAGCAACTACTTCGTTGAACGTTCATAAAATTGATAAACCATCCGTGTACATGCTATGCAATCCAAACCCAATGTATGTATACGCCACACGCTCAACGGCTTGCCACCGTGTAATCTTACACTCGCCGCTTACACATGCTCTGTTCTCGCAGTGCCAGGCAAAAAGTCCTCGCTGTTGTCCGTGCTCTTCTTCTCGCCCGCCATATGCCCGTTGCCGGTAGGTCCGCTGACGGACATGTTGCGGAAGGCACTTGTGTCGCGCTCCTTGCGGGTGATGTAGCCGGGAGGCACCCACTTGTGGCTGGTCCAGGGCTTGAGGCCATCCTGGCCGTACATGAGGTCGACGTTCTCGAGCGACAGAGTGCGGGACTCGTAGAGGAAGAACCAGACGAGGAGACCGGCGGCAAAGTTGGTGCCCGCAAAGACGTATCCGTAGGCAAACTTGATGCCGGGGCTGCCGCCGACACCATCGGTGGCGAGGGGTGTAAGGAAGCCGACCATGACTGCGTTATGTTAGCTACAATTCTGTGGCAAAAGACGCGAGCCAACTTACAGTTACCGAGCCAGTTGCCAGCAGTCGCGAGCGAAGCCTGCTTGGCGCGTGTGCGCAGAGGGAAGGTCTCGCCAATGACGACCCACGCAATGGGACCCCAGGTACCGGCGAAACTGGCAATGAACATGCAGGCCGACACAATCATGACGATGCCAGCGGTCGAGTTGCTGTTCACATCAATGGCGGTACCCATGGAGGCAAAGATGACCAGCCAGGCGGACTGCCAGAAAGCACCAATGACCAAGGGCCAGCGACGTCCGAAGCGCTCGACAACCCAGAGACCGTAGAGCGTCATGACCACGTTGACGGCACCCAGGATGAGCTGCACGAGGATGGGGTCGTCGACGCCAGAGGACTGGAAAACAGTGGCACCATAGTAGAAGAAGTAGTTGACGCCAGTCCACTGCTGCAGGAAGTGGATGCCCATACCAAGGAGAGTACGGTAGACCAGCTTGGGGACGCCGGTGTTGGGGTTGAAGCACTCGAGCCAAGAGCCGGAGCCGACCTGCTGCTCCTTCTCAAGGATGATTCTCATCTCGTTAATGTCGTCCTCGACAAGCGGGTTGCCGGGGTCGTCCTTCATGCCACGGAGACGGGCAAAGGACGTGCGGGCATCTTCCCAGCGTCCGCGCTGCGCCAACCAACGGGGCGACTCGGGCACGGCGAGGATGCCGCCGCCAAGAGGTAGACTGAAGAAGATGCCGAGGCCGATGACAATGCGCCAAGAGGCGTCCTGCTCCTGGATCTCACGGACACCGTAGTTGATCAGGTTGGCGACGAGGATGCCAATGGTGATCATGAGCTGGTACGAGGCGACGACGGCGCCACGGATCTCCCTGGGCGACGACTCGGACTGGAACATGGGCACGCCGACGGAGAGGTTGCCGACGCCCAGACCGGCGACGAAACGGCCCATCATCATGTGTACCCACGAGCGCATGGCGGTGACCTGGATGACATTGCCGATGATGACGATGAAGACGCCAAAGGTCAGCGACTTGCGGCGGCCCCACCAGTCAGCCGTGTAGGCACCCGTCAGAGCGCCGATCAGCGAACCGATGCTCATGAGAGAGACGACGAGGGACTGGATGATGGGCTGCCAGGCCTTGTTGCCCTCGGGGCCCTGAGCGAAGCGGTCGATGAAGTCGGTGAAGGTGAGCAGGGCGGAAATTTGACCGGTGTCGTAGCCAAAGAGGAAGCCACCAATGGACGTGACGACGCCCAGGAGGATGGCCTCGGCGCCGCAGTCGGCACCGTTGATCTTGATGGACCTATCCTGTCAGTTTCTCTGCGGTTGTCATGGGAGTGTTGGGTGTATACGCACATGCGTCCCCACATGTTGGGCAACTGTCTGTGGAGTGTCTCTTTTCTTATGTGTTGATGTCTCGCTTCGTCACGACCCGCGTGTCTGAGGAGAGATGGATGTCTCAAAGCGTCGTGGATCGGGCAGGTTGAAGGGGGAAGAGAGGAGAGGGTGCGACGCAGTTTATGTAGTACGACTTTTACCCCGGATTCCACGACAAGAGGCTTGGCTGACGAGGGAAGGGTGTTCTGGGAGAGCTGGGCATCGGCGACGAGGATCGAGAAAGGTTAGTAAATATTGCTGCTTTCATCGCTCGGCGCGCCGCACGAGCTAGTCGGGTGCGGAGCAAGAGCAGGATCAGGTACGTCGCGTGCGTGCCCATGGATGCCCCGTGGCGCCGACTGGGGGCCCGCCATTGACTGTCGTTCAACTTCCGGGGTGGATTGACATCTCCACTGGCCGTCTCGGCGCGATCAAATCGTAGACGGTGGGCGGACTGGCGCTCGCACAGTTTTCTCGGCGTGTGTGGTCGTCGTTGGCGTGCGATCAGAGAGTGAGTGATGTCGTGGTGATCGACGATGGACTGGATCCGGCAGTGCAGGTGCGGCTGCAGCACCGCGCACGGCACCTGCCAACCCTTGCGAGTAAGGTATAGGTTAAGCTCAGGCTACTAGTAGGCTGCCAGCGGTCCATGTCATTCACCACCTCGTACGCAGTACGTACGGACAGTGTAATTCCATGTCATTTGGCTGATCAAGTAACCACCGCCTTGCCATCCAAGCACAATTGCTTCGTTACGCATTGCACGAGTCCTTTCTCACTGCAGTGCCTCTCACTGACGATGGCCTGGACATTTTCCAAGGTCAAGCCGCCCTCCCAAATCCGGCTGCACACACCCACGTCGGACCAATCAGGGCGAGGTCTCAGGACCCTTGGCCTCGTCATGCAATGTGAAGTCACTCTAGTTACAGTGTTCACATCAGCGCACGCACAGGATCCCGTCACTAGACTAGAAGGCCCGATGTCAGCGGCGCTCTTTTTTGGCGTCAGGCCATGTGGGCGCTGGAAAGAGACCTCCACCGCATAATGAGTACCAAGTAGGTCCGACCAGCGGAGTCGCGAATTTCGCTGGAGACAGGAGTCGTGTTGGCGATGAGCATCTCTAATCACTGGGTCTGTCAAAACTTTCTGATCATGCGATGGCAATGTCGATGCGTAATGATCTCAAACCTCGGCCTGTGGTTCTAGTTCTACGTGCTTGTTGCTGTTACTGCGCACACATTCCGTACCTGGGTGCTTGGCACTGCCGTCTGGGATGATGTCACCATTAAGCTTAACGGGATCTCCCTGAGAAGGTTGCGTCCTTAGCCCAGAGTTAGACGGAAGACAAACGTCTCTCGATACTGGTGGTGTCCATCCTCCCCAGGTCTTCAATGCAGCCTTTTTCGGTTGACGTAAGAGCTGAACGTCTCGTCTCGAATCTTGATGATCGCAATCCTTCTTGGCGCATCACTCTAGTCAGCCACGGGGTGCGGAATCCGTTCCATGAGGCCACGCTCAACGGAGCTTTCTGACAACGTCAAAGAGCAGATCAATTTCAATTTTGGAGACGGTGGCCACGATGGAGAGGACTCCCCGTCCGTTTCACTAATCGCGAGTCAAGCTTGGTCTGCCCGTTGAGTGTCCAATTATGGATCCCAGGAGGAGCGTGCGGCCGATCACCACCACTTGTCAGAGATGACGACCAACAGGCACCATGACCATCTCCGCGCGTCGTCGCAGCACGTCAATGGCGAGAAAGAATTGCAGCACGTCTCGCAACAACCCCGCGCCGACGCTGTACTCTTTCCCCATAGATAGTGAGCCCGACAGAGAGGACAAGTTGACAAGTGACAACCACCGCACGACGCTGTCCAACAACTCCAACTGGAGCCCCGATCGCCTGTCAGGAGACGGCCTTCTCGAAGTCTTCGGCAGATCCACATGGCGGCATGTCCGTTGAGGGTCCCGGGCCACTTTCTTCGGTCCGTTACTCGGCTCAACTGCCGGACAGAGGACTGCCTCATCAGCATTCTCCTTTTCACCATGTTGCTTGCATTTTCCCGTGGCACAATGGACCAGAACAAGCAAAACACGTCGCCTCACTTGTGTATTGGTGAATGACGTGGGCTGCGTCACTCAGGCAGGTCACTTGGGGATCGCTACGGTTTCCAGCGTCATGATGGCATTGATCTGCTGTCTGCTGCGCATGTCCCGGTCCGAGACTCATCTCGGTGCGACTATGGGACTCTGGCGCTTTTCTCGGTCAGTTTGGGACCCTTTTTTCTTCTCTCCTCTGGAGTCGTGGATCCAGGACAGTGGCCGTGCGGAAGAATGGAACCGCAAAGTCTTGCCTACCCGGGAGCCGTCCAGCTCTCCTGCGCGCATGGGCGTCTTATCAACATGAAGGCTCTGTCTGGTCTAATGATCATGCCGAGGCGGCCTTATTACTCTATTGGGGAAGCCGATGCCAGATGTGATGTCTCGGTGGGTAGCATCTGTTAGTTGAACTCACGAAGCTGAGACCGCAAGTCCGGAACGCTCCCAGACAACGTCCACCGTTTTGAAGCGCTCAAGACAGTTTGCGGCGGGAAACGGTCCTTTTCTTGCTTTGACACCCACCTTTGTTTCTAGACTTGGATGTGTGAAGTTCGGACTCTTGTTGGAGTCGACCAGACTCAAATCAGGGGTAAGTTGGACATCCCCTAATCCCTCCGCATCTTCATGTCTCCCCCAGTCCAAGTAGCATGAGGGGGCTGAGGCTGTCCATCCAGTGCTGAAACCCTGGTTCAATGCAGACGTCCTGATCACAGTACGGAGAGAATGCAGCCTGTCAAGGTTCTATTCGTGTCTTCGTAATTCCAAAAGTCTATCTGCATAAAGTCCAATCATGGCCTCTCCAAGCCCTTCCTCGTCTATCGTTCGTTGGGTATCATGAGTAATGTCCACCAAGCACCACATCAATCTCTCCAAGTCACCAATCACTACGTGCCCCGAAGCGCCCATCTCTGCTCAAATCGACAACGTCGAAAAGGCGAGGATAGGAGGAGACTTCTACTGTCTGCCGCCACGTCCGCCACGGCCGCCGTTCCTGCTCTGTCGAGGCGGATCGGGGACCACCCTCAGCCCCTTGACGCCCTTCAAGCCCATCTTGCCCACCGTCGACTTGGCCATGGCCGGAACCTCGGGTGCGCCCAGGCCGTTGCGCGCATACACGTTGCCTTGTCGGACAAGCTCCTCCTTGTCCCACTTGAGAAACTTCATGTGGTTGTTGTAGTAGCCCAACCACGCCTGGTAAATCTTGCCCTTCTCCTGGTCCTGCATCCTCGTCGCAATCGCCATCACACTTTCTGCGGACGACATGTTGGCCTGCCTTGGCTTGAACTCAATCTCCTTGAGGGTATACTTAGGAAACCAGGCTTCCGCAGCAGCGACGATGAAGACACCGTGACCATCTGCCTCGGCACGCGCCGTGCGACCCAGGCGGTGGATGTAGCTCTGCTTATCGGAGGGGATGCCAACCTGCAGCACGGTGGTGACGCCGGGGAAGTCCATGCCGCGAGCAACAACATCGGTGGCGACAAGGATCGCGGACGGCGAGGCGCGATACAGATCCGTCGTCTTGGTGCGGCGGTTCTGCGAGATGCGGCTGTGCAGGATGTGGATAGGTGGCACACCAGGAAGCGACGAGAGAATGTTGCCGTAGAAGTCGGCAAGAGCCGCAGTAGGGGCGAAGAGAATGGCCTTGAATGGTCCACCTAGATCCGTCCGCGCTGCCTCCTCTTGAATGCAGCCCACCATGGCCGGGGCAACTGAGCCAAAGTCAGGCACCTCGATGAGATACTGGGGAACACGCTGGTGGGTGTTCACATCGCCCGCGGGGATCGTCGAGATGAACTCGTAGCCCTGGTCCAGGACCAAGCTCGCCACCTGCTGGACGTGAGGAGCAATTGTCGCCGAAAAGAGCATGCCTTGGCGGTTGGTCTTTTTCTTGTCCGGCAGGTGACGCACAATCTCCTGCAGATCCCTCTTGAAACCCATGTCCAGGAGGCGGTCCGCCTCGTCAAGGACAAGCGTGTCCACGTTCCTCACCGCCCACACAATATCCGGGTTCGAAAGGTGATCCAGGAGGCGTCCGGGGGTAGCAATGAGGATCTCGCAGCCACCCAAAATTTGCCTCTCCTCTGCGTTCTTGTTGGTGCCGCCCATGACGACGCGCACACGGTACTGCGGCAGCCGCTGCAGGAGGTTGGTTGCCTCGGTGGCTATCTGCATGGAAAGCTCGCGCGTCGGTGAGATGACGAGCAGCGAGATGCCAGCGTCGGCCGGCCGCTTCTGTGTGATCATGGTCTGCAGAGCCGGGATGAGGAAGGCGAGTGTCTTGCCTGTGCCAGTCTTGGCCTGCACAAGACAGTCATGACGGTTGGGCGGCAACAGCTCATCGACAGTCGCGGCCTGGACGGGCGTCATGTTCTCAAACTTGAGATCCTCCGTGATGGCCTTGACAATGAGGGGATGAACGCCCTGTAGGTCAGCGAATCGGCGGTCGCTCGTCGTAGGTGCACCCGTCGCCTGAGGGGCGGAAGTCTCCTTCTTGACGGGCGCCAACTGCTCATGGTTGTGCTCATCTTGGTGGTCATCGTGAGATGGAGCATGGCGGTCTTGGCCTTGTCCGTTGCTTCGCGAACCTCTGCCCCGTCCGCCTCCACCGCGTCCTCCACGTCCGCCTCGTCCTCCTTTGCCTGGGCGGCGATACGGCCCTGGTCGCTTAGTGTCGTCCATCGAATCTGATAGTGCTGTGACGTGCGGATGAAATTGTTTGTGGATGTGAGTTTGCTGCCAAGGCCTTTGAGTTTTCACGTTGCCATTATCACGCTAGACCTAATTCGGATGTTGTGAGAATGACTAAGGTCCGGGGAGAAGGTGCTACACGCGAAAGCACGTGATACAAAATACACGCACGAACTACGAGGCTTCGGACTACTGTACCCTGTCTATGTTCATGTTCGCTTCACATACTTCTCACTTTTCGTCCCATTGACTCATTTGACTAGTGGATCCAGGATGCCCTAGTCATTGCTGAAACTGCCAGGGTGTCACTCAGTGATCATGGCGTGAACGGTATGAAAAGCTTTAATCTTGTCTCACTATCGGCAGGAAGTATTGACAGCTTCAACCTATGGGCAGAACCGCGGCAGACCAAGGGGAGGTACCTACTACTAATGTAGACGTTGAGAATGGCCTGTGGTACTGAACCTTCCAGGAGGCAGCAATCAATGAATCGTAGCTATCGGCTATGACGCTGCAACCCTGCAGTGGTTCTGCACCTGCCAATCTGTGATTACTTACGGTACGGTTTGTGTAGTACTAATAGATGAGGCGAAGAGACCTCGACCGCTCTTAGTCCTTCACAGCCTGTCTTTCTTCTTTTCACCAAACATCCCTCCTACATTGTGCGACACTTTGTATCTCCAAAGCCACCTTCTTTACTCAACACCTCGTCGTGGCTAAATGTCATTTTCTTTGCCCACCTAGAAGTACACTGGATCTGACAGTCAGATTATGATAAGACTGCCTTCTACTTCACTACCTGGAAGAGCCACTGCACCGACAGTAAGTCAGGTCCTCCTCGGGCACGCATTGAGCGAGGCGTGAGAGGGAGTCACACTTGCGAGCGAACACTGGCCACGATCAACACCCCCCTAAGAAGCGACCCTCGCAAAATTTCGCCATCTCATCAACTACCAAGTTCTTTCACCATGTTTGGATGCGGCGAGTGTGATCGAATCTTTCCGGCTGGCGATTACGCACGGGATCAACATTGCATCGACACTGGCCATTGCCAGCCCGCCTACGAGTGCGGAGAATGCGGCCTAGAAGAAGATCACGAAGACTGTTGCGTGGCGCTCGCCATGGTAGATGACGGGCATACCTGCCGCCTTCTTAAATGCAGCCAACGCCATGCCACGACGAGGCTTCGGAACGACCACGAGGTGTTCGAGCACTGCTTCTGTGGCCCTTGCGGCAGAATGATGGACAATGTGAACAACGTGGAGAGCGTAAGCACCCGCGCCTGACAGCTTCGTCGTTGGCAGCCAGCACTGACGCAAACTAGCACCTGAACTCCCAGCAACACGTCGGCGACCGCAACTATTCTCTCGTCCGGCACAAGAAGAAACCAGCCACCGTCAGTGCAGTTGTGAGTCCGACTCCACCGCCAACACCACCGCATCACGTTCATGTGGCTACTTCACTCCCTGGGCAGCCTGTCCAGTGTCCATTTTGCCCCTACGGCCACGACCGCGTCAGCGCAGTGCTCATGCATCTCGAGCGAGGCAACTGCCCAGGTATTTACCCCAAACGCAGCGACATCTTCAACGCCGTGTGTCTGTGCGACGATATGGGCACCATCACAAACTTGAAGCTCCATCAGCCCACGCGCGAGAGCTCCTGGGACCCAAAGAAGAAACTTTTCAGCTGTGCCCTTTGCAATCGTGGTTTCCAGACTGTCGGCGGCCTGGCAGATCACATGAATAGCGAGTTTCACGAGTTTGAGTGGTATCACTGTCCGAATGCCGATGGCTGTGTCAGTGAGTTCGGCTTGCTGTCCGCGTTGATGGCACATCTGGAGGACCAAGCGTGTGGTTGGAAGTCTTTCAAAGAGCTGCAGGAACACGGCCATGTGGTTCTGGACCCTATGCGGCTGCGGTAATCGGAGAGAACGAGCAGGCGCAGGAGTATGACGAATGGGCAGAGGAGACTACTTGTTATACTTGTAGACCACGGATGAGCTATGCTCGGGTACTTTGTGTTGTTAGATGAATGCGAGCTACGTATCTGCAAAGGTCAAGGGGATATGTCACATAATACCGCACTGGCGCCGCAATGTTCACGAGTCACGACCAGGTCGAACAGCCCCATAGCCCCAGGTTGGGGAGATCCCCCACTCGCCGCCTCGAACCGAACTCGTATGATCGCCAGTCCCTTCCCCCACCCAAAGCCCACATGAATCGAGCCGCTGCCGAATCCCAGGTAAGTGGAACAACAGTCTCCGCTGATGACAATGCAAAGCCGCTCTACAAGTGTGAGGCTAGACGAACATGACTGCCTCGGCATCGTATAAGGGGGGTATATTTGCTTGTTTGCTACTCTCTACTAAATAGATGGCAACAAAATCTATCCAAAATGACAGAGACCGGTATATCCATGGTCGGGCGGGCCAATGCCGCACTCAAATGTACTCGTATGTGACCTCGGTGGTCACCGTCACCGTGATCTGTAGCTGGTCCTTGTCGAGATTGGCCAGGCCGAGCCAGTGGCCCCTCTCACCCTCCAACACCTCCGAATTCAAACGGCCACAGCACATAATGTACAGGGTCGGCTTGTCGTTCTTCTTGTACACCAAGTCCATCGCCGTTGGCGACACCAGATCGTCGCGGAGGAGGTGGACCGTGCTGCTGCCGGAGCCCGCTTCCCCGTCCGTGTCGATTCGCCAGAGATGACCCGCAGTGTAGCTGCATATGTATGCGGAGCTACCATCGGGCGTGATCACGAGGCCGTCCGCGTTCTCGAGATCCGCTGCCAATTCCACCACGTCGCCTGCAGGCTTGATATCCTTGCCGTCGTCCGTGCGTTCGATGGGGAAGCGATAGAGCTTGCCGGTGCCGGTGTTGGTGAACCAGCCGAATCGCTCGCTAAACCGTAACTTGTTAATGCCAAAGACGCTGGCCTCGCTAGGCGCGGCCAGTGACGGGTCCTCAAAGAGCACCGAGCATTTGGAACCTGCCAAGTCGACGCGCCATATGCGCCCGAGGATCGAGTCGACAATGGCGAGAATGCTATCTGACACGGGCACGATGCCCATGAGGAACCTAGCGTCGGGGATGTCCATGATCTTCGTGTACTCTGCCTTGTCGTCGCCCTCGTCCGGCTGCAAGGCCATGCGCCAAACCGCCCAGGAGTGGAACTGGCCCCGCGCAAGGTCGGCGAAGCCTGTGATCACCGCGTACTCCTCGCGCTTGGTGCCCTCGAGAGCGCAGAGGTTGAAACACCCGTTGGCGTCGGGGAAGCGCTTTAATAAGCGCGGTGTCACCGAGTCGTACTCATTCTCGGGGTGCGCAGCCGTGGCTATGTCGATGGAGAACAGATCGGGTTCTTCTAGGCGTGTGGTGAGGACGTTGCCATTGGGGCGTACCACCATACCCTCCGTCCACATGTCGGAGGGGAGCTGGTCGACTAGGACCGTGTCGTGGAGGTTAGGGTCATGCGCCTGGGCAGGGCTGCCCGTGCCATTGATGACGGCCATGGTTACGGGCAGATGGGCGTGCGTATCGTTGTGAGCGCGGTTGGCGATCTTGTCCCACGTCGACGGTGCGGGGAGGAGGTGGGAGGCAGGTTGTGTGACTTATGTTGTGTTGCTGCGTCTGATGAGAGCTTCCGCGATCAAGGTTTCGGTAGTTGAATCGATGACCGACGTAATGCGGGCGCGTGCTTGTGGTAGTGGTACAGGCTACAGCGGCTGCCCCCCAGTGGAGAAGACGTTTGCGTGGGCGCGGATCTCTGGGTGGAGGGAGATACGCGAGCGTACGGAGGTAGAGGTCGTCGAGGTTGGGAGGATCAAGTATCTACAGACCGAAGTCAAGGGGAAGATGAACGAGGGTGAGGAATGGAATGGAATGAACAGTGGGTGGTGGTTGAAAGAGAAAAGCAAGGGGCCGAAGGCTGAAGACTGGACTGGACATGGACTTGGCCTGAGGTGCGACCGGGGACTGGGGAGGAAGAAGTCAAGGGGACCTGGAAGCTGAGGGGCAGCGCCGCGCAGCCCCTGTGGGATCACTGCCAGTGGGATGGATGGATGCAGCGTCCAGTCTCCAGTCCTCCCTCACCACCATCCCTCATCGATGGACGGACCGTTGGTGATTGATCAGAATCTCGCGCACGGGAGCGATGCCCACCTTCGCTGAGCCGATTCCATGCAAGGCTGTCCCTGTCCATACCTCGAGTCCCTCCGACTCCATGTCCTCTGCATAATACCTCAACCACCGAGGAACGCTGATCATTGATTGATGAGTACTGCGTTGGTCTAGCATCTTAGACTTTGCATCGGCGTCCCCGCCAGCGAGTTGAATGCATTCCTGTGCCTCGTCGTGCTTCCTTCGCCTTGACTTCTCCGTCCAGTATCGCCAAACGCGTGCACTGTACATTGCCTGGCAGTTGCCAGTGTGTCTTCCGCCGCGGTCTCCAGTCTCTCGCACCGACAATTCTATTGGAAAGTTCAAGCCTGCAGCGGGCACCGGGTAGCACTTGTTCACGGCCCATCATGCAGGGACATGCATCAACCGTCGAGTTTTAGACGCCCCAATCCTCACGTACCCCAGCAGCCCCTCCTACTGCTCAAAGACCAAACATACACGTACGTAGGTAGTACGTTGCGTACTGGGCTGGATCGCTTTCATTGCGCAGACGCCAATACTATCCTGTCTCTCACGTTGCCATATCGTGCGTGTCTGCCCGCAGCAAAGCTGGGCGATCAATTCAAATGGATGGCGGATGCGGCAGCGGCACACGCAAGCCAAGCTCCAGTCGCGATACTAGCCGCTCAACGAGATGAGTCGAGCGGCCGCCAACCGCATGCCTTGATCTGCCTGTGGCTTGCATCTGGGAGCCTTTCTCCTTGGCAACGAACTGACAGACCGCGCGGCACGGTCACGCTGGAGGAATTCGTGATTCTGTCCTCTCTCGTTCACTTGTTCCTGGCGTTCAAGTTTGCTTGGGATCGCAGCCCGCACGGATGCACCAAGTCCACCAATTATATCGCGTCAGCTCGCGCTGTCAAAAGGAGTCAAGCCTGTTCACAGGTCAGGCAAGTGATCAAGCCGTTTCGCCGCCGCCGATTCGACGCAGATCTTCACCGTGAGCCGAGGACTGTCCGACTGATGGTGCGGATGGTGCCGACTGTTTCCCCCACCCACCCACTGGCACCACCCACCACGAACGGCGGGGATCAACGACGCTCACATCCGACACATGAGTTATAACCATCGATGCTCCGTGCCAATTTCCCGAGGCTCCAGGTGTGGTGAGATTGAAGCTGCCGAGGCGTCTTGTTCACCAGAGGCTCATACTGGGATTGAGTGGCAATGGCACAGTTGACCGCATCGCAGTTGTCTTCGGAAAGGAACAGGGAGGGCGAAAAAGCGAGGCTTATTCTGGGATCAGAGTTTGATCATGCATAATAAGATCTGCAGGCAGACGCGCTGATCAATGGGTCGCATCTCGCGATATCCGTGCGATTCGGACGAGGGGAGTTCCCTGCCCATCACTTGCTGACACGTCGATCAGCATCTGTCAATGGACATCATCCTCAACTGTCCTATGCTAGTCTAATTTAGACCAGCCTTGATCAGAACTTCGTCCAAATATATCTCAGCTCCAGCCCTTGTTCACCATCCACGTCGACGGCTGGACGCTGACAAGATTGGGCTTGTCCTGTGCTGCTCCTGCAACAGAGCCGCGTGGGCCATCATTGCAACTTGAAAGCAACACCACCATTCTCGGCCCTGCGCGATGAATTTGCTGAGCCTTGGTCTTTCATGTTTTTGATTTTTTCGATTTTTTCGGACTGCATAGTTCGAGGATGACCTACGCAGGGCATGGAGCGCAGCGTGCGTGGCTGACGAGTATGGTCGATGAAGCGAACTTCGGGCCTATCTGACGCCAGCTGTTGTTACACCTGCTTGGCAACGGTCCGTTTACAACTAGAAAGCAACTTCAAGTCTAATTCATCCCCAAATTAGCTCGCGAGGAGAGAGAGCAGCACAAGAAAAGAATGTGCCAAAACATGCGGTCTATGCAACTAATATGTATTTGGAACTGAACTGGTGCTATATACCAAGAAGAAAAAGAAGTTCTACATTGCTGAAGCCAAGGTGCGCCTGCCAACCAGGACACCTATGGACCAGCGCATGGGCGCAGCTCATGACCAATCTCCCTACACTGATCATGAACTTGCCAACGTCGAGATTGACAAGGCCAGATCAGCGACGGTGGTGGCGGCGGCCGTGTCGGAACGCGCGGCTGGGCTTCTTCATCTTGCGACGGCGGGTGCAAAAGTCGGGCTTGTCGACCACGGCTCCGTCGTCTGTGTTGCCCTCGCCATTTCCGTTGCCCTGCTCGGGACTGTTACCTTGCTCGTTGTCGGGCTCTGCGGTAGGAGCTGCGGTAGGAGCCGTGGTAGGTTCTGTGGTAGACACTGCGGTGGGCTCTTCGACTGGCTCTTCGACAGGTGTCGTAGGAAGGGTTTGAGAAGGCTCTGCGGTAGACACTGCGGTAGACACTGCAGTGGGCTCTTCGACTGGCACCTCAACAGTTGTTGTAGGAAGGGCTTCAGAAGGCTCGCTGGCGTCAGAGTCGGAGCCGGCACCGCTGTCGCCCTCGGTCCAGACACCGGGACCCGGTAGAGGGTACTCCCGGTAGCCGCTCCAGAGGCTGAAGTTGAAAGACTCATCATCCTGCTTGTAGCCCCCAGGGAATTGGATCGTGGGGCCAGGGACACCATCCCCGCCACCCGTCACCGAAACTTGCGCGCAGCTGCTACTTGTCACTTCTCTTGTCCAACAGCAACGAACTGGCCTCCCAGAGCCGGGGCATGCTCACGCATAGTAGAACTCGGCCTCGCCAACGTGCGCACCGTGGAGACCAATGTGCTCGGCGCGGATCAGGTACTCGCCATCGGGCAGGTCCGAGGGAATGGTGAACTCGATACGGTCCTTGTCCCACGTGCACCAGGCGTCCTTGGTGAAGTCGGCGTCCGGGTTGCAGACGCCCTCCTGGAAGATCATGAACCAGTCACCGTCACCCTCGTACTCCTGGGCCGTGGAGGGGGCCTTGGACATGTAGACCTGGGCGGGGCCCGGGTGCTGCATCGTGGCCTGGACACCCAGCTTCATGGCGAGCGTGGAGCCCGCCTGGACGGTGGCCGTCTCGGTCTGCCCGGCGGACTCAAAGGCCCCCTTGTTGCAGCGAAAGTCGGTCATGTCGGGCGTCATGTCGTCGCGCGTGTTGATCCATTTGGTGGGGTTGTACTTTTCCGGACGGGTGTTGGAGCGGATGTACTGGTTGGGAGAGGTTTCCTGGCCGTCGATGACCAGGACGTCGAAGAAGTAGTGAGCGGACACATAGGGCACGAGGGCCGCGAGAGCAACGAGCGAGAACTGCATGGTGAGGGTTCGGGAGAGACAAAGTGCTGGACCGTTGGAAAGCTAAGAGCAAGTAGATCTGCTGTAGAAAAGAATGTAAGGCCCAGCCTTTGCGTTGTAAACGAATGTTGTAAGTGAAGGACAGAGCACAATGGTGGTTGCTGCTTGATAGAACCTGGCTGCCCTCGCTCTCTTATATTTGACTCTACTCTGGCGTCGAGAGCTTGCAGCGATTAACATGGTGCCGGAAGGTTGAGAACACCCTGGCAGGGATTGGAGTCCGGACAGGGTTATTGAGTGAACAGAATGATTGTTTCATCGCCGGCCAGGTTGATGAGAGGTGTCCAGCCGTCATCATCAACGCTCCAAACATCGCCAGAAACCGTAAGTACGTGAAGCTGACCCCTTGCCCCCAAGACAAGCCCAAGCAAAGGCATGTCCGTCTTTTAGCGTCTTGCGTCTCAAGTTAATAAGCCAGTTTAGACTTGTTGGTCGTTGGGATCCATCGTGTACAGGGTCACGCAATCTGGTGCTTTGCTAAAGTTTTTGAGTTTGTGCCTTATACGTCAGTCGAAACGCGTCATGTTTCAGCGCTTTCTGGGCGGAAAATAAAGTGCTGACTGCCGTCGACTGAGTTGGCCGGGACAGCTGAGGTCCAGTCCCAGAGTCTAGACCCTCACAAACTATCGATCGGAAATTTAAGGGCCTTGGAGGACTTGTGGGGGGGCATGTTACGAATTAACCTCCGACACGGCATACGCTAGCAGCCAGGGGTATCAGGCGAACTGTGAGAATACGCACAAATGCATTGTTTGGAAACTTGGGCAGCCAGTGATATCGATTTGGTCAATCCATGGTCAGCATTACAAATTCTTGGGAGATCTGGGTAAGCGCAGAACAGACATCCTAATGAGATTTCATTTGTGTGGACGTTTTGGAAGTCCTCGATTTCTTCCGCGAAACACGCAATAATGCGGCAGGATCACCACCCAGTCAAGAACTCAGCAGTGTTACGCCGGGGAGAAATGGTGTATTGTCTACCGGTCTGCGAGATTTTGTGCGTACTAATAGTTCTCAATAAACACAACGAGAATGGAATTAATGACCATATATAGGGTAGGCATCTGCGCAGTATCGACTAAGACCGTTTGACTGAAGCACGAGGTTGGACGACAATAGGTCTTATTGCCTCGTATCTTAGTAAGAGTGTAATTTTTCAAATGCTTGGTTTCCTATGGTCCTTCTACTGTGTCTGAGTGTGGTTTTGTATGCGTGAACGCAGGGCTGAATAGGACACATTTGGACAAACCAGCAGACAAGGCTGGTTACTGCGCAGAAGCTGATGGGATTATTTGGAAGAGAAGTTAGGAACTTGCTACTCTTATGCGAGGCTACTACGGGAAAAGGCAGCTAAAGTCACATATTATCACAAATGCACATCACACATGAAGCGCCACAAGAATCTCAAGAAGGTGTTTTCATAGTTCGTCACACTGGTCATAACTGAACGAGCTAGGCTCAACCCTGGAGCACCAATATTTGTACAGATCATGAAGTGAAAGGCGGAAAGCTTTGCATCGAGCATGCCTCTCCACCATGAGAAGCGCAAAATGCATTTAAAGAATGTTGATGATAGCATCGTAAGCAGCCTTGGCGTTGTAGCTGCTGTCGAACAGGAGAGGGTTATCTCCCTGGCGCCAGGAGTCCTATAGTGTGTTAGCAAGATTCAAAATTCATATCAAAGACAAGAAACTCACAGCGTCGCTCACGCCCCATACAGTGATGGACCTGCACTTGTCGACGTTCAGGCAAGCCTGGACCACAGCCGTGTAGTCATCCGAGGGAGCCTGGGCAATGTCGAGCTCCGTGATGGCAACCTCGTCCACGGGCGCCGACGCCAGCTGCTCGAGGGCACCCTGCACAGCCGAGCCCATACCACCCGAGATGTGTGTCTGGGAGCCAATGCCGTCAATGGGCACACCGGCGTTGACGAGCTGCTCCACCATGGATACCATGCCGTTGACCTTGCCGTAGCCGGCACTGTCAAGGTTGTAGTCGTTGATGTACAACTTGGCGGCCGGGTCCGCCTCACGGGCCGCCTCAAAGGCAATGCGGACGAACTCGTAGTCCTGGCCTAGGAGACGGGAGAAGACAGAGTCGCGCAGGGAGCCGTCCTCGTTGAGGATCTCGTTGACGACGTCCCAGTGGGCCACCTTGCCGGCGTAACGGCCAGCGACGGTGGCGATGTGGTCGCGCATGACCTGGCGCAGCGTGTCGGCGTCCTGGATGCCCTCGACCCAGGAGGGCAGCTGGCTGTGCCAGATGAGAGTGTGTCCGCGGATTTTCTTGCCATTCTCCGTGGCCCAGTCGGCGAGGAAGTCGGCGGGCGCCCAGTTGTACTGGCCCTGGGAGCTCTCGAGGCTTCCCCACTTCCACGAGTTCTCGGCCGTGACCTGGCCAAAGTCGGCTTGAATGATGGCAGCGTTCTTCCCACTCTGGAGGAGGCCCTGGTCTGTCGCCACGCCAAAGAAATCTTTGCCTGCAGCCACAAACGCGTCGTGGATGCTGGCGGCAGCCTGCCGGGTGGCCTTGGCGCCTTGGCTGGCCGGCAGCGCAGTCGTCAAGGCGGCGGGCAAAGCGAGGAGAACGGCAGAGGTCTTCATGATGACAATTGATGGATGGGTATATAGACGCTAAAGAGGGCAAGACAGGTAGACGGGCTGAAGCGAGAAGAACTGGTGTACTCTAGAAGCTCGGAATTCTACAGCACCAGAGTAACTGGTGCTTTTATACTCAGAAACAAGCATAGATCGTTTCCCATCGACTCTACGTAATAGCATCATCTCTCCTCCTGTTCCATGAATTCGACTGTTTCATGCCATCTGTGTCAACTCGATTCCATACCCCGTCGTGAAGTAAAGATCGCCCCATGCTCGCGGATACTTCCACTTGCACAGGCGTGCGTTGTCGATCCAAACACGACAAGTTTATGTCGATTCTTTTTCTCCGACGTATCCAGCTGATTGGCGCGCCTAGTCCCCGATGCCTGTACAATGCGTGCAAATGCCGGTTAATATGGCTCAATCGGTGCGTCCTAGACAAGGGGCTGATACACGTTGCGCATGGGATGGCACAGCGGCCGAGGCACGGCGTCGCAGGAGGAGGTGGAAGAGCGGGTAAAATCCACGCAATCTGGGGTCATACTCGTCGTTGTTTCCGCATGATTATGCCGCAAACAACTCGGAGCTTGACCCTCCACTTATGCACCAACTCGGAGACAGAGTGCCGTTGTCTAGATGAAGCAATCAAGCCAGACCCCATGACCCGTCGTCGTGTCACTGCACGTCAATGCCGACGAACAATGCACCCCGGTAAATATCCTGCTCGACATTTGCCGGAGCAGTCGGACTGCCGGCAGACTACGGTCTGGGGTAGATGAACGATTTGGTGTTTCTTAAATTCTTAGCAAGAAACCCCTGAATGGTGCGACGAGCGGAACTTTGCCGAAGGCGGAATCTCCACCATTTGAGCCCATTTGAATCTGGTTCATGTTTCCACGATAGCATTTTATCAAGTCGGCTGGCCCCTGGTTCTCGCATTTCATTTCATGCTTGAAAGTTGAAACGTGGTGCCGGTGGCCGCACAACCACCTGTTCTACAAACACGTAGATGTTTCATGAGACCGAAAATGATAGTATCATCGAGCAATTGCCTGATGCTCCCGTCAACATTACAGTCTCGTGCGTGAATCGGCTTGTCTTCGTTGGAGCGCGTATACTGTCGATGCCTCGCTGGCTGCACTTCCATATGGATAAATCCAAAATCTTTCCCCATCATCAATACCAAGGGAAGCAGACAAAGAATCAGAAATTAGAATGCTTGATCACAGGGGACGAGCCCTATATAAAGCACCATTCTAACTGGCGCGCTTGGTCGTCGTGTGGGGTAGAGAGACACCGGTAGTTGGATTTGTCCACTGGCACGTCAGCACAGAAAGTTTACTGGAATAGGAACGGAGGAACAGAGAATACTCGCTTCTTTTGGCATCGTGCTTCTCTTCGCACGTACATAGAGCATTTCCACAAACCAGGCGATTCGTGGCGCTCTGGTCTAAGCTTCCGCTCTCCGCGTAGTTCCCCCGCATACCGTCATGGCCGAGCATCTTTGCATGGCTGGCCACGACGTTTCGAAACAGCGTGGGGCTTGCTGGGCCTCGGAAGTATAAGACTCGACCATCCCCAGGACCTCATCCTGGTGTTCTCAGTCCATCGACCCAGACGGCCTTCCCACCCTGATCGACAATCCCACTCTTCAACCCAAGCCTCCGTCACAATGAAGTTCAGCGTCTTGAACACCCTCGCGCTCCTGGCACCGGCCACCTCGGTTCTCGCCCAGTGCTCGCTGCCCTCGTCCTTCCGCTGGACATCGACCGGCGCTCTCGCTCAGCCCCAGAATGGCTGGGCTGCCCTCAAGGATTTCACGGTTGCGCCCTACAATGGCCAGCAGCTCGTGTACGCCACGACCGCCAGCTACAGCGGCCAGTGGGGTTCCATGGCCTTCAGCCCCGTCAGCGACATCTCCCAGCTGGGCTCGGCGTCCCAGACCGCCATGTCCCAGGGCACCGTCGCGCCTACCCTCTTCTTCTTCCGCCCCAAGAACATCTGGGTCCTGGCGTATCAGTGGGGGCCGACCGCGTTCTCCTACAAGACGTCGAGCAACCCTACCAACCCCAACGGATGGTCAGGCGCGCAGCCTCTCTTCTCTGGGAGCATCACAGGCTCAGGCACTGGTCCGATAGACCAAACATTGATTGGTGACGCCAACAATATGTACCTCTTCTTCGCCGGCGACAATGGCAAGATCTACAGGGCCAGCATGCCCATCGGCAACTTTCCCGGTAACTTTGGCAGCTCCTCGACCGTCGTCCTGAGCGACTCGACCAACAACCTGTTCGAGGCCGTGCAGGTCTACTCCCTCGAGGGCTCGGGCGGCTACCTCATGATCGTCGAGGCCATCGGCTCGCAAGGCCGTTACTTCCGCTCCTTCACCGCCAGCAGCCTGGGGGGCCAGTGGACGCCCCTCGCCGCCACCGAGCAGAACCCCTTCGCCGGCAAGGCCAACACGGGCGTCACCTGGACCAACGACATCAGCCACGGCGAGCTGATCCGCACCTCGGCCGACGAGACGTTCCCCGTGAACCCCTGCAAGCTGCAGTTCTTGTACCAGGGTCGCGCCCCCAACTCGGGCGGCGAGTATGTCCTTCTGCCTTACCGCCCTGGTCTCCTCACCCAGGCTTAGATGAGAGGAACGGTGTGGTGTGGCTGGTGCGTCCAGGTCGGGTGGTCGTGGAGGGTGATTAGGTAGCGATTACCCAGGCTTAGATGGGAGAAACAGTGTGGCTGGTGAGTCCAGGTCTAGTGGTCTTGGAGGGTGATTAGGTAGCGATTGACTTATCTATGAGATTATGCGAATTGAACGAGGAATATGAAAAAGTGTCTGAATCCCAATGTGAAGATGAAGTCCAAAAACGGTGCCTGGATGATGCGATGCGACCACGTGACCGCGCGACACGCGACACCTCCGGCGCGCACGTTGATCCGGCCCCGCGTTGCGCATGAGTGACCTTGAAATTATTCAGGGGGCGCTGGCTGGAATCCTGGATCTCCGTCTTGATTGAATGATTCCATCGAAGACGTCTCGGTGGACGTGAGCAATGAGTAACCTCGTAGGGATGCGTCGCGTGTCCCGCACATTCATTATTTTCATAGTCGTCACCCTCTCGCTCTTCATCTACATCTCTCTCCCCCGGTCCCAGCTTGATGTGGCGATCCCCACAGCTCAGGGTCCCCAGTCACATGCGCAGGCTGCCGAGCAGGATGGCGAGCAGTCCAACGTCGTGAAGCCACAGGTCGAGAAGACGGGCCCCGAGCTGCGCGTTCCGGAAGCCGAGGACGCATCTGGTGATGCGACCACGGCGGAGGACTCTGTCACCGAGGAGAAGGAGGCCAAGGTCGGCGCCGAATTGACGCAGGAGCAATACGTCAAGGCGCACGACCCGGAGCACTTCAAGGAAATTGACCATATCGAGGACCACCTGGAGGATGGCGACGCCGGGGACGGGCTCCACGAGGACCTCGCGGAGAACTCGGGCAAGACCACCACCCAGAGCCAGTCGGATCAGGGCATCAAGGCCGACTATGTCGCGGAGCACGATGAGGAGGAAGAGGAGCACTCCGATGCCTCTGTCGCGGCACCAATTGAGGGTGCGGGTGAGGAGCATGATCCCGCTTTGGTTGAGGACTATCTGAAGCAGCACGACGGCGAGGAACGGGTGGATGAGTCCCTGGAGGTTCTTGCCGAGGACGCCACGGAGTCGAAGGCCGACGACTCGTCTGAGGAGACTGTGGAGGGATCTACCGTCGATAAGCGGGTGAGTGGATGAGTGCGTGTTGTCCAGCTGGTACTTATGCTGACACCTGACAGGCATCCAATTAAGGGACGATCTTGCTGAGCATTATAAAGACGCACTGCTCGAGAGTGCCGGGCGCTAGCGTTTGCGTCTAGTGAGGCTCGGGCTGTCGCTGCCACAGACGTTTGCAATGATTTTGCAGCAACTAAATCCCGACCAGACTGTCTTGTCTGAACGACAGATCACCCCCCAAAATTTCCCAATCGAGGGAGAGGCGATAGGTCCACGTCGACCCGTCTGACAATCGCGACCTGCCTCTTGAAGGGGCAAGATCGAAGAGAATCCTGTAAATCTACTGGATGAGCCCTTTGAGGCGACATCCTTGACTTGTATGTGATGGCGAGCGCGCAATGATTTTTCATGGATGTTATGCATGGGTCTATCTACACATTGACGGCAAGGGGACATGGATATACAAGCAGGACGACAAGTGGCGGAAGAGAAAGAAAAAAACATTAATGCATTGATCTTTACAGTGTTACGCTCGCTGATCCAGAAACCACTCTACAAACTTGGGGATCCCTTGTCTGATGTTCGTCGTGGGCTTGTACCCCAACAGCCGACTCGCCTTGGACACGTTGGCATATGTCACAGCCATATCGCCAGCTTGTGCGCCGCGACGATCAATCTTGGCCGTACGCCCTATGCTCTGCTCGAGCAAAGCGATCAACTGACCCAGCTCAATCGTCTGCGACTCGCCGAGGTTGAACACCTCATAGAGCGAGCCTCGGTAGTCCAAAGCCGCCCGAACGCCCTGGATGATGTCGTCGACATAGGTATAGTCCCTCCGCGTGCTGCCATCCCCAAAGACGGGAATGGGTTTTCCCTCGGCAATCAGCCGCGCAAACTTGTGAATCGCCAGGTCGGGGCGCTGCCGGGGGCCGTACACGGTGAAGAAACGGAGGCACACGCAGCGAATCTGGTACAGATGCGCGTACGTGTGGCAGAGCAGCTCGGCGGCCGTCTTGGACGCAGCGTAGGGGGAGATTGGCTGCGACGTCTTGCACTCCTCGGAGAAGGGGACCTTGGCGTTAAGACCGTACACGCTGGAGGACGACCCGAAGACGAAGGTGCCCACGCCAAATTCTCTCGCGCATTCCAGGAGGTTCAACGTTCCCGTGGTGTTTGTGTCGACGTAGTCGCCTGGACGCTCTAGCGAGGGACGCACACCAGCTTTTGACGCGAGATGGACAATGGTATCGAACTTGTTCTCCTCAAAGACCGATCGCAGGTTTTCCTTGTGCCGTATGTCGACCTCGTACAATGTGAAGTTTGGATTGCCATGGTGCGCCGCGAGGTTGGCCCGTTTGATGGCGGGGGAGTAGAAGTCCTCAAAGTTGTCGAGGACCGTGACGTGCCAGCACCCTTCCTCCAACAGGGCGTCAACGAGATTTGACCCAATGAAGCCAGCGCCGCCGGTGACCAGTATCTCACCTCCTGCGCGGTGTCGCGTGATCGGGTTGGTCCTGGTAATGACAGTCATGTCGACTTGGTGCTGGCTCGGGCGCGGGAAGATGGTAGATTGTCACGAGGAACTCGCAACTTATAGCAAGCAATCGTCACACAAGTACGCGTATTGGAAAAGAACGAGATAAGAAGACATGGTGCTCACTGCGCGAAAGAAGTCGCCCATCGTTAGCCAGAACGCCACACGCAACATGTGGAAATAACACCAAGACCTGCTATCACCTGGGTCGTCCCCTTTTCGCGTGGCCTTGCCGCATTCGATAGGAGGATTAGGGGTCCATTGGACAATATTGTCAGTCTAGCACCGCCAAAATCGATGGTGCGCCCTTAGCGCGAGTGACGACCTGCAGGTACGACAGGTCTAGGCTTGGGGTTGGGCTTCCGCTGACGCTTGGCTGGGCTTGGGCCCTTGAAGTCGGAGAGAAATCTTGTGCCAAGTGGATAAGACGGCTCAACGGAAGTCTGGGGACGGGCTGATGTCGCCGCTGTATAGGGCTGGATCAGCGAGTCTATAATGAGGCAGTCGGAAAAGGAGCAAGAGGGATGCTGCACTCATCGTGACATGGACTCGAGCCAACTCGAACTTTGAAGATGCCTTCTCGCTGCTTACCCTGCAGTCTCTCACTCTCCAGTCGTCGACGAGTCAGCCCAGTCCATCAATCGATGCTCCGAGCGTTTGCCAACCTGAATTTTCTTGCAGCCAGCAGAATATTTCGATTCTCGCAGGTCACAGGTCTTCACGAATCATGATCTTTTGAGCTGGATGAGGTGACATTGTCACTGTATGAAGGGAAATCAACGGATCCAAATTATGTCACTTCAATTACAGGAACTCTTGTTCGAGACAAACCGCAACTTGACATTAAGAACCTTGATTGGCCCTTCATCCATTCAGGAAGTCCAAGAGAACTCAACCAGGATAGGGTTGTGGTCCGACAAGACATTGCCATCTGGCTGAACAAAGGAGCTCGACTGGTAGCTCCATTGCGTCGCCTCAAGCGTGACAAGGTCGCCTGGGCGGTAACTGAAAAATCCGTCAGCAATATTCTCCAATAGACATTTTTTCGAGTCAGCATTCAAGCAAACTTACAAGATCTTGTCAACAACCTCACAGCTGTTGGAAGCAGCCGGCACCGCACAGGCATCTGCAGGTGCACCAGCCGTCGGATAGCTCCCACCCTTGATGAGCTCGACCCAGGAGTCTGCGAACCCGGCATCCGTCAAAAGGTCGACGCTGCGCGCGGCATTCGTCCAGCGATCGTTGGTGTCTCCGCCGATGATGACGGGACGACCGCCCGAGTTGGCATCGATGTAGCTCAGGATCTGCTGGATGCCAGCGCGACGGGCGTTAGAATCACCCGTGTCGCTTCTGTGAACAAGTCAGTACGGCGTTTCGCGAATCGGCAGGAGGAGCAGCAGCACGAACCCAGCATCGGCATGGAGGTTGTACAGGTCGACCTCGACGCCAGGAGCGATCTCTATGCGCATGTACGAGAAGCCCTTGGGAGTGAGGCAGTCCCCCGAGTTGAGATTGCACTTGTTCCACTTGACCTGTTGGAAGTTGTCCCAGTCAAAGTTGGCCACCGTGTTCAGGCCGCTGCCAAAGGGGACACCCCCCGTGGTGGGCGTGCGGAAGGGATGGTTGTCCGTGGCGTAGATGTACGCATGGTAGTTGAAGTCCTCCTGCATGTGCACAATGTCATAGGCACCCTTGGCGAGCTGGGCACCGATCAGGTTGGAGTTGGTGCCCTTGTCGCCCGGCACACCGTTGTCGTTGAAGATGGGGGGCAGTCCAGCGACATTGTAGGTCAAAAAGTTGAATGTGCCGGAGGACTGGGCGGACGAGGCCTGGATGAAGAGAGGGAGCAGGACGGCTGCCGAGGGCAGAGATACAGAGAGGGCGACCATGGTTCAATTCTTGACTTGGGCAATCTGTCTGACCTCACTCACGATACGAGGACTGACGACAACGACGATGGACATCTTTTATACGCGACTGAGGTGAGGTCGTGACCTGCCTACGCAATGGCGAGCCTATAGTACTGTAATATGACGGCTTTCATGTCCATATCCGGCAGTTGTCGAGGTACATCGTGCGTTGAGTGTCTTGCCCGCAGCACTGCCGCATGAATCGCTGTGATGAACCGGGCTTGCATGCTCGATTGCATCTTCGGGATAGGTCTGCTGCTCTCGAGTGAGGGAGGGCGGCCTGCGAGGGCAATTCGTCAAGTATGTGGCGGGACAGTCGTGAGGGGTAAGGTCAGTTCAGCTGTTCATTTATCCATGTTCAAAGCGTGATCGCTGTATGATTGTGCCGAGGTTCCTGACATATGGCACATTGACATACGTACCCCTGCCTCCGCCGCTGTGGTAGCATCCTTGGCCGGCCCCCATGCCGGCTTTTTGGTGTTTTGACCGCCCAACCAAGTTGAGCACATGAACCCGTGGGAATCATCCCCGTCTTCCTCGGGGGAAGCCCATATCAGATAAACATATACGGGCTCAATCTCCGATGCCGTCCCCAAACATCCTTGCGCATTGACCACTGGTAAGGCGCCTCCAGAAAACGTGCGTCATGCGACGGAAAACATCACGAAATAGTCCATGCTTTTGCATAGTAGTTTTCCTGTCTAGAGGTTGAATAGTGTCGCTACACATGGCAAGGTGCGGCTTTTACATGTCTGGAAGGAAGAACTCTTTACCATCGGTTAAATAGAAGAGGCGGTACGTACGGAATCCACGGATGTACGTATCGCGGTATCACAACCGGGGGACCTGGTCAATCATACTCGACGTGAGCATTCTCAGCATAGGCGTTTCGATAGACCATCACCCACGTGGCTCAGGTTGCATTCGAATCAACATGTACGAAGTACGCGCAGGCCCCTGCCACGAGTGATATTTCATGATGCCAAGAGTGATACGGCGAATGCAGACTCGACCAGGGTCAAATGTGCCAGCATATAACAAAGACGTTGGCCGTCAATTGCATCTTGCTGGCACAAGCACGCAGATTATCAGGATACAGTCGTCATCATGAAGTCCGTCACAGCTTTGACAACACTGGTGGGCGTTGCCGCGGCCGAGTTCAACCCTCTGAACCACCTTGGTGCCAACAGCCCCTGGTTTGCCGGTAAGTGACTGCAAGACCAACTTTTAGACATGACCCAGAGCTGAGAAGAAAAGGCCCCAACGTCTTTGGTATCTCCAATGAGGTTCCAGAGGGCTGCAAGGTCGACCAGGCTGTGTACATCTCGCGCCATGGCAGCCGTTACCCCGACCCTGGCGCCTACAATGGCTGGGTTGAATTGCACAAGAAGGTGAGCTTTCCGACGATCATGCAAAGCAGTGCTGACCAAAGTAGTTTCAAGAACACGAGTTCACAGCTTCGGGGTCGCTCGAATTCCTGCCGAGCTGGGAGCCAGTCCTTGATGACCCGGCACAACAGCTAGCCCAGGTGTCCCCAGGAGGCTATGATGAGCTGTAAGTCGCATGAAACATGGATCCTTTTTGTTGCGCATATGCGCAACACTTTTGACCCGCATGTTGACAGATCAGGTACCACTTTGGCGTTGAGCTGAGGACGCGCTACCCAGGCTGGTACAAGTACGGCTCACCCTTCCATGTCTGGGCCAACGACTACCAGAGGACCGTCGACTCAGCCAGACTCTTTGCCCGTGGCTATGGAGGTCCCAACGCAACCACACTGGGCACTGTCAAGCCGATCGCGGCCAAGGACCCGTCCGCCGTGGGCAACTCCCTGGCGACCTCTGATTCTTGCCCCACGTACAACGACCGCTCTGGCGCCGGGTACACCGACGTCTGGGACAAGATCTACTTGCCTCCTATCGCGGAGCGCCTCAACAAGCTGATTGATGGCGACCTGGCTCTCACTGCGGACGATGTGAGCAACTTCCCCTACCTCTGCGGTTTCGAGTCGCAGATCACCCGCCAGACCAGCCCCTTCTGTGGTGTATTCACCGAGGAGGAGACTCTGCAGTACGAATACCGCCAGGATCTCCGCTACTATTATGGCACCGGCCCTGGGAGCTACCACAACTCATCCGTGATGCTGCCTGTGATTCAAGGTGTCATTGACATTCTCCAATCTGGTCCCGAGACACCTCTCCAAGGCGCCGACAATGGCGAAGACGTCGTGGGCCAGCTGACCGTCGCCTTCACCCACGACAACCAGATCAATCAACTGGCGTCGAACCTGGGTATCTTTGACCACCAGGCCCCTCTTCCTGCCGACTCGATGGACGAGGACCGCATCTACGTGTCGAGCCGCAACAACCCCATGCGCGGCACCGTGGCGTTTGAGCGCCTCAATTGCGACGGCACGCTGTACCTGCGCCTGCTGCTCAACGACGCCGTGTACCCAGTCGCTGGCTGCGCGTGTGGTCCTGGGCGCTCGTGCCCGCTGGACAAGTACAATGACAAGGTGCTGGCGGCTAAATGGGAGGAGGCCGGTTCGTTTGAGGACTTTTGCGATCTCCCAGACGGGGCGGCGACGACGTCCAAGACGGGTGGTGTGACGTTCTTCACTGACATGACTCTGGGTGCTATTCGAGATGTTGAGCCTTGATTGGGGGAGGGCGGTAAGCGGAAGTAAGTTGAGTGGGTTTGGGAAGAGAAGAAAGCATCATCGACGCACGCGAATCAGACGACCTGTTCAAGACACGGGTGCTCCCTGTGACCGGATGCAGTTAGCTATCACTCGGATAAGGCCTCTATCAGGATTCACTCTGTTTCTTTGGACCTTATTATATTCTCTCAACGTTTGATTGGTAAAATGGCGCCAGGGAGCGGATCCCTCGATGGCTTCATCTCTAATTCAGGGTCCCGCCTCTAGAACGGGGTCTAATTCAGGGTCCAGATCTCTAGCCTCAGGGCCTGGAACGCCTCAAATTCACTGTGCCTGGCTAAGTTATTTCCTGACCGCCGCCTGTAGTTGCCGTGGCATTTCCTTTGCATTTTCTGTCTTCATTTCCTGTTCTCTACACACCTGTCTTTTCCCCGTCCTGAAATGAAGACTCAACAGGTTGCCGTGCCTCCTAGGCTCACAAAGGGTCTCAGACCCGTGCTATCATCAGCTAACCGACAAGACTCGAACTTTTTCGTCCATCCGTCCTTGATCCCAGACAACGATCCGCACAAAGGCAGACTGCTGCGCGCTGCGGCATCGATAGAGGCGGGCACGATCCTCCTCAGAGACACACCATACGCCATCGTACCGATACCAGTGTCAGAAAACGGCAGACAGTCATTACTATGCAGTAATTTATCGTGCTCACAGCGCTCAGAAGTCAACTCATCGACAGTGAAATGCGCCCACAACTGCGACAGTGATGTGATCTGGTGCTCACCGAAATGCCACACTGACGACTTGAAGCGCCACAACTATGAATGCCGATGGCTCAAGCACCAAGGCCAGACATGCCGCCGAGACGAGTTCAACTACAACTTTATCACGCTTTGGCACGTCGTTCGACTGCTGGCGGGCTGGAACCTCGAACTCCAGCCGGGCGTGGCGGCCAACCACCGCCCTCGAAACGACCGATTCGCCTGGGGTTGGGAGGCCGTTCTGCAATGCTGCCACTATCTCGACTCGTGGCCTGAAGAGCAGCTAATACATTGGAAACGACTGGCGGGGACCTATTTGATGGATAAAGAGTGCTTGCCGAGTGCACTCAACCTGGGCGAAATGGTCGCCTTGATATGCAAAGAAGAGACGAACACCTTTGGACTGTATCCAACTGCGACTGGACCATTGAGCGTAGTCGGACAACGGGTGTCAAGAGGCGAATCTTACGGGCTCAGCCTCTATCCCAGGGCTGCCATGTTCAACCACTCGTGTGAGCCAAGTGTATGTACCACCGCTGACGGGAGCAGGCATGACTAGTACGTGGGCTAACCGAGGAAACAGGTGGCGCATGCGCCCGACACGCGTGGATGCATGGTATACACGGCGGCGCGAGACATTGACAAGGGCGAGGAGCTCACCATCACCTACTTTGACCTCGCCGCCCGCAAGACGGTGGCGAGTAGACAGGAGCATGTGCGAGAGCAGTTCCGCTTCAAGTGCACGTGCGACAGGTGTGTCGAGGACGAGGCAGCGGAGAACCTAGCGGAGCTTGATGCGCTGCCTCTTGACGGCATGGCGTGGTTATAGTGCGTCAATGAAGCTCTGCCGCTTGTGTTTTCGGCCTGGCCATTCTTGCGGTCGCTCGTGTTCAGTGAACGGGTCATCCTTACTCTTCTCATGCCAGGGCACCCACGGTGCTCACTAGCAATGCTTTATGTTACATGCAGAAGGATCCTCGAGTATACCTTCTTACACGGTGTCCTGCTCGCAAGGATCTTGAACCCATCGCCGCGACCTGTAGTCGGCAAGGAAACCTGGGTCGGCACGAGATGGGAAGGCGGCGGTGGGAGATTGAAGATGATCGCGATCTTCATTGAATGGTGCTCGATCGAGTCCTGCCATACTGTCCCTTCATTTCGATTCAAATATCGCATCAGCGGATAGATCCGCTGTCCTAGTTGCAAGGCTTGCCATGAACAGAGTCATTTCCCCTATCGGCACTCGTCCCGCCTGGGTTGGGGTCGCATTTCGACAGCTTCTTCTTCGTCGTCCAGCGATGCCCTCGTCGCAACATCTTTGGTCGCCTCGTGGGTGTGCAGCTCGATGTTGACGAATATTGCGTACAGTCCCAGATCATACACGATCCGTAAGGAACCGCCCACCACGAAAGCGATCCAGAACTTGTTGCTTCCGGCCAGCATGCCTGTCAAGGAGGGCCCTACCGCCATCGCCAGAGTCCGCAGCGTACTGGTGATGCCCATGACGGCGGTCCGCTCCTCAGGCTTCACGGCGGCAGCGATGAAGGCTGAACGCGGTGCTTGGTCCATGGGGTTCAAGCCCATGCGGACGATCAAGAGTATGATGGTGATGGCCAGACTCGAAGGGACAGGAAACAGCGCGACGGCGATGGAGGACGGCAAATGGGTAAAGACCATGGTGTTCAGCAGACCGAGATGATGCGCCAAAGGCCCTGCGAACAGAGTTCCCACGGTTCCGAATATCATGCCTGCCGAGACAATGTTGCCAAGGGTTGTCTTGGCGATCGTAAACTTGCGATCCAGGTAGTAGTTGGTCAGGGTCTGGTTGCACATGCCGTCCGCCAGGGTGTCGATGCAGAGCAGAAACCACAGTTTGTACATGGTGTTGCGCGTAGGTGCCGAAATTTGAGCAAACTTGGACGTCCATTTCGACGACGACGACGATTGTTGGGCGACAGGTATCCGGGATGTGTTTGCAGCTGTGTCTGGACCTACCCTTTCGTCGTCCGAGTCCGAGTCCCCGAGCAACCCCTGGACTAACTCATCCACGTCTTCTGATACCAAATCCTTCTTCTCCGCCTCGCACTTGCTGCTCATGAGGAACGCAAATACCATGTTCATGAACCCAGTGATGACATAGATGCCAAAGGTGGCATGATAGATCTGCACCATGCCTTTGCTCTTAAAGGCCTCGACAAATTGTCCCGCCGCCTGTGTGCCAGCAGCAGAACCGAGCGTTGAGCCCGTGATGTACCACGACAAGACGTACGGCCTTGTCTGGGGCGTGGTAATATGCGACAGCATCGACTCCTCGATCGCACGAAAGGGGCCAAAGTCACTACCGCTGGCGCTGACGACACCGACGACGGCCGCGATGAGGAGGACCCAGAAGTTCTCAAAGTACGTAAAGACAAGTCCCGAGACAGCCATGAGGATGCCACCCACAAGGAGCACGCGACGACGGCCTATGTTGTCCGCCATGAGCGCAATGAGCGTCCCGAGCACGACGTCACCCAGAAGCGTCAGCGTCAGAAAGAGACCGATGCGGAAGTCAGAGAACCCGAGTTCGCTGAAGAAGAGGGCTATCGTCAGCGACACGGCGCCAAAGGCGAACATGCGGATCGTCCGCGACAGGATGAGGAGCCAGGCATCGCGACCGGTGGTGTAGACAGAGGCAATACCCGACTCTTGGTAGATCCAAGCGAGTGACTTGGGGACGATCATGGCTGAAGCATGACAATGATGAAGCAGATGGAGAGGAAAGAAAAGAGCAGGGAACTCCGCGCTTCATCAGATAGCAAATGCTCCGAAAGGCGGAGGTGCCGCGCGCGCGCGGACGAGATGCGGAGTGCCAAGTGGCCCGCGTCCGGGGTAGCTGGTCGGCTATATCGGTGCGAGCTCGGCGCTGCGAGAGCCGCAGACCGAGTTGAGGGATTCGCCAATGGGCATTCGATGTTAAATGAGTTTTCAATGAATCCCAAATTCTTGCAAGCTCAGGGAGATTTTATCCAGATGGCAGGTTTTGTACTGCGTCTCGCCAAATGAGCCGAGAAGCAATGTAACTAACGCCTACACATGTCTGGTCACGTAACAGTTCAACACACCGTAAGGTGTTGAAAGCCGGGATAATGAAAAGCACTGTATGATTGCATACTACTCAGGGCTCCATAGAAGTCGCGAAGACGGCTATTATTTATTCACAATTTATCCTCATTAAGTGGGAGGCTCGTTACCATCGGATGGAATAGTGCTCTAGGGTAGTTCGTTGAACGACTACTCGGTACTCGCCACTTAAGTATACAAATGGGTTACTACGTATCTTATGATAAATGGTTTACAATAGAAAGGCAAGACTATTGAACTAAAGAATAAATATCTAGTTCTCGCATCACGCTATCAATGTCATCGTCGGGCGGGCATAGGGGCCAGCAAGTTGGACTTTTTCCATCAGTCAGTATCCGCGTGGTGGGGAGGTAGTCATGGAAAGTTCGGTTAGAAAAAGGAGTTCACTGCTCGGAATAGGTCAATAACCTAGAAGAATGACTGCCAAGTTCCTTTCAAAAATTGCATTTGCTATACATTCGTAATACGTATGCCAGCAGCGTGGTAGTTGATGCGCTGCTATACTCCTGCCCGCCCTGACCAGCTCCAGTCAGCTCCTTTCTTACACCAGACACCACGTCGCGGAAACTTGTCGCCTGCTTCAAGTACAGTACCCCAAGTTCTTCAAGTAGCCGATGATCTGGTGCATTTTTGTGATGACCGGAATTGGCCGTGAGCTGCCGAACAAGAAAATGATCTCGGGCTCAGGCGCGCGCGGATCGTACCAGATGATCTGCATGTTCGCCGCAAAACCACCGAGCATGTCCTTCACGACATCGTTCCCAATCATGACGCATTTCAACGGATTAGCGCCCCCCATCCTCTTCAGGGCATACTCAAAGATCTCCTCATCGGGCTTCGAATGCCCCGCCGCCTCTGAGGAGATAATCTCCTCGAACAAGTGTGAGACGCCAATAGCCTTCGCCTTTTCGGCCTGCGTCTCATGCTCCCCGTTTGTGATCAGAGCCAACCGAAAGCCCTTGTTCTTCAGCTGTTCGAGCGTCTGAATCGTGGTGTGCGTGGCTTGTCGGCTGGCCTTGTACGCTGCGTCGTAGATTTCCAGCAGCGTCTTCAGCTCCTCGTTGCTCGGGGCCGGGACGTCAAGTTTGGTGAACACTTGACGTAGACGCTCCGACCAGGCGTCGCTGCGCTCGGCTACTCTCCCCAAATGATGCTTGAACTTCAAGTCCACTTTCTTTCGGTAGACGTACTCGAGCCTCTCGATCCCAAACTCGGCCAGGCTTGGCTGGGCGGCCTTGACGGCCTCCAGACCGGCCAGTATCGAGTGGGACCGATCGAAGAGTGTGTCGTCCAGGTCGAAGAAGAGGACTGTCGATGATGAATTCATATTGTCGACGAGTGGCAAAGTGTGTCGTTGGGATAAAATCTTGGTGTAGAAAATATTCGAGAAGGTGAAAGGTTTAAGATGGATAAGGGGATTTGGCCGAATTCCCTGGCTTTAATATACATTAGACACTGAAGTTTAATGATTTTGAACTTGACTGAAGGTTTGTGCGTCTCGCTGTTGTTTTGACTTAAACCCCTTTAACCTTTCGCCCTGAGGCTAATTGGGACGCCGGGGCCCAATTCACCCTGGCTAATGCAACTCAGAATTCTACATCAGGCGCTGTAGGTATGAGAGTTCCGCACCGGCATGAATTGTATCCTGTAGCTCGAGACGGCGGCTGCTTATTCTGAATTGCTGAATAGTTTAAAGGGCATTCACGTGCCCTTCTGCCATCTCAACGAATCCGCCTCCTGGTTAGCGTCTACTACCAGGGTCCAGATTCAACAGGTCACATGTCCGTTACGGCTGACTATGGTTCATGCTGGCTATTCTTTGCACCAGATCACAGCTCAATGGAGGCATTCATTTCAATCAATGTCAATCTGTATGTTCTCACACTACGCTAGCTGCAAGTCAAACTCCTTCACCAAGACACTCCCGCCCAGCTGCTGTTTCGCAAAGTTAAACACACCATATCGGAAGGCCATAAAGAATTCCCAGCGGTTGTGCACCGAGAACACGGGACCTAGCTGGTTGAAACTCTGACCATCGGTACTCCACTCAAATACGGCACTGTTGGTAGAGCTACCCCCGAACGTGGGCGTCACATCAGCAGTGACGCGAAGCCAAATGTCACTGTTTCCTGACGCAATGTCCCCCAAGCCCTGTGTCTCGGTGGCGACAGTGTTGCCCTCCGATGTGGTCTGCCAGCTACCGTTCTGCTCTTGGAGGATCAGGTTGTTGACAAAGACGAGGGACACCGAGCCCGAGTTGTCCTTGGTCACACCGATGTAGGCAGATTCATCCCGGATGATGACCGCGCCCGCAACGTCGCCAGAGACCATGTCGCCCACGTTGAGTCGCCAGGTGGCCGAGCTCTTGGGACCAAGGATCCGGTGGGTGAGAGTGTTGCGAGCCTGATAGAAGTTATTCGTGACGGAAGCCGTGTTGAGTGTGAGACCATCCGATCCAGTGGACCAGGCCGAGTTGTCCGGGTTGTGGTTCCATTCAAACTCCACGTTCATTCCGTTCTGGAAGTTCTCGGTAAAAGGTCCTACTGGGTTGACGGATTTGTCGGTCTGAATATTGGGCATTGGGTATTCCCGTCCCCAGCCGCCATTGCTGTCCGTGACGAGGTATGGCCAGCCGTCCTCCCATCTCAGGGGTGCAAGGACGGGCAGACGTCCGGCTGGGTAGGCATCCAGAAAGCCCATGTAGTACCAGTCACCATTGGGCGTGTCGACGATGCCACCCTGGTGAGGTACGCCGGAGTAAGGGATGGGTGAGGAGATGCTCTGGAGGATCGTGTGTTGTGTGTATGGGCCCCAAGGATTATCGGCGCGCAGAACGTGCTGTTCGTTGGCCGGATGCGTGAGCCAAATGTAGTATCGGCCATCAATCTGGTAGAAGCGTGAGCCTTCGAGGTAGAAGGATGTATCCTCCCAGACCGATTGGCCCCTGACGACACTCAAGCCGTCGTCGGACAGCTGGGCAACACCAATGGTATAAGCGCCATAGGCGAGATACATGGTGTCATTGTCATCGACGAGGACGCCCAAATCGTAGTAGCATTTGTTCAGGGAGCCCGCCAGAGTCCACTCGCCAGCTGGGTCGGTGGCCGTGTACACATAGGTCTTGCTGCCGCCGCTGATGCAGCCATACCAGTAGAAGAGGCCATTGCTCTTCCTGTACTGCAGGCCACTGGCCCAGATGCCCTTCACGTAAGCAGATTGATCGCTGGGGAGGTTGTATCTTTCTCCAAAGTCAAGACGAGGGACGGAGTGGCCAATGAACTCCCAGTCGACGAGATTGTATGACTTGAGAACAGGTGCGCCAGGAGAGTAGTGCATGGTGGACGCAGAGTAGTAGAAAGTGTCGTCCACGCGGATAATGTCAATGTCCGCTAGATCTTGATAGATGACGGGATTTGTGTACTGGCTCACGGCCACAGCCGCCAGGCTCAGGATGTTGAGCAGCTTCATGATGGATGAGATTGGTGAGGCAGCATGTCCAAGAACATGTTCATCTCTTCGCGTGGCCGTGTCTGTACTTATACTACTCGCATGCGAGTCCATACTCTTGCCAGAAATCGGGAATTGATCTTCATGCATATGCACAGCACTGCCGAGCGAATGGGCGACTCCCCCATGGGGTACGCTGGAGGGGTTGGCATATTCCCGCACCAATGTCAGAGCGCGTCCTACACGTTTTAGGCAACGGAAGATGTTACCCCTTTTCTTCCGGGCTTCAGATGCTGTCATCGCCGGGTAATGTGGTAGACTGAACAGCCTAGTCCGGCACCGCTTAATGGCTTGGACCAGAGCCTAGAGGGCGGAGCAGGTTCAATCGGCACTTGGAAATGTAGCTAAGGCACGGCATACTAATCGTCCAAGCTCCCCTAGCCTACATGATCACAGTATCGCTGTACGGATCAGGATACGAGTCCAAGGTCCTTAAGCTTTCATGGGATACTTCCTGACCAGCCAAGCGATGACTATCGTCAAGACAATCTCCAGACCAAAGAACATTGTCGCCATCTCATATCCAATCGGGAAGTGCGGTGCCTCCCCAGTGTTATACACAAACAGTGGCATCCATGCTTGAAACGTGAAAGCTGCCGTATCAACAATGCCAATGCGAATAGCGCGGTGCTCGGCCGAGTATGACAACACTACGTGGATCCATGTGATGATCAACGCGCCCGCGCCAGTTTCGAGGAACGTGAGCAACCAGCCGGTCATCATAGCTGGCAGATTTCCATCGGGCCAGACAGACAAGATCACCGTACCGATCATTGCAATCACGCAGGCGACAATGATCAGCAGCCAGCGCATCTGGATAGCTTCTGATGTCCAGGCGTAGGTGAGCGCGAAGATGATTTGCAGCCCATAACCGGCCGAGGGGATGATCTTGACCTCTTCCGTGCTCCATCGACCCGTGTCGCGCAGCCAGAGGTTGAAGTAGGAGTAGACGCGGATGCCAAGCACATGGGCGATCAAAAATGGCACAGAACATTTAGAGAGGCCATGTCGTGAGAATCCGCTTCCAGATGGGCCAAGTGAGCTTCTTCATGGGGGCGCGCTCTATATGCTCCATGCGCGAGATGGCGAGCGCCTTGTCAGCCGGCTTGGGCCACAGAGCCTTGGACGAGTGATGTATAACCGGGATGGCCCAGAATCTATAGATGCCCACAGGGACGCCGATGACAAAGTCAAAGATGAACAACCACTGCCAGGCGCGGAGACCGGCTCGGCCATTCATACCTGCATAGAGGGCCGCTTGAAGGTAACCAGAGAATAGCTGCGCTGCGCTGCTACTCGTTTGGAAGATGCAAGCCCGCTTACCTGGCTCGAAAGGCGTGTATAGTTGCCTAGGAAGCGCTTTGCGAGGTAGTTGACGCCGTGGGGAAGTCCGAAGGTCGTCAAGCCGTTGGAAAAGTAGGAGGACAGGCCAGAGCTGGTCAAATTCATGGCAAGAAGAGGATGGACGGAGTCTACGATAGCCAAGGTTCTTGTAGAGAATTGTCTCACTTATCTGGAGAGGATCTTTGGCCAGTAAAGACTGGCAAGACTCGGATACTGCGAACGTCAAACCATGTTCAGGATGACTTATTAATATGCCCTCCGCGCTTACCTTATAGAGCTCTTTAAGAACAGCGTGTGGAGAAGCGTCCATGCTATATTCTTTGCGGAGAGGAAAGAGTTGAGAGTCTCGAGACCCCTAGTGATCGATCAAAGACAACCATATACGAGAGTTGCAGGACATGTTGTCCGTGCTTGGTCCGGCTTTCAACAAGGTGACTGCATTTGGAGTGAGAAGAAAGCCAAGAGTTCAGCACCCGAACTACCGCACATGTATGGCCGAACTAAGCCATTGGTTCGATGAATGGGCTCCTCACCTGCAACGCCTCTATCACGATCGAGTGTCGGAGTTTCGGAGCACCCCAGGCATACAAGAACTGAGCATTGTGGCCGTTTGTTTGTTTTGATATAATTATTTCCCAAGAGATACGGATTCAGAAAACAGCCAAACTCTGACGTCGACGCTCTTTGACTACATCTGATAGGAAACACTCTGTCGAGTAATTATCGCCTCTTGAACCTCCACTGACACGTACACGCGACTCATGCACTAATACCCGCGGAGCAAATCCTGAGTCATTCATATCTCCAGCTCGGAACAAGCTCCCCATAAATTCGGGAACTCAGTTCAAAGCAACATCTCTTCGATTTGGAAATTGGCCATACCTCCCTGAATTCAAGATGGCATCTACACGCCGCGCATGGGTTGTTGACAACCAGACCGAGGTCCTCTCCGGCCTCGTCTTGAAGGATCTCCCGCTGCCTGAGAGCATTGGCCAAAACGAGGTCCTTGTCGAGATCAAGGCTGCGTCAATCAATTATCGCGACGTGGTTATGGTGAAGGTAAGTCTGAGCTGCTTTGCCCTGTTTTCAAAGACTTACGTGGCTCAGGGTTCCCTGAACATACCAACTGCGCCCAGTGTGATTCCCGGCTCTGATGGAGCAGGTGTTGTGCTGCAAGTTGGCTCGTCCGTCAAGGCACTGGCACAAGGCGACGCCGTGGTGACGCATCTCGTCCCTGAAGACTTCCCATCCGAGGAGCTGTACGCCTTGGATGACGATACTCTGCCGCTCATGGCACACATCACAGCTGGACTGGGCGGCGCACTCAACGGAACCCTGACAACGCACGCCATCCTCCCTGCGTCATGCCTCGTAAAGTTTGACAACCGCGCCCTGTCATTCGAGGAGGCCGCTACGCTGTCGTGTTCGGGCATCACGGCCTGGAACGCCCTGATGGGCCTGCCAGGACGTCAAGTAAAGAAGGATGACTGGGTCCTCGTCCAGGGGAGCGGAGGTGTCAGCGTGGCAGCTCTGCAATTCGCGGTCGCAGTGGGCGCCAATGTCGTCGCAACGACTGGGAGCACCGGAGAGAAGGAGAAGAGACTGCGACAGTTGGGCGCGAAACATGTCATCAACTACCGAGCGACCCCTGAGTGGGGCACGGAGGCGCGAAAGCTGACGCCGGATGGCCGAGGCTTCGATGTTATTGTCGACGTCGGCGGCCATTCGACGCTATCGCAGACGATGAAGGCGAACAAAGTCGATGGGCTGGTTGTGTTGGCGGGCATGCTTGGCCAGAGTGATGACTCGGTGCCTTTGATGAGCATCCTGATGAACCCGTGTACCACACGAGGTATCATCTTGGGAACCCGCAACATGATGAGGGACATGGTTGCGTTTGTGGGGGAGAAGTAGATCAAAATGGCCACTGACACTCAATCATTCACGTTGGACGGTCTGAAGGACGCATTGGCGAGGATGGAAGCGCACAAACACTTTGCCAAGGTTATTGTACAAATTGGTTGAAACACTAAGGACAGCTGATTAGCGTACGTACACCACCGCGCATAGTCAAACCCATGATAACGCCTGATATGCTCGCTATTCACCCGCCCCCCTATCATGCACCGACACTGAAACCGAAAGCACCATCAAAGACGTCCAATGCCTGGACATCTCGCTCACCGCCCCTCAGTGCCTTGAGAACATCGGTCGAGGGGACCTTGTTGGCTGGGTAGAACAGCAGCAGGTTTTCCATGTCCTCCTCTGTCAAATCGCACATCTCCTCCCACTTGTACGCGTCGCTGACTTTCGACATCCAGCCCATCCGCTTGGGGCTGTCTTCCGGGTTCGGTGCAATCTTTCGGAGTTTCATCCGCAGCTCGCCAATCTGCTCAATCGCATTCCCTGCATTCCGGGGCAGCTGTTTCGCGATGAACTTTCGAATGGCGGCGGCGACCCTTGGGCCCTTGCCATTCGTGCTGACCATGATCTGCAAGGGTCCGTCGCGGTGGACGCTGCCAAAGTAAAAGTCGCATTCGGGTGGCACGTCGGCGATGTTGGCTGGGATCTTTCTCTCCTTGCACAGTTTCCAGATGGCCGTCGAGGCAGCCGGGTCGTCCACCGCTACGAGGACCATGTCTGCGCCATCGAGATCGGAGGGTTCGAAGATGCGATCGACATGCGTGACTTGGTTCTGGGCAACGCGATGGGCCACTTCATCGTTGAGACCACTTGCAGGGCATACGACGTGTACAACGGCATCGGCGTCGAGGCAGTTGAGGATGCGCCCGGCAGCGACCTGTGCATTCATCATCAGTAGTCTGCTCCAGCATGATGGATGGCGAGAAGCTGGACAGGACATACCTCACCGCCACCAACGACAAGAACCTTCTTGCCCTTGATCTGCCACGCGAGGATCAAGCTTCCTCCTGGCTGCACCTGTGGAAAGTTCTTGGCCATGTTTGTTGTGGTCCAAAGGTAAAGATGGCACAATTGAACGACGATCTTTTTGGGCTTCAGGGTCCATGAGCCTGACGGTGTCGCGATAAGCGATAAGATGGAAACGTCACCGATGGAGCGACTGGCGGTACTTGGTCGACCGCACACACTGTGCGGCATAGCAGGTACCCCTCGTCCGTTACCTGCACTGCCAACATCGGATTCCTGGACTCCTCACCTTGTCCATATCCACAGGCTGTCGACTGCCAGCCACACCGTCCTTTGCTCAGGCTAGGACGACTGGGGCTCATCCTCAACACCTCAGATGCAAACCTTATAGGAAAGACGACGCAATGTCCGGTCGCACGCTCGGCGGTGGGCGCATCCTGGGCAGCGGCAAGGGCCTCGCACCGCCCACCCCTCCCGCCAGCAATGGGATATCTCATCCTCAGCGCTCCGTCAGTCCCTTTGCTCCGAGGTCCGAAAGCACTGTCTCGATCGGTTCGGTGTCCATGTCCCCGCCTGCGACGGGGAGCTCGCCCGATGCTTTCTTTGCACAGCAGGACCTCGGATCCAGCATCAGCGTCGGGGCTACATCCAAGGGAGCAGCACCCGACAGCTCGGCGCTGGTGTGCCCGATATGCAACGAAGAGATGATGACACTGCTACAATTAAACCGACATATCGACGACAACCATCAGGAGCTACCAGAGGAGGAACAAGACGAAGTAAAGACTTGGTTCGACAAACAGGTCTCGAAAGCGAAGCGATTCCAGCCTCTGTCCTTGATCAACCAGAAACTGCGCGGCCTCGAGGTCTTTGAATCGAACGAGATCATACCAGTACCTGTACCACATCATGGGCCGGTTGCGGCTGGGAAGCTACCTCTCGATGGAGCGATTGACCCAGACGAACTTATAACGCGGAAGCATTGGCAACGCACAACGATGGACGATCACTGTACAGACCCGGCATGCGGACGAAACCTTGGTCCCATCACCGGCAGTATCAACTGTCGGCACTGTGGACTGCTCTTCTGCGAAGAACACACCATGTATCAGATGAAGCTCAGTCGGAGCGCGAAGCATGAGCCTGTCCGAGGGTACTGGGCGCGGGTTTGCGAGACCTGTTACAAATCAAGAGAAGGATATAATGACCACAATGGCCTGGTGGTGGATCACACAAGCACTTTCGCCGCCATTCGAAGGAAACGGGTGGAGCGGCACACACTGGAGGTTTCCAGGCTGGAAAAGAGACTGACGAAGTTGACGCAAATACTGGCCAACCCACCAGAACGCCTGGCACCCAACGGATCAATACTCTCGCCCGTCACTAATCTAGCCGGCCAGAAGAACACACGGAAACTACTCGAGCAGTCGGTTGTCACCTGGGAAGACGACAGCACGGTCCCGAAATGCCCGTGGTGTCAGCAGGAATTCGGCTCGTGGACTTTTAGAAGGCATCATTGCCGGATTTGCGGCCGCGTAGTATGCGCGGATCCGCAGACGGCATGCTCCTCGGAGGTTGGGCTCAGCGTGGCAGCTGGTGGGAAAAACGGCTCGACGGAGAAGTCAGAAACGACGGTCGGTATAGACGTGAGAATGTGTCGCGACTGCAAGCACACGATCTTTTCGTCGCGCGAGTTTGCGGAGTCGCTGGCGCATAAACCTCCTGACCAGCGAGCGTACGAGACACTTCGCCAGTTCGAACGCGGCATCCGATCATTACTGCCCACATTTCACCGCACCCTGCTGGCATTACAGCCTCAGACCACAAGTTCGGGTGAAGTCGATCTTTCGAAGCCGCCGCCAACTCATGCCCAGATCCAAGAAGCTGCCAAAATACGGAAACGCTTGGTCGATAGCTTCAGTAAATACGGCTTGGCGGCGAAACGGATGCGCGATCTCGAGGGCGGACCGCAGCAGAAGAAGCTGCAGATGGGCGTGTATACGTATGCAAGCTCCTTTCTGCACGTCAACATGTTACCTCTAAAGTCGCTGCCTTCACTCCTCCGCTCGTCGTCCAGGACATCGCAGCCCGCGAGGCTCATGTCCCCGAGCGGCAATGGCCCATCCGGCCTGCGGCATTCACAGGTCGCCACACCGTCCGACATTCGGTCCGACGTCTCGGAAGACCAAGCCAGCACCGTCGTGTCCACCCTGGAGTCGGAGGAGAAGACACTGAGGGAGCGACTCGTCGTGCTGGAGGAGCAGAAATTCATGGTCGAGGAGATGCTGCGCGATGCAACGAAGGGCAGGCGGTTCGAGGAGATTAGCGCATTGACGCGGAACCAAGAGGAGTTGGACGCTGAGATTCGTGACGTCCGAGGCAAAGTGAGCGAATTGGAAGACCGCTTTGCAGGCGTCTACAGAGATGGCGGCTGAATTTCGAGTGACGAGGGGAGTTCCCATGCATTGGCCCGGCGTTTCTGGTGGGTTTATCTAGCGGGCATACAGGCACTTCATTACGTTAGCAATGAGAATTTGAAACCGGTCAATATATCTGATTATTCCAGTGTGACCTATCCATTCCGTGCAAAAAGAGATGCCTATGAAACAGAATCCCTATCCATACCAGGGCCGTGATAACGCCGTGTGCCATCGTAAGCAACTCAAAAGGTATATATCCCACGAAACCATGAAAAAAAAAAAAAAAAAAAATCCAGAGCAAAGGGCAACATCACTAGTGCACCACTCCCTCCACACCTCCCAGGAACCGTCTCACGCGGCCCATGTCTAGGCCGTCGCGCTCACTCTCGACAGCCTTGATCAGCCCGTCAATGACGGCGTCAACTTCCTCCTCCTTGACACCCGTGCACAACGCGACGACCTTGCGGTATTTGACTTCCACATCCCGAGACCGTGACTTGAGCCCGTTGACCATGGCCCTCGTCCCATTCGTCGTGTTCTGCAGAGCCTGGATGCGCGCCTTGAGGACATGCGCCGAAGGCAAAAAGTCCGCCGAGTTCGACTCGAGGATGGTGCTGAGCTCTGTCTCCCACGACGCGAGGTTGGTGTCTCTGGCGTCCTGCATGGCGCGTAGTTGATCTTCCTGCCGCGACTGGGCGAGGTTCGAGATGATCTGCCGCGCCACCTGCTGCTTCTTGAGGGTGGCTGTGAGGTTCTCGTGCTGCCGTCTGGCTTCGCCGAGTTGCGACGACGTGGAACGGAGCTGTGAGTGGAGCGCATCGACAGATTGCTGCTTGGCTTTGAGCTCCTGGTGGAACGAGGTGCTTGTCTCGGTGACCAGATGTGTGATTGCTATTCGTTCTTGTCAGCCAAACGTTCATGATCTCGAAAGCGGATGGCCAGATACTCACACGCAATGATCTCGTCGCTGCTTTCCCTGGTCTTGGAAGAGGCGGCCACTCCGTTACTCAGTTCGCCATTCTGCTGCGTGGCCATCTTCTCCTCTTCGCTCTGCCCGCCGACACCAAAGTCGAGAGGCTTCAGATCCGCCCGGTTGGCAATCATGGGGTCGGCGCCCACCTCGAGTAACTGGGATACTATGCTCCTGTTGCCTATCCTTGCCGCAATGTTGAGGGCCGTGTCGCCGGATGAATCCTGGTCGTTAACGATTTCGCTCATGAACCGTGCAATGCCCATCTTGGGTATCACCGAGGTGGAAGGGTTACTACCCTGCCGGACGACCCATTCCAGTAGCGACTCGAGGTAGTACCGGCTTGCTGCGCTACGTCCCTTGACAGCGCTGGTGAAGGCAATGTGGTGAAGCACGGTGCGGCCCTTGTGATCCCGCGCGTCGATCGTCGTACCGAGATATTCGAGGAGATCTGGGAAAGAGCCGTGGTCCATAGAGTTGGTGACCAAACAGGCGCGCATGAGAGCCGTCTCGCCAGAGTTGTTGACGCGGTGCGGGCTTGCGCCCGCTGCGATGAGGGCACGCAGCAAAGGCATGCGCGATAGTGTGGCAGCCCAGTGTAGAGCTGTGTGTGACTGTGCATCAATAGGCATGTCGAGCTCAGCTGGTGCAAAGGAGCGAAGCATCTCGTGCTTGGCAGAATCGTTGCCTGCGTCTTCCATAAAGAGACCCATGAGCAGCCCGCGCTTGTGCTCCATGTCTGGTGACATCTCGTAAGCGAGGGGAGGTAGAGCGCCACCCATTTGCTCGTCCTCGGGTGTTTGGTCATGGGGAGGTTGTTGCTGCGTGTATACAAATGACTCGTTTGGTTCTGTGGGCGATCCAGGGAACGCAGTGGCGTAAATGTCCATATTCTGGCCATATCCTGCGCTTCCATTGAAGCTCTCCACCGGCGTCATGGTCGTGCGCTGCCGTTTCCTGGGGGGCTCTGTCTCCTGCGACCCAACCATCTGCTGTGTCTGCGTCGAGTAGGCCGATTCCGGCTGTTGCTGCTGGTCCGAGACGCAGCTTTGCTGCGAGTTGCCGGGGAATTCGTCGGGGTTCTGCATAGAGGGTTGACGCTGAAAGCTGGGTGCCCGTGTCGGCCCATTGCGCGAGCGTGGACCGGGCGAGTCGAAGCGCGCTTTACTAATGGCCGCAACGGCATGCGAGGCGGTGCTCGAGATGTTCTTGAAGAAAGTCCCCGAAAGTCCACTGGTTCGAGTGTCGGCGCCGGAGTTGTAGAGTCGCTTCCTCTGCGCAGCCATAGCCTGCTCTTTCGTGGGTGTGTTGAGGTTGCCGCCTCCCGCCACGCCGCCGTCCTGTCCCATGTCGTATTCGAGCAGAGGGCGGAGGATCTCCTCCACGCCATATTGCCGACAGACCTGGACACCTCGCTCAAACTTGATCCATGTACCCTGGTATTTTCCGTAGCCACCCTGGACCTTTTCGTGCTCGCCTGTCTGTATCTCCTTTTCGAGGATCTTGGTTCGTTTGCCCTTCTCGACACCAGCGACCTTGAGGATCTGTGTGGCGTTGAGCCAAGAGTCGTGACGGCGGCGCATGACGGCGATGCCGTTGACTTCCATTTCGTAGACGTCAATGGTCGAGTAGGATGCGGTGAAGATCTGAGGGTCCGCGGTCGTAGACATATTGTTAGCGAAACTGCGATTGTTGAAGGAGGTGGTGCCCATGGTGCCTGGTTGCGACTGTTGGCTCATGCTGAACGACTGATGTGACGATTGGGAGGCCATTCTGGGGGACCAGCCGCGCCGAGACGCAGAGAGCAGTGTGTGTTCAATCGATGCTCGGAATCGTGACTTTTGTTGCTCTCACAGGCGGAGTGTCCCACACCGTTGCATAGAAAGGATTGAGAACGAAGTGTTGGTGAGTGTATGGCGATGCAGAAATGACGGGCGTGGACCTTGACGCAGCGGAGCGGGACGCTCGTTGGCACCAGCTTGGCTGGACTCCGGACTGGCCTTAGCTGCCCTGCCAATGGACAGACTGGATGCGGTCACTGGGGCTTGCGGCGGCGGTACGCTGTGCGTGCAGCAAATGCAAATGCACGCAATAATTAATTTGTGCCGCTAGCACGAACTGTAATTCCGACGGACAATCGCTAAATCGCGAGTCGAACACTTCGTTGACCGGTAGAGTTTATGAGATGGCGAACGTATGCTTGGAGCAACGGGCGATAACAGCGACAGAGGGAATGAGCTGGACGTATGTAATTAACGGCGCCTGTGAACCATCTGTGAGATGTCGTCGGTTATGCCCAGGGTGTGAATCGTCGGCCAAGGGTCGCGATGAAAAGTCGCGTCGAGGTCTCAATTCAATTAAACCTTCTGGCGTCGAGACGCCAAAGACGTGTCGTTTTCGTGATACCGTGTCAGCCACGCGTAGTCCGACTTAGTCAGCGGAGCACTCCTCGTCACTTGAACGCCAATGTATTTGGATGCCGAATGAGTTAGACTGCCCAAGGCTTTCCCAAAACTAGGAACTCACTGGCATCATTTTGTCCTCAATCTGACCGAGTAAATGAAAGCACGTCGTGATCAAGTATTGCAGCCACCATGGATGATGCCAGCCACAAGCCGCCCTCTGCGCAGCCGCTTGTGAAATTCCACTTACCCTGAACAACGTGCCAACCCGAAAAGTCCAGCTCTTGACACTTCCCAAGACATCACCCTACCATCAGGACCACACAATGTTCCAGCCAGCGCCCTCGCATCCGCTCCATCTCTACCGTCATCTCCTCCGGCAAACATCATATCTTCCACCCGTTCTGTCTCCGACCTTTCGAGCGCGGTTACGCCGAACATTTCGACAGAACCGATACCAGAAAACCCATATTGCGCGAAGAATTGCTCGCGCAAAAGCAAGCCTTCGGACGCTGTCGGCAGCCAACAATGGCGACTCGAAATGCATGCGCCATCTCATAGATGAGGGCTTTGGCAGATCTGGCAAGAGGCGGGCGACTCTGCTGCGGCAGTTCTTGGTCCCAGAGGGTCCCGAGGATTCGGACGCGCTCGAAGCCCTCACAAGCGGCCATCAAGAGCCAGTGCCACCAAGTTTGGAAGTAACACAAGAGGGACAGAGCTCGGAAGCGACACAAATCAAGCCCAAGAAGCAAAAATATGGGTTTCTACAAGCATGGGACCGGCCCAAACTCCTCAGGTTTCTCAAGTCACAGAAAGATCAAATGGGGGTCGCCAGCGCCGATCGCGGCGTATTATGGAACGTTGGGGACATAAAGTCAGTCAAGGAGGACAACGAAGTCCCCGAACTGAATAAGTGGGGGAAACCCCCGGGCGAGACGCTCGTGAGGGCCAAGCAAGCGAAATTCTGGAAGCGCAACGTCGAGAAGATTCTGCCACCACTGGGTCGGGGAGAGTGGGAGATGCTTGAGAAGCTGAGCATCGGATTGCAAGCGGATGGGGACAAGGAGTACCGCATTCCCGAAAAACGAACACCGGCAAAGACTGCGGACGCTGCATGGGACTGGAAGGAATATGCCGTCCAGCCCACCTCCCATATCGAACGTGCAGCTCAGATCAAGCAGCGACAAAGGCATGGTGATCTGTCCGGAAACCCGTACCTGGGCCGGGCCAAGAGAGACAGCGTGAGCGATCGCTGGTACAAACGCACATATGGGCAAGCATGGCGCAAGTCGGCGTACGTCGAAGAGGACCCCAACAAGCTCAAGAAGAAGTTCGCTTGGGGCGGCGCACCACAGTCGACACCCGGTCCGGCCCCTGAGCAAATGGGCGTCTTTCAAGGCGTGAGTGCACGAGGGGAGGTCGCCAGCAAAGGCCGCTCTTGACATGTCTATCGACTACCTAATCTAACAACTTGGCCAATTTCTGGAGCCCTTCGTTGTCCACCCGCATACCCACCCACTCGCTCATGGCCTTTGCACCAATGCTCTCATAAAACTTGATACTGGGCTCATTCCACTTGAGCACGACCCAGTCCAACCGGCCACCGTCCATACCGACAGTCTCCTTGGCGAGCTCGACGAGCAATCGCTTGCCGTAGCCACGACCGCGCATCGTCTCGCGCACAAACAAATCCTCGAGGTAGATACCAGGCTTGGCGCGCCAGGTGGAGTAGTTGTAGAAATACAGCGCCATACCTGCGGGCTCGCCCTCTGGTGTGAAGAGGAGGAGGCATCGTGCAGGCTTGGTTGAGCTGGTGGGCTCCGTGTTGGGGGTGATGGAGGTCTTGGGTCCAGTGGCATCCGAGGGCGCAAAGGCAATGGTGGCCTCGAGCGTGGGCACCGTGGCCTGGTTGGCGGCCGACTCCTTCTCGTAGTCGGCCAGCTCTTGGATCAGCTGCAGGATCAGAGGGCAGTCTGGTGTGGTGAGCTTCCCGTCTCTTGTTGGTGAGAGGCGCTACGTACCCTCCTTGCGTGCGTGACGCACGATTGCTTGGTTGGCCATTGCGGTGGTGTGTGATGTGTGGACAAAGTCACAAAGCGACGGTATTGGATCGACGTTCGGATGTGGTCCGGCACTCTGGACCTGGACGATCAAGCAGAAAGTCTTGCCTTTCAGGAATCAGGGCACAGGGCGCGATGGACAACCGCGGGGCGCGTGGGGCTGCGGATCGTCAGTCGTGAGACTCATGACTCGTACATGCAGTTTACTAGTCTAGTGCTCGGCTTGCAGTGCGGCGGCAAGCCGACGCGCCCCGTTCAATACATGTACTTACCGAGCACCTATACGGATAGGGTATCAGTATATTATCACGCTTTGCATATGAACCCAAGTGTCTCGTCCACGATACAGGGTAGTCGCAATCTATACTACAGCACGTAGCCTACACAAGTTTAATACGCAGTTCGGTTGGAAGTTATTTCAATGTTCTCAAAGGGGTACGGATAGTCGGCGTTCGCTTTACTGCACGTAGTAGCATACAGAAGCTCGAGATGCAGTTGGCTCGTAGTTGGTTACAATACGGCTAGTCGGCACCGATTTTACAGCACGTAGTAGCATACAGAAGCTCGATGTGCACATGCCGTTGGTCGACATTGACGTTACAGCACGTAGGAGCATGCAGAAGCTCGGTATGCAGTTGGCTTGTAGGTAGTTACCGTCCGGGTAGTCGGCACTGGGTTTACAGCACGTAGTAGCAGACATCCAGAAGCTCGAAATGCCGTTGGTTTGTATGTAAGTACTTGGTTATCATACGGGTAGTCGGCATTGCTGTTGAAGGCCGAAGCATGGACATTGTCAAGTCGGATGAAACGGCAGAAATACAGTAGCCGATAGTCACTCGAGACATTGATTCGCAAAGGCCATAAGTAGGCGATGTCGCCTGAGCGATTCTAAATCGATTCTGGACGAGCTCCTGTGTATACTGATCTACAAGCTGAATATAGCCACTCGCTCCTCTCTTTAGGTAGGTGGCAAAGAACGTCACACATTGATACAAGTACACACAGAAATGATAACTAAAGCTTACACGCAGCTTGATTTTGAAACGCAATGTTCTGGGCAATCTTCGTTGCAATGCTTCTCAACCCGTTCCGGCCATGCGAGGGCTCGCCAACGTTCCAAGAGGAATACCGAGGCAACTACGTGCCAGAAGTAATCGATACGCAGCATGGGCTCCAGATCGTCGCACCGGATACTCCATACGTGGCAGCGGCAGGCCAAAACAAGTTGTACTTCATCGACACCCGGTTTGATGTTGAGACCGCGAGGCACGTCAAGGAACAGATCGAGAGAGCAACAGTGCCCCACCCAGACGAGTATATATCCATCGACGAGGTCTCAGCTACAGCAGAATTGAAGAACTCTCTGACCGGCGAAACAACATTCGTATTTGACCCCCCCTACGCTAGGGTGCTGTTTGCGAAAGGGATCAACAAGCGCAACCCCGAGCTCAGATTGCCTGAGCATGAACCAGCGGGTGATTGGCTAGTCGCCTACGACCTCGTCAACACACATGCATTGGCGAAAAGATACGACTCCTGCTCCGACTACGGCTGTCACAGCAACAGTGACTGCATACGACAGACAAATGGCAACTGCCGGCTCTGCCATCATTATCGGGTTGACGACGAGTGTGACGCGCCGCTGACAAACGCTATTGGAGTGTGCCGTCCGCTCTGCTCCAAAAAAGCAGACACACCGAAAGAAGATGGAGAGACGGACTCAAGCTATTACCAACGTATGGACAAGCTTCACTGGGCGAATGAATAGACTCATGTTAAGTGAGTAAGGGCGCCAACTGTCTTCGGCGTGTTGCTTATGGTGTGAGAAGTGATAATAGGGTAGGTGAAGTGCAGACGCGGTTCAGCAGGCTTTGGGACGAAATATATAGCGTCCATGTCATTCATTTATCAAGGATTGGCGGAATGTGCAATCGAGGGACTGCGGAATCGCGGATCAAGAGTCCACTAGGATGACTCGCAGTGGTTCCGCACATAACCTCGATGATTCGAGATCTTCTAGCTCCCTTCCAAGAAATTGATATCTCCATTTGTCATGATCGTTGGAATTTTTTCGCGTTATCGTTGGCAAACATATGTTCACATCAAATCGCAGCCATTCATCTCAAGTGCAGACATGTGAACATCGGCCGATGTCGGGAGCCAACGAGGTGGACACCCGTGTCACGCCTGACATCGAGCAAATCATCCAGATGTTTCTCGTCATTAACTAGATCCCTACTCCCTCTCTGTGACTTTGCTGAGTCTTTGAGAAATGCCTCTGTGGACGTGTGATTTCGAAGACTGCCGCAAACCGGCTGTCCGCACTTTGGGCGATTGCGTTCTCTGTGACCGCCATTTGTGCTCCAGTCATCTTGAACCTGACTATCACAAATGTCCCCGATGGGAGGTTGGTCTGCCGTTGTACCCATGCCCTCGTTAACTCAACGCCTGATAGGACGCGGATGTCTATGATCCGGCTGCTCGTGAGGCTGAAGAGCAAGAGCTCGCGAAGCTGTTCGACAAAATCAACACTTCAGCCCTCGAGGCGCGATGCAGTCTTCTACGCAGAGGCCTGCCCTGTCGCGTACCTCCTCTCCAGTACAACAGATCCACACGAAGTTCTGTGATGGGAGGAATGAACTATCACATTGAAGTGTGTTTTGAAGATGGAGTGACGTGGATTGCCCGCGTTCGCAGATGCAACGCCACGTCCCCTCCAGCAGCGCTTCGAGATTATATCATTCAGAGTGAGGTTGCAACACTCATGTTCCTTGAGAAGACCAACGTCCCCGCGCCAAAGGTTTACGACTTTGAGCTTGAGCACTCAGCCAACGCTGTGGGAGTAGGATTCATCCTCATGGAGAAGTTACCAGGCAACTCTTTGAGATGGTCCTTGACAACTCCGCAACAGAGGGAGAAGGTAATAGACCAGCTTGCCAATACTTTCATTGAGCTTCACAAATACCCCTTCCCGCTTCTCGGGTCTCTTGATACCCCCGGTGACTCTCAGATCGCCTCGTTTGCTCGGGAATCGCTCACGGACTATGTGGAATCCAAAATGCGCTCCTTTGGCCCCTTTTCCACTTCAAAAGAGTATCATTTGTCTGAACTTCGACATGTTCTAGACTTGATTCTTCGAGGGGAGATGTACTCGCAACAAGCAGTGGATGCGTACCTGATCCATCGATTCCTCGTCGATCTCGTCCCGCTTGTGGTGGACTCGGAGGAAAATCATGAATTCTTCCTCACCCACGCAGACGACAAAGGAGATCATATTCTGGTCGACGAGCAATTCAATATCACCGGTATCATTGATTGGGAGTGGGCTCACACCGCGTCGCTAGCAAATGCCTTTAACTCTCCCATTGGTCTCCTGCCAGTTGCAGATTTCTACAATGGTAAGAATGAACTAGGTGACGATGAGGTCGTTTTTGCTCGGCGTTTTGAAGATAAGGGACGCGAGGACCTTGCTCAAGTCGTCCGGAACGGCCGGATACGCCACTGGTTCGCTTTCTGCTGCGGGTACGATCTCGTAGACTGGGATGGGTTCCTTGGTCTGTTTCGAGGTCTTCGCGACGCTGTAGGGGTGGACGAGGGCTTGGAGTGGGATGAGTGGAAGGCTGCTGCGCTGCGACGCTATCAGGACGATTCTGACCTGCAGTTGCTGTTGGCCAGGTAGATGGGGTTACGAGTTGACGAAATGACGACTGCTTTGGCTGTTCCCGATATTTATCGTTGTGCAGACGAGAGAACCGGTGGCAGTAGCCACAACACCTTACGCCAGATGATTCTGGGCTCTGTATATGAATTATGTGCAGTTTTCTAAGTGCTTTCAAGTGCTTTCAAGTGAATGTAAATGCCTGGCTGAATGTCACAGTCTTTGTCCCGACATTGGCTTGTTGCTGTGCTGTATTTATGTCAATCATCCATCTGACAACCCATCTGCCCATCACATCATGTTGCCATAACCATGAGCTGATCTTGAACAGCATCATTTCATTGAAGAAGAGCCCTGTGTTCTTTCGCTCAAGTCAATGCAAGCTTAACCTTGTCCGCATGGGCTGGAGCAACTGAATGCAACAACCACGCCCCGCCTGTCCCGTTACACGCCTCTATCACCGACGGCTCGGTAGCTTCCTTTGGATCTGTCAAACCGTGGAATTGATCGACTGGTGCTGCCGGGCGAGCTGCCTCCTCCCTTAAACGATCAAGATAAGGGCAACTTGCGGTCTGGTACGAGACATGTACCCTCACGTTACATCATGGCGATCCCCAACCCCACGGTATCGTTACATCGAACGGACGCTGTTTCCAGTCTCCGCACCATTGGTGTCACAATGTGGGGGAATGATCAACTGTCAAATCGATTCAGAAAGTGCTTAAAGTCATTTCGTCTCGCAATGTGAGATACACCCCTCCTCCAGCACTGCCTGTTGTCACCCAAATGCGTCTACTGCACACCCTACTGCCCGCAGTGGCATCGAGCCTCGAGCTTCTACCTGCGCCTGGCATCAAGCAGGAAGCTATATCATTCTCACACTCAAACTCATCGTGGCGGCTTGCGGACTCGTCGCGCAAGATCTTCATTACGACCAGCTTGGCGGAGCTGAAGGACGACGATGGCCTCACCCTCATCCCACCGTCGGGTCTTGACTTTGCCGAAGTTCTGCAAGAAGACTTGCAATCCATCACCGGGGACGAATGGAGCATTGAACAAGTTGACTCACTCCCCAAGGACGGAGAGGGTGGTTTCCTGCTGGGAGAGTACGACGGCGACGAAGAACTGACTTATGAGAATGGCAACCCCACCACAGAAGGCTATGCTCTCAACATTGCCCCGTCTGGCATCTCCATTCTGGGTACTGGATCAAGGGGTATGTTCTGGGGCACGAGAACCGTCCTGCAAATGCTACTTCTCAACGAGACGATCCCCGCTGGCTCCACCGTGGACGCTCCAGCCGTTGCAACGCGAGGTTACATGTTCGACGCGGGACGCAAGTGGTACACCAAGGATTTCCTCAAGGAGATGTGCTCGTACGCATCTCTTTTCAAGATGAGCGAGTTTCACTACCATCTGAGCGACAACTACCCACTCAACCGTGGCAAGAACGACACTTGGCAGGACGTCTACTCCCACTTTAGTCTTCTGCCCGAGGACGACTCGCTGCTGGGCATCATTCACGGCAGGGAGAATGACACTCTATCCAAGGAGGACTACATGGACGTGCAGTCACACTGCGCTAGACGTGGCATTGCTGTGATCCCCGAGATCGAGGCCCCAGGGCATTGTCTGTACGTCACAAAGTGGAAGCCGGAGCTGTCGCTGGAGAAGCGCGACCTACTCAACCTGTCCCACCCAGAGACGATCCCCACCATCAAGCGCATCTGGGAAGAATTCCTTCCCTGGTTTGAAGTCAAGGAAGTTCACGTCGGTGCGGACGAGTATGACGCGACCCTCGCAGACGACTACATCAACTTTGTGAACGAGATGAAGACCTTTATCAATGAGACATCAGGCAAGAGGACTCGCATTTGGGGCACGCCCATAGACGAGCCGACGGAAGACATCGAGATTGACACCGACATCATCGTCCAGCATTGGCAGCTTGGACAGTCCGACCCCCTTGACCTGATACAAAAGGGACACGACGTGATCAACTCGAACGACTGGTGGGCGTACATGGGTATCAAGAACGACCACTCGCCCATCTTCCCGGCCACGTACCCGCAGTTCTTCAATGACTCGAGGATCCTCAACTTTGCAGGCGAGGAGGGCTGGCAATGGACACCGTGGGATTTCAACCAAGTGAACGCCACGCAGCAGATGGACGTGGGCGAGGATAGGCTCAAGGGGGCCATCATGGCGGCTTGGAACGACAACGGACCGGATGCGTCGACAAAGCTGGAGATGTATTACGCCATGCGGGTGGGCATTGCGCTTGTCGGTGCCCGGTCATGGAGTGGTGAGAGGGGGCCAGAGGTGAACCCTGAGACTCTGAATCCGACTGTCGACTATTTCTCAGCCAGAGCCCCTGGCCAGAATTTGGACCGTGTCATCAAGAGCGATGGCGACGGTCCGCTTGTCAACTGGAAGCGCACCGACGGCGATGCAGAGGATCAGGCTAAGCTTGGATACGGCAGCAAGGGTATGAACTACACCATGACCCTCAACGCCGATGGGCCATTTGTGCTCAAGAGCAAGGATAACCAACTCTCACTTGACGGAGAGGGTAACTTGATCTGGAACGAGGACGGGTACATCTACCCCCTGCGCTCAGTCACCGCTGACGAGGCTTTGGTGCTTGACCCTGGTCATCCTGGCCGCATCTGGGTGAACATGACGTCCACCCACGATCCCATCACCGTCAAGACGCCGGCTGAGATTGTCATCCGTACCGATGTCGAGCATGGTGCGGTGGCGTGGATCAATGGGACACTGGCTGGTCGATTCGAGGTCTTTGTGTATGGCGGGAAGAACACGCAGTTCAGCTGGAGCCAGATGGCGTTCGTGGCTCCTCTTGAAGATGTTGAGGGCACTGGATTGGCGAGTGTTGTCGTGGAAGATGGAGCCACAATGGCGGCTCCCGGCGAAGGGGAGGGCGGTGGTGAAGAGACACCCCAGCTGCCTCCTGGTAGCGCGGTGGGTGTGAGTGTTTCTGTCGGCCTCCTTGTTGCGATGGCTCTTTTGGCGATTTAAATATCTCCTTGAATCAAGAAACTAATCACGCGAAACGATCATGGGGTTTATAAGACCTTAGGAGGTATCTTCACGTGAGATTGTCCTTGGTCGAGCACGCTTCGTGAGCCACTGCAACCCCCCTGCCCCTTAAAAGACAATACCACCCCCGTCAATCACGATATCCGCGCCATTAATGTACTTGCCCGCCCTACTGACGAGCATCACCACTGAACCCGCCACTTCCTCCGGCAACCCCATCCTCCCCATAGGATTGCGCCCACACCAACTGTCCCTGGCCTCCTTCAGTCCCTCACCCTCATTGAGCACCGTGTCCATGTACCCCGGACTAATGCTGTTGACCATGATACCATACGTCGCCCACTCGGCCGCCAGCGAGCTCTTGAGATTGACGAGCGCTGCCTTGGACGCGTTGTACGCAGCCTGTGGTTGCGGGTAATTCACCCGATGCGCAGAGATGCTCGCTGTGAAAATGATACGCCCGCCCGTGCCCTGTGCGACCATCTTCCGGGCCGCGGCCTGGGCGCATATAAAGGACCCCGTGGTGTTGACGTCGACAACTTTGCGCCACTGGGCGATGGGCATGTCCAGGGCGTGCACGCAGCCGACGATGCCAGCGAAACAGACCAAAGCGTTCAGCGCGCCAAACATTTCGATTGTGCGATCAACAGCCCTGGCGACGTCTTCTTCGTCTGCCACATTGACGTGGAGAATTTCAATTTTGGACTGGGGGAATTCCTGGCGGAGTTGGTCGACTTTGTCGGTGGAGGGGGCGAGGTCGAAGAGCATGAGATTCTGGAGACCATGCTGCAGCAGCGCGCGTGACGAGGCGAAGCCAATCTCCCCGGTCCCTCCTGTGAGGATCGCCGTGCCTGTGACGGCGAAGCGACCGGCGCTGGAGTCGAAGGGGGCTGCGTAGGCGGAGGACGGGAGGACGGGGTGGGTGGTCGGGTTGGAGAGGGTCATGTGCGGGATGGCCCGCTTGGCGAGGTTGTCGCGGTCGCTCATGGCTGTTTTGGGGTGAAGTAAGGATGCAACGGAAGACTGAATTGCTTCTATTTTATTATACACAACGGGTGCTTACAGTCGTGTCAAAATTCGTTGTGACTTTAATTGTGTGGAGGGGGAACTTTCACCCCTCATAAAAGGGGCGTCCCGCATGAGATCATCCCGCACTCTCGGGGATCTGTGACCCGGGGGTGGGGACGGGTGACTGTCGCCCGTAGACCTGTGATTGAACCGACGTGCTTTGATTGAGCGGTGCTGCAGTGGAGGTTGGATGATCAATAGACTAGAGTACTCAAGGCCTTCACGCGAGTACACTGACAAATGTCCGTTCACTAGACAACATACATCGCTATCAAGTACAAACATATACTCCCCACACCCCTTCATCACAGCTTCGACTCCGACTTGGCTGCCTTGACCTTTTCCTGGAACAGCTTGACCAGTTGGCGAATCGCCAGGTCGAGGAGGACATCCTCGCTACCTCCCGGAATCCTGGCCCCTGGGACGTCGCGGTAGATCTCTACATGAGACATGGAGTTAGCATAGTGTCTCGCACAAAAAGAACACACGGAGGAAAAGGCTTACTCTCGACCAATTCGCCTTGACCCGTCCTGGTGTATCCATTACCACCAAACAGCAGCACAGCCGTCCTCGCACACTCATCGAGCACAATGCCCGCATTCGCCTTGCACAGGGCCGTCAGTCCACCCAGCTCCCTGTCGCTCTGCGCCTTGGGCATCTGCGAGAGCTGGTAGGCAAACGACTCGACCCAGGCTTGCTGGGCCTCGAGAACGGCAGCGGCCTTGGCCAGACGGTGGCGCACGACGGGCTGGTCCATGAGCGTCTTGCCAAAGGCCTCTCTCTTCATGGTGTACTCGAACGCAGCCGCCAGGGCGACGCGAGCCTGCCTTGTCACGCCGACAGAGATGAACAGCCTCTCGTGGTTGAAGTTTGTCATAATGTACTTCATGCCCTCGCCTTCCTTGCCGATCAGATTCGTCTTGGGCACGTACACATCGTCGAGCTCGATGAAGGAAGTGCCGGCGGAAATTTGGCCTGCCACCTTGAGTCGTCGACGCGAGACGCCCTTTTGGTCCTTGAGATGGACATGGAGGAGGGAGATGCCGCGTGGTCCCGAGCCTTCGGGGCCAGTGCGCACGGCCATGGTCGCATAGTCGGCCATGACACCGTTGGTGATCCATTTCTTGACGCCATTGACGACATAGTATTTCCCGCACTTGCTCGTCTCGGCGGTCGTTGTAATGTTGGCCACATCGGAGCCGGCTCTGCTTCGGTTAGTTCCTGCTTTACTGAAATGTGTCCCGTGTCCCTTACTCTGGCTCGGTGATGGCAATGCACGTCCTCTTTTTCCCCGTGAGCAGATCGGGCAGGTATTTCTCCTGCAACTCGCGCGAACCGTAGTGGATCAACGGGGGCACACCAAACGCCATGCCCGTCGTGATGGCAGCGCCCGGTCCAGCCAGGCCCGCGCGACTCATCTCGTCCCCGTAGATCATGCTGTGTATGTACGTCCACTCCTCGACAGGGATTTCACCCGGCATCTTGGTGATGCCGAGGCGCTTGAGCCATTCGACGGGGAGGGGCGCGGGCAGCGCGGGAATGAGGTAGTTGTTCTTGGCGAAGACGCCAAAGACGTGAGGTGGCACCTCCTCGGCGGTCTCCCACTCGAGCGCGTGGCGGCTGAGGTTGTCGCCGATGAATTGGCGACAGGCGGCTTGCAGGCGACGATGGGAGGCGTCGTAGTATGGCGAAGGGGCGCCCGAGAGCCATGGGGGCTCTGATAAGGGCGTGATGACCTCGGGTGCGGACATGTTGATGGCTGGTCGAGGAGGAAAGGTGAGACTGAGGTGGATGGTGAGTGGATGAGATGGGCACCTTGACTGTTATATATAACTATCCGACAGCAATTAGACCCTTGAACATGAAGGGGAGAGTGTGATGATGGCGGAGTGTCTCGTTGATGGAATGACGGAGTTTTTAATTGTTAACTACATAAAAGAGGCGTGCAGCTCGCCCCTCGCGAGTCCTGTCGCTTCCTCGGCATCTCCAGCTAGCGCAGTGACAGCCCTCGAGGCGTCCCCGCATCTTGTCCCCGCGTTGTGGAGGAAACGCGTTCAAGTGTCAGCGGGACTTGGAGAAATCGGGTAAGGACGTCGCAACGAGCCGAGGCCACGAGATGGGGCTGAGAATGAAGTTCTGTTATAACTGCCCGGATGACATTTCTGTGTTTTGTACGTTTGGCATTGACACAAGTGCAACTTTACGTCAATTTTTGTTCGAAAATTATGTCTTGCATTGTTCAGGATCAAATAAACCAACGGATTTGATTTCACCCAGCAACACTAGCCAGGAATGAATGGCCACAAAGCAACGCCTGCGCGCGCGGGCAATCATTGAATGCTAATTAATTTTCAGACGAAAAAAAAAAAAAAACAACAGCAGGAACAGCGTCATATCTTTGTAGTAATTGTCGCGACAATCAAGCATGGAGTAATGCTCCCTTGGGTCTGTTCAGGGTAAGCCAAATGATTTTGCCTACCCTGGCATAACAGCGACCGAAAAACGACATGGAGTCTAACATTCTGAATACTGCTCATTCGCAGCAGACCTCGCCTCACTCGCGGAGAAACTCCTCTGTCAACGGAAGCCCAGAAAATTGTCACCTTGGCACGGGCACCTATGGCTCGTGTTCGCGAGGAACCCACCTTGGACCTGGTGCATTCAACAGAACATGCATAGGGGGTTTCCTGGGCATGGAACATCGGTCGTCGCATTCAAGTTCTCGACCCTCCACCCTCCACTGCATGCACACGCATAGAAGCCTTTTTCGTGTTCTCCTCTGTTGTCCCGCTGCCAGCCGCATCCATCCAGCGAGCGGTGGATAAAAAGAGGGTTGGCTGCAGGCATCCACCAACAAGAACCAGGCATTATTCCTCAACGCCTAAGCATCACCACCCGCAAGGTCAACGATTTAAGCACGCCTTGATTGGTCGCTGAGCAAGCAAGCTTATTTGGCTCTGATAAGGTTGTTTGGTGGCGCCGAGGCGTCTAGACCGTCATTGGACGTGGAAGACGGGGTAGAAAGGATCTTTTGCTTATCTCGGTGGGCACTACCGATGGATGGGAGTCCATGCCTCGTTGTCGGGTTTTGGACGTTCACAATGAACTCTCAACTGTTACTTCATCCAGATGGAGACAAAACCAGCTGAAACCATCACCAGGCCAGTTCTTGCGCCCTCCATCAGTGAATCACTTACCTCAACGACCACGCGACATACACATGTGCGACCTGCCCTCGTTCACCAGCGACATCCAAGCAACATTGCAGCTCCTTGGCCTTCCAAGAGGATCTTCTTGTCTCCTTCCCCAATCGGCGTAGAGGCAATACTCGACCCCGGCAGACACGCAGCCACGCGGGGCGCAAACGACCTTATTTTCCTCCGAGTCCCGTACCTGGACCTTGTTGTCCCAGAGCTTCGCCATGCACGCCAAGGGCCGACCTTCTTGCAGCTTCCTCTCCAGGACGACGATGCCTGTCCTATCCAAAGGGTCCCTCATGTTCCCAGTACTACAGCACACATTGTGCCAGGCAACTAACTGTGGTCTTGTGAGAAGGGTTAAATAGCGAGGCTTGCCCGTCATCCAGAAGCTTTGCGCTCGTCATCCCGCTCTACTTGTTCTCACGTACTACCCGTAGAACACAACCGCCAACATGCGCTTCTCAACTCTCGCTGGTGCCTTTGCTCTGGCTACGCCAGCCCTGGGCAGGGAGATGCCCAAGGACGAGGCTCGTGGCCGCAACCTGTACGACTCTGGTGTCGTCCACGAGGAACTGATGGGCAAGAAGATGGTGAGCGCCCCTTGTCCCCTTGACTAGCTGATCATACTCACATCACTCGCACAGGCTCACTGGAAGGCCGAGGAGGAGGCTGGTCTCATGGACTCGTCCCAGCACCCGCGTCTCAACTACACAAAGTGCATTGACGGCGTGGCCGAGGCCATCCCCGGAAACCCCCTCTACACCTTCAAGTGCAAAAACATTGATATCTACGACTTCCTGTCGCACTCTGCCCTTGGCGCGCCCAGCGCCGACTACCGCGGCAAGAGTGGCAGCTCCTCGTGGGGCTGGTACGACGAGGAGTCTGGTCGCGAGTTCATCGCGACTGGCATGTACGACGGCGTGGGCTTTATCGAGGTTCTCCCCGAGGGTCGCATGCTGTCCCTCGGCTTCCTCCCCAAGTTTGCGCCCCTCAGCGACCGCGCCTACTGGACCGAGATCCGCTCCTACAAGCACTACATGGTCATTGGCTCCGAGCTGGAGGGCAACGGTGTGCAGATCTTTGACATGAAGAAGCTGCTCGACATTGCGCCCGAAAACGCCCCCAAGAGGTTCAGCAACGACGTTGATCTGACCTCGCACTTCAACACCTCCCTGCCCCTCGGCCGTGCCCACAACGTCCACGTCAACGAGGAGGCTCAGTACGGCGTCGCCGTTGGCGCGGCCCCCCGTGACGTCGAGTGCATGGCGGGTCTTGTCTTCTTCAACCTCGAGGACCCTTCCAACCCCGAGTACCTGGGTTGCGACGGCTCGGACGGCTACGTCCACGACGTCCAGTGCCTCATCTACCGCGGACCTGACTCGCGCTACGACGGCAAGGATATCTGCTACGGCTACAACGAGGACACCCTCACCATCTACGACGTGACGGACAAGAAGAACTCCAAGATCATCTCGCGCACCTCGTACGAGGGCGCCTCCTACACCCACCAGGGCACCGTCAACGACATCAACTGGCAGGAGTACATTTTCATGGACGATGAGTACGACGAGTACGACGTCGTCGGACCCGCCCTCGACGGATACCCCGTCACCTACGTCTGGGACATCTCCGACCTCGAGGCGCCGAAGCAAACCGGCCTCTTCAAGCACAACGTCGTGGGCGTGGACCACAATCAGTACATGAGCGTCGACGGCAAGAAGCTCATCCAGTCCTGCTACGGGGCGGGCATGCGCATCTTTGACGTTTCGTCCGTCGTCTCGGGCGAGGACACGAGCGGCGACTCCGTCTGCGAGACGGCCTTTTTCGACATTTACCCCGAGGACGACGACATGCCCGGCGGCGGCAACATTGCCTTCTCCGGATCCTGGTCGTCCTACGGCCAGCTGCCCTCGGGCTACATGTTCATCAACACCATTGAGCGTGGCGGCTACCTCGTCAAGGTGACCAAGGAGGAGTCGTGCCCCAAGAAGCACGCCTGCAATGCGGACAACTGTCTCCGCGCTATGCGCGCCAACAGCATCGAGGGCCGTCTCGAGGAGAGCCAGGAGTTCTGCGGCGAGTTTATGGATGGATGGAGTGCGGATGTCGGCGCTGTGCCCACGTATCTGCAGAAGGCGTGCCCTACCAACGTCATCTCTAGGGTGAGCTCGGCGTGCTCGTGCTTGCCTACGGCCGAGCCGACTGCGTAGATGGGGGCGTGAGTGTATGTAGATAATGATATATGTTATATGAGTATTGAAGTGTACTGTTGTGTTCAACGTGGTGATGATTTGTTTGGTGGTGGCAGCAGGCACTGGGCTTTGCTGCAGGGCTTGAACACTTACCTCATGATAAGGAGCAGCAGGTCATGCTGTTCAGTGAAAGAAAAAGGGGAGTTCACAATCATTCATGTTCGCTGAGCGGCGTTCGTGTGAGTACAAGTTCCCAACGCGGAGGGACTTGGCTGTGGGAACATGTATAGAAGAGTGCGGACAATATGACGAGAAGCAGAACAAGCAATATTCGAGTTTTGAACTGGCTTCAACAGGCCAAGACAAGCCACCTGTTCCCCCCAGAACTCCGTTGAAGCAGTGCCAACACGGGCAGAGTTTGATCACGAACAGCAGAACAGGCTGTGGTCAACAGTCAATGCTGCTGAACCTGTCACCCTGACTCTCCTGGCTCGAAAATATGTCGATGAGAAATTATAAAAAGACGGATCATGATCTGTATTCCACGTTCCTTTTCACAACACAATAATTCGACAGCCAAGCACCATCGCAGCATCACCACATCATACCCCTTCCGTAAGTCTTCCCGTCCTTCATCTACTCACAACCACCCAGACCATGTCTCGCCCAAACAACACTGCAGCCCCTCCTGCCGAGGGAGGCGTCTGGTGGCGAGATATCAATCTCAACGAGGACGCCGTCGCCCCTGGCGATATCGAATTAGCCAACCTGGCCGAAGCAGGTCGCCTTCCCGCCGTCCCTGCTCCCGTCGCTGTCCAGCGTCACGGAGATTTCGATGAGTCTGATGAACCAGAGTCCCGACAGATGAGGTTTCTACGAACCAACTACGCAGTTCTACGAGAGTTTAGGCACAGTCGCAAGTTCTGGCCCGTGTTTGGTTTGGTCGGGTTTTTGGCTTTGGGCTTGATCATTGTTGGCGCCGTGTCAATGAGTCTCGACTAGAGATGGGGGATGGACGTACCTGAAGTCGAGTACGGTGAGACTGAGGTACTGCACTAGGTAAGTTTGAGGTTATTCGCTGATTATGAGTAGGTCAGAGAAGGGATATACATGGTCGTGTACTTCCTTTCATCACAGTTCACCCCCAGGTGGATGGTGCAACAAGTTCCGAGCTGGCTGGATGTCCCATGCATCACGTATCGAGGCAACATGCCATGGGGAGGTGACTTGCCTTTCTTTTGTATCTTAGTCAATTATTTGCGCATTCTTGAGCACCTACCAATAGCTGAAGTACGGTTATTGAATCGTAGCTGGACAACTCAAAAAAAAAACACATTTACCCCCACGAGAATGAGCTGGAGTTAGACTTTCATTATTCGCTACGTTAGTAATAATAAAAGCCCTGGGCAATTTCAATAGATCCACTGCGTCTTCAATCTTGCTCACTAATAATAGCCTGTCCATCCAACCCCACGTGGTGATTCTTAAGCCGCCCCTCGTCGACGGTCGAATACTAGCGGAAGCCTCACCAAAGTCAATTGCGTCTGGTCGAAATCTGGATGGAGTCTGGAATGCACTGGAAGCGGGCACGCCCGTTCGCGGTATGGGAGCCGATTCGATCTCGGTATCATCGGCACCTGCAAACGATCTGAATCTCGATAATGATGACGTCTCGCGCCATGGCGGACTCTCGGAATGAAGACGGTTTCATATAACCTTCATGTTGCCATGCTTGCATGCCCTTTCTGTGTACTCAATTCCAATTCAAAAATCCCCCATACACTCACCATGCCTTCCAACAACGCCGCTTATATCGCAGAGCCCAAGAAGATCCCCCTGGAGGTCAAGTCCGCGCCATGGACGGAGCCCAAGGACAACCAGATCCTGGTGCGCAACCACGCCGTTGCGATCAACCCCGTGGACATTGTCATCCAGCAATTCGCCGCCTTTGAAGTGAAATACCCAGCCATCATTGGCACCGACGTCGCTGGTGTCGTGGAGAGCGTCGGGCCCGGTGTCTCCCACTTCAAGCCTGGCGACAGAGTCCTCGGCTACGCGACCAGTCTGGGATCAAAGGACAATGCCGAGGGCGCGTTCCAGGAATACACCCTCATTCGCTCGGACTGTGCATCGCACATTCCAGATGATCTGCCTTTTGAGCAGGCTACCGTTCTGCCCTTGGCGGTGGCGACGGCGTCGTATGCATTCTTTGGAGATGATACCCTCCAGCTGCGTCTGCCCTCTCTGAACCCCGACAAGATTGACGAGGTTGTGCTCGTGTGGGGTGGTTCCTCGAGTGTGGGAGGAACCGCCATCCAGCTGGCCAAGGCGGCTGGCTATCAAGTCATCACCACCGCCTCGCCCAGGAATCACGAATACGTCAAGAGGCTCGGGGCCGACCACGCGCTGGACTACAAGTCCTCCAAGGTTGTCGACGAGGTCGCGCAGCTCCTCCAGGGCAAGAAGCTCGCCGGTGTGCTTGACGCCATTGGCGCCCCGGATGCCATTTCGACCGCAGCAAAGGCCGTCGAGCATGCGGATGGGAAACGACACATTGTCTGCGTCAGGGCGCCCCCGGAGAATCTTCCCGCGAGCGTCAAGGCGCAGCCCATCCTGTCGCTGAGTATTTACAAGAACTCGCTCGCGAGCCAGATCTTTAATGAGTTTGTGCCCAAGGCTCTGGCCCAAGGCAAGCTGAAGGCGGAGCCCAAGGCGGAGATTGTGGGAGAGGGACTGGACAAGATCCAGGCTGGACTGGATAAGCTGCGAGATGGCGTGTCGGCCACAAAGGTTGTCGTCAGACTGAAGTAAAGGTTGTAGTGAATAGCGAGAGGTTGTGTTGTTTTGGGAGTTGAATTTGATCAAGAGGTGAAGCTTGGTGTATAATTACCGGTATTAAGTTGACTTATGTGATCTGCTTGTTCAATATTTGGTATCCAATTGTGCCATCCTCCCATTACAACATCATCATTATTCGTAGAATTCCTTTTCTTGGCCGTTGATCTTCCCTGCCTACACCTCTGATGGCGATGCCACTTTGCCCTGCGGGCTGAACAGTGGCTTGCCGGCTTGTCGATGCTTGTGAACCGCCCGTGCGAACATGCAACACGTTGCGAGGTGCAATACACTATTTCGGTTAGTGCTTGTCAGAAGAGAGAGAGGTCCAAGATACTCACAATGCAAATGCACTCAATGCTATGACGGCAATGACAATCTTCTCATTCAGTCGTCCGTCGTATTTATCATAGGCGTAGTACGCGGCCACCGAGCTGAACGAGACAGCCCAGAAGACCAGCGTTAGACTCTCAGTGACGACGAGGGCGGCCCAGTTGTAGATGAATGGCAGCCCGTGCACTGCGATGTTGTAGTAGCCCAGAATCGTCAGGTCCCAGGCAGCCTGCACAACGGTTAGCATCAGCGTGAAGCTTGGCCCGCGATGACAGGTCAGCGACTACGTACTGTAAATAGGGATAGACGGTCGGGCCAGGTGTTGACAAACACGACCAGCCACGCCGAGAGGATGACCAAGACAAGTGCAAGTATCGTCTGCACGATGCGTGTCATGTAATCCCAGAAAGCCACGTCGACAACGTGGGCATAATTGCGACGAACCATGGTGGCAGTGAATATGTGTGGAACTCAAGTCTGAATGTCTGGCGATGGAGCGAGACGTCAAGGGCGTTACACTTGTTGGACAAGGCAATGACATCTTATAGTCTCTGCCAGTCCATGCAGTAGTGACTTACACGTTGCCATGCCGAGGTCAAGGATCGACGCGCCTGTCAGCTTGCATGGTGCCATTGCTCACTAGTGAGATGCCGGCTTCCTCATGGTGGTGTCCGTTTTCGCGGTGACGCCAGGGCGCCTTCAGCCATTGGCGATAATGATCGATCCTCACTCACCGTTGGGGGCACATCATATGCTTGGGGAAAAAAATCTTTTGTACTGACGTAGGTGCTTGTAAGTTGTGCTGTCAAAACCATGTGGCTCGACCGTCAACTTCCGAGGGCCGGGATTTTATTTCCTATTCGAGGCGATCCTTCAGGGCTGGCCTGCGCCAAGATCACCAAGTACATCCATTCATGAGCGAGCCATGACATGGAGCCAGTGACTGCTCATGACCTACAAATTGCGCAACAATCCACTCTGTCAGACCATTTGGGACATGGATCAAGTCTGTCGCAAGAGCAAAGTCATCGACAATACAAAACATGAATCGAGGTCACTGCTCCATGGCAAATGCCGACCAAGCGACGCCCGTACTAAAAGCCGATGATGGTCTGTCTCAAGAGGGTTTAGCATGCGAGCTGCCGTTCCGCGTACTCCGTCCCGTCCCGTCCACGGGGATGAATCGAATCGCGGTACTGTATTATCACATGTGTGCTCGACTGACGCAATGTATTATGCAAGGCTCTCCCTTTTCGTTCTGTCGAGCCAAGCCGTTGACACTTTGGACAAGCGATCATATGCAAGCTGTTGCCCATGTGGACGTTCCGAGGGCATCCATTTTTGGCGATCCGGGACCTGAGCCGGTGCTATCTAATTAGTGTGATAAGAACAGGTATCAAGGATCAAACATGTGCTCCTCAGTCTCCAAGTTAAAATTTGTTTTTTGCCGCTTCTAACATGAAAGCATTGAAGTCTGGCCGTCGTTTGTTTGCGACAGGTGGCCGGCTATTACATTGTTCGCCTACCTACCCTGTGGCGGAATTACGCATCATGCGAAGGGACAATTCCACGGCGGCTCTTTGTTGCTACGGAGAGCTGCTGTGTCGTACTTTACGTGCGTGTCCTTGACATCAGAGCTTGGTTTGTCATTAAACTGTGATGGTACTACAAAACTACAACAGCATCAAGCTGCTCAAGGCTCAATTGTTATTGCACCCTACATCACTCGCTCAACCACCAAAAATATCAACTTCCGCAACGCTTTCTCTTCCTTGTCATTCCGCGATTTCCCCAACCTCCCCCTTTTCTTCATCATCTGTTGCTCCTCCTTGACAGCCTGTCGCGCGCTGGTAGACTCGTGCATCTTGGCAAGCAAATTCGAAGGCTTCTCAATGTCGGGCAGCCCCTCCAGTACCAGCGGAGATATGTACGGCTCCAATGCCATCAAGCGTCTTTGGTGAACGCCAACGGATTGATCAACACCGCCATCACCGGTCAGCGGCGGAAGAATATGGCTCTTCCTGTCAACCCTGCCGTCCGCATTGACGATGGGTATCCCGGCCATTGCAGCGACGGCTTCCATCTTGGCCAGTTTGACACAGAGGCCCAACGGCCTGAAGATGTCACGGTTGGCCTCGCGCAGCAGCATCTCCGTGTGACCCTTGCGGACCGCCACGCCAGCCACCATGGCGCTGGCATTCACGGCACTGCCCACGATCTGGGTCGTGGCGAGTGGCACCATGCCTACAATGTTCCCGACGAGGCCAAGGACCTGAATGGGTGGGCTGTTGACTGTCACACGGTTGAGCCGGTCGATAAAGTTCAGAAAGTCGCTTTTGGACAGCCCTGTACCCTCCAGGGCTGGCGGCCAGGCACGCAGGATGGGCGCTCCGACTTGATGTCCTGTGGCCGGGATAGCAATGGCCCGGCCCTGGATTGAGGGTGGGGTTGAGCAGACGGCAAGCGAAGGGGGAGGAGAGATTGTGTGCGAGTTCAAGACAGCGTTTTTGTAGCTTGGGGGGAGATGAAGCTGGGACTCTGGATGGCCTGGGTGAGAGGCTGTATCTGTCGGATCAAAGTGTTGGTATGCGTACACTCTCGTGTCATTGGTGGTGTCGCGGAACTTGGGATGGTGTGTTTGCTGGTGGTAGTGATCCATGTCGTGTGTGATGCGTCTTGGAGGTTATGCTAGCTTGCGGTGCAGTGATTCAGATGTAATCCAGAAGAATGCACGGATAGTTGCTGACCCTGAGGACGTGTAGCCGCCCCCATTATATACTCATCAATTGCCATCACCGTGAACCTATTCGCATTCCTCATTGTTCATGAATGCTGAGAATCGCATTGAAAGTCCAATCTGGGAATGGTGCCATCACAGATTCACAGACGGCGGATTTGGGCTGAATTCGAGGCTTCGAGCGCCCCTAATAGGTACGTAGAGGCCGACTACGCGGATGCTGACCCCATCTATATCCCCAAGACTTGGACGAATTGAACCAATGAATGGTCGTAGATCTCCGTGGCCATTCCGCTTTAGGTCGTCCTGCGCGAGTTGTCTCCTCCGCCACGTTCGACCCAGATGCCGAGTGCCGGTGGGTGGGTGGCCTATTCTCCCGCGACGCGACAGTCCGACTGCAGCAACCATTTCCTGCGTTCCAACTCATCACAAGTACCAACGTCCATGTCAGCTGCTCGTCCTGGCCGCCATTCTCTTGTATAGACAGCCGGGTCTATCAAAGACTCTGGCATAGCCCCACGGGCTGCAGGCTGCAGCTTCAGTCCCCTCTTTGGCCGATCGCGGTCCCTGCCAAGGCTGCCATGAGCGGGAGAGGGCGCACGACTCACAGTAAGGGCTGCATAACTTGCAAAAAGCGCAAGGTGAAATGTGGTAAGTGCTTGTGCACTGTGCTGTCTGCTCCTGACCCGTCGACCTTGTGGCTGAACTCGTCCTTAGATGAACGACTGCCGAAATGTTTGCGCTGTGAGAATAGCAAGCGCGAGTGCCTGGGCTACAGCAAGTCTTTGGTGTTCATATCATCGACGGATAATGAAACGCTCTCCAGAACATCCAGCCCGTCTTCATGCAAGGCGATAGAGCGGGTCAAGGAATCGCAGAGGCATCTTCCGCTCTATGTAGATGCAAGCGTGTCAATGGGGGACATGCTAGACACTACCATCGACAGCTCGATCTCGCTGGATGCCTTCCAAGAAGACATGTTCATTTCTCATCTTCTCGCGAAGCTTTACAGACCAACATCCAACACTGTTCCCCAAGGCTCAGATGATACCAGCCTCATCGACGTTCTCAGGCACGACAACCGTCGCTCTGCAGCGCATGCCGCCATGTTGAGCGTAGGCCAGGCCTTCTTTGGGCGGGTTCATGGCCTCGGTCACATGGTCAGCCAGTCGAGATCTCACTATGTCAAGGCACTTCATCGCATTCAAGACGAGCTGGCAACGTCCAGCCATCCAGCGAGGGGAAGCATGCAGTGGCTCACAGGTCTTTGGTGCTGTTCCTTTCTGGGCATGTACGAGATGATATGTAGCTCGAGCCCGACGGCATGGATCCAGCACTCGCGTGGACTCGCAGCTATGGTGAGTACTGCCTGAGCTGAGCATACCTGTGCGTATGGCGATCAATTGACCGTATTCTCTGTCAGACAGAGGCTGCTGGACCAGAGGCCTTTCAAAGCCCATCGACGAACATGATGCTCAAGATAAACAGAAGCTTCATTGTAATTCATTGAGCTTGAATACCCACCAAACCCAGCGCCTGTGTCTGACGCTCACACGACCTAGGCTGTGGGCTGCATTGCTCAGCGTAAAAGAACCTTTCTCGAGCGACACGACTGGCAAACGACACCGTGGGCCACTTCACCCGCACCAAAGTCGACCTGGATCCGACTACAGGACATCATGTGCCGCATACCAGGACTGATGGAGGATGCTGACAGCTTGGTTGCCGGCGACGAGGGAGCCCCCAATCTCGCACATTTGCAAGGCAAGATCTTGGAAAATCTTGATGAATGCGATCATCTCCAAGCGCTTTGGCATCAGGAACATCCCGAGGCACGACGTTCTGTATCGCCTCGGGAACCCGAATCGCCTTTCACATGCGTCTACGCATTTCAGACATTCGACCAGGCCGCTGAAGCCATACATTTCGACGTGGTCACTCTGCTTCTGTATGGGTTGGCGGAGAAGACAGGCCTGGATTTGAGGCACACAAGTCCACGCTCGCACTTTCTCGCTCTGAGAATATGCCGCAGTATTGAGTACATGGTGGCATCCTCCAAACACGACAGCTTAGGGGCCATGGTCGTGATCTTCCCTCTGCGGGTGGCCGCCAGACACGTCGCGGCCTGCCCGGCGGTAGCAGACTGGCTGGGCAGACAGTGGCGACGTCTCGCTGGACAGAAGGGCTTTGACATCAGCTCCCGCGTGATGGAGATCACGAATGGGGTCTGAATGATTTCGAGTGGCAGAGTCTCAGAATCGGTCAAGCCATTTCGGGTCATCTTCAAGGCTAGGAGGTAGGGAGACATGGCTTGACAGATTAATAGCTATGCGGTCAGAACGAGCTCGAGGGCCCGAGCCTGATTCGAGCGGAGCAATGCAGAGCAAGCGCACCAATCTAGGTGGAGAGACAAAACTCTCAATCACGAAGCTCTTCTCTCTTTCAGAAGACATGATTGCGGTCTCTCTCATCACAAGATACTCGCCATGGTCAGAAGTCCCGAGACCGTCGGGAGGCAGCGCTCTCGCTGGAACAACAATACCAGCAGCCTCTGCTTCAAGACCTCTCAGCTCCTTATGATGCTACCAAGGCGCCAAATATGAGAAGATTGATGCCGTACAACATGTCATTTAGGTCTCAATCAGTGTAACGCTTGTCTAAAACAGGGATCTATTGGATACCTTACACAAAACAGGACCGGCTTGAGTTACCGGAGACCCGATGCCACTTGATTACCTCTGGTCTGTCACCAGGATATATTTTGACGCGAACTTCTCGCTCAGTCTGATGTTCACAGAATTTCTTTACACATGACATTTATGTAGTATAACCGGTGCCTATTCATTTTTCTCACACGTCTGTCAGCATGCCGATGGCGCGTGTGACTTTTGTCCGCGCATCCTCGCAGTATGCTATCCTAGTAATCAACAAGATGGACATCTTCGAGCTATTCAATTGAACACACCCATCTGAAGTTGGGATCGTCGACCACAAGCTCGAGTATTTCACAACCATCAGAGCAAGCCAAGCCTTTTGGGACATGCTCAGGCGAAATCTTGATAATCATCACCCTTCCCGCGCTGCATCCCATCGCAAGGGTAGTTCTTGATACTGCTGACTTGGAGATTACATATCTCAAGGGCAGGAGAACCAATCTATGCCGGTTCCACATAATCCAGCGCCCCAAGTCGGCTTCGTGCAAGGGCCGACGAGTGTGAGCGGACACAGCATCAGCAGGTGACCCGACAGCAGGGCACCCGGGACTTGCTGCTTGTATGGCGAAGTCACCATGGTCGGTCTGCAAACGTGCAGTACCGGGTTCAAATGACAGACGATCGAAAGTAAGCCCCATATCGAGGGTCTGTACGCAGCGGCCCGTATTCACACGCCAAATCCAAATCATTCCGTCGGAGTTGCTCGTCGCTATAATCTCCGAGTCCTGTGAAAAGGCAATGGATATGGATACAAAACCATCCGGCATGCCCTCAAGTAGCTGGACAACCTCGCCCGTTTCGATGTGAAAGATTTTTATCTTCCCTTCAGTGCCAAGGGCTAGCAACGCCGAGTCGTGAGAGAACGTAAGTGATTGGAGCCTCCAGAACTCATCGGAACCCTTTAGTAGTTTTTGAACGAGTTCGCCCGAATCGACACGCCAGATTCCGCGATCTTCTCTCCATAGGCCGAGGCTACGAGTGCCGAATCGGGCGAGAACGCGGCGACTCGGTAAGATGGGTACGATTCTCTGCAGGTGTCTGCTAGTTTCTGGACGCATTCGCCCGTATCAATACGCCAAATTCCCATTCCCATGTCGCCTAGATCTGTAGCCACGAGCGTTGAGTCTTGTGCGAAGCAGCAGAAATCACCATCGAGTGTTTGGATGTGCCCGCCCGTCTCGGCACGACAGACTCGTGTCCTGCTCATGGAGGTGGAAGCAATGAGTGTCGAATCAGACGAGAAAGCTAGCCGGCTGATCTCGAAACCCTCGCCCTCAATAGTCTGGCTCTCCGTAATCGTATCGGCGCGCCATATCCGGATCGTGCGATCCCATGAGCCTGTAGCTACAAGCTTCGAATCGCGCGACATAGTGACTGATTCGACGATGCCCATGTGGCCCCTGAGTATCTGCACGCACTCACCAGTATCAATCTGCCAGATCAGCACATCATTTTCCATAGTGTTCGAAGTTATGAGCGCGCCGTCCTCTGAGAAAGCAACTTCTGATGTATGATGCATTATGAAATTGCTCATTGTTTGGACACACTCGCCTGTATCAGCGCGCCAGATCCGCAACGTATGATCATTAATAGAGCTTGAAGCTACAAGCGTAGAGTCAGGTGAGAACGTAACCGATAAGACACACCCAGCGAGGATGTCCAGTCTATGCACGCACTCGCCCGTATCAACGCGCCAGATCCGCATCGTATCATCGCTGCAGGCTGAGGCCAGAAGCGCCGAGTCTTGTGAGAAGGCAGCAGATGTGACGGAAACACCAGGGCATTCAAGTATCTGAATGACCCCGCCTGCATCGGCTTTCCAAAGCAGGATTGCCTCATGGTAATATTTTAAAGCCACAAGCGTTGAGTCATGCGAAAAGGCGAGCGGCCGCACGGACTGACGGTGACATGGGCTCTTGAACATCAGGGAGTAGTCGCCTGTGTCAAGTCGCCAGGAATGCACGGTAAAGTCATCGCAGACATACCTGACCACCGCCGAATCATGCAAGAAGTTAACGGAGATAATTCCAGACTCGTGACACTTCGACGTTTGAATGCACTCGCCCGTGTCCGAGCGCCAGATCCGTATGTACTTATCGCGAGAGCCTGAAGCCACTAGTGCTGAATCATGCGAAAATGCAACTGAGGTAACACGGTCCTTGTGGCCCTGAAGCGTCAAAATGCATGAGTCCCATTCATTTTCGACCTGCGGCAGTAACGATATCCATGGTGGGATCTCGCTCTTGAACGTGGTGTATATATGTGTGTTCCTCGGGGTGAACATGAGGAGCGAAGAATATATCTGAAGTGGATTAGAGTCGATAATTGCAGAGTTTGCAAGGATGAAGCGCTCGGCGTCGTCGAGAAATTCAGAGAGTTGCTTGTGACCATGATTCTAGACCAATCAGCATGTTTATGCCCAGGATATCTCGTCTCATTTCACGCACCTTGTACAGAGCCTGCAAGTCTTTGACAATATGGACGCTCTCCCAAGCCTTTCCAAGGAGGCTTAAAGCTTCCAGCCAGTGGATAAAATGTTGCTTCAGGAAGGCGTAGACTCGTTCGCAGTCACTCTGGTGATTGCTTGCGCCTTGAACGTGATAGACCCAATACAGACAAGCGTATTGAAGCTCCGATGGAAGATATTTATCTACCGTCAGAGGATCAATGTCCGATCGATCAGTCCCCGGCGCCTCTAACTGGCAGATATCTTGCTTCAGACAGTCCATCACACGTAGACAATTAGCCGCCATTGCATCATGGGCCAGCTTCTCGTCTACCCAGAATGGGCTCTTATCCCGCTTCTCGGGGTCCAACAGGAAATCACGAAACGACAGATGGAGAAGTCTCACAGGCGCACCCGAGGACGACGGGATGCTTAAGACAGAATGTAGCAAGTCCAGCCTATCGTCGATGGTACTCTCAGGGATACGCAGGATCTGCCCTAGGGCGGCTGTTGACAATGGTTTGGCGAGGATGATGATAGAGCCGATGATATCTCGGAAATTTTGGAGAATCTGGTCACGTTGCTTCGAAGGTACGCCCTCAATCAGCTTGTTGAGCACGGGCATGTATGTTGCGTCCAACTGTGAAGCCTGGCTTTTCGTGCGGAAGAGGAGTACCTCGTTTAGCTGCTCGTCGGGATTTCCACATCGCCTATCATTGACGAAGCGACATACCGTGGCTGCAAAAATGAAAAGCGGACTGGTCATCTGAATAAGAGATTGAATATTAGACTGACCGGGCCAGTAGACGGCCAGCCGTCGGTGTTCCTGAACGGACGCGTTGTATTCGCCTCGTATACTTGCCAGCTCGTGCCGTAGAAACATAGATATATCATGTTCCACCACGGTACTTGGTATTTCATGGAGTGTCAGGTCCTGGTACTTGCCCTCAACAGCCTTGAACCCAAGACGAATCGGCAGTTCTGGCCGACTAGTTAGAAAGACCTTGACCTGTACCGACTGGAGGGAACTGGCTTGGGAGAAAAGACGGATCATGAGTTTGACATCGATCTCTTGCTCACACTCATCCAATGCATCGACAACAACCACCAGGGACTGATTTCTTCGCGTGATTGATAGCGGCCCTAGGAAAAGCTTATCGAACTGCTCTCGCATTGCCTTTCGGAAGATTGCAGGTTCACGTTCAATGACGCCCTTAAGGTGATGAGCGATGGCCGGTTCGCCCCTTACGAGGTCGGCAGCAATCGTTGGGAAGAACTTTGCCATGTTCCCCCGATCAGCCTCACCGCTTTTGAAGAAGAAGCTAGCGCCGAGGCGGTTCTCCTTTGCCAGAGACCGAGCAACAGTCCGCGATATGGTAGACTTGCCGGTTCCCGCCATGCCGTTGAGCCAAAAGACTGCTTCAGCGCTCGAATCATCAGCCCATTCTGATATCTGTTGGAGAAGCTCGACTCGAGTATTAGGGAGACACTTTGAGTTGTGCTCTTCTTCCCGAGAGTCGAAGGCAGCTCCCGTGGCAACGTGGTTCTCGAGGCGAGCGAGAACCATCTTCTGATCCACGTCGAGGAGAAGAGCACTGGAGCCAAACTGTTAAGAAGTGCAGAGACGGCGGGTTATCATAACATACGTCTGATCCACCTGTAGAGCTAGGGTCATTATCTGCGTACATCGCACGATATCCTAAATTATTTCCTGTGCCTCCTTGCTTTCGAATGGCCACTTGAGAGCACGGACCCCGAGTCGACGCATTGCCTGGCGCGCTGGTTTTAGGCGAAGTTTGTCGTCTAGTCCCCGTAACAGTGCCTCAGACTCTCGAGCAGCTTCAGAGAGCTGACTGGATGCTTTCAGTCTCTCCCCGTCTGGCCCACTGAGAAGCTCTTTGACGCTCTTTGCGACACCGAGGAGACTGTCAACCTCTCTGTTTATCCGAGCAATGTCATCTTTGGCGTTCAGGACGTCTTTCGAGTATTGGTGACACCGCTTTGCGATCTTGGCGGACATATCCACGACCGCGAAGACATTTGCGACGACGCCAAGTGCTTCCATGGCCGCGTATGATCCAGCTGGTAGCTACGCATGGAACCATGAAGGTGAAAACGGAGCCTTGGGGGCAGGGCCGCTCTTTAGTTAATCGATGAGGGGTCGGCAAGTCTTCCAGTTGCCTGGCAGGGCTGATTGGAAGGCTGCATGATAGCCACGCAACGCTGCGACGCACGCATTTGGGGTAGCTGAAAGAAATCCGTGGCTGGCTGTATCAGCCGCAATGAGCATGGTTACCGAGCACGTTGCGGCATTGCTTGTTGTCATGTCCCTTGAGATGATGGCGGTTTCTTGAACAGAGGCTTACCAGGGCCCAGGGGCAGGTCACATGTGGTGTGTACAGTGTGCGTGCCTGTCTCAGGCTGCTTCGTAGGTGCAGACATTGCAGACGGTGCATCACGCACAGTGTCGATGGGACTCGCACAGTGGAAGCTTGAGCAACCCACATTCATCGCCCTCACCTCGACCTCCTCCAGCTCTCTGCTCCAGTCCACAGTTCGTTATACGAGGCAGCCAAATCTTGGACTCGATGGCTTTTGTCTGAGACTTAAGCCTTGACGTAGCCTACAATTCACCGAGGTTTACCGGCATCATGGATGCCCCAGAGGCGGATTTCGACATCAAACTACAGAAGATCTCATCCGACCTCCTAGCCGACTTCAACTCCTTCCTCGACGTGCTACACAAGCCGGCCTCGCAACATGGCGGCGAAAGAAGAGTGAGATCTCGGGTCAAAAGCCGTGATGTGTACAACGCGACCCTATATGTCAGTATCTCCGCGCTCCTCTGCTGTGGAAGATGGAACATAGGTTGACAACTGGAGCAATAGTACTTGGACCCCTTCCAGGAGTTGCCGCAGCTTCTTGATCCTCATCTCCCCAAATGGATCCCTTTCTTGGCCAACACGTATCTTGCCGCACTGACGACTCGCCACAAGAGCCCTGCTCTGTCCGCCGAAAAGGCAAAGCATTTCATCCCCACCACTTCAGCCATCGCCTTGATCCTCTATAGCTTCTGTAAGATCCGCGGAGAAAAAGTCATCAAACACTTTTTGAACGTGGAAACCAAATACCTGGAGATCCTGCGGTCAGCAATCGAGGATGCTGAAGAGAAGGGTACAGGGGCATGGCAGGAGCGGTACATTGTTCTTGTCTGGCTGTCTCATCTCCTCCTCGCACCGTTTGACCTCTCTACCATCTCATCCGTCGATGTGGAAGATACGCCAGCCATTCCTGGCTTGGAACTGCGCGAAGGCCTTCCGGGCATCACCTTGCGCCTTCTGCCACTGGGCATCAAGTTCCTGTCCTCGCCAGGAAAGGAACGTGATGGCGCAAAAGCACTTCTCGTCAGGATCGCCATGCGTCAGGATATGCAAGACCTCGGTGTGCTCGATAGCCTTGTCAAGTGGGCTCTTGGATCGCTCAGAGCGGACACTGAGCAGACCTCGTACTACTACCTCGGCATTCTCTCCTTCATAGGTGGTATCCTGCAGTCCACCATGGACACGGGTATTATGCATGGCCATCTCAGCGCCAGCTTCACCCGTGTGCACGGCGTTGCGACTGATGAAGGGAATGCAATCGTTAGTTTTGCTCTGGCTCGAAAGATGGTCATCAAAATCATGAGATGCCTTGTCGTCTCTGCGCTAAGGCAGGACAGGCTAGGTGACACGGCGAATGAAATCACTGAAATGACGATTGGCTATCTTCTCGAAAGTCTCGCGGACAATGACACACCCGTGCGGTTGGCGGCGAGCAAGGCTCTCAGTGTCATCACGCTGAAGCTCGATCCGGAAATGGCCAGTCAAGTTGTGGAGGCCGTGCTGGAGAGCCTGAACAGAAACATTCTCTGGAAGAAGACAGCCCAGGGAAATGTCAGGGACTTGGCGACGGTCGACTCGCTGGAGTGGCACGGACTGATCCTGACACTATCACATCTTCTCTATCGACGATCACCGCCGGCAGAACAGTTGCCCGACATCATCCAGTCTCTTCTCTTGGGACTTGCGTTTGAACAAAGAGGCACTTCGGGCACGAGTGTTGGCGCCAACGTTCGCGACGCAGCGTGTTTCGGGATATGGGCCGTCGCCAGACGTTATACCACCGCTGAGCTTCTCGCCGTCCCGACAAAGACATCAACCTCGATCCTGCAAACAATGGGCACCGAACTGGTGACGACCGCGTGTCTTGATCCGGCTGGGAATATCAGGAGGGGGTCATCCGCCGCGCTGCAAGAGCTCATCGGACGCCACCCAGATACGGTGGAAAAGGGCATATGGGTTGTCCAAACGGTGGACTACCACGCAGTCGCTAGACGTTCGCGCGCCATGGAAGAAGTTGCACTCGGTGTGACCAAGCTGTCTGCACAATACGGCGAGGCCATCCTCAACGCCTTGCTCGGCTGGAGAGGTGTTGGCGACGTCGACGCTGCATCAAGAAGAAGCGCAGGTGCCGCGTTTGGCGTCTTGACAGCAGCGTTGGCCTTGGACGATCTCAATGGCCCTTTTCCGAGATATGAAGCCAGTTTCCAGCTGTTCCAGGACAAGTACACCACACTGGAAGCGAGGCAGGTTGAAGAGCGCCATGGGCTCTTGATATGTTATGCTGCTTTGCTTGACCAGTTCCCGAAGGTCTCCGCCCACGAAGGTGGTCGACACGCTGGAAACGATGGCCTGGGCCCCTCTCTATTGGAAAAGATGCAGGCTATAGTCACGGCCATGTTGACAAGCTACATGGAGAGCACGCACAGACGCGCCGATCTCATTGCAGAAGGGCTTAGTCGAGTCGTCGAGTCGCTGGTGCCCCTATTTCAGTTTATCACTTTGGGAAACCAAAGCAGTCTGCCACTCTACACTATGGCGCAGCTATTAGAGTCCGCCAAAGAGTCCGGTCATCTGGCCCTAGCCAATGCTTTAGACGAGCATGGCGGCTCAGACTCCGATCTTTCAACTGTCCTGGATACTATCAAGCAAGTCGTGCCCATGTGGCTCTCTCGCACCGAGCCCGAAGCTATGCAACCAGCTTGCGCGGCCGCCCTAACCCTTCTCATTTTCTCAACGCCCGCAAATCGAAAAGCCATCATCCAGGAGTGGGCTCAGTCCGTCCGTCACAAACCAAGTAGCCGCACTGCCACACAAGGCGAAGCTTACTTTTACACACTGGCTCTGACGCAACCTCTGATCTCAAGTCAAGATGTCGATATTGTTTGTGAAACACTGACTGGTCGCTGGGCCGATGATCCCGAGGTTGCGACGCGGCTAGCTATCCTCCAGGGGCTTACTAAAAGTCGCATCCTACAAGACAAGCCGCTCGCGTTCCTGGGAATCTTGAAAGAAGGGCTGAACGACTACACCACGACTGCGAGAGGAGATGTTGGCTCACATGTTCGCGTCCAAGCGTTGCGGGCAGTCTGTTTCCTGTGGCAAGACGCAGCATGTCTGTCAAAGGAGTCCATCGAGACCTTGTTGCACAGTGTGCTACGGCTGTCAGCCGAGAAACTCGACCGCATACGTCCAGAGGCGCAAAGCGCTCTCGCACTCCTGTTGTCAGGGCAGTAAGTATTGTCCAACCACCGTAGTTATAGCCACAACTGACCAATGACTTAAGCTCTGCGGACCATTTTCGACACAGCTTAACCTTTTCATCCCAAGCCTACTTCCACATTCTTCTCGCCCTCGCCTACAACACCTCCCTACATCCCCTTGCAGCCTCCTTTGCGGAGGAGGACGAGACAGCATGGATGGCCGCCTTGATGGCAGGCTTTGTGACGTCCGCCGACACCGGCAACGAGGAACTCGTCATTGCCAGCCGCGCGGCCCTAACATCCTTTGCCAACGTGTCCGCTTCTAACCTCGACCTCATCTACGAAGCACTGCTTCAGAACCTCAGGACTCATCAAGGCAACGACCGCGTCCTCGTGCCCACCCTAGAAATCACCGCCTTCCTACTCCACGTGGGCTTTGTTGATACGGACATCAACTTCAAGTCTCTGTGTTTGCAGACTCAAAAGGCAGGATACAAAACGGGCAACGTCCGGAAAATCGAAGCTTGTATACGTGTATATGGCGGGATCGCCGGGCTTGGCGACGAAAACATTGCGGGTGTCTCAGAAGCGAAGAAGAGACTAGGTGCGCTGCTGTTCCATCCTTGGCCCAAGGTGAGGACAATGGTTGCAGATGAAATTTGGGGGCTTGTTGTAGGGAAGGACGACACGGAGGCAGATGATGATTTGCAGAGCAAGGTTCTAGGTGTCGATTGGGGAGCGGCTGATAAGACCAAGATACGATCACTTGTCCAGGATCTACATCTTGATTAGCAGGATGGAAATTTCAATGGTTTCCGGAGAGAGATGATTGCGAAGGAAACTAGCTCCTATTGTGGCGCGAGGATGGCCAATTAGCGGAGCACATGGGTGAGATACCTAAGTTGGTTTGAAGAGCATCCTGAAGAAAGGGGCTACGATGAGCTATACCGACAGGGGAAGCAGTTTCTGCTTCATTCGTCGACTTTCCCATTTGCTATGGCGGCAGCTGATGCCACTGGAGTCGGAATATATCGGTTCATCGTGGTCAGATATCGGTTCCATCCCGCATTCTTAGAACCTCGAGACTGCTAGAGGCCAATAGTTTAAGCTATGAACAAATGGCCCCGGGCATCTTCGGATTCTCAACCCGAAGTGTGATGAATTCAGGCAAAGCGTTGACATACCAAAACCTAATACCCCAGGAAAGCACCAGTGCGGAGTGTCCAATCGCAAGCCTTTCCCCAGGATTTGCAGAAGGCTAATAAAAATTGTCGGGACCCAAGTAATTGCTCTGACTGAGGTATTGTTTCGGGGTCATCGGCACTGTCATGCTTGCATAAGTTGGGCAGGGTCACAAGGGCTCTTCATGCTGGCACGATTATTCAACCTTTTGGCTGATGTCAATATGATTGATTTCGCCGAATGTCAAGGGAACAGCGGCCGGCTATGGCGTTCCATAGAACGGCAAGGTTCTCGAAGGACCGCGCGAACCCTGACGCCCGATGCCATTCGCTTGTTAACTTGAGTGGCCTGCCGTCAGAGAGCCGGCCGGGCAGAGTTTTCCATCGCGATCGGTTTGCAGAGATTGGTTTTGCGGACACTTGTGTGGTTTCGCTAGCCGTGCCGTGGAGGCTTCCATGGAAGTGTGAAAGCCTAGCGCCCGCGACAACCGACCATCTCGCGGCCGTGGACAGCAAACCTATCGCTACAGATAGTCCGCACGTGTGGGATGCATGACGTTCGCAACGAGTCAATCCTGACACCCATTGGTGACAAGCGTTTGCGTTAATTGACAGCAGTGGCGGTTCCACTTTCGGGGAGAGCTCGTAGCTTCGACTTTGGCAATGATGTGAAGCGGTGACAGACCCTCGCTGTCAGAACGCTGAGAAAGGCGGTTGGCGAATTGATTTATTACTGCTGATGGTGTGTATTACACGAGTTCCAGAATGCCCAGACGTTATCGCTCCACCCAGCATCGTTTTTAGACCGCTGCCTGACCTGCCCCAGCTGGTGTCGCGTGACCGTTAACTGGTCTTACCAGTGTCACCGTGTGGCGGTCGAACCTTCAGCCCTCATCTGCTTTTGGGGCAGGGAAGGCAGGCACGGCAGGCCGCCCCCAGTCTCGCGTGCCAGAGGATCGTGATTAGCAACTCGGATTTTCTGTGATCATGTTATTCTTCCATCAGCCGATTTCTCATCCAAGTACGGATACAATAATTAGCAGCTGGGTCGTCAGAGAAACACCCCACAATGATATCCGTCCGTTTCTTACGGAGAAAGATGCTACGATGTACTTTGGCCAGGAGTACCGACGATCCCCGCCACGCTGCATGCTGGGGTCCAGTGCATGGGACCCCTAAGGCCTAACTAAGCACGCCTTGACACCTCATCCTAGCCCTACGTAGTACAAGTGCTGGATCATCACCATGACGCTCATTCGGTCGCTTCTCGTTCAAATGAGTGCTCCTTGAATTGACGGGAAAGACGATACACGAAAGTTCGCGCCACTTCCCACTAGAACACGGGACGACCCTTGGCAATAGGCCTGAAATTGATAGCGATTTGGGGTTCAAGATACCCTCAAAGTGATAGCGATTTGGAATTCAAAAGATACAGGTGAAGGTTTGTAGTCTGGACTCTGCACTTCTTATCTTCAACGAGCCGAGAGCTTTGACCACGTCTCTAGCAGCTATCACATCCCTGTCGACTCTAGCTCGGACACCAATCAAGGTCGTCCTTGCTCGACGCTGGGTCAATAGTGGGTTCCAGGCCGACAGGGCGGTACGCCGAGACTCGAAATGAAGGCAGCTGATAACGCATTCCTGGCATCTGCTCGTGTGTGGCCCTGGGCTTGCCGCGGATTGCGGGATATCGACGAGCCATGGCTCAAGGCCTCGTGCGGTGGGCGAAGCCGAGACAGACCAGGAATTCGGTTAGTTTATTTTTCTCCAGTCTACAGAACCTGGTGAGCCTTGTCTCACAGCGATCTACGATTCTACAACACGCGAACTTGACACTGCGACTCTACAGTACGGCCTCGGCCCCCCACCTTGGCTGCTTATCTGGGGGGGTCCTCGAGTCCGTCTCGGGTCGTAAGTCTGATCGCGTGCAGATGCAGTAGTAGTAATATTAGGAGTATTGGTGGCTGGCCTTCTCAAACACAAGCCAATGTCGGCACTACTGCTGTAATTTCAGTTGAGCTTGCTGTGTCCCAATCGTCTACATGTCTTGCCCAGACCAGTAGCGTGGGTAGGGAATCCAGATGCCTGTCGCACAAGACATGGCTCTATGTCCTCTGTACGGAGTACAAACAAAGGCGAGCACGATAGCTGCGCTGCATCTTCGACTGGTTTTGCTACAAGCATTGAGCTTTCAACCGGCTATCTGCGGCATCAATTATTGACAACTTCCCTATTTCATGCCACTCCGTCCAACGTCCATGTGAACCGCAAGATCAACCCTACCTTACGTTGCGCTTGTGTGTGTGCGCGTGAGGTGTGGGTGCCAAGCCGTGTGGCTCCAAGCCGCTGTAATCCCCACCGATAGATAGGCCGGGTGCACTGGTTGCGCCGCTGGTGCCGACACTTGCAGCCACTTATCCCCATCCTGTACACTCTACTCGCTCGCCGCCCCGTCATCTTCACTCTGCGTCTCGCCTCGGACACGTACATGAACTCGCTCTTTGAACTCTCGCCAGCAGTTCTGTACATCGACAGACTGACCGTCGCTCGTTGCGCTTTCGATCAATGCCTGCTGCCGTCCCCTAGTAACCGACACATCGCCATTGCGCCCACTCGCCGCCCAGGCCCTCGGTGCCATCTCCACCGTCCCTCTCTCGACTGAAATACAGGTCATGCGCCTCTCGCCACAACGACTTTGTCAACTCTCATGCCTCGCAATACGCACGGCTCTCCATCCCGAACCAATTCACCACAAGACGCCCCTGTGAGCGTCTCGACGCCACACCACAGGGTCGCCTTGCCCCGACGAATACTCGCCCCAGAAAGGCACGGCGCAGACTGCGCAGCGACCTCCCATCCTACATCACCCTCGCTCGTCGGGTCCTCTGCGGAGGTCGACGAGCGTGGACGACGTCTCTGCCGCTATGACGATCTACTCGGACCCTCCCAGCCATCGCGACTTTCGCTATGACAAGCCCAGCCTTCTCGTCTGCTGGTGGGTGACCTCGTTATGCGCCTGCATCATCTTGCTGCGGGTCGCGGGTCGATTCATCAGGACAGAGCGGTTGTTTCCAGAGGACCGAATGGCGGCTTTGGCCTTGCTACCGCTCTTCTTGCGCATGGCATGCGTCCACTACATCTTATATAACGGAACCAACAATGAGGACTTTACTGGCGTCACATCGAGCAGAGGAGAAATTCGACACCGGCAGATTGCTAGTGGTCTTGTTCTTCTGAGTCGCATAATGTATGCCGCGACGTATGTGAAATACCTTCACCCTCTCATCTTGATCGAGCCGACTAACATTTCACAGGCTGTGGATTCTTAAATTCACTATTCTCGAGTTCTTTCGCCGGCTCACTGGCGTCACATGGGAACGCTCATCGCAAAAGGCACTCGTGGTCATTCGATGGGTGCTCATATTCACATTCATCGGCGTTGTCATTAGCACACTGTCGGAGTGCCAACCATTCACCCATTACTGGCAGGTAACGCCTGATCCTGGGGGCCAATGTCGACAGGGCTACGTACAGCTTCTCACCACAGCCGTGTGCAACATCCTCACCGACCTTCTGCTCGTCTTCTTTCCGATTCCCATCATCTTACAAAGCAACATGAAGATCAAGCGCAAGATGCAACTGACTTTGCTCTTCTCCCTCAGTCTGGGCGTTGTCGGCGTCACAATCTACCGCGTGCCGCACGTCATGTGGAGCCATGGTCGCCAACAGTACCGGTCACTACTAGCCTCAGTCGAGATCTTGTTTGCCTTCACCGCTGCCAACGCCCTAGTGCTGGGGTCCTTTGTGCGCGATCGTGGCATCAAGAAGCAAAAGTTTCGCAGGACAAGCGTGGCAGACTCGTTTGACCGATCCAGCGGCGCGAGAAGGCCGACGCTTCATCGCCAATGGGGCAGCGACGAGGACCTGGTCCGCGATGTTGGCATCACACTCGACCCCGAACTTCGGAGTGCACTCAAAGGCAACGATGTTCAGCCTGCGCCGGTTGGAGCGTCGCTAGGAAACGACATTGAAACCTGGCAATTTCCCAAACGACAGAACAGCGGCACGGAGAGAAGCGACGACTCCCTCATCTCCACGCGCGACCTCGCGAAGCGAGAGTCAATGACTACGCACAGACGGGTGTCGTTCTTTGATGTCGGGGGCTTACTGGAGGACTCCGTGGGCACGAGCAGCAGCAGCTATCGCCGTGAAAGCCACTCCTCAAACGTCGATCCATTACACACTCATGCGCCGTCGCCTGCTCTGCCCGCCGGTACCTCAGGTTTCCGGCGAGGCTCGAGTGCGCTGCTACAGGACTTGGGTGGTCTGTTGACTCCGCACACTTCCAATGTCACGCGACCCAAGTCGGGGAATGGCACAGAGCTGCAGACGATTCCTCAATCTCGACATGAACAAACATATAACATGCACGGCAAACCAAACCCTGTTCTGAACGATCTCGGCGGCTTGCTGCAATAACAGCTTCTCACCAACCATTTACGATTTTCACTTGACAACATGCATTATGATACCAGGATCAGGCGTCGGAAAGGATTTTTTTTATGCGAGTATTATACAAGATTTATTATATCTCTTCAGGCGGGCGCCAAATGTCTGGCACAAGCGCCCATAGGGGATCTTCATCGATACATGTATATACTTATTTGGTGGGCTCCAAATTGCATTGCGCAAGATCTGGGATACAGCAAGAATACTTACTCTATGCTTTTCGGGAAACAGCGAGGAGCTAGGATCGAGGGATATACACGCTTTGGATTCGCAAGCAGCCGACACAGTTGCTAAGTTTTCAGCGACATGGCGCATCAGGATAGCATCGCCGAAGGAACAAGCAAGTTCATTGTGCTTGGGATAATTCAAACATATTTATACAAACGTTCCTATAATTAATGCAGCCACCTCATGTGAAGAGCCCCTTGGAGTGGCGAGCACACCTAACTAGCTCACAGGTGCTGGAACTGTTGGCACAACATTCGCACTCAATGACCGGAGCATGTTACGTGGACTCAATGACAGTGATTACAATGGCATTTCCTGAATATAGATGATGACCTTCTATTTCCGAGTATCTCGGATTTACGCATAAACCAAGCAATAACCCTAAACGCCAACTTGACCTTCCCCCTCAACTGGAAACACGCCTGCAGGTTTCTTCCTCCTCAGACACAGAGACGGTAACTGGCATATCGGCCTGCCGTCTCACTTGTCCTGATAATCTTGACAACCTGACTCCTCTGCAGCCCCAGATACCGCGCCACGGGATCCTTACTCAGGATTCGGGGTAGCTGCGTCTCCTTGAGCCTGTACCTCTTCAACAGCGCCGCCTTCTCCTCCCGGCTCAGGACGACGTGCTTGGGCACCAGCTCGTGGTGCGTGATGTTGACGAGCAGGTCGTCCTCGAGGAAGCACTCAATCTTGACCATGTTCTCCACGGAGACGAGCGACTTGCGCGCCGCCGACGAGAGCGCGACGTGGCACACCATGATGCCGGCTTTGTAGTTGTTTGTGATAATGTACTTTGCGAACGCGCGGATCTGCTGGATGCCAAAGGTCTTGTCGGAGAGGAACTCGACCCAGACGGGGCCGCAGTCGGGGCCCGGGTTCGGGTTGGCGGCTGTGGGCGCGGGCACGGACTTGCGCATCATGGATTCGCTGGGACGGGCGGAGAAGTTGAGCTTGGCGCGACTGTGATGATGGTCAGTCCTGAGGCTCTCAGGTTCGGTCCTGTCGTGGACAGGGCGGAAGGGCAAACTGACTTGACAGAGCCATCTGGGGAGCAGTATTCCTCGCGGAAGCGGTCGAGGGAGATCTTGACTTCATCTTCGGACAGTTCGTATTCCTGGTGTGGGCGTTAGAGAGAGCCAGCAATGGTCAGTGTCGAGGCAACGTACGCGATCCGCAATCATCTCGTGAACCGTCCTCCACGCGCGCCAGAGGCGGACGACCTCCTTGGACTTGGCATCGTTACCACCAAAGTCGTCCATGATTCCGAGTCTTTCAATCAAGTGCAGTGAATGCCGCAGGAAAGTCGTTTCGTGGAGGGCGAGAGGCGTGCGTGAATGTCGTTGCTCGTGGCGATCGCGAATGAATGTTCAAAAAAATTGGCGGGTCGGTCTTCATGCAGCGATTGCAGTGGTTCAGGCCCGCCGGGTAGCCCAAAAGCTGTCAGCGCCTTGCGCGGGACCTGCTAAGAAGGTTTGGTCCTCTAGCACGTGATCTGTTTCTCAGAATGCAGTTTGGAGTTGCGCTTGCACGGCCCCACTATCGGCCGCCCCACCTCTTTTTGGGACTCGAGTCGACAATTCGACATTCGTCGAACGGGACTGGACTGGACACGCGCTAGACCAGACCGCTAGAAACTGAGGAACATCTGGTGCCTGGAGTTTGACGCTCACTCAGGGCCACTCAGGGCCAGAACCCCCTGAAGGACTGCCATGCTGGACCCTTGGGACCAAAAGTGGTGCAGTACGGAGCCCGGCCGCACGGACCGTCTTAGCCCCAATTAGGACGGTTGAGAACACGGGGCGAGACCATTTCGCGATACTTTTGTTGGCCTAGGAGCACATGCAGTCCTTTTCTGCCCACCTCACCCCAAGTGCTCCTCCACGCACTGGTGTCGTAGCATCGCCATCCTCTTCTTCGCTCCGCCCTCCCCCCTTCGTCGTCGCCCGTCTTGTCCCGCCGGCTCGTCCTTTCTGGTTTCCTCCTCCCCCCTATCCACCCCGTTTTCTCGTCACAATGGCCGATACTGAAGCTCCCGTTGCTGCCCCTGCGGCCGACACCAAGCAGCAGCAGCAGCGTCCCACCAAGCCCGACGAGGATGCCTACAACAAGTCCCTCGCCGCGGCTGAGAAGGCTCATAAGGCTGCCATGGACCGTCTGAATGCCATCAAGGCCAAGATCGACATTGCCATGCCCAAGAAGGACGCCGAGACCCCGACGCAGAAGCGCCGCAAGGAGCTCATCGCCCAGGCCAACGAGATCCGCACCAAGCAGGCGGGCGGTAAGAACGCCCGCACGAGCAAGCTGGACCAGATCAAGAAGCTCGACGAGCAGCTGCGCAGCCGCATCCAGGAGCAGAAGAACGCCAAGGGCAAGGTGCCGTACAAGTCGGTCGAGGACGTCGACCGCGAGATTGCGTCGCTCGAGAAGCAGGTCAACAGCGGGACCATGCGTCTGGTCGACGAGAAGAAGGCGCTGGCGGACATTTCCAACCTCCGCAAGGTGCGCAAGAACTTTGGCCAGTTTGACGACGCGCAGCGCCAGATCGACGAGACTCGCGCCAAGATCAAGGAGATCAAGGACTCGATGGACGACCCCGAGCAGAAGGCCATGTCGGAAAAGTACAATGCCATCCAGGCCGAGCTGGACGCCATCAAGGCCGAGCAGGACGAGGCGTATAAGAGCATCAACTCGCTGCGCGACGAGCGCACCAAGCTCCACGCCGAGCAGCAGGAGACCTGGGCCGCGATCCGCAAGATCAAGGACGACTACCACACCCAGCGCAAGGCCTTCAACGCCTACGACCGTGAGCAGAAGGACAAGGCGCGCGAGAGGCGCAAGGCCGAGCAGGAGAAGTACCTTCAGGACCGCAAGAAGGCCGATGCCGAGAACGTTCTCGCCGAGGCCAGCGACCCAGCCTACATGGAGGAGATCCGCCGCGCCAACAGCCTGCTCCTCTTTCTCGACCCCGAGCACAAGGTGGAGAAGGGCCCCTTGATGGCTGAGTCTGGCCTGACGGCCCAGGCCACCCGCAAGGTCGAGGACGCCCCTGCTGGCACCAAGCTCCTCCGCAAGGACGAGCGTGAGGAGGACCTCTTTGCCCCCATCGCCAAGAAGGGCAAGAAGGGTAAGAAGGGTGGTGCTGGCGGCGCCTCTGCCAAGAGCTTCAACTGCCCCCCTTCGGTCGTCGAGGACTGCGCTTTCATGGGCATCGACCCGCCCATGAGCCAGGCCGACGTGCCCGAGGTCACCAAGAAGGTCCGCGCCAAGCTGGACCAGTGGAAGGCGGACCAGGAGACTCAGACGCAAAAGGTCAGTCGCCCCCCATTCTCCACTCAAGAACTAATCGCTAACGGGGAAGCAGAACATTGAAAAGGCCAAGAAGAGGATCGAGGAGCTCGAAAAGGCCGACGCTAATGGCAACGGTGTTGACGAGGCCACCCAAGGCGTCAAGGAGACCTCTCTCGAGGACAAGCAGGAGTCGTAAAGACACTGCAGTCACAGCCACCGTACCACCAGTCTGCTCGAACTCCTCTCAACCATTACCGACATTACGCAACTCACCGAACCCACGCACTTTTCAAGTTATAGTTTGTTTTGGGGCACAGGAATATATAAAATTGGGGGCTATCGGACGGGGCCCTACATAACCGGACTTCACCATCATCGTTTACATAGGGGCCAAGGAAAGGCGGTCGATATTATTATTTCGGGAACGTCTATCCTTACATGGAGCGCAATTGATGGGAACCAACATAAACATAACACTTATTTCCAACTTGGCTTTCCCTGGCTTGATGATGATTGATGCAATTGTTAAAGGTCCTGAGCTGAGCAGAAGCGCCAATGACGGGACATGCTCAGTCCCAAGCCTCTGATGAGCGTTTCTATGTAATGACATTTTTGTGTAATAGTAGGCCCGTGGTAATAAACGCCGTACACCGGTTTTCCAGTCTTGCTAGTCGAACATTTCACATTAACCCTCCGTAAAACGAGTTCGCCCCCCTCCTATGAGCACTCGTGACCATGTATTCTGGTTCGCCTCCCAATGCAGTCGTGATAGATGATGCTCCGTGTCATGTCATTATCGTGTCTTCGTCGTGGCAAGAATCCCACAAGCAGATGAGTTCTTAGCCCATGTAGGGAGCATGACCCCCCGGATAAGGCGCGTACGGTGCATGCTGCGGTGGTGGGGGTTGCGAGTACCGCATGGAGCGATCCTTTCGTCCTCCATGTCCGCGGCGCTGCTGCCTCTCTGGAGGCGGTGTCCGTGGAGGCGCGTAGAGGCCCAGTCCGGTGTCGATACCCGGCAAGTAGGGTGGCTCGTGATGAAAGTCGTTCTTGTAGCTGTTGTTCCTCCGGTTGGAGGGCGGTTTGCCCCGTGGTACGACCGCTCCCGCTGATGTTGGAGGGTTCCGTACGGCAGGATCATCGTCCGCCGGCAGCGAAAGCTCCACTAGGTTGAAAAAGTGCTCCAGCACTTCGGGGTATCGGTGCACGCTCGACCGCCAGTCCCCGTCAATGCCATGCTTCAACTCCATCTCGGCGTCTTGCAAAGTTCGCGGGTGAGGGGGGGCGCCATAACGTGTATAAGCTTGATCATGAACCTGCTCCAGTCTGTCTTGGTGCTGCTTCTTCCGCTGCTCTGTGAGTTGACGAAAGTGTTCCAGAATGTGATCCTGAGCGCGTTTTCGCACCCACATGCTGGGAACGTCAGTGGACGGGGATTCGTGGCCGCTGAAACCAAGGGACATACCGTATCTCTTCGTAGATGGACAGCATGACTTTCTCTTCGGCCTGCTTGACAGCCACCTCAAGGCCCTTGGCCTCGCAGTCGCAGGCGGCTTCGGCTGGTGCTCGGCATATTGCACAGTCAGGATCCATTTTGATGATGGTCCGCCGAGATTTCTGCCTCTTCAGATACATCTTAGCTTTAGTTCGGGAACGAGTGGAATCATGAATGGGAATGCTAGTGACAGGCGCCCACGTCGTCCCGAGATGTCGACCATCAGAGACCGCGTGGAGGGCCGTGTACAGATGGACAGCAGCAGTAGGCCAGAGGGAAGAGGAAGAAACCAAGATTCAAGACGGGAAGACGGGAAGACGTTGGAGAAGGGAGGGGGGCGGGGGCTAGTGGAAGATGGAGATCAACTGACTTTAGAGCAGGTACAGAGAGCGGTAGCTGAGCTGAGAATGGAGGGATGGTCCCGGCAGACGGACGGTAGGAGAGTGGGCGAGGGGCCGGACGTGCGTAGTGGTGACAATCGTATGCCGATACAGGTTCCAGGAGGACTGACTGACTGGAGCTCCGTCGTCAGGGAACATGAAGGTAGAGTACGTATGTATCCTGCAAGCCCACCCAAGCAGAGGTCGCGTTACGAGGAGACGAAGGGCAGAGACAAGGAGGGAGGCTCTAAGAACAGAGTTGAAGATCTCTCAAGCGGGAGTAGCGTGGGGAAAAGCACGTCGAGCTGCGTGGAGAAGGATCGAATGAGAGAACCTAGGCGGACACCCTAGATGTCGTGGCTCGAATGCGGGCCACCGGATCGTATGCAAGCTAGCCCAATGGAGGGTATGTAATCGAACCCAATGGCGCGAGGAGTGTTGTTCTTGTGGAAGCCGGCAGCGAGCGTCGATGAGGCGAGTGAGGAGGCGGGTGGGCCGATGTTTGGCTCCGCTGACAGACAAACAGACGTCGGACAGTAACCTGTCAACACAAACTTTTTTTTGAAGCTGATGATATAAGCTGACCGACGTTTGTAAACGTTTGTGTGTAGTCGGACAACTGTGAGACAAGGGAGGAGAATGGACTCTTCCAAGATTCCAGCCTCCAAAAAGCGGCTACGGTGTTGGACGCTCGGCCCTGTGGCACCACGTCGGTGAGCACAGCGCAGGTCGCTTCAGTCGCTTCAGAGACATGCAAGGCGGGTTCTTTGGGATTGGGCTGGTATGCTTGGTTCACCGCATTTTACCGAGTCAGAAGAGACTGGAGGCCCGCTTGTTGTTGAACAGCTGCACTTGCATACAGCTGCATGTGCATGGTGCAGTGCTTTTTGCTCGCCTGATTGGCGACTTCCTATGTCCGACGGTGGTTGGGCAGGTAAAGCGAAGTTACATCTCACAGATCTGATCGCCTCATAAGATACTTGTCGAGGCGTGGCACAGACCCTCAAAGGATGTTGTTCATCGGCTGGCCGTCTATCAATGGTTTGCCGGCCCCAGTATCGCCAATCTTTCAATGTTTGGGGATCATGAAGGCGCCATATAGGACGATGTGAACGCGGCAAAGGACAGAGTGTGAGGATGATATTGCAAGTCATCCAGGGTAAGCTATCATCGGGTCGGTTGACCAGAGCCTGAGGATCCATCTTCATGGATGTGGTGCTTATCGATAAGCTGAAACCGCTTGCTCAGGAAATCTGGAGCTCCATCGAAAGCAATGCGCCGGTCCTGCATCTTCGCCTGTACATTGCCAGCCATGCCTCCTCGCTGCGCACCGGGCACAGCAACTCTCGCTCCTTTCTTGTATCCCTCACTGTTCCTGGTGCGCGTCTCTTCGCGCATCACCCAGTACCGATGCTCCTCGACAACCCAAGTCATCAATGATCTCCCAGAGTCACGCCTGAACCCTGCGCCAGACGACTATGCCAACCCCAAGTTCGCCGACAAAGCTGAGCTAACGCTATATGCTGGTCGAGGTGGCAATGGGTGTGTGTCCTTTTTGAGGGAAGCTTTCATGCCCGATGGTCCACCAAACGGCGGAGATGGAGGCGCAGGCGGCAACATCTATATCCAGGCTGCCCATGGAGAGACGTCTTTGCACAAGATTGCGCGAAGGCGTTTCGTCCGGGCTGGTCGGGGACGACACGGCCAAGGAAGCGCAAGGAGTGGCACAAAGGGGGAAGACGTGATCATCACGGTACCAGTGGGGACCATTGTTCGCGAAATCGAGCGCCACGACCCTTATGCTGAGGAGGAGATGAGCTACCGGGTCTTCAGGGGCTTAGAGAAGCAGCGCAAGAGGGAGCAACGAGAGGCTGAAGAGCAGAGGAAGAGGCTTGCCAAGGCTGCCGAAGAAGAGGAGGACGAATACGAGCGCGCCATCATGCAGGATCTGCTGGAGAAACAGGACGAAAACGAGAACGAAGACGAAGATGGCTCGCCCCAGGATCCGAGGAACCACAAATGGCTGCTTTACCCTGGCTTATCGAAAAGCGAAATGGGCAACGAACAGTTCCCTAAACTGCCCAAGCGGACCAAATACCTGTCCCAACCGCCGGGCCCCATTCAGCTGGATCTGTCGAGACCGACTGAGCACCCTGTTTTGCTCGCGACTGGCGGTATTGGTGGTCTTGGTAACCCGCATTTCAACTCTCGACAGCATCCTCGACCCATGTTTGCTACCAAGGGTGACGAGGCTGTCACGATGAAGATCGAGCTCGAGCTGAAGCTCCTCGCGGATGTCGGCCTTGTCGGTCTCCCCAATGCCGGCAAGAGCACTTTGCTGCGGGCTTTGACAAATAGCCGAACCCGAGTTGGCAATTGGGCTTTCACCACCCTGCAGCCCAACATTGGCACAGTAGTCTTGGACAAGTATACCGGACGCCCTTCGATACCATCGAGAGACCGCGCCAGTACAGCTGCGGATCCTCGCACCCGATTCACCGTCGCGGATATCCCTGGTCTGATTGAGGGCGCACATCTGGACCGTGGCTTGGGTATCGCCTTTCTACGTCACGTTGAGCGCGCTGGCGTGCTCGCCTTTGTGATCGATTTGTCTGCTGGCGACGCAGTCAAAGCCCTGAATTCCTTGTGGCGCGAGGTCGGTCTGTATGCACAGATGCGCGAGGAAGAGGATCGCAGCCGTGAAACATCATCTCACATCGACTGGAGCATGACAGAAGACGGTTCCAGTCGGCCTCTCGATGTACTGAACGCGGATCTCACTTCGCCGAACCATACGCCTGCGGCAGCCAAGCACATTGCCGGCAAACCCTGGTTCGTGGTCGCGACCAAGGCTGATAAGCCAGACACAAAGGACAATTATCGCCAGCTGAGCACATATCTGGAGAAGATCACAAAGGGGGAGGTTGGTCATCCCAGCGGTGTCGAAGGCGCCTGGATTAAGAAGTGCACTGCCATCCCGGTCAGTGCGATCAACAAGCAGGGCGTCGACCGGATCACGCATTGGACTGTAGGATTATTGGATGAGTGAGGAAGATGTAATTATGTACAATACAGTATACTATTAGTAGATTATTCACCATTTAAACATTCGATCAGGCAACAAACACTAGACTAGATTACCTTAGACTACGATATGTCTCGCGTCGCGGGGCCTGCCAGTGCCTGGCGTCAACCGTAGCGGGGCAGCAGTGGACACAATAGGGACTGGATTTCACACCCCAGGACACTGCACTGACTGCTTACCGTTTATTGTCGCCTGGCGGGCGGGTACAGGCCAATGGGTACACTGCGGACAAGCCCACCTTTTTTCTCCAACATCCCGCGCGCGCCTCCAAGCGTCGCATTTTCTCTGGGAAAATTTCACTTTCCGCATCCAATTCATCCTGTTGCCGACCTCGCAATCATGGGTAAAAGAGGTGGCTTTCGTGTAAGTCGCCCTGAATCCTCGCATGCCCTGGCCAATTGACTAACTTATCCCAGGGTGGCAAGCGCGGCGGTGGCCGTAGCAATGGCGAACGTACCAATTCTTGGAAGGAGTATCCGGCCGTCGAGAAACAGCACAAGAACTTTCAAAAGTTCTACGATGAGCTGCTCCAGCTTCCGGAAGGGGAGAAAAACGAGTTCTGGGAGGCGCTGAGGCGCGAGCTCCCCAACAGCTTCCGTTTCTGTGGATCAAAAGGGTACGTTGAACGCTGGCCGTGACCTTTTCTGTACTGACACAACCCAGCCATGCGCTCGCTGTGAAGCGCTTATTAGAAACCCGCTACATTCCCCAGATCACGGGCATTGAGTTCCACGATGGTCGACCCGTCGAGCCACCGAAGCCAGTCCCATGGTACCCCAACGATCTCGCTTGGTGGATGACCACTCCCAAGAACGTCATCCGCAAGTTCCCTCCGTTCGCCGCTTTTCAGAAGTTCCTCGTGTCCGAGACCAGCGTCGGAAACATCAGCAGACAAGAGGTTGTCAGCATGATCCCTCCCATGCTCATGGACGTCCAGCCAAACCACGTTGTTCTCGACATGTGCGCCGCGCCCGGTAGCAAGGCTGCGCAATTGCTCGAGATGATCATGCGTGGCGAGGAGGCTCGTGTGCGCAAGACTTTGCGATCGTTTGCGCAGGAAGACGGCCTGGACTTGGGAGCGGAGACGCAGGAGGAGCGCGAGGCTGATCTTGAGGCTGACCCTAGCGATTGTGGCCGCTCGACCGGCCTTCTCATCGCCAACGACTCCGACTACAAGCGTGGCCACATGCTGGTTCATCAGCTGAAGCGTCTTTCCTCGCCCAATCTACTTGTCACGAACCACGACGCCACGCAGTTCCCCTCGATCAAGATTCCGAACCGCGAGAACCCCAAGGCTGCCAATTACCTCAAGTTCGACCGCATTCTGGCCGACGTCCCTTGCTCCGGTGACGGCACCCTCCGAAAGAACGTGAACCTGTGGAAGGACTGGCAGCCAGGCAGCGCGCTCGGTCTTCATCTCACACAGATCAGGATCCTGGTTCGCGCGCTCCAGCTGTTGAAGGCGGGCGGCAAGGTCGTCTACTCCACATGCTCCATGAACCCTGTTGAGAACGAGGCTGTGGTCGCGGCCGCGATTGATCGTTGCGGTGGTGAGGCGAACGTGGAGATTATCGATTGCAGTCAGGAGCTGCCCAAACTCAAGCGCTATCCGGGCTTCAGAGATTGGAAGATTATTGACAAGAACAGCCGCATCTGGAACTCGCACGAGGAAGTCATCAAACACGCCAACGAAATGAACGGTGGCGTGGTACCCGGCCGTGTTGTCGAGACCATGTTCCCGCCCGCCGAGGGTACACTGGGCTATGGGCTACCTCTGGAGCGCTGCATGCGTGTATACCCTCATATGCAAGATACCGGTGGTTTCTTCATTACTGTCTTGCAGAAGAAGAACGAGTTCAAGGCCCGCAACGAGAATGAACCGTCCACCATCGTCAAGTCAGAGGCCGCAGCTCAAGAGCCCAGCGAGAAGCAAAGTGTGGCGACAGCGACGGCGGAGCCCAAGGCCCCTGCTGCTGCTACTGATGAGCCCAAGGCGGAGGCTGCTGCCGCAGAAACCAAGGTCGAGGTGAAAACTGAAGACGCCGTCATGGACGACGCCGAAGGCACAAGCAACAAGAGACCCTTGGACACCGAAGAGCAAGAACAGCCTTCCAAGAAAGTCAAGACGGAGGCAGACTCGTCAGCAGCTGTGACACCAGCTGCGCAGCCGGAGAAGCCTCGCAAGGGACCGATTGAAGAGCCTTTCAAATATCTCGACGCTACCCACCCCATCATCCAAAACATCAAGGAATTTTACCACCTTTCGACTCGTTTCCCCGATGACCGCTACATGGTTCGCAACGAGATGGGTGAGCCTGCCAAGGCTATCTACTACACCACCGCTCTTATGCGGGACATCCTCACTGAGAATGAGGGGCGTGGTATCAAGTTCGTTCACGGTGGCGTAAGGATGTACATGAAGCAGGATGCGCCGTCCGCTGAAGTCTGCCGCTGGCGGATACAGAACGAGGGCATTCCCATTCTGCAGGGTTATGTCGGCGAACCTCGTGTGGTTCACTTGCGGAACAAGGAAACTCTCCGCCGCCTGTTGATTGAGATGTTCCCCAGCCTCACCAGCGACGGCTGGAAGGACTTTGACGAGATTGGTGAGCGTGTGCGCGACATTGGGATGGGCTGTGCCGTCCTGCGCGTCGAACCAGATGGCAGCGATCCCGATTTCACAGAAAGGATGGCGCTGCCCTTGTGGAAGAGCATCAAGAGCCTCAATCTGATGCTTCCCAAAGAAGACAGAGCGGCCATGTTGCTGCGCGTGTTCAACGACACCTCGCCACTGATCAACACGACTCTCAAGCAACAGCAGGAGAAGAAGGCGGCAGCGCAGAATGGGGAGCAGAAGAAGGAGGAGGAGGATGCGACAGTCGAGCCGAAAGCTGAGGTTGAAAATGACGGCGCGGTCAAACCAGAGGAGGCGCAAACTGTAGAGGAGCAGGTTGCTCGGGAAGATCTACCTGCGCCAGATGAGACTCCTGTGGCAGGGGAACCTGCTGAAGAGGCCTCGTGAAGATTTTATAATTGTATAGCTATCACTTGGAATAGCATGACTTTGAATGATGAAGAGACCGTGCGTTTCATCATCCATGGCGACAATACATGTTCATACGACTTACCTACTTACTGACTGGAAGCCATTAACAGGTACAGTCGAGCACAGCCAAGCGTGCATAACCATCATCACGACATACGCAGGACGATGCGAATGGCAATCAGTATGAAAGGGAAAGCATCCAGATCACCAAGTTGTCCCTTGACAAAGCTGGTCCACACTTGCGTGAGATTCCCAGTACGCCGGCGCGCACCATGAGACCATGTGCGTCACTGTTTGGACGTGGATCGGCATGGCATTGAGGAAAAACGGGTCCAGCCAAAGTTCTTGATAATTGTTGACGTCTACGCATCGATTCGACGCCCTCTACTACCTGCTAGTACCTAATTTTCCCTCTAAAACGCCCAGCTTCCGGTCTGGACTTCAAGTCTGCCTCGCGCACAATCTTTTCTTGCCACCGGACGCGACGACGCGACAAGCCTTTAAGACACCTGCTGCGCCCACTTCCCGACGTCTCTTGCATGAGCAGCTCGGTCGACACCAACAAGACAGCCTACCTAAGGTACCTGCCTTCCTGCTGAGCTGCGGCGCGTTGCGACGCGAGATTGTGCAGCTCTGCGCTGTCTCAATCGACGAGATGCGTCTCTATCTCCTCCCCATATCGACGCGGCGGACGCTGCTCTACGCGCAACGACTCAACATCAATACCACAACGGCCGACAAGTCGTATCTCGACAAGGCTGTCAACTACGCAGCCAAGACGTGGGCGGGTTGGGAACAGAAGGACTCTGGCTGGCAGCGCAAGGTGGTTGACTACGGCAACCAGGCCCTGCGGCGGATTCCATACGAGGAATGGGGCTTGAAGAGCGTCCCGCCATTGTCGGCGAGGCGACAAGAGAAGGAGATTCGCGGCAAGGAGAAGGTCCAGGTAGTTTTCCCCGCAAGTGCATTGCCCGTGCACAAGGTGCAGGGCGTGATCAAAGCGTTGGCGACAGAGAGGGATGGGCTGCACAGGAAAAGACTGATGTACTGCATCGTCGGCATGCCGTTGACGATACCCATCGGCATATTGCCAGTGTGAGTCCAGCATCGAAAGACCGCGAGGGTTTCCGTAACCAAAGCTAACCATGAGCCAGGATACCCAACTTGCCCTTCTTTTACCTGGCGTATCGCGCCTGGTCGCATTGGAGAGCGATAGCGGGAGGGAAGCACGTCAAGTGGCTGATTGACAAGCAACTCCTGCAGACTGCGCCCTCCAGCGCATTGGAAACCCTATACGGTGGTTCGTCTCATCTATATGACGCAAAGACAGAGACCATGCTCCTACGACAAGACCAGGTCAAGCAATTCACGGAGACACTGGGCATACCAGCCCTAACCGTCGAGCTCGAGCGCGCCATATGGCAAGTCGAGACGGACATTAGGAAGAAAGAGGAAGAAGAATCAAAGGCACAAGCGGCAACGCGGATAGAGGAAGTAAAAGAAGACAAGAACAAGGATCAGTGAGGCGGCTGATTCCATGTACCACCATCAGGCATAGACGGGACGCTGGCGTTTATTCATATACGGGTACATAGGCTCATGTGTCTCCCCTGGCTTCGGCCTCATGTATACACGACAATGTAATCACACACGAATTTCTCTCTCCATCTACCACCACGAGCTTTTGGCAATAGTGACCTTCTCTGGCAACATTCTGCGCCAAAAATGCAACGATCCCAACAGTCGCCCCGGCGAAAGGAGCCTCACGTAGGCAAGGGCGTACACGGCAACGGACGGTGATCCCGCTTGACCGGATCGCCAGGTATGACATTCTGATCCCGCCGCCTCTGTGCCGCTCGCCAATTGAGAAGAATGCGAAACTCGATGTCCTGGAACCTTATGCCGCGTTAGCCAGCCATGTTCACCTGTCCGTCTCGGGGTGCGGCTATCAAGGGGTAACAACCACTCGGGCGGCCTTGAGCGCGTCAACAGTGACTTGCTCGTACTGGCACACTTGACGATATATGATTTCTGATTTCCACGCTTCGGCTGCTTTGCGGCGCAAAAGCTTCTCGCATGGACTGAGTGCTGTACGCCCGCGCTGGGGTATGGCTTTCCGACGGCGTGCGCAGGCATGTGGGTTAAGAGGCGAGGACTCCATTGGTGTGTAAACTTCGTAGGCTGCTATTAAAGTCATTGTAAGAGAGATGTATGTGGCAATACTTTTTGAAATAGAAGAGAGTACCCGTTGCAAAAGCTTGGGGATTCTCGCCTCAAGTACAAGTGTCTACTCGCGCTGGAATGCTTCGTGACGCGCGCCGCTAAAGTCAACATCGCGACGAGGCCCCAGCCACGTGTCTCATCTCAGAGCAAAAAAAGTTCATTAAAGTATTATAGGTCGTAGCGAGTGACAGCCGTCTCCAACGTCTACCATGATTAGTCCATACCCGAATTCGAAGTGCCTACTTCCTCTGCGCTCGTTTCCTCAGCGCTTCCTATTGCACGATGAAAGTGGCTTCCATGAAGACTTGGCCCTCTTCCTCAATCGTCTCGTCCCCAATCTTGAGCTTGAGCGTCATCTTGGGCGTGTATTGGTAGATGTAAGGCTTGGTACCAGCGGCGCTAGCGACGATGGTCTTGACGAACCCAGGGACCTCGGCCATGACATCAACCCGGTCTGTCCGGTCTCCGATGGCGCCCTCGATTACACCTTCGACAGCCTTGCCTTCCTTGTTTTTTCCGTTCCACGCGAATCGCACACCTTTGGGCTCAGGCCAGTCGTTGTCCGTGTCCTCCTTCACGGCGGTGTGGGTAGCCTTGTTCAGGCAGCCAGCGGCGATGATCTCGCCATCCTTGACAATGCCACCAACATTGACTGTCGTGGTTCCATACGACTCGGGTGTGGTAAACTCCATCATGATGGCCGAGTACTTGGGTCCCTGGAAATTGACAAAGTTCCACTTTGCGGCGGCATGGTGAGGCTTCATGCCCTGTAGGGCATACGAGTACATGGCTTGGCCCTTGAAATCAATAGGACCTTCTTTGGTGGTGATGGTACCCTCAGCAGTGCAGCGAGGCCAGAATGCATGGCGCATGGTGCCCCAAGGGTTCTGGAGATCAGTGCCAAACAAGGTTTGGCCAGTCTTGCCGCCCTGGAAGCCCGGAGACGCCTTGGTGACCTTGAGGTTGACAATCGCACGTTCATCGTTGGCGCTCTTGATCGTGTAGGAGTTGCCGTCGGCCGAAAATTCGAGGGCGCAGTTCTCGGCGAAAAAGGACGCTTTGTCCTCGCTGAATTCGATGTTGTTGAGGGGTGTCGAGCACCACAGATGCTCCTTGGTGGGGTCTTTTGAGAAGACCTTGCAGTTGAACTGAGCTGTCACACGAACGCCCCTTTTGGTTTCGGTTAGCTATGACTGCAGTGTATTGTTCTGGGATTCGCACATGACGTTGCTGTAGATGACCTGGGCCATGCCCATTTGGCCACTCTCGGCAACAAAATAAAAGGTCTCGGTCTCGACGTTGGTCGTTTCCAAGACCTGCCACTTGAGGTCATCGCGCGTGAGTTCGGTGTAAGTACTTCCGTCAACTTCATCGCCGACAGGGCGGACAGCAGATGGTCCGTAGATGGGTTCTGCGGTGCCGGCCACATTGGCCAGCCTCAGCTTGTTAGCCTTTGTGATCAGGTTGTGACGGCGACAGCATCATACTGTTGCTTTGCCCAGTTAAACATCTTGTTGGATTTGTAGGTCTGTAGTCGGATGTAGGCGCGTCTAATCCGGTGATCAGTATGATACAATGTTGCAAGGTCCAAGTGGGAAACAGACTCAAGCTTGGCCTGTAGGGCACTTCACCGCCGCTGTGGAGGGGCTGCGAATCGTGCCTGCCGGTTTGCCCGCCTCAGAATGACGCCGCTATGTGGCTGGTGGTGGGGCGCGTACCTCAGGTACTTGGGGACGAGAAGGCGGGAACTACCCGGGATCCGACGTCTAGACCTGGCTGTCTACCAAGGTAGTAGTACTCAAGTCGAGCTCTAGTCCTGCTTCGAGCTACTAATAACAACAGTTGATTGGTAAACGTGCTTTGAAGGGCGACTCCTCAAATGCTCACTGCAGGTCAACATGCCGTGTTCGTGCGTGTGGTTGTTCCAACTTCCCACAGAGGTAGCAGAGTTTGGCAGTCTTTCAGTTCATCGATAGACAAACAGCCGCGTCCATCAAAATTGACTTGTAATTAGGCATCTTATGAGCATCAGTCACAAGGTCTGATGAGATCCCCGATAGTAATGTGTACTCTGCTTTTTATTCTGACTGTGTATCATAACCAGTCGCCCTGTTCGCACGTATCGTTCTAAGGTATAGTGTGCCTCAAGTGTGGCTTGCGTCAGGCTTCAGCCACACCAGTGGTTTAGACAGGTTACTGATGCAAGCGCAACTAAATAGTCCTCAAGAATGAATGAGGAACATAAAGACCGAGCGGCCATCGTCAATCATCGAGTTGCCTACATATTCCAGCTTTGGGGAGCTTGTTGGCATGTGGGAAGCATTTGGAGTTGCTCGAGGTAATGATGGCCAGCCCAGTCCGCCCGGAAACAGCGCGCCAATCTTAACAGGTCCTCCTACGCAGTGCAAGTCGCCTCAGAACAAATCTTTTCCCTCCTACAATTCCGCAAACTCTTCTCAACCAATTCAATTGATCACGGCAACCAGCAACGCGACAGGGCCTCCTCTGCGCACTATTCAATACCACTGCAACACGCTCTACCTGCGAGCACTCGGTTCACTTTGACGCGCCCTGCCGCGACTCCTTTGTCATTCTAATCGTCTGTTATCGATAACCCAATCGTCAAATTTACGGACGCGCCTCGTCGCATCGCTTCGTCGCCGACATGGAAGACGTTGCGCCCGAATTGCAACCGCAACAGATCGACTCCAAGCTGCGACGCAATTCGTCATCAGCTGCCGCCGATGCTGTCTCGCAGTTGCTCGGAATGACCGGTGGTCTTCCCGATGCCAACGGGAGTGACGATCCAGCACAAGATCACGGGTATGTCGAGAACCCACCTGTCCTATGCGATGCGCCTGGGACACTCGCAAGACTGCAGATTACTGACATTTGCTATCAGCTCGATGCATACCTCGAATAACCAGCCTGACGCGCAACCCCAAGCGCAACACGCACCACCGCCGCCTCCTCAGCACCCAGTGTCCTACAATGGCGCAACACCCGCGGCGACGGCAGGCGGCGGGAGCAGTGGCCTCGTAAGTTCATCCATCACCTTTCTTATCACTGGGATCAAATCTTTACCCGTATCTGGCCGCAAGTATCGCCATGAAAGTTCTTATCACTTGCTTGATGGTTTGCATCACGTGCATTATCGCACGCTAGCCCACCTTCCCAATCATTCTGACGCATCCCACTCCACCACCTTATCAAGGCCCGCTGCGGCGATCCGGCCTTGACATCCCCACGTCGCCCTGCCTTATCAGTGCTCCGATAGTATTTATCGATTCATGCGCGCCAGTTGCGCCGCAGTCCTCCCATGGTTTGCGCAACTTGAGAGAAGATGGCTCCTAACGTATCGTCACAGCCTACATGTCAGAACTGTAGTACATCTACGACCCCATTATGGCGTCGCGACGAGTACGGCAATGTACTCTGCAATGCTTGCGGGCTGTTCCTAAAGCTACATGGTCGGCCGAGGCCGATATCCTTGAAAACGGATGTCATAAAGAGTCGCAATCGACTGAAGGGCACGCGCAGCGATGCGCATGGCAAGAAAAAGGTGCGTGGTATCTTGCGCGACTTGCGCGCAATGCAACAAACTTGGGGGACCGCATTGCTAATACTATTTAGGCGACGCATCAAAGTAACGCTGCTCCGCGATCTGCGAATCTCCATGGAGATGGCGCCAACGGATCCCCTATCTCTCGAACCGACACGCCGTCCATGTATAACAATCCCTTGCCATCGTTCATGATGGACGATCCTTATTCTTCGAACTTTGGGCAAACTGGCGACGGGTCTGGATCACCAATGAACGGCGACACGCCACAGACGCACGAGCAGCTCATCGCAGCCAACTCCAGCCTCAAGACCCGTGTACGCGAGCTCGAACTCATCAATGAACTCTTCAGGGGCCGATTAAGTCAACTGGAGCAACAGGAAGCCGCCGCGCGCAGGGGGCATGAGGTAGCCGACTCGGAGCAGACCGGACTACGGACGCAACTGGAAGAGAGCCGAGGAAGCGAAGCGCAACTGCTCGCCCAGTTGGAAGAGACCCATCGGCGGGAGAACAGCCTGAAGAGACGGTTGGACGAGCTGGAACTGGAGCTGAAGGCCGCTACGGCAACGAAGACCGCCCGAGACGCTGAACAAGCCCTTGAAAGCCAGCATGATGAGTCTGAACGACCGTCCAAAAAAGCGCGGACCGCCAGTCCTGCGAGAGGCAACGAATCTAGCTCAGAAGAGGTCACGGTGTCGCTTCCCGCAGAGGAAGAGACTGGTCAGGCCCCCGAGCCCACCATGATGGTCGACACCGATGCATAGGGCACCTTTGACTGATATACCTTGTCATTGTGGAAGAGACCGGTTGGTGGTAATAGGAAAAGTAATACAGCGTGAATTGGCCTGGCCAGGAATACCGCAAGGGCAGCTTGAGCCCCGTGCGAGGAATGAATTTTAACGAAATCAAATGCATTTTTTGCGCTCCCACTCCTGGTGATGTTTACGTCGACCCCTTGTATTCAGATAGTCAGCTATCCCCAGTCACGGCGCGAGTTGGCAGCAATCTAGCACAGCGCGGTTTCGTAGCTTTACATAAGGTGTAGAATAGATTCGTCTTCAATGTTGGATCTATTCAGGATCACTTTTGCAATCAGGAGAACAAAGCTTGCTTTGCGATGCATGAGTCACGTGCTGGTGATGTTTGTTGTTACCTCACTTGGGCTATCACATTGTCCCTCACCTCTTGTGACCGCCTTCTCAGAACCTCAACGCAAGCAATCCCGATGCACATGATCCCGAATCTCTCACACTCTACTACCGATTGACTTCGCTCGATGCTATAATTTCTGGATCGTTCAACCACGCCTCACTGCAAGCCTAAGCGCCGTTCAGCTATCCACCTCCCAAGTTGGGCAAACGTGGATCCGCACTCAGCTTGAGGACGTCATACGTTCCGATCGGCCCAAACGAACAGGATGCCTCGCACGTTGCCTTCTGAAGTTGGCCGTGGTGGCCCAGGAAGCGCCCGTCATGCCGTGGGGGGGAAGACTATCCAGGGTCGGGGTGTAGCCCTCCCAAAGCGTCATCGGTATGTGCCTTTGTTGAATTTTGTTGAACTCGTATGCTGACCGTTCCTCGTAGCAAGATCATCACAGGTACGATAAACGGTATCAGTACGTGGCCATTTGTAACTTTAGCCTTATTAACGACACCGCTAATATGTCACTGCAGCTAAACCTGACATTCGGTGCGTCTTGTCCCCTCAGCGCGCAGTCAAGAACTCCGAACTAACTCATTCCTAGTCGTATGGCCCGCAGAGGCGGCGTCAAAAGGATTTCTGGTATGATCTATGAAGATGTTCGGGGAGCTCTCAAAACATACCTTGAGGAGGTACGTGTTGGCCCTCCAGGCAGGCCCTCGTGTCTCGCTACGTGGACTGACGATCGCAGGTTCTTCACGACTGTGTTGCATATGTCGACCATGCGAGGAGAAAAACGGTCACCGTCACAGACGTAAGTTCGCCGCGCGATTCAATACCGGGGCAGTGTACTGAGAGATGGCTGCTAGGTTATTCACGCCGTTAAACGATGCGGCCGACCTATTTATGGCTTCGACCCCGAGACCAACAAGTCCACCAAGGTCAGAGCCACCCGCTTCACTTGATAATGGGAAGTAGCGCCTGCGATGGCTGCTGGCCTATGTGCGAAAAGACGTGTTAGCGCTTGGCTTGTTGAGCATTTGACGACCATAAATACTGGTTTTGTATCATTGCGACGGAACGGCGTTTTGTGACTTGCCTGTCAATATTTACATTCATCAGGAGGAGAAACAGGGAGAAAGATTGGACAGTTGAGGATCTGTTGGTTCCATGCGTTTGCTCTTTGTCACTCTGGATTCGCGGCACTGTCGTTGGAAATTGTCATAACTCATCAAGACTCGCTAGGGGGTATCTCTAGGAAATTCCACAAGGCACACATGTGCACATTCTGTCCTCCATCTAGCCTTCTTCTTTTCCCACAAATTACTCATCTTTTCCTCTTGCAAATATCCCATTCTGCGAGCGCCTCCTCCAGCGCCCTTGCAGCCCGGACCTCGTCCTTCCTGAACCCTCCATTGAACACACGCGGCATGACCATGAGGCTGTTGGCATGCTCCTGCGCAAAGCCAACTTCGGCATCCCGTCCGCACTTCTCCTTTGTGAAGCGCACCGCCTCGAAGAGCAAGTCCTTGCCCACTCCCGTGCCGCGGTATTTGAGATCCGTTGTCCAGGCACGGATGATGCCACGACCACCCTTCAACGTCACGGAGCCGGATTTTTTGCGTCGACCATTGTTGGAGGGGAAGGTATAGCAGGGCTGCAGACGCAAGACCAGCGCCCCGACAAGCGTGTCTTCGCATTTGGCTCCAAAGACAATGTCCTCTGCGCCTGTCTCGGGGTTACGAAGCCAGTCATACCGCAGATTCTCGGCCTGCGTTACGTAGCGAGACGACATCCACCTCACAGCCATGAAGTAGGACATGATGATGCCACAAGATAAGACCAATCCCAAGCCAACATCCTTCCCGGTGGCCTGGTACGCCACAGCTGCCGTGAGGCTCATTCCAGCAAGCGAGAGAGGGTGCTTGATGGCGTTCTTTGCGGCACGCTGCTGCATCTGCGCCACGCTGTCGGCGACGAGCTTCAGCCCCTCAGCCTTTTCTGCGGCTGTGTCGAGCGGCTCCAGAGACAATGGTGGGATATCATCATCGGGTGTCAGGGGCGGGTTGGCGGCTAAAGGCGAGGGGGACGTGGGCTGGAAGCTCAGACTGGGTTGCATCGGGACAGCGGCGTCGAGGATGGGCGTGTTGGCGCACGAGGACATTGCCGAGGGGGACAGGACAAGGTTGGCGCGCAAGAAGGTGAAGAAGGCTGTCGGTGATTTGTTAGCCATGTCTGTGAGGTGACGACGCTGGACGTCGCGATGGGGAAGGGATGTGCATGTCGGTAGTTCAGGGTTGGCGGGGCATTTTTGGAGGGGCAGCAGCAGCTGCCAGCAGCAGAGCAGAGCCAAGACAAGAAGCAAGGGTCCACCAAGGGAGGAGCATGATTGACAGCGATGGATCATGTCCCCTGACTTGAACTGTGCGTGCGAGAATGGAATGACGAAATGGACGACAAGACATCCTCGGGCCAAGCTCTTGTGACAGTTGCTGTGTGAGGCCGACCGTCTGCTCTGAAGGGAGAAAGGGTGCTTGGGGAGAAGGAACAGAATCAGCCCAACTCACCTGCACTGGTCTTCAACCCTGGGACAGCGTTGATGGTGTCAGAGAAGGTGTTGACATGGCAGGCGCTGAGATCCAGCTCGCGGACACCAAAGTTGTGCGCGTCAAACTCCATGACCGGCAAGTTATCCAGTTGTTCTCCGTGGGGGTGGTCGGTCGCTCTATTAGGCTGATAGGAGAATAGTGTGGTCGACCCGCGACACCACACAAAAGTGAAGACTGTATAAGATATTATGCAAAGAGAATCGAAGACGAGCAAGTCGTGACATGTACTTTCAAAGGAAAGCAAAAAGAGGTTGAGCCAAACGGGGGAGGACGGGAGGAGAAACTGAAGGATCCCAAGTGGAGGATAAGAGGGTTTTTTTCCTTTCCAATTGCAAGTCGTGCCAATGGCGGGATCTGCCTCCAGTGACGGTCGTCCTCGAGCCAACAAACCCAACGCAAAACCTGAGACGCTTCAGCTCCAGTGATCGCCGGGGCTCGATGCAGCCTTCGGGGGCCAGTGCACAGCTTCGGAGCCGCTGAGACAGACAGACAGACGCACAGCAACAATGGATGTTAAAATAGTAACGTGCTCGTTTGCTGTTGCAGCCAACAACAGGTTTGGTCAACGCACCAGGTTTAAGAGTCAAGACTGGCAAACAAGGGTCAGAAACAGCACCTGCCACAACCAGACTGGAGACGAAGACTTTGCATTCTCTTATGGTCTTCTGGCCGTGAGTGGCGTGCGTACCATTGGACAATGATTAAGATAGAGATACCCAGCCGTTGTCTTGGGGAGGCTCTCGTGATGGGCGACGAACTGCAAGCCTGCAGCCACCACCAGGACTGACCCTTTATTAGCGGCGAGATGCAGCATGCGTGTGTCATCGCCGCCAATGGTAGCCAAGGACCCAGCATTCCGGACCCCATTCCCATCACGATAACGACTAGCCTGAGGCTTTGAGAAGTTGTGCGTTGGTAGCCGCGAATCCGAGCACTTGCATCGCGTCACGCGCTTATTCCAGTGTGATTAATAAAATTCTTCACCTACTTTTCGCTTGGCTCCCTACGTATTGACCATCCCTTACTACTAGTAGATAGTGCTAACAAGATCGCGCAGGGACTTGGCAGCATTGCAACCGAGCCTGGTGCATGACGAACGACGGGAGGTGGGATCGACAATGTAAGGATTCCGGTTGAAGGGGCACCTACGCACAAGTTTACGACGACTCGCGACGCGGCCAGGGGGCGTTTCTTCCCCTCAAGACAGACTCCAGACCCTCTCTCTGAGTCTGGGCTGGTTCAAGGACTCCCGCCGGGTGGACACTGGAGTCTGGCACTATTGAATGTGGAACAAGAGTCAAGCGCCATCCACCGTTTGAACTCCACGTTTGACCTCCAACAACACAACTGTCTGGGCTCTCACCATCTGGCTGCGCAACGAAAAGGGTTCTCGACACACGCACGCAATGGCCAGCCGCTTCTGACTGCGCCTTGGGCGTGCATTGCGAATGCGCAACCGATAACAGTTCGGCTGCTGAGAATCAGAATGATTGGATGTCCATGCCGCTCCTGTCCTCCATGTCACCTGCAGGTTGCAGTGCGTGTATGACTGTCACGTCTCTGAAACGGCGGCTCGCGACCCCTCAGAGATTGGCGTCAACCTCCCGGTCCTCCCCCCAGCTGGCTGTCCATACATGTACCGAGGAAGTGCGATCACCTACCATGTCTGTCCATACGGACCTTGCCGCAACTCTCAAACACACGATGGCGCCTCGTCTCGGATCGCATCAGAGTTCATCGGCATCCCAAGTATCTTGCAGAAGCGTAGCATTGTGATGCCGAGGAAAACATTGCCCCCTTGGCGCTATTGGGGATGGGCTGCCTATGCCGCGCGGGGGCTGGTGCTGCCACATGGAGAAATGCTACGCCATTATCGCAATCTCAGTTCTCGCCATGATTCTATGCCTTGGCTGGCTGGCTATCAATGATGGCGTCGACGCCGCTCTTGTTGATAGCAACGGCATGCATTTAACTGGAGGAAGCTGATCAGTTCTCCTGCACTCGACTCCTAATCGTTCCACGTCGGATGGCCCACGCGACCTCGAGCCATGGCACACAAAATGATACCTCACAACCCTACCAGCGCCTGCGCGCTCTGGACCCTTCGCCCAAGCACTACAAAGTCTGACATGACGGTCAGACTCGAGATGTAGCGAATGGTCACTTGTCCCACATCCCCAGTTGGGGGACCTACTACGTACTAGTAAGCCAAGGCGTGGGGACCTGACCGCAAGCCACACTAACGCAGAGCTTCCCCAGACGGCTGCACGGCAACAATCACGTCTTTGCTGGCTGGCGTGATGACGAGGCAAGCCCAGAAAGTGAGTCATGGTGTTTCTGATCTCGTGGCAACTGGGCGAGTGACGTGAAGGTGAATACCGTGGCCATACACTGATTGGAGAGATTGTCCATCAGCCTATTATTCTCGGCATGAGCATATTAATGCCAGCACCATCAACCATGGCAATATAGGTGTGGCAAAATAACAGCTGGCTTATATTTCACTAGTGTTTCGACCTCGTGCTCATAAACACATGAAGCCGTCCTTGCCTGATAAGCGGCTTTTTGAGGTAAAGGAGCCCACGAGATGTGTGCTCTACTCTTTGGCCAAGAAATGCAGTATATGCTCACCAGCTTGAGCACTTCCCTTCATGTTTGTGGTGGCTCGAATGTGGCTTCTGAGAGCTACGGCAATGTCGAGGGCGATGCCTCACTCTGTCCTCCACTACAACTCAGGCCAAGCTCAGTACGTGTAGACTGGATGCATTATGTTGTAAACGCACTGTGGCTACAAAGGCCTACTTGGGGTAGTAGTGATGATATTCCAGTGGCTGTGCCTTCTGATACCGTTTAAATCATGGCCTTTGGAACACCTCGACGAACGTTGTCTCCGGTTTAACTTGGAGAGCTCTAATTAGACAAAGGTCGCCTTTTTGAACGGCTCCATAAATCCTGGCTTTTGATGATAATGACCTGGCGGTCACTTTATAATCCTTCCCCCTATGGCTTAGCGACCTTTGCTCCAGCGCACAATGTTATTGTCGTTAGCACATTGCAGTGAGCTATGAGCTGCGAAAAGAACCAACATCTCTCAACCACGTAAGGCTCAAGACTGGTCGAGTCCCTCAATGTACGCAAGCTGCGTTAGACCTCATATAGATCACTTAGTTCTTTTTGTTCAGATCGAAACTGAGAATGCGTTTACACCAAACCAAGTCACGTAAGTCGTTACTAGATGGCCTAGGGTTGGCAGATGACAGATTTAAAGGATATTTAGAGTCAGCCTACCCTACATGTGCATCTGGCTGCCAAACCCCAAGTTACCCCAGAGTGCCGGGTAAGCTAACCAACTTGATTGGCTGAGAGTCCATTCTTATCAACTCGACCGCGCCTGTCAATCGAGCCCAAGGCGCATCCTTCGACTCCTCCAATGCGCGTGACGTCGGTCGCCGGGTGTCAATGTCCGGCCTCCTCGCGGGCATGCGACATTGAACTGCATGGTCCGCATTGATGTTCACGGCGAGATGAACCTCTGTTCTTCCTCTGCTCAAACTTCACACCAACACTGGTTTCCGATCCGACCCAGACTCGGCAATCCGAAAGAGCTTCATCACCTGTGAAGCAGCTTCACTCCCATCACAACCCCTCACCATGAAAGTCACAGCGGTACGTTCACAGACGCTCACTCACTTCTATCCATGCTGACCAACAAAGCTCTGGGTCTACCCCATCAAGGGTCTCCGTGCCATCCCACTCACATCGGCAACCCTCACCCCGCAGGGCATCGCCCACGATCGCACCTTTGTGCTCTGCCACCGCAAGGCAGACGGCTCGCTCGACAAGCTCCAGCTCGCAGGACATCCCGAGTGCGCCCTCTTTGGACAGGAGATTGTCGACGGGACGATCCACGTTCGCTACCATGCGCCGGAGACGCCCATCGTCCCCCGCAGTCCGCTGCACGACGAGACGCTGGCGATTCCGCTGACGCCTGACACGGCGGGTCTGGACAGGGAGGATGTGAATGTGCACATGAGCATGGTGCGCGCGTACAAAATGGGATCCAAGTACGATGAGTGGTTCACCGCCTGCTTTGGCTTCGACACGGTACTGCTCTACATTGGCGACCAGAAGCGGCCCATCCTAGGCACCTTTTCGCCCAAAGCTGCCCAGCCGCAGAAGGGATGGCTGTCGTCGGTCGCGAGCTACGTCACCGGGTCCAATCGGGAAGAAGACTGGCTCACCTTTGCCGACTGCGCGCCATACCTCATCGCCACCGAAGCATCCCTCCGAAACGTCAAGACGCGCCTAGAGTCGGGCGAGGTGGACATGGTCAAGTTCCGGCCCAACATTGTCGTCGACGGCGAGACGCAGTGGGACGAGGACTACTGGTCGGAGCTCAGTCTCAACGGCGGTGCTGGATTCACCCTGTCCAAGCTCTGCGGACGCTGCACGTCTGTCAACGTGGACTATGACACGGGCCGCCCTGCTGCGGGCGAGTCGGGGACTGTCCTCAAGAAGCTCACGGCTGATCGTCGTGTGGACGAGGGGCACAAGTACTCGCCCGTCTTTGGGCGCTACGCCTTTTTGACCGATGGCGTCAACCTGAGCAGCATCGCCCTGGGTGATGAGGTCAATGTCACAAAGAGGAGCGAGCAGCGGCCTGTATGGGACTGGCCGATGAAAGACCCTGCGGCGGCCCGCTTCTACGAGCAACGTGTCTAGAGGACGTGACGGTGTTGTGTGTACGACTCGGGGGGCAACGTGTTAATTCCGCGGATGCGGCAGAGGGAAACAAAGTTACGTTACGAGGCACTGCGGCAGGCTGCACTGCTCAGACGGGGTTCCTCTCAGCATTGTGTACCATACCAAAGCACACGTGGCTACAAGACATGCTGCAAATGACAGGAGTAGCTACTCTTCTTCACCATGATGTAATTACCGCCCGCGAACCCAGTGGCTCATCGGTAGTTACGGCCTCTTCTTGTGTCAAGCAATCGGGGGCGCCACGCAAGCAACGTCGCACACCTCCCATGTATCGCCGTTTTGCCGGCCATCCTCACCTCCCGTCGCTGCGTCGGATAGAGAGGCGGCCTGATCGAGGTGTGGACGCACGACAGGGCGACTTGCACAATATCTGTGTCACGTGGTAAAGGGGATGCTGTTGACGCAGTTCACCAAGCTGCCCTGGCGCTCACTGGCGTAATCCTCGCTGGCGTAATGGGGGGTTGTCTTGCCAGGAATCGCAGCATGGACTGCAGAGGTGAATCTGGCAGCCATCGTCACTATTCGCAAAGTGAGTGGAAACATAGCAGCGTATCCTTTGTGACTACGATATGGAAGAAGATGCGCGTTGTCGACGTCACAAATCAAGGGCCGTGTGGTGAGGCAAAACAGTGTCTAATTCTCTTTGCCGTTCAATTAGAACAGCTTCTATGTGCAATGTTAATTACTCTTCCTGAGCATTTTGACGCAACTATCACCGTGCCCTTGACGAACTCCTGCAATGCTATGAACGCTCAAAAAACGAAGATTTCCTATCCTCAATCCCTCATGGTCCGCCCTCCACCGTCCTCCACTCGGATGCCACTCGATCCGGGATCCAGGACTGATGCAGGCCGGGGTTTTTTGAAATTGCATGGGTCGCGAAGCGCATGAGTCCCCACGTGGGATATGCAGCCTTGACAGGAAGTAGAAAGAGGGTCGCCAGTGGACTCTCACTCTCAGTCTGTCAAAGACGCAAGACTCAAAGCAACAACTCGCTCGCCTGCCACTGTGAGCTGAGAAGGTCTGTCGTACGTTTGTAACTTGTACCTCGCCTACCGGGGCAACGGGCCTGGCCGAACACCCCAGCCCTGCGCGCGGAAAGCTAACATCCGGACAGCGTCGCATTTTCTTCTTCTTTGGTTACGCCTTGCCCCATTGCCGTCCCAAGCTGGTTGGGAACGAGAGCAAACGACGCAGTAGCACAATGTGCCCCGAGATCAAATTGTGACTGGATGGCCAAACGGACTCCATGTCTCTCAGGCCGATTTCGTGCATGCGCGACACAGCTGTAGCTTGCAGTAGGAACACTCAAAGATGGCCCAATGGGGCCCGGAGCGGCAGAAATGGCACAGCCATTGTACCAGCGTCGTCTCCGACTTGATCATCTGGAACGAGTGCGCGCAGGCGACGGACATGGTGACCGACAGGTGTTCGCGTTGCTTCGGTTGGTCGCGGCTGCAGGCGTCTGATACTTTATGCAGGTTTGCCGGGATAGGATGGTGATTGATCAGGGGGACTTGACTGGGCTGGATGCAACCAAATTCGATGCTGGCCTATCGTCAGCCTTGTGTCATGCAGGCATGTGTGTCTGCCGTTCGTTCTGAGGAAGGGGAGAGAGTTGGGTATTAAGCAGTTCGATGCAATGCAATGGGGCTAACTGACCGGCAGAGCGCAGGACTACTGTGCTCGCGCTAGGGACTGCTTTGATATGTGCAGGTACTATTCCCGTTCCGTGGGGAATATAGACAGGATGATGTTGTAAGTCAAGAAGTCAAGGGAGAAGAGCAGAGAGAGATAGTGAGGCAAGGTAATGTGAACAAGCGAACCGTTGGGATCAGCCAGCGGAGGCCGGAAGACACAAACCTTTTATGGTAGGGACATGCCCCCGATGATTAAGAATGGTGTCTTCCTCCGTAGTGCGGCAGGTGAAGAGAAGCAAAGGAAACACGGAGAAGATGAGCACAAACTCACAGATGACGATTGGCCACGGAATGTGAACGAAAACGAACCCCCATTGAGCGGCGGTGAGAGGGTCCAGCCAGGTCCAGGTCCAGGTCCGGGTTGGGAACAGCACCTGAGGTACGAGGCGGATGACGACGGCAAAAGGAAAGATGGAGGAGCTCTGTGCAAGTATCGAAACCGAGCTTGCATGCGCCAAACTGAGATCTGATGAAGATGCTTCGGCTCTGGTCCGACGCGGGCTCGCCTGGGATGTTGAGGGAACGGGTTACGGAGTCGCCCAGTATGTGTGTTGCAAGTGGCCACAAAAGTCTGTGTTTCGACAATTCACAGGAGCAGGCACGTACGTAGCCTGCCTGGCCATGCGATGGTGAGGCCTGTTGAGAGGGAGACTTGACCGGCTCCCTTTCACCGTGGCCCCACGGGCGTAGTAGTAGTACTACTACCCGGACAGGTAAACGTGGGATCCGTGAATGCAACCACGGGTGACGGAACGGCGGGCAAACGAATCATCGGGCTGGGAAAGGACAAGGGCGCCGGATTGTGCGAGGTGAGGGAACCACGTTGGAAGCTGGCGCGAAGCGAGCGGAAGCACGGCTTATGTGCGCACGGGGATTCCCTGGCATGGTTTTTAGTACTGATCCAAGGTCAAACCTTAAAATCGCCAGGAAAAGGTTGCTTGCCGCCACCCCGGTCCTCAGCATCATCCATTCTGTGACGGCATATTGCGCCCATGCGCTTTGTGCTGGGTACGGAGTACAGATAGGTAAATAATGAACAGTGTTCATGTTTGCTTGGGGGGGGCCCCCCAAACATAGGTCGATACGTGGTGGCCTAAAGAGGAAAGAAAGCATGGGAGGAGACCATACAAGTCTCACACTAGAGTCAGTCCGTCGACCCAAACGTCAAAAGCAAGTCACGGTGTCATCTTGATGGTGCCGTCCGCGTGGGCCCACCCAATGGCTGTGGCTGTCGCAACTCGGTCGACATTGTTCTCCGAATCCCATTGGAGACGTGGAGACGACGACATGGAAGGGCCGGAAGTTCGGTAGCAGCATGGACCCTGGCAAAAGAAAAAAAGCGACAAGGTCAAGTCCCGCCAGCGGGAATGCGATTTGTAGGTTCAGAAGCTCCTTGAGAATGACGGATACTCCGTCTGCACGTCTTGAGCTTTTTGGTTGAAACAGTAGCTTCAACTTTCGTCAAGCGACGCAGCTTTCGTGATTGGGTCGTCAGGCCCCTGCTCACTGTATCCCTACCAGTTCCGTGCTGCGCTAGGCTACAATGGGACTGACTAGATATTTAGCTTACCAGTTTCGTCGGACCCTTGCTTTGACGAATTGGGAAAGTAGCTTCCAGGTCTGCGCCTTCCCTCGATTTTGCATTCGAGACAACAAAAAAGGTCAACCGTGTCTGGATGCTTCACCGCTAATGAGCACGATCACTAATTAGTATCGACTCTTTCTTTTGCTGGGACTGGATCTTTCAGCACCCGCAATGCATGGCGCGATCGCGAATGGGGGCACAATCACGCCGTGCCGAGAGCCTGGGACCGAGGTGCGTGCCCTTGCCGCGGGCCTGCCGCCTGTCCAGCCCGGGATGGGGTTTGGAGTTCACTTTGACGTACCATCTGTCTCGACGTCAGTCCCTTTCCCGGAATATCAGCGACGAGATGGTTCCTCCGAGGCGGCTATGAGGGACGGCACTTCTGCAGAATGCGTACGGCCGCCATCAGAGTCTAGACAGCCAGTGCCCCGAGCGATCGCCTGATTGGCGTGGCATGGCATGGCGGTTCCAGACGTAGAAGATTCGACAATGTGAGGGAGTCGCAGATGGATGGATGGATGGATGGAATCATGGATGGATGGTGGACTGACTATCCACTCTTCTGCATCGACCGGTGAGCAGCATCCCCGTCAATGGCCATTCTGATCTACGTATATGATATATCATTATCGTTCAAACAGCGTTACAGCGTGCGTGACACCTCCAAACGTCCAGGATGTCGAGCACGCAAGAACGTTGCTGAGGCTCGCGAGTCCAGACAGCACAGACCCAGGCAAAGGCTATATTACTACGTAGAAAGAAGCCAGAAGGAGACTGGCAGTTTCGTAGCGCGGCCCGATGCCCATATCCCATATCCTACCCAGGATCGGCGTGCCAGAGGCCCCGAGCTTCCCCACCAAGGAAGCGCGGTTCTCCAGTTCGTCGTGCATTATTACCCGGGTTGATAGACGCCACTCCCGTGTGCTGGTCGTCTTTTCGATCCGAGGACTCATCAGTCTGACGAGAACACCTGGTGGCTCACACGGTACACCAGGTCTCGTAATGCGCCGTCATTTACACCAGCCCTATGGCACTTACTACGTAGTACATAGACCATGCAGCCAGCTCCTTGGACAAATGGATGAGGTTACTGTGATTTATCCAAAATGCCTGACTGTCCGACGTACTGCGTAACAGACAGCACCTGGTTTTATCCGCCCTTCCTCGACATTTGTTGTTGGCAGTCTCTGAGCCGATGTCCGTGGTCAACCGCGTGGACTCGGAGTAATTCGTGTGCCAAGACGAGACCACATGGCGCGAGTCCAGACTCCATATCCGGAGCATGCTGCGAAACAGGGGGTCCCTGCCGCCGCGCAGGCCAAAGATGAAACTCATCACGCACTCGGTTAATTTGCAAGGAGGCCCCATTGCGCGCTTCCCAGTTCACCATCGGCGCCCGCCCCGATCGGAAGATGGTATCAAATTGGAACCAGTCGGTCAGACCTGAAGCAGGACGCGAGTTTCAAAGGCTTGGTCCACCGGGAGTTTGGCCCGGGTTGCCTAACCTGAACAGACATTCATGGCCGCGTAAAAGTGGACGAACCGTACGAATCTCAGGTCGATTCATGGTGAGTGACTGGAGACGGGTAGTGAACACGGATGACTCGATTCGATATTATGTACTTGATTCCGCATGTCCTCGTTTTCTATGCTATGGTTGCCCATAATGTAATTTCTAATTTAGCCTTTGGAGTTCGTGTACGGAGACGCTTTTAAGCAAAGTTCGCTGCTTTCCTCAAAGTCGGCATACAAGTCGCTGGTGAAAAATCCCCCTCCTCCGTTCGGACTGCTAGGGAGAGCTCAGTATAGAAAAGTAACGCCGGATGGCATAGACGCTCCCCATGAAGGATAATGTCATGGAATGGGCCTTACAACCTCGGTGGACTCAGGATTGTATCTAGGCCAGGGAGGTTGCTGTTTCTGGCGAATCCATAGTGCGAGTCTTGGTGATCACCACTCGGGATTCACAATCTTGCCTCCTTCGGCCGCATTCGCAGAATGACCGTCCCCTTTACCGCTCTGCCCTTGGGCCGGAGGCGACAGAAGCAGATCCTTGGACGGCGTTGCCTTCATCTCGAGAGCCTCGGAATCACTCGCCTGTCGCTCTAGCTCTTCAAAGGTGAAAGCCTCGGAGAGATTCACGGCAAGGAACGTCTTGGGCAGTTTGACCCTTTGCATCAGTTAGTAAAATTTTCTAAAGGATGATACTCCATAAGTACGTACTGGTTGAACTTGGCTCGCAACGTCTTGATCACTTGGAGCCAGTCGCTGTGGTTTGTCAAACTGCGCCTAGGCGCGCAGCCAATCGAGTGGCGGCTGTCCAGTTGGACATGAAGAGGATCATGGACATGGCAGCCCGGGCTGATGGTGATGCGAATGCTGTAAGCATATTTGGGTTCGTCTTCAGGGCTGTCCTGAGGTTGCTTGATCTCTGACTCGTACAGCTCAAAGCTGATCTGGGAAAGGTAGTCGAGCTCGGGGATCGTAGCCCTTGTGATCTTGGTCTCGATACCTCCCTCGATGATGCAATTCAGCAGGGTGTAGATGTGCGACTCTTTGGTGAAGTAGAAGAAGGACTTAGCCTCGTGGGAAGCCTGCATCTCTTCCAGATCCTGGACAATCTCCTTCAGCAGCGGGAGCGATGTCAGGAGACCAATTTCGAGCTTCTCGCTATCAGAGATGCCGTACTCCTGCGGGCAGATGAAATCAAAAAGCACCTTGGCAAGCTTGTACAGTTCCTGCAGAGGCTCGTGCTTCTGTTCCGTTTTCGTTGCGCTCGTCTCAGTGCCCTTGTACAGTTTGAAGTACTGCTCTGGTGGAGGCTCCTCGCCCAGATGACGAAGGCCATTGAGAAAAGACCGGCGTCTAAACAGCTTCTTCACTGTGCCCGATCGTTGGACAGGATCGGTGCCTTCCTGGGGGGTCTGGCCGGCGATACTGTTGGACTTCTCTTGCTTCGGCTCGACGGGCGCCTTGGGCTCTTCCGTCTCCTTCGGCCTGCTTTCCTTGCCTTCGTACTCCTCAAGCATGTGATCCGGAGGGGTGAACACCCATTCGAGGAATTGCCGGTTGTGGAGTGAGTCAAACTTCATCGTGTCGTAGAGCTCGGAGATCTTGCTAGGGTCCACCTTCTCGCCATCACAGAATTCTGCAAACAGCTTCTCCCAGCGTTCCCTGAAGAGCTCAGCATCCTCGCCGGAGCACCATCGCGCCTGGATGCTGTTGACGGTATTCGCCTGCGACAGAGATGAAGCAAGCGACGAGGTCGAGCCTTCGCCAGATATCTTTTCTCTCTCTGTGGCCGGGTTAGAAATGCTGTTCAGAGACGTGGCTGCGCCGCTGAATATCTTGGAGTAGTTGTGATGCATGACACGACGATGGAAGTTCATCAGCTGGACAACGCGCTTCTGCACCTCGGACGGCTCAGGCATTTTCTCGGGCCAGGCAAACTGCGCAGGTCGCTCATTGCCCTCGCGCAGCAGGCCCTTGAGCTTCTTCTTGACCTTGTCTGTCTCATCCTTGGCGGCGTTGGAGTCGTCCAGGAGGTCCTTTCGAATGGTGATGAAGTCATCGGGTATGTCGTTTTTGCCGAGGAACGACGCGGCCCAGATCTGTGCGCTTGTCGTCACTCGTCTTTCCGAGCTGCTGAACACGTGGACTTCATCGAGCACGTCTCTGTTCAGGAGCATGAAATCATTCCTCATGTTGTCGCCCAGCTCCTGGGCTTGGTAACGAGCAGCGTGCGTTGGCTCGCCGCCCCATTTGACAATGAGCTGGAGCTTGTCAAGCACAAGTCGCTCCTCAGCTGCCGTGAACTTGGACATCGTGACGCCAGACAGGGAATCGTGACGCTTAACGGGTTCTCTCGGTGACGCTGCGTCACCGTCCTTGTGACCAGGGCTGTTCTCCGTGTCAAGCGGGGGCGTCTGAACGTTCTCTTTCAAATCAGGCATCTCATCCACAGCGCTCTCCGTCTTCTTCTTGCGGAACATGGGTTTGATTTGGATCTTTGTTCCCGCCCAACTGCCTTTCTTGACCAAAACGTTGCGAAGGGCTTTGAGTTTGCCAGGGTCCTCAACCCCTTCGAGGAACGCCGAGTCGACAGCGGAAATCACACTCGCCAGTGCAGCCTCGCCAATCAGCAATACCTCTTCCTGATGACCTTTCAGCAGCGCAATGAAAGGTGCAGTGTGGAACGTGAATTTGAACTTTTGCTTGGGCGTTCGGTCAGCATGGCGAATGACCGACACCACTCCTTTCAACTTCCACGAGTGCTTAGGGGGAGGCGGCTGCTCAGCCTCGCGGTGAGACTCTTCACTGCCACCAATACCTTGTGATGTCGCCACAGTCTTCACAGATGCTGGTGCCGAAGGAGAATTCCCCTGCAGAAAGTCCGCAGGTGGTGGCAGCGAATGCATCGGGGCGGCACTGGATGCTGTGGAAGACAGCAAGTCCTCAACACGTGGGGAAGCCGCGTCGCTGGGCGCTACTGATGCATCTCCGGCTTGGGATGTGTCCGAAGCAGTGGCCGGGGCAGCAGGAATGCTCTTTGCGTTCGGAGGATGTAGCGAAGCAGAGGAGTGGTCGCGCTCCCGAAGAGAAGTCTGCTGCTTGGACATTGGGTCGGTTTCCGAGATCGATGGCGAGGGCGCCGGCGATGACATTCCACCTCTTCGAAGTCTCTCCTTGACGAACAAGTCCTTCAAGATATTGGCGCATTGGTCGTAGTAGTCATTGTTGTCTTTGACAAAACTCCAGCCATTGACGTCAATCACATAGCTCTTCCCAGATGCTCTGAGGAGGTCAAATCCGCAGACTCGTTGGCCGAACGCAGTCGCAATTTTGCTGGCAGTCTCTCGCTCCTCCGCACTCAGCGCGGTCACGTACCGAAGCTCCTTTCCGTGCTGGTTTCGCCTGACCACACCGTCCACTACCGGCGATTTGCGTGTCTCCGCATGGCAGTAGTTCGGGCCAACAGTGTAGGCCTTGATGTCCTCCGCATTGTCGACCTGCATGAAGCTTTCGTACACGTAGCTACTCTCCGGCTCAGTGATGGCCCGAGGCACGTTGAGCTCAGGGATGTATTCGGAGCTTTTGTTGCCAATCTTTCTGAATAGCTTCCGTGCGCCGCCTCCCGCTGACTTGGGAAAATAGATGATAATGTTGTGGTCTTCACCGCTCGTGGGCTTCTCCACAAACGGTTTCTTCAAAAGTGCACCGTCAACGCTGATGACATCGCCGTCGTCAAGCAGCTCGACCTTTCGCGGTGGATTGTATTTGTTTTCATCAGGAACGGCGAGATCAACCCCTGAGACTTCCTTGATGTATTTCACCATGTCAGGGGTCAGGAAACCTGGTCCGCCATCTCGGTTCACTTCGACTCGGCTGGGGGTTCGGACATTGATCTCGTCGAGGACTTGCAGGCATAAACGCCGATCCCACAGTAGCTTCTGTAGCGGCACGTCATTGACGCAGAATGGTTTCCGTGTCTTGACATAGGCGATGGCCTTCTCTAACGGAAATCCGTCCGAGTAAAAGGAGATCAAATAATCGCTAAACATGGTCAATACTTAATGGCGCGATAGCAGTGATTGCAACTTACCAAATGGGCCAATTTTCCACCTCTTCGTCGAGAATCACCTTGTCCCCAAACACGACGACATCGAAATCTCGGTTCGCAATGACCCGGTTGAGAATGTTCCGACTGGGTTTGCTTCGGGCTTTCACATCCAGCGCACAGATACCAATGACGCCCCAAGGAGCGGGCTTGGACGCAGCCTTGCCCTCTTCCTTCTCACGATGCGAAGAGCCTCGCTCACTGCCGGGGCTGTGGCTGCTGTTCGCGGTGCTGCCGCTAAATCGCCTCTTCACTCTACTCCGTGAACGATCTGGCTGGCCTCTCGAGCCACTCGCTGCTGGGGCCGGGAAATTGGTTGTGGCATCGCTCCGTTGGTTGCGCCTCATGAGGTCGAGAGGCTGCGAGTGCGGGTCACGAGGTGTCAGGGCGTGAGACCCAGAGGCAGGCTGGCCACCCTGTATGCTCGAGGTTGTGACGGTAACATTGGACATGCCAGCCTCCGAGGGCGTAGTGTTGGAACCTTTGTTGTTCGACATCAGGTATGATGTAGATCGTGTACGACCACCTCGGCTCGGTTCCGATGTAGGCGCAGTTTGTGTCGCACTGCGGGCAGCGGACAAGGAAAACAGAGAACTGTTGGAGGAGCGTCTGTTTTGTGCGTCTGTCAAAGATGTAGATTCCACTGCCGTGGCTGGCTCCTTTATCGTTGCAGAGGACGATTGTTTACTACTGATGGTGGGGCGTATTCGAGGGGTGTCTTCGGCGCTGTCGCCAATAGCAGCGTCGCCTAAGAGTAAATCCTCACTAAGAATGGAGTTTGACGTCCCGGAATAGCAACGACCTTGCGATAGAGACGAACCCGGACTTCTTAACGGGATGTGTGGAGATTGGGACGGCGCCGAGCAAGCTGAAGATTCGACGTGGACGTCTGTTGTACTCGGCTCAGCATAGCGACTCTTTCCGTTGCCGAAAGACGTATTTCTGCGGCCAAGGAACGACCCGTGCCCAGAATAAGATGCTGAACCAGATGAGACCGTACGCGAGTGGGTTCTCCTAGTGGTGTCGATGTTCGCTGGGGTAGTGTTGCTCAAAGAACTGTCCAGTGTCGAGGTGGACTGGGGGAGGGAAGTGTCATTGATGGCGGTGGGGGATTGCGCATCGTTCGAGTCGGCCATGGTACCCCCGTTGTCGGCATCAATCGACGCTATCAGTACTGATAGTGAGCCGGGTAATAGTAGGTACCTGGTCGGTCGGTAGGGCACGGATAGGGTTTGCTGGTCAATGGACGGTGGCCGGAGACGGACAGGTGGGGAGCAAAGCGAAGCGGGACGAGAGATGGGGAAGATGACGTCGCAATTTCACCGCGATTTCGGCCAGAGCGAACCTCCAGTTGCCTAAGACACCTTCACGTTAGGAACCAAGCCTGGGATCATCATATACCAGCCTCAGTTGTCAGACTTTCTAGCCTGCTCATAGAGGTGGTCACGCGACACATGCATACAAATTGCGGTCTAAGACCTGAAGTTTTGGTATTGGGCAGTGGGTGCTGCTAGCTGGATGCAGACCATATGCACTTCAACGCATGTTGACGCACTCTGCTGCAGAAGCCTAGTAAGCGGCTGGAACCCCAAGAACTTCCAATCAGACAGGCTTGACAAGCTCGAGGCTCATGGGACGTTTATAGACACAGCTGCGATGCGCTGGTGGTGCGGTGAGCAGGGCACCCTTCTGCTCAGATCCGCTGCGGCTCCACAGTCAGCGCCCTTGGTCAGGCAGAGTCTCGGCCTTGGCTCCTTGGAAGTAGCATGTGTGGAATTGCGAGCCTGAAGAGGATAATGCTTGCTGCTACTACGTAGCCCTGCATTTGTGCAAGCTTAAAATGCATGTGACAGAATCAGAGGATGAACCGGAGGTGCAGAGACCAATTGTGGCTTGGCCCCCTCCATGTGGCGCAGTGTGGCGCTTACTGGTGGCAGAAAAAAGTGACCGCCAAAATTTCTCCAGTATGGCTTCAACCACCAGGCGCTGGCTTGACGATCCCGCAGCAACAAAGGTGATCGCCTCGGGACGAGACTCGACAGGATGCCGCACTCCAGCAATGACACACCTCTGGTCAAGCGCCAGAAGGTGACGACGGTTGATAGAGCGACAAAGTCTGCTTCCAATGCGTCTAGGCTCTTTGCGCCGTTTCGAGTAAGTGCCTTCTGCCCTATCGCTGTCCCATGTCAAATTCTAAAACATGTAGACTGTTGGCCTCGTTTCCCCGACAAGCGTCCCGTTCTCCTCGATACCTCTTGGGAAGACCACCTTCCAGATCACAACATCCGTCGGGCGAAGCCTACAAACATACGATCTGCGCCGCGGTCTCAATCTTGTCTTTGTGAGCAGGCCCCAAACGCCAGCTGACATTACCGCAACATTGGCATGGAAGGAGAAGGTGTACGCAGCCTGGGGAGGGTCTCGCAAAGGTGAAGAACAAGGCATCTGGGTGATCCAGCGTGGCCGCAAGGTTGGGGAGCTTGCGCTACCCTCAGACATCACAGAACCAATCAAGCAGATCTTAGTGCTGGGAACATGGATAATTGCTTGCGCGTCGACTCGGATCGAGGTCTTCAAGACGGCGACTCTGGAGCACTACACCACCATCTACACCATGTCAGCAGCCAACAACGGAAACGAAATTTCTGGGGGCGTTGTCAGCTTGCCAACCTTCTTGAACAAGATCTTTGTCGGCCGCAAGGATGGTTGGGTTGAGATCTGGAACATCAGCACCGGCAAGCTGATTTACACGATATTGCCCCCCACTCCGGACGCTGGGGCCGTCACATGTCTCGAGCCAACGACAGCACTGTCCATGGTTGCGATAGCTTATGCGAGCGGCACACTCATCATCAAGAATGTCCTCACGGACAAGACCATACTCTCAGTCGAAGCTGGCAATCCCGAAAGCCCCGTCACCAGTGTATCTTTCCGGTCTGACGGCATGGGCGCTGGACAAGATGGGAGAAAGGACGGTGTCATGGCCACGGCAGGCCCTTCGTCAGGTGATATTACGTTCTGGGATCTGAACGGTGGCGGTCGAGTCATGGGTGTTTTGCGAAGTGCCCACAACCCGCCGTCCGGCGAGGGCAAGACTGTTCGAGGGGGTGTGAGCAAGGTTGAGTTTCTCGTCGGCCAGCCTGTCATTGTGACCAGCGGACGCGACAACTCTCTGAAGACGTGGATCTTTGACGAGACCCCCTTCAATGCCATCCCCAGGATCCTCCACGAAAGGAGCGGCCATGCAGCCCCCGTCAACTGCCTGCAATTCCTGCCGACAGACTTTGACGGTGCCGATGCTGGCAACAAGTGGCTTCTGAGTGGTGGCGAAGACCGCAGTCTTTGGGGCTGGAGCTTACGCCGTGATGGTCAGAGCACCGAGCTGAGCCAAGGAAACATTCGTAAAAAGGCCAAGAAGGTTGGCATCCTCGCCTCGAACGCACTCAAGCATGGGCCCACGACGACCCTGGAGGACCTCAAGGCCCCTGAAATTACGTGCATAGCATCGTCGCTGAATCGCGATGGTGGCATGGGTGCCATGCCGGGCAACCAGCCTATCTGGCAGCGGAGCCAAACGAAGAAGCAAGGACAAGACGCTGAGATCAGCGGCATGACGGGCTGGGAAAGCGTGGTCACGGCACACAAGAATGATCCACTGGCGAGGACTTGGTTCTGGGGTCGCAAGAGGGCTGGTCGGTGGGCGTTCCCTACTGGCGATGGCAGCAACGTATCAACGGTCACCATCAGTCCGTGTGGCACGTTTGCGGTCGTGGGTTCGGAGTCTGGTGGCATCGATATGTTCAACCTGCAATCCGGTGTGCACCGTCAGCGGTTTCCCTCACGGTTGACGCCTGCGCAAGCCAGACAGCTAAGACTACAGCAGTCGAGGCAGACGGACGATGTGGTGCACTTTCACACTGAAACAAGCAAATTCTCCGCCGGCATGGGCAAGCACACCAAGGCAGTTACGGGCATTGTTGTCGATGCGATGAACAAGACCGTGGTCTCGTGTGCGCTGGACGGGAAAATCAAGTTTTGGGACTTCTTGACGGGGAACCTGCTCGAGGAGATCAACTGGGCCCCGATGACATTCCCGACGGCCATTCGATACCACGCGGCGAGCAACCTTGTCGCCTTCTCGTGTGACGACCTGTCGGTACGCGTTGTAGATATGGAGACGAAGCGCACGATTCGTGAGTTCTGGGGACCAAAGGACACCATCAACGACTTTTGCTTCTCGCACGACGGGCACTGGATCATTGCCGCGTCACAGGACAAGATTGTCCGGGTGTGGGACCTGCCAACCAGCCACCTCATCGACGCGATCAAGCTGGAGAAGCCATGCAGGGCGCTGGCCGTGTCAAACTCGGGCGAATACCTCGCGGCCACCATCCAAGATCAGCTGGGCGTCACACTCTGGACCAACAAGTCACTCTTCAAACACGTTGCGACGCGACAAATCTCCGAAAAGGAGATTGGCCTGGTGGATGCGCCGACAGTGTCTGGCGAAGGAAACGCGGGCATGCTCGACGGCGCGTTTGAGGACAGCGAGGAGGCGGACGACAATGCCGTCGTGGCCCCCAGCCTCGATCAGCTCAGCTCGGACATGATGACCCTCAGTCTGGTTCCCAAGGCGAGGTGGCAGACTCTGCTGCACCTCGATCTCATCAAGCAGCGCAACAAGCCCAAAGAGGCGCCCAAGCTACCCGAGAAGGCACCCTTCTTCCTGCCATCGACAACCGGTGCCGCGTCGACGCAAGGCCAGGAGAAGGCCGACGGTGCGGTGGAGGACTTGGGGCGATCACGTATCACGAAGCTCGACAAGGCGCGGTTCGAGGAGAACTTTGCCTCCAAGTTGCGCGAAGGCGCGGAATCAGGAAACTGTAAGAACGCCTCCCCCTTTTTCTCTTTTGACATGACGCTGACTATTCACAGACGATCGATTTATTGAACACCTCAAGTCCCTTTCGCCGTCCAGCGCTGATCTTGAACTCCGTTCGCTGACGCCCGGTGATGGCGCATCCTCGGCATCGAACGAATTGTTACATTTCATTCATGCCTTGACAGCACGCTTGAAGATTCGCCGAGACTACGAGCTCACGCAGGTCTGGATGACGGTCTTCCTCCGACTCCACTCGGACGAAGTCATGGCCAGCCCCGTCCTCATGGAGGCGCTGAGTGAGTGGAAGTCATACCAGGAAAAGGAATGTACAAGGTTGGACGGGCTGGTGGGATATTGTAGCGGTGTCGTAGGCTTCCTGAGGAGCCCGCGGACGTAGAAGCAAGCATAAGAGCGATTTGAAATTTATATTCTATACGTACACGTGCACACTCTATTCGATGCCCATCTCCCGCAACTTCGCCTTGAAGCCTTCAGCTTCCTCCATCATCACCTCCTCCGTCCTCGCCTTGCGATCGGCATCTTCGATCTTGGGCATGCTGCCTCCTGGCTTCGGTCTTTGCATCTTATCCCACAGCGCACCGCCAACATTGCCATCCTCACTCGCCAAGCCGCCGTAAATCTCATCGGGCTGCTCCATGTCCCCCTTTGTCCTTGGTATCACGTGCACATGGACATGCGGCACTGTCTGCCCCGACTCAGGGCCGTCCTGCACGGCCACCGTGAAGCTCCCTGCCGTAGCATCGTGGGGCGCGGGGAAGTACGCCCTTCCCAACAGCTTCTGTGTCAGTTGGGCCGTCGTGAAGAGATCGCCTGTCTCGGCTGGTGTGAGGTCTGCCAGGCGACGATGCGGCTGCAGTGGACAGACAAGGATGTGGCCCGGTAGCAGAGGTTTTAGATTGACAACGGCAAAAGAATGATCAGTTTTGAGGAAGACTTGATTCGTCACCTCAAAGGGGCCGAATTTGATGGGCTGCGCGCCAATGTTGGTCGTCGGGGAGAACATGTTGAGGAGGCGCGTCGTCGTAGACAAGGCGCGTTTTGCTGGCCGCAGCGAACGCAGCATGCTCTGGCGATAGCGTGTGCAAGACGTGCGATTCAGAAGGATTTGTCTGTCGAAAGAGGTTCCCTCTGATTTTGCCCAATGCAGGTGGATGTGACTACTATATGTATTCTAGGTTGAGTGTGAAGTGCCCTGTCTGTGAGGTTGATTACGTCTTGTGGGGAATGATGCCGACAATCCGCAATCCTCGATCCGAATCCCAAGTTTTCCAAGTTTTCATGAGGTTCGACTTATCCGCTATTTAGATGAACGCGAGGCCCGCCAGACATTCATATTGTTACACACGAATGGCCCAGTCTTATTCGACTATAGACGCAGTAAGGAATGCAGGTGAAGGCCGAACCAGTTGGCCGTGACCTATTTCTTGCTATATCCTGGCTTCAAGATCATTTATCGTATATACTGAATGGTCTTGAACCAGTGCACGTCATGTATACAAATAGTCCCGTAAATGCGAATCCCCAGCGCCGTGGTACGCCCAATCGTTTATATGCATGCTCCTCTTACTCGAGGCGAACCTGGTCCTCGTCAATGGGTAGATGATCGGTATTGGTAGCCCCAAAAAGTTCGCGACGCCTGTGAAGTGGCGAATTTTCGCTTTCCTCCTGTTCATCCTCCTCATTTTCATAGTCCCAGTGCACTGACTACATTAGCATTTGTGCTCAGAGAAAGATGGTCGTGTGAACTCACCGGCTGGCCGGATGGCAAATGTTGACAGGAACGCGAAAATGAACAAAGCGCATAGCACAACAAAGAAAGCCTGCGGGTACGTCTTGACAGTGGCGGCATAGATCCCATTGAAGACCACAGGGCCAACGACCCTGCACAAGGCATGGAGCATGCCGGTGGCGCCAAGTATCTGCCCAATCTTACGTTGGGGAACATGCTTGGTGATGACAGCCTGGATGGTCGCGCTGCCTAGGCCACCAAAAGCGGTCATCATACCGCTGGCGAAGAACACATTCTCGTGCCGCGCAAAGATGTAGCCGAGAACTCCTACCACGTCAGAGAGGATGGCAACGCGCATGACCCAGATATCGACCATGTCAGCGCCCCCATTCTTCTCCCTCGCGATGACACCGCTGGCTTCTCGACGTTGTGCAGGTCGCACCCTGGCAAAATAATTGATAAGGGGGAACACCCCGAGCAAAGCAAACACCCTAACAAACGACAAGGCCGAGATGAACTGCGAGCTTTTGAGTGTCCCCCAGTGGAACATGTAGCCACTGTAGAGAATGATGACAGCCCCGGTGGCGATGGATGAACCCAGAACGATGGTGTCGCTAATGGCAAGAGCCACGAGATTCGTGCGCAGCTTGGACGAAGTACCAGGACCAGTAGGCCAGAGAATAGCCAGAGGTTCGAATGGGTTAACCTCCTGAATGCGGGAGAGGCATGAGCCCATCATGTGCTCTCTAGATTCCTTCTCCTTGGCCCACGCCTCTCGGGCCGCTTCACGCTTGCTCTTGACAAGGCTCTCGGGGATGACAAATGCGAGCAGCAAGATGAAAACGGTGTGGCAGCCCACAACGACATAGAAAATCAAAAGGAGACTGCCCGTCCACTTGACAAGGTAACCAGCGAGGAGCGGGCCCAGCGCAATACCGGTGAAGAGACAGGCGTGAGTATAGCCGATGTAGACGGCCCGCTTGGACGGAGGAGTACAGTCGCTGGTGTAGGACTGGCTAAGGATGCTCCCGGCCGTTAAAGAACCTGTGGCCCCATCAAATACACTGCCCAGAATGAGCCATCGATAGTCTATGACATCGGCGTATTTTGCAATGACAACGGTGAGAATCTCTCCCAGAAGCCCTCCAGTGGATGCGAAAGCCATCAGTCGTGTCCGACCGTAGCGATCAGAGAGACGTCCAAGGCGTGGGGCTATCACGGCACTGAGTGCTCCAGTGACAAAGTTCATAATCAAAATAAACGTCGACACCTTTGCCTGTATCTCGGGAATCTGGCATTGCGGATTATCGCCGCCGACAAATACGGGCGCCACAGGTTGTGTGGAATCCCAAGCAGCTCGATCGGCAAAGTGCTGTCGACACACGAGAGAGAGGATCCTGGGGGCATGGTCAGGGTCCGAAGACGCACGAGTAGGCTGGCTCCCGCAATACTCACAGATTCAACTTGGGCACCATGATACCGCCAAATGCAAGCGTAAAAAGGGCAAAGGGGCCCAGGAGCCAGAAGACCGATGGTCGGCGCCACCATGGGAGCCCTTCATAGTCCTTGTCGCCATCCCAAACAACCTCGGCCTCCTCTGATTCCCTGCGCTGATGGCCAGCACCAAGCAGCTGCGATGTTTCCGTCGACTCGTAGTCGGGTACTTCGCGTATCAGAGGGCTTGTCCCACCCTCGCTGTCGTCGTATGCCTTTGGCCCAGACATTGCGCAACGTCGAGATGCGCCTGGGCTGGCGCGTGGGTGGTTCTATAAGATTGACGTAACGGGCGTATTTACTGCAGGCGCGCGTGCTGTGCTGAACGTGACAAGAGGCCAAGTTGCGCGGGCATGTTTCTCGCCGCGTACTGGTGCTTCTTAGAACATAAAACAGAAAGGGAACGGCGAGAAGGGAGACCGGATGTCTTGGACCAGTGCTTCGTAATGGACTAGAGAATTGGGGTCTGGGGTGCGGGACGGAGGGACCAAGTCGCCTTGCTCGCTGCAGATAAGCGGCTCTCCACTTGGGATTAACCTACTAATTTGGCGGCGAATCTAATCACTGGAAACTGGAAACCCGACTATCAAACCTGGCTCCTCGTCGCTTCTCTGCAGTAAGCGTCATGTGTCCATGCGCTTGTTGGATATCGGGCGCTGATCCGGGCAGCATTGCAAAGCAAGGGGGCGGAGGCTTTGGGCCGTCGGCGAGGACATGGACTGGAGGCTGCGATAACATCGATGACGCACCCGAGGATGCGCCAAAGTACCTGCTAACCTGGGAAGCGCTCAATTTGGCAGGACATACGAGCTCCCCAATGTGTTGACAAGCTCCAAAACCTGGAATCTGGCATGCAGGGCAATAAGCGACTCGACAAGTCCGCAAAGTCCGCAGCGCTTCTCCTAAAGTTGATGGAGGGTGAGATCGAGCGAGTCGCCAAAGTTCCGATGGACTTGGGGTTTGACGCCGCGAATCCGTGACCGACGCTAACGTTAGTACGTATCTTTTCGGTGAAGCGGAGAGGGTCCCGGTGAGCGTTATCCTTGAGATTATCTTGAACCAATAAGATCTGACCCTGCATTCTGACTCAGCATCTGCTACTCGTCGTCACGGTCCTTCAATTTTCGCGACAGATTGAACTGCAGGCTGGCACCAAAGACACTGTCATCTTCTGGCCATCTCCACCACCACCACGATGCCGGTCGTCAAGGGAGGAGTGTGGACAAACATTGAGGACGAGATTCTCAAAGCGTCCGTCTCCAAATACGGACTCCAGCAATGGGCTCGCGTGTCCTCTCTGCTCGCGCGCAAAACCGCCAAGCAGTGCAAGGCGCGATGGAACGAGTGGCTCGACCCCAGTATCAAGAAGACAGAATGGAGCAAGGAGGAAGATGAGAAGCTTCTGCACCTCGCCAAGATCTGGCCAGACCAATGGCGCACGATCGCCCAGGGCGTCGACCGGACCGCGAACCAGTGTCTGGAGCGCTACCAGAAACTGCTCGACGAGGCAGAAGCCCGCGAATCCTCCGGTCTAGGACTTGCTGGACCAGAGGGTGGAGAGACACAGGCACCCAGCGCGGACGATGTGCGACGTCTACGACCCGGTGAACTCGACCCCGATCCCGAGACGAAGCCCGCGAGACCGGACACGATCGATCTCGACGAGGATGAGAAGGAGATGCTCAGCGAGGCGCGTGCGCGTCTTGCCAATACCCAGGGAAAGAAGGCCAAACGCAAGGCTCGGGAGCGTCAACAGGAAGAGTCACGTCGTCTAGCCAACCTGCAAAAGAGGCGAGAGTTGAAGACGGCGGGCATCAACATCCGGGTCACGCATAGAAAGAAGGGGGAGATGGACTACAACGCCGACATTCCTTTCGAGAAGAAGCCAACGTTGGGGTTCTACGACACAGCGGAGGAGAAGCTTCAAAACGACCGAGAACAAGCAGCCTTCGATCCGGGGAAACAGCATCTCGCGAATAAAAGAAAAGGCGACGGCGACGAGGATGGCGATCGGAAGAGGAAAAAGACCGAAAAGGACGGACTGTCCGATTCGCAAAAGGCAGCCATCAAAGCTGGGCAGATGCAAAAGCTGCGCGAAGCTGAGCAGGTCAGCAAGCGACGGGGTCTCAATCTGCCTGCGCCGCAGGTGGGCGAGGGTGAATTGGAGGAGATCATCAAGATGGGAAAGCTAGGCGAGGCGGCGAACACAATGGCCCGCGAGAGCGACAACGATGCGACCCGTGGGTTGGTCAATTCGTACTCCACGGTCAACAACAGCGCCCCTATCCGAACCCCCAAGGTCGCTGAGCAAGATGACCACATCGCCAATGAGATTCAGAACATTCGCGCGTTGAAGAATACACAATCTGCTCTACTAGGAGGAGAAAACACGCCTCTTCACGAGGGATCAAGCTCCACCGGCTTCGATGGCATCGCACCGCGCAAGCAGAACATGGTCACGCCGAACCCTATGGCGACCCCGAGGGGACCCAACGGGGTAGCAGCTACACCAGGCCGGCCTGGCCAGACGCCGCGTGATGTATACGCCCTGAACGACGACGATGGCTCCTTTAACGTATCAGCAACGCCCCGCGACATTAGGCTGCGCGACAAAGGTTTGAAAGGCCAGCTACGCTCAGGACTTGCCTCGCTTCCGAAGCCCAAAGAGACCGAATGGGAACTTGATATTCCCGAAGAGCAGGAGGAGGAGATGCAAGTCGAGGAACTCACAGAGGAGGATGCCGCCGAACGCGATCGCCGAGAACGGGAGCGTCGAGAGGCAGAAGAAGCCCTCGAACGCCGCCGCCGAACACAGGTCATGCAGCGCGACCTGCCCAGGCCCCTGACAGTAGATCTGCGAAGTATGACCAAGCGAGCCGAGCAGATCCCCGACCCTGGCGCCGCCATGATCGCCAAAGAAGCCGCCGCCCTCATGGTCAACGATGCAGCGCGCTATCCCCTTCCGGGCGCTCAGATCAAAGGCAAGCCTACGCCACTGCCAGTGCTGGACGACAAGGCGCTCGCCGAAGCCCGACTGCTGATCCTTTCCGAGACGAAGCCACTACCCAAGTTCGACGATATCCAGTCAATCTTTGAGAACCGTGCCAAAACATCGACGCTTCTTGGCCTTGGCTGCTACGATGATGATGAGGAAGCGCAAAAGGCCGCCATGCGAGTTGCCTTTGACGTACGTGTTTTCCTCACTGCACCCTATAATTTTGTCAACGCTAACCAGACCTAGGCTGTCCAAGATTCTATCATGTCGTCTGCCGAAGAGGGTGCCAAGCTCGAGAAGAAGCTTGCGCTACATCTTGGCGGCTATCAAAAACGGCAGAAGCTGCTTCGGGAGATGTACACGGGCGCATCGGACGCCCTTGAGAAGGCGCGCAACGCGCTCTCTGGCTTCCGCACCCTCGCCATCTCGGAGGACACCGCTGTCGAGAGGAGGCTCGAGGCGCTCCGGTCCGAGGTATCTCTGGTCAGCAAGCGCGAGCGGGAGGCACAGGACGCGTACAGACTGGCGCGAGACGAGTTGGAAGGGCTCAGGGCGGGAGCACCGAATGGATATCATTAACGTGTTGTATAACAATGTGTCACACAGCATCTGTCATTGGCGTTTTCACGTGGATTGGAACTATCTGGGTATGGCTTAGGAAAGACAATCAACGTAATTTTGATCAGGGTCACCACCGCACGTGGCTACGCTTTTTTTAATCTCTCTTGGGAAGACGAGGCAGCTTGATGGGGATGATCATCAACACTGCGACCGCGCCCAGAATACTCAAAGTCATGAACGTCAACCGAATGGCCGCCTCGTAACTCATCACGACCTGGTCCCTCAGCGGCTGCTCCAGCTTGGCCACCAGCTCCACGGACTTTCTAACCCTTTCGATGATCTCGGCCTTGTCCGGAGTGTCGTCTACGTATATGTTGAGATAGTAGCGCAGCGCATTCTGGACGACAAGCGACGCGTACGCAACGCCGACGACAAGACCGAGGCTTCGCCAGAGGATGAGAGTGCTCGTCACGACAGCCTGCTCCTTTTGCTGGGATGAGGCGAGTAGAGCCATAAACGTCCCCGAGAAGGCGAACCCCTGCCCGACGGAAGAAGGCACCAGAGCGAGGTTGTAGACTACCTCCGGTAGGTCGCGTCGGAGGAGGGAGAGGGAGACGCATCCTAGAAGCAAGAATGACGACCCGAGCATCGGAGGCCACTTGAGCCGTCGCGTCCAAGTGATGGCGAACCCGGTGAAGGCGCCGAAGACGGAGGCGACAATGGACGGCATGACGAGCCGGAGACCCGAGTCCGTGGCGCTGGAGAGCAGGACAGCCTGGAAGAACAGGGGCAGGTTGAACGTCAGCGCGTTCATGAGCAGCGCGGCGACAAAGTTGGAGAAGACCAGGTTGGCGCGCGGCGCCGTGAGGAGGACCTGCAGAGGCATAATGGGCTTGGTCGCCCATCTCTCCGCCCAGATGAAGAGGGGGAGTGTCAAGCCGAAGACGATGAGCGAGGCGATGACGAACGGGTGCGTCCAGGGCAAGATGTTTCCGCCAAGGTTGACGCCCAGAATCAGAAATGTGATGCAGCTGGTGAGCAGAAGCGAGCCCTGGAAATCAAAGTCCTTGAGCTGCTGCCATGCGGTGCTCTTGCGGTCCTCCTGAAGCCCCAGATCCGCCGGGATGGCGAGCAGAGCGACTGTGGTGACAAAGGCGAGGAAGGGCAACTGGATGCCGAATTCCCATCGCCAACCCAAGGACTCGGCTAGCCAGCCGCCCAGCGCAGCGCCGAGAGCACCCCCAACGCCGGCGGTGACATTGATGTAAGCCTGATAGGAACCTCGGCGTCTGTTTGCGTTGGTTAGCTACACTTCATCGCCGCATGCCAGGCTCACTCACTCAATGGGCACCAAATCACTCGTCATGATGCTGCCAATGGTGCCGCCACCACCACCGGCGAGACCACAGAGGGCCCTCGCAGCGATGAAGCTCTCGATGCTCCCTGCGAGTGCGCACCACAGTGTCGCCAGGAAGAAGATGACGGCACACGCCACGAAGAGAGGCTTCCGGCCCACAGCGTCGGACAAGCGTCCAAACAACGGTTGGAAAGCCGTCGAGGTCAGGAGGAATGATGTCGACAACCAGGAAGCCGAGTTGGCGGCATGGAAGTGGGACGTGATGACGGGGTGGGACGAGGCCATGATGGTGCCGTCGAATGCCATGATGAACAGGTTGATCAGAATGACGGTGAAGATCAACCAGAACCGCCCAGGGTTCGTGAGGAGCAGGAATACCTGTGCTGTCTCTGCTGCCGGCGCCGTCTCCTCCTCGTCCTCGCGGTCACCGAGCAGTGGGGAGGACTCGGTTGGTTGAGCCTCTTGGTCTCTGACATGATAACGGTGATGCTTCCCGTTTCCATTGGCGTGGAGAGGACCAATGACACCATTCTCTTGGGTGTCTGGCGCCAATGGCGCTGGTTGTGACGACAGTGATCGCGCAATGTCGTCTGTCTGTTCAACTTCGAGGTCGCTGCTGCGCCGGCCGAGTATTGGAGTCGGCTCCGAAGGCGCGTCCCGCCCAATATCGGATCGTCCCTTGGCCATTGATCTCAACGTTTCGTGATGTGGACGGCTCAACGAGTATTCCAAAGAAGTGAAGGAGAGATGATGTCAAATAATCTTGAGGCAACACAATCAAGTTTCGATTTTCCTTCGATGAATTGAGTGAATTGCCGCCAGGTACCAAACCTCAGCTCCTAGAGATCGCCCCCGAATCCGCCATCCTCCATGTCGTCGCGGGAGGGATTCCATACCTTACGCTGCAGGGCATGCAGCCGTTGGCTGAGCGCCCCGTCATGGGAATATGAGCTAATGCTGCAGTAGTGCAGAGGCAGTCCATGAGGTTCTGGTTTCAGCTTCGTCATGAACACCCGCATACGAGCAGTCCAGTGAGCACCATCCTGACCTGCATATGCTCATGTAGCTTGGCTCTTGTTAGCTGCAGACGACTCTGATGCCATGAGTTACGTGATGATCACAGTGCTACCGCTTACCAGCTTAGCGTGCTTTGTTCCATAAGTCTCCCATTTTCACATACTCCAAGTGCAAATCATCATCATCCTACACAGTGACGATCCATTTAATCGTGTACCGAAGATCCCTTCTGCGCCTGTCATCCATTCCCAAGCGTCTTTCCCAAGAATCCTCACTCGACACCATCGTCGAGATTGCTATATCCGTCCCGACAACGCAGTATGCGTCGTAATAACTCCATAGTCCCGTCAACAAACTCCTGGCTCACATGAACAGGCCCCTCCCGTCCCGAGTGTCGCGATCTTCCCATGCACAGGTTCAATAGAAGCTGAACGAAACCGTATCCTCAGACTTGCGCACTCTCGCTGGCCGACGCTGCAGCCACGAGAATCCCTGCGCCAATGACGCCGCCATTGTGGCAGGGGCTTAGAACCACCCTGGCTGGACTCTGCCCGTCTCCAAATATCCTTGCCAGCAACTGGTCGATGAACGACTGGCAGTCCGTCAGGTAATCTTGGAAATGAGTTATGCAGCCTCCGGTGTATCCAACGCCGAGCTCGCTCCCACTCGGTGCAGCATCCGACGAACCTTGCGGAAGCTCGCCGCCCAGGGTGAGTAGAGCGACGGTGGCAGCAGCAACAATGCCAGCTGCGCGCACCTCGATGGCTTTGGCTATTTTGAACAGGACTACCGCAAACTCTTCAGTCCACGAGATACCATGAGTGTCTGCATCGGTCGGGAATGCCTTCTCAAGCTGCTGCAACAGCTGCCTGGGCTCCAAGGGTTTGAAGTGGCTCAGGAAGCTGGTGCTCATACCATACGGCTGCAACAACTGCTCTGGAAGATCTTGCTCAGGTACGCCTTGTACGCTCGTGAGAAAGTCCACAAACACGACCCGGCCAAGCTCGCCCAGATATCGTCCGGCAGTCATATACTCCATCGGCTGGAAGCCCGGAGTTTCGTTGTGCGAGTCCACCACCTCGTCCCAGCGGCTGATGAGATTCATCTTCCTCAGCGGCGGTACGGAGCCATTGATGCTCCATTCCGTGTTGATCGCTACCTTGACATCGTCGACGCGCTCGCCGGGTAATAAGCTCACATTGGTCGGCCGCTTGCTTGGTTTCAGTTGACTTAGTTTGAGAGGTATTGTTGCATTGCAGCCGGTACCCAGAATAAGCCCCATGCTGGCACGTTTCTTGACACTCTCATCGAATTCGTAAATGAATGATACCAGCGTGGAGACTGAGTCGTTCGCAATGGCAGCTATGCGCATAGGTGGAAGTCGGTCGCCCCTGGAGTTGTCGTAGCCATCAAGGAGACGAGAGCCCAGATCAACATTGGCTGACACAGCGAAACCCTTGCCCATCGCCATCAGTCTTGCTTCTGAAAGCGACGTCTGTTCCATTGGGAAGCTGAAAGTCACGCCCAAGTCGAGAGGTTTCTCCCTTGGTACCTCGAGCTGAGAGCAGCCTTCCTCTACCACCGTGGCGATGCACTTTCCGATCCAGGCGAAGAGTTTGTCGGCGTTATCATTCTTCAAGTGTTCGTCTATGGACCAGTGCTGCTCTAGGAGGCGTCGGGTTCGAGGTGGCGTTTCCTTCTCACCCTCGGATGGCGCCTGCTTACCAAGTCGTTGCACGAAGCCGACCCGGAGATTGGTGCCTCCACTGCGAGTGTCAGCTACTGTGCGTGGCCGAACCTTTGGTCCGTCTGCTCAAGGAGGGCCGCGATGGAGCAGGGACTCTTACATGTCTATAGCCAGATGGCTATCACACACGTTAGCTTGCCTGGTCACCACGACCAATTCGGGGTACCCACTATGCGTCTTTGCTACTAATGCTGACAGGGCGTAGAATAGACTCCGAGATTGGGGTCGGCAGAAATTGAGATTCAGAGTGCGCGGCAAGGTCTTGGAAGTTTGAGAGAAAGAGCTGTGACAGCTCATAGATGCCCTCTACGTCGACGTGGAGAGGTTGCAGGAATTGGTCGATAGGGATAGTTGGAGAAGCCATGTCTGCTGCTGTCGCATGGCCAGGCGAGGGGTTTTTCCGTGAGCTCTCGCGAGGAATATATATACATGTAGGCGAGGTCTGATCAGAGCTGCCAATACCCTAGCTGTGGAGATGGTGAAGAGGAGACAAGGACAGCGGGGATTACAACGTTGCGCAAGCTATCTTCATGGCCAATGAATCACGATTCGGGCGAGACGTGATTGACCTTGATTTCAAGACGGGGTGAGCTTCGACCAACAAATCGAGCTCTCGTCAAAGTTCTTGCGGCGGTAAGCGAGCGAATAGATGTACATGGACGTGAAGGTGAATGGAGGTTGAAAAGCTTGGCATCACGCCTCTGAGGCTTTATGACTTGCGAGCGAGGCGGCGGTGCCATTGGTCATCCGCTGGTGAAGCGATCGACGCGTCCTATGTCCACAAGAAGCAGCTGCCTTGGCTCTGGTCTATCGTCCGGTCGTCTTTGACGTGTCGCCTTTCGAAGACTGGAGGAGACCATTTGGGATGTGAATCTTTGAACGTGAAGGAGCTCTGAGCCTTCCACGTCCGTTCTCAGGTAGTCACGAGGGCACTTAGCCCAATTAGAGGAGTGCTGCACCCTGCAATTCCATGTCGCGCCTTCCTAGACCCTGGGGCGATCGACCTACCGTATTACGGAGTACCTTACCTTATGATCTTGGTTAGTACGGTTCTTGTCGGCAGAATTCACCTGGTAATATGTCTTCCACGCCGCGGTAATGACATGGAACTGGAGCTCCCGGCCCGCCTGTACCTGGTAAGTTGTAACCCGTGTTTGTGCTGTAGGTACTCTTACTTACACAGTCTTATTACAGTGGCCGCGTGGAGCTACTGTGCCCAAGGTACAGATGAGCAGTTGGCTTCCCCTCCTGCAATTTACCATACTTCAACGTTTGTCAAAGTCGTCGCGGTTGCTCCAAGAATTCTCAACCTGCCCACAAGGAAGCTAGCCTAAGGCCCCAGCTGAATTTGAGGGAGGCAGGTGACGCCTACACACACACGACGGGACTCTGGACTGCTGACCCCTCCACACTTGGAGTCGAAGCACCCCAAACAAATGGTGTCTTGGCTGCATCACATCTGGCACCGTTGCAGTTCCCGACCTCCCCAAAACAGCATCTAACGCACGTCCTCTAATTATCGGAGATATCCTCAGTCAATCATCGCGCAATGGACGAAAAGAACCAAGCCGAATTCCCACGCGCCGCCACCGCCGACCAGTCCAGCTACACCCCTAGCACCAGCAACATGAGCAACACGCGCACTGGCCGCCGCGGCCTTGCGCGCATCGTCGCCGCAATCTTTCTGACGGCATTTATAACATACTACACCTGCTTCCAATGGTTCGGCATTATTCGAGCGGCGCCTTCGTACGCAGGTCAAGGTGCGGGCAACAGCGAAATCGCCCTCGGCAACAAAGTTCCTCTGGAGGCGCATATTATCAGCAAGTGTCCAGATACGAGGGTATGGCTCGTCTTTGTACCAACCGTGTCGCGGACACTGACATCATCAGGACGCCCTCCGAGAACTCATCCTTCCCGTGATGCAACGTGTCTCTAACAAGGTTGACTTCAAGCTCTCCTACATTGGAAAGTATGTTTCTCCTCCGAAACTACCCTTCACCAGAGACGGCTGACAGTGATACGCAGACCAGCTCCCCACGATGGCGTCCAGTGTATGCATGGTCCATCCGAATGTATGGGCAACATAATCGAACTCTGCGCGCGAGAACTATACCCCGATCCTAAGCTCAGTCTTGGCTTTATTATGTGCCTCACTAAGGACTATAAGCACATTCCCGAGCGTGCTCTTGTCGAGGACTGCGCCCTGGAGCATGCTTTGGACTTTGACGCTTTGAACGAGTGCGCCACCCGCGACGACGGTGCTCATGGACTAGAAATGCTACGCAACAGTGTCACCAGAACAGCAGATGTACGCTTCAAAAAAACGCACCTTCCTAAGCTCTGCTCGCTAACAAATGACAGGCTGGTGTGACAAAGTCCTGCACGGTTCGACTAAACAACGAAATCTACTGCATCCGCGATGGCGGCGAATGGACCGATTGCCCTCATGGCGCTGGCGTCAACGACCTGGTCATTGCTATTGAGAAGCTTTCCCGATCGTCCTAAGCACTTCCCTCTTTCAAGGGACGAAACACCTTCTCCCACAGCTCACTCGCTTCACCAAGCGTGTAACTCATCGACAACCTATCCATACCGTCCTCGTTGCCGCCGTCCATCACCTCGAGCGTCTCGAAAATCGACTCCAGCCCGACCGCCTTGCCTGTTGCCTGCGTCGCGCCAGCCTCCAGCGCCACATGTACAATGTGGATATGAAGATGGTGATACGTTGGCTGGTAGTGCACATAGAGCTTGATCTGGTCTCGCTCAATGCTCGGATACGTCTCTGTCGCGGCGTCGAGCAGATGCTCCTTCATCTTCTTCAGCCACGCTATATGCTTCTTCCGCAGGTCACGCAACGACCACAGATCTCGTCTCTCCACCAAGGCAAGAAGATGCAGCGCATCCAAGGTCTTACGGTCCCAGTTCAGATCGGGCAACAGCAGAAACCCTTCCTTGTCGTCCTCAGCCTGTCCAGGTACGTCCCATGGTTTGGTTCGGAAGATCACGTCTTCAACCTCAGTCTTCCCGTCGAGGATATTGAATACCCAGTTCAGTCGACCCTGGTCGCGGTTGGTCTGCATCAGCGGCCGAACATGGTCTTTGTAGATAGACGGCGTCTCGGTTACGAAGCGGACCCCCTGCTTGCTGTACTTTTTGACGTGCTTGTCGGTGCAAGGGCAGATTAGGTTGATCTTGAGATCTGCGTGGAATTCATCGTCCTTCCTGTCCCTGCTCCCGCCACTCTGTGCCATGTACCAGTGATAAATGTCGTTTGCGCCGAGATTTCTGAGTTGGGCGAGTGACGACGAGATGCTGGCTAGGTAGTCCTCGGAGGTAGGAAAGGGGGCTCTTTCCAGTACGAGTAAAGCCGGCTCCTGATCAATGGTGCCCACAAGACTTGTTCTTCGCCCAGCCTGGTCTGCTCAAAGGTCAACCCGAGTACTCGAACGGCTGCTGCACAGGAAAAAGGGAGGTGACGAACCCTGATTCAAGACGCGCTCAAGCTTGAAACGAGGCACGAGGGCCTCGGCATTTGCCTTGACCTGATCCGCCATGGCTGTCGGTTTGTGTGTGCTTCAATGGGGAAGATAGAGGTCTCGATCAAAGGCATGTGTCGTGAAAGTGCCAGTTGAGTTTTGGAGGTTGCGAGAGGGTTGTCGAAATGAGAGTGAGGTGAGGCGAGGTGCCCCTCCAAACCCCGCGTCGTCGAAAAGTAATGCATATTGTTGGTTACTACTCACTTGGGTTTGACAACCGTCACGCTTTGCTGGACAATCAATATTCGAGAATGTATGTGTGCGTCACTGACAATCAAGGTAGATTAAAGATGCCCCCCCAAAACTCTGACTATGTAGGTAACATGCTATATACAGCCGTGAAATGCCAGACTAGCCGTCTAATTCGATACGTTCCAACATCTTCGTCGCTATAGAAACTCCAGTGGCAGTGTGCTGCCGGGTATATAAGGACAGTCGTGAAGTGAAAAGAATGCGGCGAGGGCATCGCTAGTGCTTGTGCCCCGGTTCGACTGGATCGGTATCCATCTCGAGACACAGAGACATCTGGCGCTGACTCCTCGGGCCCGGATGGTTGCGACGTGTGCAAGTGGCGTTTGGTCGATATGGGGGGATAAGACAGAAAACATTAAGCGTGTGTGCCGTCCCGGCGTGCAAGAGCTCGCTCATTGCTTCAAACAGAGCCTCGATGCTTGCTCAAGAGATGTCCGCCGAGTAGCTGGTAGCCTCCAGCTCCAATATGAGACGGTACTATCACCCCGGCAGGCGCTAAAAATGAACTGTTCCAGCAGAGTCAAGCGATGAGCAGAGGAGCCACGATTCCACGTCCAAAGTAGCGCGAAGGGTTTGAACCGATGGCCAATATGCGCCGAGTACTCAATTAATTAGGTCGAAAATGGGTTCATCACATTTGACCAGATAGGGGGTGGTTGGCATTGGATCCCACATCAGTTGATCCGTCTCCTTCAATCGTCTTCCTCCAGTGGTCGGGCATGCAAACGCAGACCAGGGGGAACGCCTTGATTTCCCCGCTGGCATGGGGCGAGCTGTCGCGACGGCCGGACGCATGGGACACGCCGCTGTCACGCTGAGCCTGGCGCTTGATATCCCAATCTTCTGCCCGGTCATCAATCATGATGCCCGTGGCCCATCCATCGTCCCAGATACCGACGACCTTGAGCATGTCCCCACGTTCGAGAGTGAACTCGTCTGTAGCACGAGGCTGGTAAGCCCAGAGAACAGCCACACGGTCACCGGGGTGAATGTCGTCTTGTGAGTAGTAATCCTTGAAGAATGGCAGCTGTTCGGACTGCTGGCTACCAACACCCTGAGGAGACGAGAAGCCTTCTGGACTTGTGGGCGACTGGGGCACAGAAGTCCCGAAAACGGAATTGCTAGAAAGGGAGCCATTCCTCCGCATGGCGCTGGGCGGGGGACGAAGTACACCTGTCCGTGGCTCGGATTCGGCATATTCGTCGGATGACGACTGTGTGTTGCTATCCTTGCGACGACCTCCCATGTAGCCAGCGGCAGCGCCGGCAGCGGCTGCTGCTGCAGTCTTGCCGTGATGTGGAGGGGAAGAATCTCCAGAGTGTCCCTCGAGTGCCGACATACGCGCAATGCGGCCTCCGGGAAGGATCTCGTAGCCTTGGGGCGCTTCCTGTGCTTGTGCCTGCGACATGGGACGGGCGCCTCCGCGGCTCGGCGAGGGCTGGTTGAAAATACTACCGTGCTGGCTTCCTTCCCTGCGCTTTGAGCGCCGGACACAGAAGAAGAGAGCAGCAGCAATGAGAGCGATCCCCGCTAGAGTACCAACGACGATACCTGCGATAGCTCCACCGCTGAGACCACCAGAGTCGTCGTCGTCATTGCCACTACTGTTGCTGTTGCCGCTGCCACTCTCTCCAGATGATGATGAGGTGTTTTCGGGCTCCGAAGACTGCGTGGGGGTTTCGAGAACCAAAGTGGAAGTAATGACGGGAAGCTCGACGCCTTTACATCGTTCCTCGGCATTGGAGTTATAACAGCATGTCTCGGTCGAATTGGCACCGCCCTCTGAGCAATGCCAGCAAAGACCAATGGTGCTATTGCCGAATCCGCAGTTGTCCTCGTCAGGTCCGTTGTTGGCGGGGTTGATGCAGTTTTCGCCCAATGAGTCGTCGGGCAAGTGGCAGGTAACAAAGTCAGCTCGGATAAGTTGAGCTAGATCGTCGGTGGGTTTTGGGCAGAGATCTCGGTCTGAGGTTAAAAATGAAGCACTCTGAGCAAACTCGGCGCAGGCGTCCGCGCAGAGAGGCACAGCTTCATCGTCAGAGAGACCACACGGTGACCGAGACTGCTGTACGATTGAGTTGCAGAGGACTGAAGTTGTCCAACGAGCATACAAGTCTTGACTGTCCGTCAAGTCAATGCCGCTGCAATCAAACAGACGCTGGTACCTGGACGGGCGTTAGCAGAGAGAATAAGTTGTTTGCTCAGTTCACATACTTGTCGCGGATGTACGTAGTTTTGAGGTATTGGGAGAACTCCTTGTCGAAGGACTCTCTGTCTGTGACAAATTCCAAGAACGGACTGTCGTACTGTTAGCCGGACACTTGGCATAAGCCGGCGTGCTACTCACAAATCATTCGTGAGATCTTGGTTTCTGGAGAACGATGCCGACTGCCACGAGGAGCAAAGTGAAGACCCCTCCAACGAAACACACTCTTCCGACTGCGCTGTAACCATTGCTGGTGAGACTGACAGGAGCGCAATCAGTGCAGCGCGTGCGGCCGGGCTATGCCGCCTTGTGGTGCCGTTGGGCTGCATCGCGTGGTATGGTGGGAATTGCGAGACACCGATCCACGATGGATCTGAGACCCTTCGAATGTTCCGGGTTGTGAAAGTTCCAGCGGGCTACTTGGTCGTTCGCTTGAGCACCGTGAATTCCACGGAGAGATATTACGGCAGTCAATGGGTGCTCTGGCCTGCGCCAAGATACTGCTTTGAGGAGGTTTGGATTTGACTCTGGAGTTCCAATTGTCGTAAACCAGAATAGACTGGCCCTCTATGATGCCTAGTGGTTGGAAAGCGAGCGATAGTCGAACCGGGAATGGTGATTTCGACCGAGGCGAAGAAAGGCGGTACCGTTGACACGGTCTTGGGAGCTCGAAATGAGTGTCGTTCAGCTTTGGGCGGCAATCGGTGTTTGGAGACCGCCGGAAGGAGATAATCGAGAAGAGATGGTAAGCGAGAGTCGCGAAAGAGAATAAGACCAGACCAAAGGTCGGCAGAAGGAGAGTGAGGAGCGACGCGAGGTGGCGGTTGTAAAAAAAGACTGGAGGTCAAAGCGAGGTCAGAGCGACCTGAGTGGTGGACCTGCGAAGATGATGATGCGACTTCGTACTCGTCGATGGTCGTTCCTGGATATCTTGTCACCCTGTGGATTGAACCCAAGCTCCTGGATGAGCTGGTTCCCCGGGCAGAGGCAGGGAGGGCACGGCGGGCAAAGGCAATCCTGTGCTTGACGTGCACACTGACGGCGACGGTGAACAGGAGGAGAGGAGAGGAGGACTGAACGTGGGAAATTGGCGCGTGGAGGTTGTCGGTGGAAGCTGCCAGGGGGACAGGCCGGGGGGGTTGTTGACAGGAAAGGTACCTGCAGGAACAGCACACGAGGTGCGACCTCACCAGGTTGCTGCGGCTCTCAGCACCTCTGGAAAGCCGTGATAATTAGATCAATCCAACAATGATGAAGATAGAGCGCGTACATACACACTTTGTGTACCTTGATTCAGTCTGGTTCCTCACCCTTCAGACTGTCTGTCGAACGCAAACAAGAGCGCCCAGGCGCAATCAGTCAGTGAAGGTCTGTATTTTGTCACTTCATCGGGCGCCAAGCGTGGCCCCAGCCATCTCACTGAGTCAGGAGGTCCCTTCTCATACTAAAATGGCTGGGAGGCTACTTAGGCTCGCAAACGTGCAATCTTGGGGAACATGGTTCAGATGGGCGCTGGCCGGGGCTAAAGTCGGTTCATCCAATGGCGGTCACCATGTCTGCAAGGGGGTCCTTGCTTTTTGCCCGCTAGCGCTGTGTTGCCAGATGCCGGTGTCTCAGCTTTTGATACGGATGGTCAGGCACAGTCAAAACGTTTGTACGTACGTACGTACGTTACACGTACAACGTGGAATAACAACAAGTAAGAGAAAATAAAATATAACAAAATCATGGACAGTGTGACCTTTCGAGGTGATGAAGTTCATTGGTGCTCACAGATCCAGCCCATCGTATTTACAGACAGCGCTATTGTAGGCTGGAGATTTGGAATGCGGGTTCGAGAACCACACGGCTCGGGACGGTCCAGCAGCACTGACCCCGGTGTTGTCTCTCGCCGCACCCATGAGCACAACTCAAAGTCAAGACAAACATCAAACGAAGCAGATCGTGATGCATGCAACAGATGATGAGACTTTACCTAGACATGGATCTCTAACAACATTACGCAACGCGGCAAATGACGGTGGCTCTATGTTCATGCTCTATTCTTGATGGACTGCGGTTGCTCTTGTCAACCGCGGCATCGAGTCGAGGTCCTTTCTCACTGATATAAGTTCTAAACTTGCATAGTGCACATAGCGTTACGAAAGCTCTTAATCCAGGTGAATATACGTATCTAACTGAGTAATCTCGGCGAGTCATCAGCTACCGCGCGAACAGCGTTCAGGACAAATTCAGCCCCAACAGGAGGAGTTCGTTGCAGGTGCTGCGAGCATATCCCACGCAGAAGGCATGCATGACCTGCTGTACTATTACTGCAACCGAAGTTGTTCTCTAAAGAGTGTATCTACGTTTTGTGTCCTGTATCCGTGTCGTCTGTAAGGGACACTGAACGTAGCTTTGCCAGGGTTGTGGTGGATTCATCAATCTCCTTTTGAAGGTAACAGAACAAGAAAGTGAGACTACCTTACCATTTAGTCGCCTTCCTCGAGGCTTGGTTGATTGAATTGATGAATATTTGTGAAAGTTGAAGTCTCAACACAATAGCTGCAGAATTTCGGTACCTTAGGGTAGCCCAATATGACATGCGATATGCTAGCAACAATCAGTCGAGCACCACCATACCTTAATTAAGGTACTATTGCATGTACGCTTGGATGTTACAATAAATCGCTGCAGCTTGAGATGTAGACACGTAGTCACTCTTTTTGAAGAAATTGAAGAACTGCATTATTCAGAAAACCCCCCGCGCCATCATTAGTCTACCGAGTTGCCGCCAGAGTGCGGGCGTCCAACCGCCTGGCGCCTCCTAGGATTGGACCATTGAAGCTCAACATTGCCGCCAGCCAAATGAGATCATAATAAAACGATCGAGTCTGCCTTCGCAAACCGATGGACGACAGAAACCGACAGAATTATGCATGGATGGTACATGTAAGCTTGTTTAACGAAGCACACGGAATCTCCCAAACGAACGACGGGGGGATGAAGTTCTGACGTCGGCACTCCAAGAAGCCGATCACCGACATCTAGACTGGATCGACGCCTAGGGCGGTCCGCTGTTAGCCGGCCCACCATTGCGCTCATAGTGCTGCTAACATTTTAATACACTCAACCCCCTGGATCGCTAGCTCAACTCCCGACGTCCGACGTTGATCACCCAGAATCCCACGTACCCAAGCCTTCAACGTAGGATCGCCATCCGCACTCCATACATTCCATGCCGTCACGAAACATCTCAGGGCCCTGCAATGGCTCCCGTAACGCCGACTTGACGGGCTGCTGCCGGGTCCGAAGCTGTGATTAGGGGTCTCCCCCGGCTTGGATCTTCATATTAAGAGGCGTCGATGTCGCCAATGTACGATGATAAAACGAGGGCGAGATCCAGAGTTCTTAATTCTCCGAGGACTTTTCAAATATATCAATCTGCTCCCAACCGACAGCGTGCTTGTTGGGCCATTTCTGTTCGACACACACCACATGAGACCCCGATAGGCATCAACAAGTTCAACTTTTCTCAAAATGTCTTCGCAGTCAGCACAAGAAGGAAACGGTGGGGGACAGCCAGATGAACTTCCTTCTGGTCCCCCATACGTGTCTCAGTTCGCCCAACACGGCGGCATCCCAACAGTCACGGTCGACGTGCCCATCTGCGCCGTCTTACTCGCCTGCTTCCTCGCAGGCGCCATCTTGAACATGACTATATGGAAGCGCAACGGCAGACGGGGCCACAAGTTCCACCTGTCGGCCGTCGTCTTCTACTTCTGCTTTGCTCGCATGGTCGCCTGCATCCTGCGCATCGTGTGGGCGACGCGGCCAGACAACGTCCGCATCTCGATAGCGGCCGGCATCCTCTTCAACGCTGGCGTCCTCATCCTCTTTGTTACCAACCTCATCTTCCTGCAGCGGCTTATCAGGGCGCACCACCCTAGATTTGGATGGAGCAAGACCCTAGGCTGGGTCTTCTACTTCCTCTACTTTGGTATCTTCGCCTGCTTCGTCATGGTCGTCTACGCGGTCGTGTCGAGTTGCTTCACCCTCGACCGCTCCATGCAGTCCAAGTTCGCCGACATTCGCCGCACATCCGCCATCTATATGGCCTTCCTCGCCAGCCTTCCCCTTCCGGCCACGCTACTGTTGCTCGTCTGGCCACGCAAGAATGCCGTCGACAAGTTCGGCCAAGGCTCCATGACGGCCAAGGTTGTCATCTTGCTTATCACCACGTCGTTGCTTGCCACCGGGGCCATCTTCCGCGCCTCCATCGGCTTCATGCCTAGACCAATCGAGGATCCCGGCTGGTTCAACCACAGGGCAGCATACTATCTCTTCAATTACTTCATCGAGCTTGTGGTTGTGTACACCTTGGCGCTGAACCGCATGGACAAGCGCTTTTACGTGCCCGACAGCGCGAAGAAACCGGGCGACTACTCAAAGTGCGCGACAACTGCGGACAGGAACTCCTTGGATGACGAGGCTGATCTGAACGACGGCAAGGCTCCCACGCCGGGCGAAGAGAGACGCCTGGAGAATGAATGGGAGATGTCACTGCAGCGCGAGATGGAACATAAGCAGGCTCCTTGATGGGGGAGGAAGGGCTAAAGGGATATCAGAGAAGAGGTAAAACGTCTTGAAGACATTATGGAAAGTGGGAAGAGAATTCAAAGAGAGAATAGACCGCATGAAACTGGCGTTAGGCATAGCATTTTTTCGAGGGCGTTACCCCCGCCATTCCCTACCCCTGAGCTACTCGTACCACAAGCACACAGGCATGAAATTGATAACGTTGGTCCGATTTTCACTTTGTGCGTCAAGAGTGCACCAACCAACATAGCACAAACATGAGGACCGTGGACCCTTTTCTGCATTACCGACTCTAAGTTGCATAAGTCTAGCCGCCCCTGATAAAATGAACTGGAATGACGAGTATCTAGCTGGAAGAATACTGAGTTTGGTGCGGCGGCCCGTACACTCAGCTGCGTGACGATGCGTACAGAAGCCCCAAACATATATTCCCTTGCCAGGCCACTCCAGGCCTCCACTGAAATAACCCAGCTTTGGACAGCTACTTCGAACAAGAGTCGCGTTGCAGACTTAGAGGAAGTAGTCGGGTGTTCCTAAAACAGGTCAGCATATGGCATCTCTGGGGCGAAGGGAGTCCACTTACGCCTCGACACCATCGGCTCGCCGGCTCTAGGGCAGGGGTCAAATTGCAAGCTACCACTGTTAGAATTTGCACGCACGATTTTTGATTCGGTGCACTCACAATGTGTACTTGAGGTGTTCGTCGATCTCCATGATCGCTGCTTGGTTACCGCATCGGTAGCAGTAGTTGGGCGCTGCACCGTCAGTACGAGAAACCTGGACACGAGCGGCTTCCACTCACCCGAGAAGATCGTCACCACGTTGCGATCTTGCGACCAGTTGTAACCTTCCATGACCAGCTGATGCGCACGAGCAATGAGCGTTAGGCCATTGTTATGGTTGAACGCCTCTGATATATCTTGGCCGAATGTGTATCCCGCACCACGGGGAGAGATGCCCCAGCCACATCTGTCATCGGGATCAGACCACAAAAGGTCGCACATTGGGCCTTCGTGGGGCACCTCCTGAATGCGGTCAAGCGCACGGATGTTGTCGAGCGTGTCGATACTCGGCGAAAGGCCGCCGTGAAGGCAGAAGATCTGATTCTCGATGAGGGCAGTCAACGGCAGGTAGTCGAAAAGATCGGTGAAGTATTTCCACACATTGGCATTGCCGTATTTCCGGAGGCACTCGTCGTAGAAGCCGTAGACTTGAGTGATCTGACGGGATTCGTGATTACCACGGAGGATGGTGATGCGCTGGGGGTATCGGATCTTGAGGGCGACGAGGAGCGTGACTGTCTCGACGGAGTAATATCCACGGTCGACGTAGTCACCTGGTAATTCGGGGTCAGAACAAGGTCTTTTAGCTAGCCGAGAGATCAAACAAACCCATGAATAGGTAGTTGGTGTCTGGGTTGGGTCCACCAATCTTGAAGAGCTCCATAAGATCGTGGAACTGGCCGTGGATGTCACCGCACACGGTGACCGGGCATTTCTGCGCCAAATGTGAACATTCAAAGCACGAGTTCTTTCGCGATTAGAAACATACCACTGGCTGCACGTTTGACTCCTCCGTAAGGACTTCTCGCGCCTGTAGGCATGGGTCAGCCGTCGCTCATCTCAATCGTCGGTCACGCGAGGGTGCGGTCGCGCTGACTGGGCTGCTATACGCAACAGCGAAGATGCACAGGCCGTCACATCCCGTCGCAAGAAGTAGGGAGTCGCACTGACCTTTTCACAAAGCCTTTGAACATCGCCCTCTGACAGCTGTTTGCAGGCCATGAGGCTCTCGATCCACCCATCTAGTGTAGGGATAGAGGCAGGCTCCGTCTGCACGGGCGACACGTCGGCGGGCGCCCTGGGTACGTCCTCCATGTTGGTATCCATGGCGTCTGAGCTTCCTCGTCGCTATGAGGGTATTTGACGGTGTAGGCGGTTGCAGGAAAATGACGTTCTCGCGAGGATTCGAGGTCCGTCAGGTCGCGAGCAGCGGTGGGGCAACAGCAGACAAGAAGCTGAGGTTGCGATACCGATGCAGGTGAATTGCGGAAATGGGAAGTGTCTGTCGCGATACGAGCAACAAGTTCGTTCAGTCGTCTCAAGGTCGTGGACGCGTCGAAAGGGGTGCCTCGCAAAAAGGCTGCCGACAGCAATGTGTTGCAACAGTATGGAGATTGCCAGGATGGGGGGGGAGACGCCGCAGCTGGAAGTGGTGCAGCGCTGTGATGACTGGTGAATGGCGTAGGTGCAAGGGCTGACGCTTCCCTTTAGCGGGACCAAGCTCGCGCCTGCATCGACGGTCCTCGCAATTTGCGCCACTTGACTGGAGCTCCAGCTGCGAAAGGCCTTTTATTAAGACTTCTATGTTTGGAGGTACAATCAATTGCAGCCGCTCTATAATTTACTGGCATTTCTCCATGATGTACAAGGTTCACTTTCAGGGACCAGTAGCATGACAAAGACCGTTAAGAAGTGACTAGCCCGTCAAATAACGTGTTCACGAAGCTACCCCCAGACCAACGTCGCCAGCCGGCGTCGAAGTTTGCTGCTAGTTCTGCTCATCGACGTCCCTCCCGACAAGATCAGTAAAGTCCAGCCCAGCCTCGGACAGCATCGACGCGTGCTCTTTAGCTCTGTCCATGCACGTTTTCCAGACTTCACCACCTCTTTCCGTGCTACTAAGCTGTCTTGCCAAAACGGAGTTGAAGGCCTCAACCTCCTGTTTTGCCCATTTGACGCACGTGCTCATCATTGGCGGTGGGAAACAGCCTTGAAAGCATTTGACGGTGTTGTGAATGACCATAAAGTAGACAAAGGATATTTGCCAGATATACAAGTGAAGGTCGCCCTGAAAGATACATTGCCTGGCACGCGTTAGTCATACAACATCACCGACGCAACCAGTTCACAGGTGACTCACCTCGCTCGTTTGTGAATCGTGTCGCTTCGAGCTGCAAGGTATGCCTCCCTGGCTCTATCCTCGAAACCCAACCTCGTGAGCCAGCTGACGTTGCGCCTCGTCTTGCTCTGCTCGTTGTGTGTTGTTTTCAGTTCTCGGATGAGAACTGTGCCCAGCCTACTGCATCTTTCTTCGACCTTGAAGTTAATAAAGTCCACGGCAACAGCGTTGTTCTTCAAGCCCCTTGCCAACCCCCTGAGCTTTTCGACGCGTGCGACTGCCGGCTCAATATCCTGCACTGCAATGTCAATGTCTAGCTCATCCATCTGGCTTTCTACCCATCGCAGGTTTTGTTGCTTGCCGTCAACCTCGATGAGCATATCCTTGACGTCAGACAGCGTTTCCAGAAGTTCCGTCTTCTGCAAAAGACCAGGGTCCCTCGATGCGAAGTAGTTGATGGTCTCGCGGGCTTTGTTGTTGGCCTCCATCTCCGACCGCAGACCTTTGCGAAGTTCCTCAACGGCTTTCCGCACATTGAGCAGTAGCGTCTTCTTCTCAGGATCCTCGGGCTTCTCCGTCCGGTAGATGAACGAGTCCTGGCCTCCACCGCGGACCATGATAGCATCGGCCAGCTTGTTTCGGCCACCCGAAGATTCACCTGTGCTGGCCATATCCACCACTTCAATGTCCAGTAGCGACCAACACCTGTCAGCCACCATCTTGGACATTGGTCCCTTGGCGTCGTTTGGTCCTTCAGTCTTTCTCTTCTTGCGCGAGGCGATAAGCAAATGGTCGTTCAGCAGGAAGATCTGCATAGCTCTGCGCGCCTTGTACGTCGCATTGTCCAGCTCGATCCATGGGCCAGCATTCTGCACAACGTGGCGCCCAGGTGTGTTTGGAAGAAACTTCTGTGAAGCCTCTACGCTCTTGTACAGCGCCTGCATCTGCGAGTTCCACAGCGCGGTTCTATCCGCTACAGAGCTTCGCTTGTCCCTCTTGCTGAGACCCGTGGACATCTCTCCCAGGTCTGGGCCACCTTCACCTTTGTTTGACGCAGATCGGAGGGCCGTCGTGTTGGTCTTCAACTCGGACATGAGATTCCTCAAGGCTCGCATCTCGCTCTTCAACTTCTCAGCCTCTTTACTAATCTTGATGAACTGAGTACGATTCTGGAGCAGGTTCTGCTGGAGCTTTGTGGACGCATCTTGCTTGTATGATCTCAATTGGTCTTCAAAGTCGCGTATTTGGTTCTCAGTTGCGTCCCCGAGCGTTCCAGCAACATATTGGTCAGGGACCAGGTTCGGATCATGCAGCGCTTTCGGGTCAAAGTTGGGGGCGGCACCCGCAACTCGAGCTGGCGGCAGACGCTCGGTGGGTGCGTATTGACCTACGGATGGGACTGCGGGAACTGGAGGAGGTGCACTGGGATCAAAGTCCTGGTTGAATCGGGTTGAGTATCGTCGCTTCACAAGGTCCGATGTCTACTGAGTCAGTCTCCAAGTATACTCAAGATCCGGCACGCAATCGTACCTTTCCGCCTGTGGAGGGAGGTGCTCGCTGACGAGGTCGAGCCTGGGCATTGGGTAACGGAACGAGAGGTTGCGTGTGAACATCGTGCGGAATGGGGGCCGAGATCTTGGGCGCGCCCGTTGGTTTATTCTTGCGCTTCACGCTCCGAAGAGAGATCTTGCTCCGCTCCTCAGATAGCAAATTCATGATGATTGCTGCCCCGACGCGTCGAGATAATATGGTTCCCGGCTTTGGGTAGTACGTAGTACTTGAGCTGGCAAGCTGTCGAGTCGTGCCTCTAACGAGGCGCAGGTGCTCTCGAGCTCTGTCCCTCTGCAACGAGCCGTTTCGAGTTTAGCCGACGAATTCACGGTCAGGGCACCAGCCACACTGTATCGCGACTCCAGCCACACTAAGCTTCCAGCCTGTAGGGGGCCGCGTTCGACGTCAAAAAAATTGGTGATGCAAAGCAGTGCTTTCCGATCGAGCTGCAGCTACACGCCCGTCCATCCATCCAACTGCTTCCATCGCTTCCAGGTCCATCACCAACTGCTAGCTGCGCCATTAGACCAGACGCTCTGTCAACAATCTGAACGTCCTCTCCTAGGTTTCCCTTATTACGAACTAGAGCCGCGCCATCATGGTCTCGACAACTACTGTCGTCACAGCTACTGTCGCAACCGCTGCGACGGGCATCCTCGGTATGCATGCGCCCCTTCCACCTCTTTTCTCAGCGATCCATGGTCTAATAAGGATACAGCCTACGCCGCGTACTTTGACTACCAGCGCCGAAACCAGGTCGAGTTCCGACGCAATCTTAGGAGGAACGAGCGCAGGCAGGTTCGGGCCGAAAAGGAGGAGCAAGAGATTTCGTCCCTGAAGCAACGAGCGGCCATCAAGTCGCTTATTGACGAGGCCAATGAGGAGGGCTTCCCCCAGGGCGTCGAGGAGCGCGAGGCCTACTTCAACGAGCAGGTCATGACTGGAGAGATGCTGAGCCAAGATCGTGAGTTCCTGCAGTTGATCGGCGATAATACGCAGTACTGATGGAAAGCAGCTTCGAGAAAGGTTGAATCCGCTTTGGCGTTCTACAAGGGTCTCAAGGTGTACCCTGCGCCTGGTGATCTGATCAAAATCTACGACAGCACTGTGCCCAAGGTATGTGACCCGGCGAACAACCTCAAGACGTTGCTAACCCTCCATAGCCCATATTAGACATCCTGGCCGACATGATCGCCCACGACAGCTCGCTTGATATTACCGCCAGCCGTACCGGCGGCATCGACCTTGGCAACATCCCCAACGTCGGCCTCGACTAAAGCCTTGATCACCCATCGCGATTACGTCCTGTCATGGTTGGCCGATCAGATGCTCCCACGCGAGGATGTCACAACTATTGACAAGAGGGATGCTGTAGGACTTTGATGTACCATACTTTGTACAAAACATGTCACGTTGAAATGAGTACGCTCCGGCGCAAAGGGGAAAGCATATGGTCCAGACACGGTGCCCTATTCTATATGGAAACCTTAGCCCCATAGTCTCATACAATAATCTTCTAAAGGCTTTGGCAAAGTCCTGGCTTATGTTTTTTTCGCTCTGCGTATCTATCCTGGACAGGTTTCTGAGTCCTGGCGTTGGGACTGTGGAACATGCCCTCGGATCAACCCAAGTTGTCTGTTTATACGTTTCATACCTAGACTGATTGTGTTACTTTGGTCAGACCTCGAGATGGATACTGGCTTTCAGTGTAGTGACCTGCAAAGCTGAGCCTTGTGGCTTTGGCGGTTGATTAGGGGTCTTGAATATTTGAGGAGACGCTGTCTTTTCAACCCCTTAACTGTCTTTCTTCACTTCGACTTCTCTCTCACAAGAAGTGAACAACATTCATTTATGTACTACTAGTTTCTTTGGAACCAGTTAGTAGCGCGAAACATCATGCATGTAACAAGCATTCGAAGGGGAGTGTCATGCCCAGGACGTTGGCTGACTCTGCCACGATTGATACCATGACGCTTGTCGAGGTGTACATGTTATTCAACATGCTTCAGTTCTGTAGAATCAATTGTAAGTTACAGGACTGTGGGCGATAATGGCACAATCTCTCAACCCATATGCACACATCCTATGCCACGCTATATTCCCAGGGAGCCTTTCCCCTGTGACCATCATCGGCTCATCATCTGGCTGGAATATGGCATTTGCCTACTCGGTAATACTGGTATTACGCCGTTACTCTATTCATTGAGAAGCAGTCAGAACACTGAATCTGGACGCTGGTTCCTGATCATCGTAGGGTGTGAGAATCAAACCCCCGATGTATCAGGTACCTTGATTACCCGTTGCACATATCAATGTTTGTGGATTCCGTTTCTTCAGCAATATACATCAACAGGCTCACCAGATCAGATTGCATGAGTTTTTTCTCTAGCATATAACTTCATATAACTTCGCGTAGATAGGGCTCCTCCTGTTTGGCATGCTTGGCTGCTCGAATCTTAACACTGGGTAGACATATCAACAAACCGAAGTTCACAACAGCACAACAACCAGCAAGCTAAGCCTTGTGGCATATCCTACCATGGACACATGTATGCAGTGGGCTTTGGGCCGCTTCAGGTCTGCACATTCAAGCAGAGAGTGATAGTCATCTCAGCCGTCAACATGAATGCTGACCTTCCCAATCATAGCAGATGAGCCAGCAGCAACGAGAGCTTTGTCTGATGACCACCACCCCTACTTTTCGAATTCAGCTTCCATTGTCACGCCCTTCCCACTGTGGCAATCAAGGGTTGACTGACCAAGGCCAGCAAAATGCCATTCCACCAAGCGCCCCGCCTGTGGCCAAGTTCGTGGCGAGGTCACGATTCCCACAAGTTCCCCCAACCCTCATTCCCAGTCCAGGACTGCATGTAGAGTCTGCCCAATTTTGCGCCTGCAGTTCATCACCTACAGCCGTCAAGTACAAGTGATGATGTCTGCAGTCAACCACAGGCTCACACATACACACACACGTACCGAAACAGAGCGCCCGCAGACGCCACGTCCGTCTGAAAGAGGAAATAGGAGACCATGTCAGCCCACGCCCAGGTCGCTGGATTTGGTTCGAGTATGTTGGTCATACGAGCGAGAGGGGGTGCGGCGCTTCGCCTCTTGCGATTGCAGTGTGGGTGGCCGACAGGCGCTGTGGTTGGCTGACTCCCACGAAATGAACCCAACACGATGGTACAGACGCAGCTCATCGCTCGACGCCCTTATCTCAACGTTCAGCAGAAAAGAAGACCCCAGGGCCACGGATCCTTATGGGTAACTCGCGTTCGCTAATGTTTTCCTGCGCGGGGTGTGGTTCGTTATCACGCTGCCTTGGATCTGCTAGCGTCGAACGCACAACGTGGGATCGTTCGTTGCTGACAAGAGGACGGAACGGGCCCAGACGCACGGGAACGCCGTCGAATTATTACTTCCTATGCCGTGGTCAGCCAGCCCTGAATTGACGCCTCAAAAGACAGATGTCGAAGCGCTCGAGACAAATGCAGTGCACCAGCGCGGCCTGAAGCACGTGGCCCGAAACGCAGGTGCTTCGATAGTCTCTGCCTCTTTGCTGTGAGGAACGAGCTGACGATGTTCTAGACGAGGATGGTCATGGCATGGCAAAAAGCAACGCAGATGGACATAACCGCTGCAATGCATTGCGTGCAGGAAGCCACTCTGCGTTGCCGTCTGGTGATTTTGCTGTCATGGGCCTCCTTGCAGTCAGCCAAGCTGACTGTCTAGCCACATCCAGAAAGGCGATATGATTATGGGCTTATGTGCTTCAGCACCTGGATGTTCGTCCGAGTCTTTTGCCTGCCGGCGATGTGATGCCTTGTCTGCCGCACGCCGTTTGAGAAATTGGAGCCTGAAGCGCCTTCTGACGATCATGATAGCCATTGCTGCTAATGTGATATTGAAGTGATAAGACGGGGGTCCAGCACACAGTAATCGCTAGTAGAGGCAATCATTGCCCATTTCGCCCATGTCTGTGCCCGTTGCGTGAGCGGCACGGATATAAGCACGTGGTGCCTCATGTTTCGGTGCGCCAAACCTCAACAATCAAAGTGACTAGCCTCCTGACGGCGTCACTCGGTAGTGCTGTGCAGCCTTGCCCTGGAGTGCACTTGTTCGGACATGGGCGTGGTCATGATAGGGGGGTGGCTTACTGCGTGCCCTCGAGCTGATGATCGCCCAACCCTCAGCAAGTTAACATGGCAGGCCATTCATCACATCGAGGAGAGGTGCTCTTGGAGTCTTGGGCCCCTCTCGTCGGACTGCTGCCTCCAAAGAAGTTAGACAGCTTTCCAAGTGGGCAATCTCAGTTCTCAACTTCTCAACCCTGAGACGAGAATGCGGGGAGAAGGCTGGCCAAGCCAAGCCTCCAGGGGCGGCCTCTCAAAAGGCTTGGCCAACGATAATAGCGCTGGGCCGCTGGCGAGGCCGTCCCTACCGGGGCGGGCACCAGCATCAAATATTGCATCGCGCCCAGCTTCGCCCAGACCGAGCCCAGACCTCGACACATGCAGCGGACAGCGGCGGAGCAATTACAGCCCGCGTATCGAGTCCGCTGTCTATCTGTCAGCACAGCAATATCAGCAGTGCGGCATTGTGCTGGGCGCTCACGGAGCCTCCGCGCGAAGGGAGTGCGTCCACAGCCCATGTAAGAGTTTTCCTCCCAGCCGGCCACCCAGTTGACGGGATGCTCCGTATTGTATCTGGACCCTGCGGCCAAGCGCTTGGCGTACTGTCAAGACTCTGGCGGACCATCAGCCCTGAGCCAACAGAAGATTGTGAAGCCCTCTGTGTGTACGGATACTGCTCCATTCTTAGCGCTGCTGCAAGAAAAACCGAGAAGGGGCTGGACTGCAAAGACAGTGAGTGGGCAGACCATCTGCACCAGCGGACTGCCTTTGTGCAGCTCCAGCGGAATCCAGCAGCACTTCCCCAATGCTTCTCCAGAACTAGGGATATTATCGCTGGATGTAAAAAAGACCGCTGGGTGATATGTTGCTCGGACTTTGCTGCGTCCTCCGTCCAGCATGAGACTGGAGAGTAATTATTATTAGTCAATGCCAAGCCGATCACTCCAGCACCTCCACCGCACAAATCCGGGGGATCGGCATTTTGATCCATGGTGAATTGGATGTCCTTGACCTTCGTCCCTTGATGGATTCCTGTTGGTGTACGTCCGTAATGTCGCTCGTTCTGCCCTTGCTCCTGCTCCGATGACTCTGCCGACACTTGCAAAGCTGCTGTGATTGACGACTGGAGCTCAGGTGCCATTCTTAGACAACCCAAGTGTGCTGGCGGTTTCGATCCGATGATCATTGATACGTACATACCGGCTTGTCCGGCCAGGTCCTAGGCTGAGACAAACCATACTGCAGCAGCCGGGGTCCGCCACCAACAACATCGCAGCGACAAGGGCAGGCCTTGCGGCTGTTGAGGGCTCTAGTGCCAGGCACAAAGCTCCCTCTGTTGCACGCACAAGAAGCACGGCAGGAATTTTCTTCAATCGTTCAGCGTAGCAGTGAAATATGCAAGCCACCACTGCAAACCGCCCAAGCTTGGACCAACAAGCGCCCAAGGGCGTTTGGCGGGCTGGCTGATTGGCGTGATCAATCAGTTATATCCGCACCGCAAGAACTTGGAGGGAACTTATCGGCCAGTGCCGAACGAAGCACGGGTTCCTCAGAACTTCTCTGGCAGTGCGGGCTCCAAAGACCCTCCTGAGCAAATGATGGACACCAGGCAAGCAAACCAACCCAAAGTGATGAGCAAGACCAGGCTGCGGTAGGATCGCGATGATCCGGTCGCCTTGGATGAGTGTTGTTATTAGAAACGATGATCTCATTGTCACCCTTGCAAGTGATCGTAAATTTCCTTGGTCAAATAATGCAGTTAACTTGTTGGCTCTCTTGCACAATTGCCAGGGTTATTTCGTTGTGACAATTCGCGGGGAATGCAAGCAATCAGGGATCAGGGAGGGCGTGCGCTGAAATTGTGAAAATCCGCAGCGGCCCCTGGCTCTGCCAACCTCTTGGCCCTGTGCCGAAGCAGGGGGAGGACGGGGCCTAAGCTACTTTAGGGCTGTCCACCCGGCGGCATCCACTCCACAGTCTTGAGGCTATCGTGAAGCAGCTAAACTTCGCGAGATGGGGCTCTTATCACGTTGTTCTTGCTGGTGACGGTGAGTGGTCGACGACGGATCCGTTGGCAGGCCCTGTACGATGACTCTCCGCATATACTGACTCGCGGCAGCTGCCTGGTGGGAAGACCGCAGTCTTTCCTTACTACGGAGCACGTACAGCTGGCACAATCGTAGTGGCAGCAACAAAAAGGCCGACTTCGGGCAAGATTTACGATAGAATTCCCGCAGTGCAGATAGAACAGCTCAAGGGTGGTCCAGATAATTTTAAGCTTCTCAAAAGCAATTATGAATGCGCTGTCAACCCACCCAGCCAAGTAGGTCCACGTTGGCAGCCTGCTTTACACACATCAGCACATCGAGGAGGAGGATGCCCGTAATGCATTTCCATTGTGTAGTTTGTTGTTCAATGCATTTATTTATGCAAGGTACGGTCCATCATGCATACCACGTTGTGGACAGGCCGCGGTGTCTTCTCTTTGCTTTTCCTTCAAAAGGCATGCGGCCTGCCAGTGTCACTCAAGTGAGTGCCGTCCGATGCCACGCGTTGCAAGGTCTTTCAGTGAGACATGTCAAACCCTCTTTCTGCAGACATTCCTTTCTTTTTCCTTGACCGGTCGGTTAGCGCGCCTTTCATACATAATAAACGCACAGCGAGAGACAATTGAAGCCAGCGACTGACTGCACAAGGAATCGAAACTTTTATTAGCAGCCACCGAATGCCGACGGCGTCGGGAGAGCGAGATTGTGCGGTATCTCGGGAGTCGGGACGCCCCAGGACCCAGGCACCAGTGGGCTTGGCACTGATTAGAAGCGTTCTTCTTCAATAGCGTTGAAAGCATCATTACAGCAACACTATCGTCTGAACGAAGCTGGTAATATCTGGCTGATACTATGTGTGACATAGCACTAGCTCCGCTTCGTGATAAATATCAAGCCGTCAATGGCCTCGCTGGCTTCTCTGGGGCTTCCACCTCCCACATTTGGGAACGATACGAAAGCAATGGTTTTGAGGTCTGTGGTTCCCACTGGTGGACCACGAATGCGACACAAACATTCATAGGATCTACACGACCTTGCAAAGCAGCCAACATCGGTACAGCCGAATGAACCATCGTATCGAAATCAGATGCTGCAGGCAACGTCGCAGAAGCACAGACTCTAGGGTAGGATGCGAAGCCAGACGCGTCTTAAGACCGGTCACCAAAAGCACAATGTGTGGTTTACGACCGTAGGATCATGCGCCAGGGGCTTAATTGCTGTGTAATGACCCCTGCATCCTAAAAGTCTTGCCGAAGGAGTGGTGCATCGTCACAGATCCGGAGTCCGGCCTCTTTTTGGCTTCCTATAGCCCGTGCGTGCTTACGTGCGACGAAATCGCTGGTTCGTGAACCATGACCCCTTGGCCGTCCCTCGAAAGGAGCTGTGGTATCATTAATGGATATAGATTTGGCTTGCACGTTCGTCAGCTGTCGTTTCCGGCTCCGCCCAGCTTCTACATACTGGCGTAGTGAATCACAAGACTAACACACGTAGTGAGTGCAGTTCGCTCGGGAGTCGGAACAAGGATTGGCTGGCTGGTGTGACCACGAGCAGCAAGGAGTGTAGCCTGATGTTCACAGCCTTCCGTGTGAGCCGTGATGCGGTTTGATACAAGATCTTCTTGGAATGGTCACCACTGATTATATTCCCGCTGGCAACGTCAGAGCATCCAGCATCTGCCCGGTGTTGGCGAGGACCCTTGCGACTGGCATTGCCTATCGCGGCGCCAGAGCAGCAAGGACCAGGTAGCGACGGACATGCATCGGCAAAGAATGGGTCAGGAAGAACCGCAGTCCGCAGCGGTGCGGTTCCTGTTCACCTGACGCCTGAGGGACATTTCTTCCATTTCTCTGAGCGGGAACACCCTCATCAGCGGGCGTCAAGCGTGGGGGTTGGCTTCACTTGGACTGGGCCATATCGTCAAGCGTTCTGCCAGCGTTCGGCCACTGGCCCAATGAAATGTCCCACCTGCCCCCTTGATAGATACATTGCAACATCAAGCGCCCGGCCAAAGACGAACAGGTTGCGTTTAAGTGACAATCTCAAGCAATCTTGCCAACTTGGCCAATGGTGCATTGAGGATGCAATCCAGCTGCCTATCGTGGCATGAAGAAGTCGATTCTAGCGTTTGTCGTTCGGTTATTGCGCCTACGACATGGCTCGGGTCCTTGGAACATTTGCCGAATAATTTTAACAAGTCGCTTCTCCAGTCCAACAAATGCACAATGACACGCCACGCAACATCGTGACCCTGAGCTACCCAACCAAACAATGTCCGGTTTGTTTCCCGTGGAGAGGCGATAGGAAGCCAGACTATCCGTATACACCTCGCATCGTTCAACCCCGCTGTCTTGTATCACACACCATCAGTCAGCTTCTCCCGATGGAAATTCTGTCACGCTACACAGCAGCGACCCTTGGGCTTGAACCGTGCAATTGGCGAACCAACGCCTGGGGTCTGTTTGCCTCTCAAAGTCTGCATGCAGGCCAGCACGAATGGTCCGATAGTCTCAAGGGTGCAACCACACCAAAAAGATAGGGTCCATAGTCGTAGAGTCGAATGCCGGCCATTATTACTCCATTCTTCTTTTTTTTTTGTGCAGACCCTTATCGGCGTCTGTCGCTGAGATGGCGCCCTTGCCACCAAAGGGAATTTTAGCAGCAGACGAACAAGCGTTCATGATCAAGCCTCGAGGAACTCTTTGTGCGCAACGATTGGCTAGGTCGCGATTGTGAAGGTGTCAAGGCGCTCCATGCTGCCACATGCCAAGGACTGATGCTGGTCTATCAGTCGCCTCTTGGGAACCTCCACGAGGTGGGTGAAACAAAGAACCCAGACTCGTCGAGGACAGTTGAGTGTGGTTGCAGGAGGAGAACAGAGAGAGGTGATGGATATTTTCTTCATCTCGTACGCCTGCATGTGTGGATGGCTGTGCATAGGCCCCACCCGTCTCATGCCGCGCCGTTCAAGTTGCTCGTCGACGTGCGGATGCTGACCAACCGTGTTGAGAGACGTGCAGAAATGGCGACACCCAGTACACACGACTTTCGGGTGCATCTGGAGCACGGCAAGTTATGCTCATGAAATAGCAAGGGTGTAGCAAGCGGCGAGGCTGGAGAATCATCAGTAGCCTTGTGATCTATGATATTTACTTGTACATGGACAAGCCCGAAGACGCGCTAGCTTCGGAGTGAAGTCTCCAGATGCCACTCGTCATTGATCGACAGTCTCAATCGAGAACGTTGAGGACTCGGTCATTCCCATGTTGTGAGGTACGGGAATGTACGTATCGTTGCCATAAGCCCACAGCTTGGCGAGCAGTGTCTCCCCCACTGCTTCACCAATGCTCTCGCATCTCATCATGTGGCAATGTGCGCGCTGTAGCACACAAGAGAAGATATCGAGGAGGCCCAGTCCCCTCATAGAATGTCCGTGTTGCCTGTGCACGTCTGCACCAGCACCCAACGCAGGCGACAGCGCTTTGGGCTTAGCGCATGTCCTTCCCGCATTTCTGCGATTGCTGGGGACCACATGGTCCTGCAGATACTAATCAATTGGTGTGAAGCACTGAACACTGGGGGCCTGGGGTAACCGCAGTGTCCAGAGGTGATTCGAGTGCATTATTCCTTTATGTCGGGCGACTTGGTGAGATCCTGTTCGTTTCCTGCTGCATAATGAATCCATAATGTCCTAGAAGCGTTGAACACGTTCATATGGATTGCAGATGCATTTCAGATCTCACATAGGGGTCCCCTTATCTAGGAAACGGGCTGAGCTTGGCAGTGTTGGTCTGATGGAGCATCCAACGACAACTGCTCTTTCGAGTCCTCAACGGTTGCTTTCGCTTTCATACTCTGACCGTCTGGCAGTCGCATATCAAGAGGATAATCGAGCCCCCCGCCTTGCTCGTCGCATCATATCGAGCCATGATGTCGTTCGATTCTGCCCCAACCCAAACGTACTGATGTCAGAGGACAACAGATGCTTGTTGCTGCAGGCAGGAGAACATCTGCGGGGCAAGCCACGGCCCGTCCTTGCTTTGAATGGCTGGCAACTCTGGGGTTGGCCGCCAAGATCCAATGAAAGTCGCTCGACATCTGCAGGTGCACAAGGAAGAGGAGAGTCGCACTGCAGCATTGAGGCATCTCCTGATTGACTGGGAATAGTGAGGCATCTTTCTCGGCCTGTTGCAGCACCCGCCGGCGGGTTCCTGATAATAGTAGCTGCATGCTGGACGTTGTGGTGGTGGTCGTGATGAGAGGGCCCAATGATGCAGACCGCCACGCAGCGATCCCTGGCCTCCTTCTTTTGGACCAGCAGCAGTGATATGAGATAGACGATATATGTCTGGTTGTGAAAGTCGCGAGGACACCCACGGGATAGCCGCTGCCATTGCTTGCCGATCATCTGTCGAAGCGTTTCACCCAGGCGCAGCGAGTGGGTTTCGAGACGTGCTTCAAAGACCTATTATCTTGCGCCATCTTGCGCATCGTCTCATACCTTACTTTCTGGCATCATTGCGCCTCCGGCTGGCGAAAGATTGTACGTAAGCTGGATGTCCCGGAACCTCACACATGACGCCAGGCAGAAGATCTTGTGAGGGCAGCAAGCAACTAGACAAGTGTGGAGGGCATGGAGTTGGTGGCACGAATGCACGCTATGCCAGGTCGGTTTAGCGCCTATCTGCAGCTCAAGGGCGTTTCAATGTCAAACTGCCTGAGGCAGCAAAGTGCAAGGACGGAGCCTGGCGAATCCTGCTCTGAACACTCCAGTCGTTGTTGGCACGACAGGTCATTCCAGTGCTCTGCCACTGCTCTCAGCCGCTGGAACCCCGTGCCTCCAGTCCTCAGTTCTTTGTGCACTTCATGTTATGGTGTGCGGCAGCAGCGTTGCGATGATGGTGAATGTGATGTATCTACCTTGGACTTTCCCTGCTCAGAAACATTTGCAGTCGTATGTGGCGATGAAAGTGAGCTTCCGTCGTGTGCCCGTCCTCGAAGTCTCGTAACATCAAGGTGGTGGTGGTGCGCAATTGCTGCAGAATTACGCGACGGGGGGGGCGAGAAAAACTGCCCATTGTCGCAGCAGGCTCACGCCATCAGGCGTACGGGCCACCGAGATCGCTGTCGCGATATTCGTGCTCCATGACGGATATTAGAGAAACTGGTCACTTCACGGGACATGGCTCGAGGACCAGCGCCCGTCCCTGCTATTTCCGTCTGAGTCACCCAATGCTATGATCACAGTCCGTTCACGGCCGATGGATAGCCTCGTGAGTTGTCAAATCACGGGGGGTTTGACGAAATTTTCTTCTCATCTTCACGTATCCTCCTTACCTATGAAAGAAAGACATGGTTCAAGATGAGGCGTTGCGTGGCTTGAGTCTGGCCTCGAGAAGGTCGTCCAGGCAGCACGGGCACGGTGCACCCACGCCCCCCCCAGTTGAGGTTGTGCAGTTCTGCACAATTCTGCTCGAGGTTCTGCGGCACACACCCTCTTGCATCTGGTTGATCAGCGCACCCCCCATATTGGGGCGCTAGGCAGGGCACGCCATGGGTGCGCCGCTTTGGATGCTGCAGGCCATCATCCACTGCTTGCCGCCCACCCAACTCCACCAGGCTGTGACCATCTTTATACTTATTCCCACCCACCTCCGGCCTCACAGGACTCCTCCCCTCTCGATTCAACTTCACATTGACTTTCTAATACTTCAAGATACCCCTTAACTACTACTGGTGGTCTATCAGGACGCAGCACCAAGCTTTCATTCTCGCCTTTCGCTAGACCACACTTGACTCTCTCCGCCTACTATCAACCAACTCCCAGGACCTGTGCCGACAACTCGTCGAGCCGATCCCTTCAGCATACGCACACAGCAAACATACACAGAGCAACAATGGAGCATTGGTCACATCAGTTCTGCCTCGCTTGCGATAAGCAGGTCGACTCGAACGCCGCCTACTGCTCAGAAGCCTGCCGCCTTGCGGAACTCGAGAGGTCGTCCACGCCGAGCTCGCAAGCCAGTTCACCAGGCATGACGCCTTCAACGTACTACCCTTGGGGCTCGCCCTCGACCAAGGCCAACAGGTTCTTCTTGGAACCAGCATACGACTTCTCCAACGCAAAGCCGTACGGACCTTCAACGACCGCGAGGCAACATGCACTGTTCGGCGACTACTCCATGTCTGCTTCCACCCAGTCGTCGTCCAGCCTCACACCCTCGAGCTCCGGCACCAGCCTCTCGTCCATGCAAAGCGCATCAGCGACGAACGAGCCGAGCAACATCTCTGCCGATGCCGCGAAGGAGCTGCGGGCTTACGCCATGGCCTTTGAGTACGCCCGTTCGCAACGAAGGCGATCATCATAGGCACAACCTACCTACCGCCTCTCACATCCACAACACAACACAACTACCATGACATTCACGACCCTTCCTCTACCGAAACGACCATCCTCTCAACTCAGTCACGATCAAAAACCACACATCACACCACACATCATCATGCAACTCATCATCTCCTTACGTCGCATTTGTTGTAACAAGACAAGCATACCATTTGGAGAAGCATACACCATCAGGATAAAAAAGTTTTTCTTTCCCTTTACACTTTACTTCTACCATCATTCAACACCATTCAGCAATGACCGCCGCGGTCATTCGATTTGTTTTATCACGGGGCATCACGGAGTCAGGGGATCATCTCGGGGGGGCTTTAACATTATGATATCAACTAGGACAAGGGAAGGGGGGCAATGGACGACAAAGATTGACGGCGCAAAAGGGAATTGAACAACTTCAGAAACACACACACATCAAGCGCGCGATATAGAAGACATTTCTTGCATTGGCTTGAGTACGACTGGGCTATGGATGAGTATTATAGCACAGATTGCATGGCATGGCATGGCAAATTAGGACGAACCGCCGTTTAGTTTAGCCCACGGCGAACACATATAGCAGCATCAAAATCAAAAGAATGATTCACTGCTGTCCAACACACAACTTCCCTCCTCTTCTTGGTGACCGGACCAGTGTTTGCCTCGCTATGAGTCCTGTGCTGTTCACCGTGCTCCACCGTGGACGCAGCAGTGCCTGACCTATCCATTGTCTCGTCTACGAGAGGTGGAACATTCCTATTCTACAGGCTACGAATACTCATGACAAAGCTCAGTCTGTATGCATACGCGCACCTGATACGACATCTGATGCGGCCACCCGTAACACGGCACCTCACGCCGTCACGGAGCGGCACCAAGTTTGAACCTCCGTACATACCTCTCGATATGCACCCACCCGTTGGGCGCACAACATGTGAGATTTACCCTTTCCGACAATGAGTGCATTGACCGGCCCGGTGCCTGGCCCTGCCCATTTTACTGTGGGCGGCAAGAATAGCAGCAGCAGCAGCAAAGCTCCGCTTCGCCTATTCTCGGTGTATTCGCTTGGTGTGTGTGTGACTGACAAGACAGACGAAAAAAAATCTCCGTGCCCGGAGCCCACTGACGGCCGCCTCACCGCAGGGCCGCAGCGCTGGACAGCAGAGAACTTGGCGCCTATTCGGTGGGAAACTTTCGTGGAGACCGGGGAGAGCTCAGCAGCTTGCACAAGGCTGGCTGGGTCCCCTCCACTCTGGGGCCGCCGTGAGTTGCTAGACTACGGCGGAAGCCCACTGTTTACGCCCGTTTAGCGACAAATTTTCCACCCTCCACTGCTCCAGCCCAGACCTGGATCTCGAATTGTGTGGGTGGTCCCCTAACTTCTAAGAATGATAAGGTTCAAGCAGCTTGGCTGCAGGTGCACAAGTTGTAAAGGTCCATGTTGGGGCCAGGCCTCCAGGCCTTCCCAATGGCGGCTTTCGCCCTGTGGAGGTGGGCGCGGGCGGTCCTTGCGGCGTCCGGACTACGGAGAGTAGCGCGGGCTCATGGCGCGCCCTCCGCTGCCGATGGAGGGAGAGTGTTCTGATCGTTGGGCGTTTTGCTTCACGGTTTTTTTTCTCTTTGCGATCAAGGATTCAAGGGTCCCCCCGAGTAGAGGTGCGGGTTCCTGCGGCATGTTCCTGCTCATCAACCGTAGGGGGGGTGGTGATCCTTGCAAAAGGGAAGGGAGAAAAAATCTTCTTCACGTTGGGCCTTGGCTTTGGTTCCCCTGATTGCCAATGAATTCGGCTGGCTGTATGCAAATTCGTCATGGAGATTCACAACTGGGTTTTGTCGGCGTCCCTACCGTCACTACGTACAGTACAGCCCGTGCTCCACGATAGATGACTGGTCCGATCCAAGTTGAGGCCGGCTCGGCTCTGAGCATACGGTGAGCGGTCCGGTCTGGCATTGTGGGTATCATCAGTCATCAACGAAGCTTTGTTGCTGTTGCCGTTCCTCGTCCGTGTGGTCTGGTCTTGTTAGGACTGGACTCAGCTCCGACTTCGCCGCGACGATGACTGATTACGACACAGCATCCCGCACGTGCATCACTCTTCAGTAATCGTCGTTCGCCTAGCAGCCCAGGCTTTCTTAGCTCTGCCCACAGCTTGGGGGCGTGCGCCGTTTCAGCAGCGGGGCCAGCAGATCCATTTGACTTTCCCATGACAGCACAGCAGCTCAATGCGATGACGGGATCGTGATCTGCGGAGTGCTACAGCACAATGATGATTGTCGATGGGGCAATTGTTGTATGTTCTGGCACCACCTGCGCGCTCCAGTCCGCGCTCACCGAGGTCGGACTGCCATCGTGCGTCAGGACTCCGTAGCTGCCTCCAAAGTCCTGGTGCCAGTTGAATTGATGACTACACCACTACTGTACTAGCATTTATACGTACTACTACTACGTAGTGCTATCAATTGAGCTTCTTTGGATGAATACACTAGACACTAGTCTAGTATTGTCAAACACCCTGATTACACCAATTGCACGTCAGCGTGAATGGAAAATTTCACCTTGGGCCTGCCTCCCTGAAAGCTTGTGCTCTCCCTGCTGCGCCGGTCCCGGACGTCCGTCCGTCCAGTCCACCTCATGCGATGAACAGCAACAATATTCACAGCACTCGCATTGACGTGTCAGTCTCACTCGCCGCCCGTGTCCCGGCATCTGTCTGCGACAATCACCACAATTTGTGCGACAGTCCTGTTGATAAATTTTTTTTTTCTCCCTCTCTCCTCCTACCGAAGCTGTGGATTTGTATCACGTTGTGCTGAAGCTTGTGTCATGGCCAATCCACCATGTGCATGACGATCCAGAACGGGGTCAATGCGTGCGGCGTCAACTTGCTCCTTGCTGTCAGGTCAGTGCACGTGTTGTTCAATGGTGCTCGCCGTTTCACGCTTGCAGTAGTAGAGCCGTTGTCGACTAGGCACGACATGGAAGCCCATTTGCTTGTGGTGGGCGTGATGCTCGCCACGACGCACTTCAGGGGATTGTTGACAGTTGACCTGGCCTTCACAACGAATATTCACAGTGCCTTCGACCTTCATGTTCTCACGTGCACAATTCGACACAAGTGCGAGTCTGTCTCTGCAGTTCCACTGCACGCCCAAGTGCGTATAGCCATCCATCAATGGCCACAGCATTCCTCCCTTGCACATGCACCCAGCACCCGCGTATAAGTCTGAATGGTAGTCTCGCCAAAACGTGTCAGCCATGCAGCCAGCTCCCTTTCCCTGGAATGAGGTGGGCATTCCGGTCAAGTAGCGGTCAGCAATTTGATCATCGAATGGCCGGCATTTCGTCATGGGCTATTCGTGCGCTGCAGCTTTGTGTATCGAGAAACGTGCTTTGCATGTTCCCCCCCCCCCCCCCTCGGCTCACACACACACCTCTTGCATTCGAGGGAACGTGGTGCAACGTGGTCAGGAACCAGCAGAGTGGCGCCTGTGCAGCCAAATGTGCACGATAGTACGACTATTCATGTCCTCCTGTGCCACTGGGGTCTTTGCAATACCGGAGCCCGGCCACCCTTGGCTAGCCATGTCTTGCTCGAATCCGAATCCCAGTACAAGTGGCAGCCAGGCTGAGCCAGTTACCCGTTTCCGGATCTGCCGCGTGAGACACGGTTAGTCTCGATCGGGTAACGAGTCGCTCTCCCGGGGAGCATGGGGAGGCTGAAAGAGTCAAAGAGACAGTTAATGTTTTGCGCTGAGAATAGCTGAGTTGGGTCTTGTCTCGACATGGCACGAGGTGTGCTCACTCACAAAGACGGAACGGATACGACGTATCATGTCTAACGAGGGTCCACCACGGCCGGATGGGCGATAGCTTCTCCACGAGGCGTCTGCTGAAATACCTGTTCACTGGACCATTGACGAAGAGCTCTGACCAGCACCTCACTCGCCTTCACAAATGGGCGTTGGACTATCACGCTTTGTGCCGATGGTTTCATGACCAAGACACCTTGTTACGAACGGGGAGTAGCCAGAAAATCCCAAGCTTGTACAAATTCGGGGATATAGAACTAGCTAGCTTTTGCGGGCTGAAGTGGCGCGCCGCAGTCCGAGACTGAGCGCAGAAGTGAGAGACTGCCCTGTGATATGAAACCGTCCATCATGGTGCTGGAGCGCGGACTGGATTAAGCAGCCTTGACGGCGGGCTCGAGGCGGCAGAAACCACCACAGGTGGCCACCTTCTCCTGCAGAGCCACCATGCGCTTCTGGTCACCCGTGGGGTCGGCAGACTCCTCATTCAGAGCCCATTCCAGGAACTCATTGGTGTAGTTGGGCTTGAAGCCCTCGCTCAGGACGCCGAGACGCTGACCGTAGCGGGTGACCTTGGTCCAGTCACGGGCCACATTCTTCATGTCCCGGGAGAAGTAGGCATAGCTGCGCTCAAAGATCTTGCGGTCCAGCGCCGTGGCCAGGACGGGCTTGAAGTCAATGTACTCCTCCCAGGCCTGGGCGGGATGGGCCAGGACGTAGTCGGTGGCACGCTTCGTGGCGCGAAGAAAGGCGCGGACCTTGTCCGGGTTCTTCTCGATAAAGGCCTCGTTGCCAATGTACAGGATGGAGCAGAAGCAGCAGCAGCCCAGCTCGGCGAGCTCGTCGATGCGGAGCATCTGGACGTCGGTGCGAGGACGGTTCTGCGCGGCGAGCCACTCCTCGAGCTCGACCATCTGGACGTTCTCGAGGCCGATGCCGGCGTCAATGTCGCCCCGGATGATGGCCTTGGACACATTCATGCCGCAGCGGACGGCCGTGTAGTCCTCGGGGGTCAGGCCGTAGTGCGAGGTCAGCTCGTCGATCTGGATTTTGCCGAACTCGCCGACGTAGCCGATGCGCTTGCCCTTGAGGGAGCGGAAGTCCGTGGTGATGCCAGAGTCCTTCAGGTAGACGACGCCGGTGAAGGGCTCGTCCAGGAGAGAACCGATGGACAGGACTGGAAAGTCGCGAGCCTTGGCCTGGTATGTGTTAGCAGTACTCCGATTACATATATGGGCAAACATACAGCCAGAGTGTGAATCATGGCCTTGAAGCCAAGATCAACCTTGCCGGTGCCGATGATCTCGGTGACATCCTGAAAGAGTGTCAACACAAGCTACATTCTCGCAGTAATCAAGACGCACGCTGGGGTCGTTGGGCTCCAGCAGAGCAACCTTGACGCCCTCCTCCTTGAAGTATCCCTTAGCTTGGGCCAAGTACAGCGGGGCGTGGTAGGCAGTGGCGTGCCTGCACAGAGTTAATGACCATTCTCATTGTCTTCCTAGAACAGCATTGCTACCAGTTGGTGAGAAAGGTAATCTTGTCAGTCGCCATGATGTCTGATTACGTTTCAAGCGCAATGCTGCCTGGGGTTAGTTCTCTCGGGTCTTGGGGAGGGGGGGTCAGAATGGAGTTCGAAGAAGCATGTCCTTTCGCTGGTATTATCCAGATCAAGTTCGGCCGGTATTTCTCAGATCATCCACTGCTACTCTTCAAGCCCCCTTTGTGTGCGTACAAAGGGGAGGCTTGAAGAGTGGCAGTGGTGAACACCCGGATGCATTCTTGTTCCTCGGATTTACCTTGATCTCTGCCCCAAGGGCACGATCCTTGCGAGAGGCGCCATAGCTTCTCCGACGCAAGCGCGTACCGATGTTATAAAGTAAAGATATGGTAGATGTTTCGAGTGTAGTAAAGTGAGATGAAGATGGCAGAAGCTGTAAGCTGTAGCTGTCGTGGGGTTGCGTGCTTTAATACACGCGGGCCATGTCACACCCCCACTGTGACATGATGATCTCCTCATTCTCGTGGTACATACGTAAAGCAGCAGCAGGGTTCGGCTGCCGGTCCCAAAATTCGAGGGCGTCTGTTGGTCAATACTCAGCAGCTACCTGGATCCTCACGATAAATGCAAGTAGACCGAGTATTGACTAACAGCTCCTTGGAGTCTTGGCTGAGGGCTGGCCCTGGCCCTTGTTGCTGCTTTAACTGCATTCGAGGAGATGGAGCCAAGACAGCTCCCCCTCACAATTAAAGCTTAACAGCAATTGTATTTGCCCGTCATCGGAGCATCGTCGAAGGGTTTCTGCCATCACACACTTTTTAGAAATCATTCATGTACTGGAGGAACTTCGAGGGTGGCTGGTCACATCTTGACGATGCCGTCAAGCTCTTCAGGGTGCTTCGTGCCAGCTTGCGTCGCAACAAGTATTGAATACAGTATTCATTGAAGTATTATTGCTCAGTAGTATTGAGAACATTCATCTTCTGCAAATCTCGTCTAATGCCTCTATTTCATGGTAACCAATTCTTCCGCACTGACAGGGTGTATCGCGCATGTTGCGTCGAAATCCTTCTTCGTTGCGCCCATCTTGATGGCCACAGCAAAGCCTTGGAGCATTTCTCCACTGCCAAGTCCAATTATATGCATTCCTACCACCTTCTCATTTGGTCCTTGGCAGATCAGCTTGTAGCTGGTGGGCGCTTTATCCTCGGGATCCATCATGGAGTAGAACATGGCCGTGAAGCTCGTCTTGTAGACCTTGAGGTCGTCTTTGCCGTACTTCTCAATAGCCTGCTCCTCGGTAAGGCCCACAGAGCCAATCTCAGGGTGAGCGAAAACAACCGAGGGGATGTTGGTGTAGTCCATCTTGGCGTTGGCGAACTCAGGGGGGCCGAACAAGCGGGCGGCGAGCTTGCGGCCGGCCGCAATGGCGACGGGGGTCAACTCAGCCTCGCCGGTGACATCACCGAGCGCGTGGATGTTGTCGACGCTGCTGTTCTGGTACTCGTCGACCACAATGTAGCCCTTGTCGCTGATCTTGACGCCAGCTTCCTCCAGCCCAATGCCGTTGGTCTCGGGGACGCGGCCGACAGCCCAGATGAGGTGATCCACCTCGGAAACGCCCGATTCCTTGCCCTCGCCGTCCTTGTGTGTGAGGTTGAGCTTGCCATTGCTGTCCTTGTCGACCTTGGTGAGCTCACTCCGCTTGTGGAGTTTGACGCCCAGACGCTCGTACTCCTTGGTGGCCACCTCCTGGATCATGGTGTCAAAGGTGCGGAGGAAGGTGTCGTTGCGGATGAAGAGGTGCGTTTCGACGCCGAGAGCGTTGAACATGCCCGCGAACTCGACTGCGATGTATCTGGCTTGATTAGTGAATGCCCCACGTTCGTCTTCAAAGAGACTTACCCAGCACCAACGAGAGCGACCTTCTTGGGCAACTCGGCGATATCGAAGAAACCATCACTGTCCACGCCGTAGTCGGCACCAGGAATGTTGGGGAAGGGGGCCGGTCGGCCTCCAACGGCGACAAGGATCTTCTTGGTGTTGATGACCACCTTGGAACCATCGTCCTGTGTCACCTCGACCTCGTTCTTGGACAACAGGCGGCCATGGCCGTGCAGGTATTCCACCTTGTCGTTGTTAAGGTTGCGCTCGTAGATGCCGTTGAGGCGTGTGATGTAGGCATCGCGCTTCTTCTTAAAGGTCGGCCAGTCAAAGGGCGCCACCTGCTGGACGTTGAACCCATACGCCTTGGAGTCGTGAATCGCCTCGCTCAGGGCGGCCGCGTTGAAGGTGACCTTCTTGGGCACGCAGCCTACGTTCACACACGTTCCGCCCAGACGCTTGCCTTCAATGACGATGGCCTTGGCACCGTACTTGCCGCTGGCGGCGCGCGCAGAGGCGAGGCCACCGCTGCCGCCTCCCAGGACGACAATGTCGGCTTCCTTTGTGATGGGCGCCATGATCGCTGAGGTGGTCGTAAAGTGGCGGGACAGTGAGGCTATGCGCAGCGATGGAGTAGAGTGCGCGGGTACGACAGCTCTCGACGTGGCAGCGAGGGAGCGGGTGAATATATTCATTGGTGGAGGGGTAAGACGGAACACCAGCAGTAAGCAGTTCAACTCGGCGGGGCGCAGATGACGTCTTTAATAGTACAGATACAGCAGACGTGCGTCGGGGCGTGTCTGGTCCCTCGAGTCTGAATGCGCGTGGATTTGAAATCCGCTAAAAAAAAAAAAGCTCAAGGCACCGATAAACGAGCGATCGCCGAGGTACGAGGTGCCGGAGGTGCCGCGGGTGGACAGCACAAGGTGTCCGTGATGATACAGTAATACAATTACAATTGCGAGGTAAGAACTAACGAGAAACGGCGCTACATGACGGAGTACAAGATATTGTTTCCAAAGAGAGAGGAATGATATGTCAGCATGAAGTTTCAGGGGAGATTTCAATTACGAAGACGGAAACTTGCCGGGTAAGTCGAGTAGTCGGGGCTAATCCAGATTAAACTATCTGTAGCTCATGTACTAAGGTAATTACATGCGCCTATGCTCTTCTACCGGGACATTTGATTCCATATCCCGCATAAACGACTGGAACGGACCACGGATATCGGCAAAGGGACGAGCATGTCTGCCACTGCTCAATAGCGTCTGTCTGTGGTGATGACAGTCAAGAAAAACCCGCCATCAACCACATGTTGCCATCAGATAGCGCAGTGTCTGGATAGGCTACCCGGTACCCGGCTGACTGTCCGCGAAGAACGCCTCACATCTGCACACAGAGCCATTTCCTGATTGCCAACTCAAGATGCTTCCTTTCCGCGGTCTTTGACTAGCTAGCGTCATCTCTTTGATCTTCTACAGCCTTTGCCGCAAGGGTTGGGTTATGGTGGCGTGCACGATGTTACGCGCATGATCCATTTGCCAGTGCTTTCACGCTTGGCTCCGGACCTCAGCCTAGTTGCCCGAGTACAGCGAGGTGAGGCAGTCAAATGCCCAGGCGAGGCAGACACGCTCCTCTATCTTCCTTATTTGGGGCCAAAAGGATCATCTGGTATGTGCGCAAGTGGCACAGCGGCTTACTTGGATGTGTGAGATGACGATGGCAACGGCACAGCTGGGTCATCCATCCTCTCGAACAGAACATTTGCCTATATAATAATACTGCTTTGGCCTTCACCCATTCACATATGCTACACACCTTAAAGTTATCACCCCAAATCATACCCATACTGCCCAAGCACACATTCGGCCATCAGCACAGCAAATATGGGTTGCTCTCAATCCACAGAAAATGAGCCCAGCCAACTTCGCAAAGTGCAGATTGCACAAGGACCCTCACGTGGCTCTCGTGGTAATTTGGGTGGTGGGCATGGACACGGTGCTTCAGGACACGGCTCAGGCAGCGGTCACGGTGGACATATCGGAGGACATGTAGGAGGAGGACATGTAGGAGGAGGACATGGAGGTGATGGCGGCGGCGGCGGCGGCGGCGGCAGCAGTGGCGGAGGTGGAGGCGGCGGAGGCGGAGGCGGAGGCTGCTAATCGTCCTCACGGTCAGGAAGGCGATGATAGAAGCCAGAGTATAGGCTCTTACACACAAGCAAAACCCTAAATTAGAGTGCAAAGGTCCCCGCACATATTTCAAGCTTCCCAGCCAGCATCATCATTTCAGGTATCAGTTGTGTGAGAAGTGTTGAATAGTACTCCGACCCGTTCACGTTGTGGATCAACATGGTGGTGAGTGTAGGGTATGCAGCTTCCTAAATGGCCCGAGCTTGTTGAAATTCACCCCGCCAAAGAGCAAAGAGGCGCGGGGCAAAGTAACAAAGTTAAAAACTTCCGTTTCCAACCATCAACCGACCGCTTTGCTGGGCACGCGATCGACATGGACTCTTTTCCGCAGCACAATGGCCCTCCATCGGGCACGGGAATTGACAGTGAGTGCCGGCCATCTGAATCAGCGGTAGTAGATGCTAACTCTGAGCAGACATCGTGGAGATCTGGCATCTCTACCGAAGTCCCATTATCCTCGCCGTCCTCGCCGTGCTCATATGCGCTCGCGTCTACATCCATGCCACCGAATCAAAAGGCGAATTGGTAGCTTTACCCCGAGTATATGCAGCGCCACCTAAAGCGGCCCCGGTCGTCGAGTCGAAGCTTGCGCAACCGGACGAGAAGAAGCCCACAAAGTCCAATGGCCCCAGGAGAATCAAGGGTGGCATGGTCAAGCGACCCTCTCAGAACAACGACGACGCACCCGTATCAGACAAGCCCGTCAAGACGCTGATTTTATACTCATCCGTCACGACCAAGACGCACAAGATCGCCGAAGCGTACATTGAAAAGCTAGCCACTTCTTTCGAGGCGCTGTCCAAATCGACGGGGCGCCAGTTTCTGCAAGCCGAGCTTCTCAATCTCGAAGACATTGAGTTCGACGACTACTTTGTCTCTCTGCCATCTTTTGATGGCGAGCCGGACGTCTTCTACCTTTTCCTGATCCCGAGCTACAATATCGATACGATTACCGACACGTTTCTGCAACATCTCGACGAGACCCATCATGATTTCCGAATCGACACGGGCTCCCTGTCGTCCATACTGGGCTACTCGGTGTTTGGATTTGGCGACACTGAGGGCTGGCCCACTGAGAAGGAGGGATTCTGCTTCCAAGCCAAAGAAATCGACAAGTGGATGGCCAAGTTGACTGGACGCAGAAGGGCTTACCCCGTCGGTATGGGCGACATGAAGGGTGACCACGCCGCGAGGTTGTCAGAATGGTCTGCCGGTGTTCTAGACGTGCTGGAACACGTGGCGAAGACAGGTAATCTGGGAGAAGGCCTTCCAGGCAGTGGAGACCCCGAAGAAAGCGATCCCGAGGATGTGGCAGAAGACGACGATGGCGAGGTCATGATTGGCGATGAAGGCGACAGCGCGCAGGCTGGTGATCTGGGCGACGTTGAGGACCTGGGCAAGCTGGTGCGATCATCTGACAGCGGCAAGTCTCGACCCAGCAAAGGTGCCATCCCGGTCGACTTCACGTCATACGGGGCCAAGAGGAGCAAGCCGGTGCCCGCAGGACCCAAGGAGATGGTCGCCAAGAACTCGCCGACCTACGCCGCGCTCACGAAGCAGGGCTATGCCATTGTCGGCTCGCATTCCGGAGTCAAGATTTGCCGATGGACAAAGTCCGCTCTGCGCGGGCGCGGGAGCTGCTACAAGTATTCTCTCTACGGCATCAACTCGCACCAGTGCATGGAGACCACGCCATCGCTCTCGTGCTCGAACAAGTGTGTCTTCTGCTGGCGCGGCGGGACGAATCCCGTTGGTACCACCTGGCGATGGGTAGTCGATCCCCCGGACCTGATTTTCAACGGTGTGAAAGAGAACCACTACAAGAAGATCAGGATGATCCGAGGCATGCCTGGCGTGCGGGCGGAAAGATACAATGAGGCCCTCAGGATCAGACATTGTGCCCTATCCTTGGTCGGCGAGCCGATCTTCTACCCGTACATCAACGAGTTCCTTGCGATGCTGCACAACGAGAGGATCTCCTCATTCCTCGTGTGCAACGCGCAACACCCGGAGCAGCTGGCAGCTCTGAAGGCTGTGACACAGCTCTACGTTTCTATCGACGCCTCCAACAAGGACTCCCTGCGCAAGATCGATCGACCCTTGCACCGAGACTTTTGGGAGCGATTCATGCAATGCCTCGACATCCTGCGCGAGAAGCGATTCCGCCATCGAACCGTCTACCGCTTGACCCTGGTCAAGGGCTTCAACGTCGAGGAGGAAGCAGAAGGGTATGCGGAGCTTGTCGAGCGTGGCCTGCCCTGCTTCGTCGAGGTCAAGGGCGTGACGTACTGCGGGACACCCACGTCGTCCAACGCAGGACTGACAATGGGCAACGTGCCGTGGTACTGGGAGGTGTGCGACTTTGTGCGCGCCCTCGAGAAACACCTCAAGGCCAGGGGATTGAACTATGGCATCGCCGCGGAGCACGCGCACAGCTGCTGCATCCTGCTGGCCAGCGACCGGTTCAACGTCAACGGCAAGTGGCACACGCACATTGACTATGAAAAGTTCTTCCAGCTGCTCGAGGAGAAGGGCGTGGACGGAGACTGGACCCCTGAGGATTACATGGGACCACCGACCCCTGAGTGGGCGCTCTGGGGTAACGGTGGTTTTGACCCACGCGACGATCGCGTAGACAGAAAAGGGCGGAAGATTGACCGTGTGATTGTACGTGATCGTCCGGAGGATGTGGAGGTGTAATGCACAGTATGGGATACATATCACAAACAAACGGACCTATCCCGCAATCACCTTGCCTAGGCGCTTCTGATCCTCTTGATGTGATGTATGCCATAGACGCACATGGCGACTAGTATACGCTACCCTGTATGCTCCTGTCATCCTGCTCTTCCCTGCCCAGCTCGTCCTCGGGCGCTGAATTCGATGGTGCATCGCCCAGCCTCATAACCTCCCCCCTGGCCACCGACTCGGCATTCGCTATCCTTATCCGCGTGTTGAGAGAGGGTATGCGCCGTGTTCGTTGGAATCTCCTGTGCTCGTCCTCGGAAATCTCGTCCGTGTCACTACCAGCGGTCGACGCATGTCCCGAGTACGTACCGCCTCCGTCGCGGCCCACATGCAAAGCCCGCGCGGTGGCCGGGTCCAAGGACGAGGCAGGCGTGTGGCGCTGCGACGACGAGTCGCCGTCCTCCGTCGTTGTCGTCACCGTCCGCACCAGGGGCGACGGGCCCTTGGCCGGGGTATCATCCTCCTCGTCCGAGCTCAGTGTGCGTCGCCAGTCGCTGACGGTCGTCCGGGTCCAGCTCTTGTCTGTGGCGGCATTCGCATGCTCCACGTCTCGCTGGCGCAGGAGTTCGAGATCCTCACGCTTCTTGAGGTAGTGGCTGCTGTGGTTGCACCCGTTGGGACAGCCGCCCCATCGCCTCGTCACGGTGAACGTCTTGCTGCGGGCGAGGGTGGTGGATGTGACGGGGGCACTTTCCCTTTCAAGCCCGTCATCTTCCTTTTTAGGCCCGTCGTCTTCCTTCTCTATGACGGCCACGCTTGTGTCGGGTTCCGGGGCTTTTGCCTCGCGGGCTTCCTTCAGAGCGCGCTCGCGGCGGAGATCCGACCAGGTTCGTAGGTTATTTTCCAGCAGGTACTTGCCATTGTCCTGCCGTCGCATGATGAGAAACTCGCAGTGGTTGACGTTGCGTAGATCCTCAAAGTATTCGACCGAGAAGTGGTACCACTTCATCAGGAAGACGCGGGACATGAGTCCGTGGGTGACCAGCACGCAGACGCTCGCAAAGTCGTCCTCGCCAAACTGGCGCCAGAGGGACTCGTTGAAGCCGGAGATGCGGTCGTAGGCGTCCGCCGCGCTCTCGCCGTTGGGGATGCGGTAGAAGAAGTGGCCATAGTCGGCCCGTTCCTGCCACATGCGCTCCATCTCGGCGCTGCATGGCTGGAAGTTGCCAAAGTCCTGCTCTCGCAGGCGGGGCTCCTCGTAGACCTTGATGTTCGCACGTCGAAAGGGCGACGGGGACTCTTCGTCGGAGGTGAGTGTCTCGAGGATGCCTTCGGTCGTCTCGCGCGTCCGTCGATAGGGCGAGGTGAAGAAGTGGAGGGTGTCGGTAGGACGGAGGAGCTCCCGTAGACGACGGCCCGCTTCGCGCGCCTGGGTTTGTCCCTCGGGTGTGAGTTTGACCCGGTGGTCGGGTATGGACTGGTGGACATCTCGGTTCTCTGTGCTTCTGGTCAGTGCTGTGGCCTTTTCGCTGGGGTCGACGTTCTTACTGTTGCCCTCGGACTGCGCGTGCCGAATCAGGATGATCAAGCGCGGTTTCGCCATTGTTGCGGTCAACGATGGGCTGATGCTAAGGAATGCGAGAAGGCAACTGGGTATACGATGCGGGAAAGAAGAAAGAGAATGCCAGCTCGTCAATCATACGGAAAACCATGGAATGCAAACGTGGAAAGTCATGGGCCGGGTGAGTGCATGGCATGAAACCGAATTTGCCCTCCCTGAGCAACGGAAAGTTGGAGATCTATCCAGATCTGTAAGCGGGCGGCTTCGGTACCCCTCCATAGAGCATGGCTCAGGTAAGGCATGCTCGTTGGCGAGTCATGCTGCACAGCAGCAGGGTTGGTCATGAACCTGACATTGTTTGTAGCGCAGAGTGCTGCGGCGTCGTTTGTGGTTTTCACGTTATAAAAGAATGCCCTGGCCTGGCGTGGTCATACTTGCAATAATATCGACAAAGGTGAGGTCCCTGCAGAAGGTCACGCCGGCGGGACGCCGGTAGCGGAGCCTCCGCGTGGGGGACGAACGGACTTCGGTATTGAGGCGGATGCGCAAGCCACACTTGAAGACGCACTAGCCACAGATAGATGTACTCAGCCTCTGACAACGCTGGGTTGCGCGAAGACGTCAACCTCAACTATTTTCTGTCGAATTCTGTCTGTCCACTTTCTCGCTCGCTCGCTCGCTCGCGTCCATAACAAGTTTCGCCGCGCACACGCTTCACTTTACAAGAGAATTGATTGCCTCGCCATTACGGCATCAGAAAGCATCCCAGCGCAAGGTCCAGACACCTCAGCCGCAACCGACGACCACGCTTCATCGTGTGAAAACCCTCCTACAATCGCCATGTCTGCTGGCACCCAAGATTCGATCCCCACGTCCGCGGACCCCAAGTCACACCGCCCGACCAAACGGCGTGCGCTGCTCTCGCCTACCGCCCAGCAAGCGTCCTCGCTGGACGCCCTCTTTGCGAACCCCCCCCCACCACCACCCACATCCACCTCCCTCACACACTCCGCCGGCGTGTCCGCCCCGCCCGAGATTGTCAACAACGTGCAGGGCTCCTCGGCCGGCGCGGGCAGCGGCGAGTTTCACGTCTACAAGGCGCTGAGGCGACGGGAGTACGAGAGGACAAAGGCCATGGACGAAGAGGTCAGGCGCGAGAAGGAGAATGAGCAGTTTGAAAAGGAAAAGGCGGAGCAGGAAAAACGAGACGAGGAAAAGACAAAGAGGAATCGGGAAAAGAGAGAAAAAGCGAAAGCAAGGAAGGGGAAGAAGGGCAAGGGAGGGACTGGGGGTGCAGCGGATCAGGCGGCGCAAGACGCAAAGTCCAGCAACACCAATGGGACCAAGATCGTGCCGCGGAAGCTCGAGGCCAGAAATGGAGAGACCGATGGGAAAGAGGCTGGAGATGAATCCAAGAAGGGTGCAGAGGGCGCAGAGACGGAGCAGCCAGAGGAAGGCTTGGTCATCCACGATGATGACTAGGTTACCGAGTAGGCAAGGTAACACACGTTACCGAGTGACCTTGTGTACATACAACAACACCAAGATACCCATAGAACATCACACCAACACTCTTCATTGAGCCTGCCAATCTTTTTGTCTATCTCTCCCTGAACATCCCCCAAGCCGGCCGCGGTAATGTGGTTTGCCAGATCAAAAACGAGGTGAATCGCAAAACACCAAATGTGCATCGTCACAACAGCAGAGAGGCTTTCCATTCGTACAATTTCTTTCATTTGTCTTCGTCTATGCATTACTCCTCGCCGCCAGCGCCGGTCCCGGGCGCCATGCCCTGCTGGCCCTTTCTCGCGCTGCAGATATCGTCGACTCTGAGGAGTAGGCATGCGGCCTGAGAAGTGCTAGTCAGTAAACAAGAAGGGTGGTCAGGGGAAAGGGAATTGTCATACCTCCACGGCGGTCTTGATGCTCTGCAGTTTGATGGCCTCGGGCTCCCACACACCGTACTCGTTCATGTCCGCGATCGCGCCGGTGTCACCGTTGATGCCCCAAGAGCTCTTGCCCTCGGCTTGCTTCGCTCTCAGATCCGTCAGCACGCGCACGGGGCTCTTGCCGGCGTTCTGCACCAGTGTCCTGGGGATGACCTCGAGAGCGTCGGCAATGGCCTTGTACGGCCATTGTTGCACACCCTCGATCGACTTGGCTTTCTCATGCAGGCGCACCGACACGGCCATCTCGGTAGCACCGCCGCCGGGGGAGAGGCGAGGGTGGAACATGACGTTGCGGGCCACACCCATGGCATCCTGGAGGTTGCGCTCAATCTCGTTGAGGATGTCCTTGGAGGGGCCGCGGAGCAGGACTGTGCACGCCTTGGGGTCCTTGCACTTGGTCAGGAAGGAGAAGTACTCGTCGCCAATCTTCTCAATCTCAAAGAGGCCGCAGCCGGTACCGACGTCCGACTCGGTCAGGTCGTCCACGCGGTTGACGATTGTCGCGCCGGTGGCACGAGCTATGCGGTTATTGTCGGTCTTGCGCACACGGCGTAGGGCTGTGATGTTGGCCTTGATAAAAAAGTGTTGCGCTAGGTCCGAAACACCCTTCTCTGTGATGACCAGGTCGGGCTTGACGGCGATGATGGCGTCGCACATGGCCTTGACCTGCTCCTCCTCGATCTGCAGGATGCGGTTCCAATCCTCCTCCTTGCTGATCTCAATGTTGGTCTGCGACTCGCCCTTCTTGTACTCGAGGGTGCAGTCGAGCAGCACCACGCGCGGGTTCTCGATGCGCCGGCGCATCTTGGGGTGTGTAATGTCCTTGTTCAGCATCACACCGTCCAGCACGGTGCTGTCCTCAATCTCACCGCCGGGCACCTTCTCGACACGGGCGTAGCGCTTGATGTCCACCTCGGTCTTGCCGTTGCCGGCCTCCCACGTCACGGTGCGGACAGCCTTGAGGGCGAGCGCGCACATCTGGTCCATCCATCGCGAAACGAACTTGGTGCCGATCGAGGAGGAGATGAGCTGGGCCATGGCCTTGTCGTCGTCAATGTCGATGGGGTTGGAGATTTCGTGGATGATCTCGATGGCGTCGGCGAGGGCCTTTTTGAAGGCCGAGATAATCACCACGGGGTGGATGTTCCGCTCGAGCTGGGGGAGCGCGTGGGCGAGAATTTCACCGGCTTCGACATATCAGCTTTGCTCTTCCTCATGCCCTCTGACAGGTTACTCTCTGGGCACACGTACCCAAGATGATGACTGTGGTTGTACCGTCGCCGACCTCTTCGTCTTGCGTTCTGCTCAGTTCGATCATGCTCTTGGCTGCGGGATGCGAGACCTCAATCTCTCGCAGAATAGCGTGTCCGTCGTTGGTGAGAACGATGCCACCCATGGGATCCAGCAACATCTTGAGCATAGCCTTGGGGCCTAGACATGATCGAATGATATCGGCGACGCTGTGCACTCGGTTTTAGTGGGGGTTCTTTCTCGGGAGGCGGTGATGGCGGGTATTGTGGGAGGTGCGTACATCTTTGCCGCAGCAATATTCGACATCTGAGCTTGACGGCCAACTTGCCTCTCACCGGCATTGGTGTCTGGGACAACGTGTTAGCTGACGGGTGATTGCTTTGGGCCTGCCTGTCTGGAGCTGGAGGAGCTCCAGACAGCAAGGGGCAAGGTGGGACGGCTCACTCATGACCACCACGGGGGCCTGCATGATGGGCAAATGATTCTCTTGACCTCTCTATGAGTGTGGGGGGATAGAAAGAGTCGAAACGAAGCTTCGTAATGTCCGTTTCTAGAGGAGGTGAGCGCGCACGACTTGGGAAGTTGCTTCTAGAAACGGTCAAGGCTTGCTTGGAGGGGCACCAAAAAGTTACCGCCCGCCGGGGCAGCTTTTTCGCGGGGACCGGTATTCTGCCGGAGGCCGAGTTAATCCGCGCCGTGTCTGTTCATCGCCTGGACGACCCGAGATCCACGTCAATTCAGGGGCAGAGTCGCAAAGGGGGCAATCAGCCCAATCAAGGTATAAGGATAACTCTAGTCTAGATCTTCGCTAAGTATGTTTGATAAAGAAGCAAACGCTGGAACCCAATTGTGTCTTTGATCAATCACTGAATCCCAAAACAAAACCCACGCGCTCGTGTCGTCGCTCCAATTCCTTCTTGTTTATATCGTAAAGTCGTTGAATCGTTAACCTTCAATCCAGTCATCAGTGCCCAGAATAAAACGCTTCGAATGCCCATTTCAATGTGCGAAAGCCTCAATATCAACCGTCATGAACGAGCCCTGGGCGGCGATGAGCCCCTTTTGGTCCGTGTCAAACAGATGCCTTGGGCGGCATTGTGACCCAGTCAGCACCTTTGAGCGCCTCGACCTTCAGAATGCACTCATATTTGGACATGGCTTGCGCCACCTCCTGGAAATGCCATTGCTGCATCCACGCCTGTCTATCAAAAGCATCCCACCATTGCCGGATGCTCGCAGGATCAGCGCAATGCCGGCCGACATCGTTGATGTGCAGGAAATTGTGGCCTGCAACGTAGCTGGCGATTGGGGGCTTATCCGAGAACCCAAACGATGGAATGCCGTCCTTACTGAGCTGGAAAGTCAGGCTGCGTTGCGAGCTCGGGCTCACAGGTGTCGGCGATGGGGTCCCATAGGCCGCATTCGCTGGCCGTCGGAAGACGAATGCCTTTCGTTCAGGCGGAGTGGGCAGATGCTCGACACAGGTGATATATTCATCGCCGAGCAGAGCCACTTGGAGTGAAGGCACTGCCATGATGAACTCAGAGTCGGGTATATCGCTCATTCCATCCGGCATGCCGGGTCCCTCATGGTGTACCATGGGTTTGCGAATACGAAGCCACATCCACGTCCTCGTCTTGCCGTCGGGACCCTTGACATTGGTCTCGCAAAGTTGCATGGATAACGGGCCACTCGATGTGAAGGTCAGTGGAGGCAAGTTGTCTTTCGGTCCACGTATCTTGGCACCTGGGTAACGCCAATCGCCAGACTTGTTCGACAAGAACCCGCGATCCGCAGCGGAAAAAGTGCACGAAGCCAGCTCAATGCCTCTGAAGCCGTTCTCCTCACTAGCCGTCTCCAGACGATGGCGCAGGTCCTTGAATTCCACACCGCAAGTGAAGAGCATATGCTCGTCCACCACAGGTGCTTGTGCGCACGACGCCTCAGGTGTCTGTGGCTTGAACACGAGAGTGTTCCTTGAACTGGTGATCATTTGGAGCTTGCGGCTGGTTGACGATCTATCAAGATGAGTGAGACGACCTAGGTGCATTCTATCGCGTACAGACTCACATCGTACGAAGGCAACCATGGCAATGTTGCTTCTGATACCACGGCTGTGGCGAGCCTGCTTGATGCCCACACTCTTTGGGTCGAATATCATCTTTCTCAGAGTCCTCGCGTATGACCGAACTGCTCTTCATTGAACCGACCTGGCCACTTTCCTCCGCTCGAGCGCGATCAACGCCCTTTGTCGGTGCTGTTCGGGCTAACGGGGACTTACACAGCTGGTCGCGATCACGCTGGCCAGAGTGCTCTGCCGCGCCACGCTTTCGCTTCAGCGATGAGGATCCAGCAATCTGAGGTGCAGGAAGCCCCTCCAAACGGTTTTGGACGCCTTGAAGCAGAATCTGGCGAACAGTCTTATGTGTTGATGAACCATCCTGTGCTGTACTCGGCGATTCGAAGCATCGAGCTTTTCCCAGTGCCTCCTTACTCGCAGTAATTTTCTGTCTCTTTGCCGCACGGAGGGATTCTTGAGATGTCTGTCCGTGTCCGTGTGTGTGGTACTCGCCATCGTTGTGGTCTTGTCTCGAAATGCTGAGGTCCGTCTGTGGCTCGTTCGCAACCATGCGCGATGGTTGATTCACCGAAGGCCCATCATGCTGTGTTCTCGACTCCTCCGCAGCTGGATTGAATAAAAACCACGGGTCGCGACTATCATTCCGTCCCCCATACCGTGGTGGTCGCTGTGATGAAGATGATGAAGAAGCCGATGGGTAAGAAGCCATGTCTCGCGCCCTGTCGAAGAAGTCGGTCGGCAGACTGGGCCAAGTATGGAAAAAGTCCAAAGCAAAGAAAAGAGAACCCTTGATCTGGAGCATCGGGAAGAAAAAGAAAAGTATATAGTCATTGCTCTATGCGCGCGCAGTGAAGAGAGGTAAGAACATCGCTTAGCAGGGCAAAGTTAAGCTAAGGCACCTTGTAACCAGGCACTGCTGACGAGAGGCCCTTCCTGCTCAATTGGGGCTAGCAAATCAAATCAAACTTCCTTAGGCAGGGCTTAGATCAGTTGTTTGATTGTCCTTGGCCCCAATGATGAAGAAGTGACCCCTCTGGAGTGCTGTGAGGCCGGTTTGAGGTGAGCTTCACGAGGGCGCCTCCTAGAAGCTGCTGAGAACGTGAACAATAGTATCACACTCAGCCACAGGTATCAATGAGCAAATCATTTGCTCAGATGATTGCCGTTCCTGAACAGTTGGCCTCGTTGCGTAGTAGAAGGGTAGTGTGTGCATGGAGATGGTGAAGCTGGTGTGAAGGAAACGTCAGTCCAACCCCTGACAGCTTGTCACACGTAACAATGTTATGCGCACCGCCTGGCTCTGATTATGGTTCTTCGGAAGACTATTACGTCCATAGCACGTGTTAGTCTTCGTCACAGTTTGTACCACTCTAGGTACCAGTCATGATGGTAATTATGCGGGCGATTCATGAACAAGCCCCCGACGGCACTCAATCGCATATCACTGCGAAGCAACAGTAACCCATGAGCGCGTCACAAAGAGGCGGAAATTCCAACGCTTGGGTACTTGGCATGAAGTTCCAAAGGCGAAAAAGATCATTCAGAAGCTAATGATACGCCGGCCTCCCCTCGCTGGGATGGTGGTGAAATCAAATGAAGAATACATGTGGTGAAGAAAAAACACGACGAGAATGACCAAATCATGAGACGCCTATAAGACCCGTAAAACCCTGGCCTTAGCCGTGCTCCCGAATCCATGCCTTCGCCTATAATGTTCCAAGTTATGCTGAGACAGACCCGTCTCTCTAGTCTCTCCGGGTATCGACATGGCGCGCTCGAAAATGAGGGTGGAAGATACAGCGTCCTTCCCTTCAAGAAAGTACATCTAAATATCTTCAGTCGTGTTCGTAAGTTTTTGTCTATCAAGCCCTAGAAGGCTATTGGCCCAGGTCGAGGGCCGTTTCTATGCAGTCGCTTCTCTCAAAAGAACTTGGCCATGGCCCTGCTGAGATCGATGAAATCAACAGGCTTCGTGACGTAGTCGCTGAACCCTGCCGCGGCACACTTGTCTTGCACATCCGACATGACATTGGCTGACAAGGCGATAATGGGCATGTTCGGGAACTTGGCTGATCTCTCCCAGTGTCGGATTTCGCGGCAGGCTTGGTAGCCATCCTTGCGCGGCATATGGAGATCACACTGGTACTGTTAGCAGGAGAATCATGCAGATCAAGTTCGAACAACTTACCAAGATCAGCGAGTAATACTGGTGAGGCTTGGACAAGACCTTGTCGGTGCATTCGGCGCCATCGACAGCAACCTCAACGTCTACACCAATCTTGTTCAGGTACTTCATGAGCACCTTCTGATTGACTGGATTGTCTTCCACTAGAAGCACCTTGTACCCCTTATTCCCCATCCGCTTCTCGATCTCCAGGTAGCTGGCTTTTTGTGTCTCCACCATCTGTTGCGCGGTCGACCGGTTGCGGTCAATGCTCAAGTCCCGGACCTTGTCCGGGTCGAAGATCACGGCAAAGCGCGAGGGCTTGACTGGCTTGTAGATGAAGGATATCTGATTGTCCGCGAGCAGCTTCTTGTGAGTCTCACTGCTGGCGAGCTTCAGCACAGCCTGTCGCTGGACCGAATCAGACAGCACCAATATTGTTGTCTTGTCGGCCTTCTGCGTCTTGAACAGTTGATCCATCAGATCCAGTACGGCCTCGGCTGAGCCCAGATTGATGACAATATGGGTAAACTTGATGGGATCGTGTCCACCAATGAGCTCCTGGGCCTCTTCGACGCTCCCAAGAGCTGTGATTTGGTGGGGCACATCAGAAGGCAATGTCGTCTCGATGTGCTGCGTGGTGGCCTCGCGACTGAACTTTTGAGGACAGATGAGGAGGATCGAGTACATTGGTGGACGAAACTCCTCCGGTGACGAGTGATCTGCATGCGCCGGTGTGGGTGTGCGGCCCGGCGAACTCCTTCCAGAAGGCATTTCGAGCTTCATCTGGGAGAGGTCCTGACCACTGGCCTTGGCAGCCTCGCTGAAGCGGGCGAGGCCAGTGTTGACCGTTGTGATTGAAGACTTGTCCGTGGCATGCGATCTCCCCGACAGAACAGACGGGTTGGAGCTTCCATTCGACCCCACTACGGGAGATGATTCATGCTCCGAAGCTGCCAAAGGAGACCCCTCGACGTTGCGCAACTGTTTTGGCGGTGGCAGTGGCTGGAAGTTGCCTGGAATGCTCTCCGTGGAAGGCTGTCGTGACGTAGCAGAGTACATTGTTGAGACTGGACTTCCTGGCAGGTCGGGGTGATCCTCAGCAGTAGGTAGCGTAAATCGTGCTGTGAACACAAACTTGGATCCCTTTCCTGGTTCAGCTGTCCCACTCATCTGGCCCCCATGCAGCTCGACCAGTTGCTTGGAAATGACCAGACCAAGGCCACTGCCGCCATGCTGTCTCGTGCTGCTGCCATCAATTTGACTGAAAGGCTTGAAGATCAACTCGGCCTCTTGCTTCGTGAAACCCTGTCCGGTATCGATAATCGAGTATTCCAGCATGATCTCGTGGTCACCGCTATGGCCATCCTCTTCAATGTACACCCGGCAACGACTGAATACCTCGCCTTGTGTGGTGAATTTGATGGCATTACCGATGACGTTGAGCAGCACTTGGCGAATGCGCACCTTGTCGCCCTTGACCCACGCGGGCACATCGCTCTCTACGAGGTAGTTGAGCTCGAGGCCCTTGGCAATCGCCATGGTCGAAACGAGCTCATTTACATCCTCGATGAGCGAGCGTGTGTGGAACCACTCAAACTTGAGCTTCATCATACCCGCATCTACCTTTGAAAGATCCAGTATGTCGTTGATGATCATGATCAGGCTGTTGGCGCTGGTTTGAATGGTGTTGGTGTAATCGCGTTGCTCCTCGCTCAAGATGGTGTCTTGCAGAAAGCTTACCATGCCAGAAATGCCAATAAGAGGCGTCCGGATCTCGTGCGACATGTTACTGAGGAACCGACCCTTGGATTCCATCGCCTCTTTCAGCTTCGTTTCAAGGATTTTGTGATCATTAATATCAGTAGCGGAACCAAAATAGGAGCTGGCGCCGCTGCCGAAATCGATGGTGTCGATCTCTACACAGCGGATGAGATGCCATCGATACTCTCCATTCTTGGAGCGGAGGCGAACTTCGGTCGTGTAGGAGAGGCGCCCGTTACTATCGGTGCCGACCTTGATGATGCCCTTCCTGGCTAGCTCGCTCAGGTCTGCCGACGGCAGCTCATAGACTGAAGAATTGCCAGAGCTGTTGTGACGGGAAAGCGCCTTGTGTACGCCGCGAAGCGAGGCATCGGGTGTCCTTGCTTGTTTCCCAGGGAGGAGCGTGGCTGTTGATGGGGCTTCTGACGTCGGTGTATCCTGGGCCTTCCTACTCGATCTGGGCCCTAGTGGTGTGGGAGGCGCGTCCGTGGGGATACGGCATTTGGCCAAGTCCTCGGGATGTACGTAGTCAAGGAAGCCTAGACCCAGTGCATCATCAAAGCTCTGGCCTGTGTATGAAAGCCACTGCTCGTTGGCGAAAGTAACACCGTCCTCCTCCGTCGCCGTGAAGATGATCTGGGGAATAAGATTAGCCAGAAGCCGGTGTTTGGCCTCGGAGGCTTCAATCTCTTCTTGCCGAGCCGCCCTCAACTCGGCTATGTGTTGGTCGTGGATGTCCATATAAGACCCAAGGAACTGCATAATAACTCCACGTTTATCCTTTGAGGCTACAGCTCTGGCGTAGAACCACCGGTACTGGCCATCAAACCGTTTGATGCGCACCGTCCTGGAAAATTGCTCCCCCGTTCTCAGGGAGTGGCCCCATGCCTTCAGATATTCGTCGCAATCGTCTGGGTGTATGCTGCCCCATGGATCCTCTGCCAAGTCGGCCACTGTTTGGCCGCGATAAGAGAGGTACCTGCTGTTGACCCAGACAATTTCGCCAGTTTGCGGCAGCGCGACGAAAACATGAGCGGGAAGTGCATCGAGCATGAGTCCCTTGAGTCTGTCTGACGGCGGCGGCATGTCAGCAGCGCCAGGGGCGAATGACATTGTTCGCGCAGGGTTGCCGCTCGGGGGTGCAGGCCTGCTGACGAGGCTCGAGCTCGGCGGCAAAGACTGAAAGGTTGAGGAAAAGTCCGCGCCGTAAGTATGCAGCATTGAATGCCTGCTGTGTGCTTGGCTGCTGTCAGAACATCCGGCGTCGGCTACTTTGCTGCGAATGTCCTCCGCCACATCTTCCGCTCCAAAAGAGCCACTTCCCCGAGTACTCTTGGACGAACGATGAGCGGCAGCTGCCGCCAAGGCTTCTTCCATGTCTGTAGTACTCCTGTTGCTAGGCTCGGTTGCGTTACTGGCGGCATCGAGAGTTTTGGCTGCCGAAAGTCGGGATTGCGGTCGCTTCTCGGTGGGCGAGCCTTCTTTGGGCCCGCTGCGACTACCTGGTCCACTTCCATATGTCTCGTGGCGGGAAGTCGATGGTCGTTGTTTGCTACTGAAGTAGCTCTCCCCCATATGAGCAAGAGCTGACGGGCTGGCGACTGGTTGCCTTCTATCGATGATGCTCCCGAGAGATCCAGAGTCCCAGCCCGGTGTACCAGCAGGAGAGCCTGTCATGCTCTTGGAGACGCCAGAGTACTCACTTGGACTTGTCATAGTAGTGCCTGTATGGGAAGTATGACGGCCTAGATCGGGGGCGTTTGGATATGGTGTGGTGGCCAGGGGCCGACCATCTGGAGCTACAGCGCCGAAGCCAGTTGTCGATGGCCTTCGGCGATGAAGGCCTGCAATTTCCGTCTCCAGATTCTCGAAGTGCCTGCACAGAGAAAATGAGGTTGCCATATGCGGAGCTAGGTGCTCCAGAGAGTGGCGCAAGTTCGAAGGGTACGGGATTACGGGGCTGAGAATAGAGAGAATCGCGATTGGGGCAGGATTGGCCCTCACTGGACTTGACGGTTCACCCGATCCACCCTTGGATTCGTCTTGGTTGAGCGCCTGCATCGTTTGATCGATAGCTGCAGTATTGAGTCGAAATGCGCGGCTGGTCTTGGACAGCACCAGGTGAGTTAGCGGTATGTGCATGACTGTCCAGGAATTGTCAACACCAATGGCCTCTTGCGGGGGCAGTCCTGTGTAAACAGCTGGTGAGGCACCAGGGTTGAAGCTGTCTTCATCGACTGTTGCATCCGTGAAAAAGGGGTTGTCCTGGGGATCGGACCGAATGGCTGGCGAGGGAGCAGGTGATTGTGACCATGGAGACGGCGGCGCCTGCTCGTACTCTTCGTACTTGGGCGTAGGTGGCCGTGGTTCGTCGTCGTCTACCCGGCCTTTCAAGCCATGCGCTTGATCCCCAGAGCCAACTTTGCCCCGGGCAGGATCCTGGGACGGCATCGAGGTGCCAAAGATGGCAGAGCGCTTCGTGGTCGGATCAGGCTTTTTGGTAGCAGGCTTCTTGGTGACTTCTGGTTTCGCAGGTTTTGCGGAATCCGGCGACGCTGTGTTGTCGAGATAAGGATAACTTCTGGTAAGCGTGACTGCTTTGCCCCGTTCAATCACTCGCAAAATGCCAGCATGGTCAATCAGGGGATCAGCCTCGTAATTGAGCGCTTGCAGCACTGGTAGAACGCGACCTCGACTGTTGTTCGGCGTCACGAAGGGAACTTCCCACGTGGGAATGCTGTGCTCATGTCCCTCCTCTCGGAGGTCATGCTCCTCCAAAGCACCTTCGCTGAGATGCGACTCCTCCTGTGTATCTTCGGCCTGCACTCTGGGCAAATAGCTCCTGCTGCGTGATAGATATGAGGGGCGATGTGAAGATGCAGTTGAGGTCTGGTCGCGAGACTTTGCCCTGTTATCTTCGTAGGATGTATACGAGTGACGACTGGCCAGCCCAGGTCTCGAGAGGGCTCCCGGCTTGAGTGGATCTTCTTGTGTGAAAGCGCTCAAGGGCGTTCCTTGCTCGCTCATGGGCACGCCACTTCCCCCACTCTTCGCCATATAGCCCAAGCTAAGCTCGTCTTCAGAATGCTCATTGTAAGTTGCCTTCTGACCCCATGGTACATTCTCAATATCTGTTGAATCAGCTGGAATAGACAATGTCACCCTTTCAGCCAAGTATACATCTCTCATGATCTGTACAACAGTATTCCACCAGGCATCCAGCCCTGGCTCCGCGGACAACATCAACGATAGCTCATACAGATTCGGATTGGGGTATTCGAGGTTCTCGGCCTGCGGCGAAGCACCTGCTGGGTTGAAGGCAAATGTTGATGCCGGTGTTGACAAGTTGGATAAGACTCGGTCCAAGGCTCCTGAAGATGGCTCGAACGATGCCACATGCGAAGGTCGATAATTGCCTCCTGAGGCTGAAGTAAACCCTCTGTAGCCAAGGCCTCCCGACGCCATGCGAGGAAATGGGTAGGAAGGCGTGCTTGCTACATTTGCTGGTGTCATCCCTCCACGGACCGTATTGCCAGATTCAGTAGAAGCGTTCGTGGCGGTTGTGTTGAGAGCCATCGGTATTGCCAGGCCTGACAAGGCCTCTTCGGGGATAGGAGACACTCTTTTATCAGAGGAATTCAAGAAAAACGGTCGAGAAGACGTCTCTCGACGCTCCAGGTCGCGTGCTAGCCTCTCGCGATATTCATTGAGTTGCTTTTGGGAGGGCGCCATGCCTCGCGCTTGGTCGTTTATGACGTATTCAGGTTCAGTGTCACCATGAATTTTGAACGTCCGCCTGCTCGGACTGGTCAGACCACCACTGCTGCTTCGACTTGTGCTTATTTGCGGCGTTTTCGACGAAGAGTCGGTTCTTCGCCCCGCTGGTGGCTTTGAGCTTTTGTCGCTCGCCATTGCGTCACGCGCCTCTGGTCCAGACGACGCATTGAACAAATTCAGCGGCGCATGATCCCCGTTCTCATTCTCGATGGTCACTGGAATCTTGTCGTTCAGATGTGAGTTTTCTCGGGTATCGGATCGGTACGACTGTAGCCTTGACGTTCTTTGTTCGGGAGAAACGGTCTGGTGGCTGGGCATGCCTTTCGCTTATGGCTGTTGGAAGATGCAAAAGAGTCCGTGCAACAAGGAGATTTAGTTGAGGGTTGACGTCGAAACTTTTCTGCACAAGCTGAGTGCCACATGCTCCGGTGTAAATATCAGCGCATTAGAGCCAAGGAAGGGGAAGCGCAATGTCGAGGTTGTTGGGCGAGGGAGGGGGTCGATGTGATGCCCGCAATGAGGCGCGTTCCAAAATGGCCAGCAAGGATGTCCCGGCGGATCGATGAATAGATGTCAAAAACGCGATGCGCAAGAACGCGATCAGATCAGTATCCGAAGACTGAAAAGGGACTGGAGACGGACAACTTGGGGGGGCAACAAGGCAGAGAGGTACGAACGATGAAGTCCAAGTGACAGGCTAGACTGGAGGTGGACCAGACGGCCAGTATTGTCCAGCGCTGGTTCGAGCCCATGACTCCAGGTACGGTACCTTACTCACTGTCAAATGCCACTGAGAGCCGCTAGGGAACAGTCGCTCAGGAGCCACTGGATGGCAGCGAGCAGCTGCACCACCAATCAAGGCAGAGTCCCACGTGGGTCGTGGCTTGTCTTCCAGCAGCCCTGGCAGTTATGACACCATTCAGAGGCCATTGCGCCTGCCGCGGATGGGCTTATTGACGTCATCGCGCCGTAATGTATGGTGTCGCACACTACTGGGTGCCCGTTCGATATTAATTACCACCTTACCTTAGCACTGCACGACGAAAGGTCAACCGTCAGCGCATCAGCTGGTCGCTACGTTGAGCAGCGTGCCGCGAAGATTACTTCGAGAATTGCAGATATTCTTCCCACACATGGTCACGCGAGAGGCTTTGAGCATAACAGGACCGCATCACGGCTGCCAGCATCACAAAATCCGCGCAAAGTGGGCTTCCGACATGCCTTGAATACCATTTACGTTCATTCAGGCCCAGGTTTGCTAGGAAACCCCGACATGGAAGAACAATCAAACGGCTCAGTGTTCATCGAGCCTCGAGGAAACCTGGATCAGTACCGATTAATTCGACAAGCCTACATGAAACCCCCATAAAAAGCGATCCACCACGCCTGACAGCCAGCACACCAACTTCGCGCCGTTCGTCATCTGACACGTGCCCAGCGCGGACGATCGACAAGGCTCAATTCGTCTTACCGTTCCGTCTTCACCGATTTTTGCAGCTGCGACAAGTGTATTCTACCAAACAGAACTGAACCTGCTCCTTGCGATCTTACCAGATCCACCGCTCAGGCCAGGCTTGGCTTGACTGTTGAATGAATGTGGGACAAGTCAGATCTCCCGTGCAAGCTACGGACGCTGCATGCCATCGAACAATCGCCGTTTCGCATGCCAACAGTCAGGGAGAAAGCCAAAGCCCCATGAGTCGACATGGAATTTTCGAAGCCCCTTGCGGTGCGTGTGGATTTTTCGCAATGCTAATTCATGCTACTACATACTGCCCCCTGTCGACGCTTCTTTCGACGCGCGCTGGCGGCGATGCGTGTCGTCTCCCCACGCAGCTTGGTCATGATGGACCGATACGTAGTGCCAGGATCGGCGATCCCGGACATTTTCAATAAGTACGTAGCCTGCAATCTTCGATTAATAAACACCTGCGTTGGGTGGCTTGCGGTATGGGCCCATTGACGAATGATTCGACTCTTTAACGCCTCTTTGAGAGCATCTTGTTCGCTTTTGTCGTGAGGCTGCGATAGTCGAACGAGGGAGCGCCTTGAGGTGACCAATCAGTATTGAGGTGCATGGCCTAATGACTTCAAGACCCCAGTGCTAAACAGTGAGGCTGCTTTGAATTGTGTGCCGGACTAATAACTGTAAAGTGTGGTGTGCATAGAACTCCAAACAGTAAGGTAAGAAAGATTCCCGCATCGCGGATGACACAGACAACGTTCAACGCTTGAATCGCAAGCCTCAACGCCTATACACGCTCAAGTAAACAAGCAATGAGCCCACAGTTTCCTTCCCTGACCTTGCCGCGGCAAGGCGATCTTCAAATTCCAAGCTTCTGCTTTTGGATCCGAGGCAGGGTACCCGTCAGAATCAGGATTGACAGGAGTATTGTCGCCCAGAGCTTGAGCCCTAGCACATTCAGGTTGAACTCTGTTTGAGTCGCCGTGATGACCGTCACGAGGAGCAAGACGAGGATAATGTATCCACTCCAGCGATGGTATTTATAGAGGGACTTCGCATTGTCCACACCTCCGTACAGTGAGGGCACTGCCCACATCGTGAAGCCAACCAAGTACTGCAGGGCGAGGGAGATCGAGGTGATGACGCCAAGGTAGCCATGCACGGAGTGGAAATGATCATTGTGGTTGACGATCTTGTTGTACTCGATGATGGTGACGCCTCCAATCAGGCACAGCAAGGCGAGAAGGTTGAGTGAAGCGTGAACGCGTTGACCGATGCGCTTCTGGTCGGCCGTGTGTGTCGGCTGGACGGATAGGATCGACTGAATCAAGACCAGCACGCCTGTGGCTTGGAGGAGCGGGTGACCTGAGAACAAGGTCACGGGTTTGGTGAAAACAGCTACCCAGATCATGATAAACAGCAGAATGGCGCCGAACTGGGTGATGGCAGCGGTTCCTAATTATGACGTTAGTCCAACTGGAGATCCATGTCTTGCTGGGCCTTACCGATGATGAGATTCCAAAAGATAGAGCCACGACGAGGCTGGGCAGCGTCGCCGGGTCTGCCCAGCAAGGGCTCAGATTCGTTGCCGTTGGGAACAATCACATTGTCTTGACCTGGAGGCCTTTGCGGCAAACCAGTGGCGCTCATGGTAGTATTTGCTGGTCGAATCGGACCCTTGGCGTCGTCCTGTCTGCACCGGTTAGATGCTGGGCTAGGTCGGCAGTTTTTGTTGCTGGTATTTTCACGTCTCGTGAGCGTTCAACCACCGAAGTCTTGATGGGTCCCGCGTCGGATTTATATATCAAGATTTGAATCAGTGAAATCCGAATCAACGCCGAAGATTTGCAAGGGAATGAAGGGATCGATGACGGCTCAAGGGGTGTTGTGTAATTTCATGTGAGCTCTGGCCAATCAGCGCGTGCCGATATATAGGCTGGCTGACATTTGAATGCGGGGGCATCGCCGTAAGTGACACCTGCGATTGACTGCTTCAGAATAACTGCGTAGTTTGTTCAAGGGGGTCATTTGTCCTTGTGACCGCATGTTGCACCAGGCATGCATCACTAGGCCCCGAACATGATGATGTGTGTGTTCCTGTGCGTCAGATTGGACAACATGTATAGGTTCATGTTGATGAGAATGAGGACCGTGACGCATTGCCATGTAGGCCAAACCGTAGTAAGCATAGTCCTTGATACGTTGCATCACAACAATAGTCTGACTGATTGAATACATTTATTCCATGACACTACGTACTTGTATATCATACTCGTCAGGAAGCATATGGACATCTCAGCCTTCTCGAATGGGGAACACGTTGATTAGTAGGGTAGGTAAAATGGCACGCACTCATTCCAGATCCCAGGAACAACAGCGATATACCTGTACGCATGGTCTACCGCCAAGTCGCATGTAGAGGCCCAAATAACCCGAGTCATTCCCTGTTTTGAAACGGTTGACGAGCAAATTTCCTAGTTGGGCATTTTCGTCACGCGAACAATTGTTTAATTAGGTTGTTGAAGGGTCCGATGCCGTCCGAGTCCGCCGGTGATGATGCGGGGCATGGCGGGGTTCTCCAGCAAACATGATTGCGGATTCTGAATGCCCAGACGAGAACTTCTTCCATGTCATCGTGTTGTTGTTGTTTAAGACATGTCCTCGCGGCAAGAGTGTTTGGCAGGGGTTCAAAATGCAGACAGACTGCCCGGGGTGCACCATCTATAAGGTTATCATTACTCGATAGTATCGAGTCAATCCACCCAGTGGAGGCCTGAGATGGGCTTCAGCAAGGCACTTTCCGGCAGACAGCCGATGGCCGGCGGCCAGCGACCATCGGAAGCGCCCGTCATGTTGCTACCTTTTTTGCCTGCGTGAATATACTCATGCTTGCGAACCCAGTCTTACAAGCATACATTTCGAAGCTGAGCGAAGCGAGACACACCTTTTCGGACAATTCAATCATGGCCTCTATTGTAGACGAGATCGAGTACAAGCTCGACAATGTCCCGGTCACCCCTGTACCGGCTGACAAGATTGACGGGACTTTCCGTTCAAGCACCATCGGTATGACCACACATCATCTCCTGCAAGACTCAGCAGCTGAACAATCTAGATCTGATCTCTGGGACATTGGGTGGTAAGATCCTGGCCTTCTCAGATCAATGGTTTGCTGAAGCCTCCAACCTCCTGACGCCCACGCCCCCCATCAGCCAGCCAGGCAAAATGGTCTTCACTGGCGCTTGGTACGATGGGTGGGAGACTCGACGCCACAACCCAGAGCCCTTTGACTGGGTCATCGTGCGCCTTGGTGTCGCGTCTGGCACTGTCGAGGGCGTGGAGGTGGACACTGCGTTCTTTAACGGTAACCACGCGCCCGCCGTCTCAGTTGAGGGCTGCTTCAGCGACAATGACGATGAGGTTGTCTCTTGGAAGGGCGGCCGCGGCAAGTGGGAGACTATCCTGGGCGTGCAAGAGGGAGGTCCCTCGCAGCGCCTAGGATGGAAGCTCAACTCGCCTACTGGCAAGCAGTACACTCACGTGAGGCTCAACATGTACCCTGACGGTGGCATCGCACGTTTCCGTCTCTTCGGACACGCCGTGCCAGTCTTCCCTCAAGATACCAATGCCGTATTTGACCTCGCTGCTGCGGTCAATGGAGGCGTCGCGGTTTCTTGCAGTGACCAACACTTTGGCACGAAGGATAACCTCCTCCTACCAGGGCGCGGAAAAGACATGGGCGACGGCTGGGAGACCAAGCGCTCGCGAGGTGACCACATTGACTGGGCTATCATCCGCCTGGGGGCGCCAGGCTACATCGAGAAGTTCGTGGTCGACACTGCGCACTTTCGAGGGAACTTTCCGCAGAAGGTGGCGGTACAGGGCATCAACCACGAAGGGGGCGGCGACCCGGGCGCAGATGCTGAAGGTTGGGTGGAAGCTGTCGCGTCGAGCAAAACGGGACCTGACCGTGAGCACGAGTTCGAGAGCGCCGCCAGCTCCAAACCGTTCACCCATGTTAAGTTGATCATGATTCCCGACGGTGGCGTCAAGCGATTAAGGGCGTATGGTAAACGGGTCGTTTAAAAGAAGCGCGACGGGTTCAGAGCTTAGTATGCACGCTCACCTGCCAACAATATAGCGCAATACAATAGCATGACGTGTCATATTGCGCCCGGGTGAAAATGAACGAGGTTAGGCTTCGTCAGGCGTGAATGTAATTTGACAATATTACATATAACCTTGAGTGAATACTAAGAGACAAGGCCGGGTACGGCGTACTGGAAAATGGGGTTAAGTCCTGACGTAAGCGCACGGACCACCCGTCTGCCGGAGGGCCACTAAAGCAGCACGTCGAACTACTCCATACCTACCTGGTACATAGGGCTTCCCTCCTGGAATGACGAAAGTGCCATCACCAACCTGACGTGGCACAGCACTCACACGATTCCGACGCGCGCTTGATGCGCGCCCCCACGACGACAGCTGCGATCAATTTGAGGAGACCCTCTGTTCCCGCCATATAGTCGAACGACGCGGCCTATGAGCCAGGTGTCCTGGCTCTGCCCCTCCTTCCATAGCTATGGACCTTGGGGTGTCAAGCGCCGATGAGGGCGAGCAGAGGCCTCGTCCTCTTCCTGACGACTTACCGAAATCCCTGAATGACCGACGGCATGCCTCAAAAGAGAGCTATGTGCCTGACACGGAGATGTACGACGGTTGGCAAGGTGGGCTCACCCTGTGTCGCGTGATGGGAAGCAGGCGTACTGACTGGCTGGGAAGGAGAATCACAGTTTCTCACAACGCCCGCTTTGGCCAAGCCTCTCAACTTTGGCAACCTGTCTCTCAACGATGACGAATACGAGAACGATGCAAGCAATGCGCCCAAAGACAGCGACACTCGGCTGATGGAGATGCTGGCAGCGCAGGCGAACCACCTCTCTACCGAGCTAGAAGACGAGCAGGCAATCATCGATAACGACACTCTCTCCGATTCAGAGAAGAAGGACATGCTACAAAAGGCCTTGCATACGGCGGCAAGTAACGGCGATGTTGACAGACTCAACAAGCTTCTCGATGGCAGTGCCAAGGACTTTGTGGATGTCAACGCACCTGATGAGGACGGCACGCCGCCTCTTATATACGCTAGCTGCTTTGTAGGTCTCCGAGTATCGGTGGTGTATACGCAGTCTAATCAGTGTAGGGACACGAAAATGTGGTACAGGCTCTAATCGCAAAGGGCGCCGATGTCAACAAGCAAGACCGAAATCAATGGAGTCCTCTAATGTGGGCAATGACCAACCGACACAAAGGGATCGCCAAGGCTTTGCTGGACAACGGTGCATCAGGGGACCAGAGAACATCAAGTGGGCGCACTGCCTTTGACTTTGTGCCGCCTGACAGCGAGATGTCGTATTATCTCAGCAGCAACGGCTACAGCATTGGCAACGCCGGCATGGATGACGATTTCTACAACCCAGGATTCGGCCAAGACCGATTTGAGGAGGAACTAGCCGAGATGGAGACACGGAGAAGACTGATGATGGAAAGCGCTCGTGATCTAGAGGTCGACCTGGGCAATGTGGGCATGGACGACCAGCCAGAGGTAAGGTCACCAGACGCATCGTCTACATCCACGCTAACGGATCAACTAGCCCGTCGAGGAATTCGAGGAAGAACAACAGGAGTTTGACTGGAGCCGTTGTCTGCACGATCAGATGTTTGTGTTCCAGGAGCACGAACTTGACCATATCCTCGATATTGTCATTACGAAGATGACTCCCCAACGATCACCGTCGCAAAAGCCCGTACCCGCCAACATGATCTTCCTCAGCGCACGATACGCGCACTATCACTCAAGTCCAGAGCTTTTGGGTCGTCTGCTAGTATCTGCCATGGACCGGATCAACGATGTGGTGGAGCGATGCCAATGGGACATGACGATCCTTGCGTTTTGGATATCGAACGCGACTCTGCTGTTGCACTATCTGAAAAAGGATGCAGGACTTGTCGAAGCGACGGTTGAGTTTCAGGCACATCTCGCGGAATTGATCAACGAGATCTTTATCCTGATCGTCCGGGATGCGGAGCGACGACTGGACAAGGTGCTCGACCCAGCAATGCTCGACCATGAGACTATCCCAGGATTCGAGGATATTGCCTTCCAGAACGAGTGGAAGATCTTCAAACGCAAAACCACTGTCAAAGAGGAGCCTCTCGAGAAACGATTTCGACCACCCTCGCCGAAGCAGCGTGCTAAGCCAGCGCCGCGGAATGTCACCTCCTTATTGTCGTCAACCCTTTTCGTCCTAGACCTTTACGACATTCACTCTGTAATCACGGCGCAAATCATGTCGCAGCTTATTTACTGGATCAGCGCGGAGCTTTTCAACCGCATCATGTCGAATCGGAAATACCTCGCGCGAACCAAGGCTATGCAAATACGAATGAACATCTCGACACTGGAGGAGTGGGTGCGGACAAACAACCGGCAGGCTGAGCACTACGAGGCGGGCAACACGGAGGCCACGGGTGAGACAACGGCAGATGCCGCTCGCCAACACTTAGCACCGGTTATACAGCTCCTACAGTGGCTGCAGTGCTTCTCTTCGCTAGATCCGGACGACCTTGAAGCACTGATTGCGACCCTGCAACAACTCAAACGATTGACACCACAGCAGCTGATCCACGCTGTCAACCACTACAGACCCGAAGTGGGAGAAAAGGGGCTTCCGAAAAGCGCCATGAAGTACTTGCTTTCCCTGCAAAAAGAAGCGGCAATGAAGCGGGATCGGCGGCGAAGCAGGAACATGTCACCGATGCCTGATACTTCACCCGTGACGCCCGTTAAGGGCAACAAGTCTAACGGCGCCCATCTAGAGACACCGGGAAGCATTCAGGGCACACCCGGAAACGACGGGTCAGATGACGACGACGATGCTCCCGAGCACCTTCTTATGGACCCCGCCATGATGCTACCATTTACGCTGCCTTCCGTCACAGACATGCTCGTCTCCTACGGCGCGGGCTTCGGCGGCGTCAATAGGGAGAGAGAACGTAAGTATATACCAACGGTGCCCCCCGAGTTCCTCGAAAAGCTCGAGGTCAGTGGTGCAAGGAAGGGGCCAATGTTCCAGGAGAAGGATTGGGAAAACGAGGAGGTCTGACGGGTTCACGACTCTATCGTCTGCAGAGAGCTTCCCGTGGACCAGAAACGTCAATGCTACATCTGGAGGGCCTAGCCGAGCTGCATGCTGCAAGGAACAGGAAATGTGGCGGCCAGCCCATGCCTCTAGCGCAAGGCCCGTGGATACCGCAAGAAGCTGTCATCTCGTTGCTTCTGCTGCGAACCGAGGACGAGTCTGTTGGCGGGGACGCCTTAACCAGATCTCGTGGCTTCTAGAGCAAAGAGATCCGCTCTCTTCATTTTGCGCGGCCGGCGCGGCCAAGCGAGTCAATAGATTGAAGAGGCATTGTCCAGATGTATCATACGTGCGCCCGGACATGATGATGCTGTCGAAGCACACCATTTTCTTTTTTCCCCTTCCTTCGCTTCCGAATTTTTCCAAGGTGACGGATGCAGTAACAGGTGAATGTGCCATGATAGGTTGGACAATGATGCGCTGGCTGCCGCCACGTCGAGCTACAGCTGCAGGATGCCACCAAACAGGACTCGTGGGCGCCCCATGAGATTCCTTTTGGGCAACAGCTAGGAAAAAAAGAAGAAATCGGTTTGCTGCTTCGGGCACCGCCCTGGCTCTGCCTCTTGCATCTTTTCTTGATGCAGTTCAAACGGTGAGAAGTGTTTGTCTACCTGTCGTGTCGACATGTCGTTGACTCGGGCCACCTGACACCGTACTCATCAACTGCACCCGTTGGATGACACAAACAAGTATTGCCGCTCAGTCAGTAGGACGCGCACAACACTCTGCTTGATGATAATGATGTTAGGTGCCGCGGGTGGAACTGCAGAAGCGATGCACAGCAGGACCAGCTGGTTGAAGCCCCATCCATCTACACCTCAGATGACCAGCAACTCGTTGTCCAAGAACCCACCCACCTGACCTTCCCCCTGAGACCTCTGTCCAGCAAAGTTAAGTTGGGAAAAACATTTCGATGGTGCGGGAACCTTGCAGTCTTGTTAAACAGGCAGTCTCTTCCGGTGCTCCCTTGCATTGTGATTCGACGAGGCCTCGTTGATGATGTGGCGCTCAGATTGGGTGCGGATGCGTTTGTGCGGTGAAGCAAGGACGCACGTCGCCTGTGGTTCGTTCTCCATATGCGCTTGGGCCCTGCCGGGTGTTTGTCCCTCAGGGTCCGGATCTGCCAGTGCGCTCAGCGTGTCTACGAGAGGAGGACGCGATGATGTGGCAGTAGGTGGATGGCCGTCCGATACACGAAGTCCTCACCGTAGTTGTGAGTAGTAGTCCGTAGGGAAAGGTACAACCCAAGGTACCTTTCTTTTCTGATGCCGTCTTCTGATCGGTCTGGATTATAATATCGCAGCCATCTTGAATTGTTCCTGCATTAATCGCAAGCCACTTCTCACTCTATTGTGCCTGTAGAGCATCAGCATCGTCGTTGTTTTTTCCCGGACCTGTCCATCCCGAGCAAGATCACCTGTACGCGCATCGCATCCACGGAAACGCACCTGCCGTGGGAAAAGTCAGGAATCGGATACTAAAAGAGAAAGAGCGCCCTTCTCTTGTCGCTCACGCACGAACTCGCGATATTTCACTTGCGTTACCGGCCTCTCGACTTTGCGTTTGTCAGAAGCGAAGCCACTGCTGGGTGATCGCTTGGCTTCACTTACACAGCAGAGCCCCATTCGACCTCACCACCCTGCGCGCTGCATTGTCAAAGACAGTCAAGAAGCCATCCGAGCTCTCTCAGCTGGAGAAGTACCAGACGACGCCTCACCATGTCTTCGAGATCCGGCAGTGTACGTCAGAAGAATCGACCAGCTGTGCGCAGACCGTCATTCCGTGACGACTACAGCCTTGTTGGGATCCGCTACGAGAAGACATCTCAGGGTGAAATGCCCATACCCATCACGACGATCAACCCTGTCCGCTCGCCGTCGCGACCAACATCGTCAGCATCATCAGCATCGTCGGGCGCCTTTGCGATCACTGGCGGCAGCCCGATCATAGTCAGGCCGCACAGGACTGCGCCGTCCATTGACGAACACCCGGCACTGCGCACCAGAAAGGCAGTGCAACAGCAGTGCAAAGACGTGTGGAAGCGCGACTCTGGCCACGGGGCGAATAGCTTGTCGTCCAAAACGCCAACGATTGACGAGGAAGACGGTGAAGACGGGTCGTTGTTTGACAGGCACTCGGCGCTGTTGAAGAACCGCAGGCTCTCGTCAGTCTCCGTGTCAGACTCAGGCTCACCTGCCGTGCCACCGGCAGATGGCAATCATCCCCGACAGGCCAAACAGGGTAAGGATCAGGCGCACAATCGTGTTGCATCTGATGCTGTCCACATGCTCGCTTGCCATGTCGCATCCGACACGTCCATCCTCCTCCCATCGCGTTCTCCATCTGTATCAGCACCATCGCCGCCAAAGAAGCTCGCCAGAGGCCTGAGCATTCGCTCAGTCTTCTCAATCACCAAGAGCCCAAGATTGTCTGCGACTGCTCGGGGTAATACTTCCACGCCAATGCAGGACCAGGTCACGCCCGAGCCCGTGGAGGAGCCCCTAATGTGGGGCTCTCCGTCCCCTGAAGCCGCCGTCAGGCCCGTCACCAGCGCTGGCGATGAGCCTAACAAGAAGGCCCCTAGCACGCCAATTTCAACGCCAAAGGCCGCCGCCCGCAAGTCTATCTGGTCCTCTCCCAAATCGCAACCGCAACAACGCGACTCAGTCGAGACCACCGAAGCCACGCACTTTTCTCCTCTCGATCTGTCACTTCCCACGGACGGCTTGCTCGACGATGGTTTCCTAGCCAGCTTATCCTTCTCTCAGCGCGGCAGTGTCATGTTTGGTGGGCAGCGAGCTCTAGCTGCGGACGATGCCACCATGGCACATCAATCAACATCGCACGCGCAACCACCCCACGAACACACGCGCACGAGCGTCGACAACGATTCCAAGCCGCCGCCTAGCCCCGCGACAAACCTATCGCCAAGCGCTACACCTGTATCAGAGACAATTCCTGGCTCAGGCACGCCTACGAGCGACGCGACACCAGACACTGGCTATGCCACTCCCGATGCCACTACGCCGGCGCAAACCTCCGAACCTGAGCGACCGGCCGAGCCCCAGTCGCAGACACCATCTGTGCCACCCCCTCAAGCGCAACAATCCACACAATACCTGAACGTACCGCCGGATACTCGCTTTATGGAGCCCGACGTTGAGAAGGAGTCCCGAAAGGTGAGATCGCTCTACGCTGCTGACGAGACCCTTCGATGGGAAGACGGTGCCCTGCCATCGTTGTCAGGGCGAACGGCCTCTCCCATCGAGGAGGTGTCGCCCGAGGAGGACGAGAACGACCCGTATGATTTCCTTGTCTCCCGTGTCTCATGGTAGTTTACAAGCTGACTTGCCCCCTTTTTCTGTCGTGTAGATCTCATGGTCGCCTTGGTCCCGTCAGAAGTACCCCGTGCTCCGGCGCATCCTCTTCGCTCCGACCTAGCAGCGCGTACAAGACAGACAAGGAGAGCGGTGTCGATTCCGAAGACTGGGACGAATTCGAGGGTGTTGAACTTGACCGGTATGGGTTTATCAGGGAGACGAAACGCCCGAATTCATCGAGAGTCGGCACGCCTACAGAGATGAAGTCAGCACTATTCTCGCCTAGAAGAGGGAGGAACGTACTGCAGAAGAGGGACGCACCTGGTGTCGGGTCTCCCCTGGGAACAATAAGACGGCCACCCAGCCGGAAAGTGTCGGCGAGGTCGCTCAACACCCAACATTCCGAGATGTCGACCACCTCTTTCCGATCACAGCGCTCTGCCATGCGCCACGCAAGCAACTTGCTGCCTCATAATCGTGACCGCCGGTGGATGGACGAAGCGGGCGATATGCTTACTGTCTCACCGAGTCTTCAAAACGTTGCTGAAGAAGCGCAAGTCGAGAAGATCTCGGAAGCACTGAAGCGGAAAGAGTGGGAGAGATCAGAGAAGTGGCAAAAGATGGCCAAAAATATCAAGAAAGGTGCTCAAGGAGAGGGCATGGAGTTCGAGTTCGACGCCAAGAACCCAAAGCTCATTGAAAGGACGTGGAAAGGCATCCCTGACCGCTGGCGGACAGCAGCATGGTGGTCTTTTCTCGAGACCAGCGCCAAGAATCACCCGAACTCACGATCTGTGGAGGAGATCATCGCCGAGTTCCACAAGCTTCAGTTGAAACCGTCTCCAGACGACGTGCAGATCGACCTCGACGTTCCGAGGACGATTGGCCGACATATCATGTTCCGTCGCCGATACCAGGGCGGCCAGCGGCTATTGTTCCGAGTGTTGCACGCAATCTCGATATACTTTCCCGAGACCGGCTATGTACAGGGCATGGCCTCATTGGCGGCGACTCTCTTGTGTTATTTTGAGGAGGAGAAATGCTTCGTTATGATGGTCCGCATGTGGGAGCTGCGAGGGCTCGACCGTCTCTACCGCCACGGCTTTGAAGGGCTGATGACTGGCCTTCAAGAATTTGAAATGTTCTGGCTTAACAAGGACGTTGCCAAGAAACTGGTAAGTGGCCGCTCGCCTCTCTGATTTACGATACTAACCGTGGCACAGGCGGAGTTGGGGATAGACCCAACAGCATACGGCACCAAATGGTACCTGACCTTGTTCAACCTGTCACTGCCTTTTCCCGCGCAGCTTCGTGTCTGGGATGTGATCATGCTGCTTGGCACATCAGGTGAACGCGAGATGAAGCCGTCCAAGAAGGCTACGAAGACCTTGATGGGACCACCCACGGGCCTCGATGTCCTGCATGCCACCAGCGCGGCGCTGATCCACGCCATGCGCGAGTTGCTGCTCGACTCGGACTTTGAGAACGCCATGAAGGCGTTGACGTCCTTTGTCACCATCAAAGACGAGGATCTACTCATGAAGGTCACAAAGGCAGAATGGAAGGCTCGTCAAGGCAAGCGAAGGTCGTAGCAGGCCTTCCTGCCATTTACCTCCCCACCGAGCCGAAACCGGTGATGATGGCGAAAGTGAAAGAGTCATGTTCTTCTCGTCTTGTGGCTTCTTTTTGCTTCTTTGTTTGGGAATAGCGACGGATGGGGCATCGCCCAACTGTTTTTGCGAAAGCTCTCGATACCCCCTGGAACGCTTGTCTTGTTTGAAATTCTACTTTCTTGTTTTTCCTTCGCAGCGCTACGGCTAGCTGCACGCGCCTTGACGGCAGCCTCTTGTTTTCCTTTGTCCGTGGGAGACGACTGTATGTATGTCAGCATCGACTATTGGGGAGCGCACGTGCTGGGCTGGGCTTGTTTTTACAGAATATACCCCTTTGGAGAGTGTTGGCGGCGTGGCGTGCTACGACAGGGCGGTGGAACACGTGCTCGGAAAGGGCTTCACGAAGGTAGGGTGGCTGGACTCTTTCTGTCAATGAATGCAGAAAACGACATATCGGAGGTGGCGATAATAGAGTAATTGACGACCTGATTCTATCAGAGCACAATGCTGTTGAAGACCCCGTGAGAATGTAACCCATACTAGTAGAACCGGCGGGTCCGTGCGCTCCGCGCCATCGGTGCCGCATGCCATCCATGTTAGGTGGGATCCACACATCCCCGGCGCCGAACCGAGCCCGCTGCGATGATTTGCGCTCCAGCTCAATTAATGATGGCCTTGTCGGTTGGTGTGTATGTGTGTGCGTGCACTGATTGAGTTACACCACAGAAGGCCCATTGAAAGCCGCATTCCAGTCTCGACCCACGCGACCACGTGCCAGCCACAATGGACGCACTGTCCTACCCCATTGTCAAGGAAGCACGCGTTGAAAGCCTCGACCGAGTCACCGAGGATGCACACCGCTGTGACCGACCCCCCAGCCAAGAGCGCGGATCGAGAGGACAGCTTCCCCGCGGACGGGTTCTGTTCTCCCCCCGGAGATAGATCGGTCAACGGCGGGAGAGGTCCTCAGCGATGTCCATTGCGGTCACGTAGCCATTGCGCAGGCGTGTAGCTCAGCTCCATCTTTGTATATGTGACATCTGATTTTGAATTCCACCAATATGCTACAGACGACGCTGCCTGAGCCTTTACGTCGTCGTGTTTATCCATTGTGTCGTGTTCTCGTTCCATGCCCCCAGTCCCTAACCGTAACCGCCGTTGATGCATACCTATAAAATGCAAGAAAAAGAGAAAATTGTCTAAGATCTCGGAAATAGGAAGATTTATGACAAGAAAATAGGAAAAAGATGTTTCCGGTAGATTACAATAGCTCGGCAACCTCAATGGCCGCGTCATTGACGCTTGCCTCGCTGGGAATCATGCCCTTGGGAACGAGGGTCAGATTCGACGGGCGACCCTGGTCGTGTGCCACGGCCATTCCCACCGCCGCCGTAGTAAGCAGACGGACTCTGCCACGAGTGTGTGCGTGTCTCGGCTGACTGCTCGGCCGGATCGCCTGACAGCAAGGACGACACCGAGTGTTTCCCAACTTCGCTTCGCGATCGTTCCCTTGAGACTCGCACCGGCGACTTTTCTTTCACCGATCGGTCCGACTCCTCTGCCCGTTCTTGCGTCGTATTCGATCGGTACCATGATAGATCGCTCCGCTGGCGTTTGTGGCCTCGCCTGTTGGATGACGGTTGCAGATGGGAGGACGTGAAGGATGGGGGTGATCGTGGTGGTTGATCCATCGTCGAAGAACCCGCCTTTCGCTTCTTGGGTATGTCTCCTAATAGCGCGTTGCACATTAGTCAATGGCCTCTCGCTTCCTTTTGATCTGTGACGAACCAGGAGGACTGCCGGGCCGATTGGTGCTGGCGCTTGTCGAGCCACCGGCCTGCGACGTCGGGGGCTGCCAGTGATGGAAATACAACCCGGGGCCTGCTTCTTGCGACGATTGTTGCCCTTGTAATTGGCCATGTGGTGGTTGTGTCGGTGGCCCTGATGCGAGCCCGCCACTCGCAACGTTCGTGTTTGTGTTGGGCGGATTCGCCATGAGCTGGGACTGATGCGTCGATGGTCCTCCTATCGTTTGCGACCTGATTCGAGACGGAGAGCCTGGCTGTGTCTGATACGTGGCTGAGGGATGGGGCGTCGCCTGAGCTGGTACTCCAGATCCGTATGGGCCAAAACTTTGACCCGAAGGGTCTCGCTGATGGCGAGGGGAGGCTTGACCTTGCGGCGGCATGATCTGTAGATGCTGGCTTTGAGCGGTATTCATGAATTGCTGAGCCCAATCAAGAGCGGCCTGAGGTAGGACGCCACCCGCTCCCATGCCAGCAAAGACGAGCGGTACCATGGGGGGCGGTATACCGCCACTTAGAGATGCTCGCAACATGTCGGACTCGATTTTCCGTTGTTCAAGGCGCAAAGTTTCCTGTCTGGTTCTCTCTTCCTCCTGCTTCGTCCTCTCTTCCTCTGCTCGTGCTTGCAACCAATTTCTCATGGACTCCTCTGAGCCTTGCCATTGGGGAGGTGGTGCTGGTAAAGTCGATGGCCCCTGGGCGACAGTGAGGAGACCTTGGCCCCCTGGCGGCGGCGGTGGGGGTTGTTGATGAGGATGTGACTGCTGCTGGACGACATGCTGATGGTGGTGATGAGAGGGAGGAGGAGCATGCGGTGGCGCGTGTGAGCTCACCGATGGTCCCTGTTGTTGATGGGGAGGCAAGGCCATTGCTGCCGGTGGGGGCAAGCCACGGTGAGAACTTGACATTGGTTGTGGAGGTGGAGGAGGGCTATGACTCTGTCTTGCCGACTTAGCCCGCTTGTATGGGTGGTCCTGATACGTCCCAGGAGGTGACGGTCTGGTGGATGGTGGCGTCGGAAGGTCATGGACTGATGTGTAGCCGAACACCGAGGCCTGCTTTGCGGTAAGCATCTTATCGACTGAGAAGATGGTAGTGAGGTAGGTGAGTGTGTCTGGGTGTGTGCAAGTTTGAAGGACGCGAGGGCAATGAGTGTGAATCCAAACTGGGGGCAGAGCTATGCTCCAGTGGGTAGAGAGGGCCTGTGACTAATATAAATGATGCGAAGCGAAGAGTAGGTTTGCGGGACAGATCAGATACGTCGAAAGCAGACAATATAAGTGAGCGGTTACAACCTTTGTGTAGAGTGTGATGCGCCGAGCGAGCTGGATGGGTCGACCAGCTCAGGAAGGGTAGTAGTCGGGACGAGCAGGGCCTATAGGATTGAGGGGCTAGCTAGCAGATCCAACCTCATTTGCTATCACAAGGGTGCCGATGGCACGGATGTCAGTGGGTTTCGACGGCTGTGGCTTAATCGACGTCGCCCGTGGCCAAGCAGGGGAATGGGCAAGGTAGTACTGAGACGGGCTGCTCAGCATGAATGGATTTCCCCTTTGCCTCAATCGCTGTACCTGTGACGGCGAAGGACTGCCTGGGTCGTTACCGAGGATATAAGCAGGATGTGAGAATGCTCGTCCGCTGCGTGACGACAGTGAGCATACAGACCGCAGATGAGAATCGCAGAGGGGGGATGAAGAAGGCTCAGCGAGCTATGGTTCCCAAACTCGGCAGTCCTCGAAGAGGAAAGAGACCATCAAGTGGCAGTTTTGGGGATCGCGGTAGCTAGCTAGGATAGACCCATGACAGTTTTCTTCCTGTACAGACAGGACTGGCAAGGTGCCAAACGCGCGGCAGACAGTCTCGCAGGACTAGACAGCCAGCACTGAGCAGGGGAGTCGTCTTTCTTGGTGGATGGATCCAAGTCCCGCGCGATGCGAATTACTTAGATGGGAAGAACTGCAAGGGTTGCCCCCAGCTTGTTTAGGTTCAAGAGTCGAACTTGGGGTTTGACGTTGTTGACAGGGCGGTGCTGGCGTCTGTCTGTCTGGGGTTGCGCATGAAGGGGCTTGCTTGCTTTGGGGCTGTGGCGGCAAGGTGAGGAAACCGACCTGGAGGCTGGAGACGGGAATGAAGGATGTTACTGTAGCAAAAGTGCACCAGTCGCCCTCGTCATGAGCAGCTTCGGTCACGGATTAGGAAAGGAAGGTTCGAAGGGGGATGTGCGAGGTAGGCAAGGCAGGCAGGCAGGCACAGAGGGGACGTTGGGAAGGATGGATGGGGTCCAGTCGTCAAACAGACAGAAGGAAAGACCACAAACGTCGACTGGACCTTGACTTTAGGTCGGCCTTAAGCCACCGGCGTCCTTGGCCCACTGTTAATGCCACTGAATAGCAGGCACAGACAAAACCCCTTGACCATGTCGGGACAAGCCTGGCCCAGGACCGGGCATGTAGTTTGACGCCTGGACGCCTGGTTTTCTCAAACTGGGGCCGGCTGGTGAAGGTAGTGGGGGCTGATCTGCTGGTCCGCCCGTAACACTTAAGTTGTGAAGGGGGGTCTTTTTGCGAGTTGTTGGTTGGAGGGGTTCCCGAACCACAGGTTGGCGTGAGCCACCCAGCTTGCCACTGAAGGTAGTGTTCGTTCGAGTGCGGCGACAATGGATGGCTGCTGATGGAACTTGCTTGTAGGTACGTACAAAGCTCAGGGCTCTGGCAAATGCAGTACTGTACTGTAGTACACAAATGCCGGACAGGTTTATTATTCCTGTTGTGCAGTCTGCATCCCCTCCGTGTTGGCTGGGCCGCAGTCTCCTAATCCACCCTAGACACTTGCTTGTTGGCCGGAGGTTTCATGTAGCAATCAGGAGCTTGCGTGTCTGCAGCAGACGCCTAGGCACCATGGAACGATTGCCTCATTGGGTGCACTAAGGCGATCTGCTACTGTTGGAGGCAGGGGCCCCATGATGCATGATCCGATACATTTGTCGGTGCCATTCAACCCAAGCTGATGTATCAAATAAATCGGAGCGCTGAGGCAGAGGCAGAGGCAGAGGCCTACCTAGCCAGCTGCCGGGACTTGGCTGGGTCAAGGCCAACAACGTTCCGGCCCATGTGACGCTTCAGACCATCCGTAAAGAGTCAATTGCCGGCTCCAATAAGGTTGTACTTATGCCAGTACCAGTGCCAAGTCCAGTCGGTTGAGCTACCGAGCTTTGGGTTACATAGGTCAGGGACCAAGGTCATAGTGTCGGTTTTAGCCACAGTTCAATAGCTTCCACCATGGCCCGTCGAAAGAAGCACTTTTTGGAAACTAATTATTAATCTTCCTGAGCAGAGTGGACGAAAAGATCGTCGCCCAGAAACGCAGGCTTGCAAGCCTCTAATTCAGTGGGCCCGTGGCGTCCTGTATTGCATCGCGTCCACAACCGCGCCCGCGCCATTTTGTTGTTGTTGGCTTGTCGTACGGGGACCGGATAGAGGATGGAGACAGCATGACTGATGAATTATCGCCTCGTGCGGCGGTGCACAGCGCATGCGCACGCGTACGAGCATAACACGAACTCGAGCGCGCCGAGCTGCCATGATGCAGGTCGAGCTGTGTGATCTGTGCAATCGGGACGATGCGCGCTGATGCACAAGTGAATTAAGGTCCGGATAGGACTGCCACGCCCTGCCTCTGTCGGATGCAGCCTTTGTTGGATGGCCAACTTTGCGTGCGTCTTTTCGCTGCGATGCAGCTGTGGGCACTGGGTATCAAGCCGTCACGGTCGACGCGGTGTGGGCGGGTCTCGAGTCGTCTCTGCTCTATTCTGGTCGATGCAGTCTGCGTCTAGCTAAGCAGGATTGGAGTCCAAGAACAGGGTTCATTATTAGTTACCTAGGTAGGCACTGGGGATGGGGACCATGTTCAGCTTTGCAAGTCGACGCTCAGCTGCTTGCCTCCTTCCAGACATTTAGTTCGATCGGTTCTCTTTCCAGGCAAGCGCCGTTGCCTAATTGGGCTGCAAACCACGAGGCAGCTGAGCTACGTATCGCCCATTGCATTCCAGCGCGCGGCGCGGCGCCTGCTGTAGAAGCGAAACATCATCAGTGGTGACACAGCCCGTACGTGACTGCATCAAACGACATGAGCGCACGTTCGTGCCTCTCGAAGCCTAGATGATCACAGCCTTTCGGCTCCTTTGCCTAGGTAGATGGACCTACGACCGGGCATCTCAATTAATATCTACTGATTATCATTTCAGACCACAAGACTAGCTGTGGGGCCCAGTCGCCTCCTTGCTCACTGGAAAGCTACGCACAGTTGATACGAGGGCACATGCATCTATCCGCGAGGAAACACAGCATGACCACTCTGCACCGGTCCAACCGCAAGCAAGGATTGTGATCTTCCACCTAGCAAAGACCCGATCTCTCCTTGGCGCCAATATGTAAGACCCTTTCAGCATTCATTGCTCTGAGCTGGCGGTGTGCACACATAGGGCATCAGGTGCCACAGGGTAGGCTGACTTACCGATTCCGAATGACGGTGGACGTACAGACTCCAGTTTTCGTGATGCATTTCCGAGCATTTTGCAAGTAGGAGCACATATGATACTTCAAACAAGTATGGCCGTATACGACAATCGCCATTCTTTGTCGGTTGTTAACCATGCCGTGCACCCTCGTCCCCGCGAGCTTCCACGCCATGAGCCGTCAACAATCCAAATCGGTCCAGCAACAGCGGCATAAGCTCGTATTGCAGATAGTCGAGGACGCGCTAGGACGTTTCCAGCTACAGCCATGCAACTCTGCGCCCTGTGGCCTTTTCTCGGACCCCTGCCACGTCGAAACTGGGCCATCTGAAACAGCGCGGCTGAGTCCATCGCCGCGACCGCCAGCCAACAACAATTCGTAACGGATTACGACTTTGCACTTGCCCAGTCGCTGTGACTCGTCATCTGCCGCTTCATCAGACCCAACGCAGCCTGACGATGGACCTCGACCAACAGAGCTGCCCAGACTTTCATCGTGGTGCTCCCAAGGCCTCGACTGCCACCAAACGGCCAGTCAGGATCGCCATACGCGCAGTCGTTGCAACTGCCGTGCAAATCGCACAATGGGCCATCACTGATAAATGACAGCTCAGTCAGCAGATGGAGAAAGAAAAATGTCCTGATCACCGTCGTGGCACCACAAGGATGCTCTGTTAGCATTCGGGCCCGAGCATGCATGGCTCGTAGTTATGATGCGTTTCAGAACTTCAGATCGAGAAATCGCAAAGTAACTCAGAAAAGCGGTCGGATTATCCATATTCTAATTAGACTGCCTAATAATCTGTCACCACGAGGCCTGCCTGGGACGCTATATCCACGGTCAGCGCCTTATTATGAATTGACCCAATACTAGGGGCAGATTCGACCCAGAGCGGAAACTCTTCTTTCATCCGCGGCACGGCTTCACATGCTTCACATGGCCACATTGGGAGTCCGCAGACAGCTCGAGACACATGTCCGGGCGAAGTGGTGAGATACTTCGGAATCATGAAACCAATAGACACAGCCAAGTCTCGACAATGGCTGCACATCATCAGGCGCACGGTAATCTGGTGGCGGTCTCACCTGCACAGGTCTCTTCCGAGGCTGTGCGATCCGAACAACAATGCTCGCTCCGGTGCTCGTCTCATTCTGGCGCATAATAAATAATAATACCGAATGGCCATGGGCTGAACGGCTCGGGACGCAACCCAGTCTGGAAAGGTTCCAGCGCCTCCTAATGCACTTCATCCTTTACTACGTACTCCGTGAAAGGACCTCCACATTCTGCGGTGGCTGAGCTTCATGATCAGGACGGCTGGGAATATGCATCGTACCGATCCAGGAACAAGGTAGTATTCATAAACCAACAACCTCAGCACCTTGGCTCACAGACAGTTGCGACCCTCGGACTGAATATTGCGCATCTAACTGAGTACCTATTAATATAAGGTACCTAACCGTAGGTTCTGCAGGCTGACCGGTTCATGCAGAAGCGCGCACAAATCCTACTTGACCCTGAGCGTGCGTCCTTTCCTGTACATAATAATAATGAATATCGCGCAAGCTTCTGCACAGAGTGCCTCAGTAAGGTATAATACCTGGCACATGGTCCGCAGAGAATCTTCCTTCGGCTTCGAGTCATCTCATCCGCTTGCCAAGTCCGATCCCTTCGCCAAAGAGTCTTCGGCGTCGACCTATCCATGCCAGACTAATAGCGAGTACGCACGGCTGGATTCCCCGGCTGCACGTTGCCTGCCATCGCATGTCGATCAGGCCGAGAGCTTGCCGGTGCCCACAGGCATCATAATAATACTAACAAGGCTGCAATGTTGGCATCACGATGTCAGAGAGAGGCCCATCAAACCCACGCAGCAGCAGGCCTCTCTCCTCAGGGCGGAGGGATACCTCGGTCGATTCTGCGGTCAACAAAGCTTTCAACATGTACTCGTCGTGTCTAGAGGCTACGGCCCCCTCACTCTCTGGCAGATATATGGACGATGCCAGAGCGACGTAATACTGCGCCTCTTTATGCCTCGAGCGTAGTGTCGTAGTGCATGCAAGGGCAAAAGGTCCTTGACCGCGCGCTTCTCAAGTACATGTAGTCTTCCTGCTGTTGGTTGTACATGCTCATTGCAGGTCAACCGGGCCTTGGTTCATGCGAGTAATAAAGTGTCTCCGTCAATGTCGCAGCGCATACGTCCCGTGTCCCGTAGAAGATGCATGACAGAAGGCAGGGCTACCTCTGACCACCGAGCTCGCTCGGTAACAGCTTAGGCAAGATGTGATAGAGCTTCCTACATGGGGCAGTCATTTCACTTCACATCCTACTCATGTGTATGCACGTACATCTTCAACGGACCTTTGTAAATGTCTTGAAATCGCTCATCTAGTAGGCTGCCAACAGAACTACAAAGCTCCTTCATCCACCTTCAGACGCAATCAATCCCAAAAAGACGCTGGCAACAACGCGAAATTCGCCTCCAAAGATTGTGCTCATCCGATGCCTGTGTAGTCTTCGTCTCAACTGACAATACTGAGATCCCAATGGAAAAGAGTAGCCCGCAGCTCCACGACACCTAACTGACGCCGGCAATTTTCCCATGTTATATACCTCTGATGCTCCTTATATATGTGTGAAATGAAAACAATCAAACAGACCCTTTACTTCTGCGGTGATAGCCCTTGATTATTTAAGGGACATGTTGTGTATGGTACGCGGCGCTCCTTTACTGACAAGTATTGGGGAAAACAATGTCTCGCAATCAGGGGCCCGTTTGCGCTGGCCCGTCTTGTTCGTCTTCCCCGTTCGTAACAACCGAGGGCGTCCCGTCAATGCCCTCTGCGTCTTCCGTGGGCGTGCCTGTGCCCTTCAGCGGGCGGTCTTTCTTCACTAGGACACCCCGAGGCCGCTCGCTTGCCTTCTCAGGGGCTGTTTTGCTCTTCACCAAGTCGGTGATGGAGCGGTTCTGAGGCTTTTTGACGTCTCGCGGCTCGGGTGTCGAGTCGCTGTTGCCCCGATTCTTGACCAGTTTGCGAGGCTGCCTCTTCTGTTGCTGTGTGCCGATTTCTTCGCTGCTGGACACGCGGCTATCGAGTGATGTACGACTTTCAGCGGGGCTAATGCTCGAAGCGTTCCCTGGGGCCAGGCTTTTACTGGTATCAGGGCCTGACGAGTCGGTCCGCCGCTTCTCGAGCATGGGCGCGTCTTGTGCCTGCAGGCTTGAGTCGTCGATTGGCTGGTTGAAGACAGCTCCATCCCGCATCGGGTCGTCAACGGTTATATTTGGCTTTCCCTCATCAGCCGGAGGCGGAGGCTGGACAAACTCGACCGAGGGCTGGGACGAGGGCTGGGACGAAGGTGTCGCACTGTCAGGCGTCTCCGATTCGGGTTCCATGTCAGGGTGCTTGGATACTAGTCAGTGAGTGTTCTCTCTACTCCAATACTACTCACCTGCTTGGTAAGATACGCGTCCAGTTTGTTTTTGAGCACATCGGCCCGGACCGGCTTGGCCAGATAGTCGTTCATACCAGCTGCAATGCACTTCTCGCGATCGCCCTGGATTGCCGATGCCGTCATGGCAATGACAAGCACCTTGCGAACCGCTTCCAGGGGATCCTTGCGTATGAGTCTCGTTGCCTCGTATCCGTCCAACACGGGCATCTGTACATCCATCAGCACCACATGGTATGGATTGCCCTCTCTGGCTTTCTGCCGAAGCCCTTCGACGGCAACCAGGCCGTTCTCGTAAGCCATGATGTTGGTGTAGCCCAGGCGCTTGGTATACTGGATCGCAATGCGTTGGTTGATCGGATTGTCCTCGGCGACGCAAATACGAAGGTCTTCTTTCGACATTGTTGAGAGATCGAGGTAAGGGTTTGGCGAGGCTGAGCGGCCACCCTCAACAGCCGTAGCCGCTGACGAGCGCTCGGCATGGTTGGACCTTGACTTGGACTGCACATCGCCGGCTGAGACATTCGAATTGGCCTTGTCAAACGTCACAGTGAACCAGGCCGTTGTGCCGACATTTTCCTCGCTTTCCAGTTCGATCTTACCTCTCATCATGGTCTGGATGAGCGATTTGCAGATGCTGAGACCCAAGCCGCTACCGCCATACTTTCTGGCAGTACTGGCGTCTGCTTGGCTGAACGGCTGGAATAGCTTCGCCAGTTGCTGCGGTGGAATGCCGATGCCCGTATCGCGAACCCAGAAAGTGAGCGTGGCACTCTCTTCCGTCTCGGAATCGAGCTTCGCGCCAATGGTGATGGAGCCATTCTCCGTGAACTTGAGACTGTTGCCAATGAGGTTTCCGAGCACTTGGTGCAACCTGATAGGATCACCGAAGATGAGCATGGAAGGCAAATCAACACTCTGCACTATCGACACATTCTTTTTCGAGGTCTTCTCTCGGTTGCTGTACGAAACAGCCCGCACGACCTCTTTGATCATTTCCTCAGGATTGAACGCAATGACGTAGAGTTTCATCTTGTCCGCTTCCATCTTGGAGAAGTCGAGAATGTCGTTGATGACCGTCAAAAGAAGATCGGCGGACACGCGGATCGAGTCGGCCATTTCCATTTGCTCCCTGTTGAGTTGGCTGTCGCGCAAGAGCTCCGAATTGCCAATGACACCATTCAGGGGAGTCCGGAGCTCGTGCGACACATTCGCAAGGAAGATTGACTTTGCCTTGGCCGCCTCCTCCGCCAGCTTGACGTTACGCTTGGCCTCAGCCTCGGCATCCTTCGCCTTTTGCTCAGCAGCTACGGCCTTCGCCAAGGCCTTCCTTTGCACCTCGACCATGGACTTGTTCTTAGCTGAGATCTTCTCAATGTTCATCATGGCGACGGCGTTGGAATAACTGATGCCGAGCTGCATCACCAGCAGTTGCACAACACTGACATTGCGGTCTGTAAAGGAACCAGACTCGCCTTCCAGGTAGAGCACGCCGTGAAGCATATCCTTGCCCGTTTCGTCTTTGCCGTGTGTGATAGGAATGGCAATGATGGCTTTGCCGGCTGGGTTCTTCTGCAGCCACGATTCGCTAACGTTGCCAAACCGTTCGTCGTTACCAAGATCTGACACGAAGACAACCTCCATGAAGCGAGTGCAATAAAGCACCACATTCTCGGCGATAAGTGACTCTTCAGACATCGAAAGCCCTGGCTGGTGTGACGAGGCACCTTGCTCAGGGTCACCGCTGGCAGCGATAACCCACTTGTCCTTTCTCGGATCGTGCGGCGCATGGACTTGCTCCCGAACGACAATGGCGGCGAGCGTCGCGGAGCCGCCACAGGTTTGTAGAATAATGTCACACATGGTTTTCAACAGGTGATCGACACGAAGCACCGATGAAATAACCTGGGAACTGTGCAGAATAGCGTGCAGGTCGATCATGTCGAGAGTTGGCAGTCCAGCGCCACCTTCAGCTTGTACGTTGACGGATCTTCCCCAATCGGCCACGCGCTCTCCAGTGATCTCTGTGAGATTGTTGTTCGAGGTTGCCGGTGCGAGTTCAGCACCAATCTCCCCGTTGGCTTGACGGAATTGACCGGGCGCCGTATCAGTAACGAAGTCTGTTTGGGCGGTCGCATCGACCATCATGTGATTGCGGGTCGGTCCGTGAAGCAGCAGTGAATGCTGCTCCTCGATAGCCGCCGCAACGCCCGTGGCAGCTAGTTTTCGGTAGAGACCGAGGGCTTCGACAAGAGCGCTACGTGCTGAACGACGCGCCTTGCGCCTGACGAAGAACCCAGCCATGAGGTAGTTCCCCAGTGCCTCTTCAAAGGTCAAATCATGTTCAGTGGCATGATCCAACGCTTCCTCATAGTGTCGTACAGCTTCTCCGTGAAAGCCGGCAAGCTCGACTGTTTGAGCGTCGAGGAGTGTATGCCATGCAAAGTAGTTGATGTCAGACACTGCGCCCCAGTCCTTGATCATCTGCGTGAGTTTCCGCAGGTCTGCAAGAACATCCTCAATCTCAGCACCGTGATCTTGCGACTGGTACCGGGGGTCTTGCATCTTGTTGAAGAGTTGGCCGGCACGGGCCAAGCCGTAGAACAACAGGATCAATCGGCTATTGCGCACCGTCCATAGCATCGACAGATTGGCAACACAGCGCTCACCGACCTGAACGGCCTGGTCATAGTGGCCAAACAGGAAGAGAGGAACCAGCTCCAAACTCTCGTACAAGAGAGTGGATCTGTTGCTGTGATGAACCGTCGCGTCCAACCACGTCTTGTACTTCAAGACGTTATGATGCTCGTCGCCGAGTACATCCAATGGGTTATCTGTATGTGTTTTGCCTTGCAAAGCCCGGCAGACTTGCTGCATGACAAGAAGCAAGACGCCTCCGCGCGTGTCGTTCGTCCACGACGCGACATCCTCACAGCCGTACTGGCAGAATGCCTCCAACTCTGCAAAATTCTCGCTGGAGTAGAATTTGATGACGGCATGCAGACCGTAGCTGAGGATGGTTGACATGCGATCCCCAGCGGCAGAAGCGAAATCTACAGCATCCTCCATCTGCACGAGCGAGGCTGGCATTGAGTTTGTCAGGTGACCCAGGAGACAGGGGTAAAGCATGAGGCCTCTGGCAATGGAAAAGGGGTCTTTGGCCCTGTGCAATATCTCCTGCGAGATACGACCTATATCGACCGCGAACTGCGCCCGGTTCCACCGGGCGAGGGCGATGACAGCAAAATGCAAGAATGCCATGCCCGATTGCGGGAACGCGCCTTTGTCGAGATGTGTTTCCATCATGACCATGGTAAGGTAGTAATATCGGAGGCAGTCACTCCACCAGGCAGTACTGCATGTTTCCGAGAGTACGGCACCAATGGATGCCAAATTGCAGTCCTCCGCATGATCCAGGTTCATGAGCGTGGCTCGGTTCGTCGTTAATATCCTCGCCGACAAGATCTCAAACTTCTCATCGCACTTCTCGTATGTCGGTTCGTCATCGAGCTCAACATCAAGAGTCGCCAAACATTCCCTCAACGCGACAACGGCGGCCTCAACGTTGCTGCTTTGCGAGAAGACCCTGGACTGAAGCACGTATGCTGGTGCCCTGTCAACGGCAGTCTTTGCATTCCTGAAGATCACGGCGAGCACTTCATGTGCTCTCTGGTGTTGCCCCATGAAGATATGGCACTCGGCAGAGCGGAGGTACAGTTGAATAGTCTCCTCGTAGGATCCATCCTCTTGGCTCGAGTCCCATGGGGAGTCTTGTAGCAGCTTTATGGCATTTTCGTACAGTCTGCATGCCGTAGGCCGGGCTCCATTCTCGGCAGAAGCCAGAGCACGGTCGATGAGAACTTTGCGGAACGGGCGTCGAATCGACACTTGCGCCCTGGTAATGTCCACTGCTTGGCAGATGTGGAAAGCGGTGGTGTCCCAGAGTCGCGTATCGTCAATGTAGTATTTCATCAGCGTTTGGGCAATGCTAAAGTGCATGCGCCGCGCACTGCATTCCTTGAGCTTGGAGGCGGCGTGGATGTATCGATCATGGGCAAAACGGAACCGATCATCATGTTCGGTGGCCACAATGATATATGCCTGTATGGCGCTTTGCAGCCCGGCGATAGCTTCGTGCTGCGAATATTTGCGCTTGCGGCCTGTGCTGCAGCAAGAGGGATTGTCCGGGTCCTCGACAGGAAACTCGCCACTCATTAGCCGAGATACCAACTCAAAAGAGAATGTGTTGCCCAGCAATGCTGCCCATGCCAGTAGCTCGCGAGCTGCTGAGCGTAGCTCGTCAAGCCGACTAGTGATGAATCCTGTGTCGAGAACATCGTAGTCCTTTTCCCCTCGAAACTGTTCGAAAAGCCTGTCCAGGTCGTAATGCCACATGTTGTCTTTGTAGTCGTACCAGATACACTTTTTGCGATGGCATGCGCTCAGCATCTCGCGGATATAGAATGGATTGCCAGCCGTCTTGGACTGTATCACGAGAGCCAGTGGGAGTACCTCGTCTTCGTTCCTGCAGAGGGTCTTGGAAACATACTCCACGATGTCGGCCTCAGTAAGAGAGGCAAGCGAAATGCGAGTAATGTTCGCAGCCCCTTGGCGCCGAGATTCGTCCACATCTGACGAGTACAGGATTTGGTGCACCTTCTCGGCCGGTAGTTCGTCAGGCCTGTACGTCAGGATAATGGCCATCCTCATGCGGGTGCCAATAATTTGGCTGATCAGCTCGAGTGACTCGTCATCTGCGAAATGCAAATCGTCCAAGCAGAAACATATGAATTTGTGTGCGGTGAACACCCTCAAAACATCCAAGAAGATGTTCATGAGTCGGGTACTCTTCGTCGCCGCGCCAGCACGAAGGAAGTCCTGTGTTGATTGGGAAGCAATGCTAGGATTCCTCGTGAGAGGCGCGGGTGACAACCTGTCCGGCGAGGAGCCACGGCGTTGCCTTGCGCCACGGCCGTTACGGGACAGAGAGCCCTGTGACGAGGATATTGAGCGAGCTACGACAGATGATGCGTCCGGCGGCCCAAAGAGGAACTCGGGTAATCCGAGTGTCTTCCACAGACACGGCCAGACGGGTCCAATGTACTGCTTCAAACCCTGGTGAAAGGGCGTCTCCGTGTTTCTCTCGCCCCAAACCTGCTTGAACAACGCTGAGAAGAGTTTGATCAGGGGCCCGAAAGGTGTACGTCTCGAGGTATCGAACTTTGCTGTAGCGCAGTACCCTCGACGGCGTGCCTGACTCAGGACGTTCTGTACCAGGCAGCTCTTGCCCAGCCCTCCGGCACCCTCAATGGTGATGACCTCGCAGTGGCCGCGCCGCCTGAACTTTGCGGTTCCTAGTTGACGCGATAGCCCACCTACAGACGACTCCCCGATGCTAGGCCGGGTATCGGTTCCAATACTATCAGCAAGACTGCGAGCCTCGATGGATATGGAATGATGGCGCTCAAAAGGTTGGACACCTCGGGCGTGCGCTGTTGACTGGCTGGATGCGGTGTCTCCCGAGATGGTGTGGGCGTCGGACTGGAAAGACTGCTGTGGCGTCCGTTGCCTCGAAGGATCCGTGGAGACAGTCTGGGTGAACGATCCGCTCTGACGATTTACGCCATCCAAGGAGCTTGCTCCCTCGCTAGAAACGTCGTCCACGCCTTGGCCGTCTGTCGACAGAACGGAGCCGTCTGCAAAGCGGCTCGTAGCAAGTTTCCTCCCCACGGCATGGCTCTTTGCAACACGATCAATGACCCTCAATACCTCATTCTTCTCCTTTTGTCGACCAATCATCGTAGTCGGTAGCATGAAGAAGGAGGACACGTCCTTGCTCCCAATTTGGAATTGCTCGATGCCCGCAACATCACCGACGCCGAGAAGGTGCTGTATTGCCATCAAATCGTGCCGTAATCCGCTCGCTGAGTTATACCGATCAGAGATGTTCTTGGCTGTGCATCTCTGGATGATGCGCCCTATAACATCGGGGATATCAATGCGGACATCGGAAACGCTTGGGATCTTGCGCCCCAGCACACCCTGCACAATGTCCAGCGGCGTGTCACCCTCAAAAACCGGCTTCTGGGTAAGAAGCTGCCAGAACAGAACTCCAATGGCGTAAATGTCAGTGCGGGAATCGGGTTCTGCTGGCATCCGCCCAGTCTGCTCCGGGCTGATGTAAAGTAACTTGTGCCGCGCCCCAAGCTCTTGCGAAAGGGTAGACCATCCGATGCTAGTCAACCCGTGCTCAAACGAACGAATGCCCGAGCCAAAGGACAGGACCCTGACCTTGTTCTCTTCCAGGTTGAAATGGAAAGCATCGCTGCGGATCTCGCCGTGCACAATACCATGCCTATGATGCAGTATCTCCAGACACTCTGTGACCCCAATAGCAAAGTCAAGAAAGTGCTCCAGGCTGATCGGCGGCTGTAGTTTGAAGTTTGGATTCCGGTAGCCTTTCCACGCGTCATTGTATTTGCGCGCCCTGAAAAAGGCAGGGCCCATGTCCAACACATTCCAGATGTAATCCTTGCCAAGATAGTGGTATATGGCCACCGTAATCGGGCCGCGATCGCCAGGCAGTGGCGTGAGTCGCACGAGGTCAATAGGCTTAGCTATATGGTTCCCTTCAGGGTCGGCGGACGTCGTCAAGCTTCTCGTGATCTGAAAAGCCCGTTCTTCTCTGAGACCGTGGTAGGAAATCCGCGCTACGACTGGCTCGTCGACCGATAACATATCACCACTGAAGCTGGGGCTTTCATCGGGTGTAGCGTCTTGGGAAGCGGCCGAAGTCGGATAATCGAAAGAACCTGATCGTTCTGAAGGGGACGGTCCACCAGAGGGGAGCCTCGTCACAGATGCTGGGCTGGAGACATTTTGCGACGATGTCGAAAATGCCGAAGCAGTAGACATATGTCGACTCCCGAATATGTGCCTGCAGAGTGGTCAGCCATGGCATCAATCGTTGTGCTTGCCTTTGCTCACCAGAAGTCGTATGTGGAATGGAACGGGTCCTTTTGCTCGTCCCAGGTGTAGCCAGCGATGTGACGGAGACGCTCGAAGATACGTTGCGGTGGATCGAGGAGATCATCAGGTATGCGAGTGGTGCTGTCCATCTTGCTGCAACGCTGCCACGCTCAGATGTCGCGGGGAGGCGAGCACCTTCTGCTTGCTTCCGCAATGGTAGCGGAACAATACCTTCCCTTCGAACACTCTTACAACTATGATGCTGTAGCGGCGTTCATCCAAGACCCGGTGATGCGCCCATTCTCGGCCGTGTTGTAATTTGCAGAATCGTTCGGTTGGAAATCGTCGGTGCACTCGCAGTAATCAGAAGTGAGCGAGGTGCTGTTGTCAAGCACCCTCGTCGAACGGTCGGGCGCGCCGGGCTTCGAGGCACGAGAGGTGATTCGTGATGTTGGACTATTGCGACACAACCTCCGCTGGAATCACTTGTCAGACTGGCGCCTCGTCTGGTAGATGAGTCGGGTCACTGGAGATGGGAAATGGCAGCCAAGCAGCAGACTGAACTGGACTGCATCCGTGGGAATGGAGATGAAATGGAATACTGAAAGTGGATGGATCCGAGTGTTCCATGCGCGGCTCTGGTTGGTTCACAAGTGACCCTCATGCCTGGGCGGGCGGGCTGCGGTGCTATCAGTCAAAACTGGAGGGGGAACTTCAATTCAGTTACCCTTTGAATGGACCTGCGTGCACGGAGTAACGCTGTTAGCTTCATGTCCCCTCACTGTCGACTTCTCCTGGCCTACAATACAGTGCTTCCTTTCACCAGGTATGCGTCTGTTCGCAGCGTGTCGACACAATCACATGGCAGCTACACAAAGTTCTGCCTACAATAAGCGTCACCAAAGCAAACCTACTTACACCTAGCGCGGTTGCAAGAGATGCTAGTCCAAGTTAGCCCAGAACATTACTGATGAATCCCTAGCCACGTGTAGCCGGTGGACAATCTGATATCAGAGAAACATAACACATGAATGGTTCGTGATTTTGCAGCTGCATCACCTCCTCCATTGGACTCGGCAAAGCTGAGCGATGATGTCAGTGTCTCTGATATTGTCCGGCCATGCTGTGCTCTGACAGCATCCCGCGCCTGCCAAAACTGCACCTTACTTTGCTTTTGGCAGTTGCGGACGACACAGTTCCATGTCGTTGTGGCTGGCAAATACAATAACGTCGTTTGAATCAACACCAGAAATCCCATCAAGCCCAGTTAAGCGTGCACGCGAGCTAAGGGCCTGCGAAAAAGCGAAGAAATCACAGCATTCACGTCTATCTCTATTTGAGTCTGTTTATCGCATTTGCGAGTGTATATCTTAAGCCCATGCGACAGTGCCAATGACTGCCCAATGTTGATGCCTGCCCACGCTCCTGAACGTGCATCCAATTCCGGCGCAATGCGCTAACAAACCCTCGCTCATAAGCTCACATCATGCTCGTCTAACATTCAATCTAGACAACGGGTATCCCGGGGTCAGGCTCTCTCTCCAAGGCGCCTTATGCCTTGGGGCGAACAGGCATGGTCTTGCCGCCGTACGTGAAGTCCTGGGTCAACCGCCTCTCGGTGTTCTTGCGGGTGTTGACAAAGTCGGGGTAGTTGAGCGTCAGCTCGACTCCGCCCTGCACAATGGCATCGACAGCCTCCACGCCGAGCATAAACGAGTGGTCCTGGTTGCCGACCTCGTACCTCCAGCTGCCGAAGCGGCCACGAGAGTAGATGCCCATGTCCTGGAGCTTGGGGAGGAGCTCCTTAAGGACACCCTCACGCTCGAGCGAGGGGGTAGGGTAACCGTGGTCGAACTTGCGATGGTAGGTCGACACAATCTCGTCCTCGGGCTTGAGGAGCTCGGTGTTGACGAGGCCCTGGATGCTGTCGCGGAGAATGTGCTCCTCGTCGACAGGCTTCATGGAGGACTGGGAGACCTCGAGCATGATGGACCAGTAAGGACCCTCCTGAGCCTCAGTAGACTTGGGCTTGCTACCGTCAGCGTTCTGAAGGGTGGGGAGCTTGGCATCCTTCTGAGGCTGGTTGTAGGGGGAGTAGTTGGAGAAGATGGTGGCGCGGTAGAAGTTGCAGTTGTCCTCGGGGAAGTACAACCAGCATTTGTCGCCGATGCGCTCGGGACGCTCACCACGGATGCCAACACCAATGACGTGAGTCGACGAGTAGAAGAGGCCCTTTGAGAGCTTCACGAGCTCTTGGTTGCCCATCTTCTCGACGAGGTGGTCGACGGCCATGGTGTTCACGAGCTTGCCGTAGCCGATGGTGGTGCCGTCGGCAAGAGTGACGGTCTTGGCCTCGGCATCAACCTTTGTGACCTCACCCTGCTTGTTGAAGCGCTTCTTCTCCTTGGGGATGGTGTCGGCGACAGCAGTCCAGATACCACCAGTACCGTCGCGGGCAGGGAAGCGGAAAGTGGCATTGGGGCCCCAGTTGCCGGCGGTCTTGTTCAGGATGACGTTCTTCATGACAGACTTGACATCGGGAGCAGCAACGCGCTCGCCCAACCAAGCAGCTTGCATCTGAAGTAGTTAGCGCAGGACATCCTGGGGGAAAGCGCAGCGAACGAACCTTGGTGGTAGGGACAGCCCAGACCTTGAAGTTGTAGGGGCGCATGAAGATGTCGCAGATGCCCTCACCCATCATGCGCATCATCCACTCATCGAAGTCCTTGGGCTTGGTGTTGGCGACACGTGCGGTCAAGGCAGCATCGACGAGACCATCCATGCACTTGACCTGGTCATCCTTGGGGAGCATGGAGATGTTGTTCTGGAAGGGGTAGGGGACCCAGAGACCCTTGTAACGAACGTATGACACACGCTCGTGCGTGAACCAGTCGTCATCCTTGGGCAAGGCCTCGTCAAGGCAGTCGTCAAAGTACTTGTAGTGGGAGAAGATAACGTGGCCGCCGACGTCGTAGAGCTGTTGGACCATGGTTAGCCTACTGACGCCACCAGAAAGAATGTTGCGTTAACTTACGAAACCCTCATCAGTAACATCAGTGCCAGCAAGACCACCGGCCTTCTCAGCGGAATCAATGATGAGCCATGAAGGGCCGTTCTATAGCTTGTGTTAGCTGTTGTCGCGCGCCACAGCAAGCGAGCGGTGAGAACCCACGATTTGATTCAGACGCTTGGCGGCACCGAGACCAGTAGGTCCCATGCCAATGACAAGGACGTCAACATTGCTACAAGACCATGTCAGCATACTTGTTTGTCGATTGACGCATATACCATTCTCTCTGTGGACCTGCTGCGTTCCAGTTCAAGGGGTTGGTACTAACATGTCGGCACCCATGGTGGGGAGTGGTGTTCTTGGTAGAGCTTGGTGGGGGTTTGGATGCGAAGACGAGAGGGCGTCGTCGTGAAGGCGCCAAAACGTACCAAGAACAGGTATGCGAAAAGATGCTGGGAGGTATAATCAAGGACGAGGTTCGCGAGGCAAAGCAGGCAACCTTCGTAGGAGGTTTGGCCGAGACGATGGGGTTGGGTTGCTGGCAGAAAAAGGAGACCGGAGACGGGGTGGTGGCTTTCTGGTGGGAGCGGTCTGATCATGTCTCCATAGAGGGGCTAATATTATTCTGGGTCTCCATTTGGCGAGGAGGGAAGGGGGCAAACGCATCGTCCATGCGGCAACCGCTTCCAGGGGCTCAAGGGCCCTTCAGGACACTGCCAAACTTCCACATTAAAAAGGGCCAGCGTCACATTAATGCGCGTGACGCTCCACACGCACCACCAACAAAGATCCACTCAGCCCACCCCTGACTTCTTCACCTAATCACCTCAATTCTCACTATCCTTGATCAGCAACATCTTAATTAGCGGTATCTTGAATCTGTTGGTCTCCTACCAATGGCGCCCTCACGGTCTACCAGCTCCCCTATTGCTTGGATCTTCCGCGAGGATTTCCTCCACTGGTTAGGAGCGCGGGGCTCGAGCTGAGGTATCTGCGAGCCTGATGCCAAAAACGCTGGTGGCGGGACATGAGCAGTGACAATCACAACTCCTATGTGCGGTCCCCTATCGAGGATCACTGCCAAACTGCAGTAGAGTGGCCGAATATTACTCGGCGGAGACCGGCGATAGCTTGCCAACTCGTGGCGGCACGCAATGGCTTGACTGGCTATCAGATGCCCATGAGAGCTCGCAGCAACCGTTGACCCTCACCGCCCCTGAAGCTATATATTCGCCCGCACACAGGCTAATGCCAGCCTCTAAGTTAGTCTAGTTAATTACCAGCCTTCCTGGCCCTTCCAGCCTACCACTAACAGTAATATTTCTTGCACAACCGGGTAGCAAGCCATGAACCCGAAGCTTGGCCTGCAAAACCCCCGCTTTAATATTTTAGCGCCTTGATTCCTGCGTTCTAGCCGCCCGGTGCCGACGCCTCAAAACAGCCGCGAGGCTGTTGAACCCTCCCTTGATGGTACGTATCAGGCATTCGGTGTCAGGCATTCGGTATCACCAGGAGGTGTATAACACATTTGCTCCAAGCTCGAGAGCGCGCGGTCCAAGAGCAAAACATCTCCTTCGCTGTCACCACATCTTGCTGACAATCACAGCCAGTCCATTTTGGAATTGAGTTGAACAATGGTTCCGCTGACTACCTGCTCTGGCGCGAAAGCTGCCCCTCCATGACCTTGTTAACGCAATCTCCTGAGATGAGGACAATCCCACCATCACATCTGAGGCTTGAGCAAGCCAGGAATAATAAGCTAAGCGACATGATAAGAGTTCTTGTTTTCTTGATTTTACGTGGGGGGTTTCATAAACCAACTGAGCGTGAAGTAAATGAGAACGTTAAGCCACACGAAGAAAATCCATCGCCATCTTCCTGCCATGCTTTTACGTATATGCACACGCTGCCATTCCATGAAGTCACATGCAATGGTATCGACTACTCAAGGACGCAACGCGGTCTTTACTTATAAGTATCAACTAAATGCTGCGAACAACGGCAGAGCCGTCATTGATCCATCCCACAGATCGCCCCGGATGTGAAACAAGCTTCGAGTCGATCGAGCTTGATGCCAGGCATCTTCTTGGCCATATCCGCAGTCTTGGCCTCTAACCATGCGACAGCGGGGAACGAGATTCCGAAAGTGTCTTAGTCAAGAATCACCGGCGTCGTGACATCGCCTCAAAAGGAAGTCGGAAGTGACTCTGAAGCGTTGCTCTGCCCAGAGTGCATACATGTAGGAACTTGAAGTGTACCAGCTCACATAGCCTGCGCCCTACTGTTAACAGGCTGAGACTTGACCCCACTAATCAACTACCGTGACGTCTGAGATATTGAGAGCGAGATTCTTCTACGTGCGCCGGCAAACTGCACCTCATTTCCAAGGCGTTTGTTTGTCGACGGTGCGAGGGATCATCAACAAGCAGTGACAAAAAACACGCACTCAGGTAATGCCGCCGGTCCGGGGCACTGATTCGATCAGCAAGAGTACAAATGAGGCTTTGACTGTCTGATCAGCAGTTCAAATATCTACATAGCCACGGTTTATGGGCATGTCTTCCTGCACAAAGCCGTTATCCTGAAACAAGAGCAGATCATGCTGGCTCCATGTAACATTCCCCACCCTCCAAAAAGCTTGGATTGACGCCGGCAATCGAACGAGTAATTGTAGTGAAGATCTGCGTTAGGTCGTGCTCCCGATGTGCCACGTAATCCTCTGAGTGCGTACGTACGTGAGCCGAAAGCGCACTCACCAGCTTGGAGGATTCGCCCTGTCCACGCTTGTTGCTCAGTCCTGTGTTTGCGCGTGACGACAGCGCTGGCAAATGGCCTCGGCGCTACCAACCTGGAACGTTCTTGGTGAGCAGCGGCGGGAGCATCGTCGGCCATCGAGAGAGGAAAGTCTCACCATGACGTCCATGAACCCAGCATGATCAATCTAATTCACATCACTCTAGGTGTGATTGTTGCTCACAAGCAGCAGAAAGCATTATGGGAATTTAACATGGCAAAAATCCCGACAAGGCCATCTATGCCAAGCTTCTTTGACAAGATCGCGTGTCCGGAACGTAGCGTCGTTCTGCGAACACGGTCGCTTGGCATGCCGCTTGCGCCAATAGTAGCGTGGAGGGTCTATGAAATCAACCAAAAACAGCCACAGCCCACGCAAGACGAGATTGACTTTGACGATTGTTGCCCGCGGGTGATAATGTGTACGGAGTACCTAATAATGATATGGACAGGAACCGTTCCGCATGACTGAACTGACCACGGGGGATCTTGCGAGTATACTTGTACAGGTTTGTGTCATTCCACGTGATCGACCCTTTGAGGCCAAGCCGTCTCGAACAAAAATTTCTCAGACACTGGTGTACGCAAGCTGTTCTCGACTGGCGGCTGGTGGCTGATCACCCAACGTGGGCCACTGATTCGCCAGACCAATGTCTCTCGAAGTTCTTCAGCTGCGGACGAGTCAACTGCGATAATGCAGCAGCCACTCACTGGCTGTGCGTATGGGACAGGTTTCTGAATCCGGGATGCCAGAGAGGGCCCCACCCACCCCCTGAGCTGCGGACCGGAGCCCACTCGCGGGCTAGTAGTGCAGTACAGATGCAGTACACGCTCAAGGGCAGCGGGCCGCATTCGATCCCCTATCGAGCGCGCCCGGCGCAAGTACCCCTCGTGTATCTGCAGGCAGCGTGCAGCAATCAATTTCCAGGGGGGCTACCGCTTTTAATTGCCTCTGCTGCTCGCCTTGTCGACCCCCTAGCCTGGCTCCTTGATTCTCTGTCTTCATCTTATACGCTGCGTTGGAGAAGAAAAGACGTTGGCTCCTCTTTCACTCTCTTTTTCTCTTCAAATCTGCTCCCTCAGACAAGCTTGTTGACACGCACGTTGCGCTCTCACGACGCTTGCAGGATTGATCTCGGTGTCTCTGCCTGTGCCTGTTCTCGAACGCAGTCCCCGCCAATTGCATATTCGCCGCCCCTCCTTTATCCGACCCCTTGAACTCTGTTGCAGGACTCTTGTCTGTCCGTCCGCTCGTTTTGCGCGTCCACCCCTAACAGGTTTTGCCTCTGTTCAGCAAAGTGCCTTCGCCTCGTGTCATCCACGCGAACGCCAGCACCAGAGCATCAATTTAACGACTTCACATCGATACCACGCGACGACGATTTTAATCATTCCTCAACCCGAAACAACGACCCTCCGTACGCGAAAACATCAGTCACAATGTCTGGCGAAGAGAAGAGCCGCATCTCTGGCGATGCGCCCCGTCAGAGCAATGGCCCTGTTCTGCCGACGGTCAACCCCAGCGCCGAGAAGACTCAGCAGCCTGGCTTCTCGTTGCACCCAACTTTCTACGTAATGTAAGTCCTCGACGTTCGGAGGCTGCGGCGGAACGCCATCGGAGAACATTGGGCTAACAAACGATCGAATAGCATCTGGATCTCTTGCAGTTCCTCCGTTATTCTCTTCAACAAATGGCTGCTGGACACGCTCAACTTCCGTATGTTCTCGAAACCGCCGCGTGGCTAGTCTACCATAATCTGAGGACGATTGCTGACGAACTGCTCGAACAGGCTACCCCGTCATCCTCACCACGTACCACTTGTCCTTCGCTACCCTCATGACCCAGCTTATGGCCCGCTTCACTACTCTGCTTGACGGACGCAAGAGCGTTAAGATGACTGGTCGCGTCTACATGCGTGCAGTGGTTCCTATTGGTATCTGCTTCAGTCTGAGCTTGATCTGCGGCAACCTGACGTACCTCTACTTGTCGGTTGCTTTCATCCAGATGCTCAAGGCCACCACACCCGTGGCCGTGTTGATGTCCAGCTGGATCCTTGGTGTTTCCAAGCCCAACCTCAGGCAGTTCCTCAACGTCTCCACGATCGTTGTTGGTGTCATCATCGCTTCGATCGGCGAGATTCACTTTGTCCTGATTGGTGTTTTGTACCAGATCGCTGGTGTCGTGTTCGAGGCCCTCCGCTTGACCATGGTTCAGCGTCTGCTCAGCTCGGCTGACTACAAGATGGACCCTCTCGTCTCGGTCTACTACTTCGCGCCCATCTGCGCGTTGATGAACGGTGTTGTCGCCTTGATCTGGGAAGTCCCCCACTGCACCATGCAGGACGTCTACAACGTCGGCTTCTTCACCTTCTTCCTGAACGGAATGTGTGCTTTCATGCTCAACGTTTCTGTCGTTCTGCTGGTACGTCTTGCATGCCAAGAAAGCGAAGAATCGTAACATGGCTAACTGAACTTTTAGATCGGCAAGACTTCCGCCGTTGTCCTGACTCTCTGTGGTGTCCTCAAGGATATTCTCCTGGTCCTGGCCTCCATGGCCATTTGGGGCACCCAGGTGTCCGGTCTCCAATTCTTCGGCTACTCCATTGCCCTGGGCGGCATGGTCTACTACAAGCTTGGTTTTGAGCAGCTGAAGGGCCACATTGGCGAGATGAACCGCCAGTGGGCTGACTTTGGTAACCGCAAGCCAGTCCTCCGCAAGCTCACCATCATCATCGCTTCCGCCTTCCTCATCTTCACTCTCTTTGGAGGTCTGGCGCCCACATACGCGCCCGAGTACGACCCCCGCAAGCTCGCCAACGAAGCGTCGAACCGCTTTGGCATGAACGCCCACAAGTACTGAGTACATGATGAGTCTGGCTCCTTTTAGAGTGGGGGTCACTTGACTACAGAAGTTCTCGTCGTGCAGGCAATGACTGCGAGGGACTGTTGCACTGCATGTCTGTCTCCGCCGCGAGATTGTCAAGACCTGTTTTCAACATTAAAAAAGACTTCTTTCCGTCTGTCTCTCTGCAAGGCCCGCCGGCACAGACACTGCTTACATTTTCTTTCTTCTAATTCTTGGAGAACTGTTGAGAAATTCTGCTTGGTTTGGACGTACACGATGTATTGGTGTGTGTGAGTCCTTTGTTTTACGAAAGTGTATAGCTATAGAAAGCTGGGCGCAGAGCGCACAAGGCTCACAGGGATACGAACGGAATCATTCTGGGTTGTCGGCATGAAACTCTGGGGGATGGGTGTTTTTTCTAATCCCTTATAAACCAACACTCTAGACGGCGTTGTAGTCTTCGAGCATAGAAACGTAGAAACGAAATTTTAACTTCACGTTCTCGTTCATTGTGTGTATTTCTCCAACAACTGGTACGGGTTCGGTTGCGGTATCTTGGGTGGTGTGTGCTGTGAACTGGTTGTTGTGTGGGAACCAATGTAAAAGCCAGTCGAAGAGCCAGCGACGCAACAAGGCGTGTTAGCAATGTCGAACTACAGACAGATTGATCTCTGTTCCCCATTGCACACATCAAGAGCCGACAGGTCACCAAGACGCGGGAGAATTCGAAGAAGTCGTCAATTGCGTAGCCAAGACCTATTTAGCCTGGCGATTCCCAACTCACTTGGCCTTCCCATCCGTCCGAGCTTCCATCATCATAAAGGCACTCCTGTGGGAGCACCATGCCTCGGAAGCCATCGTTGCTCATGCCTCCTCATCATGTACATGCGTTCACGCGACAGCCAATGTGTATGTGGAGGGTGATGTTGTGAACTTTGATTCTTTTTAGTTCATAAACCGTGGGATTCCGTTAAAGCCACCCGATGCTCTATACATCCCGCAAAACTCCCTAACCATGACGGAGGAAACGATATTTTTAAAAGCCTGCCGAGTGTTAGTGGTGGTGATCCGTGGGTGCGCGTGGGCAGAAGGGACATACGCAGAGGGGTGAAGAACCACCTGTTCTTCCCAGAGGTGTAGCGCTCCTCAAGCACCTTCTTGACGGTCTTCTTGGCATCCTCACGCTGGCTGACCTCCTTGAAGGTGTCGGCCGAGATGGTGCCCTTGAGGCCCTCGAGCTCGAGGGTGTAGCGGGTGGGCATCAAGTGGTTGTAGTTGATGACCTTGATGAAGGGCTTGATTTTCGAGCGCTTCTCCTGGCGGGCCTTGGACATGCGGCGGGTGATCTTCTCGGGGTAGCGCTCGATGCCAGCAACGACGGCGTGGCCGAAGGGGTGAGGCTTGTTGCCGTTGTCGAGGGGCTGGATGATGACCACCTACAAAAAGGGTCCAAGTCAGCGATTCTGAGATCTTGTAGTTATATGGCAATGAACGTGATCGGTCGACGTCGTATGCGAGCGCTTGTGCAGGTCTCCTTGCTCTTGTTCCATGTACATCCGGTCTCTTCGTCTCCTCGTCCGTCACCCGTGCCCCTCAATACGCATTCGTTTCGACGTCGACCAGATCCAATTCAAGGATAACATTCGAGGAATTCGTACCTTCTTGCCGGCATACCTGCCACGGGTGATGATGGCAACACGGCCAACCTTGAGGAACTTCATGATGGCTGCTGAGGTGTTGTGGTGGTTAGTAAGGTCGGAGGTGTGATGAGGGCTGGTGGTGAGTTTTTTGCTCTAGTCCGTCGCCAATCCGTGACAGGGGAATTTGGTGGAAAATTCACGGGTTTGTGGGCTTTGCATTGGGGCACGCGTGCGGCTGCGAAAAGGGTCACGTGAAGTGTGGCTGGAGCGGGAATTGAGCCTGGCACTGTGGCTGGTGCAGCGCCCCACCCATACCTGGCTCGAGCTTCTCCGTCGCTGCCAAGCTCCGATCCGGGGCTGCACTCACGATGCTTTTCTTGGGCCAGGAGGACCACGTTCGTGAAGCACCAGCTGTCTCTTGCTCCTGTCAAGGCCGTCGCCCATTCGACACTTTCACGACATAATGGCTGTACCAGCATACATCATCTCCCGGGTGGCTGATCCGATCTTCGCCGTCGCGATTGGTATTGGTGCTGCTGCCACCCGCATCAACCGCGAGGAGAAGGAAAAGGGCAAAACGAGCAGCGAGACATGGCAAACAGCTCTACGGTACGTGAGACTAAGCTCGATTGCTTCTCATTATGCTGATTACATGAAATAGTCGTATTGGCTTGTCAAAGACGTCTCCGTAGTCGATCGCGACTCAATTGCCCTACGATACCCGATTTGATTGCTATGCTAGTATCCGACATTAAAGAAACATGATTCATTCGCCAAATGATGGGCCGTACTCCTTCTTCATCGCCTCTCTCACGATCTGTCCGCACAACTTGGCTGTTGGATTGGTGCTCACGGCCAGGCCCTTTGCGATTGGATTTCCGTAACGCCCTCCTAGCGCCAGGTCTCGCGAAGCGGCTTCTTCGAACCTCAACTTGTCCCAGCTTGCCTCGTGACGCGATTCATCCATATCTAGGTCTCGATACGGCAAGAGCTTTGCTGTCTTGAGATATATCGCAGCGCGCTGTGTGTGCGCCATCGACAGTGTCCGCGACGCCTGCGGCGACATGGGCGCACTCACAGATGCAGGGGACAGCAATCGAATGGAGGTGTCGAGGTCTTGCAAAGCCGCCTTTGCGGCCATCTTCTTTTCGCTATGATCGGGGTGCTCGACTAGTGGCATCGGCATCCCCTGGATTTGAGACATGAGCATGGCATCGCCATATAACCTCCGAGCGATCTGAGCCCTGTTGTTCCGGGCACTGGCGTAATCGGGGTACTCGGCAATCAGGGCATCGAAATCGAAAGCGCACTGCTTGTACTGTGCAATGGCCGTGTCGGATGAATCCTCCGCCATGGACTGGCTGAGCTCGGTTTCCAGTCGCTGGATGTTCTGGATGATGCGGCGTTCCTGGGCGACAACTCTGTCGTAGACACTCGTGTCGACGATGTTCGGGTCACGCGGCAGGGCCTCGTCTATAAGCACACCTGCCGCGGGATTGAAGTCGGGGTCTTTGATCTTCTCGAGCACGTTCATGTCGTGCGAGGTGAGAGTGACGGCTGCCATGATGCTGGCGTTCTGTGGTTATCGCGACCAAATGATGGTTCAGTACTTGGGGACGTTGCGTGTTGCGAAGCGAAGCAAAGTTCACGAAATGTGCTATGGGTGCAAAGAAACAACAGCGTGGTCGGTCGGGTCACTTTCTACCTTATCATCAAGGAAGCGCTACGTCTTCTGCATTTTACAGCAATTCCGCCTTCAGCGCCTATCGGTCAGAAGCGCTGAAATCAAGCAGCACTATGTCGTAGGCAATGATTAATGCGGCGACAAGAACGCGCAGCGCAGTACGGCCAGGCGCGGCTTCGGTCGGTTAGCGCGGTCCACGGCGTGGTTCCGCCTCCCACCCTCCGAGTCCGAGGCCAGTCCGTCACTAATCGAGCTCGGGCTTGCTATCGCTGCTACTGCCCATTATCCACCAAGAACGGCTGCGCAAAGATGCTCTGGAGGCTGTCAATTGTGGTTTGAGTGCCGATTTGCTGGCAAGGATTTGCATGCCACGGGACATCTATCTTGCACATCGCGGCAGCAGGTACTAGCAGAATGCTACAATCGTTGCGACCATTGCTTGTGATGAATACAAGAATGATCTCACGGGCTTCTCGGCGGGCCCACGCTGAGCCGCGAAAGCCCCGTCAGTAGCCGCCGGGCGACCACCACCACCACACTCGAACACCTGTAAGGAAGAGATCACCAGATGCCGACGAGATCCATCCCCCAAGAACAAAGCTATGTGCGGACCATTTCCGAGAGGTAAAGGTTACCTTCTAGGCCTACAGGGCCCCGCTATCGCCGGCGGATGATTCGGTCAGGCATGTCACAGCCTTTGACCAGTCACTTATATACAACTGCTACGTCTGACCATCAGCAAGAAATCATCCTGAATCATAAGCAGCAGTGTTTCCATCTTAAAGAAGACTCTCGAACCCCCTCAGTGATTCAAACAACATCAGCAATCATCACAGAATCATCGGTCGAACATCCCCTTTACACAGTTCTCCTTAACCACAATGGCTCCCTCTGCGATCTCCAACTCGCCGCCATCAAGGTCGGCGGAACTCGCCACGTCGAATGATACAACATTTGCCATCCAGCCTCCTGCAAACTTCGTTGGGTACGACCACGTCACATGGTGGGTTGGCAACGCAAAGCAGGCCGCCTCGTACTACACCTCTCTCTTCGACTTCAAGCACGTTGCCTACCGCGGCCTTGAGACCGGGAGCAGGTACTTCACCTCCTACGTTATTGCGAACAATGATGTCCGCTTCGTCTTCACCTCACCCATCCGCTCCGCCGTGCACCTGCCCGCGGACGAGCCCATCTCCGAGTCGGATCTTGTGTTGCTGAAGGAGATGCACGCGCACCTGGAGAAGCACGGTGATGCTGTCAAGGACGTCGCTTTCGAGGTGGACAATGTGGAAGCCGTATACAACACGGCCGTTGAAGCAGGCGCCAAAGCTGTTCAGCCCCCGCAAGTACACAAGGACGCGGACCATGGGTCCGTGACCACCGCCTCCATCTGCACGTACGGCGACACCACACACACTCTCATCTCCCGCAACTCGTACACAGGGCCCTTCCTGCCTGGTTTCAGGGAGGGAAAGAAGCTCCAGTCCTCTGTCAGCATGCCGGAGGTACCCCTTCGCCGTGTGGATCACTGCGTCGGCAACCAGTCCTGGAACGAGATGGTGTCCGCGTGTGCCTTCTATGAGAAATGTCTCTCCTTCCACCGTTTCTGGTCCGTCGACGACTCTCAGATCTCCACGGAGTTCTCGGCGCTGAACTCGATCGTGATGGCGAGCCCCAACAACCTCGTCAAGATGCCCATCAACGAGCCTGCACCCGGCAAGAAGAAGTCCCAGATCGAGGAGTACGTCACATTCAACTCTGGCCCCGGTGTCCAGCACATTGCCCTTCTCACCAAGGACATCATCACGTCGGTCTCTGCGCTGCGCGCTCGCGGCGTGGAATTCATCAACGTCCCGCCAACCTACTATGACACCATGCGTCACCGCCTCAAGACTGAGAAGCGCAACTGGGAGCTGATGGAGGACTTTGAGACCATCCAGAAGCTCAACATCCTCATCGACTACGACGAGGGCGGCTACCTGCTCCAACTGTTCACCAAGCCTTTGATGGACAGGCCCACCGTCTTCATTGAGATCATCCAGCGAAACGAGTTTGAGGGTTTCGGCGCGGGCAACTTCAAGAGCTTGTTCGAGGCGATTGAGCGTGAGCAGGCCGAGCGTGGTAACCTGTAAACGATGGCAGGAGAGAAAAGATGAGGATATGCAAGGGGCACATTTGATGGCGCAGCGGTAGCATACTTGCTATGTTTAGTTTTCCGATACCATTCCTTCTAGCTGAGGTACCTTGTTCATACACGGAGAAGAAATGCAAATAGCGATAATTCATTTAATATTTCCCAAAAGTCCCAGTCTCCCCCGGACGTGATGCTCACTACTGTATGCTCCAAACTCCTCAACGCAATGCAATCAGATGCGACCCGTAAATGCTGTATTCTCGTCACCCGTCCACCGCCATGGGCTCATGGCCCCCGTTGACTCCGTCTTCTATCTGTGCTGGTACTGTGCTCTGGCACCCAGGACAGTTGTGTACGACGCCGTGCGCGAAGACGTCGCAGTCGATACAGAAGTGATTCCCGCACACCTCGCACGCATATCGTCCGCTCTCGCTGACACCCTTGTACTGTTTCTCTCCAGACTTTTGCCCGTCTGCTCCCGACTTGACCTCCGGGAAGGGGCACATGCACGAGAAACACGCGGTTGATTTGCCAGCATCGGCCCAAGGCACTTCTTTCCAGTTCCGCAAAGGGAAGAGATGATGGTACGATCTTGCCAGGTGCGTGCTCAGAATGAGAGTGAGGCTGCACGACGGACACTCGGCTGGCAGTCGGCACACCCTCACGCCGCAGCGCGTGCACGAGTAACCCTCCCTGACCGGCTTCGAGTGACAGGCACAATGGCTCACAGAGCCGCTCGGCGCCAGTGTCCTCGATGGGAACCCCATCATCAGCAGACTCGCCATATTCTGCTCGGCCGTGCGCGTCACGGGGGGTGTCGTAGCTGCGAGAAAGAGCTCTTTGAAATGTACCTCGTCAAGTATCACGTTGTACTGGGATTCGTCGCCGGCGTTGGTCCGAGAGCAGAGTTCGGCACAGATGGCGATATGTGCCGACAGCCCAACAATAGAGACGCGTATTCGATCGGTGATGAGGGACGAGATGGTGTCGTGGATGTCGCCAGGGTCACTGGACAGCAATGCGCCGTAGATGATCAGAACCTCTCTTGTGCCGTGGGACGGAGCATGGCTGTAGTAACTGTTAGCAAGGGATCCTGTGCCACTGGTGACCAATAAACCAAACTCACAAGAGAGCACCCCGACACATTTCCAGCGCATTCTGCAGACTCGGGTGTCCTTTCGGCTCTTCCTCCTCCAGCTTGCGCAGCTTGTCAATGTGTTCACTGGGATTTCCACCCAGATCGCTGATCCGCACCGCAACGCCGCCCTTCATGCCAATGATGCCCAGCTGTGAAATGGGGTTCTGCTCGAAAAACTCCCGGACGAACGTGACCGCGTATCGAAGCGTCAGACGGTATCGATTCGGTAGCAGGTCCTTCTCCTCCATGGCAAAGCTCATGTCCAGCACCAGGATCAAATGTCGAATGATACCCCTCTGCAGCGGCGTAGTATCTCGTAGCACGCGTCTTCGCTTCTCCGCTTCGAGGGCGGAGAGGTTGAGGATGCCGTCCTGGTCTTCGTCGGGGAGGTCCGTCTCCCATGATCGCTTCGCCGTCTCCCACTCGCGCGCCTGGTCTTTGCGATCGCGGCGCTTCTTGCGACCCTTGGGAGCACGCGACAAGGGTTTCGAGCTGTGCAGGACACGAGGATGGTCGGATGGATCGTCATCCGGATCGGGCGCGCCCACGTCATGGTCCAGCATGTCATCGGACATGTTGTCGTCGATGAACTCATCATCCGAGTCGGCAGCCATGGCGGGCGTCTAGTCGGCGTAGCTCGTAATATCGTGCCGCAGGTGAATATGTTGTTGAAAGAAAGTTTGTTCCTAGGGGAAAGGCTGTATATTTTAGGTTCAGGATGTGGGGGAGTAAGCTCTTTGGGTGCTGGACAGCGTGACGAACTGCAAAGGCACGTACGTCGGCGCACGTCTGTGACAAGGCTGTCGATCATGCTAGCCTTGCCGCTGGGTCCACCATGACTTCGGCACAGCGCCGCATGGCAGGCCACGAAGTGATCAACATGAAACTATCTGCCGTTGTTCCAGACAACATTCAAGAGAGCGGTTCAAACAATTCGCAGCCATGCTGCCTTCAGTCATCGACTTCCTGCCCATCCTGTTCAGAGGGGTATTTTCGAGAGGCATCGCAATAGAACATTGTACCTGACGCCACCCAGGCCAGGACGCACGCAAATAGTGGGCAAAATACAATGTTACAACATGAGAAGCCCATCAATGATATTACTATTTGTTCAAGCACATTGCTGCCTAGCTGAAAGGACGTAAGTCATGCACGATCTGCCTCCTTGGGTATACTACGTTACTCGTCCGCCATCTTGTAGCCAGCCCTGCTGATAGACATCAAATCCAGACACACACAAATACTATACTTCCACTCATGGGACCGTCCTTGTGCGAGCTGCGCGCGTGGATCCACGTCCTCCTTCAAGCGCCGATGCGCATCGTCCCTGGGCACAAATCCGGCATGCCTTGCAAGCGTTGTCGAAACGAGCATGATTGTGTGAAATTTCGTTGTCGCCGGCGATTACATAGGGACATTTGGTGAGAACGGTGAGTCGATGCTGCTACCATCCATAAACGCCAAGTTAAATAGATAAAAGAGATAGAGGCTGCGTGTTCTCCAATGTTTCAAGGATATGTCGTACCGACAGGCATCGGCCAGTCGTCCTCCGTGATGCTTGACCAGAAAATCCAGACGGCAACCACGGACAGATAAGTGAACAGCGTTTCAAACATGGAGCCGTCGATCTTGCCGTTGGTTCCGTCGCAGATGTACTTGCTGACAACGTAGTTGAAGACCTGCCCAGCGGCGAAAAGTACTGCAGCAGCAGTGAGGTAGATCATGGGCCGAGTCTCGCCCAGTACTCGAAGGACGAGGATGGCCTCGAGCACATAAAAGGCGACGAGGAAGATAAGAGGGACCAGTTGGTAGAGGACGTAAAGGGCAATGTGGCGGTTATCCCCCTTATAGCTGTCCTCCCAATAGCCAGTGAAGTCGAATCCTGTATCCAGGGCGATGTAACCGGTACCGACGAATAAGGCGGCTGCCGTGATTAGGCAAAGACCGAGGGACAAAGCGGTGCCGTCGTCGATAAACTGGTATCCAATCAGAGCGTTCATCACAAGAATCCACGTAGTTGCAACGATGGCGCCAATGTGCACGGCGGTGAATCCCTGCGTCTATGTCAGTGTCTCGGTCCCTTCAAAGCAACACCAAGCTGACGTACATCGCGAGCACTCTTGGGAAAGGGGAATTCGCCGACCGAGAAAATCTCGCAGATGCTGATAATGATGTAGCCCAGCAAAAACAGCTGCATTTCCCTGATGTATGTTAGTATTGCGGTTGTTTAGCCCAGCCAGCTAGGGTATCAAGAACCTTCGCCCAACAGCCGCCTTCTTCTTCTCCGACTTGAGCAGCAGAAAAAGAGACGTAATGATTGCGAGGCCGCAGAGGAGAATAGCGCCAAGGTTGCCCAGTTTCCTGTCGCCCGATAGCGATATACCCTTCAGCTCACAGCCACCCCACGGTCCATCTTGACCATTTTGGTTTGACAAGATCTGTTATGCAAAATGATCAGCCAACGAGTTTTTCCAAGCACAAGGGGCTCGCGCGCGCTATGATTGTGGAATTCGACACTGAAGCTTCGACTGGGGGAGTATAGGATCGAAGTGGTCTCGAGTTTTGGGTTGACGTACGTTGCAAATTGGTAGGGTCGAGTCTCTGCAGAAGTCCTATAATCGCAAAGGGCCCAGGTCAGCCATTGACGGTTCACGAGGCGATCCAGGTTCATGGAGAGGCACGACGAACGTGAAAGTTGCCAAACTCGGTTGACCCCATCGTGACTGCAGACGCCCCCCGAGGCGCAACAAGACGCAGCCGCGCGCCTGATCGGAGACGGGAGAGTGTGTATAGGTTGTTCGACAAGAGAAGCTTTGCTCAGTCGACTGAACGAGCGTGTCAACGTGAGGAAGCCACTCGATTGCTGAAGAGCTTTGGACGGCGGATGCGAATGGAGACTGGACCACAAGGAGAGTGAAGGAGAGTCAAAAACGGGGGCGCACGCGTGCCGTCCTGGTCCAGAGAGACTCAGCGACACGACTGGGACTTCTTCAGGCGCAGCAGAGACAGATCGCTCCTGGGAAGTGGTAATTTCCCAACTGGCCCCGTAGTTCGATCCGTCCGGGGTGGGTTCCACAGTTCCTCGCACCGTCTCAGGCTGACTCGATACGGCAATTGTCGCTTAACACGGTTCGGTGAGAAATCTAGCTGGACAATGTACAAGATGGTGAAGCGATTGTCGTTCAATGTGATTGATTGAAGTGCGGACAGAGTTACGAGACAAGCTGTGCAAAGGAAAGCCGCGCATCGAAACACTTCAATGTGGATGGATGGGCGACAGGACAGGACAGGGAGGGCCATGCCGCCGAGAAGAAAAGCCGGTTTCTGAGCTCATAAAGTCCAGCTCTTGCTTGATCGGTTGCTGGGCGATGTAAACTTCTTGGTGTGGACTCCATGTCCTTGGCTTCTGCCAAACGACACAGGCTAGGGCCGCCAGGCACCGTGGACGGTGGGTCTTTGGGGCAGGAACGACCATCTCAGTGGCTGATCAACGTTGCCAGCAATCTCTAAAATCGTGTCTACGCACGCTCATTGGCGCATTCCAAAGATATTGGAGCAGCGTTAAGGTCAGGGTCGACACTCCAGTGTGCCTGAATTGTTGCCGTTCACACTGTGAAGACTAGACGCCGGTCTTGGCGAGGTGGGATCCTTGGAACGTGAGACAATCTTCAGCCATGACATCGTTTCGACCTCTTGGAATGCATCATTGCCATGTAATATGGGCGCGAGCTACGCGTCAATTGTACTCATACACCTGCGTAACGCGTTCAGCCCCAAATGAAGCGTGTTATCTGTTGTAGTTGCCTGACGAGTTGACACTGCATCACCGCTCTGATACTTGGAGGTCTTGTAACATCATAGGGCATATTTTATGCACGATGTGCTGGATCGCCCATCATGAGCCGCGCAGCTCGATCTCATCCATGATTATCACAGCCAATGTTCAGCCACAGCACAGGAGCGGAGTTTCCTCCAAGAAATCAATGGTTTTGGTCTCAGATATCCGAAGATACAGTGCACGACATGCTTGGCCATGACAAAAAGCCACAGTCGACCTTGACGAGTGCAGTACAGATCCCAGTGCCTCAAGCGCAGTATGCATTCGTCAATCGTCGATATGTGTAAATGTCCACAGGGTATATTCAATGAGCATTAATATGTTGGTGCTTTGGTTGGTGCTTGGGTTCATTTCGTCTTTCTCCTCGCCTTGAAAGTCTTCAAGGGATCCCCTTTCCGTGATCCGGCTCTGAAACTCTTCTTGCCCTTCTTCTGCCTCCTGTCTCCCTTCTTTCTCATCGGCACGAAACCAATCTCTTCCGAGGTCAAGCCTTTTTTGCCTTCCTTGGGGAGGAGATACTCGGGTACGTGCTTCAGATGCGGCTGCGATCTCGCCGTGCGTAGCTCACCGTCATGGCGAACGTGACTCAGCTCGTTCGGATTCTCCTCGAAATATCTAAGAATTGTTGTTAGTGAGGTGACTCTGTATCATTTCCATGGCTGTACGAACCTCTTGAGCTTCTCGCTCTTGAGCAGCTCTTGCCTCAGCTCACGCGTCCGCGCCTCACGGACAGCGACCTTGGTGACGGCACGTAATGCGTCGTTCATGCGGTACCGGAAAGCTTCCACCTGCTCCTTGTTGAAGTTGTAGTCCTTGACTTCCTTGCCCTTCTTCTTTTGCTGGCGGATGATTTTGGCGAGTACTCGCTCGTCGTTCTCCGCCGTCTTGACTGTGGTGGGCATGTGCTTGCGGTAGAGGCTCTCGGGAATGACAAACGAGAGCGCCATGCCATTCTTGCCGGCACGAGCTGTGCGGCCAATGCGGTGAGTATAGGACGAAGCAGTCGTGGGGAGATCAAAGTTGATGACGGTGGCGACGTTCTTGAAGTCGATGCCGCGCGAGACACCATACTCGGAGTCGCGCTTGGCAGTTTTTCTCTTCTTCGAGGGTCGCTTGCCGTCCGCATCCTTCTCGGTCTCTGCGCCCACCTTGCCTCCTTCACCATCCTCGTCATCATCCTCGGCGTCGACGTTGAGCATTTCACTCTTCTCATCGGAAGCGATGATGATGTCGTAGACATTGAGGTTGAACTCTTCGACAACGTGGATCCTGGAGTTGACTGGGAGTTCCGAGTTGAGAATACAGCTGCGAATGCCGAATTGCTCGAAGAAAAGCTTCAGACGATATGATCGATCAATGTCTGCGACGAAGATGATGCATTTCCCCTTGATGAGCTGGAGCTTGAAGATGACATAGGCCATCAAGAACTTCTCGTCCTCTCCACATTTGGTAACATAATGGGTGATGCCCTCGCCGTCGGCCTCAGGTTCCTCCAAGTCCAGCAGTGTTGGCTCGCGATAGAATATGCTCTTCAACGCATCGACCTCCGAAGACAGGGTTGCGCTCATCATGACAGTCTGCACGCCCTTGGGTATCGACCGCGATAGGTTGTCCATGTCCTCTGTGTAGCCATAAGACAAGATCAGGTCTGCCTCGTCAAGGACAAGAAATTTCAGGTTTTCCAGCGAGAGAGCTGACGAATTGACATTGTTCCATGCTCTGGCGGGCGTCGATATGACAATGTCGGGCGAGTTGGACAGCAAGCTCCTTTGCACAGCATCGGACAGCTTGTCCGTGAGCTTGACAGTCTGCAGATCTTTGGCGCAGAATGCGGAGAATTGCTCTATGGATTTGAAGACCTGATCTGCCAGCTCGCGCGTGGGCACGAGCACGAGCGCCGAGGTTGATGGTGCTGATGAACTCTGCTTCTTCTTCAGGATTGACGCGAGTAGCGGCAGAACGTATGCCGCCGTCTTCCCCGAGCCCGTCTTGGCTTTGCAAATGACATCTTGACCAGCGAGACCCAAGGGAATCGCCTTGCGCTGGACAAGCGTGGGCTTCTCGTAGTTCTGCTTGGCGACCGCTTGTAGCAGTCGGGGATCGAGGCCAAAGTCGGCGAACGAGATGTTCTCCTCGGACACGGGCGCTTTACTTGGTTCGTCGGATTCGGGTACAGTCGCCGGCCGGTCGTTCTGATCGAGCTTGCGCTTCATTGTGAATGTGTGATACGGGGTATCGTGGATTCTGTTGGGGTTTGGTGTGGTCGATAGAAACGCTCTCTGCTGCAGGCTCTGGAAATTTTCCAGGCAAAGGCTCTGGACTTTTTTTCTGGGGTGCTGCACGGGTGCGGGGCTGTTGGCTTCACCTAGTGCGCTGCGGTTTGACATACCCTATGCTCGACATTGATCTGCTCCAAGGAGCACAGCACACGAGACAAGACAATTTAACTGGCATCTCTCGCATGATAACCAGAATGTATGGATGCCTCTCCTGGATTTTAAAGTTGTGGCTTTTAAGTGAACAAGCGGAAGCAGGGTGATAGCTTGAAATGTCAAACGTGGGGATCATACACCATTGTGTTGATTTAACATCAACCAGATGAAATAGTCGTGCCAGCATTTACACAATCAGCGAATTATGCGCTGATCAAGACCGAGGGTAGACACACAATGAGATGTTGATTCAATCTGATCAACAAAGGTTCATTTGCAAGTGTCTGGCCTGTGATTCACGACTGCTTCCAGGACACTGTAAAGCAACATGTCATATATGAACCATCACCATGGGATGGCCGCATATTTTTATGGCCAACTCGGATAGTTATTGGGAAGAATTTTTGTCTGCAAAGGCCGAGCTTGGAGGATAGATGGACGCCGAACCTATCCACTTGATTTAAGTTTGTGTTAGCATAGTACGCTTTGTCGAAACCGCGGTGAGTAGCCGTAGGCCAGCACACGCCTCAACATGAAGCCAAGCTTTCCGAATTGAGCCAAATATCCCCCAGAAGTGTATAGCGGCAGTAAATCCTCTCAAGTTGGATCGGGAATGTAGAACCACGTGGCACTGGTTTGCCGCAGATCAAGAATCCCAGCACCTGCTCGTGGCGTGGTGCCACCACCATACGTATGCTCATGCGAATTCCGACTGAACCTTTAAGACGGCATCTCCAGTGAAACATGGCCTCACCATGATCCCCCGTGTTTAGTTGAATATTGATATCAAATCGGTAGACGTAGACAAGTGCCCGGCATATCGGCCCCGCTTTGACGGAAACCAGGCCCGGCAACGGCCCGTTGAATATACGGAGGTTCACGGCATGAGACCGATAAGCCGGGGGTTCTTCCTCTCAACGGTCGAAGCCACCTATCTATATAGCACACGGCTGTTAGCCTGTTAGTACGGAGTAGTCCCTGAGGTATCTCTGGACCAGGCCCGTTCGGCAATCTTCGTGTTCACCCAGTGCCGCGACGCACATGCATATTTGTGCCGACGTTCATGTTTTAAAACGACAGTTTGGCACCAAGGTGGATTCCACGTTGACACATGTTTTGCTGCGTAATGTCACTGTGCTGAAGCGTCGTCAAATGAAAAGACACCTTCCCTACTACGTACTTCAATGGTAATTACCTACACCTACAGACTCCTCACGGTGCATCCCAAAGGGCCACAGCTGCTGCTGCAGTCTGACGTCGACGCCCCCACACGCGACTCAGGCCGTGTCGACTTTGTGCTCTGGCATGAAGTTTTCTGCATTCAGCCTCAATTCAAAGCTCCACGTGAGACTTTCACGGTGTGTCACGCTTGTCAGTTTAATGCGGGACCAACATCCTGTCGACGACGTTATTGTTGCTTTCGAACCAGCAGTACAATCTAATTAGGCCACCGTCTACATGTACGTAGTGCGCTTGTGTGTTTCCGTTAGTCTGTCAGCCTTATTCGTTAGCATAGTGGTATCAAACCGGTGAATATGTATTCACGACGGGCTTCAAATTAATTACACGACATGAGGCCAATTTTCCTTATCTGTGATTTACTTGTACAACTGCCTGCGCTGAGGTGGCAGCAAGGCTTGAGGCGCGTAGCCCCTGTCGCAGTGGAAAAACGCCATCCCGTCCCCTGAGTGCGCACCCGTCGCCGTTTGCGCCGAGCAGCCAGCTCAGACTGGGTCCCGTTCGTTCATTGCACTGAAATTGAGAGATTGAGAAACGTCTTCTTCCTCATCAATTCATCTCGAGAAACTGTGTCTCTTCACATGCGCAACACCGTTTGATCCCGCGTCCAGTGGTTCACCTGAGCTCACCCTTAGTCAATCTTTCCTGCACTTGTGGCATCCGCGTGTCTTAACCGCCCCGACCGCCCCAACCCACTTCAACGTCTCATGACCTTCGAGGTCAGTCGCGCTTTTTTTATTCATCAGTTCCCCAACCCCCAGATCCAGCTCCCAGCTCCCTATTAGCCTTGTGCGTCTACTCCGCTTCTGGGCATCATCGTGCAGGCGTCAACGCGACCTCCACGACCCCGGACCATTGGTCAGGCAGGGTACCTGGAGCTCTTGTCGGGCGATTGCGAGGTGTCACCAGTGCGTTTTCCCTGGTGGTCATCGGTCGAGGTCTCTCGGCTCACCTGAGATAGCCGGCTGCCTCCCGCACTGTGCACACACACTCCATACCCATAGGGAAGACAGTGCGAATAGTTTCACCTGCTAACAGAGATAAGCAACCAGCTGAGGCCGAGCGATAGCAGCTGGTCAAACAGTGTCTCGTCACGGGGCCCATAATTTCGTCTCCGCCAAGCACCTGCCGCCGACGTTGAGCGTCCAGTCGTGCTCCAGCCTCCGCGTGCCGCTCCAGTCTAGCCAGTCCAGTCCTCTCCAGGTTCCTCTCCGCCGTCCGCTGCAGCGTCCTTTTCGTCAAGGGCTGGCTTGATCTTTTCTCCATTCCCTTTTCCCTCTTCTCCCTCTTTATTGTTTTGCAGGCGGGCGCTGCTGCTTTACAGCCCCATAACCACCCATCATTCCCTCGCACAACCCTTCCCGTCTTCCTTCCAACATCCCCCTCCGCACCCTGCCCTCCCGTTCGGGCCACCACGATAGCGACCACACCTCGACGTCATTGCTAGCGTCCCACCAACACACCCAGGGCTCCAACGCCCGCTACAGCGACTACGACCAGCATCAGCCAGACTCTTCATCACGGCACCGTCTGTCCGAGTCGGGGTCCGAGTCATCGTGGACGGACACGGGGGACATTGGTGAGCAGAAGGACGACGACGACCCGGTCCGGCTCCAGCTCTCCAACGACATTGAGGACGAGCTTCTCGCGGGCGTCAACCACCGAAACCGCAGCATCAAGACTCAGAAGAAAGTTCGCATCCAGGATCCTCACTCAGGACATCCAAGGCGCCCGCAATCACCCCCGGCTGTCATTGACAAGGAGGCCATCGAAGTCCCTCACGTTACCGTCCAAAAACCAAGTGCCGCCAGTCGCTGTCTAGGTTTCATCATGGCGGGACGAATGGGTGCCGTGCATGGCCTGACGGGCAAGCCCCTGCTCTACTTCACGAGTATCTTTGTGTCTCTGGGTGTGTTCTTGTTCGGCTATGACCAAGGCGTCATGTCGGGTATCATCACGTAGGTTTCTCGCTGACACACTGTCAATGGATCATGCTGACTGGACGCAGAGGCCCGTACTTCATTGACTACTTCGACCAACCCTCTCGAGCCCATGTCGGCACCATGGTAGCCATCCTCGAGATTGGCGCTCTAATATCGTCGCTGGCAGTAGGCCGTATCGGCGATGTAATCGGACGCCGCAGGACCATCTTCTATGGCTCCTGCGTTTTCCTCGTCGGTGGTGCGCTCCAGACCTTGGCGGTCAACATGACCGTCATGATGGTGGGCCGCCTCATTGCAGGTTTCGGCGTTGGTGCTCTGTCGACGATTGTCCCTGTATACCAGAGCGAGATCTCGCCGCCACACAACCGCGGCAAGTTGGCATGCATTGAGTTCTCCGGCAACATCATTGGCTACACTACCTCGGTGTGGGTAGATTACGGCTGTGGCTTCATCGAGAGCAACATGTCTTGGCGCGTACCGCTGTTCATGCAGTGCATCATGGGTGCACTGCTTGGACTGGGAAGTCTTATCATTGTGGAGTCGCCACGATGGCTTCTTGACAACGACCACGACGAAGAGGGCATGGTGGTCATTGCCAATCTTTACGGAGGTGGTGATATCCACAATACCAAGGCCCGCGACGAGTACCGCGAGATCAAGATGAACGTCTTGCTCCAGCGCCAGGAGGGTGAGCGATCTTACCGTGACATGTTCGCTCGCTACTCTCAGCGAGTCTTCATCGCCATGTCTGCGCAAGGTCTGGCTCAGCTCAACGGCATCAATGTCATCTCATACTATGCGCCTTATGTTTTCGAGTCAGCAGGCTGGGTAGGCCACGACGCTGTTCTGATGACAGGCCTCAACGGCATCACCTACTTCCTCTCCACCATCCCGCCGTGGTATCTCGTCGACAAGTGGGGCCGTCGCAACATCTTGCTCTCAGGTGCAGTCGCAATGGCCGTCTCCCTCTCCCTTATATCGTACTTCATCTACCTCGATATCAAGTGGACGCCAAGGCTGGTAGTCTTGTTCGTCATGATCTACAATGCCGCCTTCGGTTATTCGTGGGGTCCGATTCCTTGGCTGTACCCACCGGAGATCCTGCCTCTCAGCGTCCGTTCAAAGGGTGCTAGTCTGTCCACTGCGACCAACTGGGCCTTCAACTGGCTGGTCGGAGAGATGACGCCCATTCTCCAAGAGTGGATCAAATGGCGCCTCTATCTTGTGCATGCTTTCTTCTGCGTTTGCAGTTTTGTCATTGGTAAGTCATCCTGAAAGGGCCACCGTGATGTAATCATGTAGCTGACACCTCTGCTAGTTTGGTTTATCTACCCCGAGACGGCTGGTCTGACACTAGAGAACATGAACTCCGTATTCGGCGATGGATCCACTGTAATGGGCACCCCGTCTCTCCATGGCGACGAGACTGGTTCGCTCATGCCAGGCTCGCCTACTGAGTCTGCCCGTGGCGGACCGGCTGGTTTACCCAACTTCAACCTCGACGGCGACATGGACGAAGACAATAAGTCACAGATCCAGACCTCCGGGGGCGAGGACCGTAGCGTCGGTGGCTGGCTGTCACGTGTAGTCGGACGTGGACGCGCCGACAGCAATGGCAGTGGCCAGGGACGATACACTGCGATTGGTCAGAATGAAGAAGGCGGACGCAACGACAGTGCCAGCGGCCGCAACATCTAACGATGCCGAAGGATCAGCTGAACGACCCTCGTGTTGCATATAGAAAATATATTGGACACGCACAGCATGCTGGTATCACGCAAGTGAATGCCACCAGGGGCTGCGCAACTTCCACAAGCTTCAGAGCGTGGCGGCGCCACGATGAGACGCCGTGCACCAGGCGTCTGGGGACGGATGGCATATTGATCGCATTTAGACTGTGGATTTTCATGTTGGTGTGGACGCGCCTGCGCAACTCGTGAGCAGGCCAGACTCTGGTAGAGAATACTGGTAGAGAGAAATAGAGTACAGCTCTTTGTACATAGCTTTTTGTATGAGGACGATTACTTGTGTGTGTGTGTGTGTGTGTTGTACTTGTCTGCATTTTCATGGTGATGAAGCGAGGATGTCTGTGCTGACTCATCCGCCAACCTTCCATTTGAATCTCAACCACAGCCCGAGACTTTTCTCTTCAAGCGACAACGACCATGTCGACTTCAGAAATCGTACAAGCATATCGCACGCTTCACCGGAAACTCCTACAAGGCGTGCAATATGCCCGCCCCGCGCGTTACACTGTGATACAAGCTCTGCGCTCTGCCTTTCGTGAGCCGAAAGCACAGTTCGATAGAGAGGCCATCAAACGAACAACTTGGTTTCTTGAAGCAGCAGCGAAAGAGAGGGGCATTGAGCACCAGATATTGAAAAACCTGGTCAAAGTTCGAGGCTTGAGGGGCAAAAAGGAGCCGTGGCGGAAGATGTATAATGAGAGTCTCAGCAAGAGGCCGTAAGTTGGCAAGACGAAGAAGCGAGGAGCCCAAAGCGCTAATCCGTGGTAGTGATATCAGCAAAGACAATGCGTATCTGCATTACGACATGACAGTCGCCATGTTGAATAAGACTATGGGTTTGTGTCTACGGTAAATACGGAGTAGCGGGTGGTTGATCGAGCACATTGCAATGTAACATTGCTACGGCACTTGGCGCAATTCTGGCACAGCAGGTAACAAAGGGATTCACCGGAACTGTAGGAACCAAATATTTAGAAGGAGGCTTCGTGCATTCGATGATGCAACTCCCTTCCGAATGCCATGCTGAAACTCCAAGCTATGCCATTTAGTGATACAAGCGATTGATACATGTGCGCTAGACCGCAGGCCCCAGAGGCTTCTAACCGTTGAGAGGCTCTTGCAGGTCATAGCCCAACTCTTCCAGTATCAGGCTGTCCAGCGTTGACCCGTCGCGGGCGTACACCCAGTGTCCTGTCGCGGTGCCCTCCTTGTCATTTTGACCGTCGCCAAAAATGCACCAGTCGTACCTTTTGGGGCCCGAGATTGGCGAAGAGAGCCAAATTTGTTTGTTTGGCGGTTGCTTGTTGAGCACATACGTGCCCTTCTCAGGCACGCGGATCGTCATTACGCCAGACTATCACATGTTTGTTAGCAACGTAGAGCTACCTTGGAAGATAGGAGGGGCATACGGCGAATTCCACATCAATCTCGTCGGCCTGGTCTTGAATCTCTTCAAACTTCGCTAGCGCACGATCGAGGTAATGGTCTGCAACTTCGTGGTATTCCGCTTCGGTGAGCTCGACTGGCTTCGCGGGACCACTGGAGGTTGTATCTGTCGAGTGCTTCGCAGGGTGCTCGGTATCGGGCATAATGCCCTTGAATCGCGGGGCGCACGTGGAGAAGGAAGAGAGACGAGCTGATGAGGCGACTGGCCTGTAGGCGTGCGATGAAAGGTTGGCAGGTCGAGCAGTGTTGGAGTTCCGCGCAATGCGCAACAGGGCCCTTAGCGACGGGCGAAGATTCGTGCGAGACATGGCAAAAGATCGTTTGAGATGCGCCCGTTGTGTTCGGTTCGTGAATGTGCGGATGGGCAAAACACCGTATGCGGTCATGAGTTGAGGAAACAAAGCTGTCGGCAATTGAGTGTGCCTAGACCATCAGCGGTGCCGAACAAGGGCCGCCAAGCGTGACGCGCTCCATGCAGGAGCTCTCACCAACCCCACCACGTCGACCCCAACCCTCTATCATCACTTGTTAATTAATTCATTACTTCTTAGGGCACCGAACTGCGCAAGGTGCGACGACGCTTACCTCTGCCATTATGATCAACGCATTTCTAGTGTTCAACGGACAGGGCCAGCCTCGTTTGACAAAGTTCTACACGCAGCTTGTACGCCGCTCCTGAAACGGCAACCAAGCGCCACGACATGCGACTGACCTTCTCACAGGAAACAAGCATACAGCAGCGGTTGATCTCGGAGATCTTTACACTTGTAAACAATCGACCCGCTGGATCGTGCAACTTCCTACCGCTACCACCCCTGCTCGCCGCATCGGGGACTTCACAGACCTCCTCGGAGGAGCAGAACGACGTTCCAACCCTAGTGACGTACCGTTCCTATGCGACCCTATTCTTCATCATCATATCGACATCGACCGAATCACCACTCGCCCTAATCGATCTCATCCAAGTCTACGTCGAAGCGCTGGATAAGCTCTTTGAGAATGTGTGCGAGCTGGACCTCATATTCAACTTCGAAACGCTGCACGCGACACTGTCGGAGATGATCATAGGCGGGGTGGTCATCGAAACAAATCTGGACCGCATAGTATCTGGCGTCAAGGCCCAGGGCACTGTGGCGAAAAGACCGGTGAACGAGGGCCGGAGTACTGGTGTCGGCGCAGGGCTGGGCATGGGCTCGAATTTCGCGTGGACCGGACGGTGACAGAGAAATAATGATTTGCGATTTGCTCGAAGCGTCATATATACCCGCGTACCAACAAATAAGATTTTACACCACAACGCCGGGGAATGCAAGAATATTGTACATGGAGTTGTTATGGCTTGGGCGCAGGTTCAGAGCTTTTGGGGTTGATGGGAGGCGCATCTCTACGCCGCTCATACCGTTTCTCCGGGTCCATGACACCGAAGATGGTGCCGACTTTCGCGACAATCTAACTTGTCAGCATAGGACATATCATTTTGTATGTAAAGACTCCTTACCTCGTCAGCTGGCTTGTACTTCTGGCCATAGAACTCCATTTCTGCGAAGAAGAGCGCGTAGATCAAGGCAGCTGCTACTGGTCAGCACCTACGGTAACAGAGTACGTCTTGAGCAGCGTTACGAACCCGACACCATTGTAAACCGCAGTATCTTCGTGCCCCTGTCCCATTTTTCAGAGTACTGCGACTGCACCACCCTTCGCTTGTACTTCTTTTCGAACCGCAGCTGCTGCTGTGGCGTCAAGTCGGCAAAGTTGGGCGGCCATACTTTCTTCGCTCTGTAAGGGTTGTTGGCGATTGTCAACTTCGACCGTGACGCGGACGTCGGCGCAGATGTCTCAGCTGCTTGCGCCAGCCTTCGAAGAGTAGTCCGGAACATCTTGGTGAATGGCCGACAGTCGCCAGCGACACTTGGATTCAGTGGTTGAAAGCCGCGTTGCGTGCGATTCGCATCGACGCAAGGATGTGGCTGACCAATGGCTCACCAGCCACACCTAGTCCCTTAGCGCCACTCAACCCCTGCAAAAATGCCCCGCGATGAATTTCCACCCCTCCTCGCTCTGTTTGGTTGTGAAGGACCTCTCTCGTGACTCAGATTTTCTTCCAAGGGAGTCCATCAGTCAAGTCATCCTTGGTTCTGGCTCCGGTAACCTTTCGAACCTTACGTGCGTTCTCTGAGTTACCGCACGAATCACGTTCAAGATGGCTACGACAAGTGCTGTCCCCGAGGCTCTGGAGAACCTGCACATCTCCAAGACCAAGGAGCTCAAAGGTGTAAGTACTGGATTTGTTTTTTGCGAAGATTTATCGGCTCACGCCTACCAGACCGAGAAGCGCGATACTCTAATCGCCATCGAGAAGAAGTACCAAGCGAAATGGCAAGAAGAAGGCATCTTCCAGGCCAATGCGCCAACGACAACTGAAGTGCCCCTGCACTCGATTTCTGCCGCCGAGCTTCGCGAAAAAGAGCCCAAGTGGTTTGGAACCATGGCCTACCCATACATGAATGGCACTCTGCACGCAGGTCACTCGTTCTCCGTCAGCAAAGTCGAGTTTGGCGCTGGTGTTGCTGCCATGCAGGGCAAGCGCGCTCTGTTCCCCATGGGTTTCCACTGCACCGGCATGCCCATCAAGGCATGCGCAGATAAGCTAGTGAACGAGGTCAAGATGTTCGGCAAGGACTTTTCGGGCTACAAGGCACCCACCGAGGCTGTTATCGAAGAGAATAAGCCGGAGCAGGCGAAGAGAGAGGATGTCACCAAGTTCACAGCGAAGAAAGGCAAGGCCGCGGCCAAGCAGGTGAAGATGCAGTACCAGTTCCAGATCATGCAGGCGGTCGGTGTACCGACAGAAGATATTCATCTCTTCGCTGACCCTCAGCACTGGCTGAAGCACTTCCCACCCCTGACGATACGCGACCTCACCAACTTTGGATGCCGAGTGGATTGGAGACGATCTTTCGTGACGACCGACGCGAACCCCTACTACGATGCGTTTGTCCGATGGCAAATGAACCGTCTGAAGGAACTCGAAAAGATCAAGTTCGGAAAGCGATACACCATCTACTCGATCAAGGATGGCCAGCCGTGCATGGACCACGACCGCGCAGAAGGTGAAGGCGTTGGTCCTCAAGAGTACACAGCCCTGAAGCTCAAAGTCAAGACATGGGCAGACAAAGCTGGGGAGATCATCAACGGCCTCAAGCTCGAGGGCGCCAACTTCTACCTGGTTCCCGCCACGCTACGCCCGGAAACGATGTACGGCCAGACCTGCTGCTTCGTCGGTCCCAAGATCAACTACGGAGTTTTCAAAGTTAACGACAACGATTACTTTGTGATCACCAACCGGGCTGCCCGCAACATGGCGTACCAAGGCGTGTTCGCCAAGGAGGGAAACATTGAACAAGTTGCTGAAATTCAGGGTGCCGATCTCGTAGGCACCTTGGTGAATGCCCCTCTCTCGATCCACAAGGAGGGTGTTCGAGTCCTCCCCATGGAGACTGTACTGCCCACAAAGGGTACTGGTGTCGTTACTTCGGTGCCCTCAGACAGCCCTGATGACTACGCTACCATCATGGACCTTGCGAAGAAGGCTGAATACTATGGTATTCAGAAGGAGTGGGCGGAGCTCGAGATTCCTGCTATCATCAACACTCCCTCATACGGCGACAAGTGCGCCGAATTTCTTGTCAAGAAGCTCAAGATCTCGTCGCCCAAAGACACCAAGCAGCTAGAAGAGGCCAAGGAGCTCGCCTACAAGGAGGGCTTTTACCAGGGAACCATGGTCATTGGTGAATTCAAGGGTGAAAAGGTTGAGACCGCCAAGCCCAAGGTCAGGAAGCAGCTCATCGAGGCTGAAGAGGCATTTGTATACTCTGAGCCTGAACGCAAGGTTGTCTCCCGTTCCGCAGACGAGTGCATCGTGTCTCTCATGGACCAGTGGTACCTTGACTACGGCGAGGAGTCATGGAAGCAGACTGCCCTCAAGTGGGTTGAGAATAAGGATGGCAAGGGCATGGACACCTACTACGTCGAGACCAAGAACATGTTCGAGGGGTCCTTGAACTGGCTCAACCAGTGGGCGTGTGCTCGCTCCTTTGGCCTTGGGTCCAAGTTGCCCTGGGATCCGCAGTTCCTCGTGGAGAGTCTGAGTGACTCGACCATCTACATGGCCTACTACACGATCGCTCACTACCTTCACAAGGACATCTTCGGCCGTGAGAAGGGTCTTGGTAACGTTGGCCCCGAACAGATGACCGACGAAGTCTGGGATTACGTGTTCTGCCGCAAGGATCTCGACGACAAGATTCTCAGCGAGTCCAAGATCCCCAAGGAGACTCTGGAGAGCATGCGCCGCGAGTTCGAGTACTTCTACCCCCTCGACCTGCGAACATCGGGCAAGGATCTCATCCCTAACCACTTGACCTTCTTCCTCTACGTGCACCTGGCCATATTCCCGCCCGAGTACTGGCCCAGGAGTGTTCGCACCAACGGTCATCTCATGCTCAACGGCGAAAAGATGAGCAAGAGTACCGGTAACTTCATGACGCTGCACGAGATGACTGCCAAGTATGGTGCTGATGCTTCGCGTATCGCCCTGGCCGACGCCGGCGACGGCTCGAATGACGCCAACTTTGAGGAGGATGTTGCCGATAACAACATTCTGCGTCTGTTCAACCTCCGCGAGTGGTGCGAGGAGCAGGTTAGGGACCAGGACCAGCGTCGCTCCGGAGAGCTCAACAGCTTCCAAGATGCCCTCTTCCAGAACGACATGAATGCCATTGGCCGCGAAGCCGTTGAGCAATACACTGCCACCAACTACAAGCTTGCCCTCAAGGCTGCTCTGTACGAGCTCATCAGCGCTCGTGACTTTTACCGCGAGGCTTGCGCAGCCGGTGGCATTGAGATGCACAAGGATCTCGTCCTGCGTTACGTTGAGCTGCAGACCCTATTGTTGGCTGTCGTTGCTCCTCACTGGGCCGAATACATGTGGCTAGAGGTCCTCAAGAAGCCAGAGACTATTCACCGGGCTCGCTTCCCGGTGCTCCCCGACGTTGACGCGACGCTATCGACCAAGCGCGATTACGTTCGTAACACCGCCTCCAGCGTCACCTCCGCCGAAGGGCAGCAGTTGAAGAAGAAGGCCAAGGGCAAGGAGACCTCGTTCGATCCCCGCAAGCCCAGGAAGCTTACCGTTTTCATGACCACCACCTGGCCGTCGTGGCAGGCCAAGTACATTGACCTGCTCAAGGAGATGTGGGATCCCGCCACGCAGTCGATCAACGACAAGGAGCTGGGTGCCAAGATTGGTAAGATGGGCGAGATGAAGAAGGCCATGCCCTACGTGCAGGGCCTCAAGAAGAGGCTGCAGAGCGGTGAACCAGCGGACGTTGTCCTGGCACAGAAGCTAGGGTTCGACGAGAAGGAGACACTGCTGCAGATGGTGCCTGGCCTGGAGAGGACCTCGGGTCTGACAGCTTGCGATATTCTGGAAGTCGGCGAGAGTGGGAAGAAGGGAGTCAACGCGGCCACTGGCCAGGAGGTGGAAGTCACGGTGCCCTTGGCGGAGAATGCGCGCCCCGGCCACCCAACGTTCTTCTTTGAGAATGTCCAGGCATAGAGTAGAGATAGATGATGGCATGTTTGGTAGATGCGTAAAAGATAGCCTTTGTGTATACAACTATGACCTCGATGGAAAATGGCTGCGATTGGCCGTTCTAGACCGAGTAAAAAAAATGAGTCTGCTTTACGGGTACTGTATTCCCTCGCGATGCCGTGTGTCTTGTCTGATTGCAAGCTTAAGCAATTGGTGATGAGTCCAGTCTGCGACTACATGAGTGTCCAGAACGACGTTGCTAATGGATCTCTTCCAGATAGCCAACCAGACATTCAGAAAGCCCTCAACGTCATTAGGGGCATTCGGTAACAAGCAAGGTCTGAACCGTCTGGTAGCCTTGCATCCATGATCCTTTACGCGTCGCGCGGCTGACGCGGCTCTAAAGGTGCTGCATCGCACTACGTCACTTCGCGACTGAACAAGAAAGGAAGCATGCACGGCATATCAACCCTTGTGCATCGACGAACAGGGATAGCTCCCCGCGCAAGATAAGAAGCTGATACCAAAATATTGAGCTTGAGCTTCTCAGAAGAGCTAGAACTTGGAATACATAGCCAAATCAATTGTTGCTGCTGTCAGATTTCTGTAGTTTGCAGACTCATTTTGACAGGAGTATTATTAAGGTACTTATTGATACGATAGTATGACTTTATTAACACGTGACTCGTGAACATCGTGAAACACACCCCCACGCCCGTGTTTGGTCGAACTTTTTGACATTGACGAGGCAATCTGCCGCGCAAGCCAACCCACACTGGTGACACTGATTGGGGAAGAGGAGGTTCAGGGAAAGAGGGGGACTCATTGCACTCACTCAAGTTCTCAGGTGGGAAAGACGTTATTATTAATGCCAGCCCGTGATGATCCCCTTTTCCATTCTCTTCTGGACGTGTCTCTCTAATTCGGACGAGCAGTCATTTGGCTTCACCACAATGCCATGCAATTGGGTTACTATCGCCTGCAAGGAGGAGAAATCTGCACTCAATATCTCACTGTTCTCGGCGCTCGCCAAGCCAATGCAGCCTGCAGGAGCTCTTGTGGTGGTCTGTACCTATCCAAGTTTGCAGAGCGGGAAAATAACTTTTCGAGTTCTTGCCTCCCCCTAATCAGGCCAAGCCATCATGGCGAAAAGCCACACGGAGAGTTAGCCATTGCTGGGCCGCTGGCTTCTCTCGTGGTTGGCAGGTCCACACCACCACCAGCATCGGCGATGCAGGCGGAATTCGCAGGCTTTAGCCAGTGTCGGCCCGCCATTGCCAAGCAGTCTACCTTACCCATTAACCAAGAAGACGCTGCATGCATGATAGAACAGTAGCGCGGGCTGCTGCACTCGCGCTGCGAAGCTAGCATGATGGCATTCTGACAGCTACTGCGAATTGGGTTTTGGCTATCATGCTGAGGTTGTGAACATCCAGTCATCGGAGATCCCAAACTGGCGGCCAATGGAGGGCGCTGCACGACTGACAGGAAGGTACTGGTAGCGCCGAAATTTGAGGGAGGGCCAGTTGGGAAAGTTGAGAGCAACAGCCGTTCAGTGGCCCGGTGCAGGCCGTGCAGCCGTGCTCCATGTCGATGGTTCGGTGGGCCAGGCCCAACAAGTGTTCAGGGGTCTGTGTTAGTGCTTGCCAGTCGAGACCCAGATGTGGGCAGGCTTAATCGCGCTCCTAGCCTCCTCCGTCCATGCGCCCCCGTGGGTTTGATGGTTACAATGAGAGCCGGATTCCTTGACCTGGTTCTTGTTTTTCTTCACTGATCCCGGTCTCTCCTCCATATTTGCCAACTTGCGGACGAGTGAGTGTCAGAAAAAGTGCCGCAGGACGTCACAGCATCTGCTGGTATCGCGCTGCCTCGTTTGTTGCTTTGCAGAGTTGGTATATCAACATCCGGACCCGGACCCGTCGAAACCTGCGTCAACAGCTGCTGTGCGGCCATAATAACAACACACAAATCGCAGAACAGCAACATCATCAGCCTAACTATTACACAATAATTAATCACTGGCGACTCAGCACCTGTGTGCTCGACATACATCTTCGCCTCTATCACTCGACTAAACCTACTGTTTGTGTTGAGTATCACCAAACACTCACACACCTCAGAACACAAGTCGCCGCCAGCGTTCAATACGAAGGAAGCCCTCTCTCAAAATGCGCCCCTCTCACATTCTCGCCATATCCAGCGCCATTGCTGTCCAGGCCAATACACTTGTGCCTGCCCAAGGGGTCGAGACGACCGTAGCGGTGGAGGAATACGAGCCGCTCACAACGCATGTCAGACATGCCGTACCCGGCAACTCGACAGACATTCCTGCCCACCCGACCGCAGGTGTCATCAATGTTACTGGTAAGATCTTATCTTTACAAAACCACGTGTGTACAGAACCTTTCACTAAGTTCGTATAGGCATCTCGACAACAACCATTGCGGCACCTACAGGATCAGGGCTCCCATCCATACCTGATATGGGCGCCTTCTCTCAGCCAATGAAGAGCTCAATGGCTGGCTTGTTAGGCTTTTTCATCGTTGGCCTAGTGCTTTTATAGCCTTGTGAGCTGAGCACGACGTTTGAGTATTCGTCGCGCCAGAGGATACATTCGCATACGAGGGGCGTTATTTCATGGCACGGTTGCCACGCATTCTAGATACCAGGTAGCGGGGTTCAGGCGTTTCAAAGGTACATTTTTGGAGAACAGCGTCGTTAATGAGGCATCAGCGAGCACATTGCTAATGCTTTCGATGGTAATGATAAATGTTTCAACTACCGAATGGATACATGTTATCTGCTCTATTCCGTGTCAAGTGTGTGATTTCCGTAGCCGCATGATGCAGGCCACGCAACGCCAGACATGTCCCTCAGACACACTGATAAGACATCCTTTAGGTCTCTGCGATCGGGAGTGTGCGACCTTGCCGAACAGCAGCCGGTCTTCTGTGCCCTCAACTAGACCCAACAGACATCTCGCAGCGCCGAACGCCCGACCGCATCAACAGGCTAGGAAGTCTGACCAAGTCCTTGGCAAAATTCGCTGCTCTAGCCCTGTGGGAATACTATCGTGTACGGGTGTACACATGTGTAGCACAGGTCAAGGGCGCAGTGCGAACCTGAATATGGGAATCGCGCGCAAAGCGAAGCGTGAAGTGATGCCCTGAGCGGAGATTTCCGCTGTGCTGAGCATCACATGTTGTCTTGGAGGTGTATCTTATTCTCGATGTTCTCGGGCGGCGATGGGAATCTGGGACCCCGAATCGCCAGACGGCGGAGGCTTAGGGAGGTCATCCTGTAGGTGGTTAGCTTCGCCTACAGAACAGGTTCAGTGCTGGCATACCAAGTCGAAGATGACGCGGATCATCAGGCTGCAGCTCGGGCAGACGGCAATATCTTCTTCGTCGCGGAGGTCGTCGAGTTGGATCTGGAATCGATCGCCACAGGGACACGGGTAGTGGTACATCTGCAGCGCCTCGTCAAAGGTCATATCCTCGATTTCGATTTCATCGTAGATGGAGAGGTTCTCGTCGTCGGACATGATGATAGAGTGAGTGGGTGGACCGATCTGGGAGGTAATACACTATGCGATGGCGAAGGACAGAAATTCTTTGGATATGACCGCGACGATGTCCCGCGACGAAAATTTACCCCACAGATGTGGCTGAGCAGTGGGAGACAAGTCTGTGGCGCAACGTGTGGCTGGGATCACATGTCGAGCTACCGCGTGGGGACGGTTGCCGTTCGCAAATCCGGGGGCCGCCCTTGTGATTATACCGAGGACCTTAGCAGCGCAACCAACCCCATGATGGACCGAGCAATTGCTTCTCCAACGTTGCTGACTCGGGACCTCTGCGACATCTGAAGACACTTCATGCGACCACGTGCACCTCAGTTCCTGAATTGTGTTTATTGTTTGTTGCTTTCAGAACACTTTCTTGCGCGCGTGTCTTCCTCCGACAGTGCCATGTCGTCACAGACGACATAGTCACTCCGAGTCAAGGTCAATTGCTGCACCTTTTCAAGAACCATCACGTCGTCTAGGGACGCACCATTTCGAGAATGGCAGCTCAGTCCAAGATCCCCATTCCTCCGGAACGGACACTTCGAACCATCGTGTCCCGCCTGACCAGTCTCTACGTATCGAACCGAACGCGCATATCACGAGCCGTCTGGATTACCTTGTTCATCGCCCTCGCAAACCGCATTCGCCATGCCGTGTCCGAACAGAAGGCTGCATCGGCACGCGATGCTGCGCAGCGGGAAGCGCGGCGAGGCGTCACATCGTCCACCGACTCGAACGAGAAGGATGACGGGAAGCCGAGGAAGAAAGTCGAGCTCAACAGGGAGTTCTTTCGCTCGCTTCTCCGATTGCTGAAGATCTTGGTACCTGGTTGGCGGTCGAAAGAAGCCAGATTGATCACGAGCCATACCTTCTTCTTGGTGTTGAGGACGCTGATTAGTGTTCGCGTGGCTGAGATGGATGGTGCGATCGTCAAGGCGCTGGTCAAGGGCCGTGGCAAAGAGTTTCTAAAGCGGATTGTCTGGTGGATGATTATTGCCGTACCGGCGACATTCACGAACTCCATGGTTAGTCTAACAGACGCGATCGCTGACCTTGCACTGACTGGTCACAGCTTTCATATCATCAAGCAGAGCTCTCGCTCAAATACAGGACGCGCCTCACCCAACATATCCACGACAAATATCTCTCGCAACTCACTTTCTACGGGATTTCGGCGTTGGACGACCGAATAAAGAACCCCGATCAGTTGATTGCAGTAGACGTTTTCAAGTTTTCCAACAGTTTGGCAGAACTTTACAGCAACCTCGCCAAGCCATTTCTTGACATGGTGTGTAGGCTTCCTCCGGTTGCTTGCTTTTGACTTACCAAAGTAGACTATCTACACATACTCCCTTTCCAAGAGCGTGGGAGGAGAGGGTGTCATCTTCATGACGCTGCTCGTACAACTATCTGCCAATGTCATGCGGGCACTTACACCCCCATTCGGCAAATACGTGGCCGACGAAGCGAGACTTGAAGGCGAGTTCCGATTCCAGCATTCGCGGTTGATCGACCACAGCGAGGAAGTCGCGCTGTACGGTGGACATACGGCCGAGAAGGACACACTCGACAAGGGCTACTTCACGCTGATCAAACATGTCAACTACATCCTGCGACGACGATTCTACCACGGGTTCATGGAGGACTTTGTCATTAAGTACTTCTGGGGCGCGCTTGGCCTGGTGCTCTGCAGCGTCCCAGTATTCGTCAAGATCCCAGGGCAGGTGGCGATGAATATGGGCGATCGCACCGAATCGTTCGTCACGAACAGACGCATGTTGCTGTCGGCATCGGATGCCTTTGGCAGAGTCATGTTCTCCTACCGTGAGATTATGGAGCTGGCTGGCTACACGTCGCGAGTCGCCTCCTTGTTGGACGTCATGGACGACATTCAGTCTGGCCACTTTGAGAAGAAATTGGTCTCGGCCTCCAGCGTCGAAGGGAACGAAGCCGTGTTGAAGGGGCGCGGGACCATCCACGAGAGCAGCGACATTACTTTTATTGATGTGTAAGTTTCACATGCTCTAGGACTCTAGTGCTTTTGATCACTGACCGCATTGCAGACCAATCATTTCGCCCAACGGCGACGTTCTCGTGAAAGCCCTGTCCTTCTCTCTCAAGCAAGGCGATCATCTTCTCATCGTTGGCCCCAACGGCTGCGGCAAGTCATCGCTGTTCCGTATCCTCGGTGGTCTGTGGCCAGTCTATGGCGGAACGGTGTACAAGCCACCTTTCAGTGCGATCTTCTACATCCCCCAGCGCCCCTATCTGTCGCGGGGATCTTTGCGCCAGCAAATTATATATCCGGACTCTCTGCGCCAGATGCGCTCTCGTGGCGTTACCGATGCTGATCTGCTGTCCATGCTGAAGCTACTCGGTCTGGAACACCTCGTGGAGCTGTACGACGAGGGCTGGGATGCCGAGGCTGAATGGCGAGACGTTCTCTCTGGTGGTCTCCAGCAACGCGTCGCCATGGCCCGTCTATTCTACCACCGCCCGCGCTACGCGATTCTTGACGAGTGCACCAGCAGTGTCACCCTGGACACCGAGAAGGCCATGTACGACAACGCCAAGGCACTGGGGATCACTCTGATGACGGTCAGCCACCGCCGCAGTCTGTGGAAGTACCACACACACATTCTGCAATTCGATGGTCAGGGGAACTACGTGTTTACCAAGTTGGACGCTGACAAGCGCCTTCAACTCGAGGATGAGAGGGAAGATTTAGAGGTCAAGCTGAGGCAAGTGCCTGAACTGGAGAGGCGGATGGCTGAATTGGAGGAAGCCCGAGCTGTAGAAGTCGCCTGAGGGCGCAAACCGTAGTGAAGATAACTTATTGCAACATAAATCTTCTCATGGCCGTGCTTGAAGAGTTGCATGACACTTTCAAGTCATGCTCGTAGCTAGTTTCCCAAAATTGAAGTGGATTATTACATGGGCTTACTTTCAGGCCGATTATACATATCGTCTCCCTCTTCCCAGGTAGCGTCTGGCACGTCTCCGATCTTTACATCTCCTGAGCTGATTCTCCCTCCAATCCAAAGCCAGCTGCATCAGATTGGGAGCCACTTGCTTATAGTAGTTTTCGCCCCCCAAGTTCTTCACGTCCCACCCAATGACATGGACCTGGGGACAAGCAACCTCCGATTCAGTGCGGCCTGTCATAGGGTCATATCTCTCGATTGAGACCTTGGGACACATGGCGCAAATGTTGAATAGCTTTTTCTTGACCAGAGGGTGGCTGGCCTCATGTCGGTCTCGCTGGGGTCGTGACCACGGAGTCCACTGTGCACATGCGTCTAGACACAGCATGTCGTCCACGTTGTCGTAAAAATGGCTGCTCGCGACAATGTTCTGGTAGAAGTCATATTCCAGGAACGCGTTGAGCTCTAGTCTGACGGAGCTTCGGCTGATGATGCCCCTGAAGTGCAACTGAAAGGCTGGTTCAAGACATTCCGTCTTGAGCATCTCGGCAAAGGGTAGTATGCTACACTTTTTCTTGGGATTCCATCGGTGTAGCAGAAACCGGAATTGTCGAGCAAGTGCCTGGCTTAAATCTTCAAGCCGCTTTTCTTGTCTTGCTTCAAACTCGTTCGATAGAGCTATAGCTCGTACGGCTTGGAATGTCCACTCGCGGATAGTAGTAGAGTCTGCCAGCCAAATTAGCAACACACTATTGGAAAAAGGGGGGCTGACGGGGCCTACGTACCTCGCTGATCCCATTGCATTGATTTCCTTACAAACTTCATGAAGTCAAGCTCGTCCTGGAGCAAGTCCGCCAAGTCATCCGTGAAGACGACGCTGATGATGGCTCGCCAGATGAGCGAGGCGATGATTTCTTGATCCGCGCCGACGAAGGAAGACGCTAGAGCCAGGTCTGGAAATATCTCAAGAGCCTCGCACATGCCTTCCAATCCGCTTCCCTGCTTTTCACTCGTCTCGAGAAAGTTCTCGTGGAGGAATTCGTAAAAACGTCGGTCTGTGCTATTGGCAGGATACCAGCCTTGCAGGAGCTGTTTTGTGATTTTCTCTATGCCGATATTAATTCGCTGGACCATCTGCAAGTTAAACTGTTAGCTTCTTGGTGTAGACATCAGTTCAGACTATAACTTACACTTTGCACCGTCTTTGTAGAAAGGGTTTCCGGGAATGGGTCGCCATCTTCTTCATCTTCGACGTCTGAGCCAGGAACATGACCGACTGACTTGTCCCGGCTTGACGACTGAACCGATGGCAGTTTGATTCTCTGAAAGCCACACAGAACGTCGCAGAGCCGATGTAACAGCTTTTCTGAGCAGTCCTCATGGCGTTTCGGGTCATCAGGGAGCGCCGGACTGCTCTTGCTTTTCTCCTTGTCGTTGGAATTCACCGACTTTTTCGCTTTTGTCGCAACATACCTGAGCTCGCATTCACCGAAAGCGTCACAACACGGTGTGAGCGATGTACAGTCGTCGTTCGGACAGTATATGCAAGCATCTCCAACTGAAGTATTCGGACTGGAACGAACCTCGTCCCGACGGCGGGAGAGGTCCGGGTATGAAACTCTCGAATCGCCCTCCGGGGACTCATTGGACTCTGGCATAGACGAAACAGCGGGCGCTAATGAATGGCTTGTGGTAGAGAGATGTGTTCCGGGGTTTCTTGATTCCTGGGCGTCGGGACGGGTAGACATGCTGTGTAAAGTCATGAAACAAGTTAGCTGGTGTTGATCTGTCTGCAAGACCAGTACTAACGCGCAGAGATACGTTCCAAGTCGGCTTTATGAATGCGACAAAGCGCGAGTATCCGCGACGGTACGACCAGGCATGGTTCACTCTTTCGCTGTTGTTCGCGGCGGCGTGTCTGTGGCTCGTTATGCAAGCAAACGCTCTGTCGGTGATTCAAGACTTGATACGGTCCGTTCTTGCTTTCAGGGCGTCTCTCCTCATTATGCTAATCAACGGACAGTGGCGGGCGTATTCTTGTTGCAAAAGCTCGGCCGCGTTTGCTTTGTTTGTCGCCCGCCCCTTTCACCATTGTCGTTTGCCCACAAAGGAGGCCCTCGTCACCACCCCTTTGTGCTTCCTGCGGCGCTCTCGAACAAGCCTACAGAATGACAAGGACTCTGCAATTGTCGATAAAGGAAAGGAGACTAGCTGAGGAAGCAAGGCCTCAAATGGAGGCACTCGATCCATCTTCAGCGACTACAATGGAGCGGTCTCGCCAGCAGATAACTGACAATGCCCAGCCTATTATTCCTCTTGTCACGATTGAAGCAGGAGTAGATGAGGACCAGGTTGTCAGAGTTTCACACTACAGGGATGCGAAGCTGAGGTTTGCACACAGCACAATCAGCCCCGGTGTGTCTGCCGACGATGTCATTCTCGTTGTGATTTCAGAAGATGCCTCGATGAGGATCATCGAATACTCTGTCGCCAGATCGGTAGGCACGGTTGTCTATCTGGAACAAGTCGGAGAGAAAGACAATGTCCATGTTGCTTGGGGCGCGGATGCTCTCGATGAGAGCTTTGTGCGATTTCTCGACACAAAGTACAGCAGTTTGGGCATCCTCAACAAAGAGGCCATCGAATTGGCGTTGGTGCACTTCAAATCAAAGGTTTGATGTCGATCCCTTTGTTGAAGTACAACAATGCTCCACGAACACGGTTTGGCTGACAGAGGAGGCAGATCAAATACGACTTTGACAATCGCTTGGACGACCCTGAAGTGGCGACCTACTTGCCAATCAAGACTCAGTCGAGGCAGGGAGTCGAGATCATCTGGGACGCCCTAACGGCGAGAGAGGTTCGAATCATTCTGGACCCTGTCGTCGAGGAGACCATTTGCTTCTTGAAGGGCAGCGTCTGCAACCGCGAGAGATCAGTGTGGGCAGTCATACCGATCGGCCCCTTTTTCCGCTGCACTTATCTGACGACTTGTCTTCAGGCCGCTTTGCGGCCTGCAGCTTACATGCCTGTACGAATCATGCCAATGGCTTCTCCTCTGGAGTCGGCCAGCGTCGCAGCCAAGTCACCGAGGTTCGAGACGAGCTATGGCATCTGCATTTGTGAGAAATACATTGAAGCCCTCCACGGACACTTGTCACGCAGCAAGTGTCGCTCCACAGTGAGCGGGGATATTGGCATTGAGTTGATGTCTTGGTTCGTCAAGAAGGTGACTTTCATGTTGTTATTGCGACGTGTTGACTTGATCTGATTTTCTCCATAGGGCGACACAGTGGCCGAGAACGAGACACGATCTATCGAGTTTTGGCAAAGACACCTCGGTCAGAGCGGGAGGCCAAAAGCCCTCGAATATGCGATTCTCTATGACAACGCTGGCCGTGAATTAGCTTCTCGGAGCTTGGAGATTGATGATCATATGGCTGCTTTGGGCACAGTCTCTGCAGACCTGAGTGCGGTGCCCGAATCAGAACTTCCCCGGGTCCACGGGGCCGACAGGCAGTGGTACTATGAGTTCGACGTGAAGATCGAAGTCACCTTTCAACGAGAAGGAGTGTCGTGTTCGATACGGTGCAACGGTTAGTCTGACCCACGCAAAAGTGATGTTCTTACAAACTGATCAGCTCCAAGACACTCGGTACGGTCCAACTTTCCTCGGCTACGAGCGAGGCATCAAAAGCAGGGTAATCTAAAGTTACTGTGTGGCATCGATCGTAGGACATGGTTCGTGAAAGTCGGTTCGTCATAGTCGAATACGACTGAGGGGACTTGTGTAATTCCGTTGGCTTCTGGGGATACGTACGAATACAATATGATGGTACAGTGTACATGATTGACTTCGCAAGCCCATACTATACATGATATACAATCGTCCCAGCCGCACCGCTTTATGGCTTCCAGTCCTTCATGTGGTCAAGGATCATCCTGGCCCCTTCGTCAGGAGAGTGCTGCCTTCCAAGCGCCTCAACAAAGTCACCTTCGGGATCCATCAAGTAAAAGTAAATGCTGTGATCCACGAGGTAGTCTTGTCCAGGCTTGACGTTCTGAGGCGTGCTAAAGTACACACGGTACTTCTTGCACAAATCCTTGATTTGGTCGTACGTGCCAGTCAGGCCGACCATATCAGGGTGGAACTCCTCGAGATAGGCCTTTAGAGCCTTGGGGTCGTCACGCTCGGGATCGCAGGTGATGAAGATGGGCAGGAGGTTGGACTCGGGGGCCTTCTCCTTGACAATGTCTAGCATGCGGGCCATCTTGTCGAGCTCCTCGGGGCAGATATCGGGGCAGCGCGTGAATCCAAAGTAGACCTGCTCTGTTAGTTTGATTTCCTCTCCATCGTGATGTTGTACGCGGACTCACCAAAGAGTGCTTGCCCTTCATCATCTCGCTAGTGAACGTCTTGCCATTCTGGTCCAGAAGCTCGAATGGTCCGCCAACCTTGGGTCTACCCATGCCCTTGGATGCATCGGCGATTCGCTTCCTTTGCATGCGCTCCTTCTCGAATTCAAAATACCACATCAGGCCAGCGCATGTACCGACAAAGAGCAAGCCAGCTTTCCACGAGAACGGCTATCCTTCCGTTAGCAACTCTGACTTATGGGCGGCGCGGGACCCGTCGACCTACCCCAGTGCTGTACCGACTCTTCGCTTCCTCGACCGTCTTGTATTTCCATCTCTTCTGCATGACGGGCTGTCGTGATTGCATCGGCGCGCCGGGAACCGTCGGGCGAATTTGCTTGGGCTGCAGGGCGCTGCTCGCGTAGCAGCGCTGGCACTGCCGCGCCGAGAAGCGCGCAGCCACGGCTGACATGGCCTTTGTGGACGAAACGACCGCGTTCGACATTGTGTGTTGGCAGTACGTACTTGCGTAGTGCTGGCCAAAGGTTGAAAAAGCTGTCATAGACCCGCGAGATGATGTCGAGCCAGAATTGGTAATGCAGAGCGCTAGTGGACCCACTCTTTCCCGCTGGGCTGGTGTCGTGACTGGTACCGGGTAGGCTTACCAGACGACTTAGTCATCTCACTCACCTTAACTCAAAGAATGAGGTTACTTCACCTTGAACGCGTCAAGATCAACGCGCCAAGCACAGTATTATCGTCGTTCCATCCCTATGAGACATTCTGGAGATTATTTCTCAGATTTTAAATAACTTCTTTTGAATCGAACGAGTGGCCGGGCTTCTCGGCCCCTCACGATCCAGTCATCAAGCATCTCCAAAGACTCTGCTTTACGCATCATCCCACAGACTGCACATGTGAGCTATGGATTCAACAAACGGTGAGCAAGCTCGCTTTGAGCTCATAGACGCACACGTCAAGAGCGAAAACACACCGGCCGCGTCGCCGCAGCCTTTCATCGCCGACTCGACGCCGGCTACAGACTCAAAATCACACATTGTACCGACACCTTCGGCAGAAGACATGGTGGCGACCAACGGCGCACAGCCTTCCAAGAAGAAAGGCACAGCAAAAGTCACACAAAAGCCGGTCAAGCGGCCGAAACCTTCGGGACCACCCAAGAAATCCGCCAAGAGAGTCAAGGCGGAGGACGCACTCGCGGAGGAAGGGTCACAAGCAGAGATGGAAGACGGCTCCGACGATGACATATCAGATGATAACACCTACTGTATCTGCAAGGGAAAGGACGACCATCGATGGATGATCTGCTGCGAGAAGTGCGAGGATTGGTTTCACGGCGAGTGCATCAACCTGTCCAAGGAGGTCGGGGAGACACTCATCGAGAAATTTATCTGTCCGAGGTGCACGACCGATACATTTACATCACTCTATAAGAAGACGTGTGGGCTAAAAGGGTGCCGCAAGCCAGCCAGGTTGGCGGCAGATGGGGATTACAGTGTATTCTGCTCGAATGAACACGCCCAGAGCTGGTGGGAGAGAATGGTGTCGCGGCTGCCCAAGAGCCGAGGCAAGACGGGACTAAGCGACGAATTGACACAGGACGAGCTCATGGCGCTCCTGGCCAGTGGTATGGGGACTGTGGGCGAGGACGGCATGTTCCGGCCGGTGAAGACACCGTTTCAGGATGGTGTGCCCAAGCTGGCGAACGGCGATGGCGGCAACGACGGTAAGTCGGCGTGCGGCCCGTCGCAAAGGCTAGACTAACAGGTACAGGTGACTCAAAGGAGGACCTGTCACATATACTGACCGCTGAAGAGACAGCCATCCTTCAAAGGGCGGAGAGAGCCCGGTACAGTATGGCGCAGGAGACGATACTATGTGATCACATGAGGACCTTGATCGAACTAGCCATGAAGCGCCACCGACTGGCCGTCAAGGCTGGACGGCTCGCGAAGAACAGTTGCGGCTACGACCATCGGCTCGACACGGTTACTGCACCCAATGCCTTCGCCGCCTTCATCAAGACCCCTGAAGGCGAAGCGATTCTCAAGAACAAGAGTCTCAGCGGCGGCGTCGACAGTGACGACGACGATGACCTGCGTGGCATGTGTGAGGCCAGGCCTTGCAAGGCCCATCGGGAATGGGCGAAGATACTGATGCATGGTGTCAAGTGTCAAATCCGCGAAATGGTCCGCCAGTCAGCCGAGATTGATGACGAGGAGAGGGTTGTTCGCGATGCGGCCAAGGAGCGGTGGAAACGAAAGCTCGCTGAGAACAACTGGGTAGAGGCCATTTACGACGACGACTGATCATCCGACGTCTGTTTCGCGTTTTCTTTGCCCACGGAGAATCATGGCATGGAGTTCAGGCGTTTGTGAGCGGCAAACGAAGTTAAGCCTACCTTAGTGTTCGCCCTATCCCAACGTTTCACATCAGCTGAATCTTATGTTATCCAGGGTCTAATTTGCCTCGAAGCTGAGAAACTATCGTACCACCACGGTGTCCTATTCCAGGGCGTTTGCTCCCATAACGCCCACTATTCAGCCGGGGACTGTCAGAGTCTATTCAATTTTCGACGCACAACTTGAAAGCTTCAGAAATTTTAAGTTATCTCATGCTGCTGGACCCTTAAAAGCAGGGCCCCCTTCGCACTTGCCATCTCTTTCTCTGAGATGTTTCACATACACATACTGTTTCTGAGCGTTGGTGAATTCATCAATTCTCCATCACCCTCCCTCGATTTTTATTCCATCTATCCGTGGCTGGCTTAGCCCTTGCCGGGAAGTATGAGTACCAACCGTATTCGAGATTGCCCCTATCCATCGCGCCGCGGCTCGTGGGTTCGCTTTGAGAGCTGTGACGACGGGGAGATCTGGGAAGCACGGCGCCTGGTTATCACACGTGGATCCGAAGTCCTGTATGACTCGGAGAATCACCAGCACTCCCTTGCCCGGTTCGTTACCAGCGGTCCTGACGCGCTGAACATAATGTAAGACTCACCCCCTGCTAGCTCACCGATCTTCTGGATTCACTAACAAACGGCAGCGCTTATGGCGAGCTACGTCGCGTGAGCATCGCTGGGAATGAAAGAAGCCAAGCCTTTATCCGGGATCAGAGAAATGACAACGGATCCCCGGACAGCTCGGACTTTGAGAGAGAAACCCTGCGAGACCCCATCCCAAGGGATCAGTTTCTACGGGACTACTCAATCTATCGGTCGCGCGTTCCACTTACGGAGGCGCGCCTCGCGGAGCACGACAACCGTCTCCGCATGTCGTCCGTGCCTCATCGTCGTGTGGACGTGCCAGCGAGTCCACCATCACCACCAGCATCCCTGGAACCGACCGCATCACCGGAACCGTCAGCATCCCCAGCACCAGACAGCCCCCGAGACGGCGACGGCGACTACGACAACGACTATCCAGACTCTGTCACAATCGCCGCAACGAGTGACAGCACGTGCTGCGACATGTGCAGCACCTCCTCTATCGAAAGGAGGCGGGCGAGGCAGAGGGAGCTACGCATTGCGCAACAGGAAAGGCGCGCCCTACGTGCCGCAAGGACAATAGCACGTATAATGGAGTGGCGTGTTCGTCTTCCATAGAAGGGAAGTTGCCATTCCACGTCCGAAGAAGACGACCGCCCGTCCAAGAGGCGGCGTTTAGTGTGATCTTGACTGGGCGCCCTGGTGTCTTGATAATACGGCTGTCGAGCCAAGCGACGGACACTATACCCCAGAGAAAATGATTTGCTTGATACCCGAGCACAGCGAACGCCGGAGGGCGTGTGTAATGTACGTGGACAAACTGACCTCATCCAGCGCAATGAGGACTATGCTGATCCTTATGCAGAACCACTGATGCTGTGGCCAGTTAAAGCCGCTTCGCCAGACACATTCGACAGAGTCTGGGCTGTAGGCTTGCGGTTGCGCTGCGCATATGTACACGAGGATTGGAGTTTGTTACTTGCCCTCCGGCTTAGAAGCGAGAAATAATGTTATTATTGTCATGTTCATCTCTTTGTCGTCCATCACTTAATCGCATCGTAGTAGTAATACTGTTCCCGCGTGGCTTCATGAGTAGAAGGCACCCAGTGGCCAATTCTCACAGTTCACAAAGGCTATAAATGCCACAGATTTGCCATTGACCTTGCGTCGGATGCGAATCTACAAGACGATGACTCTGTGAAGCATAATGAGCCTGACGTATTATCCTAATCAATCCTTGCGACAGAAACGCGTCTGGTACACGAAGAGTGCATATGCAGTCCTCGCGAGTCGCAATAAAAGGCCAGTGGTTGGACCAGTTACGCGCTGAAGAAAGAGAATGTATGGACCCCCTGGTTCATTATCTGGGGCTCCTACATGTTGCGAACCTCTGCGAAGGATCAAATGCGTAGCATGGAGCGTTTCAGCCCTGCAGGTGCTCCACGGATGATCCTCCACCGCTCTGTAGACCAGCACAGAGCTGGCGCAATTCGTGTGGTCTGGTCGACTGGGAACTTCAAGCATGAGTCTTGACTCTTGACTAAATACCCTGTCAGCACTGTATACTGCCAGTCTGCCATGCATACTACGTAGGCGCGGGCCGGGGAACAGGGTGAGATGAACACCAGTCAAAGCCTCGACGGTGTCCAGGAGTATAGGTTCCGTCATACCTTGCTTCCAGATCCAGGCACATGATTTTTTTCTCACTCTCAAAGATACGGCAGTTGCAGATCTCACCCGTGTCCATCCTCATCTCCTATTCTTTTGTCGTCCCTGTTGATTCGATAGGCGTCTGCGTCGACGCGTAGCTTCAGTCAGCCCGCGCCGGATACGGGCTTTGAAGTGAGAACAGTCCCCTCTATTTCATAATGTCCATCACATCGTTCGAAGGTCCCTTTCCGACCGACTTCTCCGTCCCGGACGGTTGCTCCCACATTACCGGCAACTCGATTTTCGGCTTCGACTTTGCATCGTCATGCTTGCCTGACGACTTCAATCCCGACCCTCAGGCATACTACTCGCCGGGCACTGGCTGCCCGAGTGGCTACACGGCACATGAAGACTGCACGCGGTCCAGCGGGGGAACAACAACAGTGACGTGCTGCCCGTCTCGCGGCGACATCGAGCTATGGTGTGTATCCGAGCCAGGCTCCCTTGTTGGACCGTGGGAGTCTATGCAGTGTACCTGGAGCGCGGGCGACCAACAGACCGTACTGCTGGTAACGACCGATGACGACGCAACAGTGGCCGTCACAATGACGGGGGCCGATGGGATCAACGCCTACGGGTTGAGAATGGTGTATGAGCCTAGTGATCTGGAGGGAACGACGGCAACAACGACAGAAGCCAGCTCGACTGAGCAGCGCAGTCCTTCTACACCACAACCGACGGATGGGGATAATGACGGAGCAGATGCCAACAGTGATGAGAGCTCTGACAAGGGCTCGAGCAACACTGTCACCATCGCAGTGGCAGTTGTCGTACCTGTGGTTCTCATTGCATTGGGCATCGCCTTCTTCCTGTGGTATCGGAGGCGCAAGTCGGTACAGAACGTCGAGTTACCTGCTGGCGATTCGGGGCCTGACATGGGTCAGCAATGGCCGTATCACCCTGGAAACAGTGCCGGACCCCAATATGCCGCGGATGGGGGCTTCAGCACCAGCCCAAGTCAACATGAACCAACTGCTTACGCCACGTCCAACCACCACGTTTACCAACCGAATGAGTTGACAGGCGACAATGGGCATTCTCCTTCTCAGATTCAGCCTGGCTGGTCCCAGCAAGAACAACCACCTAGGGTGTACGAGATGATGGCTGCTCCGCCGGCTAGCGAGCTTCAAGGCGATGAACCGCGAGGCTCATCTGAAGCAAAAAAGACATATGGCACGGCTGTGTCGGTGCGAAGTGTCCCAGGGGAGGGTACTTTCGGTCCTTACGGTGACAATATCCCGCACGAGGAGTCGCAGGCGTATCCGAACCATGGATGACCGTCATGATGTTTGTCAGGAAGGACTTGGTAATTTGGTCGATTTTGGTTTGGTGCATGCTGCTCTGTAGTCATCCATCCAATATATATTTTAGACGCGCATGTTTAGCAGCCATCAGCTGCGTTCAGAAGAAGCATGATGGTAGTGTCTTGTCTGGGAGTGTGTCCTTGGAGAGCCTAGGCTTCTTGGTTGTGCCCAAATAGCCCGCGAAGCTCCTTGTCGTACGCCTTGCGATCCTCGAGCTTTGCTTTCACAACAGCTTCCGAATCTCGGGACCAGAACTTTGATATGATCTTCTCCGCCTCGGGCGACAAGGACCACGCCGGCAAGATATACGCCTCGAGGAAGAAATACATGGCGTTGACGGAAGATAGGCAATACCAAAACCATACTCCGCCCAAGTCCCATGTCTCCTCCATGATCCTAGTCAGACTAAAAGCATGAGCGGGGGCTGACTGTTCTTCCGCTTCAAATATGCGAAGAAACTCCTGACGGACTTGATTGAATTTAACCAGGCCCTCGCCCTTGAGTCCGTCGATTGCGCAGCCGGTCAGCCAGTATGGTACCTGGTGCATCTCGAAAGGGAGCGCACAGATCCATTCGAGGTCGATCAAGCCTGTGACATTCCAATCCTGATCAACTATCAAGTTGCTGGCATGAAAGTCGGTTAGGTGCAGCAAGAATGGCCCCTGCCTAAATTGTTTCTGAATGAAGGAACGTGAGTAGACACGGAGCAGAACCTTGGTTGCCATCTGGAAATGGCAGTCTTCCTCATCGTTGACCGCGTTAGGCTGCTTGAGGAATCGCTGATCATGGAGGGCAAGCATATCAGCAACATAAGCGTCAGTGCACGTATAGGTGTCGCTTCTTTGCATTGACCTGGCTCCAGTATCATTCTCAAGGATCATGGTCGAGCAGCAGAGAGGTCGGTTTGTTAATGTGACGGTCCCGTCGTCGTGAAAGCAAAAAGACCCAATCCTCGGCTGCGGAATCTTTGCCAACGAGAGCATGATCCGAGACATGCCTGTGAACAACCGCCGTCTTTTTTCCAAGTCTCCGCGCTGCGAATCGAAAGTGTCGAAAAGCATGCGGCCGGTATCAGGTCCAAGATACTCGAGCAGCATATATGCTGAGGTAAGATTGTGGCTTGGGTAGCTCTGGATGTATTAGGAGAGAAGCGGAAGGCGGAAGAGGCTGTAGACAAAGCGCCAGCAGCGTCGAACGATCCGGTGGAGCAGCGGCAAATGCATTGAATGGGTGAACTTTCAAAGATTAGCACACATCGCACGATGCGAGGGAAAGAAACAAGATTAACGTGTCGACCGTTGCTAAAACCGAAGCCATAGAGGTGCGGCGAGGGGATCTCTGGGCAGTGTTCTTCCACCCAAGCATAGACCCCGACCTCGCACCCCATCTTCTCATCCACTGCTCCAGGGTAATGAGCCTCGGAGAGCTTATGCGGCATGGGGCAGCGAAAGACAACTCGGAAGGCTTCGTTCCTTGTGCCGAGCGTGCGAACCTCGACCATGACGCAGATATTAAAGCCGCCTTGAATCCAGTGCTTCAGCGGCAGCACAGTGCATCCATACTGTTGTCCCAGGTTCAAGTGGTGTCTGATCAGATCTTGGATGGTTTCCCTTTGTGACCAGAGATCTTGGGCGACTCTGCCAGCCGCAGGCCCGTAGGTGGACCAATTGATGACATTGGTTTCTTGGTCGAGAGCCCAGTCCAGTGTGACAGGACCCTGTCCTGAGAGTGCCAATGTACTTGACATGGTGACGAAACGAAGGACGCCGATTAGTGTTCGGCTTTAGGGTGATGGGCAGCCATAGAATGAGGCCCAGGGTTTTGGCGATGAAGCTTCTATGGCAATGTCTACGCGTCGTGGAATGTAGTCAGGCACGCGTCCTCATGAGTGTGGCAGCCGGGTCATAGCGAGCCGGTTGGTCGCACAGTACCGAGCCAGTTCCATTTGTTCCAATGGGAAGGTTTGTTTGGCGTATGGGCAATGCTGATATATAACAGTGTCTCGAGACTTCTATGTCCAAGTCGTCAGTATCGGACGCGAGCTCTAGATGGACATGTCGATTCGCTCTCCCAATATGGTGAAGTAACCGGCGAATGCTTCGCGCACAGAGCAACGAGATGACCTCTCGAGACCAAGGTAACACTGCTCAGAGAGGAGTGTACAGTGCGTCTTCATGTCCTTGACCGAGCTCACCATGCACGTTACACGTCCCAAGAGCGCGGGACTTGGTTGGTGCGGAAGTTTTCGCACATTTGTTGAAGGGCGTTCACCTTGTGCTTGGAATGGCAGTTCGACCACCACCACAGCAACCCAGGCTGCCGTTCGCGAGGACGAAGCCTAGGGGACTGACCTGTTCGTTGACTCTGATGAGGAGTAGAATGGCGAGGCTCGCGATGTCGTGGGTGATGTAAGAAGTCCAATTCTAGACGTGGATCACGTGACGCAATTCCGCCAGCGACGGAATGGGGACCCTGCACATGGAAACAATTTACAATCAAGCAATTCTCTTCAACAACTGCTTATCAAGCAGACCACCTCTGACTCTTCTCGCCGGTCACGTCTCTCCAGTGAAAAGACGTCTACTCTAAGTTCACTCCTTCAACCACATCTACGTACATTCCCTCCTTCTCTCCCTGCAAAAAACCTACCGCACAGTCGATTCACCCCTCCATCCAACCCCCACCATGGCCGCTCCCCGCGACAAGGACGAAAAGCCCACCGAGGACCCCTCGCTCGCGGAGAACGACGACGACCTCCTCGACGCCGACGATGCGGAGGAGGAAATCGTCGAGCAGGGCGATGGCGACGTCCCCATGGACTCGGACGACGACGAGGACCAGGACCAGGAAATCATCATGCAAAACGACTCCATCGCCTACTTTGACGACCCGCGCGACTCCCTCTTCACCATTGCCCAGCACCCGACACACCCCTCTCTCGTCGCCGTAGGAGGCGCTGCAGGCCCCGAGGACGACGCCCCCGGCGCAGGGTGGGTGTACGACTACTCGGCCGCGCAGTCGAGGCCCGTCCTGCCCGCCAGCTTCGCCTCGGACCCCTCGTCCGCCGCGAACAACCAGCAGACCACGCAGCTCCAGTCCCTCTTCTCCCTCGAGGGCCACACAGACTCCATCAACGCCCTCGCCTGGACGCAGCCCGAGGGCGAGGTGCTCGTCAGCGCCGGTCTGGACGGCCGGATACGCGCCTGGAAGGCAGACGTCAAGCCCAGCGCCCACGCCAAGTTCACCTTCCTCGGCGAGGCGCAAGAGGTGGAGGAGATCAACTGGCTGCAGGCCTGCCCTTCGCCCTCCAACCCCAACGCGGTCGCGCTGGGTGCCTCGGACGGCTCCGTGTGGGTATACACCATTGACCCCATCGACACAGCGAGTCCCCTCCAGATTGTCCAGTCGTACTTCCTCCACACAGCGTCCTGCACGGCCGGCGTGTGGACGCCCGACGGCCAGCTGCTCATCACCGTGTCGGAGGACAGCAGCTTGTATGTGTGGGATGTCTGGGGCAACGCGGCGGCCAAGGGTCTTGTGGGCGACAATGGGCAGACTGCAGTGTCGATGACGGGCGAGGATCAGCGCTTCGAGGTCGAGGGCGGTCTGTACTCCATCGCCGTGGATCCCAAGGGCGGCTTCGTCGCCGTGGGCGGTGCAGGCGGCCAGATCCGCGTGGTGTCTCTGCCCAGGCTCAGCGCCACGACACAGTCCGCCTCGCAAGCGCGCGGCGCGCAGCGCAACAACAAAACCGCCGCAGACCCCACGAGTGGCGGTCAGATCCTGGCGTCGCTCCACGTTCAGTCCGACAGCGTGGAGAGTCTGGCGCTGAGCCTGGCGAGCACGACGCCCCCTACTGTCCTCCTGGCCGCCGGTGCCGTCGACGGGTCGATCGTGGTGTTTGATGCGACGCGCAAGTTCGCCGTGCGGAGGAACATTGTCGGCGCGCACGAGGAGCACTCCGTCGTCAAGGTGGAGTTCATCAAGGACTCGTGGATCCTGACCAGCTGTGGTATGGACGGTGTCGTGAGGCGATGGGATATCCGTGGCGGCGGCGCGACACCACAGAACAATGCCGGGTCGGCCGACGCTGGTCTGCTCAAGGAGTGGAAGGGCCATCGCGGCGATGGCGAGGGCGGCGGCGTGCTGGGCTTTGTGCAAGGGCAGACGGGCGAGAGGGTGGCGACCGCAGGCGATGATGGCATCAGCCTGATTTTCGAGGCATAGAGGAAGAAGAACATGCAATACAAAAAAAAAAGCGCAATGTTCAAAGCACAAAGTCATGAGAGTTTCTTCTCCCAGTGAGCATTGAAGTTGTAGCCTGTGCGGCCTGGTGATATCTCATCTATCAAGTGTGTGTATGTTAAAACGAGCCTTGTTCTCATCAATCGCCCTTGGAGGTACCCGGACAGGTCGGTCCCCTTTCTAAACGCCCAACTCGCAAATGTTGAAATCGAGTTTATGCTTGCCATTTATCCCAAAAAAACAAGAAACAGAAGTGATCATCATCAACAAGTCAGAATGCTATGCGGTGTATCCAAAGTAGTTTTGTCAACGCAGGAGGCTTTAGTCCTGCTCTGTGGTGTCCTCGACGGGAGGGCACGTGCAGAAGAGGTTGGTGTCGCCAAACGCTAGCAAGAAGTCAGTATATCAGATCTGCCAGTAAAACAGAGATGGATGGTCACTCACCGTCATCCGCGCGGCCGACAGTAGGCCAGAACTTCTTCTCCATGAGGTACGGCAGCGGGTACGCCGCCTTCTCCCGGGAGTAGGGACGCTCCCACTTGCCCTCGCCATCGCCCTTGATCACGTCGACCTGCGGGTGCGGCGACATTTTGAGCACGTTGCCCTCGCGGGGCTGCTTGCCCTCCTCAATCTCGCGAATCTCCTCGCGGATGCTGATCAGGGCATCCGCGAAGCGGTCCAGCTCCGCCTTGCTCTCGCTCTCCGTCGGCTCGATCATGAGGGTGCCCGAGATGGGGAAACTCATGGTCGGCGAGTGGAACCCATAGTCCTGCAGACGCTTGGAAATGTCGGCGACGTCAATACCGGCCGACTTGCCGAATGGTCGAATGTCAATGATGAACTCGTGCGCGCAGCGACCGGCCGCGTTGGTGTAGACAATGGGGTAGTGGTCCTTGAGGCGCGCGAGGAGGTAGTTGGCGTTGAGCAGGGCGACCTTGGTGGCCTTGACGAGACCCTCGTCGCGCATCAGACGCATGTACGCCCAGCTGATGGGCAGGATACTGGCGCTGCCGAACAAGGCGCTCGAGACGTGGTTGTGCTGCTTGCCCGGTAGGTAGGGCTCGAGGGCCTCGGTCACGCAGATGGGGCCGACACCAGGACCGCCGCCACCGTGGGGAATGCAGAATGTCTTGTGGAGGTTCAGGTGGCAGACGTCAGCACCCAGGTACCCCGGGGAGGTCAGGCCAATCTGTGCGTTCATGTTGGCACCGTCCATGTACACCTTGCCACCGTGGTCGTGGACTGTCTTGCAAATCTCCATGATATCAGGCTCGAACACGCCGTAGGTGCTGGGGTAGGTGATCATGATGGCCGCGAGCTCATTGGCGTGCTTCTCGCACTTGGCCTTGAGGTCGGCGAGATCCAGGTTGCCCGTCTTGGTGTCGCACTTGACGGGCACCGTTCGGAGTCCAGCCTGTGTCGCCGAGGCTGGGTTGGTACCGTGCGCAGACATGGGGATGAGGCAGATGTCGCGGTTCTTCTGTCCGTTCGCTTCAAAGTACTTGCGGATGCATTGGAGACCGGCGAACTCTCCCTGGGCGCCTGAGTTGGGCTGCACGGACGTGGCGTCCAGGCCGGTCAACGTAGCCAGTTGCCTCGAGATGGAGGTGATGAGGTTCTTGTACCCGGGAACGTCATGGGGAGACGCGGCAGGGTGCACTGAAGCAACCTTGTGAAGGCCGATGAGCTCAAGCTGGGCAGTGCCATTGAGCTTCATGGTGCACGATCCCAGGGGAATCATAGAATGCACCTGTGACAGATCCTTGGACGCGAGGTGGTGGATGTACCGAAGCATCTCCGTCTCGCTGTGGTGGGTGTTGAAGACGGGGTGTGTGAGGTAGCTGGACGTGCGGCGAAGGGCCTTGGGGATGCTGTCGAGGATGTCTTGGTCAGAGACCTTGTACGACTGGTTCCAGATGCGATCGACGAGCGTGAGAACATCGTCCTCCTTGCCCAGGTGGCTCTGGAGCTGGGTGGCCAGCTTGAAAAGCAGGGAGTGCGTGACGTTGCCAGACACGGCGCACGTCACGTAGCCAGTAGGGTCCTGCGATGATCGGTAGGCTCCCACGCCGACACCAATGTTGGCGTTCTCCTCGAGCTTGGTCTTCAACTCCCACGCATCTGGCACATTGTGGAGTGTCACGGTGTCTGTGAAGACGTCCTGGTCGGGGCAAGACTGGGAGGGGCGGACCTCGAGACCGAAGAAACGGCCAACCTCGGCAATCATGCGCGCACCTCGGATGTTGTCCACAGCTTGGCCCATGAGCTGCTCGGGGCCATGGTAGACGGCGTACATGGCAGCCATGTTGGCGAGGAGAGCCTGGGCGGTACAGACGTTGCTGGTCGCCTTCTCACGGCGAATGTGCTGCTCGCGGGTTTGCAGGGCCAAGCGCAGGGCAGGACGACCCATCCTGTCCTTGGTCACGCCAACAATACGGCCGGGAAGACGACGCTTGTTCGCTTCCTTGGTCGCAAAGAAGGCAGCGTGGGGGCCACCGTAGCCGAGAGGGACACCAAATCGCTGCGAGTTGCCAAAGGCAATGTCGGCGCCAAACTCGCCAGGAGGCTTGAGGACAGTCAAGGCGGACAGATCCGTGGCGACGCTGAACTGGCAACCAAGCTCGTGGGTCACCTCGGCGACCTTGTCGAGCACCTCGGCGCTGCCCTGGTAGTCGGGGTACTGCGCCATGACACCAACCAGGTCGTTGCCAATGCTCCTGATGCCCTCAATGTCGCTAATGTCCATGCGCTTGATGTTGATACCGAACCCCTTGGCGCGGCCCTCAATCACCCTGAAGGTGCGCTTGTGGACCTTGTTGGAGATGACAAAGGTCTTGTTCTTCCCCTTTTGGCGCGAGGACGGCAGGCAGTTGAGCGACATGATCATGGCCTCGGCACCAGCTGTGCCCTCGTCGAGCAGACTGGCGTTGGCGACGGACAAGCCAGTCAGATCGGACACCATGGTCTGGAAGTTCAGTAGTGACTCGAGGCGGCCCTGGCTAATCTCAGCCTGGTAGGGGGTGTAGCTGGTGTACCAGGCAGGGTTCTCCAGGATGTTTCGCTTGATGACGCCAGGCGTGGCGACGGGGTAGTATCCCTCGCCGTTCATCCACACTCTTGTCGCGTTGTTCCTGTTGCTACCAGTCCATTCGGCCATGATGCCCGGCTCATTCGTGTGCATCTCGGGCACGATCCGCTCACGAGGCGGCGACTGCAGGTTCTTGGGGATGACTTCGGCTATGAAATCATCCATGCTGTTGTTCTTGGTGCCGACGGTGGCCAGCATCTGCTCCACGTCTGAGTCGCGCGGACCAATGTGGCGGTTGACAAAGTGATTCCATGGCCCCTTTTTGGCCTGGTCGTTCACCTGCGACCTCTGCTCCCATGTCTGGTCACCGGAACGCGGCCTGCTCTCAGCCTGGTGAGCGAGAAATCGCCTCTGAGCCGGCACCGCAGCAGCTCGTGATGTGGTGGCGGAGAGGACTGTGCGACGCCCAGCAGCCGCTCGGTAGCCAGCCGAGGTGACTGAGGCCGCAGCACCCTTGCTACACGCAAGACGAGATGCCATTATGCGTGGTAAAGCGTCTGAATGTAGAGGTAGAAGGACGAGAAGTATGAAGTTGCAACCAGAAGATATTAGAGAGAAAAAATCCGAGCTGGCGCAATTCTTAAATCTTCATATCGCCACCGAATCTTGACCACAGCTTGCCTCTGTCTGTGTAAGAGGGTCAGCACACTGTATGCGAGGCCAATTGGTTCCCGTCAAGACCCTACCTTATGGTCAAGTTCCAAGAAAGAGGGAATGAATAGTGACAGGAGTATGAAAGAGAAAAAAAAGACCAGGTCGGTGAGGTCTGGTGCGATAAATAAACTGTGCCTCTGTTGGCTCGGCTGTCATCCGTTCGGCAGGGACATACAAGCAGTGTGACACGGAAATGTTGGGTTATCTTATCGGGTCCCCCCGGCCGTGAGCCGACGGTTGCCTCAATGGTCTCCACCCTTATCGTGAGATATGGTGCTCCTTATCTCGACTTATCAGTCTGCAGCCATTGTCTCCACTCTTTTGGTCGTCGCGAATCCAGCCTGAAGTTTTCGAGGTGACACCAGCAGCTCATCGCGTATCCACGTCCAATACCTCTCCAAGCCATCGCATCTCGACAAGCTCAGTCACGCTCTGCTCTCAAGCCCGCCTCAAAACATACAAAACATATACTCCGCCAGGAAAACGCTAGAACGCCGCCATAATGTTCGGAGGATGTACGTCATGTCGAAACCGAACGAAGAGAGGAAGGATATCAATACTGACCATACATCAGTCGCACCACCCCAGCAGTCTCGCGAGGAGATCCAGGCCATGGAGGCCGAGGCTGTCTTCACCGTCCAGCAAGTCGCTGCCACTGCTTTCCTCCTGTACATGTGTAAGCAAGCCCCCCAACTGTGTCACGCCTTCACCCATCTCACAAGTCGACAGCCCCTTTTGCCATCGATATGGTCAGCAAGATCTTCTAAATGCAGCCGCCTGCACGCGTATCACGATGTAATAATGTATACTATGTCAACAACAAAAACGGAGCAAGCATAGCATGCGGGTGTACGATAGACCACTAGGAATTGGGCGGGGACAATATCAAGCCGTTTGTTTGTTTGTTGCATGCATTCAAAACCGTGTGTCTATCCATTCATCCAAACGAAAACTCCGACAGGCCGTGAATGTCTGAACCTGGACCCAACTCCGAAAGATTACAGCTATCGCGACATGTGCCCGTGCTACCTTGCCGGGTTGCGGCTCTGCTCCCACGCCATGTAGTCCTCCACCAGAGCCTCGGTTTCCTTCTTGAGGTGCTGCAGTTGCTTCTCGTAGTCTTCGAGCACCTTTCAAGTCTGTTAGCCTGTGTATCACGCAGCGTCAGCACGAATTCACTTACCTTCTTGGCCTGCGCCTCGGTTTCCTCATCCAACCCGTTCGCGCCATCCGCAGAGGGCTTCTCCTTTTCCCTCATCAGCGCATCTGCATGGCCTCGCAAGACAATCAACCGGCTCCAGAGCTCTTCCTCTCTTGCTCCCACCGCTGGGTCTTGCACTGCCCTCTCCAGAGTCTCCAGCCGCCTCGTGAGCTCATCCTCATCCGCACTGAGTGCGTAGCCCCTGTTTCGCAAAACCTGCACTTTAGCAGCGAGAGCCAGACTTCGCTCCGCCAGCGCCGCAGATCGCCTCTTCGCTGCCAACGCGCGGACCTCGGTCTGCAGCTCGTGTCGCTCCAGAATCGCACCAAGACTGGCATTGATCTGATGCAACCGGGTATTGAACTCTGTGATGGCGCGCTTCTGAGTCTTGAGACGGTCTGCGAGGGACTCGTAACCCGAACAGAGAACCGGCATGTACCCCGGGGCGGGCTTGTTCTGGAGGGCCTCCTCCCACTCGCGAGGGTCTTCGTGCGCAGAGGGCTTGTAGAACGGGACATGCGATTGGTCGACTTTGTTGTAGAAGTAGTGCTTGAACACACAGCTGGGGTTCGCAGGGTCCCATTTGTCTGTCACGTCCTTCATCTGATCGAGAATCGATTTGGAGTCTAGCAATGTCAGCGATGCGCAAGTGGAAGGCCATGCCGGGGTTGCATACGGTGTGTATCCTGGCCCGGTTCCCATAAAGAGCTTGCCAGCTGGGCTTGCGACTGTGCTAACGCAGGCATCTGCGGCTGCTGTTGTGACTGGTTCATGGTGTTTCCAAAAGCATTCTGCTGGGGCTGCTGCTGTTGCTGTTGCTGTTGCTGTTGCTGTTGCTGTTGCTGCTGTTGTGGTTGCTGGTTGGCAGTCGACTGGCCGAAAAGTCCACCTCCCTGCTGTGGTTGGGATGTCTGAGCGGTCTGCGTCTGTCCAAAGATACTGCCTCCAGCAGGCTTAGCCTGCCCGAAGAGTGACATTTCGTTGTCGTTGAAAGCGAATCGCGTGGTGAAGCAGAAATGTTTGTCTACGCCTGCAAGCTCTGCGTGTATCGGACGGGTGGTTTCTTGAAAACGCGGTCGATTAATCCAAGATCGTCCTATGCGTTTCGCTGCTGGGGATCCAAGTTCCGGTCGTCGGTGCGCAATGCAAAAAGTGAGATCAAATTGGGATGCTCTTTGCGCTTCGCGACGCAGCTACCTTATTGTGCCTTACGCGAAAACAAAGTCCAACAAAGCTGCAGCCAGCGGCACCTCAGCCGCCCAAACACCGCGGCCAGCCTCGCCCCACCTTTCAGCCAATCACAACGACTCAATTCCAACCTCACCTCAAATCATCCCAGAGGCTCGTCTTCACGACATACCGCATATTACACCACGCAGCCTGTATAGCCCACGGCCGCACACAGTCACCCAACATGTCGACACGAAAGCCCTTGTACGTTTGACATTTCCCGGCCGCCCCGGCGATGGCAGCGTCGGGGAACAGCACGCACAATGGCCAGAGACTAACGTGACGGGCAGCTTCAACCAGGAAAACCTCATCGACACGACCCCCCTCCCCGACTCCGTGCCGAAAGTTCAGGAGATTGGCGCGACATCCGCTCCCCTCCTCTCGGCCTCCTTCTTCATCGGCAACCGCTGCCAGGACTACAACGATGACTACATGCAATGCAAGAACGAGAACCCCGGTCGCGGCGAGTTTGACTGCATGAAGGAGGGTCGTCGAGTGACCCGCTGCGCGTCCAGCGTGTATGTTCTCCCTCAATGACCACGCGGATGCATCACGAAAAGAAAAGAGTGGCACAGATGGACCGCGAGGCTGACCAGCGCAGGATCGACGATCTGAACAAGAGCTGCCTCGAGCAGTTCACCAACCACTGGAAGTGCCTCGACAACCACAACCAGCAGCTCTGGCAGTGCCGCCCCTTTGAGTGGAAGTTGAACCGCTGCGCCTTTGAGAAGCTGGTAGGGTTTCTTCCCCTCCTCTGCGCTGGCCTGCCGGCGACCAGGAAGCCGTTGCTAACCACCAGTCGCAGAACCTGAAGAAGGTCGTCCCTGACCAGCCCAACAACGTCACCCCCGTCGAGCAACGACCGCAGATGATCATGTCGGATCGCAAGTTCCGCGCCGTCGAGGGCAAGCCCTTTGTCCCCGGCCAGAGCGAGGAGGCCAAGCAATAAGCGAGGGCCAGGGTGGGCAAGCGAGCATGGGTTGAAGGTTCATGTTGGATCACTTGTTGGTACAGTGTATAGTTGAGCGAGAAGTGCTCCGATCAACGATTCATTTGTCTTGACGTACTTACCGCACCATTGGCTCATTAGCCGGATCGGCTCCGTATTGGTGAGGACCGTGGCTATCGATGTTTGCGAGTCGCATCTTGTGAACATGGTGTGTCATCCGCGAGCGTCAGAAATTGACTTGATATGCAGTTCCACTGCCACTTTCCGGGAACATTGGATATTCCTACACGTATGAACGGCTGGGCAATCGATACGATTTGTGTTCCCCAAGCACTTTTCAGTTTGAGGCTACCCTGCAACCCCCGGAACGGGGACCGAAGGGATGGCGAATTTGCGAACGACAGCAATAAACAATATCTCAACTGCGGTAACATTGACCTCGTTGTTCACTTTGTTTACGTAGATCCGTCGCAGCGCACGCGTCCAGCACAATGCGCAGAAATCTCTATTCTGAACATCAGCACAAGCTACCTTGTCCCAAACAGCATGCCGGCCCGCCATGCAGAAAAGACCTATAGCTTCGTTTCACGGAATAGGGAAGAAGAATGGAAAACGGTATAGCGTCGGTGCCTAAGCCTTCTCACCCACGGGAATCGTCATCTACAAAGACTTTCGACAACGATATCTAGATTTACCATTCTAATTTACAAGAACGGCACGGCACACTCAACCACCCCAGCTTCGAGGCGACCGAAAGCCACGAGGACACTGGTACCCGATACGCCCTTCCATGGTTGCTGAGCGTGGCAGCGAGGCAGTTCTCTGTAAAGATGAGCCCCTTTCTATTATGACTGCCGCATTCTGGCCGGGAGCGGACGGGGCGGGACAAGGATGTTATCATGGAAGACATGAGGATGCAGAAACATAGCTCTTCCCTATGCCGAGAATTCCGACCCTCCTGGCCATGTCGGGGTCGTCAACTTCACTAATCTTATCCCGTTCACACACTCTCCTAGTCTATTAGAGGCGGAAGACGACAGCCAGATGGCACCTTGGCGGAGATAACGCTGCAAAGCGCACTGCTATCAAGGCATCGGAAAGACCTGACAGTCATTCTTATTAGGCACGAACTCGGGGATCGCAACATAGGTTACTGGTGGTGCGGGTAGCATGTGCCATCTGTCGGGCTCGTCTCTGGTGTCATACGCGCCGATGAACAAGGCTGGGCCTATCACCATAGATGTCATCGGGCGAGAGTCATGCGCGGAGGTCATCTCAGGACGCTGTCGACCGCTGAGCGTTAGGTATGACTCGTCCAACCTGACAATGGCGACTAACAATACCAGCCTCATGTTTCTCACCTTTTGTCCAACGCCAGGCGTACTAGCAATGCGAAGCATATTCGGCCGCAAGAACTTGACCTGACCATAGGCGCGCCTTGTTCGTAATCACCGGCAGGCGCATTCGGTGAGAGCCTTGCTATTACATCCTTGGGTCACACGAGCGACGTCCGAATAGGGGCTGGCGGACTAGGGTTAGCACTCCTTGAGGAGCCCGAGTGACCGCACCTCGCCATTCTCAACGATACGGGATTGCAGTCCCATCTTGTAGAGTCCGAAATTGTCAAACAAAGTACTGGATGAGCACAATAATAATTTGCTTTCATCGATCGCAGAAAGCGCGAATTTCGACGTCACGGCCTGCGAGCGTTTGATGAGGGTTGGCCAAGGGGGTTTGGTTTGGTTCCGTTCAGGGTGTGGACGAAGCGATGCGGCTCCAGTCCCGTCCCGTCCAGTCAGCGCCGGCCAGTGTTACAGTACCCGCAATTGTTTCAAGCCAGGGGTAACAACACAAGGATCCCGCATTTGTGGGTTTGGAGATTTTCTATCAACGCTGGTCAGAATGTGGTGACCAGCTACGAGGCCTTGTTCCAGGCCACGTGAATTCCTCCAGAAAGGCAGAGCAAGAATGAGCTGCACCAGCAGTTGTGTCTCCCTTACTTTCTTGCGCTGTAGGCCGATAGCGGCCAGTGAAGCGTCTCAATGTCGCATGGTGAGCCAGATTCGTGGTGGCTACATGTAGATGGAGCTTGGGCTGTCAGCATTTGCAAGTTTGCTAGCATCCGAAATCTAGACCTGTGGGCCGTAGTAGACCGGGGCCCGCGGTCCCGGGAAACGAAGTGGCACGACAGGTATCAGAGGCGGATAGTTTGTGATTCCTGTAGACATCCAAGACAGCATCCGTAGTGCGTGCTGGTCCATGTCAAACGTGCATGAACGGCTCGATGAGCAACTCCAAGGCATATGATTATGGCCTACTTGAGATAACTTCGCGGGACTCTGCATGAGGCCATTTAAAAAGGCGATTGATGAAACAGCCACAGAGCAGTGGTACGACACGCGGAGCTGGACTAGACTGCTAGTGCTGGGTACCGTGGAGTGGGACAAAGGGCGCTGGCAACTTGAAACTTGGCTTCCAGTCTCTGTTGGACAATCATCCAAGCCCTGGTGCACGAACAGTCGAAAACGCAAGCATCGATATATAAAATGCCAACGAACAATGCACCGGTGGCCACAGCTTGGAATGGTGTTCTAGGGACAATGCATGCGTGGCCTAGTGCCTAGAGGAGCAGGGTCTGTCTTCGCCTAGCTGTTGGAATGCGGGGTGGTGATCTTGAGCTTCTAGCCCTCTCGCCTAGACTTCTGGAGAGAAACATTGCTCTTGGCGGATGCACACAGGGATCGCGCCTAGGGAAACTGCTCGCACCCGGATTCTAGCAATCGATTGCCTAGAACATCGCCATGGAACGCTACGTCGGTAGTGCACAGCCAGCTGCTAGGCTGCCTCACGTTGATAGTTTGTCCCATGTCTCATGCTAAAGTGGTTCTGACTTTTCGACGCTTTACCTGCGTGTTAATGAGATCCATGCCTTTGATCATGTACACGTACGTACAAGTACTCCTGAAGTGGTTAATTAACTCACTCACTCGGAGGCCTCGACTCTCTGTTCATTAATTACTAGGTGCAGTCGTGCAGCTTGACCTCGAGATTGGGGCCGTTTCAGAGTCGCCCGCCGACATGAGGGACCCAGTGGACAGAGCTTGTTTAATGGAGCCGCAGCCCAATCGTTGGCTCCCGAAGTTTCGGAAGCTGGGATCACACGCAGTGGTGGGCGCCATCTGCAAGGCACGCGGCACCCCTCGTTGGTTGTTGCTGTTGCTGTGCAAGGACTTGTGATTAGGCGACACCGACTGAAAGAAGCCCTCTTGTCCAGTGCTTATTAGCGCTGGGGGGCCGGCACTGATGTTGGCCCGACCTCTACTGGCGCTTCATGTCACAACATTGAAGTGTGTCGTCGCTGGGGCATTCAACTGCAGTTCTGAGCTAGAGGCCTAGCAATCTGCCGGTGACACAAGCGTGAGCGCCGTCCATCGCTGGCTCACACACAGTCTAGAGGTCAATTGTGCCGGTGGGAGGCCTGGCTGACGATCTTCATCTAATCGGCAAGCGAGTTGCGGGCGATCTCTGTCGGCACATTCTATGCACTTGGAAAGGTGCCGTGCAAGCTGGCGTTTCTACGAAAACTCATTCTCGTCAATGACCCTCTGATTAATGTCTGGACACACCGAGAGGCACGGGAGAGCAGGTTCGGAATCTGTAACAGGCCGCCTCGTTGTGTTTGTTTGAGGCGGAGGGGGCCTGTTAGTGCCTGCTAGAGAAACACCCTCTCCCCCCCTACAGAGGCGCCGACAGATGGTGGCCTTTGGCGCCTGCTGCTCGCCGCAGGAAGGGGGGGTGTGTCCTCTGGAGACAAGCGCCGGCCCTAGCAATCCTCATGCCTGGACATGCCCCTTTGTCCATCCCCTCGATCAATCTCTCTGGGCAGTGGTCATCCCCATTCCACTGTCCTTCATCAACGGCCCCCTGCTGTCTCTCGTTTGAAGCCGAGTCCTTGATCTCGGCACCCCAGTCCAGTCGATCGTTTTTAACGCGTGCACTTCCTCCTCCCACCCGCTGATCCGCCCTCTCTCCCCCCTCCTCCCACAGAGTCTAAAGAGTCGCTGGTGTCGTCCGACCTCACTTTTTCTCTTCTTCCACTCCTTCACCCACCGGCTACACACTCCTTTCCGGTCTTTGGCGTCGTCCACTGACCCATTACGCTCCTTATTCCCAAACCGCCGCGCCTCATTGTCCTCGGACCACCCACACGCTCCCTCACCCACCCACGTGTCCGCAAGTAGAAAAGAGACCTGTGGTCCATCGCTCAAGAACACCCTTTGCAGCAGCATTCAACTCCCGCAGGCGGTAGCAAGCAGCAAGGTCCATTGTCGACTCTTGACTTTCTTACGACACTCACGGCTCTCTCTCCTTGAAGGAAGTATCAACCACCAACCATCTCGCCAATCGTCAGCAGTGCTGCCCCAGCTGGTTCTGAAACGACCAAAAAACAACTGCTCAATAGCTCAAAAAACGATTGTACGTTATTTTCATCCGTTCTTTGTTCTTCAGTCTGTTTCGCGTGGAGGTGGAAACAAACGACAACGTTTCGCCTGCTCCCGATGCGTCGTCTGCTCACTCCATGTCCGCAAGCGCGGACATCGATTCTCCTATTCTTCACCAGGAAACCTTCGGCCAGAAACGCTCTCGAACGCAAACGAACTTTTGGGAGTCCAGAACCACTTGCTACCCCGGATTGAGCCCCTCCATCGAGTCTACCCTTTTTTTTCCGCCCTGGACTGAGACCATGTTTCACAACACATTCCTGTCCAAACAGCATTCCACAACTCATGGACTGAAAGCGATATTGGACCTACCCAACTCGCAGCACATTTCCCGCTGAAAGCAGAGCTTTTGTGTGAAACAGAGGATACCAGCCACCTGGTTTTTGTCCCCATTCCGAGCAACCACGTTTTCGACGACCCTGGATCTCATGCATTACATGACGTAGAAAGCCTTACTGACGCGCTACTTATACAGACAGTCGGACTTTTGGATAAACCAGACTCAATCAAACATCAACGTGAAAAGCAATCACTCTAGCAAGATGAAGGCTTCCATGTTTCTTGCCGCCACTGGCGCTGCGCTGGCCGTGGCTAGCCCCATCCGTGTGCCCCTGGACAAGCGCGCCATGGAGACCGACTGGGTCGTCGAGGTTGTCACTGTCACTGTCACCGCGGGCCAAGAGCCCGCTGGCGTCTTTTACGAGGTGCCCACGTCAACAACGTCCGTCGAGGTCGTTGAGCCCACGGTCGTGCCTCAGGAGAAGACCCAATCTCTTCCCAAGAAGAAGCCCCAGCCTGAGGCCCCGGCACCGGTCATCACAACTGTCGTCGTGCCCCAGCCCAGTGCCGAGCCCCAGCCTGAGCCTGAGCCTCAACCCGAGACGACCACCGCTGCTCCTGAGCCTGCCCCTGAGCCCGAGACCACCACTGCCGAGCCCGAGCCTACTACTGCGCCCGCGCCCGAGGAGCCATCCACGGACAGCTACGAGGGTGTGATGCTCAAGCAGCACAACGTCCACCGCAGCAACCACTCGGCGCCTGCCCTCTCGTGGGACTCGACTCTGGCCGGCTACGCCAAGACCATTGCCGAGGGCTGCGTCTTTGCGCATGACATGAACCAGGGCTCCGGTGGCTACGGCCAGAACCTGGCCTCGTGGGGCACCACGGATAGCATGGACGGCCTCAAGAACAAGATGGCGGCCAGTGCCGTCACCGAGCAGTGGTACAATGGCGAAGTGAACGCCTGGACATTCTACGGCATGGACAACCCTCCCTCGAACTCGCCTCTCACCGCATGGGGCCACTTCACCCAGGTCGTCTGGAAGTCGACCACCAAGGTTGGCTGCTACACGGCGAGCTGCCCCGCCGGTACTGTCCTGCAATACCCATCGTTGTACACTGTCTGCAACTACGACCCCCCTGGTACGTCCACCCGTGCGATATAGTAGAAATGGAAATGTGCTAACGAACGGTCACAGGCAACTACGGTGGCGAATACGCTGACAACGTTCTCAAGCCCCTGGGCATGGCCACCACCAATGTCTAAGTACTAGGCATCTGAGAAAAAAAAGGTGGAGGCCCATTAGCGATGATGACGAGACGACAGCCCACCCAGCACGCCGCTTGGCACTGTTCTCTTCTTTTCTTTTTGCTGCTGGGATGGTCGGCATGGGCGTCCTCCTTGTGTGTGCAGAGCAAGACCGTAGGGATTCTATCCAAGGATGCTCGAGAGAGAAAAAACAAGGCAACACAAAACATTCTTCTTCACTTCTTCAGTTGTACGTTATGCCAGTCGTACTTAACCACTTCATCTTTGCTTGCCGTTCGAGCAAGAAAATTCTTTGCACCCTTTTGGGGGGTCTTACTCTTTGCATTCTTTGTTTCACGCATGGTGATGGCTTCATGGTCAGAACGCGTCGGGAGAGTTTGGGGAAGGGGGCATGAGACCAGGGGTATGCATCTTCATTGTGCGAGGCTAGAGGGCAGGCACCTAAGCTGCTTTTGCTGGTGTGTAACCCAAGGTCAGGTGCCGGTGCGCTAGAGCGATGAATTGGATAGAAATCAATTGAGTCAAGAATGGTGTTCACACTGATGGTATCATTTGATGTCTGATGGCTGAGTGAAGTTGGTGGCGACGTGCGGAATTCTCAACTGAGATCAGTACGTGCCACTTCCGACGTAATGCGTGTGTCCTAGCCTTGGAATCGGAACACATAAATATTGAATGTCAGAAGAATACCATGTCAAGTGAATCATAGACTTCAATGAAACTCCCTTCATAAGCCGGAGGGTTCTTAGCTTAGCTCGGAAATCCCGCTTACCAATGACCAATGAATACTAGCCGCGCGGTGGCGCGGATAGCGAGTCGGGTGCGGACCGCAGATGATGCCGCCGAAGGGCGCGGACACGGGCTTCGATTCTTGCAGCAGAGACCGGTACTGTAGCAAAGCCTCCGCCTGTGTTGATACGAGATGCGGTAATGACGGGGTTGACTGATTGACTCTACGCATAATACACTGTACTACATACAGTACTAGTTTTGCCACGCCGCGGCCCGGGTCTGGAGGCCAGAGCCAGTGGGAATTTAGCTGGGGGCTGAGATGGTATTTCGAGACGGACGATGCTCGGGTTGTCGGGAGTGGTTGTGGCACCGATTGGAGAAGATGGGTTTTAGCTTGTCGCGTGATGGGGAATGGAGGGACGCAGTGATGCTTGTTTACGACGGCGGAGGAGGACCTGAGCTGAGCTGTGATGGTGGCCTTTCTTCCACTGACGGATGGGCGGGCAGGCAGGCAGGCAAGGACTGGATGATCGCAATGAACCGTTCAGATCTGTTGAAACCGTTGTCTTGTTAAAGGTCTCGGAGATCCCACTGCTGCAGAGCGACGGAATTACGTAGCAGTTCCGTGGCTTACTGATTCGGCGTTTTGTACGTACCTTAGCTGTTTTCCCTGCGGATTTAGTTGATGAAAAAGGCTTATTAGTGAACCATGACCAAGCGTGTCCGTGGCGTTCCGCCAATCCGACGGCCAAGCCAAGCAAACAACCAGCTGAGCCCACCACTCTCCTGTCGCTCGTCCTTCCGTCAGCACTGGCCCGAGATTGTGTTAGCCACGACTGGAGCTGAACTGATGAAACTCCTGTTGCTGATGCTGCGAGAGGAGAGCAGGCCGATGCTCATTATCAAGACATCGGCGATGGCCTGACAGACAGGTGGTTTGAGCTGCCAACGACTGAGCGTGGTGTCGGAAATGGGATGGATGGTGGTGCGGAAATAGTATTGCGAAACTCCAGTCCTTGACCAACTGAAAAGGTGCCTGGGACGTCCGTCTCCACCACCCTCGCCCATCTTCGGTGGCCGACGCAGCGAGTCGACAATTGAACGCAACGACTGTCCACGATTGTTTGTAATGGCCTCCTGCTTAGGATCATTCGGAAGTTTCGAGGCACGACTCAGCTTGTCGATACCTGGGATTATACCCACGGACGTGCTGGTGATGACGAGCGAGATTTGGACCGAGGTGCTATCATCTTGAAGTGTGGAGAAAGGCCTAACAGTCCGGACATAGGCGTGTCCGTCCACTGGAAAGCCGCCCTAGGATCGCTGGAGCCGTCTAGTCCTGCTGGAGCTCCGGCGCATAGCATGGCCTGCTGCTTGCTTCCATCAGGTCGCCGTGCGATTTGAAATCAGTCCACCATCCAACCTCTCAGCCTGCCTGCCTGCCATACATATAACATTGGCTCTCGGTCCCTCGCGCGGGGGCCACTTGCGTCAAGGGACATTGAACACATCCATTCTCCCAGCTGTCATCCTCTTCACATTACTTACTTTCCTTGCTACGATACAAGAGCCCCGGACCATAAGAGCGATTCGGGTATTATCCCGGCCCCGACTACGGCTACGTACAGCCATATCCAGCCCAGTACCACCTGTGCTTTGCTTTGCCTGCCTACTACTAGTCTAGGCCGTATCCGTTATTAATTGCCGACGACACCCACTACCCATCTCAACTGGTATCGCATCAACCTGCTTTTGCCATTTCTCTCCCAGACATACCGGATTCGAGGAGAGCCATAAGGAGCAGCGCAACTCGCAGGATGAGCAGCACGGTCTTTGTCGAACACCAACACGTGCAAGACTCATGTCTCGGTAAACGCATCTCGCCCCCACCAGTCGATCTACATCTCGGACCGCCCACCACAGCGGCGGCCAGCGACAGCATCAGAAAGAGACCCTGCACAATGGCGGCGCGCGCCGCTGTCGCCGCAGCCGCCACGAGCCTACCCTCGACCTCGGTCCAGGGACACCACCCACAGCCACCCTCCGCAGCGACGACAACACCGCCCACGTTGACGAGACAAACCACGGCGGAATCGGCTGATGGCGTCTGGGGAGCGGCTGATGACGGGGCCGAGAAAAGTGAACAGCTGGACATGAGCCACTTGTTGCCAGCATTGCCCTTTCGCGGCGAGGGAGAGGGCGAGCCATGTCCGTTGGGCAAGTATGTTCAAAGGATTCTTCTTTGCAGTCTCTGTTGCTGACAAAACGGCCAGATCGGTAGACGAAACCTGCCGCCGCGCACTCGACCACTTCCCCTGCCCCAATGTCGCCTTTCCGACGCCAACGCTCGAGTTCGACTTTCGCGTTGCAGTCGCCCTGAAGAATGAGCCGTCGCAGGTGCAAGGCCGCGCCCACAAGGAGATCACGGCCGTCTCCTCCGGTTCCTGGTCCGGGTCCTTTGGTCACGGCAAGGTCATGGCCGGAGGCTACGATCTCGGCCAAGCCAGGGGCTTCCGTCCCATCCGCATCGTCGAGGGCGCCTTTATCATGCAGACGACAGACGAGCCACCAGCCACGTATGTCCAAGCCCCTCTCTCAATGCGCATTTTGACTGACTGACCCGTCAACAGCCTGGAGATGCGTACCCGTGGCTCCCTCTCGGGACCCTGTGACATCCTCGACGCCCTGCTCAGCACGCGCTCGGCCAACACCATTGACCCGCGCAAGTATGGCTTCCGCATGTTCCTCACCATCAAGACTGCCGACAAGCGATACGCCGAGATTGTCAACTGCGGACTGTGGGTCGCCAGTGGCGTCTGGAAGGCGGAGGAACTGATCATCGACGCGTACCGCGTGGCGTGAGACGGATGTTCTTCTCTTCTCTTCTCTTCCGCTCCTCTCCTTTGTTACTGGGTTGGCCACGGACTTTGGGCGCAATGGTTCTTTGGGCATAAGCATGGGGGCAGGTCGCGTGACTGGTCCGGGAGGGGCACAGAACCCACGGACCGGCCTTTCGGCGCTGATGGAGTTTGTTTCTTTTGCTGATTTGGGATGCATGCCTAAGCAGACAGGCAAGCGCGCGCAAGCATGGCTCGGAGTTTCGGGAAGGACAGTGGTGTATGTGATTTCGGCTGCGTTGTGTTTGATGATTAATCAAGGCTATGATGACGCCAGCCATCGCGTGCCCCGTGTCTGTGGCAATTCGTCGTCAGCATATGCACATGTCCGTGGTGCCTGACTGAGCTGCTTACCACTGCATGTGTCAGGGTTGTTGTCCATCCCTTGGTAACTTTCTGCTGTGCTGCCGCGCGCAAAGCCTCTCGGATCGCACCAAGCGGCTTACCTGAGCGTGATCGTTACCTCGAGAGCGCTCACTTTCCTCACCCTGCTGCTCTCCTCCTCTATACCTCCGTCATTGTCGTCGTCATTGTCGTTTTCATCTGGCCCGGGAACGATGTCGTCCACAGCTCCAATACTCTTGGTCCTCATTTCGACCCCAAACTGAGGTTTGTCATCAAACCACCCTGCCACACCCACAACCTTCTCTATCGCCCGCCCCGTGCCCATCACGGTGACGCTGCGCTGCTCCTGGCCCTCGTCCACGTTCTTCTCGAGGTACGTTATCCTGCTCTCCAGGCTGGCGTTTTTGGGTGCCGAGCGCGCTTGGGACGGGGCGTGGAGGAGGGTTTTCCGGATGCGTGTGATGGTGGCCATGAACGGTGTGCGCGTGCTCATGTAGATGATGCGCGCGTTGGCAGAGGAGGGCGGCTGGGAACGCGTCAAAGGGCGTTTGCGTACTCGATAGCCTTTGCTTGTGAGCGGACATTGAGAGGGACAGTAGATGCCTGCGCAAGCAAACAATGGGCCTGACTGACCTTCGGGAATGCACGGTAGCTTGTCATGAGTGGCCGACTTGGCTTCGGGCTCCAAGTGCGCCATGGCGACATTGGGGGACCAAAAGTGCGTATTCTGACTTTTTTTGTTTGACTAGATCATGAGTGCCTTGTATCTGTTCAAACAATGAGTTCTGCTCGTGGTTGCGCGGTGGTTTGGTTTGTTTGTCGGGACCAAAAGTTTAGCATGAGCGTGCACAGGGTGGAGTCACGTGACATCTGGCTGTACCAGGTAACGTCAAGTTTCAACCCAATATCATCTCCAAGTCAACCACAATCATCAGGTAAGTACTCTCCTTAGCACCTCCGATGTCCCCTGCGGCTGCCAGTGCGCTCCCCGTGGGCCATGCCATAGAATGATAGCACAAAAAGTGGCAAAACGGTAACCCGTCAAAGCTGCGACACACTTGGCCACATGAGCCAGTGATGTGAAGATGGAAGCTTGGGGACAGAGGAGAGCAGAGATTTCAATATTTCGATACATCTTCTATATATACATGTCCATTCACTGGGTTTACAACCCCTGGGAAGCCCAAAGACTCCGCAGCTCACTCTCCTGCGCCAGCAGCACCTCCGGCCTCCCAGACTCCAGGATCTTCCCCTCGCCCATGACTATCACGAGGTCGTACTCTTTCAAAACGTCCAGTCGATGGGCAACCTCTAGGACAGTGCGTCCCTCGAACTGCCGCTTCAGCACCTTCCTAATCTCCATATCGCTCTCACGATCCACGCTGCTCGTAGGCTCGTCGAGCAGAAGAACCTTGCTGCGAGAGAGCAGACAGCGTGCCAGGCAGAATAGCTGCTTCTGCCCGGTGGACAAGCCAAGTTCGGCCATGTCCGCATCCAAGCCGCCGCGGGCCTCCACGAGAGGCCAGATGTTGGTCCTCTGCAGAGCTGCTACCAAGGTCTCGTCACACTGTACCTGCGTCTCTGGGTCGAGGTTGGCGCGAACGCTGCCAGTGATCTCAATGGGGTCTTGCGGAACAGTGGCGAGGCGAGACCGGATAAGTTGACGTGGTAGAGTGGAGAGGTCGACTCCGTCTATCCTAATCGTGCCGTGCTGCAGCTCCAACAAGCGGAGAATCGACAGCAGCAGTGAAGACTTTCCACTGCCAAATGTTAGCGATATATCCGCGCTGATGGCCACATACTGCCGGCTTACCATCCAGACCGCCCGCAAATGGCGACCTTTTGACCCGGTGCAATGCCGTGGGAGATGTCGTGCAGCACAGGTTTTCCACCATCACTGTATGCGGCCGTGACCCCCTCGAAAGTGATGGCACCTCGCGCAGGCCATTCATTTGCAGTGCCGCCAACCTCTTCTTTCTTGTCTTCGTTTGGCGTTTCTTGGACAAACAGCTTCAGTCGAGCAATAGCGCCGAGGGAGGTCTCCAGTTCAGTCCACTGGCCAATCAAGATGGTCAGAGTCTGTCCAAAGTCAAGCAGATTGACCATGGCCAGGGCGATGGCCCCCTGAGATGTCGAATTTTGGACCTTGAGCGCAACCGATACCAGGACAACCGCCAAGCCGGCCACAAACAGGTCAAGCACCAGCTGCAGCCACAGCTGCAGACACATCATCAGATAGTACGGCTTCTGCGAGACGTCGAGCTTGCGCGTGTTCGCCTCCTGGAAGGGCCGCGCCCAGCCAAATGCGCGGACGGTGGCCACGCCCGCGACTGTCTCTGTAAAGTGCGTATACAAGGGCGCCTTCATCTCGAGGTCGAGGAAGCGCATTTGTCGCGAGGTGCGGAGATAGTACTTTTGAACAAAGAGGAGAGCCATGGCGATGAACGGGATGACGGCTGCGACATAGCTAGCCCCGGAGGCAATGATACCTGTCTGAGCGACAGCACGTAGCAAGACTAGTTGTATGTCAGTGGGTCTGACGCAGTTGCGAGGCTCAACGACTCACGCATGGCTGTCATGTAGGCTGCGAGAGGAAGCACCTGGTCTATCAGAGTCATGTCCTGGCTGAAGCTGCGATGCTGTCAGCCAAACCCGTTGGCTCAAATGCACACCTGGACCTACCGGTTGAGTATTGTGCCGCTCTCAGTCGTGGTGAAGAAGTATAGAGGTGCGCTTCACGTGTCAGCCTCCATGCATGGCACTATTCAGAAGGGCAACAACTAACTGGCACACTGTCCGCAACAATGTTTCGTGGAGATAGCTCGCCGATTTCTCAAAGCCCACCATGACGAAAAACCTGTCAAGACGTCAGTGACAGACCTAGTTAACTTTGTACCTGGGTCAAGCGTACCCAAGAGAGGTGACGCCCACGAGCACGGCTGCCACAACGAATGACACATAGCCAGCGGTGTAGCCTGCGTCTTGGGACGCTGCACCCTTCTCCGTCCATAATTTGAGCCATACCCTTGGCATAGTCTCAAGTCCAACGGCGGCCGAGATCATGACAAAAGATAAGCTAGCAAAGCGCCAGCCGAGTGAGCGGAAGTAAATCTTATAGCACTCCCAATCACCAGTTTGCCGTGCCAGATCGTGCTCTTGAAGGGTGTCTTCTGTGGTGTTTGTCAACTGTCCGATACGTTTCACGACTTCTTCTTCTTCCTCATCTGCTTCAGAAGCCTCGGGTCCATTCGTAAGAGCGCCCCAATCGGAAGGCTTGAAGGACTCGTAGGCCACCTGATTACGAACTATGCGGCCTTCTTCGAGCATGGTGATATGGTCCGCAGCAGAGAGCAAGTCGGCTAGTTTCTGTCAGCAAGGTCCAATTTACAACCTTACAGCTCTCAGACTCACGGTTGCTCGTGGAAAGAACAACAGTTGCGTTGCTCTTCCGGAGTAAACCATCTGGACCCAGCAGCCGTTGGAAAACAGTGCGGGAGGTTTTGTTATCCAGGCCGCTGAAGACATCGTCTAGAATTACCAGATTCTTCCGTGAGTACACAGCGCGAGCCAGAGCCTGCCTTGGTCAGCCTTGGTCAGCCATGAGGCGGCATCGTGGCACAACACTTACAATTCTCTGCCTTTGACCGCCGCTCAAGGCGATGCCACCTGAGCCGACCAGAGTATCCTCGCCCTTGGGCAGAAGCGACAGATCCTGATCCAATGTACATGCCGAAATGACAGTCGAGAGCCAGACCTCGTCGAGTGGGGTTAGTCCGACAATGTTGTCTCTGATGCTGATATTCTGTAGCCAGGGCGCTTGATCGCAATATGCGCACGACTGCCAGGCTGATTTGACCTCGCCACTGTCCGGGGCAAGCTCGCCAACCATGGCTTTGAGTAGTGAGGACTTGCCGCCTCCAACACGACTGACGATCATTGAAACTGTCTCTCGATGGACCTCCATGTTGATATCCCGCAGCAGTGTGATATCCTCACCGACCTTGAACGAGGCGTCAGTGATCTTCACTGCGGGCCCAGTGGCTTCCAAGCGTGAGTTCTCGTTGTCCACGATATCCTCCATCTCCAGAGATCCTAGATAGAATGCCTTCGCAGGGGAGTTGTCCTTCTGGTGCTTCTTCTCAGGGACCACAGGGGCCCTGAGATCTGCATGCTTGTCCAACATCAAGAATGTCTGGATCCGCATGAACGAGCCGCAGATGCCAGCGGCCTGCGTCAAGGACACAATAAGCATGATGATGGGCTGCGTTGCAAGGGAGATAATGGATAGCGAGGTGAAGGCCTCTGTGATGCTCAATCCTTCTCCTGCCTTCGTCCAATAGATCGCTGCCAAAATGACAATCAATGGCGTAATATCCCACGAGACGCTACCTAGACACAGTCAGCGCATGAATTGAGGAGCATAAGGGGTCGCATACTCAGTGTGGTAAGACCAGTAAGGAGCCAGCGCACCCTTCTCGATGTCTTGATCTCACGAATTCGCAGGCTCCGAATCACCTGTTGGAAATAGTCAGTGAGTCCCATCATCTTGACCCCTTTCATCTGACGGAGCATGCCGGATGCCTGCCCGACTCGCTCCTGAACAGCTGCATTCCACGCCATTTGGGCTGGCTCCATAGCCGGGGCCAAAGCGCCACTCAGAAGAGTTGTGACGATGGTAGGGATCAGAATGAACAAACTCGGCAGTCCGACTTGACGGTATAGAATGTAGACCCCGACCGGGAGCTCGATGAAACAAGCCCAGATCTCGTGCAGGCCGGTTGCCCCCAGCAATTGCTCAACGTCGGTTGACATGAGCGTGACCGGGGCGTTTTCCTTGATGCTCGTCGTCTGCAGCTCAAGGGTCTTTTGATAGATCAGCGAGACTAGGGAGCCCCTGTACATGGTCACCATCTGGTTCAACGTGTGTCTATACCATAAACCAGCAACAGCACGGCCAATAAAGATGAGGACCGTTGCCCCTATGAGGCCGCTGGCAATCTGGGTGGACCATGCTCCCTCCGAGCTACCGATGTATGTGATCACTTCTCGAATGAGGAAAGGCTGTGCAAAGTTGAACCCTGAGTAGAGGAGTCTCGGGATCACGCCTGCAGCAAATTGCCACTTGTAGGTGCCAAAGGTACATGATAGTAAGGCCAAGGAACTCTCCTTAGAGTCTGTGCGAATTAGTCAACATTGCATTAATGATTGAAGCATATGAAATCTTACGGCTTTCCCACCTGGCGTTCAGTCTGTCATGAAGTGACTCGGAATTTAGCTTGTGGTTGATGTTGTCCAAGTCGTCGATGGTAATCAGATGTTTTGCGCCCCGGCAGAACAGCCCATTCAACCACCAGAACAGGCTGCGACTGATAATGCCTGACGATGTTTCCTTCGAATATGTCCTGTCAGCCAGGAGAGGTGTCTTGGGGAGCTCCTCCAGGACCAGGAGCGCTGATTTGCATAGCAAAGACGTGGTGAAGACGCCTGCGATGGCGTTGGCGCCATCTCGGATCCAGAACGTTCGGGAGAGGGCAATGTCAAGGATTGTGGTTAAGACCAGATACCCGTTGAGGAGGACAGATGGCCGCGTAGATTTGACATGCTCGAAATAGGACAGTACGGCTATGGCGACAGCTTCTATAATTGCAACTGTTGGCTCCGCAACGGAGGTCTTTGCTTTTGGGGCGGGTGCCTTTATCCAGAGGACAAGAAGGGTAATCTGAAGGCAGGCATACACAAAGATGGCTGCCTAGATAGGTGTAAGTCAGCCTGGAGAAGTACGAAGACTGCCTAGTTGTAGTACACCTACTTCTTTGGAGTACAAATGCTTTCCATGGGCGACCTTGTTCTTTGTCTTTGCCAGAGGAATGATGCGTAATGGGGTTAGCAGTACAAATAAAGTTGTTGGCAGCAATGACAGGATACTTTGCTCGAAGAGGATGGTGAAGTCAAAGAGGCCCGGCAGTCGAGGACCAAAGTGGTTGTCGCTCACCATGTTGTCGTTGGCGCATCTAGACTAATAGAAGTTTAGAACACCGCGCGACACAAGATCGTATTCACGGGCTTGACAAATGCGCGCGATCCTCAGGTATATAAGCATCTCTGGGCGTAGCAGCCATCCTCAGGCACTGATAGGTATTGTGCTTAGAGCCAACAGTACAAACCGCTGTGACCATTCAGAACCCCCGTAGTGTGTGCCCAGGCGGCTGAGCACTGGCATTCTATAACACTACCAATCAAGATGAAGCGAAGCTGAGGATGACCGCACGCGAAGTGAGGACTGGATCGGGCATAACCGTACGAGAAAGAAAGCTTGCCTTGTCGGAATGATTGCTATTAGGTTGCAAGAGTAGCGCAGCCACACTGCTTGTCTTGACATGTCTACCTTGCCTTGGGTTGACTCTTCGTGGCAGACGCAGTCACGCTCCAAGTGAGTACTTTGCGGCCGTCGAGTCTCGTTTGCCACACGGCGAAGGGATACCTATGTACATGGCAAGTAAGGCATGTTTACATGTAGGTTTGATAAGCTCAACGGGCAATGAGAGAGTACGACAATTGCGCGAAGTTGGTGGACTGGTTACTACGATAATTGCGATGTGGGGTGACTCGATTGATGCGCGCACCCTGCAGCGGCGGATAATAAGGGAGCAATCCACAGTCCCCACCAGCCTCAACGTCACCACGTATTTGCTCGCGCTCCAAACCACGCCCTTAGCTTGCTTCACCGCAGCAGCAGCATCACCAGCGAAAGATCACCGGCATGGCTGCCTGCCATTCAAACGGCCAGATCACCTAAAGCCCAGCATGTCACTCGACATCTGGCCACCTATCCCGCCCGCCGACTTGAGGCAAAAAGAGGCCGAGACGCAGGTTCGTCTTCCCAACCATTGTCAACCACGGTTCCGAGCGAGCGCGCAGAATCACCAGAAGGAGCACGATGCTAATCGACTTGAAGGCACGCGAGCTGGGATGGATCACCGCCGAGACCCTGCGAGTCTGTGAAGAGCTCAAGCATGGCCTGGAGGATTGCTATGCCCTCCTCGCGCCCGTCGATCCCGGAAGCACCCTCGTCATGAGCACCGCCCGAAGCGAGAAGGTCAAGGGAACAATCACCCGCGTGGGCACTCGCATCGTCAAGGGCGTAAGTTGACGAACTCTTGGAAGCATCGCAAGAGCTAAACTATCGCAGACCCTCAACCTCCAACTTCGAACCATGCCTCCTCAGAACCCCCAGCTCTCTCCACAACACTCCATCCACATCCCCGCCCTCGACGAACTGCACAATCACCTGAACGAATCACTCGAGTTGCTCTCCGTCATCCTCTCGGCAAAGCAGGCTCCCGACGCCAAGTCTCTTGCAGAAACTCTTACTCTACTCTCCGAATCCATTGCAGCGTCTGCAGCTCTTCTCAAGGGGCCTCCGCTCACAGCTCCCGATCAGTCGTGGACGACATCATCATGTCCTCCCGGGATCTTTTCTCCGCCCCTGGCTCCGAACATTAGCTTCCATATCGGTCTGCAGGACAGCTGCATTGTCTTGCTGATTCGTGCCCTCGAACCATGCCAGGCGCCCGTGCACACTTTGACCAAGCTGGGACTGGCCATTGGAACTGTTCGACGCCTGGAGCACGACGAAATGGATTTGGTATTCAAGTACAACGTCGGCGGCTACGCAGAGGCAGGCTCGAGGGGTCATGGTGGACAGCGTAGCTCCGAGGCCACGCGGCAGCCGCAGTATGCACCAAACGCGGAAGATGTGTATGTCCGTGAAAAGGTGCGCGTCGAGAGCGGCGACCCCAGCTTGATTTCTTTGTACTCGAAACTAGGCTTCTTGAGTCATGTCTTGGGCCAAACGAGACGGAATCTAGCGGCTGTGATCGGATACGATATGGATTGAGGCAGGTTACTTAGGCGTCGGATACCCTCGGATCATGCGCTGGTCTTTCACTTGGCATGATTGGAACGTTTTATCGTGTGAATGAATAGTGTTTAATGCACACACTTGGACTAAGGAAATGATAATGCAGTACCTGTACATGTAGCAGTATTGCGCCTGCGCGCCCATGTGACCGTGAAAAGAAACTTGTGTGCCCAACCATGACCATATCAACCTCCCCATGCTTATGCCACGGGGGACCACGGCATGGGAATCAGCACCCGCGACTTCATCTCCTGGATCAGTGGCACTGTCTTGTGCACCGTATCGCTCCAACCTTCCACCGACCAGCTCTGCTCGCGCCTCGCCCTTCGCTCCTCCAAGTTGGCGAATTGCCAGAGATGGTGAACCGTGTTGAGCTCACCAATCTGGACAAACCAGGCGCCAACGCCCTCCATAACCTCGCGGCGAGCCTTCAGGCCCCGCCTCCAATGTGTTTCCCACTCCAACAGGTTGCCAGGATGCAACGTATACGATCGCAGCTCAAAGACACCACCCAGTTGGCGTGGAGGCGTAGTGGGCCAGAAGGAAAATTCCTGCATGAGAGATATCTTCTTTGACTTGATCAACTTGGCGAGTTTGCGGTCAAAGTCGGCGAATTCGGGATGGTGCGTAATGTTATGGCGCGAGTCATGGTATCCTTCGTACTTCTGGTATTCCCAGATATGAACTGTACCAAAAGTTAATCATTTAGTGTAAACAGTAGCAGGGTACTTGTACTCACCAAAAGTGTCGCAGTCCCCGACCTCTGTCCGCCAGCTGCCCACCAAGTGCACCTTGTTCTCGGGTAGGTTGGCCATCTTAGGGTACCACTGGCCCACGAGCTCAACGTACTCGTCCACCTTATCGGGCTTGACTTCGTGAAAAACAATCGAATGAACGTACTTGCCCCGGGCAAGTACTTGGCTGAAGCTGGCCTCGATTTGGGCATCCATCTCACGGCCCTCCTTCGTGCCGTAGATGAGGTTCGTCAGCGCGCCCGACTTGCGCTCCGGCTGGTGCTCTTTACTTTGAGCCGCAGTGCCTGTTGTCTCATTAGCCGTCTGGCTCGCAGCCTGCGTCTTCCCAGTCGCAGGACTGGAAGTGGAGGCAGCCGGTTCCTGGCGGGCCAACGCACGAGCTTCCCGTTCCTTCTGTGCCTTGATCAGCTGCTCTCTGAACTGCTGCTGCTTCCTGTTGAACTCGTCCACGGTCGTGCGCGAAGGGCTGATGTCGCCCATGGAAGGGGTGGCGGATTGCTGCAGCGCGGTCGAGCTCAGAGCCCTCACGCCGGAGCGTGGAGCCGCTGAAGCTAGACGCGTGACGCTTCGAGACAACATTGTCATTTCGAACAGACAGTATTGGGATAGGCAAGATGATGAGGGTGTTGCGAGCTGATACCCTCTAAAAGAGCCTGAATGGCCCCCTTGCGATCAGAGAGGTACAGTCGAGTACAGCGTGGAGCAGTTCAGACAGCACAGGTCAGCTTCTAGAGAGCAGTGGCCTAGATTGGTCGGCGGCACAACAGGAGGGGAGCACCGAGCGATGCGAGAGACGGACGGACAGACGCAAGCTTGTGGCGCGTGTGTGTGTCTGCGTGTGTCTGTGGTGTGTGGTAGCTGCAAGCAGTGCAAGGTAATGAATTAGAGAGAAAGGCAGGTGAAAGGCCCAGGTGCTGGACGGGAAGGATGGTGGAGGGTAGCGCCGGGAATCGATTGGACGGCTGGGATGAAGGGTAAGGCAAGCAAGCTGCTCACCCCGCACTCCAACGACGCTGAAATGTGTGAAAGGTGTTCTGGTTAGTGCGGAGCAAGTTGCACTCGGAGATGATTGAGGCTGGGCTTTGGATGAATGAGATATGTTCGCGAGTTGGATGTGGTTTGTTGATTTGGAGCACCTAAAGTACGACCTGACTCCTGAGACGGGCGACTAGCAACCCCAATGCCTGCAGCTCCTTCTCCAGCTCCCTCTCCGCAGAAAGGGATGATGTCACAAACCCAATTGTCCGCAGTCACGTGTTCCTTGGCAGCTGGCCAAAACGCGGGGTCGGTCAAACGTTAATACGAAGTCCGGCCTCGCTGGAAGTACTTTTGCCTGAGGCTGCCAATTCAACGAGCTGGCGGCCGGCTGCGGGACAACTCGCCGGAACGACGAACGCTTGGCAGTGCATCGGAAAAAGGCTCGTCGTCAACGACTACCGCATCTCGACGATATCCCCAACCACGACATCTCCGACACCGAATCCCTCGTCGACTCACCCCCAATCGCCATCATGTCTTTCCTCGGCGCTGCTGCTCTCAAGAAGTTCCCGGCTCCTTTCTGTGCGTTGGCCCCGTGGAAATCGAACGCGAATCACGGCAATTGCTAACCCATGCATCAGTGAAGCCTCACCTGCCCTTCTTCGTTGCTGGTGCGTAATATCGGATGTTGTCGAGCAAGTCCCAGCGATCGGGGAAAACGCGACGACAGGTTCACAAGCGGACGGACATTGACGGGAATGATAGGTCTCGTTATCGCCTACGGCGCCAACTCTGCCCAGAACGCCATGATGGCCTGTATGAACTTTTGAACTCCTATGGACGAACACAGACTAACGCAGAGGCAGCCGACGAGTGGAAGAACGACCCCCGCAACCCCAACGTCCGCTCCGGCGGTCACTAAATGGAGGAGTGTTACGATGGCAGATGGGAGGAGCGAGCGCTGGCACTTCGATGATACCAGAACAACGAGGCCAATTTTCGTGGAATTGTATGATAGACTCGCGAGGGAGGAGTATTCTTTATGCGGCGAGGCCTCGGCTCGTCAATAAATTCCTTTTGTGAGAGATCTGGTTCACTGGCGTGATGACGGGGTACCTGGTTCCCGGGACTTGGGACGCTCTAAGAAGGACATTATATGTTGAATCCTCGGTTCTTTACAATGCTGCATGGGGACTTCACACAGGCTCACTGATTATTTCGAGGGATACGGGGGCTAGATCATGGGACCGAATATCTCCATAGGTGGAAGCGCAGGAACACGGCTGAATTCCAAGAACTCGACCAACCAGGTCATGAACTCGAATGGATGTTTGAGCATGTTCCAAAGATGTAACCGCAGCGACGCAACGCTGATTCCGAAGTCGTGGAGTACTTCGCGACTTCAACGGACTCGTCTCGCTTCCATTACTAATCTCAGGATAACAAGGAGCCTCGGTATGCCGCAATTGGCTACATGTAACATTGACTGATAAGTCTCAACAACCTCTCCGCCATCAGTATTCGTACTATTCGGGTATAGTAAACTATTCTCGCGACGTATGTGGCTTATCAGGCACGCTGCTGGCAGAACTAGAAGTTTTCGTTCTACAACCGCGCCATCTCTCATCACGACTGTGCTTTGCCAACGCCGCAACATGGCTATCGACTCCCAACTCAGCGCGGGCACGGCGACGCCACCCAAGGCGCAGGTTCCAAAGGGCAAGACTGAGGTCAAGATCCTGATGATCCATGGTACTTCCGTCCCCATGCCAGAAATCAATACCGCCCGTGCGTTATACGTGGTTGGCATCCTTTATACCTCATACAAGCGTGCTCATTCATCACAGGATACACTCAGTCAGGCGCCCTTTTCCGTGCCAAAACTCGCGCCCTGGAAAAGCTTCTCGCCAAAGTGCTATCACCCGTCTCTCTCCATCCCACGCTGATCTATCCTACTGGTCCCAACCGTCTCCTACCTCGGGACATACCCGGTTTTGTCCCCAAGGAAGATGGTGATGACGATGAACAGGGCGACTCATGGGCGTGGTTTCGCAAAGACGAGGCTAGCGGTCAGTACAGGCTCTTTGATAAGGGCATGGACACTATCGCCACGGCTATCCGGGAGAGCGGAGGCGTCGATGGCGTAGTCGGGTTCAGTCAAGGCGGCTTCATGGCCGGCGCGGTGGCGAGTGCACTGGAAGAGACCAGGGCACCACCCGAGGGACCAGACGGCGACTGGGCGAGGAAACTCAGGGAGGCAAACGGCGGCAAAGGGTTGAAGTTTGCTGTGCCTTATTCGGGCTTCTTTGCCCCCGTGGAGTCGTTGCAATGGCTGTACGAACCCAAGATCAAGACGCCAACCCTACATTACCTAGGTAGCCTGGACACAGTGGTGGAAGAGAGTAGAAGCATGGGGCTAGTGGACAGATGCGAGCAGCCGGTGGTGATCACACATCCTGGGGGGCATCACGTCCCCGTGTCAAAGGAGTGGGTGATGCCGCTGGCTGGTTTCATCAAGCAGCATGCCGAGGTGAAGCCGCAGGCCGGCCTATAAAGCCAGATGAAGAAAGAGACAAATACAATAGACTAGAACATGTATGCATTGTACACATCCTGGCTGCCGGGACCATCTATCTTTTGCAATCGTCATGCACTGCCTAATGACCCAACCCAGCGCCGCCATCTATCTTAGACCGGAGCGCCAAATCGCCAGCTTCCTATTTGCTTGCAGGCTGAATCCGAGCCATCATCTCCTCCTTTGTAATGAGGTGGTCAATTCGCTCCAAGTGACCGAGCAAGCTCTTCATGTTGTGACTCCACTCGTTCAGAACGTCATCAGCGTCTCTGGGCTTCGCAAAGCTGACCACCCGCGCGGGGCGGTCAATTTTGGCGTAGATGGTCTTCGCCGTGACAAGCTCGCTGATGTACTTCTCGGTCTCATCCTCCGTCAGGTTCAAGAGCTGCGTCAAGCGCGTGACCTGGATACGGGTGTAGTATTTCGCGACCACACGAACGTTGTGCTCAATGACCCGCTTGCGCAGGTCCTCCCATCTTTGCCGCGCCTTGTCTTCCTTGCTGGCTTTGGCGTCGAAGACGTCAGTCTTGCAGAGGTGCGGGCCGAATTTCTCGGCGACCTCAGGCCAGCGCATCAGCTCATGGACTGTGAACAGCTTTAAGAGCTCCGCTTCCAAGGGAATCTTGGCGTTCCTCGTGTCTTTGTGGATACGGTGCAGGAGGTCGTGCTGCTCGTTGTCGTGGGGGGCGAGGATGACAAAGTAGATGATGCGTTGCAAAACCTATTGACGTTAGCATGCCGTTGAGGAACATTAAGAATATTCAAACTCACCGGGTGAAGCTTGGCAGGGTCCTCCTCCACAGCCTCGGTGTCGAGCACTTGGCGATAATGCTTGCAGGCTTCCAGGTACTTGTCGTCGTGCTTTGCAAGCTGAACCTGTTGCTCGTAGAAACGCAACTTCAGATCTGTAGTGTCATCCTCGACCTCCTCGACCACCTCCTCGCCGCGCGCCTTCTTCTTCTCTAGCTCCTTCTTCTCCTTTTCGAGCTGCTCCTCTGTCTTCTTGGGCTTGCGCGACAGGTAGCGGGTACTGATCTTGCGCGCGAGAATGCCAGCCTGCGCCCAGTCGCCAGCCTCTATGCACAGGGCCACTTGCGACAGGATGAACTCGGTCTTCTCTCGCCTCGACATCGATCCGAAAGTCTCGACCTGCAGCTCGCACAGTATCTCCTTCGCCTTCTCGATGTCGCCCTCCTCTTTCTTGATGTCGGACAAAATCTTGGTCACACGCGCACGCTCCACCTCGACAAAGATCTTTCCCTCTGTTACCGTCCGCAGTGTTTCAATGACCGAGAGCTTGGTTTTGAGATCGGGTGTGTCGTCGAGGAAGCCAACCACGGTCTGGACCATCTTCGTGATGGCCTGCTTCAGCTGGCTGTGCTTCTTCGAGAAGACCAACGTTTGGTCGTTCATTAAACTCCAGTCTCCCGCATCTTTGCATAGTGTGACGATTGCGACAAGGACTCGCGATGTGGAGGCGAGATCAGAGGCCTGCTAATGTCAGCGTGTGCGAAGGGAGCTGGTGGCGTCATGCTCACTTGACGGGTTTGTTTCTCGAGCGCAGTTAGCTTCTCGACTGCACCTTGGAGGTTTGTCTGCAATGGGTTAGTTGTCGGTACGTTATAAGGGACTGTTTCGTGCTCGAGGCGCACCTTTGCAAGCTGCTCAGCCTCTGGTAGTTGGACGTCGACTTCCTTGGTGAAGTCCTTCTCGGGCTTGAGGAGCCCCTGCTCAGCCATGATTGCGTTTCCGAGGTTGAGATTGAATGCTGCCTTGCCTACAATGCGGCGATGCCTAGTTGAGCTTCGTGCTGTCGGTGCGTGGCAGGTTGGCGTTTTATCGTGGGGTTGTTTGGAAGCTGGAGGTTCGATGAGGTAGGCTAGCAGGCAGTCGACGCAACAGCCGCCTGCCTGCAGCTCCGACTTCGATGTGGGTCCCTGGTTTTCTGACGCCAACACTCACAAGCGTGCCCAAGGCTGCAATGTTCGCCTACCCTAAAGGTTAAACAGACAACTGGCGAGGGCGATGTGTGCGCAAGTTGAGCGTCAACTGGGTTAGGAAAACAGAATAAAACACCCGTGTATGGGTATTTGCCGGCATTTTTCTGGTTAGTGCCATTCGAGCTCAAAATTTGAGCATGGCGAGGGGAAAACACCAAAGTGTAAACCAACCATGTAGACAGAAAGAGCAGCGTGTTACCTAAGTAAGTACGGATAAGTATCCTACAATGATTCTCACGCGGTCAGGGTCATCAACAGTGTGACAAACAGAACGCTAGATGCTGTATTTCTTCAAAAAATGATATAAACAAGATGCCCTAATAGCACTGGTCGCACCATCACCAGAGACGAACCCCATCATTAGTGAGCCTGACCAATTGGTCCCTCTTCCCAATGGTCTTCATGCTCCCACGATCTCTGCCTCTCTGTCCTGCCCCCTCCATGTACGTATCCATTTTCATTTTCGTTGTCGTTACCCCAGTCCAGACTGTTCCACCTAACACCCCCTCTCCGCAACGAAGGGGCAGGCGAGACCGGTTCTACGTGTCCAGAACCTCGCTTCATCAAGCTGTCCTCCTCCGTCAGCGACTGTACTGTCACAACAGAACTGACGGAATGCTGTCGATCGGTGTTCTCGTCGGGCGGTACATTGACGACTGTTGTTCGATGCCGTCGCCGCTTCTCACGGTCCTGTCTGCGTCGACGTCGCCTGCGAAACGCCAGACAGAACGCGAGGCACATGAAGTATATGCCCATGATGACAACGATAGGGATGCCAATGGTGTTATTCCAGCGAAGGCCCTCCTCTTCGCCCTGGAATTGGTCAGAAAAGTGTTCAAATGGCTGATCGAGGGACAAACGAACCTTGATTTGCGGTGTCCAAGGCGGCGATATGGCCCAGTGCACGTCGTCGTCGTTGATATGTGTGACCCAGAATGCGTATAGATCGTCCTCTTCTAGTCCTTCTGGAAGCCAGGAGCAAGACCGTCTTCGCATAAAGGCTGAGTCTGTCAATGTCCATCTTTGCATACTTCGCCCGCACCACACTTACCTGTCAAGTTCGAGATCAGCTCAAACGAGACAGCCCCTTCCTCAGGGTATGTTATCTTGAACAATCTCAGGTCCCCCTCGTCTTCGATACTCTCGTTCCATCTCAGGGTGAACGGTGACCCGTTGGCGATGCTCCCGTTCCAGTCGTCGTTGATAAAGCGCAGCCCATGGTCATCTGTCGTGGAGGGCGACGTAAGCTCTCCTGGAAGGGCCATGTACCCATCCACATCCTCGAGGCCCATTTCATGAGTACCAGGTTCTTGTCTTTAACAACTTTCATGAAGTCCTAGGAGAGATTGCGGTCAAAAGATGGGGTTCCCCGGACACGATATGTGGGTGCAAGCAAAAGTGCGGATGGAGAACTCTTTATGCCAAGCACCGCAGATTGTGGTCTCTACACTCTGAAGACGGTACGGAGCAAGTGATACGAGAAAAGAGTAGACACCTGGAGGCTGGTTGGGGGGCCCCGAAGTCTCAGTCTGTCAAGGGAGGGTCAGTCGAGTTTAGTCATGCCGGACACACAAGGCGTCACGGAGCGCTGATAGATCGCGAGCTGCCTCGCGCTGAAAGCTCGGCCAGGCGCAGCTAGACTCTTCCAGACTGGCGAAAGGTCTCGGGCCCATTTCGCGAGGGCATCGTGATGAGTTCCTGAGGAGGACGCAATGTTCGCAGGGGCCCGTTTCCCCAGGTCGACGAGGTGCTTGATGATATACGTATAGGTGTCGTAATCACTGGATCCAACTCATGTCGATAGGATGAATCATGTATCGGACACAAACCAGTCTCTTGGTTTGTAAAACCACCTCAGTCGTCCATGTAAATACGCGAAGACATGACGCGATGAGGCCTCTCGGAGCTGGCTTTACACCGAGAAACGAGGTGCGCGTCCTTCATGGAGGGAGTCGCTGCAACAAGATTGAGCTGCCGCATAGCAATTCCCAGCGAGCATTCCAGATGATCACTGTATTCGCAGCGTGAATTTTTAAGCTATGTGAGTGAGACACGGAAGACGTCGATGAAGAGTCGAAGACAGCCGAAGAGTTTCGCCAAGTGGACCGACCGGAAGCTCCTCCGACGTGGGGGGAGCTGCAGGGTAGTCGGCAGCCACCGGTTTCATGGCGCGCGGGGCGTCGCAACCAAACAACCCCCCGTGGACGCGTTTGCTCTGATGCCATTCAACATTGTGACAAGGAGACCCCTCATATATCGAGACACGGCACGGCAAGGTTTGCAGCTCATGTCCGCAGCGCCGGCGTTGATTACTTCGTCCGCATAATGACCTCCTCCTACGCCGATTGCGTAGCTTGTCTGCGGACCTCGCTCTCCTACCTCGAATCCTCCGTCGAGACATTGGAGGATGGCATTTCGGATTTCCCAAGGCTGGGCGGTGTCTTGAAGACAGTGAGAGTAACTATTTTCCTTGTCTGCATGACATTTAGGAAGCGTGGAGCTGATGCAAAATCCTGTCTAGCACTATGAACTTATCCCCCAGTCCACTCTCGCAGCAGCGGAGTCTTCACTTCGTGATGAGATAGGGCCTCATATCGCCCTTCTCCTGTCCCGCGCCGACGCCCAAATAGAGCGACAGGAACGCCGCATTGAGACGCTAAAAGCACGCGCCGAACTGCAGCAGGGTAGACTGGCCGATGACGGGAGTGCGTCCTACAGCAAGGCCAAGAAGGCGAAAGGACGCATCTTGAGTGGCGAGGACAAACTACGCGCGAAAGCGGTGCGTCAGAGAAAAGAGGCAGCGCGGTACGGCGTTGAGAGACTAGAGTTGCAGGTACTGCAGAAGGAGAGGGAGCTGAGAAAACGCTTGGATGAGGATGGACGACAATAGTCACGCTGACAGAATGACGGACAATTCGAGTTAATGATACCCTGATATGATATATCTGTTTCTGACTTGGTTGGCCGTTGACGTCTGTGTGCTTCTTGGCATGGTTTTCACGTGGAGCGATTGATCTGCGAGCTAGCCCCTGTCTTAGCACTCGCTTTGATCCGATCCGATAATATCGAGGTAGGATCACCGATTGGCATGCAAGGCTCAAGAGCAGTGATCTGCACAAACCCCCAATACCAACTGGCACAGTCCCATGTGGCGGCTGCAGCATCTCCTTGTGCATAGTGATGGCTAGAAGCGAAGTGCAGTTGGGCGCCGACCACGCCTGATCGCCTGTTGTCCCTGCTCATTCCAAATATACTCCGTCAAATACAAGCAGGTACGTAAAGTTTCCCTAGACCCAAAGTTGCATAGAAAACGCACGTCGTCTGTCGCCAATGCTTGACTCAAGTCAAGACCTCATGCGCTGTGAATTCGAAATCAAACCGACCATGAATAAAAGAAGAAACCGACAAGACCGATGGGTCTTCATGTCACACCCGTCCTACAACCTTTCATCTTCTTGAATTTCGTTGCTCATAACAGGATGAGGTAGTTACTAGGCGCGATACCCGTCTCACCACTCTCTTTGCGTGCTTGCCACCACCTTCCGCTGACGTCCGATACTTCAAGAATCTCGTGTTTTGCAAAGGAGATCTCGTTGGCGTCCTCGGGGTTGGCCTCGTAGCTGTAGATGGCCTTGGCGCGATAGGGGTATTCTGTAGGCGGCACGACCTCGGTATCAGCGCCGGGCGAAGCGGAAGGCTTGGGAGGCTGGTTCGAGGAGCCGTAGGCGCCCATGCCAGAGTTGCGCGCATTGTTGGCTTGCGAGGTGTTTCCAACGGGCGAGGGGTTCTCGAAGCCGTTGAGCTGGGCAGAGGTCGTGTACATCTGAGGGGGCTGAACAGAGTTGGAAGTTTCGGGGCGAGCGGTACCTCCGTAGGCATTCATGGTTTGACGGTGCATGGTCGCAGACTCCTTAGTGAGAGCGAACGAATCGAGGAAAGCACGGGGAGTCGACGAAGGCGTTGACCCAAAGTAGAAAACCCAGATCATCTGCGCATTATGTTAAAGATATTGAGGCTGGCTCGCAACGCAAAAACGTACCTGGATCATGCTCAGAAGAACGAAGCCTGCAGCAGAAGCCTGCCTAGCGCCATCGCCGCTGTTGTAGATCAGCGGCTGGATGGCAACGCTGGTCAGGACGACGCCAGCAGCGCAGTACGCTGTGAGAGCGACATGGTAGGTGTGGATGGTGTCACTGGCCACGACCACAAACACCATGATGTTCAGGAAAAGGCTGTATATCGCGGACCACCATGGGAACTTGTAGTAGTCGTTCTCCCCAGCTTCCACTGCGACGGCGATGAAGCCTGCAAAGGCGATAATCCAAGCTAGCATAGAGATAGAGATTGTCGCGAGCGCGAAAGGATCACCCAGGATGTTGCCGAGCTGAATGCCCTTCCTCCGGCTACCGTAGCCTCTGTGGTCCATTTTCTTCAGCGAAGGCGAGCGCAAAGAACCGTAAGGCATAAAGTAGTGAGATGCGCGTCACAAATACTGTGAACAGGCAATGTGCGACGGTTCAAGAGCCTCTGTGACTCTGTGTCCAGCGAGTGCTGTTGTTGCCTCCTGTGTGGAAGTGCGCGCTCGAGTCGCGGGAGCGGGTTGGAATTCAATGTGTTGTTGAGTCGGTACGTCGCAATGCGGTGCGAGGGTTGTACAGGCGCGCAGGATGTGGCAACGCGCGTAAGTAAGCTTTTCTCGTATGATCCTAATAGTCGAAATGAAGATGGCTTCTTCGAGTGATTTGTGCGCGGTTTGAGGTCGTGAGCAAAGTTGATTTCCAAGGGAGCGATTGAACTGGACGTCGGTGACGAAGTCGTGGCAGAGGCGCAGGATCGAACGTTGTGATGGAGGGGGCTGGTTGGTTGGTTGGCTGCCTCCAATGTCTCGCTCTGTTCGTGGGTGCGTTACGTTCAGGCTCAACGGCTGTGACTCCTTGGGTGTCTCGTCTGTGTTCTGCGTGCCAGAGCTGAAAACCAAGCGGCAGGGGCGAGAAGAAGAGAGGGTGAGCGGCCTGTTTCGGATCCAGCGGGAGGAAGTTTGTCGCTTTGACCAGCAGCGCGATTGTCGCGATTCGATTTCGATGCGACGCGAGAAAGGAGATATATGTAAGTACGGAAAAGAGCGAATGAATCCGTCCTGGGAAACGAGCGTTGGATGAAAGGAGAAGAGGGTGCAGTGAGAGAGAAGAAGGGGGGGGCTGGCCTGGGTGACAGGCGCACACGCTGCAGAACGCCTTGCGATTGCTGGAGAAGGATTCGGGTCAAGACTGGACTGCGCAGCAGTGAGAGCTTAATTGGACGAAGGAGAGGAAGAAGTCAAGTGCGCTGATACCCTGATCAGCAAATCTTTTGATGAATATGAAAATACGAGCTCCAGTCGTCTTACTGTTATTAATCTACAGTTCTACTTGTACACGTAGTTCACGTGCAGGTCCTCGAGTCCGTTCAATTTGCTTCAGCGCAAAGCCAGCCCAATCCCAATGGCCCCAGTTGTGGATGGGCGTTCTTGGGGTTGGAAATGAAAGGCTGCTGGCGCGGCGTGTGCTGGCCTGGGCGCACCGTCCGCCGCACGGTACGCAGTACCCCATCAGAGCCTTACCACTGCGAATGTTGTCCGGTCGAATCAATTTGCAGTGCTGACTGGACCTCCCTCGCCTGACAAACCAGGGGCTCGCAGATCATGTGCTCCCATAGTTGTTACTGTACAGTGACGGCAAGGACAGGACGACTGGCCTCTCCCAGTCTGAAGAACGTGAGACGCCATCCTCAACTGTCACTGACGAGACTCAAACCACCTTGGCTACACAAGAGCCTCAGAAGTCGAAACTTGTGCCCCGGTTTGACTCTTGTCCGCTGCAGGGGGCTAACGCGCGGCTGTCGACAGGCGTTTCAAAATTCTTCAGTCTTTCTCGCCTTTTCTCGCACCGGCATATCTAGACCAATCGGCGGGCGGAGACGGTATCCAGTGTAGCCCCGACTGCTCTTTCATAAAGTCCCCTGTTCTTGACACGCATTGACCGGTGGAGATGTCGTGAGGCCTAAGATCGTCCAAAGAATCCCACAACATCTACGATTTACTAATGAACGAACAAGTCGTCGGGTTCTCGCCATTTTGACTTTCGGAAGCGTCACATATTGTCCAATGGACAACGCGTTGCTGACGCGGATAAGTTCCTTGCCCCTGGAACCCATCAGCAACGCCAGAAAGTTCGCACTGTGGCGCACGACCCCTGACGGATCTCTATTACACTCCGTATCCGTCCGTGCTCATCACTCTCACAGCGGAAGATTACTGGGCCATCAGGTGTAAAAGGCTGCTATTGACATTCCATTAATAGGAGGGGGATATTTCCAAAAGCCGATAGCGCCTGCCAAACGCAAAAAGGAAAAGAGTATATATGCTGTAGTGGGTGTCTAGTATGTCTCGCCCAGGTCCTCTAACTTCTGACCTTTCGATATGCTCGGTCGTCCGATGGCGGCCCCTTGGCTCGTCCTACGGCTTCCACTCTGCCGCCGAGCACCCGGCACAGGTATCGAGCTTGTAGGTCCAGCTATGCTGCTCGTGCTCGATCTCGGGTCGAATTTTGAGTACATGCCTCTTCGGCTGGGCGTTCTGAATTCGCCATCTTCATCCTCCTCTTCTTCGTCCATGCGGCTTACGCTGCCCGAGTGCCCGTGATACGCCCCGCCCATAGACGAGCGCGGTCGTCCAAGGGGTGTGCGTGTGCCACCCAGCGACGACCTCGATAGTGGTCGTGGCGGTGCCATCTCGGTTCTCGACGCTGGCCTAGCAGACGACATACTAGCACGTGAACTAGGCCTGCTGATATCGGACTCCGGGCCCCTGTTTGGTAGAGGGCCATAGGATAGCCTACTGACCCTGGATTCGCTGAGTCGTGGAACGTGGCTCTTTGTATGTTGCGGGAGATGTGGGTTTGTGGGTGTAGTCTCGTCACCTGCCACCGATGATGCCGCGGACCCAGTGGTCCTCTTCCTCGAACGGATAGTAACCGTTGAAGGGACACTGGGCCCTCCGCTGACCGACGAGCGAGGCGAGGCGCGAGGAGGTGTGTAAGTGGGCGCAGGAAGCTTCGAGCGAGCATTTTGCACACGTGCTTCGAGGCGCTGCATCTGGGCAGTGAGGCTTCGGATGTGGTTGAGAGAGTTTGAGTTCGGGATCTTGTGAGTTGTGTTGGCGCGAGCAGTGACAGACCGGTGAGCAGGCGTACGCAACGGCGCGTTTCCTGTAGATGGGCGGCTGCTGACGGTACGGCTTCCTGGAATCTTCGCTGACTTGGGTTTCGGGGTCTGTTCGACAGAGGGGATGCGAGTCCTGCGCAGAGCGCTAGCCGGAGTTTTGGCCAGGTCGCTCTCGCCTCTCTTGGGCAACGGCGCAGAAGCGTCAGACATGGGAGGCGACGGTGGATCATGTTCGGAGAGGTCGTCGGCCAGCGACATGGACTTGCTGTCGGGGGGCGTCGTGACAAGTGGGGAGCTGGCAGTTGAATGGGGCGACGATGGCTCAACGCTGCGGTCAAAGGTGGGTGACTCGGGCACCGAAATGTCGGTCGAAAGAATCGAAAGATGGCGCGACTCTTGCTTCTTGATCTTGTCCTGAAGCAGCTCTGCCTCAATTTTGAGGTCCGAGTACTCCTCGCGCAAGCGCTGGGCTTCGACACGCATCTTCTCGCGCTCCTGCTCGCCTATTTTAATCTCATCCTCCATCATGACAGCCCTCTCGATCGCTTGGTTGTATTTGGACTCAATATCCTCCAACGATGAAGTAGTGTTGCGTGCTTGGCGCTCGTAGTCGTCATTCGCGACTTCAATATCGCGCAGCTTGAGTTGTAAGCTGCGATTCGTGTCTCGTAACGTCGTGATCTCCTTCTCGAGAGAGGCCTGTGCTGAAGCCGCCTCGGTCTTCGATTCTTTGTATTTGCGCTTCCACTCTTTGACTTCGTAACCCAAAGTTTCGGCCTTCTCCTGCAGAATTCTTTCTTGCTTCTCTGCCCTCTCGATATCCTTCTCGAGCTCCGCTTCTAGCTCCTTACTCGACTCTCGGAATTCGGCGAGATCGGCTTCGAGCTGTTCATATTGAGACTTGTACCAGGAAAGTGCGTCTGAAGCGGTCGCGCCCTCGCCTGGTGGCGATGAAGGCGGTTCAGCCATGTTGTTCGGTAGTTCAGAATGTAGATTGGGTCGTAGGGCCTTGGTGTCTCGGAGTACGCAGCGGGAGCCTCAATAGTAGAATCGTAATCGTTTTGAATTATTGTAATGAATGGTCGGTAGGAGGGAAAGGAAAGGGCGGTGGTGATAACGTATGGGGGTCTGAAACAACAAAAGGACTTGGTAAATAAGGAGTGCCGACAGGTGAGGTCGTTGGGTATCGTGAAGCGAGAAGAAAAAAAAGAAGACTGATAAAAAGGACGAGCGATCGTTTGTCTAACGACTTGAGCATTGTCAGTAGCCACGCATGAAGTGGAGTGCGCATCATCTTGTTGGCGCCCAACACATGGGGGAATCACTCACTGGTTGCTCGGCCCCTCGCTCAGTAATAAGGAGAAGAATGCGCCCAAAGCAACTTGGCAACTGCGACCTCTCAAATGAGAAAGTGCAAGAGCCAAACTTGCTGTTCTGCTGTACCTAGGGGTTAGTAGTCGTCTTCGCGAAGCCGCGGAGCCAAGGGGCGTCTTGAGCTCTGCTGCGCTACGTCGAGAGCCGTTGCATTGATGAGGATGGAGAGATGTTTTGGCTCGTGACGGAGTCCATGTTGATGCAGCCGCCCTCCACCTGAGCGCTACTGCCGTAAAGGGAGCAACGACCATTCCTGTCCCGGACTAGCGTCGTCTCTTCCCAAGCAACGACCCCTCCACGTCTGGACAGCCGGTCACGTGCGCCCTCAACACCGACCATGAGATTGATTGTGTCTTGGGTATGGACAATTTGATACGATGCATCTTGGAAAGTTGCGGAATTTTTGGTTGGGGTCCATTGGAGACCATGAAATTACTCGCTCGTACATATTCATTATCGCTTTAATTACAAAGCTCTCCCTCGTGCTAGGCAGGTCTATCTAACCTTATGCCGCCCGCCTTCAATCCTTCATCGTAGTAGGGGTATTCGTCGCTCGTCATTATGAATCGTCAAAATCAAGCCACAGCGGCTCGAAGCCTCGAGGCCTCATTCTTTTCGGACACTGCCTGTCCGTGCACGCTATCGTAGTTTTGGAGCTGCTCTCCCATCAGGTAGGCATCGTCACGCACCTGGGCCCTGAGACTGTCCAATCTTCCGCCTAGCTGTAGAAGCCACCTCAAGGTAATGACCATGATTGCCGTTAAAGGATACGATGCGCGGTAACGCATCACCTTCTGCACAGCAACTTGGTGAGGGTCTTGACTGTTCAGCATGTTGAAGCCACAGTAACTCTCGAACAGGCCAACGAGGGCACCTGGAACAAAGATTGCCCAAAACGCCACGATAAGGCCCGGAATCACAAAGGCTTTAGTCAAAATCCTGATGTTGGGTTTGAGCCACCCGCGTCGAAGGACAGAACGCAGAGCTCGTGCAAAACGAGTATTTCGGGCGAACGAGTTGGTCATCTTGACCGCAAGACGCATGTACAGCAAGCCAAGTGTCCACGCCTCGACAATGCGGATGTTATGTTGGCTCGAATCCTTCCCAACACGTAGAGCGGTGCTGCTTGGGGGGTTAAGGAATGTATGAAGAGGTATGTTGATGTACAACTCGATCAAGACAGCCATGACAAGCGGGCATACGACCAGAATGAGGGCGTACGTGTAGAGAAGCCCTGCAAGCCGTATGGAAAACCGCACAAGACCAGCAGGCCTTTTGTTGAGTGCAGTTGAGCTGTTTTCTGTGGCCCATCGTCGAACAGAGTGCATGAGGCTTCTGGCGTGGAACAAGCCGTAGGCTATCAAGCCCATGACATGAATACCAATGCAGAAGGCGTATATGTCGTTTGTGCGCACGAATGAGGGCAGGGCCATTTTGAACATCATGCGTCCAAGTACCAGCGGAATGATGGTCAAAGACACGCCGGTGACGGCAGCAAATGTCCAAATGAACATAATGAACAAGAAGATCCGCGTTCTGAACCACGGTGGGATGTACACCGTCTTGAAGTCTGCGGTGCCATGAAGGCCCTCCACGCGTCGGCCACCCTCAAGTCTACCCCGATCATCGACAGGGAGGAACACTTGTGTTGGTTTTATGATTTTGACCCGATCAGATGCAGGCGCTTTGACGAATCTGCCGTCAGGCACTAGCTGTCCTGATCTGACAAGAATGGCTTTGGCGTCTCGCAACATGCGAGTTTCGCGCGCATTGATCTTGGGAGGATTTGTGTCCACACCATCCAAAACCCGGCTGAGGGGGTTGGGAATGACTTGAAGATGACTCGAGTCCAAACCCACAAACATTTTCCTCAATAGAGACGCGTTCCTGTGCTTCGAGTCTGCAGTTATGTACAGGACGCCTTCCTCATCGATCCGGCGCTCGCCAAATATGAAGTTGGTAAGGCGCAGTATACGGGCACTTTTGCGGAAGCACCACTTGTACATGAGCTGGAGGCCGTTGCCCGGCTTCAAGAGTCGGAAGGCGAGGGGCATGAAAAAGTTGTAGAAGAGCAGGTCGACCGGAAACTCGAGGACTGGCTCATTTGATGAGTAGTGAATTGGCAGGATGCCAGGCGCAGCCGCAGCCAAGCCCCATACCACACCACCCAAGCACACAATGACCAGGCCACCGTAGACAAAGGCCGAAAACATGATCTTTCGAAGTTGATTGATGAGGTTCCTTTCGAGTACATCGCGTACAGGGTGAAACTCGGGATCGTCAGGATCTCTAATGAAGTCTACGCTGGTTAGCCCATGTTCGCATCATAACAGGAAGGAATGTTCACTTACACAAGACGCCGGGTCGCATGATCTTGCGGCACATGGAGACAAACAAGGCAAAATGGAACATATAGCCCGTGCCCACGAACCAGTGTATAAAAAGTGATGTCCACGGACTTTGATATGTAAACAGCCAGCGGGAGGCGATCGAAGTGTCCTTGAATAGTGGCAAGAGTGCGCAGTCGAGTAGCATGCCGCAGTACAGAGGAAATACCAGCATCTCAATACTGATGATAGTGATGACCTTCAGAATGCCACTGGCTTGGTTGATCACGTCGATGATGGTGGCCTCGATGTCACCCATCGCCGTGGTGCGGGTCCTGCGAGTGCTGAACTTGTGGTACAAGGCGGCCAGGCCGAAGAGTGTCAAGTAGCCAGCCAAGATAGCCCAGGTGATGTCCGCAGTTGGCCATGTAGCATGTCTGAGGTCCAGCAGCTTTGTCTCATAGTGGGGAATGGCGCCAATGTTGGCAACATGCTCTTTCCAGTTGAATAAGTAAGCATAAGAGCTCGTGGCGGAGGATTGTATCCGAGAAGCATGAAGCCCTGCTAGCAGCCGCTTCAGTGGTGTCGAGCCATTGAAGGTTGCGTAGATGACGTCGACAAAGCAGGCGGTGAAGGAAACGACGTGGTTTCGAATGCTGATGAGTGCCTCGCGACTGATGGCCGACCAGTATCGCATGCCATGGTCTGTTGCTGAAAGGTCGAAGAAAGCTTCTTGGCTGAAATTCCAGATTCTGGAGGCAGCATTGACGAAGAACGTGTAGGAGATTTTACGCCCTCCGACAACTTTGGCTGCGACTGAATCACCCAGTATGCGAGTCATGGTGAACATGTCCACGAGATTGAAGACAACCCATGACACAAGACCACCAGCAAGGAAGCAAAAGTCCTGGAGAACGATGGACACGCCGTACAATACACGAACCATGCGCACAGGCCTTGCTAGCATCCAAATGGTTATCCTCCCGAGATTGAACGGAATGAAGACAAACCCAAAGAGAGCTGCTTGCACAAGAATTGCGCAGAAGATGACATTCTGGAAAAGATTCGTGATGGGACCTCGCATGCCGAGAAGTTCCATTATGCCTTCAAAGTCTTCCATGTCCTCAATAGCTTCAGGATCAAGGCCATCATCTGCATCTGCATCTGCATCAACAGCGCGATCTGCAGCGCGAAGATCGACATGCGGCCTATGATCTGGCTCGTCAATATTGTTGCCATCGTCACCTGCTGCAGCGCCTGCTTCGTCTGCTGCCGGCACATCCCTCCAATGCGCATGATCGGGATCATCTTCAAGATCGACGACAACATCAACTGCTGCGTGATCAGCGTTGTCAATATCCGCCCACATGAAATCGGCGACTCTGTCCTTAACCGGTCGGTTGGCAGCAGGCGGAGGTTGTGGAGTGTCTGGCTCAGTTGCATGAGAAGATGATGGGGTGGGTGGTTCGCGCCCGAGGTCAATGCTATTGCGAGTGGCGCCCTGCCAGAGGGGCGATTCATTCGCCTCTCCATCACTGCCCATTTCCTCGTGGGAGCCATTTTCAGTGACGTTTGACTGTGCGCCATAAGCTCCATGTGACGAATCGACGCGAGCGATGTGCTGCCTTCCCGAGTCTTGGCTAGCCGAAGAGCCTGCATCGAAAGACCACGTGTTGTTGGCAAGGGGATTGATGTTTGCTTGTACTTGCGGTCCGTCAGAGACTGATCTTGGACGCGAGGGCCCTGCATCAATGTTGGTGTCGTCGGTACGAGGCATATCATCAAGACTCGACATCCATGGCCGTTGGTGGGCGTACTCCGAGATATCCAAGTCCGCATTTGACCCGCTCTGAGAGTAGTCAGGAGTCGCAACTGCATCACTCGAGCGACCTTCACTAGATGGGTTGTTCGAGCCTGCGTCCTCGGCCCACTGAGGCTCTTCAAAGTCAGCGCCGTCGGCGAAGACATTAACACCACGACGGGCGCCATGCCCTTCCGCTGCACCCGTGCGATCTTGTGCTGCGTCATCTTCGTTTGGCGGTGGATCATAGAGACCTGCATCCGCATCATCGGGTACGTCGCTCTCGTTGCCATCCTGCAGAGGGAGTTGCGCAGGCTCAACGGCAACTCGGGGCTGTGCAGGCTGCTCAGCATCCAGAAGGCCAGCCCGGATGTTCAAAAGTTCCGGTTGTTGTTGGACAACGTAATCGCGTACGAGGATGACGAGAATGAAACTGATCATGGCCACGATTGTGAGGATTTGGCCTTCGAGTATGTTGATAAGGCACTGGTTCAACTGAGGGCTGCGGGTGAGGTTTCGGAGGAACCCGACGTCGCTGAGAAAGCTTTCAGCAATGTCACTGTGCGCACGTACAGGACGAGGCACAGATGGGTTCAGCACATGCGCTGATGTCAGTTCAGCGGGAAGTGGCAGTCCCGTAATTTTGCACCAACATCGCAGCCAGAGCCCTGACAGCGTCTGACTTCCTCCCCATCCCATCATCTTGGCGATGTCTCCGGCTGGGGTGGTCGTTGGGGCATAGAACGGGCTAGCAGGACACATATCAAGACCCATCAAAGTGGACGAGAGGTGAACCACGCCGGCAGAGGAGTCGGTGCCGAAGGACGAATCCGGGAACGAGCCTGTCCAGTTCTCTTCGCTAAGCCAAAACATGGTTGCCCAACCTCGCCGCATGACGTACGGTAGAGCAACGAGCCAAAAGCTACATGCAATGAAACCTCTGAGCCAGTTGAGTGAGTTCTCCAGGACGTAGCGTGAGACCCGATCGACAAAGACCAGAATCGGCACATGGTCTGGCATCTTCGGATCATAGAATTTGGTAAACCGGTATGGCGTTTTGCACAGCTCGCAATACTTCTTCTGCGAATGGGCTAGCCAGTCCATCAGACAGTTTTGATGTACATGCTGGATGCTGCCACTGCATCTGCATGGGTGAAATAGCGGATCATGCTCGTCACCTTCGCCTCGGCAGATTCGACATATCCCTGGCATAGTCTGATGCTCGCGCTGCCCCCTCTCGGGCGTGTTGTTTGTGTGATGTGAGGTCCACGCAGAGGACTTGTGGTCGCGGACATCTCTGTCTAAGAAATCGTCCATGGCTGTCGTATTTGTTCACTTGCTGTGACAAACAACTCGGTCGTAATCGCACCGCAGGAGCAGCGGGCCTGCCCGCGAGGGGCGTCACTGGTGAATGTTGCTCGAAGAACGATGCTGCGAGCGTGGCACGCGTGAAGAGATTCCGCTGGTATGCCGTCGTCTCCGATCGAAGGCCCAGAAGCTTTCAGCCCCCAGATGCGACAATGCGCGAAGCGGGTCGACTCGGACGGCGTCGAGTTTCGGCTGCTGCGTTGGGATCGACGGGACGACTGGGGGGGGGGCACTGCACAGTCTCTTGAGGCGGCTTTATCGTCGAGACTTGTTGCAAATGTGTTGTGCTATGTATAAAGCTAGCAATCTAGGGAATGGGGTTCAGACAGAGAAAGTAAAGTGACGGTGGAGGAGAAGTTGTCCGCGTTGGCGGTCGTGATACTATTTACTGCAGTAGCTGCGTACTGAAGTCACCTAGGGGCCGATTCGCACAGTACGCTAGCCCTTTTGGGCGTAAGGCAAGAGCATTCATCACCTGCTTCAAGTGTTTGGGAACAGCGGTCATATCACCAGCCACAAAGGCAGCTCTGGAGGATTGAACAATGGAAATCGACGCGGTGCTCAGCGAATCTTCTACGCCTCGTCTACCGCTCATTCATGTCCAAGCTTCCCAGGCAAGACCCCTCTTCACCTCGGTGGTCTCAGCTTGAGCGCTAGAATTGGCACCCCGTGCTCCAAGGATCTAGATACGCACCCCCTCGATTACCCCACCAAGAGTCGAACTCCATTATCTCACGTGCTTTTTGGCATAGCCAGCTTGCGCGAATCATCGCAGAACACCTCGAACTCCATATGCTCTAACTCGGTGTATCACAAGACCTCCGCTACTTCAAAGTCTCTTAGACTGGTGTGTTTAATGGCAAGATCGGATCCGTGCTAGAATTGGACGCTCGTACAGGGTTCGCATAGTCGTAGCTGCCCGTATATGGAGACCTGATTCCTCTTTCCACAAGGCACATGGATTGCGAACACCCATACTCAAGTGCTGAAGGCATTGTAGTAAGCGAAGCTGTAAACTGGCTTTGGCAGGATTCCGTGCGCTCGATGGATGATGATTCCGATTCCATCGAGAGGAGGCCATTCTACATGCTTCTCTATAGGGTATGTGTGATCTCTTCAGGAAGAGAAGGATAACCATGGGACGGCGACTAGCAGCGAAGACCGGAAGCCTTCATTGCAGAGTTGATGGACTTATTAGTTGAGCTGGTGTAATTATTAGTTCCCTTCTAGCGGTATCAGAAGCCTCATGAAAACATACCCCAACTACAACCCAGGAATGGCCTAGCGCATGATGCTTGGCCCAGGCTTCGCTATTGTGCAGTTCTGCCTACTAGTCCGGTATCTATCTGATCGAGTACGGGTGTGTTTTCTTCGGGTACCGTCGATACGGTAATCTTGTTGAAGCAACGTAGTCTACATATACTCAGCGTGATCCCCCAAGAAGCTGTGCTGGGTGCGTAATAAATTGAAGCAGCCTTGTGGCTTGTCTCACATCTGCCAATCAAGACGTGCAGACAAGGCTTCACAGCGTCACAGCACTGGCACGAAAGTGCTGCACTGCTGCACCCGCTGAAACTGGCTTATAATTATGACGTTTTGGCGCCATGATGACATTGTGGAGGCAGCAGGAGCGACAATCGCTCGCACCTGCTGCGATAACAGCCAAACCTGAATCCGGACTCAACGCAGGCAATTACTGACCAGGGTCCATCAAGATTGACCGATTTTCTCATCATCGGCATACATCCTTTGATATTTTTCTTCCATCGTCTCCGTCCCTCAACTCTCGAACCAAGCTTCCACGCCGTCCTTTCTTCCATGCTTGGCACCCGAGGCCCTCGACGAACCCCTGCTCCACGCTAGCTGTCGCATCTTTGCAACAATCAGCTGCACGATTCGAAGTCCGAAGCTTGTGAACGCGACCCTGTCCGCGTCTGAGATTGTCAGCGTCGCAGAGCCTTTCCCAACCCTCACCACTACTCTACAGAACCATCCTTTTGACGCGATTGAGCCTGGTCGAATTTAGCACGCTCCGAGACGATTCCCACAATGGCCGTGAGCGAGCCAAATGGGCCGCTACAGACGAGCAACGGCCACGCTAATGGTTACACGAATGGCCATGCCAAAGGCGTGAATGCAAAAGGTGCAGGGCCGACAAAGAGAGTCAAGTCGACCAAGAGGAAAAACGGATTTACGAAATGGATCGTGGGCGCGGCGTCCCGGTAAATGCACTGCAAATGACTGCTTGGAAACGTTGCTGACCATCGTACAGGCTGCTTATCTGGTATACCATCGCCACCGTCCTGTTCCGCTGCCCTTCAACGCTCGAAGCTTGCGACGAGTCTTCTCCAGCGGTCTGCGATTACTACTTTAGGGCCAAAACCGCCATCGCACCCCACGTCCAGCCGTACTACGAGCAATACGCAGCCCCGTATGTCGAGCTTGCTCAGCCTTACTACGACACAGTGAATGGCAAACTCCTGAGCCCTGTTCGATCGTACGCTGTCCATTACGGGGGCCCCTGGGCTACGAAGGCTCGCGATCAAAGCTATGCCCAATGGGAGAAGTATGGCCAGCCTCAGCTGGCGCGAACCAATGCTCTTGTACAAGAAAACTACGACAAGACTCTGGCGCCCCATGTACAAAGCTTCAACCAACAGTTGGGTCCGTACTTGGAGATTGCTCGCACAAACGTGTGGCAGGCGTACTACGAGTACGTCGTTCCTAGCTATCAATTTGCCCAGCCCTACGCGGTTCAAGCATATGATACTACGTCTGACTTCACAAAAACCACTGCACTGCCTGCAGCGTGGTGGACCTGGAACAAGTCGCGCGCCTTTCTCGACAGTGCTGTTTGGCCCCATATCCGCCTAATCTATCTCCAGAACGTCGAGCCTCAACTCATCCGCATTGGCGAGCGTCTTGGCCGGTATAAGACCAAGGTCAAGGCCAAGTCGACGCCGAAGTTGCAAGAAGCGTAGGTGCTGTGAACGTCTGTATGGTCAAGTTTACTGACGTCTGCCAAAAGTGAAAATGTTTTGACGGAATCGTCCTTCAGCAAGCCGACTCAGGCCAGCGCATCTTCATCATCCAGCGTCGCCGAGGCAACCCACTCTGCTGTGGCTGACGAGGCCGAATTCATTTCCAACCCTGTCGAAGCCCCCCCAGCTACCGGGAACGAATCAGACAAGCGCAAGAAAGTGCGAGAGATGGTGGCTGAGGACCTCGAGCTCTGGCAGACCAAGTTCGCCGAGCAAGCTGATGAGGGCGCCAACGATATGGAGGACCGCATCGACGGCATCGCGAAGCGTATGATTGACGAGCATGCTCAAGTCAAGGGCAAAGAGCTCATGAATGTACTCGAAAACACCATTCGCACACAAACAGACAAGCTCAAGGAGACGATTTCAAGCATCGTGTCAAGCGCGTCCAACTCCCCAGAAGACGCCGAGAGCCAGGCTGTTCAAGCGGTTCGGGCTGCTGGTGTCGCGATCAAGGAGCAGGCAAAAGCTGTCCGCGACTGGCGTCAGTCCTACGATGCGGAACTTCACGATACCGTCGTGAGGGCAGCCGACGTTCACTTTCAGATCCTGGACGAAACTAGAAACCTTGCCCTACAGAAGATCGGCATGAAGTGGGCCTGGGCAGATGGTGTGACCTACAAGGATTGGGAGAAGTATCACGAGCTGAAGAGCACATTGCGTGAGTGGACTGAACAGCTGAAGCAACTGATCGTCAGCCACCCCAGCCTCTTGACAGCTCAGGAGGCTTCCGCTCAAATTGAGGACGAATCGATGGAAATGGCCGCGGCTGCCGCCAAGGAGCTCGGGAGGCTCAAGGAAGTGGCCCACTACAAGATCGTCGCCAAGGACGCCACTGATAACTACGAGTCTGAAGCCATGCGACTGGCTGCCGATGCCGCCGAGCAGGCGTCTTCCGCGGCGGCAGCAGCATCTCAGAAGGTGGCCGAAGCCAAGGCGGCGATGTCCAGCAAGGCAGCTGAGGCTGAGGCACTAGCTTCTGAAGGCGCCGCAAACGCCAAGTCGAGCTTTGCCGACAAGTTCGAGGATGCATCCTCTGTTGTCTCCGAGAACGTGGCCGCCGCTTCCTCTGCTGCGTCTAGTGTGGCCGATGATGTCGTTTCTTCTGTTACCGAAACCGTCAGTGCTGCTAGTGACAAGGTCGATGATCAGAGCACGGCTGCCTCCCAGAGCGCCTCGAGCATCCTTGTTGAGGCAGAGAAAGCCACCGACGAGGCTGGAGATGAACTGTCCGAGACCTCGGCAACTGCTTCCAGCAAGGTCGAGGAGGCTCTGAGCGAAGCTTCCGCGTCCGCGTCCATGGCTGGAGACAACTTTAACGGTGCTGCTGAGGATGTCAGCAGCGCAGCTGAAGATACTGCCTCTGTCGTATCAGAGTCGATGTCGAGCTTCACGGACGATGCCGCTTCCTCGGTGTCTAGCTTCGCAGAGAGCGAGGACAAGCCCGAAACCTCTTTCGCGTCGGAGGCGTCCGATGCCCTTGTCGGTGACGCTGAATCTATCGTGGACCATGCTGGCAGCGTTGTGGCAGACATCGAAATTGAAGAGGACCCGTCCACGGAAAAGGATGACACGCCCATTGCGGACCATACGGCATCAGTCAAGCCTGCGTTCCTGGGCGCGGCCGCTCAAGCTGTTTCGGACCGCAAGCCCATCCTCGACGACTACGATGAATCGGACGCTACCGACATTGTGTCGCGCGGCAGGGCTTCGGCCGAGGCTGCGTACAGCGATGCTGTGGCTGCTGCCAAGGAACAGTACGCGAGCGCCGCCTCGGTCGTGTCGGCGCAAATCTACGGCACCCCCAAGCCTGTCCACGAGGAGCTCCTCTCCTCCTTGTCTGCTGGCTATGACGGTGCCGTAGCAGCAGCTTCCTCTCGATGGAACGATGTCATCTCTGGAGTGAAGCCTACCACCACGGCTCCTCCCGTCCCGACAGCCTACGTTGACTGGTCCAAGGTGGAGTCTATTGCCTCTCAACGCCTTCAGGAGGGGCGTCTATGGGCTGAGCTGCAGTACCAGAGTGCAGTCATTGCGCTTGGTCTGTCTAAGCCTACCCCGTCCTCGGTGCCCGAGAAGTATCTGGACGAGGCCAAGAAGAACTACTATGCCGGGTTGGGAATGGCGCAGGAACGCTACTCGAACTTCATCGCGGCTGCTTCCTCGGCCATGTCCTCGCTGACGGCGACGCCAACCCCTACGGACTTTGCTGGTACAGCTTCCTCCATTGCTTCGGTCGCCCGCGAGTCCGCCTCCTCTGCTCTGCATGCGGCGGAGAAGGCTGCCGAGTCTGTGTACTCGGATGCCACGGAGAATGTGGCCTCCGCTATCCAGGCAGTTGATCAGGGCATCTACTCGGCCATTGATGCGGCTACCGAGCAGATGTACTTGACCGGGGCTGCCCTTGCCGACACGTGGGACAATGTTGTCGGGCAGCTCAACGGACAGATCTATGGCGAGCAGAAGCAGCTGGGCTGGTACGACAACCTTTTCAACGACGCCAGCTCTGCTGCTTCCGCTGCCACCGAAGCTGTCGTGGACCAGGCCTCGGCGGCGACCGACGCTGCTGGCGACAATGCCGCTGCTGCACAAAGCGAGGCTGCCAAGCAGTTCTCGGCTGTCAACAATCTCGTGTCAGAGCTGGTGAGTGGCAAGGAGCCTTCGTTCACCGAGAGCGTGCTCTCCCGTCTGAATGCCGTCTACGCCACGGCGGCGTCCAACATTGGTAGCTATGCCAGCGAGGCAAGCGAGGCCGCTTCCTCGGTGGGTGGCAAGGTGAACAGCGCCGTCAACCAGGCTGCCGAGGCCGTCAAGGAGACTGTCCAGAACGCCAGGGACGAGCTGTGAGCACGCAGACGTTGAGAAGCGAAGCGCGCGCCATCCATTTTTTGGACGATACCCCCCCCCCCCCCAAAGCCAGATCATGTTTGCACAAGTGGTGGATGAATTTTACGAAGTAATGTACATTTCCTTTTTTTTATCGAAGCACGGCAGATTGATTCCATGACAGCAGCAACAAGAGCGGTGCGTTATAGATAGCGGAAGTGGTCAGTGCTCTCCCGTACGTGGTGGTAGTGGTGGTGGTGGTGGTAAAAAAGGTGCCGATGGAAGAAGGAAAGGTGCGTCTTTATGGTCACGAGCGTGTGCTACGGCAGTTGTTTTGATTTCCCGAGTCTTTGCAATCGAATGTTCTTGATGCTCTACTACTGTCCTCGTCGCATGGGTTTCCAAGGGCTCTCCTGCAGCCAGCCAGTGTGTTGCCTGTCCATGATCATCACTATGAGGGCCTCGTCAAGTAATCGGGCGCCATCTTGCGAGGCTCACAGGATTACAGGTGAAGGGGCGGAGGACCGACATGCATGTTGCCACCAATATTCGGCACTGGCCAGGGCAGCCAGCGAGTTCCTAGCCTCGTTCTCACCTCGCCCCAGTCGCGTGCCTCATCCATCCGGCGGGCCATCGCTCGGTTTATCGCTGACAAGGGCGACGGTTCATGAGAGGCAATACCAGCTCTTGGCTTCAGATCAGGCTCACGGCCGTCGAATACCACGAAAAGTGAGGGGAAGGAAGATCTCAAAGGCCATAGTCACGCACGTTCCCTGGGACACTGCTGCCTGCAGACGAGCAAGGTCACGAGCGAGGGATTCGGCAGCTGTTTATCCCTCATCGCGCGGCGATGATCCCTACCGCAAGACCAAGTTTATGGGAGCCGCCAAGGCCGACAGTGTCGCTTATTGAACGGAATTGGGGGAAGTTCCATCGGCGCGATCCATCTCCACATACTCCGTACAAGTGGGATCGATCCCACGGGAGTCGGGACCCTAATCAAGATAAAAAGGGTCCTCGCACTCACATGCGATTTCCTTTGCCCCGGCTGCTGGTGCTTCTCAGATTCCTCGGTCAACTACGGAGAAAAATTCTGGGCGATTGTGTCCCCGTTCTCTCTCAACAGCAACCAGGACGCATGGAAGCCGCTCTCGAGTGCTCTCGCCTTCTTTGCGAAAACACAGCGCCGCACCAACTACCGAAAAGCAAATCTTACCTCGACAAGTGATTGACGAAGCCTAAGAAGCCAGCATCATGGCGACACCGCTACACGCCCATCCGACGCCCACGTATGGCTCGGACAAGGAGAAGACGCCTGGCGTGGCGGATCTGCCCCCACGCCTCTCCCTCTCTGGCTCTGGCGACGGCCTCCCGAGCGTCTCCAAGCGTGATGGCACACACCGTATGCTCAAGGCGCGGCATATCCAGCTCATCGGTATCGGCGGCACCATTGGCACCGCACTATTTGTGCGTAACATCATCCATCTCCAGGCCAGGCCTCACACTCCTGCGCTGCGCAAAGAGACCCCCCACCCCTGAGACCTCATCGTACAGTACGCTCATGGCCATCTTTTGTGTATACAGGTTCAAATCGGCCAAGGTCTCCTTAACGGTGGACCAGGCTCGCTGCTGATCGCTTTCTGTAAGTCTCGGTGGGCGGATGAGCAGGTGAGACCACTCTGCTCTGCTCTGGTGTAGACGATATGTAGTCCTCCTTACTGACCGGACCCCCCCAGCCTTCTGGTGCTCCTTTGTGCTCGCCGTGACCATGTGCATGGCTGAAATGGTGACGTACCTGCCAATCTCCTCGCCGTTTATCCGCTTCGCCGGCCGCTACGTCGACGAGGCGTTCGGCTTCGCGGCGGGCTGGAACTTTTTCATCTTCGAGGCCGCCCTCGTGCCCTTTGAGATTGTGGCCTGCAACCTCATCCTGCAGTACTGGACCGACGCCATCCCCGTCGCCGCCGTCATCGTCATCGTCTCCGTTCTCTACCTGCTCATCAACGTGCTGGCCGTCAAGTACTACGGCGAGACCGAGTTCTGGGCCGCCATTGGCAAGGTCCTGCTCATCATCGCCCTCATCCTCTTCACCTTTGTCGTCATGCTCGGCGGCAATCCAAAGGGCGACCGCTTCGGCTTCCGCTACTGGTACTCGCCCGGTGCCTTTGCGGAACTCTACTACACGGGCGCCCTGGGGAAGTGGCTGGGCTTCCTGCAGTGTCTCATCCAAGCCTCCTTCACCATTGCCGGGCCCGACTACGTCTCCATGGCTGCTGGTGAAGCCGAGAACCCCCGCCAGGTCCTCCCGCGCGCTTACAACGCTGTCTTCTACCGCCTCACCATCTTCTTCGTCCTCGGTGCGCTCTGCGTCGGCATCCTCGTGCCGCACGACTCGGAGGAACTCGAGGGCGCGCTGGGCGAGGGCAAGCCAGGCGCCGCCGCCTCGCCCTACGTCGTGGCCATGCGTCGTCTGGGCATCGGCGTCTTCCCCCACATTGTCAACGCCCTCATCCTGACATCGGCCTTTTCGGCCGGCAACTCGTACGTCTACTGCGCCTCGCGCTCGCTGTACGGTCTGGCGCTCGAGGGCAAGGCGCCGCGCTTCCTGACCATCTGCACACGCCAGGGTCTGCCCATCTACTGCGTCCTCTTTGTGCTCGGCATCGGGCTGCTGTCCTTTTTGCAGCTCTCCGAGAGCTCGGCCGTCGTCCTCAACTGGCTGGTGTCCCTGGTCACGGCCTCGCAGCTGATCAATTTCGCCGTGACGTGCGTGGCCTACATGTGCTTCCACCGGGCGCTCAAGGCGCAGGGGGTCAGTCGCGACACGCTGCCCTACAAGGCGTGGTTTATGCCGTATGCGGCTTGGTACGGCTTCATTGGAACGTTTACAATGATCTTTGTGGGAGGCTACACGGTTTTCCTGCCGCTGGAGGGCATGTGGAGCGTTCCCGACTTTTTGTTCTCGTGCGTGCTTGTTCTGTTCATTGCAATAGGAAAAGGGGGGGTGACTAACTGTCTTGTCTTTTAGGTACACGAGCGTGTTCGCCTTTCCCATCTTCTACCTCGGCTGGAAGTTTTATCACAAGACGAAGCTGTTCAAGCCGCACGAGGTGGATCTCGTGAGGGATCTGGATGCCATCGCGGAGTATGAGCAGAACTTTGTGCCGGAACCTGCCGCGTAAGTCTTCATGGAAGAGTCGACGGCGAAGAGTCAATTGCTAATGATATTAAGAAACCCTGCGACCCGCATCTTGGACAAGGTCTTTGGTTAAAGAATGATACAGGAGGGGGAAAGTACACAAACGATCTATTAGTAAGTCCAGCTTGCTTCATATATCTGCTTCTATCTTACCGATACCTTAGTCCCCACGGTCCAGATCACCCCTTGTTAGCAAACGATTCAATTGTCAGTTTTGCCGATGCTGGCCGTCTAGGCCTGCTTCGTCTCGGCAATCCTGGCACACGAGCTGCATGGGCCCAGCGCCAGGCCAGGCCACGTGCGACGCACCACCTGCGCCTTTGCGTCCTCTGGCTTGATCCAGCAGTCCATGTTCGTGGACAGCGCACGCATGCAGCGCTTGAGGTCATATGTGTCGCGTGAGGCGACGAGGTGGCCGCACTGGGGGTACGTGTAGGCCACGGGCTGACACATGCTGCTGGACTGTGGGTTGTGAATGGGCTATGAGATTGCTGGTGCAGGATTTGGAATGAAGACCGGGAAGTAGTACCACCAATATTGTGATATAGATATATATATATATATATACCTGCGAGAAGACGTGAGATGGTTAGGTTGTGACAGACAGCTGAGAACACCGTGGAACTTTGATCGAAAGGCCCGACCAAGCGTCAAGTTCCGTTCTCTTTCCTAACGCACCGGAACTGATCTAATCTAACTACAGCGGTGTTCAGTGTTATAGGAGTTTCCGGTCAATGTTATGTTTTGTCACGTTCATGTGCTTTGGCGCTGTGCCTGCGTTCGCCTTGATTCCCGCAGAACCTAACCAACATGAACATGCATGCTTGGATACGATATGCCCAGATGTAACATAGCAAGACCTCCCCGGCAACGTGGAAACGAAACTGATCGCATTGGGCAATGGCTTGGATGACGCGCATTGCAAGCTCTCGAGATGCCATGTGCTCATAGGACAGGCCAACGCTCAGTGGATGCCGGTTGAAAGAGCAGATAACATGGACCTAACCAACCCGATCTACACATGGTGCCTTGGCCAAGTTTATAGCTAACACAGGTGGCGCACGAGTGGTGCAGGGGTCGATTAACCATTTGATAGATGCTCACGTTATAGAGCCCCCTTCATGATGTCGCGGAATCATCACGGGTACTCGATCGTCTAGATGGAAGAGCAGCGCAACTGAACGAGACGATGCTTGGTACGGTCAGCAGAAATAGAGAATCATCCAGGCTCGCCCATGATGTTTGTTTCCAACAATCCATCCTGGCCGCTGGGCTCCTTACCAAAACCTCTGGGAATAGCAGTTGGTGTTTTCCACCTCGATGCAGACTGGAGGGGCCACTATAAAAGGCATATCACAGGCTTCACAGCCACTCACAATGCAGTCTCGCCCTCGTCGAGCCCGCATATGTACTGTCTTGTCTGGCTGACATGGCGGTGTGTGAAGAAAGATGTTCGGAGTGAGGACAGCGTGCACTGCCGCTGCTGCCTGCCCGTATCGATAAGAGATGACCATGAACCTGCTTACCTCCCGTCAGCATCACATCCTCCAACCTTCTCTATCCCCTCTCGCTCGTACGCAGACATCAAAGCCGCCATAATGCAGATCACAAGCACCCTCGTCACCCTCATGGCCGCGACAGGCGTCGTCTCCTTCATGCCCCCCGACGTCGCCGCTTCAGCAGCCTACCCCCTCTGTCCCGAAGGCTACACCACGAGCTGCTGCTCCCTCGTCTTCCCCTACTCCAACTCGTGCCGTCGCGGCAAGTGCCGTGCCGGCTACGGCTGGAGCTGCCTCAACGGGCCCGGCAAGGTCGGGTCCATCCGCGAATGCCTCGAGGACTACGAGGACCGCACGGCGTACTGCAAGAAGCCAGGCGAGCAGTGAGTGTGGCCGTGCTCGCTCTGCTGCCATGTGCTGACTGAGGATTGTAGAAACTTCCCCTCGGTGCTCAGCTGGGAGGGTAGTGCCTTCAAGGCTCTGATTGAGCCGGCCGACTATCGCCAATGGGTTCGCCCTGGGATGGAGAAGCCTTGGACGCCGTCGGACAGCGAGATCCGGTGGGAGGACCAGGTGGACGTGGAGAGCAAGGACTCCGCCGAGGGCAGCGAGTTGAAGAAGCGTGAAGCTGAGCCCAGCGATGTTGACCTCGAGTAGACCTATTGTTACGGCAGTTTCGCCGGGTAGATCATGTGTTTGCCATGTTTATTGCCTCTGATCAGCCTGGAGTGTCAAATTCAAGGCGATACACAACAGCAGTAGACAATGTTGCGCTCTTTCATTTATGAGATATTGTATCACAAGCTCATGTGAACCCTCATGCTGTGTAACCCGAAACCCAGTACCCCCTCACAATCTGGCTTCCACCACTCTGAATCGATCGATGCTCTCCCACAATATCATGCTCCTCCACCTCAACGCCACCACCCATTCGAAGACCTCGCTATCACAGCTCGGTATCCCCCCGAGGCGTCGAGCTACTCGCCGACCCTGAATCAGCACTTGATCCAGCAGAGATATCCGAGCCATTCGCTGGCCCGCATTCGACGACCTTGCCTTTATCCAACCGCAGGCACCAGTTGGCATCCGCAACAGCCTCGAGGCGATGGGCAATCGTAATCACCGTGCTCTCCGTCAGTTCCTCTCGGAGGATGCGCTGCACCCGCGCAGCGGTGGGTCGGTCGATGGAAGCCGTTGCCTCGTCCAAGATGACAAGCCCGCTGCGTCTGAGCACAGCCCGCCCAATGCTGATCAGTTGCCGTTGACCTTGGCTTAAGTTGTTACCATTGGCGTCGATCTCCATGTCGATGCTCCAGCCGGGGCCCAGGACGAGATTGAGCGCGTTCTGACATTCGGCATCCGAGTACTTCCCCTCCGGATCCAGATTGGCGCGCAGGCTTCCGGGGAACAGGATGGGGTCCTGCTGCACATATGTTACCTGGCTGCGGAGCGCTAAACGGTCAACCTGTGCAAGATCGACGCCTCCAATCATCACCCTGCCCTGCGAAGCGGCCTGCGTGACGAGTAGCGCGTTGGCAATCGTCGACTTGCCCGACCCAGTACGCCCGAGTACGGCGCACGTCGACCCCCCTGGAATCTCAAAGGTCACCTCGTCGAGCACGGTGGGCAGGCCCTCGTCGTACTGGAACGACATCTTCTCGAATCTGATCCCGTCCTTCGGCCTGGGCCAGTCTTGGGGTGGTCTCTCCGAGCCTCGTGGTTCTTGCGGAATCTTGTTGAGCATGTTGACGCGCTCCAGGGACACGGCATCCAGCTGGAGCTGCGCAAACTTCTCACAAAGCTGTTGCACAGCTGCCATGGCCACGTTCGTTTGCGTCAGGACAAAGCCAACCGCGCTGGCTGGCGTGCCATACCAGATCATGAACAGAATGAGCGCTGTGCGTGTGGTGGCCGACGAGATGCTGAGGCGAAAGTCGAGCCAAAAGGCCATACTCCAGAAGAAGTGGTCCTGTTTCTGGAATTCATCCACGGCCTCCAGGTGCTTGTCCTGGAAGCGATGCTCCAAGCGAAAGGCGCGAATCGTCACCAGGCCGTGTTGCATGATACCAATGTTGGAGATGATGGGCGTCAGGCAGGCCATTTCCATGCGTCGCAAGCACCGCGAGATCGGCACGTACAATCGGAAGAAGTACATGAAAAGCACGGCCACGGCAAGGAGAATGACGAGAAGAGCTGGCTGGTGCGACATGATGGCAATCAGGCTGAGGCACAGCGCGATGAACTGAAAGACAAAGCCCTCCAAGGGCTGGATGATGCCACCGTCCACCATGCCCATGTCCGATGTCAGTCGATTTCTCAGTTGGCCTGTGGGAGTGACATCGTGATACCGAAACGTTGCTCGACAAATCCTGTCAATGGCTCCTTTGAACAGACCCTGCGCCGCTCTGATGCAGATCCTGGCTAGCAAGATCTGCGCCACGGCATAGCAGACGACCTGGCCAAGAGAGATGCCGCCGAGGACAAGCAACCACGCTCCAGAGTGCGTGTGCGGGTCTGGAAGATCCAGATACCCCCTACCGACGACCTCTATGTCAGAGCGCGTGGCGTTGCCCCACGCTTCCAGCAACCTCGCCCTAGAGATGTCGAAGTATCGGGACAAGCCATAGAAGAGGGCAAGGATCACCCACAAGTACCATCCGCCAGCGCGCATGTAATCCGCATAAAGCGACAGCGGGACGCTGCCAGTGGCCACGTTGTCCTGAAGCTCCTCCTTGACTTCGGCAAAATCTTCGTCGACACCAGCTCGTTGTACGTACAGTGTCTTGGACTCTTCCACTTCCTTGTGGATGGGATGCAATAGCTCTTCTTCAATCTGCTCGGCGGAGACGATCTTGGCGCGTCCCTCCTCAATGTCGATGACCTGATCAGCAATCCGCAGAACCAAATCATCGCGATGTGTGACCATGACGATGGTTCGGCCCTTTCCGAGGGGCCCTTTGATGAACCTTTTAACAATGTTCGTGGCCGTGTCGTGGTCAAGAGCGGACAGCGGATCGTCGAGAAGCATGATACGGGCGTCGCTGTACATGGCTCTTGCCAAGGCCACACGTGCTTTCTGGCCACCGGACAGACCAGCGCCACCCTCTTCGAGTTTCATACCATCTGCGCCTGGCAGATCGTTCAGATCTTGGTCCAATGCGCAGGCGCGGATGACAGCATTGTAACGACTCGCGTCGAAGCGCCCGTGAAAGACAATGTTCTCGCGGATCGTCTTGGTCTGCAGCCATGGAAGCTGCTGAGCGTATGCTATAGGTTCGTCGGGACGGTGGAGGTGTCCTCCTTTCATCTCCATCTCGTTGAGTGCCGCCAGCAACAGACTTGACTTGCCCGCGCCCACAGGTCCGCGGATCACAGTGAGGCCAGTGGGAAAAGACAAGTTGATGTCGTGCAGCACCGCCTTGCCCGATCCTGGCCAAGCAAATGAGGCGTTCTCAAAGGTCAGGCTCTCACCTTGCTGTCCCAGAAACTCGTCTACATCGCGATCTGGCTCATCGAGATACTGGTGGACACGTTCAAGGGGAACGACAAGTCTCCAGTACGCCGAGATGAGGTCAAAGGCCTCCTTGACGCTCGCTTCAAGTTGAGCGAACAGCTGCAGCGAAGGCCAGATGACAGCATTGGGCAGACCGTTGCCAAGAACCATGGTGTACAAGCAAATGCTAGCCAAGGGGTACGAGGCGCCCCCCATGACGTTGAGGGTCGATATCGCTGCCCCGATGTATTGGATGTGAAGGCGCTTGCGCATTTCGGCGGCGCGCACCTTCAGGATCCGAGCACTCCACGATAGAGTCCATCCATTGAGCTTGAGTGGGCGACTAGCGTCCACAAAATGATGGATAGCCTGGCCGCGCTTGTCCGACAGAGCATTTCGTTCGCGCTCCATGCCAATCCACTTCTTGACAAGAATGGAGTTGATGCCCATGAAGAAGAACATCAGACCAAACCCGACAGACGAGGGCCAGCCCATTATGTCGACGAGATAATACATGGTGAAGACGACCTTGACAGGCTGGGACACCAGGCGGCGAAAGTCCCAGAAACGCTGGGAGATCTCGTATGTGTCGCCCCTGACCAGATTGACCACTTTGGCATTGGACGCTGACTGAGGTGGTTTGGGCTGCGCGGGCCCTGGGTTGACCGTTTGGTACTTGCGACGCCCACAGCAACGGACAAAGAGTCTGTTCAGGCGGGTGTCATTGTCGTGATCATCAAGGTCTTCGCCGGTAGCGTCCATTTCGTCATCGTCTGCTTGCTCTGTCTTGTCAGAAGCCGATGTGAGGCGGGTGATCAGCTTGCTGAACAGCGCGATAAAGGTCTCGCCACGCGACCTTTCGTACGCCTTGCGACTGTACCAGTCAGACGTGGTCTTGGCGATCTGTCGGAAGCCATCCAGGCACAGCATGACAAGACACCAGAATATGGCCTCATCAATGTCGCTAGCGTCCAATGCCGCATACAGTCTGCTTGTGAGCCGGATGTTGGACACCTCTGATACCTTCTCGAGTACAGCCAGTACGGCCGAGATGGCCAGATCGAGACCATTGGCTTCGGCCAGCCGGTTGAAGAACTTGCCTTGCAGGTCTCGAAAAGCGAGGTACAGGCGAGAATGCTGGTAGTCGTACGGGAGCTGCCACACATCTTCCACGCCCAGATCGCGTACGCGGCTCATCTTGATCATGGACGCGACCCAGCTCATCGTCCAGAACTGGAAGAGTGTGAGATTGTCCTCGGGACTGCGGAGGTGAACGGTGGGTTCCTTTCGCCCATGTCCGATTTCTGATGAGTCGGCGGCCGGGCTGCGGATTGGCATGTTGCCAATGGCGATGATGGCGAGGCCGCAGATGCCGATCTGCGAGATCTCGAGAGGCGTCATGTGGCGTAACGAATGTGCGAGAAAACGAACGGAGTATGTGGCTAGCCCTGCCAGAGCCAGCAAGAAGTACTGGAACAAGAGTAAACGAGGCGTCGAGGTCGGCCTCTGAAAAAGGGTGATCAGCGTTGCGGAGAGCCAAGGAATGATGCTCAAAATGTTCACAGCGCTTGTTGGCTGTAGTACCAGCCCGACGATGGACAGTACCAGTCCTGCCACAGACAGGCCGATCAGACAGAGCGTCCAAAAAGTCCATCGACGTTTAGGGGCAACCAGCTTCTGCTCCTCCTGAGCAAAAGGTCTCAGCCAGTGCGGTAAGCGAGCGGCGATGATGCTTTGCGAAAGATACACGAAGAAAATGATGGGCGATATGGCGGCCAACGCGATATAGACTTGGACTTCGGGCTGAGCGAGCGGTTTCCTAGAGGAGGGATGCATATCAGTCCTCTCTTGCTGGAGGATGCTGGCGCCGAGCTCGTGGGTTTGATGGTGCAATGCCGACGAGCTGAAGCCGGCGTATGCCAGCGCTGCCAGGGAGTCCATGCTGTCGGGGACTTGGCTGATTTGTGACCAGGGACCTTTTTCCGAACCAAGGGAGGACAATGGCGGAGGTATCAACAAGGTATTGCTGGGCGGGAGGGCTCAGTATGTGGCAGCGCAGACAAGCAGCCCATGTATGCAAAATGGAGAGTGGTGTTCAAGGCCCGGCGAACACACTCTGACGCACCATGACGAGGAGTGACCGTGACGAGCAGAACCTCATGCCAAGGAAGAGAGAGCCCGAAATAGAGTGCTCTGAATCGAGGCAAGCGAGAGCAGGAGGACAAGAATCACGTTGATCGGAGGAGGCCGTGTGATTGTGAAGCTTGACGATGTCGAATTTGGCTCCGCTTCGACTCCGCATCTACGCAACGTTGGGGTAGGGAGATCGATTGGCGTTCGAGATTGGCCAGGACGTTGGGTGAAGAGTGGGCTCGTGCAGGTCGAGGGTTTCCTGGGGGTTGCGGTGAGGTCGGCTAATGATTGTGTGATGATGAAATGGGTCGGCCTGGACTTTATTTGGAGTGTTGTTGATGTCCACGTCTCATCAAGGTTTGCCGCGATTGGATTTCGGGGAGTTTAAGTACGAGGTAGGTGTGCACTATGTCCGAGAATCAACTCGTACGTTGGGGAAAACATATTGATGTGCCAGCGCATCATGACGACGTTGGGAAGAGGGTATCGGGGAACAGGACCTTCCATGTTCAACAAACAAAGGAGTCTTTTAGGCCCTTTCTTTAATGTTAGACATCATGGATAAGGCTGGTTATAACTGAGAGCCCTCCCAAGATGTAGGTGGCTACAGGGTAGTCAAACCCCACTAGACCCGCGTTTAATTCCGACCAGTCCATTCAGTGTTTGTCGTTTTCTAGAACATTTTCAAAGGCGCCGAGTTTAACTAGGTATCCATGATTGGATCGCTTCCAATCCGATTCTATTGAATGCTTAAAGTCCATGCCGCGATTAAAGCTATCCCATCATAACAGTACAGGTGACTTTGATGACCTCAATACTGTAGGGTAAGGCAATTGACTGCACAAAGAGGTAGGTCATCAACGTCGAAGCGACCGACTGGACTTACAGCGGCGAGCACCACTCCATACGGATACACCAAGGCGCATTGGAACGACCAGACGGATGGAATGAAGTCATGGCCGCCCCAGAGGATTGAGCAAAGCACCATTATTAAAAGCTACTTACTCTAGGGGTCCAACCAGTCGGTCCCTTCTGCCCGCGGAACCGAAGTCATCCCTGCAGCCAACACGCATGAACTGAATCGCCGCCTCAGGCGCACGCGCACCGGCTCGCCAAACTCGCATCTCGCACTTGCTTCTTCCTCACTCCCCCTCACTCACTCATCACATGTCCGCACTGTCTCGATACTAGCACAGGTCAACTCGGGGCGACAGCTGCGGGCGGACAGGCACCAACCTACCAAGTATCGAGGCGACGACGAGCAGCAATCGCAGCCAAGCCTCATGAGATAAGGCGCCCTTGCGTGGAAGAAACAAAAACGCACCTGCACACAAAGCGTACCGCATGGATCGAGAACGAACGCCCGTTCACCCCCATCATCGCCGCCATGTCGGCCCACACGAGATGCTCCTTGCCTCCACGCGCACAGCCGCCTACATCGTCGACCTCGCGGCGCTGCTGGCCATGGGATACTACATCTGGCGCTGGCCGAGCACTGCTGGCTCCGCAGTCGGTGGCCTCATAGGCGTGCGTCTTCCCCCCCATGGTGGCCGCAACCAAGCGACGTGCATTTGCTAACATCCAAGAACTACAGTGTGTCGTGGCGGCGCTGAACGACAGCTGGGAGATGATTGCGCAGCTCGACCCCACGCTCAACTTCCCGCCCATCAAGGCGGCGCGCGTCGTGGTGCACGACCTGCTCAGCCTGGCGGTCTGCGTGGGTGGACTCATGCTTCTGCTTTTTATGGATCTGCGCGAGAGGAGAGAGGCTGAGGACCCTGCGTACGACCGCGTCAGCGACTGGGACACTAAGAGGAAGGTGGTCATGGTGGCGCAGTGGCTGGTTGGGGCAGTTGCGTGAGTCTAACCCTTTGAAGAGAGACAGGACTCTCTTAGACGCCGGACCCTGTTTTTGCTAATCGAGTGAGAAGGATTATGAGATTGGGCTTCGTGTTATGGATCGGCTGCATTTGCTCCAGCGAGCGGCGACGAATCGTAGAACGACGACGGCGACGACAAGAACGCAGGAGGACGAGAAGAGGACCGACAGAGCGAGACGAGTCCGAGGCACGCTTGGCGGAGATGGGCATTCGCGTTTCACGATGAGTAAATCTTCTAATGAGAAGCTGACTTTGAATTATAATCGACACAGTGAGGCCACCCCGCTGCCTTGTCACTTCCACAGCCATCCCTTGCCGTTGGGTGCGTATGGTCGTGCATCGACGCTCGAGACATATGGCTTGACGCTTTCCCAGAATTTTGTCACGAGTGTCTCGCGCAGCCACCTCTCCCAGACCTCGCGCGACGCATAACGCGCAAAGATGCGCGCCCCAGTCTCATTGTCCAGCGACACGAGACCCAGAAACGAGAGCACCTCGCCGTCCTCGCCCGCCGGACCCTGCCGCTCGTTGACAAGTGTGCAGAACAGCGTGAGCGCGCCGACGAGACTCTTCCTCGCCTCGGGGCCCGTGCATGTGATCTGTACATCGTGGATGATGCCGCACTCCGTCTTGTGGCCTGACCGGTCGAGAAAGCTGCCCTCGACGGCCTCATAGTGTGTCAGATCCAGTCCCGTGCTCATCGTGCGGCTCGCCACGGGGAGGAAGCCCTCCTGCATGGGCTTGGACTGGAGGTGGACGTCGTACAGGGCGGCGCGGGAGGCGTAGGCTTCAAAGGCGAGCATGGAGGGCGTCGCGCTGGGGTTGGCGGCGTACTCCAGGGGCAGGCCGAAGTAGTAGGTGAGCGTTTCGGGCTCGTTGGCCATGACGTGCTCGGCGAGTTTGTCGTATGCTGCTTGCCACTGGTTGTTCTTTATTAGTCGGGGCACGATGTTATGTGTGGGGGATGAGTTGCGGCTTGCCTCGTCATAGTGGTCTGGCACCATGTTACAGTTGCCAAAGATGTAGAATTGCTGGTGCGGCGCGAGCTGGGTCGCCATCTTTGATGATGAATGTCGAGGTATGTCGTAGGTGAGAGGCTCGAGGTCGTTAGTTGACATAGCTGCAAGAACCTTGGGGAGCAGCTATTGTGCAGGCGATTGAACACATTACATAGTACACCTTTGCTCATCTTGACTTGAGAGTAACCACTCCTCCTGCTGTCTCGAGCACCTCGAGTGCTTGCTTCCCCGGACATTTGATTTCCATGACCCATTGTGTTGGCTCCCCATTTTCCAGCGCGACTTACACACGACGGATCAATCTCTGTCAGCACCCCACACGACTCAATTCCTGTGATCGTCTTTAGCGTCGCTAGTGTCCGTCCTGTGATCCGCTCCCCACTGAGGGGCGCAGATCCGGAAATCCAAAGGGTTTTGCAAGTGTTGCTTCTGATGGAGGGTGCGTCGGGGTCTTGGGCAGGGCGGAAGACATTACCCGGCGGAGGTGTGGTGGCTGTCTCTGGGGATTTGAGAGCGTTTCGTGCGGCTTGGGTGATTGCAATTGACGAACGAGAGACTGGTCAGGCACAGGATGGAAGAGCTTGCACGTAGATGATGCTTCAGCACACGATTATTGTTGCGAGTCTCTGGGGATGACATCTGGTGTCCTGTGCATCGTCATCTCACTTAGTCTCTCACGAATACCTGTGGGATTAGAAGTAAAGAGAATAAGTGAGGATGTTGTGCAAACATATTATTTGAATGAACACATCGACTATCGAGAAACGGGTATCAGCGTATTAATACAGCCACCTCTGAGCCAACATTGCCCTCCAAGATGTAACTCCAGTCCAGACAACGACCATCACCGATGCCCCCAACCTGTAACCTCGAATCACAAATCTAGATCAGTGGAACCTGTTCTTGTCGGCATTCTCGTCGTTCTCCAAGAAAATCTCAATCTTGTTGTTCATCTTGTGCTCAATATCCTGACAGAAGAGGCAAGCTAGACCACATGTTAGCCTTCACATCCCACAAACACAATAGAGTCACTCACCAATGATGCCGACAATGCCAAAGCTCAACGAAGACAGGCAGGTCGTCCTCAACCCCTGGACATAGCTCTGCTTCCACGCCTCGGACGCCGCGGCCACAATCTCGTCACTGATACCGGCCACCTGCTGAATAGCCGCCGATCCGAGCGGGAAGGCCGCCAGCAGATCGGCCGCCGACGACGCAGGCAGGCCTGCCGCGATGGCGGCCTTGGGGACGAGGCGCGCCGCCGCGTTGCCCTGCACGTTCGACAGGATGGTCTGGTAGATGGAGATGGCGACGGAGCCGCCTGCGAAGCGCGCGACGCCGGCCAGGCCACCCGATATGCCCAGCTCAACCTGCTCGGTGCCGAATTGGATGTACGCGATGCTCAAGTACTGCGCCCAGCCAAAGCCGACCTCAGACAGGAAAATAAAGGCAATCACCATGCCGAAGCGGTCAGGCGTGGCGAGGGCGAGGAGCGCGCCAAAGACGACCATGATGGTCACGCTCGCCGTCAGCGTCCAGCGCCAGTGCCCGATCCAGGAGCCGAGGCAAGTGAGAAGCACCGCGCCAAAAGTCAGCCCTAAGTTCTGCGGGAGCGTGAGCACGGCCGCGTAGCGGAAGGACGTGTTCTCGTCGGTGAAGAAGACGGCAATCATGGTCGGGTACACGACGTTAAGGCAGTAGTAGAACATGGTGACGACGAAACCCACGACAAACGGCGCCGTGAGCTCGCGGCCGTGGTCGCGGGTGAAGATGCGTGTCGGCGTGAGTGGCTGCTTGAGCGGCGCAAAGGTCTCCCAGAGCGCAAAGGCAACGAGGCACCCGAAGCCGGCGCACAGCGTGCCGATGACCTTTGGGTTCGAAGAGGGCAGTGTAGTCGTGTAGACGATGCCGACGAGGATGAGGGTCGTGGCGAGGATGAAGAGCACGGAGCCGACATAGTCGAGTTCGCGCAGGGCGCGCTTGGTTGGCAGACCGCGAGGATGACGGGGCGGGAAGTAGAAGAAAAAGAGACCCACGAACGAGAAGACGACGGCGATGGCAGGACCGTAGAAGAGCCAACGCCACTGTTGAGGTTGTTAGCTCTGTTAGAGAGGAAGAACGGGAGACACACGTTGTCACCGTGCTGGGCTGCGAAGCGGCCGGCCACTGGACCGACGAGCACGGCAAAGTAGACACCAATGTCCGCGAGTACAATGGCCGAATGGCGCCACTTGTTGGGTAGCAGCTCGGGGAGCGCAAAGGCAGCCAGCTGCGCGTTACCACCGCCAAATCCGATAAAGGCGTTGCCGACAATGACGGAGGTGTTGTTGCGCGCGGTGCCGGCGACGATGAAGCCGATGAACATGAGGACGTTGCCCATGAGGATGAACCAGCGTCGGCCAAAGAGATCAGAGTTGGCGCCACAGACCCTGTTTTTGCATCAGACTAGACTGTCATATCGTCGAGGGGATGCTGGGTTACTCACATGAACGCCATGGTGACGGTCATTGTGTACACTGGGATGTACCACGTCTGCTTGCTTGGATCGCCTAGTTGAGTGGCCATCAGGGCCTGCACGCCACTGTAACTCGGTACGATCCAGAATGAGATGCCATAGGACCAGGCCAAGATCTGTTTCCCGCGTCAGTCTGCGACCGAGGATGTCCTATCTGTGTCCAGAAGGGAGAGGATTTGCCCACTCACCCAGACCACAATCCACGTTTTGAAGGTGACATTGTATTCCTCGTCACTTTGAGGAACGTATGATGACCCAGTGAGAGCATTCTCAGCGTGCGCATCGTTCTGCATCGGCTTCTCCATGGATACGGCTGGCTCATGCTTCTCAGCATCGGCACTGGGTCTGCTGGTGCTCGTCGTGTCAGCAGCCATGGTGTATCTTCTTTTTGCGTCAGAAACAAGAAGGACGACAGGACTTGCGGTAAACGCTGAGGACTCAACAAAAAGGGATCGCAAGGGTTCCTTTATTGCATGGTCACCCAGCTCGTTGCCAGTACCTCGGCGATTGCACCTGTCCACTAGCGCGCGAAGCTCTGGTGGACAGACGGCAGACCGAAGCAAAAGCGTCGAGCTATTCTGTTAGCCTCATGCTAAAATGATCACGCATATTGCCCAATGCGGCAACAAGGTGGACATGGGCGTATCCCGGAAAAGGAGTTCCTGGTGATAGCTGGGTAGCGTGTGGGGACCCCACACACGGCAACGGCAGTTGATGTCCTTGGGGTGGATCTCGATGAGAAGAAGAAAGACTCTTTCCAAGTGCATTGCCTGAACGTTATTTCGAGGTGTGGATGAAAGTCTAGTCTCCCCCACGTAGCTAGAGAGGGAGTCGTAGGTAAGTGTTCATGAGAGTTGGAAAAGGGTGCCCGCGTCGCCTGGTTTGGGAGCGTCGAGCCAAACTGAACCTAGCGTGGTCAGCGGTGAGATGGTGACCTAGACGATCATGCAGCAAGGGTGTAGACGAGATCCGGCCGTTTGGTGTGTTGGAGCATGTCCACTACTAGTTCAAGTCCAATGGCACGAGCTTCGGCTGTCAATAAGCGGGCAAAGCTGGCCACATGAAAGATGATGTATGCAACCAACTCTAGAAACAGCCTGCGGACTGGGGCTTGCAAGATTCGGATGCCAAGGGGGCTCCTCTCTTGACGCCTTTTCCGAAGAACATGGGCACGAAGAGCCGTTAGAGGTCATGTGTGCTATGACTGCTCTTCTCGCCCGACAGGTTCCGGCAGCCCGCATGAGGAGAAGGGTATCCGCGGAGTTCTTGTACGGCAACACATAGTGTGTAAGCATTGGTGATTTTCTGTAGAAAGACGCATGGGTATCTGTGCCCGACGTATGCCATCAGCGGAGACCAAGTACACCAAGTTACGCGATCATCCTCAGGAGCCAGTGCATTCTGTCAGCAGTGCGCGCATTCCAACATGTCGTCAAACAAAGTGGCCATCGTCACCGGCGCCTCAGTATGTACTCCGTCCTCTCGACACACCGTCGGCAGTGCTAACAGCATGCGACTAGTCAGGCATGGGCGAGGCCCTCGCCGAGGCTCTCGCGTCTAGAGGCTGGCTCGTTGCTATGTTCGACATTCAACCCAACGACACGCTTGCCGCTCGCCTCGGCGACGGGGCAACCTATCACCACTGCGACGTGGCCGACTACGACAGCCAGGCCAGGGCGTTTACCGAGGTGTGGGACAAGTATGGGCGCATCGATGCGCTCTGCGCGAATGCAGGCATTGTCGATAAGAGGTTGGTAATTGCCTATTTCAGAAGGAGAGAAAACGACTGACAGGGCCAAGTTCGATTTACATCCTTAACCACAGAAACTCGGATGAGTGAGTCCATTCAGCACGAGAAGAGCCGCGATGGCATTGACAGTGAACTTGAGGATCCCACCGAAGCCGAACCTGCTGACGACGGACATTGACTGGAAGGGCGTCGTATACGGCACCCAGCTCGCCTTGCACTTTATGCGCAAGAACAAGGTGCCAGGCGGAAGCATCGTGGCGACGGGGAGCGTGGCGGCTGTGGTGCCGCACGAGACGTACCCCGAGTACGATGGCGCCAAAGCAGCGGTACGAGACTGCCACATGAGGATGGGCGAGGTGCTGATGGCCTATAGGTGGTGAACTTTGTGCGAGCTTCATCCCGGGTCTTGAGGATTGTGCGTGGACTCCCCGCCATCAGACATGCCAAAGGCTAACGGGGAATACAGAAGGAGAACATCCGCATCAACTGCGTTCTGCCTGGGATCGTGGCCACAAAGATCATTCCTCCGGAAATGGTGGCAGCTGTGTCGCCGGAATGGTACGTTCTATCCCGCCCTACCGTCTAATACACGTCAGACGCTCACAGGGCGAACGCAGCCTGACACCCGTGTCGACTATCGTAAGAGCCTACAACAAGTGCCTCGACGACGACAGCCTGGCCGGCGAGGTCTTGGAGTGCTCTGTGGAGGAGATACTTGCTCTGCCCGTGCCCGAGCTGCGGAACGGCAGGTTCTCCAAGCGAGCTGTCACGGTGTGGGACCCGTTGTTCAAGTTGTACCACGGCGAAGAATCGGGGCTGCCCGATGCGATTCCTTGAGCGGGCTATGTGAAATGACAGCCAGAGTGTGTCTCAAGTATCTTTCGAGCAATGGCATTTAAACGGTCTCGGGCGCGTATTGTTTCGGTGAGAGCGACCGAGCCGGACAGCTGGGACAGAGGTGGGTGTTGAGCATGAAACGGGCCACGAGTCGAGTGGCCATGGCCTCGAGATGGGTCGGCCATGTCGTACAGTAGGACTGGACCTCATAGGACTCGCGCTGTAGACGCCCAGCAAGGGAAGCTTTTTCCAAAGACGCGCTGAACCGTAAAAGAATGTCGTAGAATTTGCCGCAGGCAGTCACGCGGCGACTCGCGCAGCCATATCGCCCCCAATTATCATCAAAGCCCTGCTTCGAAACTGGGAGGCAATTGATTGCCCCCCGAGTAAAGTAGAAAAAGGGGTGCGAGGGGCCAGGGCGCGCCCAGCTCGCTCGTCCCAGCACATGATCGGAGGCTTTACGTCGACGACTGCGATATGTCCAGCGGCAGAGTGATGACAGCAAGTGTGTCCGTATGACGGGATTCTTGATGAATGATGGCTTTTGTGTGTGGCTCAAGTATTATTAGACGTGAAAGTTGAAACAGGACAGCCGCGAGTCCGCGACCAAAAAGCAGACAGAGTCCGACAGACAGACGCGGAAACGAGGCACGGCACGGCTTGGCGGCACAGCCACACTGCCCGTTCCGCATCCTCCAACTGGAGGATCTGCCTTGTAGGGCTGACTGCCCGATTAGGACGCTGCTGGGACAAGTTGATGATGTCGAGATGGCGCTTGGCTTGGTTTCGAGACACCATGCTCACGGCGATGTCCGTGAAAGAAGGCCACGAGACGGCCGCGTCAGGACTTGGGTGGTTGCGAACTTTAAATCCTAGTCGTCGACGTGTCCCTTTGTCCAATGGGCATAGGACAACAGCCTGACCGGCCTTCGTAGTACTGTAGGACTTGAAGGCAGCGAGGATCGACGACCCTGCTAATCTGGGCACAGACGCGCGGCAAAGTTGTTGGAATTGAAACATGAGCGGTCTTGAGGAACGTGGCCGGTGGCTGCCAAGAGGTCAATGTTCTCATTCTGAGCAGAAGGTTTGGTTGGCCTGCAGCGATGGCGGTCATGAACGAATGGTGCGAACCACTTTCCGTCCCCGCCTGCAGGCAGCAAGCTGTCAGTCATCAACAAGCGGCCAGTCAGTCACTGGCGATGATGGATCGACGGAAGCGAATGACTGTTCGGACAGTCTAGCGACGCTGCTCTGCTCTAGCGTCCTGCGCCTGTTGCTGCAGGTCATTTGACAATGGAGAGCCAGAGAACGCAGTGGAGGCCATTGAGCGCTCGCAGCCAGTCGAGTCATCCGAGTGGCGTGTGCTGCCTGGGACGATGAGACGCATGTCAATTCAGGGACAAGCAGCGTATTCGATTGCATCGTATCGCACCGATTGGCGAGGATCATCCATTTGACATGTTCGCTGTGAACACGACTCAAGTGAAGCCTTGGAGCCTTTGGAGGCGGGGAACCTGCGAAGGCGATTGAAGCCACACAGCTGCCTAAGGCCCTCAAGTCGTGATGAGCAGCCACAGCAGGCAGGCAGAGACGACACCAGCCACAGCCCATGAAGGCGCACTCGACCTCCAGTCTTTGACGTCGGAACCGAATGCCACAAACTTGAACAAACCCTATCAACTTAGACGGCCAGACATGACGCTGCAAGGCTGCGCTCGCACTCTGGGTGTCGCATCCAGCATCATTCCGCCAGGGTCCAGAGAGGGGCTCCCATCCTCGTAGGGCAGAGGCGGAGTCGTGTGACCCCTTGTCTCCTCGCCAGGGCCCAGCCTAGCCTCAAGCCTCCAGCAAGCGTCCAGGCAGCACAGCCGCCCGTTTGCCGTTGCTCGCTCGCTCGAGCGAACGACGCCAATTGGCGTACCCGCTGCTGCATGTCCTGGACAGTCCTTTGCCGGATTGGGGACGGCCTGCCACTGGCAGTCCTACTCATACGCCCTTGAGTGAGTCAACGGCCAGCTCTCTGTCTGTGGCCGATGGATCCCATGATGCGCCGCGCAGGACGCTGCAGATAGGAGGGTGGCCCGAGTGCAGGAGACCCTCTGTTGTCTCAGAACGCGCTCGTCTGCGAGATGGGCATTGAAGCCTTAAAGGTGTCTGTCAAATGGACAGCCTTGGCTACGCCAGACGCTGGCGACACTGACAATGGCCGCCACGAACCTCGGGCGTGTTGTGCGCAGACTGTTCAGTCTATCCAGCAATCGGCCACGGACACAGTCTACACGCAAACGACGCATCTAGACGCACAGATCCACGGTTCGTGCCGTCAGGATCAGGCCCGCCCTCAGCATATCCTGCAATGACGTTGATGCCTCTATCGCAGATTCTCAATCACGACCCAGGGGAGGAAAGGCGCTCTCGTCGTGGCTCAGCAGGCAGCTCAGCCCACGGGGGTCCATCGACATGCAGCAATCCCACCAGGAATGGCATGCAGCCACACATGCATGGGCTGCAGCCGGGGGAGTCATCAGCACTAGTCTAGGGAATTGGCGACTAATAGCGAGCGCCAGGCTGCAGCGAGCAAGGGAACTTGACGACGGCCGTGTTCGCCCATACACTTCCAATGCCATGTAGGCAACGCGCCCTCCCGACGCCCTTGATGGACTCGACTTACACGCAGCTCCCTGTCTCCCCCACACACTTTTATCCAGTTTCAGTAGGGGCGTGTCTCTTGCAACTGCAAGCTGGTCCTGTCCTCATCAAACACCCCTACCCTTGCCGGCAGTCCTATCAAGAAGGATACTTAACCTCGAATTCGTCCTCACATCTCGAACTTGAACCTTCATTCTTACAAAACTAACAAAACATCGTACCATACCATACTGTATACCGTACACCACACTGGACATACGTGCCACCAAGTCCTTCACGTTGGCGCCTCTTCAGATCACCATCCAAAGCGAGACCATCAACCACCACCGTCGTCGACGGAACTCAGGCTCTCATCACCGGCCTAATCCAAACACCAACCAGCAGCAGCAGACACCACCAAGGACTGCTCGTCCTGTTGTAATTCATCAGCCAGAACCCCCCATACGTGCTCCAGCAGTACCAGCTGCACAAGAACCAACACCCAGACGCCGCCACACACTCACAGACACAACCGCCGCCATGTGCGAGTCCAACCAGCACACCTGGGTCTACCCCGACGGGCGACGCAAGAAGCAGCCCCTCGAGACCGTCTACCTGTGCCCCAACGCGCACCACGGCCGTCCCTGCGCAGAGAACATCATCTACCGCCACCCAGCGCGCCCAGCACCGTCCTACAGCACCTCGGCGCCATCTCCCTCCTCCATGTCGCCATCGTCCTCGCCCGCGACCTTCCTCCTGCCCGCCCAGTTCCCACCCACACCCAACTACACACCGCGCTCGGGGACGCCCAACTACTACTCGGGCAACGACTCGGACCGCTCCTACCACAGCACCAACTCTGGCTCGGCGCCGCGGAGGACACGCTCCCACCGCACACCGCGCGTCTACATCAACGGACAGGAAGTCTACAGCTCACCGTCCCCCTCTCGCTCGAGGAATCGTTACGTCCTCGCTAGCAGCAACAACAGCCACACACCACCCCAGCCAACCTCCAGGACACCCTACAGCGCGCCCAACTCACCATCCTCACCATACGTCTTTGAGACCAACAGCCACCGCCGAACATCCTCGGCCACCCACCACAACACACAGCGCCCCGTGATCGTCCACGAGCGGCCGCACGTCGAGTTTGACATTCGCGAGCCACGGCGCATGCACACGCGCAACCCCTCCTCATCCTCAGACGAGCACTTGTCCCCCTCGTCGTCGAGACAAGCGCGCATCAGCAGGCAGCAGAGCCGGCAGGAGAGAACGGCGGACCGCATCGCGCAGGCCAATGCGCAGATTGCGAACCGGCCCGTGGTGCCGAGGGCGTCTGGACACCACGCGCCAGAGCCGCTCTCGGACGCGATGAGGCGGATGGACCTCAAGGACGAGACGAGGGAGAGGAAGAGGCAGGCGAGGAGGGAGGAGAAGGAAGCGGCGCAGCAGCAGACGGAGAGGTTGAGGGAGAGGCTGTCGCGGCGGACAACAGTGCAGTACGGGGACGAGGGATGGTATAGGTGAGGGATTCCTAATAAGGGATTGTGTTCGTGTTTGAGAACAGGAAGCGTTTTGATACCAGAGCTGGACGGGATTTGTTTACCGTGCATTTGATCTATAGACTCCGCAATACAGAAGGACTTGATCAACCTCTTTTGTCTGCCACGTAGCAAAGGCATCTATGTGACTGGCCTTGGGGGCACATGGAGATGCAGCGAAACCGGCACTGGGACAAGCCCGGCTTGTACGCACACCGTCCATGTCAAGCCACATGACTAGATGTGCGCCTTCTCTCCGCAAGTTTCTGTAAGCAAGAGTCGTGTATCTCGCCAAGAGACGCAGACCAGCCGCCACCCGGCTTCTGCCTGCACCGTATAAGTCCATCGCGTCGATGCCTGGCAAACGCGCACTTTCATGCGAGATCTCGACTGCCAGGCGCGCCCATCGCACTTTGCGCAAACAGGTGTTCATACTCTGCCCTTTACTGCGTTAACACCCAGACACTAGCCACACAGGACTGTCTGTCTGTCCTGGTCACGATGGACACTACATGCACTGATGAGACATGCGTGAGGCTACGCTGCAAGGCTGCGAGACCAAGTGACCTCTTCAAGTAAAAGTAAAAAGTGAAATTCGTGGTATCATTATTACATATGTTCATTTCGTCCTTCCCGCTCACTCATGACTGCCCCAGCACCTTGTCCAAGGCGCCGACCAGCGTGGGAATGTGCGCCTCCTCAAAGATGAGCATGGGCCTCAACCGCACCGTGCAGACACCGCACGTCCCGATATTCACGCCCAGGCTCTTCATCCCCTTGACGAGCGCGGGCGCGTCGACCGTGTCAAAGGCAATGTACGTGCCCTGCCCCTTGCCGCGCAGGTTGCGGATATGGTCCGGGTACTTGCGCGCCAGGGTCTCAAGCTCCTGGTACAAAACGTCGCCGACGCGCGCCGTCTGCTGCACGAGGTCCCGCGACAAAATCTCCTCAATGACGGCTTTGCTCATGAGCACGCGCGCTGGGTCGCCGATCCAGGTGTTGAACTGGCGGTACGCCTTGTCGGGGACGAGCATGGCGTCGCCAAAGAAGTAGCCGGCCGTCTGGGCCTTCTTAGAGAAAGTCACCATGTCCGGGGGCGAGGTGAGCTTCCAGTGCTCGTGGCCCCAGAAGGTGCCCGTGGCGCCGAAGCCGGTCTGGACCTCGTCGACGATGAAGACGACGTTGTGCTTGTGTGTAATGTCGCGCAGACCCTGGAAGAAGGCGGACGAGGCGTGGTTGTCGCCGCCCTCGGACTGGATGGGCTCGATGATGAGGGCGGCCACGGGGCACGACCACTCGGTGATGAGACGCTCAACCTCGGCGAGGCAGGCGGCCTCCTCGGCCTGGTTGGCCTCGACGTGGTCCTCGAGCGGGTACTGGAGGGCCGGGAAGGGGGCCTGGGGCCAGTCGAAGGAGGGGATGTCGAGCTTGTGCACGGCCTTGCTGCGCGTGCACGAGAGGCTGCCAAAGCCGCGGCCGTGGAAGGAGTTTTTGAAGCTGAGGACGGCCAGGTCCGGGGAGCCGGGCTTGGCGTTGCGCAGGCACGAGTTGATCTCGTCGGCGGACCACTCGACGCCCTCGCCTCGCTCGCGGCGGCGACGCAGCATGAAGGCCGCCTTGAAGGCGAGCTCGTTGGCCTCGGAGCCGGACTGGGCGGTGAAGATCTTGTCGAGGCCCTGGGGCGCGACGCGGAGCAGGCCGTCGCGCAGGATGGCGGCCCAGGTGGCGCTGGGGAAGTTGCCGAGGGCAGGGCGGTTGACGAGGGCGGAGATCATCTCGGGGCTCTTGGCGGCCTCGATGAGGGTGGCATTGTTGTAGCCGACGGGGATGGAGGCGATCTGGGAGTAGACGTCGAGGAAGCGGTTGCCGTCGACGTCGACAATGTAGTTGCCCTCGCTGCGGTCGTAGTCGACGACAAAGTGGACGGCGCGCGAGTCGAAGACGGCGTCGAGCTGCTTGGCCGCCGCCCGCGACTTGGGGCCGGGCACCTCGGTGGTGACGGCGTGCTGGAGGAGGCCGGGCATGTTGCTTTGTGCTTGCTGTGCTTGGTCCTGGAATGCGTCGGAGAGGAATACTGAGGTCCGATGTTAGAGGTGATGGGGAGGAAGAGGGAGGAGTCGGAGGACCAACCTTTCCAAGACGACGACGAAGACATGGCTTTTAATCGTGCGCGTGGGCGACGTGAACCCGGGCGAGGCGTGCCGGTCCCAGGCACGTCACTGATAAGAATTGAATTGTATGGAGAACCTAGATGCGCATTCAAGATTGGAGCTGGGGAAGCGGGTGTCGATCGGCCTCGGGAGTGTCTGCGTGGCACCGGCACGACCGGCTGTGCGGGTGGGGGCCAGTCTACTGCCGCCGTTGAAGAGACTCAATTGTCAACTTTCACATGCGGGTGCCGTTGTATTTTCCTCGACTGTTCAATTGTTCGCTGGCTTGGGTGGTAGATGGGTGAAGGCCTTGATAGGAGGAGACTGAGTGAGGCTGGACAGCCGCTGCGAATACTCCTCACCTCTCGCCATCGAGTCGAGGCCGAGCAAGATCTACACTGACAATGAATTTACAAAATCTTCTTCACTACGCCACACGCCTCGCAGTTGAGAATTGGAGACAGAATGCCCTTTGACACCGGCCCGGTGCGCCAAGACGGTCTGCCGGCCCCACTCCGGTCGCCGACGCCGGAACCGCCAGGCTCTGATTTCGCCTAGGATCGTTCCGGGACTTGCCTCTCGATAAAGTTCTTTGATAAGTAGGTGGTCAAGCTCGAATCTGATGAGCCACCCTGGATCTCTGCTCTGCTGGACGTGAACGCTGCATGTCTCGTTCCGTATGCAGTCCTTGACGCTGAACGCGCACATGACCAGCCCGCACACACCACCTACGCCATGCCAAGGTGACGGTCGAGCTGTCTACTTGTTTCCTGTTTGATCGACTCGGCAGTTTGATACTGGTGCAGACAGAGAGTGGACCATCTCGGGCGAGTTCCCATCGCTGGGCGAAGCATACCATTCATCGTGGCTGACAACACTCACCTTTAGCATGACAAGAGCATGCTATCACCAACAAGCCACTTTCCTGTGGTCGTGGTAGATGACTTCAAACAACTCTCCTGAGTCTTCCGAGCTTGGAGTGAACCAGCCCATGCAGTAGGTGCAAGGTGGAAAGGTGCACCCGCGCTGACACTTGGGTCTCCTCTCCCCCAAAAGCTTGATGTGTCCATCTCGACGCCCTCGATCAGCAATCTCGGTCAAAATCCTTATCCTCATAGGCCACTGAGTGAGACAAATCTTGCCTCGCCCGCCCGCATCGCCAGCCTCGTGATCGTGGTCGACATGCATGCACGCTGTTCCCCCGTCCCACGACCGATGCTGCCCAACACAGCCATCAGGGCACACACCTACTGTGGAGTGTGGCACGAATACCACGAGGCATGTCTCTCCGCCTTGCATTTGACTCCAAAATGGGTCTCGGGTATCGTCCTCAAAAATAAGTGGCAGTCCACAGTTGATATAAACACCAGAAGGGTATCCAACAGTATATACGGAACGAGTATATCAAAGAGAAGAGAAAAGAAGAGTGAAATAAAGACCCAGAAACGCCAATCATGCTTAGTGTGTACAACATGCCAAATCAGATGCAGATCCCACGCAGCACATCAACCCCATAGACTAGCTCGCGCCCATGTATATCTTGCAGATACAATGTCCGCCCGCGACAGTATTACGCCTCCACCTCTGCCGCCGACATGCTCCGCGGTCTCCTCGGCTTGAGCAGAGGCGGCACGTCCGCGACCAGCCCGGCGCCGATCCGCCCGCTCCGCAGGGCTATCCAGTGTTCCCGCAGTCGCTCCTCCTTCATGACGAGCTCAAAGCCAGCCAGAAAGCAAAAGCTAATCTCGAGCCGCGCCAGCTCCGCCTCGCTGACCCCGCCGACGCGGGCAATCTTGCGGTGCAGATACGGCAGATCCTCGAGGGCCTTGGTCGCGATGCGCAGCGCCGCGAGCACGAGGCGGTGCACGTTCTTGCGGGTCACGGGGATGGCGCGCTGGTCAATGGCCAGGGTGTAGATGTACAGCGACGCGGCCAGGTAGACGGCCGTGCTCATGGGACAGAACCGGTGCAGGCGCGCGAGATACTCGGTGATGCTGATCGGGGGCTCGAGCTTGCTGTAGAACTTGCGCGTGATGGCGCCGTGCTGCGCGTTGAGCACCGACTGCTCGTCCGCCGTGATGACGGCCGGGTACTCGAGGGCGGCGAAGGTGGGGAACGTCGGGGACTTGAGTCGCACGCCGTCGACCTCGACGGGGGCGGCGGCGGCGGTGGAGGTCTGCTGCATCATGGCCTGGCTCGCGGCCTGGGCGCGGCTGAGGTTGGGTGCTGCCTCTGGGTGTTGTTGTTGCTGGGCGAGGGGGCCACGATCGGGCGTCGCAGTGCGTGAGGGACTCGACCGCGCGATGCTGTCCTTCTCAGCCTGGAGGCCGGTCATCTGGGGGTCGGTGGGCGTGCGCGGCGGCGGCGTGGGGGGCACGTCGCCTGTGATGCGGACGAGGGTCTCGAGATTCGCGCTGAGGAGGTGCAGGGCGTCGATGGCGGGCAGCGTCGCGAGGTTGTACTCCTCGTGCGGGGTGAGCTGGAGCATGGCCGGCTGGGTCATGGTGGTGTCTGTGTCTGTGTTTGTCGAGGCGGCCATTGTCGGGGGAGTGTCTCTGTGACTATGGGCGAGCGAGGGATGGACGACGAGGTCCGGTCGTTGGCATCGTCGGGGGGCAGGCGGCGGGAAGCTGATAGACGCTCGCAGAGGACAGACTATATGACGCGAGGATCACGGGCTGGTCGAGCGAGAAGTGGTGATGGACGAGGCAGAGTAGACAGACACACAGACAGACAAACAGACCCTGATAGGAGTCGCGAGTCGTGGGACGAGATTGGAGTCGGGATGGCGGGGCTCGGTCGCTCCTGCTTGTTGAAGGTGATCAGTGACAAGCGAGTGAGGGGTCTAGCCAGGCAGGCAGGAAGGAAGGCAAAGCAGGCCGCAGGCAGGCAAAGTGCATATGCAGGTCGCGTGTGATGAGAGTGCAGGCCTGGATAAAGTCAAATCAAGTCCAGTCAAGTCAACCGAGCGCAGGTCCAGTGATGGTCCTGATGGATAATATTTTTATTTTTCATACGATCCCAATTGCGGAGCCGATGAGGGACGGCCAGGAAAGATCGGAGCCCAACCCAACGCACGCACAAAATGGGGCGCGTGGACCAGCTCTCCTCTCCTCTGCCTCGCCTTCGCGTCCGTCTGTGCGGGCATCGTGACATTCGCCATGCGGCTATGCACTGACTGGGCCCTCGATTTCTACAGCGGACAGAGGCCGACTCCCTCCGAGTCCCATTCGTCGGCTGGCTGGATCCTAGCCTAATTAGTCTGCTGTGCTAACCGACGACGATACTGCTTCCGGTCGCGGGAGACGCCGGTCTCGAGCTGGTGGTCACCAGGCTCTAATCTGATGTCGACTCTTCCTCTTCCGGGCGACGGCCTTCTTTGAACGCGAGTCAGGCGCCGGCTCTCAGTGAGTCCCAGAGGTGGCACGACAGATACTCCAAAGTCTTCATGTGACAGACCACGCAATCGTTGGAGGCTTTTGGAGAATGGCTGGCGTGCCAAGCTGGATCAAGAGGCACCCAAAAAGCTTGGCCGCGATAGCAACGCGCTAGCATCGATCACCGGGCGTTCTGGAACTTTTTTTGCCCTTTATTTCCACCTTGGCTAAGACAAGTCAGCATCCACAATCTTCACGACGGGCCTCCCTCGCCAACATGCTTCCTACGTACCCTACAGGCTACTGTTGCAGAGCAGCACGATATTACTGCGAGTCAACAAGACCACCCTTTCCAAATCAGGTAATTAAACTGCATTCACGCTCCGGTACTCATCAGCCTTATTATCGACTATCGAATCGTGCAGTCCACAACAGCCGCCGTCCCAGCCTTGACCTTCTCCACCGCCTCACGCAGCACGTCCTCCAGCGCCTCCGCCCTACCAACACGCAGCGCGTGTATCTTGCCATGGCTCGCCGCCTGCGCGATGCCCGCATAGTCCGGCGGCGGATCCAGCGCAATGTGCACATCCGCATTCGTCGCTCGCGACGCGGGCCCGTCCGGGTGCACCAGCAGCAGCGACCGGCGCGGCGCGTGCCACCCCTTGTTGTTGAGCACAATCGTCAGCACGGGAATGTCGTATCGCCCGGCGATCCAGTACACGCTGCTCGGCACGCTGAACATGTAAGTCCCGTCGCCTACAATCTGCACCACGAATTGGCCTTTGTTGAAGCCGCCTGCCTCGGCGTCTGTTGCGAGCTTGATGCCCAGCGTGGCGCCGCCTGACCAGCCGAGACCTGTGCCGCCGCAGTTGAGATATGTGCCCGGCAAGGAGAGCTGGAGGGCGTCGTGGATGGCTGTCGTGGTCGTGACCGCCTCGACCGCGTAGATGGTGTTCTCTGGCACCAGCGTCTTGAGCACGCGGGCTAGGTAGCCTGCGCCAAAGGTGCCGTCCTCGTGGGGGACCGAGGTCTTGTCGATGTGTGCGATTCTCTTCTCGTAGGATGCGCGACGCTGCTCTCCCGCTTCCGTCTGCGTCGGGTTGCCGAGCGCATCGACCGCTGGACCATGCTCCTGCAGCGCCCTCGTGATCTGCTGCACGGCCGTCAGGGTATCGGCGCGGTACCGTCCCTCGGCTTCAAAGTAGTACAGCTGCATGCTCGGCTTGAGGGGATCGACGTCGATCTGGAAGATCTGGGCGTCTGCGTTGGGCTTGCCCAGCGTGGGCACCCAGGGCATGTCACAGTCCAGCACGACAATCACGTCTGCCTCGGCCACAGACCCGTCCACAGCGTAGCGTAGTCCAAGCCATGCCGGGTGGTTGGCGGGAAAAGACATGTCGCTGCCACCTGCGTCGATCACCCGAAGCGCAGGTACGGCATCAGCCAGCTTGGCCAGAGCACCGGGCACCTCGTGGCGACGACCGCCATACCCAGTGATCAGAAGGGGATTCTTCGCTCCAGCCAACGCCTCTGCCACATCCGCTGCTGCATGCTCAGGTAGGCCTCCTAGTTCGACGGGCTGCCACTGGCGCTGCTTCACCTGGTACGGCTCCATCTCCTGCTCGAGCACCTCCCTCGACGCACACAGATACACTGGTCCCTGCGGCTGGCTCCTGGCGATCTGGATGCCTCTATTGATCATCTGCTTGATGTTAAGACCCGTTTTCACCTCGGCCGTGTACCGGCAGTACTGGCTGACAATGGCCTTTTGATCGGGCACGTCCTGCATCCACTGGCTCCATTCCGTGCGGGTGCCACGCAGTTCGCCCTCCTGCGTAAAGGCCGACTGGCCGCAAAAGACAAAGACGGGGGCGCGGCCCGCCGAGGCGTTGTGCATGGCCGCCCCTAGGCCCTGCGTGCCTACGTCGACGTGGATGAGCACGCACTGCGGCTTGTTGGTCACGCGCGCGTAGCCATCCGCCATTGACATGGCCACCATCTGGTCTGTCAGGAACCGTCAAGTTACTCGCTCTCATGGCTGCTAACCTCATTGGGACAAGTGATGATGCGCGGAAAGTTGGTCTTGCCCTTGCCCTGGACCATGGCCTCGAGGATCGCCGGGTGATCGGAGCCCAGGTTGACAAAGCAGTGCGTGATGCCGGCGTCCCAGATCGCCTCGAAGAAGGCTGTCGACGCAGTGTAGCGACTCTCGACTGCCGTCGTTGAGGAGGCGTGCCTGCGGACGGCAATGGGGCTTCTGGGCTCGCCATAGCGTCGTCGGCAGCGACCTGATGTGGCCATTGATGCGGGCGCAGTAGTACATGCGCTCATGGCGCGTGCGTGGCCTCGCAAGGCTGGCGCCAGACCAGCGAGTCCCAGTCGTTTGGAGAGCATCTTGGCAGGATATCTCGAGATGACGGCAGGCTGCCAACCAGTATCATTAAGATTGGAGTGAAGTGAAAAGGAAAAGTCTTGGGAGTAAAAGAAAGAGCCCCGGACGTTGACGGTTCTCATGTCATGGCGTCGGCCAATGCCGCCTCTGCCCGCACACCCGCATGCACTCCAGTCCCGTCTCCGCCTGCCGAGCCATCAAGTGAGGGGGATCGATAGACTACATTTTGTCAACCCACTGTAGCAAGTTAGACTGCTCCTCTCGTCGGGGCCCTTGGGCACTATTCATACAATACAATATGTTATAACAGGATATATGATATAATACAACAACGCAACCCTCCGAAAAACGTCTCTAGTACCCAATTATTCATATCCGCCCTTTCTTTGCTCGCTGCCGACCGCCTGTCCTCTAAGTTAGGCTCTGACCCTCGCTCTGCTGTATGTTTTCCATCCAGAGCTCCTCAAGGGCCGGGTTGGGTTCCGGATCCTGATAGCCCCGAGGAAACCTCTCCTGAAACGCGAGGGCATCGAACTCAATCTCGACCCCGTCACGGAGCCGCACACGGATCGGTTCCTCCAGGCGCAACCCCAACCCCAGAGCAAACCGCGCAAAGGTGTTGGTGGTGACTTTTTCGTACTCTGTGAGATCCAGTGCTCCCTCCCATCTCTTCAGGCCCATGGACGGCAGCGAGACGGCGACCCAGCGCAAGGGCGCCCTTCGCCTCCGGCACCACTCCACGAACTCGGCGGTTTTCTTTACGAGAATATCAATGAACATCTCGCCGTGCCTCTCTGAGAGTCCCGCTGAGTAGTCAAGCTCGAGCTCGGCGAGACGGGGGCTAGCAAACACCTCGCCACAGCTGAGCTGAGGCTGCGACGCAAGTGTGATAAAGTACGGCGACAGGGTGAGCTTCCTGAGTCGCAAGAAATGCCAGAGGGTGAAGCCTTCCATGGAGAGGTCTTTGCAATCATCGGACTCGGCGCGCAGATGGAGTTCCTCGAGGGACTTGGCCAGGTCGCGGTTGGAATGGACCCCGAGACCGGCCAGGTTGCCCGAGAACGGCGACCGGCCGTCTTGAACGAACAGCTTGAGGACCTTGATGTTCGTGCACTGGCGGAGGAAATTCCCGACCCTGGCGTCGAAGCCTGCAACGGTAATGACCTGCAGTTCAAGCTCTCGCACGCTGAGTGGACCTGATTTCCGCTGCTGTCGTTGGGGAAGTAGGGGGGACCGGAGGTCAGCCAAGGAACGAAAGCCGTACGTGCGTGTTTGTGCGCAAGTCATTATCGAGAGAACTTACCGCCATCTTTATCTCAGGCCGGGGAGGCACGGCGAGCATCAAGGCAACAACTTGAAATCCCCTGACGACGAGCTTGTCAAGGTTCCTCATGTACATAGTGTCCTCATCCAGATGCGCAGGCAGCGCTGACAGCGACGCGGTAGACTGCTTTATGGTGGCGTACGTATTCCCATAGATTCCAATGCCTCCCTCGAGCGTCAGCTTGGTCACTGGCCAGTGCTGGATATACTGCAGGCCACATGTCATCCAAAGCTAGTCGCCGCGACACTCATCGACAAAGTGCCCGATCATGTCCACATGCGTTACAGACCGGAGCATTCGAGTCATAGCTTCAATGTCTTCCGGGTTCATGTACGTTACAGAGTCCAGCTTTTCGTTCTCAGTGACGGGAAGCTTGTGAGGGCTCTCGCGCACCATCATATTTGAGGCGAAGTAGAAGATGACTCTCTTGACCGCGTGGCATCGGCCAGGTCGGCCGTTCAGGGCTTTGAGGATCGTGGAGGGGTTGCGCTCTGACCAGTTGCTTGGGTTCTCTGCCCCGAGACGCATGCGAGCGGTGTCCAGTGCATAGCCGAGCGACAAGGTGCTCCACGCGATGGTGTCTCCCACGTCGCGGAAACGCTGACAGGTCAGGAGAAGCGGAAGCGACGCCCTGTGCCGCCTCCATTCGGCCTCAATCACCTCGGTCTGGTGGCGGTAGAAGGTGAGGTCGGGCTCGAGGGTCATTCTCAAGATGGTGTGCAAGACCTCGTGGGGGAGTCTGAGAATGTCACATTGAGGCGAGACGCCGTCCATCCATGGCGCTGATTGTTGGTCGGGAGACATGCTTCAAGCTCGATATGATGATGGCAAAGCGTCGACCTTGAGCATCGTGAGGACTAATTAAGGGTTCAGAACTTCAGTAGTCTGGAGACATGGACCCTATTTTGATAACATGACAAGGGTCCCCACTCCCCAGGGGTCCAGGGGCCCTAAGTGCCGACGGTCGACCCCGGGGGCCCGGTATAACCCAAGATGTCCTGTCCACACTAAACAAAAGCGAATGTTGGCGTGGCAACGGCTAATTACAATGAGATTAAAAACACAGGGACCGCAATTACCAAAAACGAGACCATCACCCATTCTCCTGGCCGCAGCTGGCCCATGGCAGCATCCTCGGCAATGTTCTACCCTGCCGGCTCGATGCTCTGAGGGTTGCGAAAGACATTATTCGGATCCCACTTTGCCTTGATCTCACGCAGTCTCGTGAGATGCTCTCCCCAGTAGAATTCGTTCGCCTCCTCCCGGGTGAGCGTGGGGTCGATGTAGCCGGCATATGTCGAGTTGGCGTTCGGGGCGCCCTCTTGTATCCTCTCCTGCAGTCCGTCCACAAAGCCACGCGTGGCACTTGTGATCCAGGGGAAGCCGACGACGTAGGATTGGTACATGATGACTTTGTCGCGGTGGGGATAGGAGTTTCCTTCGATAAAGTCGCCCATGGCGCCACCTTCCGAGTTCCACATGATCGTCCAGGCAAGGGTGCCTTTCTCTGCATCCTCAATATACTTGAAGATGTCGCCTATTGCACTGTTGTTCAATAGATCGCTCTCTCTAAAGGCAAGCGAGCGGCTGGTAAAGGCCGTTGGTAGATGCGCAATCTGTAGACCGCTGAGCTCGGCCTGATGTGCCAGCGAGCCCATCCAGCCAACGAGCTTGAAGTTCAGATCACCACCGGCAGGCAGCCTGCCGGCTATACCCGTCTCCTTGTATTCGTCTGCAGTGCCATAGAACGTCCCCGTCACGAGAGCGCCCAAAGGATGGACTATGAACAAGGTAGAGAAGCGGCGATCGAGGTTCAGGTCGCCCGCAAGGGCTTGCCAGTCTTCGAAGACGTTTGCCATCTCTTCCGGGGATCCAAAGCTGATACTGTAGGTATATTCGACAACCTTGCCGGGCTCAGGGTGTGTGTGGACCTTGAACTCGGTGACGATGCCGAAGCTGCCACCGGCGCCTTTGATTCCGAAGAAGAGATCTGCGTTCTCGGTGTAGCTTGCTCGTACGATCTCGCCGTCAGCAGTGACCACTTCTACCTCTTCGACATGATCCAGAGCGCTTCCCCACATGCGCGACATGGGACCAAGCCCACCCTGTGCACGTCAGCAGTAGAATTTGAAGTGCATCATAAAGAACTCACGATGGTCGCATGTCCTCCGATCCCAACGCTCGGACAAGTGCCATGCGCCATTGCACGCCCGCCATTCTCGTGAAGATGCTTGTCTAGCTCACCAAATCGGAATCCGGATCCGAAGCTTGCCTCCCAGGTATCCTCGTTCATCTTGAAGTCTTGCAAGTTGACCAAATCCACCATGACGGCTCCATCTTCGCCGCCCGTGCCAAAGTTGCTAGAAGTAAACATTAGCAACGGTCACGCCTCGTCCAAGAGGCAACCCACGCATAGGAATGGCCTCCGGACTTTGCCTGCACAGCTCTGTCGTGGTTACCCGCGGACTTGACGGCTCCAGCTACATCCTCAGCATTGTCGGGGCGGATGACGGCGGCAGGTACTACGGGGAGATCGAGGTTGTAGGGCTTGACCCAGTCTGACTGATAGAACCAGGTGGTCGGAAACGCGACGCAGTCGCTGCGGCCGTTACAGACGGCCTTGAGGCAATCGGCGAGAGACATTTGATGTTTGCGTAGGGAAAAGAGCCAAGAATGAGTTGTAGGATATGTTCGTGTTTGGGGAAAGGAATAGAAATCGGGGAAAGGTCCTATTTCTCAGGCTTCCGGACGCATGAAGCATCCAGGAGCAACCAGGAGCAGTCGCCACCGGATGGTACCTGCCAATGGATAGGTATCAAACCTCTCACTTTTTGCAAGCACCAGACTGACCTGAGCAGTCCAAATTCATGTTTGACAGTGCCAATCGCTTAGTGATATGCCATGGCCGTTCTACAGCTTGGCAATGACAGCCTTGTGCAATCAAGCTGTTTCGGCACCGAACACAGCGGCTGCTAGCACCAAGTTGCCAGATTCCTAAAGGATCGCCTTCTTTTGCGCACTTTGAAGGAAAGGCTCGTGCAGCTCGCCTGGCGGATGGAATCGACACCAATGGACTGCCGAAGAATCTGAAAGAGATTCCTCCCGCAGGTAAGGTACACATGTGTGCCTTCAGGGTGGCTTCTCAGGTCCCTGGACTTCTCGAGCGAGCGCATCGACAACATCTGGCGAGCGGGTATCTCGGTAGACCAAGCTTAACGAGGTGCGAAAAGTGCAGCGCATATCTGGCCGCATCGTTTTCTGTAACGTGCATTGTCCCTTCGTTCATCAAGTCTTCGCCAGTCGCGCCCATGGACGACAGAAACGGTGCTAGGGGACACACCGCGCATTGTGGTCTCCTGGATTTCTGTCCCAAGGACGAGATAGGAGATTGTCACGTTCTCGCGCTTCACACGCAGAATTCTGGACGCAGCTGATCGAGTTCAGGGTGCACTTGCTCTGGTCTTCGAGGCAGGGAACAAACGACTCAACGAACGCCAGCACGTTGCGTCCAGTAACTATCAGGCTGCAGTTGCGCGAGCCACTCGATAATGAGAGAACCGAAGAATTGGGTTACATTGCGTGGGATGAGGAGGGTTCAATCCGTTGACGCCATAGCGCAGCCTTCCGCGCCTGGACCAGCCCGCTCGCGTGGCTTGCCGTGGACTGGAATTAGCCGCCCCTAGCAAGATCGACGTCGAATACTAAGGGTCTTTGGCGGCACCTGTTTTTCAAAATCATCTCGAGATCCAGTATCTGCGATGAGCAAGTGACAATGCAACTGGTGCCAGCCTAGCCAGGCCAGGCCAAGCCTTGAGCGTGGAGCCGAGAATGAGATGGAGCAAAGCAGCGCGCGACGTCATCGATACCTCACAAAGCCGCGCGATCTTGATCATGGCGACATCACGGCAGAGTCGGACATTTGACGCGTCCTCTCCCTCAATCTTCATCTTTTTCATTTCTCGGAATCAGACAGTCACCAGACATTAGACACAACACGATTCCAAGATGCCTGGCGAAGTAGTAGACCAGCCCAACCCCCCGGCTCTGCCCAGTCACCTCCCAGACAGCACCCTAGAGCTGGCTGTCAAGGTCGACAAGACACTTCTCAGCAAGGAGGATGCTCAGTCACTCAAGGACTTTCAACGCGCCGCGTGCTACATTGCTGGGTGTAAGTACGACAACAACTCTCCATGCTAGCCACATCTAACATGACCACAGCCATGATCTTCCTCCGCGATAATGTGCTCATAGAACAAGACCTCCAACTTGAGCATGTCAAGCCAAGACTCCTTGGTCACTGGGGTACCTGTCCTGGCCTCATTCTCGTTTGGTCGCATCTCAACCTCCTCATCAGAGATCACGGTATGGACATGATCTTCGTCATTGGACCAGGCCACGGTGCTCCCGCTGCTCTGGCTTCCCTCTGGCTCGAGGGATCCTTGGAGCGATTCTACCCCAACAAGTATACTGTCAATAAGGACGGCTTGAAGAATCTCATCACAGGGTTCTCCGTGCCCGGAGGCTTCCCTAGTCACATCAACTCCGAAACGCCTGGATCCATCCACGAGGGTGGTGAGCTGGGCTATGCCTTGGCCGTGTCTTTCGGTGCCGTCATGGACAACCCCGACCTCATCGTGACGTGCGTCGTTGGAGATGGCGAGGCCGAGAGCGGCCCCACAGCAACAGCGTGGCACGCCATCAAGTACATTGACCCTGCCGAGTCTGGTGCCGTGTTGCCCATTCTGCACGTGAACGGCTTCAAGATCAGCGAACGCACCATATTTGGCTGCATGGACGACAAGGAGATCGTGTCTCTCTTCTCAGGGTATGGCTACCAGGTCTGCATCGTTGAAGATCTCGAGAACATTGATGGGGAGCTACACGGCGCCATGGAGTGGGCCGTTGCTGAGATCAAGAAGATCCAGACTACTGCGCGCTCGGGCAAACCCATTGTCAAGCCCCGATGGCCCATGATTGTCATGCGCACACCCAAGGGCTGGTCTGGCCCCAAGAAGATTGACGGCGAGTTCATTGAGGGATCGTTCAATTCTCACCAGATTCCCGTACCCTCAGCCAACAAAGACGAGAAGCACCTGAAGCTGCTCCAAGAGTGGTTGCAGAGCTACGATGCCGGTAGTCTTCTCAAGGACAGCAAACCTATTGACAGCATTCTTTCTATCCTTCCCAAGAACAGCTCCAAGAGGCTTGGTCAGCTCAAGATGACCTACGATCCACATAAGGCTTTGGACCTGCCTGACTGGAGGCCCCTGGCAGTCGAGAGGGCCCAGAAGACCAGCAGTATGAAGGAGACAGGCAAGTTCCTCGATCAAGTCGCCCAGGCCAACCCAAAGAGCTTCCGTGTCTTCTCCCCCGACGAACTCGAGAGCAACAAGCTGAGCGCCATCCTGGACCACAGCGGCCGCAACTTCCAGTGGGACCAATATTCCCGCGCCCAGGGCGGCCGTGTCATTGAGATCCTGTCGGAACATTGCTGCCAGGGATTCATGCAGGGCTACACGCTGACCGGCCGCACCGCCCTCTTCCCCAGCTACGAGGCCTTCCTGGGCATCGTCCACACCATGATGGTGCAGTACTCCAAGTTCAACAAGATGGCGCACGAGACCGAGTGGCACGGCGACATTAGCTCCATCAACTATGTCGAGACCAGCACATGGGCGCGACAGGAGCACAATGGCTTTTCCCACCAGAACCCCTCGTTCATCGGAGCCGTGCTCAACCTCAAGGCCGAGGCCGCCCGCGTCTATCTGCCCCCTGACGCCAACTGCTTCCTCAGCACCATCCACCACTGCCTCAAATCCAAGAACTACGTCAACCTCATGATCGGCTCCAAGCAGCCCACCGCCGTCTACCTCTCGGAGAAGGATGCCGCGGAGCACTGCAAGCGGGGCGCTTCCGTCTGGAAATTTGCCTCTTCCGAGGAAGAGGGCCAGGAGCCTGACGTGGTCCTCGTGGGCATTGGTGTCGAGGTGACATTCGAGGTGATTGCCGCCGTACAGGTCCTCGAGAAGCTTCTCCCCAGTCTCCGCGTGCGTGTGGTCAACGTCACGGATCTGATGGTCCTCGCCGCCGAGTCCCGCCACCCGCACGCCTTGCAGCGCGCGAATTTCATCGACATGTTCACGGACGACCGCCCTGTGCTCTTCAACTACCACGGATACGCCGCGGAGCTGCAGGGTCTGATCTTTGGACGCCACAGGCCGGAACGCATGTCGGTCGAGGGCTACAAGGAAGAGGGCAGCACAACGACGCCCTTTGACATGATGATGCTGAACAAGGTCAGTCGGTATGACCTGGCCGCCAGGGCTCTGCGTGCCGCGGCTGGCAGGGACGACAAGGTCAAGAGCAAGCTCGACGAGCTGGTGCGGAAGATTGATGAGGAGGTGGCCGAGATCAGGGAGTATATCACGGCCAATGGCAAAGGTAAGCTGGCCTACCGAAACGTGGTGATCAAGACTGACAGCTACAGATCCCGACGACATTTACGACATGCCTAATATTTGAGTAAGGAGCGACCAAATGAGGTAACTATAGCCAGAGTGCACTTAAAGCCAAGATAGCATAGTGAGGCAAGAGATGAAATCAGGGCTTTGTGTTACTACCTACCTATCGTTAGTAAGGTGCCAAGTAGTAAGTATGGGTTTCTTGCCCTTTGTCTCGTCCACCTTGCCCATCGAGCCGACCAATTTCCCCTGGTTTAGGTGGCATCAGCATCGTCGCGCCCTTTTCACACCTCTCCCACGCTGGTTTGACTCTCTTGGTTTCAGCGTCGACATATGCCCCCCGATCTATAAGCATTTGTATAATTGCTTCATCGCCCCCTGAATAAGCAGCTTTTAGGGGACATCCGTAGGGTCCGCCGCGCATGTTGACATCAGCACCTCGCTTGAGAAGGAGCTGTACGAGGTCGAGGTCCACCTCAAAACAGGCAAATTGCAGGGCAGAGCCGCCGTCATGGTTGACATCAGCACCATAGTCCAGGAGAAGTTGAACAATCCCTTGCTGGCCTACTTCGCAAGCATCTTCCAAGGGGGGGCCCGCAAATGCTCCGGGGGCGTTGACATCTGCACCTTTTTCGAGGAAGAGTTCAACAATCGCTGTATAGCCCCTTTCGCAAGCAGCATGCAAGGCAAAGCCCGCCGATCCTCCGGGGGGGCTGACTTGAGCACCATGCTTCAGAAGAAGTTGAATAATCGCTTGATCGCCCCTTGTGCAAGAAGCTTCCAAGGCGGTGTCTGCATGTTCTCCGAAGACGTTGGGATCCGCACCTCGGTCGAGGAGAAGTCGTACACCCGCCTCGTGACCCGCGGAGCAAGCTCTCTGCAGCGGACTGCACTTGCCTGAGCTGACATCACGACCACCAACGGGACCTCCCACCGGCCCACCCAACTCGTTGATGTTTGCTCCCGCATCAAGAAGTGCTCCCATCACTCCAAGCCACCCTTTATTGGCCGCGAAGCACAGCGGAGACGTTGCACCGAATCGACTCCAATACAAAGGTTGGTCAGAGTCCGAGTCCTCACGCAGCAGCTTCAAGATCAATCCTGTGATCACCCCGTCGCCGTCACCCGCTAGCGAAGCGTGAAAATCCCAAGACGCCGACGCGTACCATGTAAAAGGGCGAAGGCGCATAATATCCTCCTCCTGTTCTCCGAGTGGGAGGTCCAGCAGGTATGTGATGCATACTAACGCCATAAGGTGGTGCGCGTTTGGCACACAAAAGTGTCGGGCAAGGCTTTCCCTGAGGCGACCAGAGACCAGCCATTCTTTGACGGAATAATGCGAAAGTAGAAGTACTCTTCCACCTTCTTCGTCGCTTCCGTCACAGCCCTCGTGGTGAGACATGTCCCTCACTACCATCACTAGGCTCGAGCAGTACAAAAGAATCTCGTCTGGCACCGGGAGCCTATTATTCTCATCGAAACACGGCTTCTCAGTGGGACAGACGGCAATTGCATCGACAAGGTCTTCGATTGTCAGGGGGCGCTCAGCGTAAGTGAGGAATTGCAAGATGCGCAATGCCTTGGCCAGGCGATTTAGAGGTATCGAATCGATGATGCGGGTGTAGGTTTCATCCAAAGAAGGGGGGAGCGATTGCAGCGCAGCTTCAAGCTCCTGGTAATCGCAGCACCCTTCCAGCATTGCGAGCTGGCAAGTGACCCAGCGAAACCTGTACAGGCTTGTCAGTCGAAGTTACACTGCGTACTCCTTGTGGTTCATGGGGCCACATACATCCCGTCGGCTTTGTCTCGGAGTGCGGTCACAATGCCTTCCTGGACAAGTGGCCTCTTGCGCCAGCGACTTAGCTCTTCACCGTGATATACCTTGTCATAAATGAACGCGTATATGTCTGGGTCGATGAGTCCGGCCTCGAGGACCACAATTGCCCTCGATGAAGCCCAGGCTCGGATGGAAGATTCAATCTCGTGCTCTGGGCGGCTGGTTGTGATGAGTTGCAGGCGCGGATTCTTCCCGCATATGTCTTTTAGCCATGCTAGCACCTTGTTTCTCGTGGTGCACTCATCGAGCGCATCTATCACCACGCTCAAATGCTCCGCTGCGCCTACCATGGCACTGAAAGTCGAGATCATCTGGGCAACGCCAGGCTGTGATTCTTTGACGGAAGTGAGGAGTTTGTCGAGCGGCTCACGGGTACCGGGCGATATGCAGTAAAGTTGGTACAGTAGCGAGCGTAGCATGTCTTCCAAGGATTGCTTTGCGTTGTCGCTGAAGTCGAAGAAGAAATACAGCAGGAATTTCTTTTCTTCGAGGAGGCTCTGGATAACTGTCGAGCTGATGACTGTTTTGCCACAACCAGCCATTCCATTAAGCCAAAGAAAAGCATGAGAAGACAGGTTTGTTCGCCAATTTCGGTATGCTTCGCTGTCGAGAAGCCACTGCCCCGTTCCGGGGAAGCGAAAGGACAGAGCACGATTGTAGTTTGTGGAGGGATCACACGGGGACAGCCACTGGCGGATTTTGTCTAGTTTCGTGTTTTCGATTATGACATTGGTCGAATCTCGGACCTCTTGAACTGACTTTTGAACTTGTACCCGTCAGCCTTTGTCTTCCCCTGAATAGAAGTGTCCAAGACGTCATGCAGTTCGGCGCCATCTCATTCTGACAGAGTCGCAGTACTCACGGTCATGCAAGACTCTCCTCTCATCATCGACTCGCTGCGGTTTGATCTTTCCAAGTAGCTCCTTCGCATATGCTGCAGCTGTCATTGCTGCGTAACCTTGCCAGATTTTGTTCTTGTGAGAATCTGAATAGTCACATATCCCTCGGATGACCAGGCACTTGAAAGATGGCATCAGCCCAGCTGCCTCCATCTCGAAGCAGAGGACATTTCTTTCCCCGGCTAGTGCGTCACGTATCTTGGTTTAGAGGTCAGAGTCTTGTACTTGCGACGCGATGCGGGAACAAACCTTGGCGTCTTTCATCAGCGAATTGCCGGACGCGATGAGGCCATAGTGAATGTGGGTGCCCTTTTCGTGATCAAGCCTGTCCGGCCTCGTGGTGATCACATCCGACCCATTGCCACATCCGGTCATGCAAGATTCGAGCGCCTTCCGGTCCGTGTGGACGACGTCGCTGCGGTACAGAAGATCTGACCCGGGGTCCGGCTTCTGGCACTGCTTCCTCGCGCGAGGATGGGCGGCAAGTATATTTGTAATCGTGTCATCGATGCTGTGGCCATGTATGGAATGTTCAATATCAAGAGTCTGCACAGCAGATAACAAAAGTGTGGGCGGTTGATCAAGATGCCCCGTCATTTTGAATTGCTTTCCCTGGATCGTCTTCCCAAAGTCGTATTGCAGCACAGCGCCGTCGGCACCATCAGGGATGCTCACCACAACATCACCAAGTCGAATGTCGTGTGTGCTCGTGGGAGCACCGCCGCCGATGCCGACCATGAGCCCGAATCGTATGTTGGGGAAAGTGCAGAGCATGTCCTTGGCGACATTTGCTGCGCTCACAGTGCCGTATGCGCCCTTTGGTAAACAAGCTATGGCGATTTTATGGTCTCCCATACGACCAAGCGTGTACACATTGTCATCGTTCGGGTTTTGAGTTTTCAGAGGTGTATACTCTTCATCGAGGAACAATCGTGCAGCCAGATATTCGGGCTTGATCGCACAGATCCATCCGACACTGTAGTCGTTCGGGGATGTCATTGAAGCGACAGAGGTACTTGTAGAAGGCTTGGACAGGGTTCGGTAGTTGGCTGGGATGTAGTTAATTAATTGTGCAGAAGGAACTAGATGTGCAGCAGGATACTGTATTTATACCTACCTGTGAGGCAGACATCTTCAGATTCCCTGTTTTGCCTCCCTAAGTGAACAGCAATGTGCATCTTTCGTGGCATTCCTCCATTCGTATCTGGTCCTTTTCCATAAGCGCCGCTGCCCAAATGCAATCTTTAGACACGAGTCTGGCGGCAGCACGCGCCTTGCAATGGTGCGCATGTGGGACGGTTGGTCTTCTGAACTGGCCGCATCTCTTCAATCGGCTGCCCTAGCGTGAAACGGACACGGTTGCTCAGGATTGAGTGTGGTGAATCTCTGGGAGGAAGAAGACGACGACAGAATGGCATGTGAGAAGAAGGCTGATGATGAGGATGCCCCATCGAAAGGATCACACCTTACGTTGGATCTTGGCCAGTAGCTGCTACCTTACTTACCATACCTGTAAACTTCCAGGGTACCTACTGACAGGCGAGCCTCACGCCATGTTTTGGCACATGGTACCGAACGTGCCTTCTACAGCAGCTTCAGGTACCCTTCCCCTCAGGCACCTCACCAAAGTGCACTCGAGCAGTGCGATCCATGATAACCGCTCATGGGCAGCCACCATGGCCACGGCCAGGCCCACGACCCAACGACATGGAGGCGCAGACGCGGTCAATCGAGGCTGGACATAAGGGCGCAAAGGTCAAACGGCGACAGGGAAAGTCCGGGCAAGTCGCTTAAGGGGCCAGGGCGGCAACGCCTCGTGCACGCGCGTGGAGGAGTTACGTCATATCGTTCCTCAGCGGCAAAATGCACGCGAAACGCCTTGGTCAGTATCTGTGCAAGTCGCCAACAACTTTTAGCAGCCGACGCCGAGGGCGAGTAACAGGAACCCCGGGGGCTGGGGCCCTGAAGGCTGACGCCTGCATCGACGATTCGACATGTCCCGATCCGGATGGCACAAACAGCCGTGCGTCGCTGGTGAATTGTGTGGAAAGATTGGGCGGCAGTCGAGGCAAGACTCGTTACGACATGCTCCTACTGATCAGTAATTGTCAATATCCAAGACGCATGTCGTTGAAATAGTTCAAGATCTCGCTTTATTCCCGCGTTACACGAGATGCTTAATTACCCCACTGTTATCGGGTGTGTAACCCCATCCCCCACACTCAGTCCCCGATCGTGTAACCTGAGTCCTGGTATATGTCGTGTAACTTGAATCACCTGACACCACCTCAAACTTGACCAGTTTTCAAATTCGCAATCGCGCTCGCTCCTCATTCCTACATGTGATACCGACTTGGCAGCAGTAGAACATGGCGTACGCAGGACGTTTGGCGATCATTGCCGGAGGCTTAGGTGAGTGGCGCTCCGCCTCTACCCTGCCTACCAACATCTCTGCTGACAAACAATCCCAGGCGGCCTTGGCTCTTCCATTGGATTGAGGTTGCAAAAAGAAGGCGCGCGGCTAGCGTTGCTATACGCGCCTTTCGAGGCATCTCGTCGTGACGCTGTCCTGGAGAAGGTATATGGGAGCAGCAACCCAACAGGCGTAACAGCTGTCGAGTGTGACATTGCCTCCGACCCCAGTGTCAGAGAAGCATTCCCACGGATCGAGAAATACGCTAAGGGGAATGACATCTTCCCATCCATACTCATCAACGCGGCCGGATATGTGTCCGTGAGCCCTCTGGCCGAGACGACAGCCGAGGAGGCGACCAAAAACATTGTGCCCAACTTGTTGGGTCCCATGTTCGTCAGCCAGGCGTTTCACAGACTGTACACATCCTATCCTTCCACGCAAGAGAAACCGCCGGGCCGCATCGTCAGCATCTCGTCGCAGGCTGCACACGTGGCTCTCGATGGTCACGGGCCCTATTGCGCGTCCAAGGCGGGTCTCAACGCCCTCACAAGATGTATGGCGCTTGAATGGAGTCCTTTGGGCATCACTTGCAATACTGTCAGCCCTACCGTGGTGCTGACAGAGCTGGGCAAGAAAGCCTGGGCCGATCCGGTCAAGAGAAAAGCCATGGAGAGCCAGATCCCCACGGGCAGGTTTGCTGTGCCGGAGGAGATTGCGGGTGCTGTCGAGTTCCTATGCCGTGATGAAAGTGGCATGATCTCAGGAGAGGACTTGAGGGTAGATGGCGGATATACACAGCGTTGATCTGCGAGCCCATAAGAAAGACGTCTATGAATTTACCCAAACAGAAAGTGCTATGTCTTCGTGTAAACCACCGCTCAACATTCGAGATCAATGCCCACCCCCAAACCTGTGATAGTAGGTATGCCAATAACGCCACGCAATGCCGAACAAATCGCCCGCTGCCTACATGGTAATCAGATCCTCTTGCGCCGGCCCTACGCCTCGTAAGAGCACAATCGTGTTGCCGCTCTGCAGCGCCGTCCCGACCTTCTCATTGAACTCCAACACGCGCCCTCCTTCCACGTGAAAGACGCGCAGCTTGTCCTCTTCCTTGGCGCTCTGGTTGTTGACGTTCTGAACCTGCAGCGACTTGGCCGCCGCATCCAACACCCTGCCGACGACCCAGTCCTGCGAGTAGAAGAATTCACCTTTGGGGAACTTTGCCTTGGCCGTCTCCGCCTCCGCCTCCACCTTGAGGTAGATCCTCTTCTCAGGCGCCAACTTGGCATCGCCCTTTGCCGTTTTCTTGAGCTGGTTCACGGCCGCGACACGCGCCGCAGCGGAGGTAGGCTTTGGTTTTGGCAACGCCCTGCCGGCCTGTTCCTTTTGCTTGGTGCCCCAGGCCTTGAAGCGGTCCATCACCGACTTGGTCTTTTGCGCGACGTCGATCTGTATCGGGCGCGCTCCGATCGGCACGAGGTTCTTGCAGTCGTGTTCCTCCTTCAGCCTGTGCTTTAGGCAATAGTCCCGATTACATGACGAGCAGTGGACGCCCGGGGTCAGCGATGTGCCGACTGTCGTTTTGCATGCTGGCGACGCGCATGGCTTCTGTGACACGCGATCGTTCAGCGTCTTCCCGGCGCCAATGGCAGGCTGCGCGAGCTGTGCCTTTCGCTTTCTCTCCGCCCACGCGCCGGCTTTCGTGCATTTATGTGATGTCTCGGTGCGGTGGTCGAGGCAAAAAGTGTGGTCGCATGATTGGCAGCGAAAAGGAAGAAAGTCAAGTTGGTTGCAGTATTCGTACTGGCAGTGGGTGCCTACGAGCGTTGCGTCGTGTCTGTCGTGCATTTGGACGTAGCTAGTGCCTTGCTGGCCGTTGGAATCCGTCGATGATGCCATCCTACAGATACTGTGGTCTCGGTCCCCTTATAAGTGATTTGTTGCGAAAAGCGTAGGCAGGGCGTGAATGCGTAATGCGCTTTGATGGCGTGCGCGTTGCTGACTGAAGCAGGTGGCGAAGCCTCTAGAAAGGTCTGGCCTAGTTGGGAACGGAGATAAGGGCGGCGCAGAAATGAATGAATGAATATACTGCTGCCACACACAGCTGATGTGATCAAGAGAGTGCGGGCAAGTGTTTATACAGAAGATGGAGAACTGCCTGGAGTCACTGTCTTGTGATCTGCTCTTGGAGATTCGATCATGGTAGCATCTTGGCGCGTGCGCGTCTTGCGCATTAGACCTACCCTGGGCTTGTTCTAGGCGGACTCATTGTTGAATACATTTCCTAACATTAACGTGCTCACGTGTCACAGCTTCTAAAAGTATGGGTCCATTGTAATACTGGCCCTGATAATAGCAGACTGCATAAAAGAGCTGACGTTCTAGCCACACTACAAGAAGTGTTGTCCACATTCATCAAATTGAACTTTTAATATATTACCAGTGAAGTACTGAGTTACAATTTAAAGCGGCGTCCGGTCGCGGAATCATTGCGCTAGGAAAAGATAAGATAAGAGCAGATAAGACACGATAAGCCGAGGGGCAGCTAATTTTTTGGAGGGGTTGCGAGTCACGCCGAATTAATGTTCGTAACGTCTTGGGAGCCACGACACTCATTCATATCTTTTTCCTGCGCAAGAGTCCTGCGACTTGCGACTTGCGACATTTGACAACGCTGAATACTGCCCGACCGCCGTCGAAACCACGATCACAATGGCCCCTAACACCGAGGGCGAAGCGCCCCACAACAACTTCGACGTACGTATTACCGGTACCCTGCACTGGCCGCGAATTGCGAAAGAACTCCCTAGACGGACTGTGGAGGCGGAATCGATTCGAAAATAAGGTCATGGGCTGACATTGGGATGTATAGACTATACTCGTTCTCGATTTTGGCTCTCAAACAAGCCATCTGATCCTGCGTCGGCTGCGCTCTCTTGGCGTTTTCGCTGAGCTGCTTCCATGCACCACCAAGATCGCCGAACTCACATGGAAGCCCAAGGGCATTGTGTTTTCCGGAGGTATGCAGCCTGTTGGCCCATGGTCTGTGTCCGCATCTGACTGAATTCCAAGGTCCCGCCTCTGTCTATGACGAAGGCTCGCCCCGTGAGCTGCCCGTCTCTCGAACGTCCGATTTCTCGTACTCATCCGTGTAGATGTCGACCCTGCCGTCTTTGATTTGAATGTGCCCATCCTGTGAGACGCTGCAATTGATTCTTCTAGTTTCAGGATCCAGACTAACACAGAGTCATAGGGGCATCTGGTATGACATGCTTCCAAGCTTCGACTCCCGTTGCGTTTCTAACAGTAGCGACTCAGCTATGGTTGCCAAGAGATTGCATGGCGAATCGACTCTAAGAATGTTGCGCGCGGAGAGGCACGAGGTTCGCAATCTCTGGATCCTTCCCTAAAACTATGGCTGACCCTTTCTTCGTAGAGTATGGCCACGCCGACGTCAACGTCACCAAGGTGAACAGCCACGTCGACCGTCTGTTCGCTGGGCTGGGTGATAGCGTCGCTGCTTTCATGTCCCACTTCGACAAGCTGATTAGCCTACCCAAGGTACATGTTCGCAGTACAAATTCATGGACGAGTCACTCACTGTAGTAGGGCTTTGTGGTGATCGCTGCTACCAAGAACTCCGAGTTCGCCGGTATCGCACACGAGGAGAAGCCCATCTTCGGTATGGACTCTTCTGCTACCAACCTTTGATCATCAAGAGAGTCTGCTAACACAGCGACTAGGCGTCCAATTCCACCCCGAGCTTGAGCACGTACGTAATTCCCAGGTCTCACGATAGACTTGCCCCTGACGTTCGATCGCAGACCCCCTGTGGAACCGATTTGCTCCGAAACTTCAGCGTCGATATCTGCGGAGCGAAACCAAACTGGAAAATGGGCGACTTTGTCCAGCTCGAAATTGCTCGCATCCGGGAACTCGTCGGCGACCGGGCACTCGTTCTAGGCGCTTGCAGCGGCGGCGTAGACAGCACAGTAGGAGCGGCGTTAATGCGCGAGGCTATCGGCGACCGCTTTAAGGCTATCCTTATCGACAATGGATGCATGCGCCTGAACGAGTGCGACGAGGTCAAGGAGACCCTTGGAAAACATCTTGGCATTAACCTCACAGTAGTCGATGCTGAGGACCTCTTCCTGAGCCGTCTTGAGGGTGTCTCTGACCCCGAGAAGAAGCGCAAGATTATCGGCTCGACTTGTACGTACCTTGAAATCTCTCAGGTCTTCACAATGATACTGACCCATTCTAAGTCATCGATCTTTTCGAGAAAGAGGCCATCAGGGTACGCCCAATGTTGTCTTGCAGCACTCTTGACTTGCTAACAGGACGTGTCAGATCGAGAAGGAAGCAGAGAACACCCCCAACAGCGGCAAAGTGGAATGGTTCTTGCAGGGGACACTGTACCCTGACGTGTACGTCTCTTCCGGAGAGGTTGCCAATCCCAAGCTAACGACACGGTAGGATCGAGTCTTTGAGCTTTAGGGGCCCTTCCGCCACTATCAAGAGTAAGCGAGCCATTGCATCCCCGGACGCCCAGGGGTGCTTCTGAAAGCTTCTCCTATTGCGAAAAAGAAAGAAGCGCGCAAATGCTGACAGGGGAAATAGCACACCACAACGTAGGCGGTCTGCCTGAGGTAAGCAATGTCTGCGCTCTTGACCTAGAAGCATCTTGGCTAACGAGCATATAGAGGATGATGAACGGCGTAAGTCGAGTAAACCCCGTGGTTTCTGGTACGCACTGACTGATACCGCTTTTTTAGCAAGGACTACGTGTGAGCACACGCTTCGTTGAAACCCAACACACACCAAACTGACTTGACTTCTCACACAGCTTATCGAGCCGCTCAGGCTCCTGTTCAAAGATGAAGTGAGGGTACGCTACATCCAAAAGCCGAGCATCCAAGCTTTCAATGATGCTGATTTCTGCAGGCCATCGGTCGTCAGCTCGGCATCCACGAGTCCCTGGTCAACCGTCACCCCTTCCCCGGCCCTGGTATCGCTATCCGCATCCTCGGTGACGTTACCAAGGAGCGAGTGGATATCGCCCGCAAGGCCGACCACATCTTTATCAGTATGATCAAGGAAGCCGGACTCTACGACGAGGTTTGTCCTTGATTTGCCGCCGAAGACAGCCGCAAGCTGACAGTTCTTTCCCAGATTTCTCAAGCCTTTGCTGGTCTCGACACGAGCCGCAGTGTTGGTGTTTTCGGCGACCAGCGGGTCTGGGGCTACATCATTATTCTCCGCGCCGTCCGTACCAAGGACTTCATGAGCGCGGAGGTTTTCAACTTCGACAACGCCTTCCTCCAGGTAAGTCATATCTGGCTTGTTCCCCCGCCCCCGCCCTCCAAGTTTCCTATACCACGAAATTCAATGCCCTTGCTCTATCCACATTCACTACAGTCTTCCCCGGCGTGTGGCACCGTTCCGTACTGACCTGCCTTTCTCAGGAAATTTCACGCAAGATCTGCAACGAAGTTGACGGTGTCTCTCGTGTAGTCTATGACCTGTAAGTGAAAAATCATCGTCTTCGTTGGGATCGAGCTTCGAACTGACCTTGTATTACCAGGACCTCAAAGCCCCCTGGCACTATTGAGCTGGAATAAACGACGATCCGAGGGGTTGCGTGGCAGGTGATAGAGTAGTTGCCGGCGTAAGCTAGTAAGCCATGAAAAGGAATTTGACTTTTGGCGTTTGAAGGGTTGTCAAGAAAGGTATATAGATTAGGTAGCGCATGAGAGGCTTAGGGGAATGCACCACGGGCTGCTGTCACATCAACATCCCATCAGACGCCCTATGAACCAATCGCTAAAGCAGCTGCCTTTTGGTTGATAAAATCAGCAAGACGGTATGAGCCAGCTCGAAACACATCTTTCCCAAGTCACATCACAGCGAAGGATTCACCCGCCAACGTCTTCTAAGAGGACTTCTTCTACACAAGAGCGTACCTTTGTACCCTCGCGCCATTTATGTGCAATGATCATAGGATGCAATCTTGAAATTTTTAATTCTGAGGCGTAGTGGCGGAGTGGTCTAACGCGCAAGACTTGAAATCTTGTTCCTTCGGGAGCGTCTGTTCGAACCAGGCCTACGTCGAATTCCTTTTTGTCCTCGAACTATGTATACTGATTGTTCGTTAAATGACCTTGGCGAGCTGGAGACTTGTGGGCACCTAACTAGGACGGGCGTTCTGGACCTCTTGAGGGGAGCGTGTGTTGCGCGTTGCCCCCCTTTTTTGCAAGCTTTTTCCCTTGCGGCCTTCCCCTCCTGCACCAGCCCTCATAGGTGGCTTGCCCCAGCGAAATATCTCCATCATCAGGCGTGGTGGCAGAGTGGTCTAATGCGCAAGACTAGAAATCTTGTTCCTTCGGGAGCGTCTGTTCGAATCAGGCCCACGTCGACGATTTCCTTTTGCTGTCATCCTCAAGGATGCCGCTCTTTTTGGACGGGCGTTTGTATGCTGCACAAGAAAGCAGTTGTTGTGACAATGGCAGTGCAGCAAGTCGTGGGTGTGCGAACTAATGTTGCCCATGACTTCTGCCGATGGGAGAAACAAGTGTCTAGAAGCAAGAGTGGTCTTATGTCTTTCCCTAAAATCAACGCTGATTTACATACCGTTTACTTGTACAGTCCATTACAACTCCTTATCTTTAGGCTTCTTGTTCAGAAGGTCCTCGCGACCTGTCACAGGCGCATTTCCAACATATGATTTGCCCCCGTACGCCTCGAATCCCTTGTGGAACAGCCACTCCACAGCATTCTCAACTGGCTCGTCGAAGAGGGTAGGGAGGAATGGCACGACAGCGAGTCCGAGACCAATAGGGCCCCATGTTCGCACTGTCTTGTTTTTGGCATCCTTTAGTGCCCTGCCCGAGTATCGCACGACGCTGTGGATAGTAAAGGCAGGCAGACCCATGGACGCCAAACTCTGGAACAGACCGCGCTGCACCATGACCGTCCGGTAATCCTCCAGAGGTGACACGGTTCCTGGCAGCTTCGTAGTGTCCGTCTCCACGCTGGGCAATCCTGTGACTTTGCCTTGACGTTCAGACAGCTCGATGTTTGGGTTCAACACCCGTTGATTGTGCCAGTACGCACGGTAACCCTCGTGCGACACATCTCCCAGGATGTACAACCAAGAGATACCGTACGCTGCCCGGACAATATTGGGGTGCGCCACAGGTCGAAAAGATTCGCCGATATCCGAGGTGTAAGCAACATATCGGTGTGCCGAGAGCATGATCGTTCGTATTCTTGTAGCGTATGCGGCGTATCGCACATTGCTCTCAGTTGAATCTGGCCCACTACTTCGTATCAGCACTGGTGAACTCAAAGGAGACTACTCCGTAGAGTCACGCACAATCCCTCGGCTACATTGTCAAAGAAGCTGCCGTCTTTGTCGGACTTATCGACAATACTTTGCATTGCCTTGGGCAGTTTGCGGGCATCGGGGAGCTTATCGGGATCGAAGCTCGAGGCAGGTTGAGGTTGCGACGAGGTCGCAGGTTGCTCAGGTTTCGACTCTTTCGAGTCTGCGGATTTCCCCCACCACGGCATGTCTAAGGTCTGTGCGATGAAATAACGAGAGTAATTTGTGAGGCCTAGCACTAAAAGAATCGTGTTAGGTTCATGAAGCTGGCGGAAATATTGGATTCGTTCAGGTCGCGTCGAACCGGAACGGCCAGGCGCCGGCGCTGCAGTGACGTCGACTCGGATTCTTCTTAGAGGAACAGACCCACATCTGCTGGCCGGATTCTGTCCATCTCCTCAGGCCGTTTCTTCCCGGTGTATATCCGTGGACCCTTTCGGCCTGGCTTTCGAGGCACGAGCTTGGTGCTGTAGGGAATTTGAGATCTCGGTCCATCAAACTTCAATCAATTGATTCCCGACGACGCTCACTACCACCACCCACCACAGTCGCATTCCATCAACACAATGGCTGGCGTCGCATACTACACCATTGCTGGCCGTCAGGTCGGCGGACACTACGTACGGCCCTCGCGCGATTTCGCATCCTCCCGAGATCAATCGCTGACTGAACCATCTAGCTCGCCATGGGCGTCCTCGGCTCTCTGTTCGGTGGCATCTACTACGCCGCGTCTGGACCCTCCAAGCCTGTTGCCGCTGCCAACCCCCCTCCCCTGAACGCCTCGAGCTCCGATGAGGCCGACTTCATCAAGTGCGTGTCCTCGGCTTCCCATTACGATGCGGCGTTGGCTAACAGACACCCCACAGGAAGTTCCTCGAGGAGCAGGACAGCGGAAAGAAGCACTAAGCCACGAATCGATGACGAGATACGCTTGGGTGGCGTGTACGACGCTTGTACATATAGAGGGGAATGGGTGAATCACAGCTACTCGTTCGAACTTCTCCCGCGCTTCCACCATCCTTGTGCCAACATGAATCGACGCTACATCAAGGGAGAGACATAGTGATTTGATGATAGGGACCGACATTGAGTCCGTACCCTGGCACTCTTCCGGCAGTACGTGGTCGACCTGAACAAGTGTCGGGCTGCGAGATGCTACCACTTCGGTATACCCGTCACCTATACTGGACCACATTCTCCGTAGACAGCGGAATTCGCTCCTCAGAGTTGAACCTCCTGGCAGCTGTGACTCCTTGACAAACATATCGCGCTGTCCAATGAGTGTACTGTTACTGTGCAGCACATAGTGCCAGGACCGCGTTTGTTGCTCCAGCGGTTCAACCAACCCCCTATGTCCTACATTGATGTCGTCAGTCCGGTTTAATTGCGTGTGAAATCCATGCAATAAGTTCCAACGCTCAGTTGCACGCAGTCGTCTTTGCAACAGACGGAAGGTAAGCCAGCGAGCGTGTCACGTGAGGGTGGAGACAATTGGCGCCAGCCCCCCGCCAGCCGCATCTCTCCGTCGCATCGTCCGCTCACTTCCTTTAATCGAATGCAAGCTCCGCCTCGGCCAACTGCACTTCGCTTACAACGATTTGAATTCGACGCGCTCCATCTGCATTGAATACCGGGGCTCACGATGGCCGAGGTCACCACCGACCCGGCTCTTGTTCTTGTTCCTGGCAATGAAGACACCAGCCACATTGACACCAGCGCTGCAGATACTTCAAAGTCCATCCCGCCCAAGGAACGCCATTCCCTGACGCTCGATCAAAGACGCGCGCTTCGAAGATGGGCCAATTCGCAATCCGTCCGGCCTTCGCACAAGGCGTGCATTGAGTGGTTCCTTTCCGAGTACGGCCAGCACATTAGCCAGTCGACCGTCTCGCACTCGTTATCGCCAAAGTACTCGCGCCTCGATGGCGAGGTTCAACACATGGCGGGGTCGCGTCTGCGCTTCGGGAACTGGCCTGATGTCGAGAAGCTCGTCTTGAAGTGGTACCAGCAGGTGCAGAACACTGGTCGGCAGCCCACCAATGAAGAGCTCGGCGAAAAGGCCAAGGCTGTCTTCGCGCAGCTCCCTCGCTACAAAGAAGACGCGCCACCCGAATTCTCGCCTGGCTGGATACATCGGTTCAAGAAGCGATATGGCCTGCTGGTCAGGCGACAACGCCGCCAGGGCGACCCAGGGTTGGACATGGCCGAGGACATCAACTACCTCGCAGAGTGTCTGCCGCGCTTTATGGAGGTATCGCAAGGAACGAGCCCAGCCGCTATCAGGGAGCAGATCGCCCGAGGCATAGGCGTGGAACCGTCTCTCGGCATCTGCGCCTTGGTACGCGATGAGGTGATCAGGCGCATGTCACAGCAGCAGTCCCTCCCGCCACCCATGTCAGACACGGAGCCCCCCACGCTTCCACCACCACAGCCGGAGCAATCGTTGTACGGAGACGAGGATCCTGACATAGTGTTGCAGAATGCCCTCCGACAGCTGCAGCAAGAGGAGGATGCAGCTGAGCAACACGCAGCCGCGGCTCGTGAAGAACGAGAGCGCCATGAGCGTGCAGCACTCGCGCACCCCATGGAGTCGACACCTGATGACTCCCATTCGGTGGTTGGGCGTTTTGCCAGTCCTGAACATGATATTGGTCCTCCCCCTGATCTCACTTTGACGCCGATCCAGGCCAATCAACCCATGCCAGAGGAGGAAACCCCTGTCCGTTGCCCATATTGCATCAATCAACGGATGCTGCGGACAATCAAGGAAGCTGTAGAGCACTTGTCAACTCATGTTGTCGTCTGATCAGGTGATGGTTGTTTCAAATTGTGAGTTCATGGCGTTGGGAGCTTGGGGTCACAGTGTAATGAAGTCTCTGCCAGGGTTATGGTCAAGGTCGGAAATGTCGTTGTTCATGTATTCATTGTAGTAAGCTACACAAGTCCGCTTTCTTTCAGATTCCTGACCACTGCGTCCGCGTCTTCTTGTGCCTTCGTCTTCATCGGTTTGATGTCACCAGTGTCAATATAGTTGATCCAAAACTTCAGGCCCTCGAGCCCTTCCTCACGACACACAGCCCCGTGTTCTTCGGCCATGAGTAACTCCTCCTCGGCGACACCCAGGCTCCATCCAAAGCGAGTGGCGGCTTCCTGGGCGGTGACGCCCTGTCCAAATGTTCGCCAGTCCCATGGCACCTCTCTTTCAGGCGGGAACTCGTGAAGATCCTGCAGCCATGACAGGAGTGCCTTGATGGTGGTTTCATCTGTCCGATCGCGTCCCTGCACGACCATGACACCACTCCGGAACGTTCTGAGACGGACTGGCAATTTTAGACTTTCCCACAGTCGAACGGCTTTCTCGAAATCCATCGGACTGACCAGTTCAACGCCTCCCCGGGCGCGATTGAACATGGCCCATAGATCGACAAGGGTAATGATGCCGCCCTCTTTCTTCAGCACGCCACGAGAGTCGTCTGTCAGAAATTCCGCAAGATTTCTCGCAAGTTCTGACAAGTACAAGGATTGCGAGCTGCCGCCGCCAACAATGTCCTTCGTCGTGACCAGCCCCAACTGACTGGCCGATTCAGCGAGTATGGCATTCTCCTCGACTGAGATACCTTCACCACCTGCGCTGTTCTGACGCGCCAATCTCTCAGCGAGGGCCACGACGTCTTTTGCAGATGCCATCAGCGCCTCTAGGTCCTCAAAGGCATTACCAATGATGAACTCGTTGTTCTTTCGCATGTTCATGCCTCGCTGCTCCAACCCCGCAATGCCGACGGTTTTATGCTTTGGCGAGCTCTGCCCAGAGCTGGACTGGCCATCGTCCATCAAGTGACCGCTTTTTGGCGGCGGGGGGGCATTCTGCAGCAGCCACTTGCGCTGTGTCATGGATCCCTTGAGCCTCTCGTAGAAGATTTGGGCGCCGCCTCCTCGGAATGAGATCTTGACGCTGTCCTGGACATCAATACCACCAGGCCCGGAGGCCTTCGGGCTGTCCATCGCTGGACCAGGTGACTGCGGGCGGGCAACATCTGCCGATGGCGCCACAGGTTCAGGCTCGGCACCCTGTCGGTAGATCAATGAGGCGCCGCACATTTCGCAAGATAGTAATGAGGGGTGGTTCGAAAAGGTGCATCTGGGACACTCAAACGTTGATGCCGCTTCCCCTGGCGCAGTAGCTGACTGCGGACTTCCTGTTCTGTCCGGTGATGAAGCTTCGCTAAATGCTTCTCTGGGCGATTTCGAGTCCAGGAGCTTGGATCGTACTGGCAATACCGGGCTTGAAGCTGCTGGCGCCGGCGAAGGCCGACTGTTCGCGCTGGCGATTGCAGCTTTCAGAACATGACTCAGTGAGGGCTTGATGCCACAGGCGAGGCACGGCGGCAAAGGGGTGTGTACGTTCGCCGCTGAAGGGTCAAAGTTGGATGGCACCGGGTTCGAGAAACTGCAGATGGTACACACCCATGTTGCCGAACTCGCGACGGGTGTCTCTGGCTTCGGGCGCGGTGAACCCTCTGGTCGAGGAGAGTTCGGGCCTTGGTTGCGCCGGGGCGCACTGACACTGGAGACAGTCTGCCGGAGAGATGCCCTTTTCGGTGGTTTGGGGACAATGGTGACCTTGGGCGAGGACTTCCAGAAGCCGGCGTAAAACTCATGGCGCTCCACATCCTTCAGCTCCAACGCAAGCGAACGCTTGCGTGGCTCATCTTTATCGACATAACATATCCGATGCGACGTCAAGTATACTTGGCCGTTCTGTTGATCGGGCAGCTTGAACTTCCTAGCTTCGTCAGACATAAGACCCCCCAAGATGTAACAGACTGACGTACCCTTCATAAAGACCCACATTATCCTGAACAAATAAAAGTACCTCATCAGGCAGATACGAAGGCCGCAAGGCCGTCGTCAAGTCTATATGTTGGAGAAACATTCGTCATGCCGAAGATGTTGAATCTCAATGTGAGGGACTCAAGGTGAGCGGCGTACGTAGTGAGGTGTGGGGGACGGAGGATAACGCCCGTGCGTCAACTCGTAAAACGTCAGAAACGACCCCAAAGCAGAGTATTCTATCGCGAATATGGATCATGCGAGCGCGGTGGACGCAACAAAAGTATTCATCATCATAAGGTATACATTGTTGACGCTGTGGCTCGAGTGACCTTCGCCTACATGGCGACTGGCAGTGATGATACGTGGTATCCAGTTTTACATAATCCCCGCGAATGATCACCACGATTGGCCGGGGTTCTGCCGGCTGACTCGCACATTCCACCGCCATGTTCCGAAATTCACCGCCTGCGCTCTTTGTCATCTACAACTCGACCGTCTGTTCGCTCTATCGCACCAAGAGCCATCAAGAACGCATCGCAGCGACCGGCCTCTTTGTCTAAATCTTGTCGAGAACACTTTTGCCGCTTTGTTAACCTAGTTTTGTTGGCCAAAATCGACACGATGATGCCTAGTTGGACGACGACGGCGCAGCCAGCGTCGGGCGTGGCCCAACCTCCGCCACTGTCCCCCTATGCCTACCCACCCAGTGAGTTCACGCATCGACCACCGACACCATTTCATCTGTACTAATGGCTTTCGCAGATCCTGCATACACAGCTGTGCCTGTCCGCCAAGGTTTTGGCACCTATCCCCCACCTCCACCTCTCGCGCACGCTGCTTACGCTGCTCCCCCGGCGCTCGCACAACCACCATCCAGTGATTCTTCCTCCGCCGCTGCGAAACCTGATTCGAAGCAAGGCAAAGTAGTTTGGCCTGATTCTGTTCGCAACTACGTGTCCCGTTCTTTTCTTCCCGATAATAGCGATCCTTCCGTGACACGCGCAGAGATGGAAGTCAAGCTGAAGGAAGTCATTCGCGCTGCTACGGACAATAACACACTTAACACTACCGACTGGGATAACATGCCGCTGCCGCAAGCGCTAGTCAAAATCGAACGCTCCACTGCTACGGGGACCTCGTCGTCATTTCATAACAAGAAGCGAAAGTCCTCCGAGTACGCTGGGGCTGGCGAGACGCAACCTCCTTGGGCATCTACTAACACCTCTCGCTCTCTGGGGGACCGTATCTCGTCTCCTAGTAAACGCATCAATGACGGCACCTTCAAGTCAAGTAAGTTCGACACGGAAGCCAATAAACGCAAGCGACGTTTCGAGAGCGAATACCAGGCGAACCGCTCGCCTAGCCCGCCGCCTCCGTCAGACGGACCTGTTGTCGGGACGTGTGAGACCTTGGAGAAGAGGTACCTGCGTCTCACTTCCGCGCCTGTGCCATCTAAAGTCCGGCCTGAGCGAATCCTTCGCCAGACTCTCGAGCTTCTCAAGAAGAAGTGGAGAAAAGAAGGCAACTACTCGTACATTTGCGATCAGTTCAAGTCCATGCGCCAGGACTTGACGGTTCAACATATCAAGAACGAGTTCACTGTCTCTGTTTATGAGATTCACGCGCGTATTGCCTTGGAGAAGGGGGACATAGGTGAGTATAATCAGTGTCAGACCCAGCTTCGATCGCTGTATCAGATGGGTCTGAAAGGAAGTCCCATCGAGTTCAAGGCATACCGCATCCTCTACTTCATCCACACAGCCAACCGCAGCGGCCTCAATGATACTATCGCAGATCTAACCACAGCTGAAAAGACCGAACGGCCCATCAAACACGCGCTCGACGTCCGCTCCGCTCTCGCGCTAGGAAACTACCACCGATTCTTCCAACTCTACATGGACACACCCAACATGGGAGCGTATCTCATGGATATGTTCATCGTGCGGGAACGCCTGCATGCCCTGTGCAACATTTGCAAAGCGTGAGTTTTTCTCCCTACATTCTATACCCGGATGCTAACCCCTCGCTAGTTATAAACCTGATGTGAAACTTCGGTTCATCACCGAAGAGCTCGGCTTTGAAACCGATGCTGATGCTGCCCAGTTCATTATCGACTATCAGGGGCAGCACCTCCTCGAAGACCGGACCGAGTACATTGCCTTCCTGACGGGCAAGGCTGGTGGCTTGTTCGAAGGCGCTCGCGCGGCAGCATTCCAACGGGTCGACATCAAGGGTCAGATTTGAGCTCTGCCTTCATGATGATGAACCCTTGGGGTGCTGTGGTCTTACTGGTGACGAAGAGTCTGGTTTATTTGTCTTGCGCCTTCGATACCCTTGATCTGCTATTGTTTCGTCATTTTCGCAGTATGGCTTCCTCGCTTCAAATGAAGCATGCCAGCCCAAGGATGGCTCCTGTGCTTCGGGTGGCCCGAGGTCCAGCGTAGTCATCATCGTTGACTCTTGTCTGTGACCTCAAGACACAGTTTTGGTCTCAGGGGGCTTAGATGGCTTTTGAACTTAATAGGGCTATTGCGGTGATTCGCACTGCCCTTTAGCAGATGGCGCCTGGTTGCATAGCGTTGGCGTGGCGCATTGGAGTTTGGTATGGTGACGGGCGTTCAACGGAATAAATCTCTATCAGGAGTCCGACTAATATTTGAGAATAAACAGTCAATCCAGTTGTCCGCTGTTCTTAATGCTCGCATGTCTCAATGAACTTGCTCGATCATGCATGGGTCAGCATTTGTGAAGTCATCCCTTGGACGTCGCTGCCGGAATGGTCTGACCAGGATAGAAGGGGCTTTTAGGTAATATATCAGAAGGCTGGATATATCACCACAGCTCCAAGGCCATGCTAGCTCGAATCTACTGTTACCTACCTCGTCGCTTAACAAGCGAGCCAGTCCACCTAAGTTCAACTTTGAGGGTACGACACATGGCCCATCTCTATCGCAGTTGACTTGGCGCAGACCCATTCTTGAGAGTTCGCATATGCGTGATCCACAGACCGTTGGAAGCTCGTGGAGAAATAATGCACACGTACTCTTTAATTACGAGCGAGAAAACTTTGCGTGCGCTGGGCAGCACCAGGGGCTGACGAGTCCAACGTTTCGGCGTATTCAAATGTTTCAATGCCGACCGCGAAGATCGGGCATGGGTCATTGCAGCCCGAACCTGCTAAGGAGGTTTTTATCCAACTTGGAGATTTGGACAGGAACAGTTCCTCGAGACTGACCCACTAGGCACGTGCGGTTGTGAAGAACAATGGGATAGATATTACTGCGATAGTCTATTGCGGCCACATGTTGAACTAGCGCACGACTCGCGCTACTGGTGAAGTCTTGGACCAGAAATTGTGAGAGCCGTTGGGCACCGACGAACAAGGTACCTGAGTGCTACCATTTGATAAGCATTGATATTAAATTTTCGCATTCATGTGTCTTCCCCCGGGGTGCGTTCTGAAACAGACTGGTCCAAAAGCAAGGGTCTGGTGAGTGAATTCAAGGTTGTGACTGAGTCTAAGGCGGGGTGAGAGAGGAACCATCGGGATCATGGATGGGAATGGCCACAAAGGATCGAGGGATCGGACAGCAACATCTTGGCTGACAGCACCCATTAGTGTTGAGGTTTCCCGAGAATTATCAAGTCTAGGGGTTCCCCAGGTGAGGAGGACTGAACCTAGGTGGCAAGAAGACGTGAGGATTATAACATTAACATGACATGGAGGTGGCATGACTTTCGAAAAGCCTGTTGGTACCCCTGAGTGGCCAGCCCAGGTAGTCGTCCAGCAGTTGAAGCTGGACCCCGCCCCTCCATGGAAGCGCCGGCGGGGCGTGCAGTCACTCTAAGTCTAGCGACTGGACCTTGTATGTGCTGAAGGACTACCAATCAATCATCCAATGTGCTGACTGGAGTGCTGCTGCCAGGCGAATGCGTGCAGGCCTGCATGTGTGCCGCGTGCATTCCATTTTCACATTGCATTTCCCACCCACTGTCGGCTTTCTTTGGTGCATCATCCATCCTCGTCCTCCAGCGCTTCGACCTACGAGCCTACCTCCGAGTTACACCAAACTTCCTCAGCGCGACCATCCGCTCAAGGCGATTCTGGACCATTCCTCGAGCCACGGCCACCGCAGATCTCGCTTCGATTGTCGATTCCATCGCACCCCGGCCTCGGGCAGCCGTAACACCAGCCAATATGAAGGTTCGTGCTCCTGCAGCCCACGGTCCCTCTTCGCGCGCTGCCAGCCTTTGCTTTGCCTGCCCCCCCTTTGCGCCGCTCGCGGAAAAAGAAAGGGCTGTCTGATGCGAACCCCTTTTCACGGCGACATCAATCGCGCCGCGTGTTACGTCCCTTCAATTTCCTGGTCACGATACCTCTGTGTGGCCAAGTGACGGCCGACGTAATGTGCTGGTTGGGCCCCGCATCGACAACGACAGCAGGCACAGCATATGCCCGGATCGACATTGCGCGCGCAAGGGGGCTCAGCACGCGATACACCACAGACTTGCCAGACCATTATCGCAAACATGCTCGCGTCAGATGAGAAGCTAACGACCATGCGCTTTGTCCAGGCTCTTCGACGCTCTATCAAGGGTGAGAAGGAGAAAACGAACTCCCACGTCGCGCCGAAACATGCCGTCGCAATCGTCCCGCCAAAGAAGGTACTTGGGGGCTCCGCTCGACCTCGCGCTCTCGAACCCACGGTGCTAATGGATCCCAGGTCATCAAGGCGCTTTACGACTATGAGGCACGGTCAGATCAGGAGCTTGGCTTCTCTCGGGGCGATTTCTTCCATGTTATAGGCCGCGAGGACGACACCGACTGGTACGAGGCATGCAACCCCGCTCTGCCCGATGCGCGAGGTCTCGTTCCCGTCGCCTTCTTCCAGTCGCTGGGCAAGACAGAGGGCGACGACGGCAGCAGCGGGCGCGTGCCTAGCGCAGGCAAGATGCCAAACCACGACTCGGGTTACAGCGACTCGCACGGTGGCGGCGGCGGCGTCGTCCAAGGGAAAGGAATATCTGGACCCATTTCGGGACCCATGCCCGCAGCGCAGCGCAAATCGCAACCTGGCAAGAATGGCCCCATGGTCTACGGAGTGGTCATGTTCGACTTTGCTGCCGAGAGAGCTGATGAGTTGGATGCGAAACAGGGCGAGGCGATCATTGTCATTGCGCAGTCCAACCCAGAGTGGTTCGTTGCCAAGCCTATTGGTAGATTGGGCGGTCCAGGCCTGATTCCCGTATCCTTCATCGAGCTGCGCGACATGGCGAGTGACAAGCCTCTACCGAACCCCGAGGAAGCACTGCGCAAAGCCGGCGTTCCCAAGGTCGAAGAGTGGAAGAAAATGGCCGCCGAATACAAGAACAGCAGCATCACGCTGGGCAAATTCGAGGTCGGGTCGGGTGGTGGTGGGCAGCCCATGGAGCAGTCGATGGAACGCCTGAGCATTCAGCAAAACGGCCGCCAAAGCAGCCAGACTAGCTTACAGCAACAGCAGAATGCGCGCACCAGCCAGCGGTCGGCTGGTCACCAGTCGCAACAACTCCAGCAGAACCAGTACGCTTCCAAGTCAACGTCGCAATTGTACGCCCCCATCCAAGCCCGCATACCACGGTATTGCTTTGCGGAGGAAAAGTACTGGTTTGTCATTGAGGCTATGCTGGAGGATGGTCGACAATGGGTCCTCTCGCGATACTACGAGGACTTTTACGACTTTCAGATTGCACTTCTGACAGAGTTCCCGGCTGAAGCTGGCAACACCGGCACCCAGAAGCGGACTCTGCCCTATATGCCTGGTCCCGTCAACTACGTGACCAATGCGATTACCGAAGGGCGATTGCATAATCTGGATGCGTATGTCAAGAACCTGCTCAACCAACCACCTTATATCTCGCGATGCCTGCTTGTGAAGCAGTTCTTTGCGCCTCGCGAGGGCGATTACGAGCTGGAGCTCAACGAAGGCGCTGGGGACTACCGCCTGTCACAGGGATCACAGATGTCGTCAAACGAATCACCTGCTGATGGGTCCCGTCAGTCGTCACGGAACAATCTCAACGGCGGAGGATACGGTGGTCTCTCAGCAACGCCGCGCCAGATGGGCCACCAAGGTACGTGTTGTTTCATCATCTTGTAGCAACATTCACTAATCGCCCGACAGCCTCCCACTCCCACTCGCAATCCCAATCACAGCCGCAGGGCTCCGCGATGAAGGTCAAAATGTACTACAACGGCGACCTCATTGCCATCCGTGTACCGTCCGACATTGCGTACCAGCAGCTGTTTGACAAGATCCGCGACCGACTCAAGGTGCCAGACGGTGATCAGATCCAACTGTTCTACAAGGATGAGGCAACAGGCGACAAGCCCAACCTGATGAGCGACAACGACCTTGACTACGCGCTACAGCACAACGAAAAGCTGCTTCTGTATGTCGAAGTGGTATGAACTTTACATGAACGGACGATATCGGAGCGCTGCGTGAGTTGAACCCCATCTTCCCCTTTGTTATTACGAGCATTCGAACGGGAGTATATACCCCTGCGCAGTTTTATTCTTGACGGACGCAACGCCAATGTCCCACACGATCTTCACGACTTGCATTCAGCACTACTGGCTGCCCCTTGATGGGTGCGAGGGCCGTGTCCCAGTCACACAGGGCAGGCCATACAGTCAGTCAGTCAGTGAGGGCTTCTTGGAAACTGCTGGCAGGGCGCACGGCTGGCGACTCGCTCTGCCGGTCCAGTGCAACAGACGTTCATTTGCGCGGATTATCCATTAGTATCAGTATCTTTACCCAGGCTCCCAAAGAGATCATGCAGGGGCGTTCTGGACTGGAAAGGGGCAAATGGGAAATTGATGTATTTTCGGCTGCTGTCTGCAAACTGCGCTCAATAACAGATATGTCGTGGAGGGCCCTGTCACCCTTCCTTGTGTGCGCGTAAGTATCTTCTTCTTCATTACTTCCCAATCCCGGTCCATGTCTATATGTGTATGTCCAGAGCTGAGCTCTCTCTATGTATGCCATCCTGGACCCTAGCCGACCCAATGCAAGCCGAATCCACGTTGTCGTGAGAAAATATCAAATATGCCGTAACGCCGAGCCGTGAATAGTCGTACAAATGCATGCATACAATGCAAGGTCGCCAACGTTGTCCGTGTTCTCATCCTCATGCCTCTTCACTCCAGCCTTTCCATCAACGATCGCCTTACTTTCATATTCACAACACCGCCCACACCAAACGCAGGCACGATGCGACATATCCTCGCCATGGCGCTGGGTGCCCACGTCCTTCGTACCTGATGCCATCGATCCCGGAGGCTCACAGGCGAGCGTAGCCCGTTGGGGCGGTTATACATGTCCAACCCCAGCAGGTGAAGCGGCGTGCTGATGAGCTGCACCGCCGCCGGCGCGATGAACTGCGCGCACGTCGCACCGCTCAGACGTTTCTTCCACTCGGCGGAGAGACAGCCCTCGATCTGGGGCGCGAGCAAGGGGGGCACGTTGAAGGAGGCGAAGATGGTCATGCAGTCGCGTAGTCCAAAGAGGGCGTACGAGAGGCCCGGGACGGCGCGGGGGACGACGCCGGGGGGTCCGAACATGCGCACAAAGACCTGGTCCTTGTATATGCAGATGCCGACGTTGGCGGCGCTAGAGGCGGCGAACTTGGTGGTGCCGGCCGTGACGTGCGAGGGTTTTCGATCCTGGACAGTCGAGGTGGCCGTGTCGAGCATGTTGGCGGTGATGTAGGTGCCGCCGTAGACGAGGAAGATGAGAGCGGTCGGTTTGGAGAGGAGGAGGGTCTGGGGACGGAGGAGGAGGGAGCGCAGGGAGGACTTGATCGAGTCGCCGAGCGTGCTGCTGCCCGAGGCGTTTTCCATGATGCTCCTGTTGGAATGGTCAGTTCTCTGCCCAGAGGTTTGGGAGTGGGGGGTTCATACCTGTCGATCATGGAGATGATGGGCGCCACGAGGGCGCCCGCGCATGAGGCGCTGAGGAGATCGGAGCCTAGGCGAAGGCCGAGCTTGTCCGTGTTCCACGCTTTCTGTGCATTCTTGGTCGGTAATTGTTGTTGTTGCTGCTGCTGCTGCTGCTTCTGCTGTTGCGCTGGCGAAAGTGAGGGCGCCATGATGGAGGGTTTCGGAGGAGAGATGGGCGCATGGGAGGAGGGATCTAGAGAGAGGCTGGCGGCAGACAGAGGGAGAGGCTCGGATGGTTTCATTTCATCAGGAGTCTATATTGAACGGTAGAAACACTCTGCTGGCTCTCTATAACGACGACGGTGCAGCACACCGGGAAGAATAGGGTTGCGCGGAGCTTACGAGCAGCGCTGCATCATGATCTCCAGGGTCCAGACGGGGTGAGTCGAGCAATTGCGAAACTCAATTCTGGGGATCGAGAGCGGCGACTGGACGAGCGAGCAATGAACAATAAAAATACGAGGATCGGGCGAGCAAAGCAGGAATGGGGACGTTGTAATAAGACGACTGCACGATGATGACAAAATTTGGGGGAGCGACCAAGTTCGAGCTGGAGCTGATGGACGGACGGACAGGAGAAATAGAGGCCGACACCGGAGATGGACCCGGCCAAAAGACCGTTTTGCCGACGGACGGATCCCCGACAATAGTGATCTGTTGGACCCTTGATTTCCGTCTTGCTGCAATTGTCATGCCACGTATAATCTTCCAGACTTCCAGTCGAGTCTCTTGCGCCTACCAAGACATCTTCTCTCGTCAGTTTCATTCGGCGCTGGTGCGACGTCATGCGAAGGGGTCGAACCATGATGACGATGTTGTCTCGCGTCGGGCACACCACCACGGCATCGCGAGCTAGCCACATGGTCACTGGTGTGAGATGCGGAAGATAGAGTCCAGCGCCACGCACGGGTTGGCGGCCAATTGCCGAACTGGCTGATATTTATTCACTACGGCTAGATAAGTGATGCAGCCACCACGTCGGTTTCCATCGGCGGTGATTAGCCTTTCAAGATACGCAGCGGTCCTTTGTGCCGTCGGACCACACCACATCACATCGCAGCCTCAAGTCTTGTTAGACCATTAAGGCAACCAGTACTATCGCTGGACCAGCTCAGAGGCCTGGATTGGTCTTTTAGCTGGGCGCATGAACAGCGTAGGATCAAGAATGAATATTGTGAGTGGCTTCTGCACCATGGGACCACTACGGTCAATACCCGCTACAGGGTAGCCTTCCACTCTCCAAATGGACGCGCCAGACATTAGTATGCAAGTGTAGCACGATGCTCTCTTAGGTAGGCATCATTCTTCATTCAACTTGGCTCAAAATCCGGATCTCTGGCTGATACCTTGAAAACGCAATTTGATGAACAAATCTGACAATGCTGCCTACAACCCCTGAAGCGCCCAATATGGAAGGTGATGCCGCTATGCTGAGTTGCTGACATCCCCGCCAGTGCCTGATTACCCCATGGGCCGTGATTCGCGTCTCTAGTCACCTCGACGTCGCGACTGAGCTGACATCTGCTCCATCGCTGCCGCCATCAAGAACTTCCATTTCAAAAGGGCTTACCATGGTGCGGGTCGAAAAGCTCACGGCAAAGACCGTCCTCGAGGCGCCCAACTACTCTCCTCCCGTCCCCAACGCCAATGGCACCCAAGGGCTGTTCACGGTCTCGACGTACGATTTCGCGTCAGGGAAGCACACGCAGTATCTTAGGGTGATTGATCTCGCGGGACGGGGCGTCTCCACCATTGTAAGCGGCGATAATATTCATGATGCCCACTGGATCCCCGGGCCACATGATGAGATCCTCTACGTGCAGTCCGACGACAAGGGCAAGACGCAAGTGAAGATTGCGAGGACGGGCGACCTACCTGGGGACCACGACTGGGTGATGCAGATCGATGCGCCCATTGCAAACTTGAAGCTGAAGCTGCTGAGAGAAGGTCAAGTGGCCTTTGTGTTCACAGGACTTGCAGGGGATGATGGAGAGCTGTTTAATGAGGAAGCTGTCGAGAAGAAGAACAGCGCTCGTGTGTTTGACACAACCTACGTCCGCACGGTAAGCGCCCACCCTCGAGCAGTGAGTGATCTGGAGTAAAGGTCTGACACGACCCAGTGGACGAGCTACTACAAGCCACAACGCTATGGTCTCTGGTACACCATCCTCTCCAAGAATGACGGCCCCTGGGAGCTCAAGTGGCCCTGCCATAATCTCCTACACAACTCACCGGATATCGAGCCTCACTCATTGTACGGCCCGTTTGGAAATGCATCCACTCACTACGATATTGCACCAAACGGAATCGCGTTCAACGCGCGCAAGCTGGAAACTCACGACCTGCAAGAGAAACAGAACTCCTATCCGTACTATTGCCCCCTAGACTCGTACGAAGCGCCGCCGCCAGCAAAACCCGCCCCTATCGCCTTGCCAGAGAATGTCAGTGCCGGCCAAGCGTCTAACATGCGTCTGTCCCCCAACGGCGAGGACATTGGCTTCTTCCACGCCTCGGCCGACGACATCATCAACATTCGACTGTACATTGCCTCCATCAAGAATCTAGCCTCGTACGACGCCTTCAAACGCATCGATCCAGATGAGGATCCTGAACACTACGAACCGCCCGCCAGCTTTGAGTTTGCGGGTCGCTCAGACACCGTCATTATGCAAAAGAAAGTCACGGGCCGCATGGCTCTCGCACAGCTCGTGCTCAAACACGGAGAGAAACCACGGTACTTCACTTTTGATGATACCGTAGCGTCGTATGCGCCTCTGCGAGCGGGAGATTGGACGACGCTGCTCGTGGCTAGGACGAGTTTCCTCGAGAGCGCCTTGTGGCAGATTATCAACGTCCCCGGCGCAAGTGTCGACCATACCATCTTCTGCGCTACCAAGAACGGGCGCAAGTACGGCTTGCATGAGGGCATGGTGTCGGATATCTGGTTCGAGGGGGCCGATGGGCTCTGTGTCCACGCTTTGGTTGTCCGCCCGAGCACGTTCGACGCGAACAAGAAATACCCCTGGGTGCTTGCGCTGCATGGTGGTCCGTTGGGGGACTGGTCAACGGGCTGGAGTCCAAGAGTACGTGTGGTGTAGGGGACGCATAATGACAACGGCTAACCGTGAATGTCTAGTGGAATGCAGCTGCGTGGGCTGAGCAAGGGTACATTCTTATCCTGCCCAACATATCGGGCAGCACAGGCTATGGTCTTGACTTTGCCAGACGTAAGAAGCCCACACTGTCCCTTTCCTAATAGCAGAACACTCCCCCAGAATAACACGCGAAAAAACAGGCGTCAACGATGAATGGGGCGGCAAACCCTACCAAGATATTGTGAACCTCGTCGAGCATCTCGACCAGATACCATACCTGGACCACGCCAAGGGGATCCTCACCGGTCTGAGCTACGGCGGGTACATGATGAGCTGGCTGTTTAGCCACGAGGTCTCGAAGCGATTCTGCGGCGCCATCTGGCAGGACGGCATCTTCTCCATCCCGACCATGCTCCTGCAGTCCGATGTCTCGCTCGACACGGCGGCGTTTGGGACGAAACCCCCGTATCCGTGGGAGAACGCGGCACACCTGGAAAAGTTCAACCCCGCGCGGCCAGAGTTGCTGCGCAAGTGGGCCGAGTACGCGCCGCCGACGCTGGTGGTGCACGGGGAGAAGGACTATCGGTGCCCTGTGACTGAAGGGCTAGCTGTGTTCAACACGTTGCAGACGCAGGGGGTGCCGAGTAAGATGCTGCTGTTTGAGGATGAGGGCCACATGGTGGTGAAGCCGGAGAATATGCTGGTCTGCTATGAGGCTACATGGGCGTGGATGCAAAAGTGCATTCAGGGGGACTTGGAAAATGCTCGAAGGGGCTGATGCGGACACACTGTCACTGAGTTACAGGCCTTCAACTGAAACAGTGCGTGGAACTGCATATTATGACCATCGTATTCAAGGCAGTGTGTTTGATGCTCAAGCTTCTTGAGCCCATTGAATCCCCTTTGTTCTGTCCCATGGCATCATGCGATATACTAACGAGACCCCTGCTCTAGTAGACGTAGTAGTTCTGCGTCTCATCCTCGCTCTGCCTAATCTTCTTGTTCTTCCTCTTGACGATGATCTTGGTGACCCACGCAATGGCGGCGGTCAGGGCGCTAAAGGCCGCGGACGACAGCATGGCGATCAGGTACCGGGGCTCGTCGCTGCTGGGGTACAGGTACGGCGTCCAGATGAAGGAGATGTTCATGATCATGGTCACCATGGAGATGGCGACGGCCTTCTTCTCCTTGGTCTGCCCGCACACGGACGAGCACCAGCCGAGGATGAGCGAGTTGACGCCGTAGGTGCCAATGGTGAAGATGACCATGGACACGTAGCGGCCGGCCGTGTTGAGCGTGGCGCCCGCGGCGACGAAGCCGACGATCGCGACGGCCTTGGAGATGGTGATGTGCCACGTTCGCTCGTTGAACTTGCCTGACGACCAGGAAACGGCGATGGTGACGGCGCCGGCGATCAGGTACGGGGGGCAAGTCAAGACCAGGGTGAGTGTCCTGCCGAAGCCAAGCGTCTCGACTACAGTGGGGAAGAAGTTCTTGAAGCCGTTGGCCGCCAAGTGCATGTGCGCCATGAAGCAGAAAAGCCACACGAGGGGGTCGCTGGCGGCCTGCTTGAGACCCTCCTTGGCGCTGGTCTGGCCCGAGTTCTGGGTGGTGTCGAGCTCTATGCGGTTGTAGGCGAGATCCTTCTCCTCCTGAGTGAGCCACCAGGTCGTCAGGGGGGTGTCTGGCAAGAGGAAGAAGCCAATGACGGCGATGACAAACGTGACGGCACCCTGTAGGATGAACAGCCACTGCCAGCCAGCGAGACCGGCAAGGTCGTCCATGCCGTGGAAGATACCGGCGGCAATGAGACCGGCAAAGGCCGTCGCGAGAATGTTCCCCGTGTACAGGATGGCGATACGTGTGGCGACCTCCTTGCGGGTGTAGAATAGCGACAGGGTGTAGACGGCACCGGGGTAGTACGGAGCCTCGGTGAGACCAAGGAAAAATCGCGTCAGGAGGAGGCCGATAAAGTTACGCGAGACGGCAGTCAAGGCAGACACGATAGCCCAGAGCATCATGGCGGTACCCATGTAGCGGCTGGGTCGGGTGCGCGTGAGGAACATGTTGGATGGCACCTGAGCGAGCACGTAACCGACGAAGAGGATGGATACGCAGGTTTGGTATTGGGTGCCGGTAAGGTTGAGGTCTTCCTCGAGCGTGTTGATGCGCGCTAGTGCAATAGCATTGCGATCCAGGTAGTTGAGCCAGTACATGCTCCAGAGCATGGGCTATGAGGGAGCACTGTTAGCGGCAGGTGACTTGGGCGCAGTTGGGGGATGAGCAGCATACCATGATCCAGCGGTCGAGCTTGCGCACAAGCTTGATCTCCTTTGGGTCAGTCTTCTCGTGAGCACCCGAGTAGTCGACCTTGTCCACAACGGGGATAGGTTTCTCGCTCTGCTCAAAGCCTGCTTCACTGTCCTTGGTTTGCGCGAGCCGAAGCTCATTGTCGCGCTTCTCGCCGTGGGTGGACGCCATGGTGACAGTATAAGTGGTGCCTATGACAGGAAGGACTGCGATGCCTCGTGGAAGTGCCAGAGAAAACTGGGTGTAAAATCTGATGAGTATGGCTCGAGGAGGCTTTGTGGCACCCGTCAAGTGTCAGGGAGTCACTGCTAGACAAGAAGAGACTCAATAATCCGTGTGGCGAATGGACTCTCTTTATACTGCTTCGGACAGCAAGAAACAAGTCAACATGATCAAGGCCTCCCCCGGAAGGAGGAGCTGGGGATGGTGGGTTCGCGCTGCGACTCCAGGTGCCTCCCCACGCGCTGATCCCCTTGCGGAGAAGTGAGATTTAAGCATGTTTAGGCGTGCCCACAGGGTAATCCCTGAGACAAGTCGGGACCAACAAGAGAAAAACGCGGAGGGTCTGGGGTAGTGGCTGTGATTCCGAGGAGCAGAGGCGCTTGGACGCCCTGACTAGCCAAGTATTTCTCGACCCTTGTCAAATCCCTCGTGGGAGATGACCGAACTATTCCGACTCTTTCTCGACGAGATATCTTGGTGCGGGTCTTGCACAGGGGAGACAGACGCTTAGCATGCCATGAATCATGCTACTGCCAGTCTGCAGACGACGAGGGCCTAGGATGCCCGCTCCATGTTCGTTCAAAGAGCACCATCCACGACCGTGAGTGATCCATGACCTGAATGGTGTGACCATGGAAGTGACCGCACGATGTAAGTTGGCAGCGTACGCAGAAGTCGACAGGCATCAGGGTAGTGGCCAGCCAGCATTCGGTGGCAGCATATTCGGTAGAGTGACGGGTGGTAGATGGCGACATCACACCCTCATTTCCGAATCCATCTACTTGCACTTGACATGGCCAACGCGGCTGCATGTGCGTGGGTCGTCCGTCATCGCTGTTGGGAGCCCGAGCAGCATTCGGTAATAAACTTGGCTTCCGTAACTGTGAGGGGGATCGCCCGTTGTTCCAGAACCAGATGTTACCACAACTCATGTATGCGGACTGTTGGTAGCTCCCCTCGAGCTTCGCCCTTGGTTCCAGACCGGGCGTGAATTATCGCCCAGTCACTTTCGTATCGGACTCTTTCCGCACGTCATGTTAGAGAGTTCCGGGCCCTGCTCGCCGGCAGTTGTACCTCACTGGTCAGTGGTGACTGTGCTGGGGTCCAGACTCCAGAGGACCACGCAGGTGCAAAAGGCGGATCAAATGCTGTCGCGAGCGGGAGGCTGGCTTTGGGCTTCGGTGGAATCCTTCGAGAAGCATGATTCGCGCGGAGAGGCCGTGGAAACTCGCGGGCTACCGCTGTGCACGGGCAGTAGCGTGATGCTGCTCCCCAGGGGCAGGGATAATGATGTCCACCCACCCGCATCGATTACCCCAATAAGACTGGGCCCGAAGATGCTTAACAGCTCATGCGGCCATTTCTTTGGCTGGAGCCTCAAACTTTATCTGTTAACTCTGTATTGTGGACCAGGAGGGAGCCACTTCTGCGTTGTCACGGTGGTCTCACAAGTCACAACACTGGCTGGCAATGACTGCCCTGCTTCTTGAGACCATCGCGAGAACTGCGAGTGCTCAAACATCACCTAAAACAATACGAGGCGTGCCGGCTAAGATAAGCAGAAACCCTGGCGTACGTCCGGATGGAACCAGCGGTGGTTTGCCCTTTGACCTGGCGGAGGCACGACTTTCTGCGTTTGCCGTTCATATAGCTATTCCTGGTGAGGTATCTTGTTGGTCGCAAGTCGTGGCTTGTCGCTAGTGTTCATCGATAGCAATGGTGAGCGAGCTAGAAGCATTCCATGGAACCTCCTGCTTCCAAGGGTCCACAAGCATTTGCGAAGCAATACTCTTAGACAGGCATGCCGGTCGGGCTGGGCAGCTTGGCGACGATGCGGGGTCCTCTTTGGAAGTCGGAGCAGCGGCAGCTGTTCGCGGCTGACGCGCCTTGCATTCGCCGAGATGTGGCTGGTTCGAGAGGATATGGCCCAAGTGCCGTGCGCCTCGTCTGTGATGTCGGCAGAGCTTCGCTGTTGAGTGCTGCCCGCCAGTCGACCAACTCCCACCTTCCGGAGTCCAAGGTTCTCAACTTTGATACTGCAGACTGCTAGGTCAGTCGTACTGCTTCTTCGCTTAGCTCAGGGGTTAAGCTTGCCATCAAAGTCCACGATAGACGCACGGCGAATGACCCGCAATCCCCAGATGCCCCATCGGAGTCCCACGGGGTTTGTCTCTTGAGTCCATGCGTAGTATCGCACCCGGCTCCGTTGCTTCCCCGCCTTCGGCCAACGTCCGCGCACGTCTGGATGAATCTCCCTCGAGGTATTATCGGGGGGTTGCTAAAATTGGGCCGTGTGCATGCGCACGTTCAGGTTGGTACACGTCCCCGTGGTGACCATTAGGCATTCGACTTGCTACTTATCGTGGATCTTCTAGCGTGAGGCTTCCCGATATTCCCCTCGACCCTTACTCTTATACAGTGGGGCGAGGGCTACAATCCACAGCGGGCGTGCTAAAAGAAGCGGTCATCATGACCGTCGGACTGGGCCTTGCGCCCTGCCCACGATGTAAGTGACGCATTACATTCCAGGGCGTCTTGCACGAGGCAGATAGTCTCTGGAGGCGGTATGGTCCCCATATCATTGACAAAACACCCTAGCTGAATGTCCGAGACCAGAATTGGTCCTGTGGTGCGCCCATTTATGTGGACACGGCCGCATGATTCTATCATTGCGCCAAGTAGTATCTGGTAGAAGTAGTAGCGCGTGCCGCAAACGAACTCTGGCCTTCGATTGGCGCTGCGAAGCGCGGGCTAATGACCCGTTGTCATGAGACGCGTAGACCAGCCCCGGCGTGTTCGTGCTGGACCGGACATTGTGTTGCGCGCATACCAGAGGTGCCGTGTTCTTCTTGTTGCTCGATGTTGGACGAATATCAATGCTGTGGCGAAGCGGACACCATCGGCCTCAGTCGTCTGCCATCTCACTGCTCCTTGACAAGTCATCATCCTCGTCTTCATCCTCAGTGTCGGTGTCAGGAAGTACACGTCGTGTTTGTCTAGTAGACCTTCTCATCGGGCCCGGTCGTTGCGGGGAGGTGCTGGTCCGCGCATTCACGGCTGCAGTCTTTCCGCCTCCTCGAATTCTCCTAGATGGACGTTTGCGAGGCTCATCAGCTTCTTCCGATGGCGACGGCGCTTTCTCCGACTGCTGGTCCTCTGATGTAGGAGGCTCTGACAACGGTGCTCCCACAATGCCCGGCTCTCCCTCGCCCTGGTGATCCTCCATAACCAGGTCGTCATGCCCGTCATAGTCCTCATCATCACCATGCGCTGCTGTTGCAAAGAATCCTGAGGTATGATGGGTAGCAGCACGACCACCGTCCTCTTTCCCGTCCTCCTCCTCTTCCTCGTAGCCCTCAGGGAGGAACCCACCGGCCGTCTCCTCGTTGTCGTGGGCCTGGGGCACCGGCTCGTTGTGCATCGAGCTCAATCCCTTCTTGGGCCCAAAGACGGAGACGTTTGCCCCAACTTCACCATACTCCTGCTGAATACGCTCTACGATGCGCATGCCCATGATGAACTTTCGCCATTTGCCCAGGGCAACCTTTCGACGCTTCTCGTCCTCTTTACGAGCGCGTTCGGCCTCGTCCTTTTCCAGCTGCTCCATTACTTGATCGTGGTATTCTTCAGCAATGACAACTCCCCGGATCACTGGCACAGCCATTCGATGGCCAAACTCAAAATCAACTACGGCCTCGGCATAGTCAATACCCAGCTTCTTGCAGACCTTGACGGCCCCGCGGTAAGGTATGTGCACAGCTCCTTCCGGACACATGTGTTCCGCAAAGAGATCGATATTGCTATCACCAGATCAGCCAGCTTGTTCCGCGAATGAGCTACTTTGACATACCCGTAGTCATTTTTGGGAATGACACCGTCCTTGATTGGAGGCGGGATAATCCAGTCAGTCTGCTCCATACTGTACAAGCCCTGCAGGACCTTCTGGCCTGTCGCCGCCTCTGCTTCGGCGAGTTCTCTGCGTCGATTTGTCGTGGCGGCGCGATAAGGCACACGCTTCAGAGGCTGCTCGCCAGCAAGTGGTGCGCGCCCTTGCTTATGCCATGTCTCGGCACTCTTCACGTTCACTACGTCCTTGCGCGAGTAAACGTCCTCTTCCTCGATCTTGCCACCTTTCGCCTTGTTCTTGAAGATCTTGACTGGTTTCGCTCCTGGTCTAAGTGCCTCTTCCCTTTTCAGATGTCTTTCTAAAGCGAAGTCCTTGGATTGCTTGTAGTACTGAAGGGTCTCTTCACCTTCCTTGATCTCCTTCTTCTCTGGCTGTGCAGGCTTCAAGTCTGTTGCTTCCTCTAGTTCGTCTATTTCTGTGATTGGTACCGATTGGTGGCCTCTGGTATAGCCAGACAAGGCCGTTTTGAACCAATCGAAGTGCTCGTATCGCTTGATCTTGCCGTACCGATTGTGGACGGGGATCTTTTCAAGTCCCACCCGATTTCCTTTTGTTCGGCCGGGAAGCATCTGTCGCTTGAGGTATCTCACAGTGAGATCTTTGGCTGTACCGTCTGGAGAGTAGCCGACAATGTACGCCATTACCTGGCGGGCCTTGTCAGCCTTGGATCCTCGAGGCTCAAAGCTTTCGATAAGCTCCCTGTTGGTGGCGACAACGCTCTTGACGATAGCGTCCACAGGCAGATATTTCTGGGTGACGGGAGATAGGACCTCGGTCCAATAATGAGGATACTCAAGATCCTCATCAAATTTCTTTGCTGGCTTTGCGGGCCTTCGAGGTAGGACTTCAAGCTCCACCACGGACTCGTCGTCCGTATCCTTGAATTCGAGGTCCAGGTCGTCGGAATCGTCTATCACGATGGCGTCGGATTTTCCAGCTTTGCGCGCAGTGCGCTTTGTCGCTGCCTGATTGATCTTTGATGTCTTGCCCTCTTCGTTGCCGCGGGACTTACTCTTCCCTGTTCCAGTAGGTGTTACACTCACTTTCTTCGGAGTGGTCTCGGTGGTGCCATATGCCTTGACCTCTGCGGCATCCTCGAGCTTGGTCCAGCCAAACCCCAGTGTTTGCAAGTTTGCTACCATACGTGCCTCCATGCCGAGACCCCTCAACAGCGCAGTGAAAAGTTGTGCGCCAACATCCCTGCTTCCACGGCAGCTTCTGGCGCACCTGCGGAAATCATCCAGAGTGGGCAGCTTCTCGCCAACCACGCTTGGGTTGTACATTTCGTTCTTCCATGCTTTGGTCCAGCGATCCAGGCGATCTAATGACATGTAGCCGTATTTGCGGATACCGGGCGTCGTAATCTTGAAGCGCTGCTTCCACCATGCCGAAAGGGTCTGCATCAACCGGAACAAGGGATCGCCTTGACTCATGTTGACTGCACCGTGTTCAAGCCTTTCTGCTGCTGACCCCCAGTCGCGCCCTTCTACTTCCGGAGCGGCTTTGCCCTTGCCTCTGCCTTTGGTCTTTCCTTTGCCCTTGGCACTTGTGGCGGGCCTCTGGGGCTTTGGTGGCTCTTTCACCAAGCCACTGTTACGCATCCATCTCTCGACCTCTTCCCATAGTCTAGGGGGGAGGTGTGAGATCATTGTCGCCTGCACCTCCATGTCACAGACCCACGCATTGCGGATCGCATTGTGCCAAAGAAGGGTAAGGACGTGAACTCGATGCGCGGCATTGCGACCCTGTCGATCCCGTTTTGTCGGTCCCTTGTTGTCTCCATAGTACTCGTGGTACAGTGATTTCCGGTCCGTTGGCTGAAATGTCAGCTCCAGATCGCCAGAAACAACGGGTGCGTCCTGTTGTTCTACGTTTGGAGCCGCCACATCTTCGAACTCGACATCCTCATCATCCTCCGAGTCTTCAGCTTTGTCAGTGACTGGGGGTTTGACATCTTCAAACTCGGGGTCTGAAAGTGAAGTCAAGGAGCTAGAATCGTCATCTTCACCGTTGAAACCGTCCAAGAGCGAAGTTGACTGCGGCGCACTTGTCGCGTCTAGTGCGTCGTAAAGCGTCACTTTCCGCTGTTGACCAGCCTGTGTTGAAGTTGCACTACTGCCCTTGGATTTCTTCGATAAATTATCACCAGAGGGCGATGCGCGCAGACGCTTGCGCGGCACCACGGGAGGCATTGTGTGCAGGTTAGTATTTTGGCTGCATCCTTTCAATATCCCTCGAGTTCAGTTCAACAGGTCGTAGGCGTGACTGCGGCAGGAGCGGCTGCGTCATCGAAGCGCGCGCTGATCGCGAGTGCACGTGACCTTTACTATGCATTCGTGGTCTCAACTTCCTGAGATGCCACATTACGAGTGAAAGTCTCCTCAATTCAGGCAGAAGAACCGAATGGGTGCTTTAATGCGATAGTTTCACACACCAGACCCTGTCACACGTGAAGAGATTGTAAGGGACTGGATTCTGAGTGCGGGCTCCTGCGAGGATCGCAAAGGGATTCGAACATGAGCCCTGCGCTTCTTGGCTAGCCACCCCACCTAAATTTTTCTTCCATATGAATCACACGAGGGGCACTTCAGGGTCCCCGGCAGTCATCCTCACATGTGCAGTCCAACAATGTCACCATCAGCAGAAGCAACCGCAGCCGGGTCGGCGGAGACCACCATTGCCAGTCTTCGCCAGAGCCTCTGCTCCGAATCGACACCTCTACCCATACGATTTCGAGCGCTGTTCTCACTGAAGCATGTTGCGCAAACCTCAGACGACCCCGCCACCGCAGACGACCCCGCCACCGCAGACGCCGCGATTGAAGCCATAGCAGCTGGCTTTGCTACACCTTCTGCGCTCCTAAAGCATGAGCTTGCCTATTGCTTGGGCCAGACAAAGAAGGATGCAGCCCTCAAGCCCTTGCGAGATGTGCTCTCAGATCTAAATGAGGATCCAATGTGTAGACACGAGGCTGCTGAAGCGCTCGGTGCGCTGGGGCACTCCGAGAGTCTAGAATTACTCAAGCACTTCCGTGATCGGGAGGGAGAGGCAGACGTTATCACAGAGACCTGCGAGATTGCGATTGATCGCATCGAATGGCAGAACTCGAAGGAGAGAGAAGCAGAGAAGCTGCGCCAAAGGTTTGAAAGTCCGCTTTATCTCAACGTGTCCTTAGTTAATCTGTCTAATAGCGACTTTGCCTCTATCGACCCAGCGCCCCCCATGCCCGAGTCCGGAAATACGATCGAAGACCTCGAGAAGACGTTGATGGACACCAAGCAACCACTTTTCATGCGCTACCGGGCCATGTTCGCTCTGCGCGACCTCGCCTCGCCTCCCGACCTGCCCACCGCGGAACAAGCCGTCTTGGCTTTGGCCAAAGGTTTCGCAGACAGTTCTGCCCTCTTCCGACATGAGATCGCATTCGTCTTCGGCCAGCTGTCCCATCCAGCATCGATCCCTGCCCTGACCGCGGCCCTCAGCGACGTGAACGAAGCGAGTATGGTGAGGCATGAGGCTGCTGAAGCTCTGGGTAGTCTTGGAGAGGAGGAAGGTGTCGAACAGACTCTGAAGAAGTTCCTCCACGATAAGGAGCGCGTGGTAGTCGAGAGTGTCATTGTCGCGTTGGACATGGCCGAGTACGAGAAAGGGACAGACGCAGAATATGCCTTGATACCGGAGACTGGCGCGGCTGCTGCATAATTTGATATCGTTGAAATAGACTGGATCAAAGTACGTTGATGGTGATCTAATTGGAGCACCCTAGTTGTTCTCCTGCCATCTGTCGCAAACGTTAGCACTCATGGTAACTTGCTCAGAGTGTCACTTACGATTCTCCACATTCACAAGTGTAGATGACAGTAGAACCCTCATCTGCACCGCGAAGCTGAACGTTTGCGTATGTCACTTGAGTACCGCCGCACTTTGGGCATGTTTCGTCCGCTTTGCTGCCCCTTTGGATGGTATGGCGCTCGACATTCTGCACATTGGACTGGAGCTTCTGTCTCAGGAAGGACGGGAAATCGGAAGGCTTGCTGTTCGTCAAAATCGTCTTGGAGCCAGTGTCTTTGTAATGTTAGACTGAAGATCATTCACTGGGCTCGAACCCAGGGTGTTTAATCCAAGCGTACCTCGATTCTCTGCGCCACAGCAGTCGCAAGTCAGAACATTCCTGTCGCTCCCTTTGGACGCAGGTAATAAATTACCGCAGTCTGTGCAAAAGACGAGCGAGCCGATAGCAGCCATTGGGAGTAGATTTGCGACGAATTGTGATGCTCATCAAGAGCCTCAAGTGGCTGCGACAAAAAATTTGGTCCGCAAGAAGTTTCGCGATGCAAGCGGGCGATAAGATAAGGCGGGCCGGAGAAGGTGGGCGGGCAGGTGTGATCGACTTAATAGGTGGATCCTGCCGTTCCTGACTTCATGCACGGCCCAATCGCGTCACCCTCATGCAAGGCTAACAGTGGCAGCTGCGATACGACTTGGATCGACCTAACTTGGGTGCCGAAGTTCACGGCGTCCGCAGACTTCTTCCATTTCACACCTGCAAACGCCATCTTCAGCGACCCAAATCTGCCGCTTGCTCGAGCCTCAACATCAGACGGCCGACCTAGGGAGCTTGGTTTCCGCAGCTGCGACCAACGTTTTGCGGCGGCCTCCGCTGAAGTACCTCTTCCAATCCCGCGACCGACCACGAGCGACCTCAGCCATGCTTCACGTGAAGCTCAGGTGACAAGGAAGTCAAGACAACACGATGGACAAGTCAAGGAGATTCAATGTGAATGGTATTGAGGAGATCAGGCCACGATCAACCTTCGGATCTCTCCCAGACACCTCACGTCCAATCGAGTTCCGAGATGCATTACCATTTTCTCCCAACACTACCACATTTCCCATTGCTCCTGGTGCGGTACAATCTCTATCTCGATGGGATAATCACTGACGACTACAGACCTAATACCGATGCCCACGGTCAGGCCCATCCCGTCCTCCCTCACCCTGAGAAACAATGTTCCATCGAACGCACTCGATAAACTGAATTCCGAGGCTACGCAAGAAGAAGGCCTGACACCTGACGGCAAGCATGCTATCGACAATATCGTGAACGATTTGAAGCTCTCCCAGCGCATGCAATAGTCAGTTCCAAGACCGACTCACTGCCAGTGGGCCATCAGCTAACTCGCCGTCAGTCAATTCAAGAACGTACAGATGAAGCCTCCGACGAGATCGAAAGAAACAAGATCTGTGTCGGAAAAGTCCTCCCCAATGGCCAAAGCTTTGTTTGGTCGCGTCGGCGACTACTTCAAAGCCTCCAAACGAGACGCGACAGCCACCAAAGCACCACCAGCCACGAATGGTTCAGCAAAGAAGCAGCATGCAAATAAGTCATCTCACGTCCCACCAGTTCCGTCGAATACAGCTCCCAATGCTCCCCAACCCAATGGGCTCTTTGAGCATAACAGCATAGCGTGGCACAATAATGCGAACTCTCAAGTAGTTGGCGGGTCGATAGAGCCATTCAAGGCTTTGGAACCGAAGGCCTTCATCGAAAATGGGTACCAAGAGTCCAGTCATGGTCAAACGCAGCATTCGCAACAGGTCATGAATCAGGCGCAGTTCACAGCACCGTATAAGGAGCCGCAGAAAGTGCACCAGCCCTCGATTCCTTCCGTAAACCAGCCTGCATTTACCATCGAAATCCCTAGGGCGCACATCAATCGCGACGAGTACATTGCTATTGGCGATGTGTCTGAAGAGCCGGCGAAGCTGTCCCATAAAAAGGATCGCCAGAGCCTCGCGGGCACCCTTGGGCCCATGGAGGAAACACTCGATCAGCGTCAAAGAGCAGAAGGTGCCTTGAAGGACCTGCTGCGACGAGCCTCTAATATCAATCGAGCTCTACATGCGGTGTCCACAATGGAGCCGGGATTCGACCATATTGTCGCAATGACAACGGAACAGGAGCCCGCTATTACAGCAGAGGAGCATAAGAAGATATACTCGGCCATCAACAAAGTCATATTGCATCGCCGCTTCGACAAGGTCCCTGTTGACGATTTGGTGCAAATTCTGCGCCTCAGCGAGGCCAGTATCAGGGCAGCTTCTTCCCTGGAAATGCAGGTTAACCACGAGTGGGATGAAGGATCCGTGGCTGCTTGGGTCGAGCAGCTGCCTGGTCTGGATGCAGGACTGCGAGCCGCACGGACAGCTATGCAAATTCTTACCGGCGGCCGCGAGGACCGCCAGCTGTACTCGGAGAGCTTGATCGAGAATAGCATCAAGGTTTTCCAGAAAGCTACTGAAGACGTGGTAGCGCCTCTTGTTGAACTTCGCAACTCAGGGCCGACGAGCTCAATCTTCAAGTTGCTCGTCAAGAACAAGAAGGACATCGCCATGATATTCAATAGCTGCCAGAAATTACTTGCTGTTTTCGCAGATCTCGTGGGCAAAGTACAGCTCGCTGATATGTCTCTCAACACCTTGGAGTTTGTTTCCTCGAACTTGGTGTTTGTCGATAATGCGTATTACGAGAAGGATTCTATCGTTGGCGTGCAGAAATTCGACGGGATTCGCACGGCCGCGATGGATTCGCTATGCCAGATATTCCTTACCAAGCCCGAGCAGAGACATGGAATCCTCAACGAGATCCTGACATCGCTCTCGAAATTGCCTGTCACAAAGCAAGGGTCACGTCAGTTTAAGCTTGCCGAAGGTGGCAATATTCAACCTGTCTCGGCACTTATCATGCGTCTTGTCCAAGCAAGCTCCGTGTCCCAAGGAAGAGACAGGAACCCGCTTCGCCAAGATATGGCACAACGGAGCGATATGGAAGCAGATGACGAAGATGAACTTCAAGCGCCCCAAAAGCCTGCCGCCAACTTTACTGTCAACTCAGAAGAAAATGGTGCTCAACAACCTGAGCTCGCTTTTGATGATCTCGATGCGGTGCTCAAACCTCTTGAAGCAGGCGCCTTCCACAGTGCAACCATGGTCATCAATTTCCTAGTCCAGCGCGCCGCTGTGTCTACCAAAACCGGTGATTCACCCTACAGGAATCTGTTGGACCTCTGTGTCGAAGATTTCGCTCTGTGCCTCAGTTCACAGGACTGGCCCGCTGCCGAGTTGCTGCTCCGATGCCTCATGTCCCAGATGAACACCCTTTTTGAAGGGGAGAAGACTGCGGCACCTGCCAAGAGCATGGCTCTCGAAGTCCTTGGCGTCCTTGCAGCGACTGTCTCGCGGCTGCGCTCGCAGGTGAAGAAGCTGTCCGGCAACACAGACACGAGCGGTACCAGTGATCTATCCTTTTTCTTGTCGGATCTCGCCGCCCATTGCTTGGACAAGACGGGTCGCCATGGCCAGGTACTCGCGTGGACAGGACCTTATCGAGTCGTCCTAGAGGCTATTGCCAAGCAGTCACTACAAGACGCCCACAAGACAGGCACGACCTCATTTGTGACGATCAGTTGGGCCGGTCGTTTGAGGAACGGATATAGCAATGCGACTGACGAGCACGAGGATAAGGAACAAGAGCTTGGTCGTCTGGCATACCGACTCAGAATGATGATTCAAGACCAGGGTTGGCTTGCCAGCCATTTCGACTTCACCCTCGGCACGGAAACAGACACCAAACTGTCATATGCCGTTACGTTGCTTGGCCTACCTCTCTGCGAAGCACTTGACCATATGCTCAACATCCTGCTCAGGTCAATGACCAACGATCAAGTCTCCATTCGCAACAGAAGCTTGAAAAGCATCAGCCAGGTCGTTGAGACTGATCCCTCGATCCTAGATGGCCCCCTACTTGTTGACCGAATCATCGAATGCGCGAACGATGCCTCGATACAAGTTCGCGAATCTGCTCTCACTCTGATGGGTAGTTGCATCCAAATGAGGCCCAGGTCAGAGCCCGATTTTGCTCCGGAGATCACAAAGCGCATCAGCGACACCGCCCCTTCTGTGCGCCGTCGCGCGCTGAAGCTTGCTCGCGATATTTACCTGCGTAATAAAGAAGCCGGACTTCGGAGCAGTATAGCGTCGGAATTCCTCCGCCGTGTGTCTAGTGAACCAGAGGAGTCAGTCCGCGACACTGCTCGACAAATGCTAGAGGAAGTGTGGTTCGCACCATACTACTCCATGGAAGACACCCCCAAGTTTCAAGCAGCACTTGCCGATCATACAGCAGTCATGATACGCACCGCTAATGGCGCTGACAAGCTTGAGACAATCTTTCAAACGGTTTTGAAGGCGGCGAACCCCGGGCCCTCTGGCCCATTTGCCTTGTGTACGAAATTGGTGGCCAACCTATTCGACTTTATCAACAATCCCGTGTCTGATGACCCGAACGTTCCTTCAGGTCAAGATGCGACAAGTCTATTGACAACTTTTGCAAAGTCGGACCCACGTCTGTTCACCTTTGAGCAAGTTCGACTTCTGAAGCCACTGCTCGCGAGTAAGGATACCAATGATGCGGATGACCTGATTGCGTTCAGAGGAATTCTCGCAATCCTACGCAATGTATTGCCCCAACTGTCATCTGTTCACGTTGGTTTTATCACTGAGCTCAAGACCTTGCTTGTGCCGAAAGTCGGTAAAATCTCGACTCCTGCAGCGCTGGACGACCTGTTATCCTGCTTACGTGTCATCCTTGACCTACTGAAGGATATGCAGCCCGCAATTGCCTTGACCAGGTCCGTCCTGATGGGCCTTGGAAAGATGGCTCAGGTACCAAATCAACAGCCATCCAAGAAGCCAGCAGCAGCTCGGATCTTGGAGCCATCCGAGTCGAAAAAGTTCATTGTGTACACTTCTCTTCTCGGGAGACTCGCCCTCCACTTCGACGTCGAGAGCTTTCAGGCGCTCAAGACTGATGGGGAAAACAGTTCGGTCTCACGGACCATGGTGGATAGGCTTGCGCCCTTTGCATCTCAAGATCAGCTCGTCGAGGTGCGCAAGGCGGCTATTGGGTGTTTGGCAACTGTTTGTCAAGCCTGGCCGCGCAACTACACTCTACCCAAAGTCTGGTCCCTATTCCAAAAGGCATTTATGGAGAGGAACCCTGAGCTGGAACTTGTCATCCTGAGCTCTTTTAAGGAATTTCTGCTCACTGAGGAGAAACGTTCGGAAGCAGCGAGCAAAATCTCGGAAGGCGAAAAGAAGAAACTCACTGTCATGGGCGGTACCTCATACGACGACGTGGCGAGTGCTACGACGCAGCGCTTCCTCCCCGACATTACACGCATCTCCTTGTCTGGTCACCAAAACGCGTTCACCGCTCTCCAGGTCCTGGGGAGCATCAACAGACAGGGCTTAACTCACCCAAAGGAAGTTGGCGTCACCTTGATTACGCTGGAAACCTCCCCTCACCAAGTCATCGCGAGGATGGCCCACAAGGAGCACAAGGCCCTGCACGAGAAGCATGAGTCCACACTCGAGCGGGAGTACGTCAAAGCTATCCAGGCGGCTTACGAGTACCAACGTGATGTCTGCCAGGACACAAGAGGTGCTCGTCTTGAACCAGGCGAGGCGAAACTGCATCACTTGATGGACATTCTCAAGATCAGCAAGATGAAGAATCGACAACGTCTCTTTGAAAAGCTGAGCACTTTGGTCCAATTTGACCCGTTTCAATTTGATGCGACCCCGGATATGCCATCTCAGGTCGATTTCACGAGGTTCATCATGGACAATCTTGCTTTTATTGAATACCAGACCGTTGGCGAACTTCAGACAATTGTCCGCAAGCTGGAGCAACTTGTCACGTCCACAGGTGCGACAGTCGCACAGGTCATCGACTCGGAGGTTTTCAACAACAGGATTGAAGAAACCTACGATGATCAAGGCCAAGACCAGCTCAACCAGCAGCTGAGTGGCGAAGGCACCGAGACAGAGGTCCCTCAGCTACCTCACAGCGTTGAACCCGCCCGTTTGCGGCAACTAGCTGCTGCGTCTGTGATCTTGCTCATGATTTGGGGGACACGAACGTATCTCCGAAAACTGTACGGAATGGGCACATCCCGAAGTGACAGCAAGGCCAAGGCATTGGCCAAGGACCAGAACCGATCACCCACGAAAACCCAAGGTGTTCACTCTGACCGTTACTGGGATGAGATTACACCACTGCCAAACAGCCTTCAGTCGAGGGACGACATGATCAGAAAGTGCAAGGACTTGGTGGAATTGATGAGCGTTGATAGCGAATTCAAGGTCGCTGATGAGGATGACATGGACATGGAAGACCCCGGCACTCCTTCGCCCAATGAAGATGGCGAAGACAACGAAGAGGGCGCACTGGGCAGGAAAAGAAAGAGCAATTCGGCTACACCCAGCGGCCGAAAGAAGAGGGCCAGGGAGAGCTCTCAGCCTCGCAAGCGAGGGCGGCCGCGCAAGAACCCTGTTGCTGAATCCTCGCGGGCGACGGCGGGCGATTCGGACGAAGAGTGGATTTGACTTGCACACGGAAGCGACGGCGTTGAAAGATGGAGGAGCAACTCGAGGGCTTTCACGGTGGTGTTTTAATTCGGGCGTTGTGCGGATCTGGGATTGTAATTGTGATTCGGAGATACCTTACTCTAACTTTGCTGCAGACAGAATGGGCGCGAGGGAACGCCCACGCGGCATTCATAGACCAGACTTGCTAGATGGCTAGATCATACAACATGCAACCTCGGCGGCATGGACAATGTTCCATACCGAATGCCTACTCACCCTTCTTCGCCTTGGAACTGGTGCTCAAGCCCAGTCCTTCGAGCTGAACGCTGCCCCTTCTAAGGAGTGACATTGGACTGCCCATTCTCATACTCGCACCACCTCCACCAGGATAGCTGGCTCCATCACCGCCCAGCACGCCAGGCGGCAATCCTAGCGTCGGGATGCTCGCCTCCGGCACAGCCTCTAGGTTGGACAGCGGCCCAATTGTGGATGGTGTGCTCGGCACGGCGTGTCCTCTTTCGGTGACCTCTCTCCACAACTCCTCCAGCGCCGGGGCGTTGTAGCAGAAGGACTCGAATTCCTCCTTGATCGTCTCTGGCTCCGAGATGATGGGGGCGGGCATACTGTTATTCGGTACAGGCTTGAGCGCGGGCGACTGGTGGTAGAATGCCGGCTTGACCATGGGTGAGGGTATCGGTGTCGGCTCGGGGATGTTGTAGGCACTGCTGGGTCCGCCCGTGGATATAACGCGCCCGCTGGTGCCAATGTGTGCCTGTTGATGCTCCGATCGATCCGGGTTGGTGCGCATCTGCTCGCGGAGATTGAAGGCGCGGTTGTTGTACAGACGGTTGGCTAGCAGGAGGATATCGCCATCATCATTAATCTGAGCAATAAGTCCGCCGGAGCGATGGATGTACTGGGGATACTTGTAGTCCGGCTTGCCCCAGGAGTAGCGCACGTCGACATTGGAGGGGAATGCCGACGCCGCTTCAAAGTCCAATACGAAATCGAATTTCTTGAGCAGCGCCGTTTGATAGTGATTCTTGCCAAACGACGGTGGCTGAACGGGCGAGTCTGAAGACGCACTGGATCGTTCCGTGTGGACATCAGGGGGTGGCGCTGCAAGCTTGATCAGGTACGGCTTTCGAAAGGGATTGGTGTCTGTGATTGTAGACGCTTCTCTGATGGGCACTTCCACTAGTCGAAGTCCATACTGGCTTGCTTCTCTGGCCCAGGATTCGACTGCATCCTCGACCAGCTTCGATGTAGCGTTCATCCAGTCGATCCGGATGTGGTAGCAGTTGTCGGGGTTATGGAGACGGTCATAGTGTAGGTTGATCTGCTCAGGCCGGTACGACCTCTTTCGATGATCAACATCATACCTGATCATCTTGCTTAGGTCAACACGCGCTCGTTTGGTGCGGTATTGCCCGCCAGGCATAGTTGGCGTCGTAGACGAGGACGTCGGAGAGCCCTCGCTTAGCGTTGGCCTGGTGCCTAGGCGAGGAGAGTCGCGGGCTGGACCGTCCACCATCGGCGTTGGGGGAACAGAATTGTCGCGGCGTTTGTTGAACCAACCAGGCTGTGGTTTGGATACCTCGCTGGCGAATTGGTAGAAGTAATTGCCGTCGCGGAACTGATGTCGCTTCTCAACGTGCACGAAGAGGCCCTTGATCTTGTTATCAGCCTTGTGATCGCCGCCGTCCTTGTCCTTCGTCTTGCTTTCGTCAGGCACCATGAGCGCATTTCCCAATGCCTCTGCATCTTCGCGGCTGTTGAGGTCCTCGAAATTGTCCAAGAGCCATGTGGTCATGTCAGATCCAATGAAAGAACTATGGTGCAAGCGCAGATGCCATCTTCGATTCTTGAGAGGCACACCCCCATTCTCGACGGGTTGCTGCATCGCCTCGGCCAGGGCAGCGAGGTTGAGCTTGGATTTCTGGAACTTTTCCTTGCTCGAGACAAGCTGTTTTCTCCGGGCTCCCGCCTCCAAGCCTTCTGTAAACCGGAGGGTCTCAAGTTCAGCGTTAACGACTACGGACGGGTCATCAGTCTTGTACACGATGTTGAGCGGACTTGACTCCGTGCGCCGCTTGTTGCCGCTACCAACAGACAGAAAGCGACGTTCTGACGGTGGGATGTAGCGATGCTTCTGCCACAGCTGTGCGAGGCGATTGATCCCTTCGATGCGTACTTCCTCGGGATTGTCGCCAAACTTGGGGTTTGTATTGGAGATCTGCTTGTTCAGGAGTGGAATGAGGACGAAGCGTGCCCTCCAAAACCGCAAGCTCTCCATCATTTCATCATGATGACCCGCAAGATACGAATCGATGGTGTTCCAGTTGCGTTCTGGGTTTGGCGTGAGAATATCAATCTGCTGCGTCCGGTACGAGTCGTCGAGCAGGGTGCGGATCGCAGGCTTGTAAATCTGGGAGAACCCTTGCGAAGCGGCGGAAGCCTTTGGCGGTTTTCGCACGTAGATGTTGATCTCAACTTCCGTCTCGTTCACGCAGGAGAGTTCATGAATCGTGTTGCCAACAGACATGTAGACGCTCGTCCCATCCTCCAGCGGTTGGTCCCGAGAGAAGATGTCGGCAAGTTTGATGACCTTTTGCCCCAAGGCACGCGCCACAGCTGGGCCGATGACTACCTGAAAGCCTTGCGAGAAACGCAATGCGATCAGCTCTTTCATAAAATCTTGTCGCGTTTTCGGTTCCTCCGCCATCTCATCGTCTGGGTTCTGATCGACGTTATATGGGTGACGCTGGTATTCTGAGTCAAATTGCGCCTTGGAAGGGAAATACTCTGTCGTCAAGGGTACAGCCGCAGGACAGCACAATGCTTTCCATTTCTGAACCTTCATCTCAGAAGTTTCTGGGAATACATGCTGCCACCGACTGTAGAGCACTGCGTCGTCGATGCGGTGTCTGTCCGGGTTTGAAGGATTCAGCAGCGTCAGCCACGGCGTGACAGCTGTCGTTGGAGACAACTCAAACGTTTGTTCGGGGACAGCCCCAGCTCGTAGCTTGTGGGTATACACCTTGTGTGCATCCTCCGCCCTCAGAGCATTCGAGTGTTGTACGTCACGGTCCTCGCCATACCCATCTCGACGTGAGCTCAATATCGAGGCTGGTCGTGCCGCGATTTTGGACTGGGTTTCGCTCATTTCAGGTCTGGTATTCGCTGACCCCTTGACAATAGGTATACTGGGGGTCGTTGCGATATCCTTGGAGCTTTCTTCGGCCACTCCTGTCATCGGCCGCCGGGTTGACACAGAAGACGACCGACTCGCGATTGTTTTCGGTGACGACGGCCGGAAGTTTGCCAGAGCAAGACTGTTAGACTTGGTCTCTGTTGTCAACTGTGCCGGTGCCACCGTCTCGGTCGACACCTTTGTCTCAATAGCCTTTGGCGCAGCCAACCCAAAACCACGCTGACTGAGGCTGAATTGTCTCATGAATTTGGGCGGCTTCGCAGAGCTTGTGCCCGCAGCGGAGCTAGTCGCCGTTTCTGCGATCTTGCTAGTTTTCGGGGGCGGTGGCATCGGGCGCACTGGCTTTTCCAACTCTGTCAAATTCATGGAAAGCTTCCTTGTCGAGTTCTTGAGCCCTTTCATCTTCGCGTCAGGTAGAGATGTGCCAAACAGCTTGGCGTCATTGTTCAACTGTCGCCTCGTATCATCGTCTAATTCATGCGCGTGTCTCGATGAATGCATGGTTCTCTTACGCCGCGGAAGCTTGGCCCGAGTGTCGTCGTACTCCTTCAGCTGCTTCCACAAAGACTTTTCACCTGGCCGGTCGTGCTTCTCTGGGTGAAACTTTTGGAATCCGTAGACATGATCAAACAGCCCGTCCGGTATACGCTTATTCGGCACGTATATAACGTCGTCAATGCTGCTGTTTCGCCGCATCTTCGGCGAGGTTGGCTCCAGCGCTGCCGACGGAAACGCAGGGTCTGACTGGAGAGATTGTGTCTCAATCTCATTAGTCTCGAGAACACTTCTCATTTGCAAGTCGTACATGCGACACCTCATTGTGTACTCGTCTTCCTTGTCCTTTTCGACTTTATTGGAAACCGACAGCGCGATCCCTTCGTACGAGAGCGCCTCGTCGGACGCCCCTGTCCAGAAAGACACATGCAGCCACTGGGGTAACGCATAGCACCACTCATCTTGTTTCATTGCCGAAGGCGCATAGTGATGGCGCGCTGGGCTCGATGACTTTGATGGGGAAAACGACCCTGACTGGTAACTCCCAGCAATAGGAGTCTGGAACGCCGGCGTGCTATCACGACTGTGGTATGATCGAGATAGAGCGTTCTGGCGATCGGCATTCTTGTCGTCCAGGTTTGGATTGCGATATTTGAACAGCGGCACTGAGTGAAGTGGCATCCGTGGCAAACATATCAGGTCAATGCCAATACCATTGCCTACCAGTGCCTCGGTTGTCCTTCTGAGGGTTTCATAGTCGACTTCGTAGACACCTGGTCCTGGGCTGATCACAATGATGGAGATACCCGTCCTCGTCAAGTCCCTGTCAATGTAATCATGGGCAAATTGAGAGGAGGCAAGGTGGATGGCCTCCAGAACATTGCCGTACATGGAGAGGGTCGGTTCTGCTTTGATAAAATTCGAGGGGAGGTCCTCCAGTGTCTCCCCATCGCCATCATTGTGGTTCGTGTTGGATTGCGCTCTTTGATGGTGCAAACTGAAGTCTCTCCGAAATGAGTTGAATTCCTTCTTGAGTTGATGCAGAATCGTCGTCCACTCGCCACTGGCCATGTCACTCACAACTACGCGATAAAAGTCCTTGTAAGGCCGTTTACTCCCTGAAGGTTGAATGCCAGTGTAGTAGTCGTCATTCAGTCCCTCTGCCGCGAAGTCCGTTGTAAGGCCGGTGTCGTACTCCACACGCGCAAACATGACGATGCTGACGAGGTGCTTCACCTTGAGCGAGGCCCATCTTTTGAACAGTGCCGGCAGGAAACCGTTCACAACCTTGTTGAACATGATCTCGCCAGAGTTCTCCGAGTCAAAGTCCCACATCTCCCTGGACATTTGGATGAAGAGGACATATCTCGCTGATTCACTCCGGAATATCGGCCGGGTGTCTCTCGTAAAGAACCCGGAGTGAACGCGTCGACCTCTGACAAATACCGCCGTGACCTGAGCCTTGATAGTGCCCATGAACAGAACGGACTGCCCCTTGTAGATTGTACGCTGTGTGAGCTCGCCGACAGTCAGCCTCCACAAGTCTGCCCGTGAGAGATACTGGTCTTTGAAGAGAAGTTCGACGTGGGTTGCCTCGATTGCCGGGTTATAATCGTCGATCTGACCTTGGTTAGCTCAGAGAACCATGACAGCAAGGGAGCACGCACTGGCGAGAGGATGACCTGGGCACCCTTTTTCATCCCGAATGCATCGGCAATGTGCCTTGCCACACATATATCCACCTCTGGCTGCTTGCTCTTCATATCCTTGGACATATCCTTCGCGATAAAGACATAGCGACTGCTGATGTAGTCCTGGTCTAGCAAAGAGAACTTGCTGTTGCCGCGACTGCTTGGCGCTTTGCTCAGACTCCCATACAAAGTCTTTGATTTTGATGACTCGTCTCTGATTGCCGTGATTGCCATAAGCGATTCGGGTCGGACAAAGGTGCCCAGCCGGTCGAAGTTGAGGACGACCTCATCCTTGGAATAGCCATCATTGACGCTTATCGTACAATATCGCTCCCTTGGCAGCGGACGCGCCTCTTTGATAGTGGAGTGCGTCGACACGCTGCGTATCGAGGAGGGCGAATCTACCGAGGATCGATCAGGACTCGAGGCACTGGACTCGCCATGGCGCAGGCGCGACCATTGTAGTCCTCTTCGTGGGCCGGCGGAGGCATTGCGAGACATGGGGTCGGCGCGGGGCTTGTCGCTTAGAAGCTCAAGTCGGGAAGGGTCGCATGGCTTTGGAGCTCATGTGTAATTCTACTTCGCACAATTGAGAGTACGGATCACCCCGAGTCGCGACGATGGCGGCGGCAACGTGATGATGGCATGCATGGCTGGCGACGTCCCGCTGCACGGCAGAATGACAGCTGCAGGTACCGTTCTGGGGTACACCGCCTTCCTCTCTGAGCTAACCTCAAGTCCTCAACCTTGTGAGCTTCGGAACGTGCACCCCAATAGATTATACAATTCTACTAAATGAAGTCTAATTAGTTTAGCTTCTTGGAGCCTTCGCGATACATACCCCGGCAAGGGATAGGTCAGCGGCTAATACTTGGCGAGATCAATCGCTTCGGGTCACACAAAGCAGCCATTTCGGCCAGAGATGAGCAACCTTGGTAGTAAGAGGCACCAGACATTCTAAAAGCATTCAGAACAGGCTGAGATGGCATTGGTCAGGATCTCTAGGAGATCCAATGAGGACTGCTCAAATAGCCACTGATGAGCGCAGCTGAAGCCTGTCCTGTTCTGCTCTACAAAATGATAACAAAAAGCGTCTCTGTTGAAGCCAGCTCGGACAGCCAAGGCGATGTTGAAGAATGCCTTTCCGTCGACAGTGAAAATAAAAGGACATGAGCTCCATTTCGGGCGCATATATAGCTCGTGGGGTGTTGAAGCAAGCTTGAATTTGCCGTCATGTCGTGTTGAACATCGACGCCGAATCGCCTTCCCTAATAGTCGCTCCCACGACTCAGAATTTCCTTGGCCGACTCGCGAAGCAAAATTGTCTGATCTCGTTAGTTCCAATGTGTTGTATATCTGTGCAGGCGACTCACATGTTCGAACTGCGCGGAGTAGGAACCCTTGATATCTGCCAGCGGCTCATACGGTTCAAGCACACCGCTGGAAACAAGGCTGTTCAACTTGAATAATGGTCAGCACCATGCAGAACTCCATGAAAAGGGGGGTACGAACTCCTGCCAGGTATTTCTCCTGTCCCAGTCGTTCAAGGTAGCGCCGGCACCAGACGATGGTACCAAAGTTCTCCCGTATCACTTTGTAGAGTCGATTTGCGGAGGCAAATGGCAGTGACACATGCTTTGGTCTGTCCGTGTCCAATCCGTAGCCATAGATCCCGACATCACTCTTGGTTCTCCCGCGACCCGTGCTACCGAACGTCTCAATGGCAAATACCTCGCCCTCTTCCATCTTGGTCTGATCCTTGTGCTTGACGAAGGGGATCGACTTGCCGCCGTGGATGTGGTACTGCTTGATGTCGTGGGCGCTGAGAGTGCGGACGGGCTTGACTGGATACGACTTGCCGCCAATCTCAACTTCGTAGCTTTCCATGGTCTCTTGGATAGCAGCGCTCACGTCGCAGATGCGAACGTCAATGCCAGCGGTCTGTCGGGTGTTAGCGAAAAAGTAGCCTTCTGTTCAGCGGCACTGACCTTGATACCAGTGTTCGTGGCATCTTTCACAGCATCCAGGAGACTGTCGTAGACCGGGTCAAAGGACATGGTAAAGGCACTATCGACGATCCACCCGTTGATGTGCACGCCAAAGTCTACCTTCATAACGTCCGAGTGCTGCAGGACGACAGGCTTCTGGCCGGGGTTAGGAGTATAGTGGGCGACTTGGTGGTTGAGACACAGGCCAGTAGGGAAGCCCATACCAGATCGAAGCGCGGATCCGGTCTCTAGACCCTGATTGCCGAGCAATGCTCGCACTCCATCCTCGATGCCATTCGCGATATCACTGAGCGCCCAGCCTGGCTTGACAGTGTCCTGTACCCAGTGGCGGACCTGGCGATGAACTTCGGCGGCCTTCCGGTAGTCGCTTAGAAACTCTGGATCCTCAAGATGCTTCCGGCCTCGAAAGCGGAGCTCCTCGGGCGTTGTACGAGCAGTGGTGTAGTCCTGGAGTTCGCCCTTGGGATACTCTGCCGAGGCAAATACATCGCTCAGCGGCACCCTTGGAGGGTTTGACTGGGTTGTCGGAGACTTCTTGTTCTTCTTCTTGCGGGGCTTTCTCTTCTTTTTCTTCTTGTCGGTCTCGATCAGCGACACGGATCCAGCTTCTTGGTCGTCGTCGTCGTCATCATCGTCGCCGCCTCCATCTCCCAAGCTAGCATCTCCATCACGGGCGAGGTGAGCACCTTTGACCTCCCCGCCAGCGGAGCGAGGTGTACCAGATGATGGGTCACCGCCTGAAATGAGTGAGCACGTGCGCGCTTTATGATGCATGAGGGTAAGATACCGTTGCCCTGATTCTTTTCGTCTTCATTGACTTTAGCGCCCATGGTGACATGAGCTCGAGGTATCGGCCTGATTTAGATATAATTGAGTCGGGTTGGAATCAGTTGAGTGAGAATGAGGGTTGTTGACGGCGAACGGGGGATTTGGCTGTCAGCTGTCAGACGCATTCCCCACTTTGGCCGAATTGAGCTTACCATGAGGATTAACAATGATTGCGCTGCAGGGTAGGTGGAATGATTGAAACTAGAACACGTGCTTTGATTTCTTTTATACCTTAGTCAAACTAATTCCCAGATGAAACGACTCAGTTCATTCAAATACCTGTTTTTATTTGAATATCGCCATCTCACGAAGGAACATTTACATCTTTACCCGTACATGTGGTAGTTGGTGGTCCGATTGCGGAGTGGTGTGGGCGCCAAACATCTCGACTCTAGTTTTCATGAGCATTATTAAGCTCTCAATCTCATTCGCCACATCTTCCAACTCAACACCAACGCCCTACTTGAGTTGCTAGATTTTCTGGTCGATAACAACATCGTCAAACTACAGTCAACAACCATGGCCCCATCACTAGAAGAGCCAGAGCCGGTCGAGGACGTCCTCGCCAACCCGTTGAAGCAGAAGCCCAATCTGGTGGCCCCGGAGCCCGAGCATTGCCCTGGGCCTGAATCGCAGCAAGCTGGGCAAGCAGATTCCTGCGCAGGCTGTCCCAACCAGGCCATCTGTGCCTCGGCGCCCAAAGGTCCCGACCCCGATATTCCGCTCATCTCAGCGCGCCTGCAGGATGTGAAGCACAAGATCTTGGTGCTGAGTGGCAAGGGCGGCGTTGGCAAGAGCACTTTCACAACGTTACTTGCGCATGCTTTCGCGACGAACCCGGACAGCACAGTGGGCATTATGGACACGGACATCTGCGGCCCGAGCATTCCCAAAATGATGGGCGTCGAGGCGGAGACGATTCATGTCAGTGGCACGGGGTGGTCACCAGTCTGGGTGATGGACAACCTTGGTGTCATGAGCGTGCAATTCATGCTGCCGAATAGGGACGATGCCGTTATTTGGAGGGGCCCCAAGAAGAATGGGCTTATCAAGCAATTTCTGAAGGACGTGGAATGGGGCGAGATGGACTTTCTGCTTGTCGACACACCGCCAGGAACAAGCGATGAGCATCTCAGCGTCAACTCCTTCCTCAAGGAGAGCGGCATCGATGGAGCGGTCGTCGTCACCACCCCTCAAGAAGTCTCTCTACTTGACGTACGCAAAGAGATTGACTTTTGCCGCAAGGCTGGCATCAGAGTGCTAGGTCTAGCAGAGAACATGAGCGGGTTCGTCTGCCCCAAGTGCTCGGGAGAGAGTCAGATTTTCCGCGCAAGCACCGGTGGCGGCAAAGCGCTCGCAGAAGAGATGGGCATCCCGTTCCTGGGCGCCGTACCGCTGGACCCCAGGATAGGCATGGCCTGTGACTACGGGGAAAGCTACTTCGATTCATTCCCTGATAGCCCTGCGTGTCTAGCCTTCCGCAAGGTGGTGAGGAGCTTGGCGGAGCAGATGGGCGTGGACTCAAAGGATGTCTTGCCGGAATAGAGATTCTTTCATCGGGAGCTACATTACCCCTCCAGCTTCTTGGGGATATCCTCCAGGTCTTCCGTCGACTCTACGTCAATGACCCGTCCGACCTCGCTTGTATTTCGCATGAGCTCCTTCGCACCGGCGTACAGCATTCGCGTCTCGGCGTTACATGTGATTGGAAGATAGTAGAGGAGCACGTATGGCACTGACATACGCCCGTCTGGCTGTTGCGCGCATCCTAGTCAGCCAAGTTCCGGTGATGCTATGCCACGTTCGAGGACGTACCAGGGTCAAGGGGTAGCTCAGAAGCACGAATCGCGGCGCATGATCCGGCAGGTCATCAGCCACCTCGTCGAGGGACTTGTAGACAACCTTGTCCTCGTCTTGGCGGATCTCGTGAGTGTTCTTGTCGATCAGGTCTGCGTATTGGCAGTCAGCGACTCTTCCCCTTCGCTGCAAATCGAGTATCGAGATTCGTTACGGGCGATTCGATAAACGGGGAGGATCATGCAGGAAACGCACAAATGACTGCTTGGGGCTCTTTGGCACGCGAAGTCGTGAGGCGGAATTTGCGCAGGTGCTCCTTGCTCTCACCCGAGAAGGTGTACAATCTCGATTCAGAAGCCTAGCCTATTAGATACATTCGATTTGAACAGATATGTGCATACCATCGTGTCTTTGAATGAAGGGCGCTGCCCGATTGCTGCGCAAGTTGACTGTCGCCAGGTTCCTCGAAGCCTGAGCTCGTCGTGGCTGCCCCGCGATGCTCATCAAGGGCCCCCACTTAGAGCTCGCTGGACCGACACAATCAGTCAGCAGCGTTTTGTGCAGAGTTATTATGCGTGAGCTGATCGTCTTATTCTATCGGGCTTCTTCTACGATGACCTCATGAACCTCGCTCGCGACTGGCCGTAGCATTCCGACTTCGGATTGTTTTCACAGTAGCACTCAATTATCTCCTTTTCCCCAAATCAAAGAACCCTGATGTTCTCCCGAATCTCACAGATCACGCGGCACCTCTCCCCATCATTCGGCCAAGCCACCCAACGCTCGTTCCTAAGTAAAATGGCTTCGGCAGACCAGCGCAACTTGCGCACCATCAACACCGCTGCATGCTTGATTATTGGAGATGAAGTCCTCGGTGGGAAGGTTTGTGGCTCTCCAGAGTACTGGAAACGTCCGATAGCTAATTACTTTGAGTGAAGACAGTAGATGTGAGATCACCCAACGAGGGGGTAATGTCGCGGGAAGCTGATATGTGGTACACAGACCAATTCAGCATATCTGGCAAAATGGTGCTTCTCGCTGGGAATAGTATGTTGCTGTGATTCGTTCTCCCAGCGTTGTGCTAACGCAGTCCTACAGAGCTTGAAAAGAGTCGAAGTCATTGAGGATGATGAGAGCGAGATCATCGAAGCCACGAGGCGCATGAGCGAACGATATGACTTTGTCGTGACGAGGTATACAACGGCCACCTTGGCCTCCCTGGCGAAATAGATACTCATGCTAATACTCGCAGTGGCGGGATTGGACCTACGTGTGTCACCAGATTGCTTGATCATGGATGAATGAACACTGACAGCCGCCGCAGTCACGACGACATCACATACCAGTCGATTGCAAAAGCCTTCAACCTACCGCTGAAACTGCACAAGGAGGCTTTCGAGAAGATGAGACGGATGTCCAAGACGTCAAAGCAGCAGCCTGATTTTGACTGGGACACCGACTCTCCAGCCCTCAGAGCCAAGCTGCGCATGATTGAGCTACCTACCGATGATTCGCGTGACATGAACAAGCAGTTCATCTTTCCTCATGAAGATCTGTGGGTTCCCGTCGCCGTCGTCAACGGAAATGTGCACATCTTGCCCGGTGTACCACGTCTCTGTGAGTTCTCATTCCGCTAGGCGCATGCCACTGGTGTCGGCTAACAATGTGAAGTCGAGAAGCTTCTCGACGGTTTGAAGCCGCATGTCACACCAAGGCTGATTGACCCCGAGGGCAAAGGCACTCATCGCGTGCTCTTCTCGACGCCAATGTCCGAGAGCGCGGTGGCCGGATATTTGACCGAACTGGCTGCCAAGGTTGGTGATCGCGGCATCAAAGTGGGTAGCTACCCGAGATGGGAAAACAAGCGCAACACTGTGACCCTGGTCGGGAGGTAAGACAAAGTGACGCCAAACTCCGCATCGGTTTCTTTTTCTGACAGTTCCAGGGACCTTGCGTACATGGAGAGCCTCGTGCCCGAAGTAGAGAAGAATATCAACGGCAAGCGCGTACAGACCGAAGGTGAAGACGACACAGGGGATGAAGCGGAGGCCAAGCCTTAAAGCTGATGTGCACCGAACCTGCTTGTGTAATATCGATACAAATCTATTCAAAAGTCAATAGTACGTCCGTACATACCTTGGATGTCTAGCGTGTCGCATCATGGAGGCACCTGGTCCTAGTCCTGATCCTGGCCCTGGCTATTGAACCACAAGAAGGATCGTGCACGACTCGCGAAGTGCGCGCGCTAATTCGAGACATGACCAGTCCAGATCGTGCTGGACTCAGGTCCCTGGCCGCCTAGCCATCGCGGGGCAGGACAAGAGCGCTCAAATAACCACGTTGAAGGGCGTGACGCTGGATAGAAGGCATGTTTCAGCTTCGGAGCCTTCGTCCAGGAGATGCCGCCCATGGCTTCGTCCAGGCTGATGATTTGTTCCAGAAATGATCTGTACGAAAGACGCTAGGCGACAACCAACTTTATGGTAATTAAATTATCTGAAGTCGCAAGGCTTGGCGGAGAAGCTAGCCGATTGGGTAATTAATCTGCTGCCGTCAACTGTAGGGGTCATCCAGACGACAAAAACCAAGCTGCAGTGTTGCCGGTGGCACGATAGGTACATGTGACGGCCGAGACCTTATGTCGGAAGATAGTCTGGACATTCACCGGACCAGGTCCGGCTACGTAGCATAATTATCGATAAGATAGAATGCGCGGTGCTTCTAGAAGCATTCTGATCCCATGAATGTGATTAGCGACCCATTCAGCTCGCAGGAGGCTTGCGTGTGGAGTACATAAGTCTATCCTTTCCGAAGATGTGGGAGACTGGGAGCGGAAGGGATCCGTTCGTCCGCCTCATGCGCAAGCCAAGTTAGTCTACGTAAGTGATCTCTGTCATGCATCTTGGAGCGAGATGGGGGCTGCTTGAACGCTGCTTGAACGCTGCTTCTGCATCTCCTGAGTATCATGCAAGTCATATGCTGTTGGGCACATCAAACCTTGCCGTGAGGTCATCTAGCATCCTAAAGGAGAAGAAGGCTAGACGACGTCGATAAGGACGTGTCATATAAGGAAGGATACACACAGCTACGCCGTATACGCTTGGAATCCCAATGCTAGGCGTTTCAATCTGCAACAATCCCTTGCCACGTTCATCCGGATGTACCAGGCGATCATCTGCTTCGCGCCAACGGAACGCATTGGTTGACTGAATATGCCGCGGCGTCACCAGAACCACACGTGTGATCTCTCTGCCTTGGATTGTTCTTTGTCAGACTGGGGGTGGTTTATGACAGATTACTGGCTGCGTGCGTAAATCAAGCTCGTCCAATGCCACTGAGGCTACCCAGTGGAACGTGGAGGGGGCTGGCTGGCGCCTTTGCAACGTCGTTGGGTCCAATGGATCTCCTCGAAGCAACCCCTCGGCAGGACACCAATGGTTTGAGGTGCAGTGACGCTGACGCCGGAGCGCCTCGACGAGAACGGTCGCCGTGAACCACTCACGAGTACTGGGCGGTGCTTGAATCCTTTCTTGGGGGTCAAGTCGTGGATGACTACCTTGGCTGCGTTGAAGGCTCCCGCACTTGGACGGCGGATTGATGAGTGGACACAGAAAGAAAGAGCTGCGGGTAGGGAAGGCTGCCTGCAGACATTTCTGTCACCCTGGGCGCTAAGAGCACCGACCATCAGATAGGGCCCCACTGCCAGGCGGTCTGCTCCACTGCGACTGGGCGGGCATCTCCACGTCCACTGAGATTGTCCCGCCGCCAGTCATTCGACCGGCGGACCTGCTGTAAGTAGCTACTTGCTAGTGCTAACCCACGCGCAGCGAGCGCCAGTCTTAGCAGCCCCCTACCAGTCGTGGTGGCCATCCGCAAATCAATTGAATCCTCCACGACCCTACCGGTCCAATCCCAACCAGCCCTCCCATGCCGTCCCCTTCTTTTTCCCGTTCGCTGCTTCTCTCTATTCCTCTCCCCTACCATTGCCTGATCTCCTTCTTTCGGCCTGCTGCTGGTTCTTCGAATGCACGATTGATTCCATAGACCCTCGCTCGCTCACGCTCGTCCATCTGCCTTGAACCTCTTGCGATCCATCGTCCACGACAGCCTGCTGCCGGATACGCTAGTGGATTACCCAAGCGCGACCCAAATTTCCCCCCTTTGCAGCTCGTCCGCCGAGCTTCATCGCGCCAGTCAACCTTGCTTTTTGTAATTCACATTCACAGTCGCATCTACGATGGCTTCATCCAACAACAAGGTAGGCAGCGCCTACACTGCGCTAGCTCTCTCTCTTCGCGGCAACTAACATGGTCTCCAGTTCTTGCGAGAGTACAAGCTCGTCGTCGTCGGCGGTGGCGGCGTCGGTAAATCGTGTTTGACAATCCAGTTGATTCAGGCCCATTTCGTGGACGAGTACGATCCGACAATCGAGGGTGAGTACCCATGCTGACCGACTTCACGTGGTTGGTATTGCATTAGCTCGCAAGGTGCTAACAGTTGCTAGATTCGTACCGCAAGCAGTGCGACATCGACGATGAGGTCGCTCTTCTCGACGTTCTCGATACCGCTGGTCAGGAGGAGTACAGTGCCATGCGTGAGCAGTACATGAGGACGGGCGAAGGCTTCCTTTTGGTCTACGACATCACATCCCGCCAGAGCTTCGAGGAGATCACCACCTTCCAGCAGCAGATCCTGCGCGTCAAAGACAAGGACTACTTCCCCATGGTTGTTGTTGGTAACAAGTGCGATCTCGAGGGCGAGCGTGAGGTCTCGAGGCAAGGTACGTGTTACGACATACGAATGGCATCAGCGCGGTTACTAACATCCGCACAGAGGGCGAGACACTCGCGCGCCAATTCCAGTGCAAGTTCATCGAGACGTCTGCCAAGTCGCGCCTCAATGTCGAAAAGGCTTTCTACGACCTTGTTCGCGAGATCCGCAGATTCAACCGCGAGTTGCAGCCCGGATACGCAGCTGGCAACGGCAGCGGACCCGCCCCGGCAGCGAAGTTGGACATGGACGGCAACGAGCAAGAAGCTGGTTGCTGCTCCAAGTGCGTTATCATGTAAAACCACACGACGTGCCGACGATTGGCGCGCATAGGGTCGAGAGAATCCGATTGGCCCCCGCCAAGTCAGTTGACTTATCTATACGACTGAAAGCGATTGGATCGATGATGCCGCCGAAGCGAACACGACTCTCTACTTTTCCTTGCATCTCACGAGGAGTCGGGGTTCTGGTCGGGCGACTTGACAGACTTTTATCATCATGTTGGGCGCAGTGGGCTTGCATTCGCTGGAACATGCGATATGTATAATGCAGCGACTGAGACCCTTGGCTGTTTTGTGGGAAAATAATCGAGCCGACCAGGAATGCGCACCACCAGCAGAGTCACGACGAGCTGGGGGAGAAGAGCGCGTGGGTAGAAACAAAGATCAGCGACAGAAGCATCGCACGGTGGCCCCTTGCGCCACTGGGAATGAGCTACAGTGGCCACGAGAGGCCATCTCGGAGGACTTTTTTTTCTTCTTCACCTTTTTTTCCATCTTCTCTTATTCTTATTACATATGGGCTTGTCATCTCTCGTTTTGCGGTCTTCTTGTGTCATTCTAGTCTATATCCGATAGCCTCAACGTGTAATTCTTCTTACAACCTAGGTCACTAGCAAAGATCACTTCCAAAGTGCAACGACTAGGACATGGCCTCTTCTTTGCCATATCCTATTCATTGTCCCTAGTTCGTGAAGCACACCCCTTGATGATCGAGACAATCCCTTTTGTTTTGCCATATCAGCTATGGTCTTCAGTAGACACGTTTCTCCTCAAGTCCTCGCGCTACTGTTTAACACCATCAAGTTGTATAACTTAACCACCTCGAATTCGTCGTATTGCTCCACGGAGCTTGCTTTACATCACAGACTGACAAGCTAGCATAACAGGCTTGGTAGCGTGAGAAGCTATGCATTGCCATGGTCATGTATCTCGGAAGGATTCTTCTGGAGCGCAATGTTCCAAGGAGACCGTATATATGCAACAAAGTGATTCGATTCCACATCAAGACGAGGGTGTAAACGCATGTGCAAAAATAATATAAATCCCTTGCGTTCAGTGATGTCAAAAGCAAAAAAATACTAAGGCAGGTCCTAGAGGGAATTGAACCCTCATCTCGAGAATCAGAATCTCACGTGCTAACCATTACACTATAGAACCGATGTTGTCAACTCCGGTCTGCCGTGCTGCATGGAGATCTGATCGGCTTATTTCAGCCTTTACAGCTAGCACGCTTCTCCCTCTTCTTTTTGCACATCACAATCGAATAGGACCATCATCAGAGAAGCGTTGAGTGTCCAAGGACTCATTGTCTCCGGTATATTATTCCTCCTGGATCATAAGCCACTAATTAAGGCCACATTATAATGACCCATCAACTCGCAGCAGAAGTTTTGTATCTCGGGCTCCTGAGGCCATATGTCCGTGTGGACAGCCATCGAATACTAGACAACTGTAAAGAATTTTGGAAAGCATGAAGGCTTTGAGTTTCGATAAGAGTCATGCTCTATAAGTGGTTTGCTTGCCTAGCTTTGGGCTTTTCTTGTTATCAGGACACTGTGTACTTCGTACGCTATGACCGCGTGATGTCCTTCTTCATCATTATCACAGGTAACTGCACGTTTTTTTCGACATCATCCGCGTGCCAAGGATAGAATTCTGGCTCCGGCATGGGCACGAGCACCCAGCCTTGTCGAGCATACCATGACTCTGTGGAACGCAGCACCTTGGGCCGCACAATGCCTCGGCGGTCGTAGAGGCGGGCCAAATGCGTTTCAGATGTCTGATACGAGCCGAGCATGGTGTCAAGTGCCAGGTTCGTTGCGAAATGAGGCGCTTCGGCAGCGATGCGTTCGGTCTGAGCCATGGCACTGCGGCCGAAGCCTGCGTCTTGCAAGATCCTATCCAGCTGTGAGCGAAAGTTCCCTTCATTGTATCTTCACCCTGACAAGAGGCTGGCCGTAGCACATACCATGATATGTAGAGGGACTTGACCCAAAGTGTCGACGACGGATGGCCGAACTTCTGATCCAGATCAGGGCATTGTTCGAGAGCGATATGTCCTATGGGGATGAAAGGTTCCTCGCTTGGTTCCCTTGCGGTGCTTCCCACTGCGCTCGCCGTATCAATAATAGGCTTGCTTTCCTTCCGGCGTCGAGTCAGTAAGAAACCGCCGCTAGTCGCTGTGTTAATCTCACTGTGGGATATTTCTGGACATGTCGCTGTAGCAACTTTTCCTTGTCTGGAAAATCGTCGCGTATCACCTTGAATAATCAGCATCCACCCGGTGCCCATTGTGAGATACGGGGAGGGATCTTACAGCCCAGTACAGAAACTTGATGCCTTTTATTTGCTTCTCTTTCCACTCTGGCAGTTCGTCCGCACGCCATCCACAAGCAATGCGTTGGTCGTACATGCTGCGCTGGTACTGCTCATCACTGGAGGCATCCCAGGGAATTAATACAATCTTCTCGCCTGCCATTGTGGCTGTTCCATGAAATAAATGAATCAGGAACAGGTATCAGAGGTGAGGGTATAGTTTGGGATCAAAGAAGACTTCACTTTCGAGGCTTGCGTCGGCCTTACGATTCACTAGTGCCTCGGGTGAGTCGCGAGGTTCCGAAGTCGGAAAATTGTGACTACATGTGGATGACTGCCTCGCCATCTATGCAATGATCCGCAATGGGTCTTGCCTACTTATGGTGAGACTGTCAGCATCATGGTAACCGCGCCGTGACGCGGAGATTGTCACGGGGCATCAGCATCTTGTCAGCGCGCTCTGCTTGCGAGCGGAAGCTGCCAAAGGGTGTGGTTGATGGCCGTTTACGAGTTGCTGGAACAGGTCGACGGCATTGTGATGCGCCGTCGGTACACAGGGCCTCCTCTTCTGGATGCTTAGCACTTGACCGCGGAGGCATTCGTGTTGTGTTATCGGTGTTTTTGGCCAACATGTTCAGTCTTCGTGTCGAGAGAAAATTGCAACCTATATATAATTTAATTTGAACGTCAATCTTCATCAAAGCGTGATTGGTTTAGTGGTAAAATTCTCCGTTGCCATCCGAGCAACGTCGGGGAGCCCTGGGTTCGATTCCCAGATCACGCATTTGTTTTTATTTCCCTTTTTGCCACAAGCATCTTCCTCGTGCTCACGATGCCTGCTAGTCAGCCCTCGCCATAGATCGACATTGGTGTCCATTAATATCGGTTATCCTATCGCGACATAGTGGTGGTGATGCATGCCTGAATACTAAGCATGCACTTTATTACTTTTACTAAGCTGTCTCCAGAGCTGTAAGCTTCTACCCGAGGCCCAGACACTAAAGACTTGCAAAACTCCTCATCTCCGAGAATCTGTTGGTACAGACAATGATAGTGGTACAACAAACAATAACGAGCCCGTCAGGAGACCCATGGAGCCGTACGTGAAAAGTAGCCTCGCAGAATAACGCCACGTCATTCAAGTGCCTTCTTCCCCTCCCATCTTGGAGATCCATTTGTTCATGCCACGGTACTTCTCCTCGAATGTCTTCTGGAGCTTCTCCCCAGCCTGGTACATTGGGGTGTCACGCTTCCAGTAAGCAAAGCAGTTCTCGAAAATTTGGCGCATGTCGGCCACGAACTCTTCCTCGTTTCCGTACTCTCTTCGATCCATCTTGATCTTGATGGTGGTAAGATCCATCGGTCGCTTCACCTTGTCGAAATAGTCCGGCACGCCATCTTCTGCCGGCATGACTGGTTCTTTGAAGGGTCCGACAAGACGTGTCCAGAAACCTGTCCAAAATTAGCTTGTGTTTCCATCACTCTGTTGAAGAGACGAGGCCCACCTGGTCCAGACAACATCCTTGCTAGCAGATCTGCGCAGAAGTCCAACTTCTGTGATGTACTGTAGTTCCTGTCTCCCAACACGTGTGCGCTAGACCGTCGCTTGACCTTCTGCATCTGCCCATTGAGCGAAGGCCGAGAGTTCCGACCGAGACTGTTGGCTGCCGTCCTAGACTCTGATAATGCACCCGGCACAGAGAGACCGCTGCTTACGCGACGGGAGCGCTTGAGGCTGTTCAAAGCCTCCTCGTCACTGAGCGAGTCGAGATAGTGAACGTTCTTTCGTGGAGGCGGCGCTGGCATGTCGGTGGGGGGATAAACATCTTGGAGAGGCGAGTCGTCAAAGGTGCTCATCGTGACGACGAGCTCCGCAAGAACAGACTTGGGTAGAGATTGCGCAAACTCGGCTTTCGAATCGGAAGATCGCATGTACTCGGCAGCCCATGTGAGAAGGAGCTCGCGAATCTTGCAACCTTGGGGGCAATCCCGCCAAACCAAGATGAGCAGTGGTGTCGATGGGATCTGCTGTGATATCCGTCTCTGCTCCTTCATCGCCTCCAGCGCCTTGTCGCCTAGACCTTCGATTTTGAGGACGTAGCTCAGCTTCCACAGCTCGATCAGGTTCTCAAAGGACGGCGGCCCAGCGTCCGCCGCCACTTGGTCGGTATACAGGTATTTTTGTAGCAGGCCGAATACCTCCACTGATGTATCGGGCATATTAAACAGAGGCTGGCTTTTGTTGCCCTTGCGCTCACGCTCTTCGAAAACATTGCGGAAGTATTCGCTTCGACTAGTGAGGAGGTCTCGATGCACATTGAACTGTGTGGCGTCTTTGGAGCCGAGGCCTACGGTGACCATTTCAGGATGCGGGTCGCTGTTGTGGTCGATTAGAATCGACTGAGGTGGAATATACGCAGTTGCATACTTACAGCCATGAGAATGGTTTGGGCCTGGGCGGTTCGGCTTCGCTGGGTTGTTGCTGGGGTGCTTGGGCTTCATTGCCATTTGATGCTGGCGATGGCTCTGTTGAAGGCTGCGAAGGAAGCGCTTCGGCGCTGTTTGCCTGCTCCTTTGATTGTCAGTCTCTCTAGAGTTCACAATTGCTGCGTATATGTCCAGGGGGGGCGGTCGTTGCGCGGCAAGACCTGAATGTGGCCAGAGGCAGATCGCAATCAGTGGACATCGAACCATCCATGAGCGCCATGTAGCCATCTCAGGAGTGAAGGCCCAGGGCTTTTGACATAAGTTGATGATGTGTTTTCGCATCGCGCGGCGATTCGTCTCTTACCTCAGACATGATCACGACCTCCTCACAAAGATGCTGGCTTCAGCGCCACGTCGATCGATCTTCTTTGTCCAAAGACGGCGCACTCACTCGCTGGGGCTTTCTGAATATAATTCATTAACTAGCGGTGATGTCCGATGGTCATTGGGTGATGCTGGATGAAATGCACAGCAAACGGTCGCGTGAAGCTGGTGAAGTTCTCACTCGTCATCTCAAATGAGGATCGGAAGGTGCTGGGCGCCTGAGTTCTCATTGGTAGAGACAGCTTACATCATCATCATTGCCAGACTCCCCACAAACCAGACCAGATTGACAGTAATTCCTGCCAAGGTACTCTTTAAAATACAATGATAAGGGTAAAATGAGTTCTGATTCACGACATTGTTTTCTTGGCAATGCAGTGAGCATCAGCCTGGCCGAGTTGGTGACACTTGGCGCGTTGTGAGGCCCTAGAGCTAGTTGAAGGTCAACGGGTCGTTTGAAGTACCCTATACTGAGCATCAATCTACGACTCTGATCACGAAATTCAAAGATTATATGGAACTTGAACACTTGCGCTTCATTTATAACCTGTACTGAATATTTCACTTTGAATCATTTCTTCTGTTTTAAATTTTGCCGGTCCAAGAAAGTGGCTGCGCGTCATCAAATTGTCTGTGCCTTATAACGATGTGTATTTCATCAGAGAACTAGCAGTTCTTGCTACAGTTAGAGTTAGCTATTTGAATGACTTGTAATAAGTCAGATCACATCAGTCTACTAGAGTTTCGTGGTTCTCGTCGTCATGAATGAGTTCCGCACCGAGACCAGATACTCCCCAGTGAAGTAGTGTTGAACCCAACATCATCACAGCTGGACATTCAATGAACATCACTATAAGAACATACTCTCAACCTCATAATGTCTGATTCATACATGTACTGCCAGTTGATCCATGATGCACTCACGCTATCGATCTTAAGGGTGCAATATGGAGTGTCGTTAGCAGACGTCTGCATCCGCTCGCCCGTACGGAGGCACACTGCAACAAGACGCATCGAGGCTCGCAAACACTCAACAAGGTCCCCAACGCAAATGAAGAAGCCTTGTAAGGTGCCGGGCTTGGCGCCTCGCTGGTCCTAAGAACGGGCCGTTTGCTTCGGCACTGGTGCCGGGAGATCATGCACACGATCAAGACTCTCGATACAGTATGGAGCTACGGCGATGCGTTCGATACGCGACCTTCTAGCGCAATGCCTACAAAGAAGATAGGAATTGATCGTCAACGGTGGCCCGGCACTGGACCGCGCGTCTTAGCTGACCTGCAGTTGCAGACCGCACCAAGGGACGCGATGCTGGAGTGGACTCCTCTGTCGAGTCATACTTTGAAATTCGTGACGGGTGGGCGCGAGAAATTCTCCTTGTCGGGGATATAACCGCAATGGCAGATGTGCGCCGCCAATGGTGCCATTTTGTAAGAGCTTGTCTATTTTTAAGGTCCGCAATCGTCGACGAGGCATGCGTCTGTCGATGACGATGTGGACCAGTCTAAGCTTTTTCGCGGTGGAATGATGAATCGTGTCGGAGAAGCTCCACCGTCGGGCATATTTTTGTCAGACCGACATTCGGCCGATCGACATGTTGGCAGCGCAAATTTGCTCCCAGAGCGACAATCCGGCAGCGAAATCTTCGAAAACGTGGGGAATGGTGGGCGTCAACTCCAAGCCTGGAAGAATCGAAGCTGTCAATGCAGGTCCTGATTGAAGATCTCCTGCTGCTCGGTCCTTCAGCGGCGTTGCGTCCCTGAATTCGGGGAATTCGGTCTCGCAACACCGACTTCGTCTTCTTCGTTTTCGATACTGTTGTCGTCGTCGCTCTGACCTATCTCGTGACCAAGGATGACATCCTCACTGCCTTGCCATTGCGAGGGCGGCGGAGGCATTGCAGCCTCGTCATCTTCTGCCCAGCCGTAGTCGTCGTCTTCGCTGTCAGGCACCTCAAAGCCCGTGTCAGCTATCTTGCGTTTCATTCGCGTCTGTTCCATCGCCGTTGTGGTTGTATCTAGCAGATAATCCCCATCGTGTTGGAGACCAGTGAGACCGCCCTGTGCGTTGTTAGACCAGCTGGCTCATAAACCTAATGTTGGTACGTACATTGGTAATCTCGAAGGCGGTGATCTTCCCGGAGGAGTCTTGCAGTGATTTGCCGTCGAGCTTCTGAACTCCCACCAAGCATATCGGTACTGGCTTGTTCTCCTTCCAATGCCAATCTCGGAAGAGAGCTAGGCGTGTTGAGACCCCTTGATCCCAAAGACTGCCATTGATACTGGGTACAAGAGTCGCTCCATGCTCGCTTTGCATCTTGGTCGAGCACTGGGAGAGGACGACAACGGCGCAACTCCTGGTGGAGGCCAAGGTTTGGAGCGACTTCATGATGCTCTGTAGTGCTTGACGTCGCTTGGCAGTGGGCGTTGATCCTGAGGATGGTTAGCCACGACTTCAGGGGTCGGCTCAACAAGACGTACCTCGATTCAACTTGGCCTGAAACCTTCCATCTTGCGCCTTTGGCAGCGCCGAGTTTATCAGCACTGCTATTGAACTGATGACGACGAGGCTGGTAGATTCTGGAAGAGCTTTTGTCGTTGGTCTGGATATCAATGCAATGAAGTGCGGCAACGTCAAGCATTTGTAATGGGCAAAGTGATCCAAGCCTGACCCAGCACCAGGAGGCTTTCGAGTAGATGGACTTGATGGATCTTCGTCGTGGTGTTCCAAGACATCTCTCAAGCGGCTCAAGGAAATGTCCTGGAAGCAGTCTATACGGAGTCAGCATATGGCCCGATGCTGGTCATGAGCCCACGCTACTGACCTAGCCACACAACGTCTTGATTATCTTTGATAGCATTCGCAGCTAGCTGTAGACTGGATCTACATCAGCAGTGTTGACGTGGCATGAGAAGTCGGTTGCACGTACGAGAGAGCAACCTTGCCTGATCCTGGAGGCCCCCAGATCTCGGTGACCTGGCCTCTCTTGATCCCGCCACGCGTGGTCGTAGGATCGGCCGGCGCGAGATCCTCTGCAGCAAGCAATCTGTCTAGGGCACCAATGCCTGTTGATATATGCGTCGCATGACCCTCGACAAGCTCTTCGAGTGCCGCTGACGCACTCACTGTTGGGAGGCGATCTATCGCAGCATTGGCGGATGTTCTGTTCGCTAAGGTACGAGGGACTTACGGGAGCTGGGGACGTCAAAACTGGCGACATCATGGCCATGCACAGCATGATAATCCATAGTCCATGTTGGTTCTGCGAGTACCGCACCACTCAAGACTATGCCCTCAGCTGATCACGAAGTTGCTGGCAGCTGCCCCGAGTCGCGATTGTGGTGGGGCTGGATTATGCCATCCCACGATTGCACGTGACTCCGCGTCACTAATCCATTCTCCTCACTTCTACGTCTCCTCAGCGCGATGTTCTTGCTGCTTTCGTTGGCTACGATTCACACATTGAAGGCGTCGAGGTGTCGAGCGACCAGCCGCACGACAGCCTCCCCTATCCCTTCGACCCGCCATCGACGATAGGAGTGACGCCCCCGAAAATCATCGTCGCGCGCCTTTGGCGCAGATCTGGTCACCCTGACTCGTGCCGGCACGCAGCAGATCGGATCTGCCTAGGCCATACGCATAGTCTCGCGACTATCTTCAGGTGCATTGTCTCCAGCAAAGCGCCGAAGCCTGTCCATATCTGCGGGGAAGCGTCGTGGGATTATCACGCAAGCCCTAGATCGTACTCGATTCTGGCCCTGGGTCGAGGCATCAACAACTAGCGGCGGTGCTATAATTACGTATCGAGGGCCCCTGAGGAGAGCGGACTTGCCAGCACCATTATTCTAAGGGTCTAAGCCCCATGATGCCATCAGCCTCGATTTGACGGCCACAGCAGACTGGACATCTGTGAGCCCAAGTTATAGCGTACGTCATGAGGATGGACGAATCGTTGGATACATGCTCCTCATTGGGGGCAGTTCTCAGATGACCCGAGTGGCTGAGCGACGCAAATTTTCTTCTTCTCTTGCAACAGAAGGGTCGCTTTTAGTTCGAGTGCTGAACATTTGCAGGACAATTTTTCTATAATCCAACATGACGAGCGAGGCTGGAGTGTCCCGCCGTTTGCAGGTGGGGTTTGGAGTTCCTAGTGCGATCCCCACCAAATGGTGATCAAAACCCCAGTGGCTTGGCCAGCAGAACTTCAGAGTTGGAAACAGATAGCAGAGTTGACGCTCTATCTGAGTCGTTGCGAAGACAAACGACATCAGGCACTGGAACTCAGCACTATTTATTCTGACTGTCTACGATACCATGCCAAAGCCAGCTGACCTTGGACTCCCCTCGCACCGGAAAAACTCGGGGAGCCACTATCAATCATCGAGGCTTAGGAGGGTGGTGATAACACCACGGCCCGACTGGCGAATCTCCACTATCGAGACTTGTCTTGCATCGATTTCATGCGAGTGGGACGTGGTTAGGCTTGAAGCGGGCTTTGTCCGCTGAGATTTTGATGCTCGTCGTCAGCGTTTTGTAGCGGACGCCAACGGTCTCGAGACAGCTGGATTGAGCGCATTGATGTGAGCGGGAGGCTCTATCGGTTGGGCACAACTGCGCTGAACTGTGTTACGTCTGCGTATCTGGAGCCCCGCGAAGCTTGTGGAGGACAAAGTCGGCCCGCGCGAGAACCAGGGCAAGGTCGTCCACGCTGCTCAGACCAGCCGGGAGCGCATTGTTCTCCAATGTCCATGAATTGGAGTAAAAGCTCGTCTTGGGCGGGAGCACATAATAATGAGGCGACCTGTGAGACCGTGGAGCACTGGTATGACCGGTATCAACAAGTTGGACTTTTCGCAGACCAATCACGATAGGGCCGGGCCATTCCCGTGGATTGTGCTGTCTCAGAAGCGTCGACTATTCTTGAACAGCCGCCTGTACCGCGCGACAAACACCGCTCCCAGTAGGTAAACTTGCGCACCCAACCAAGGACTAAGGTAAATCGAGAATCCTGGGCGACTGAACAGCGCAGACGTAGTGAATGTCGCGAATGTCAATTGATCGAGGGCCAGTTGTTGCGACAAGTCAAAAAGATCATGGCATCGGAGGTGTTGTTCTGTGATGCAGACCACGATGCAACCCTTTGCTTCTTGTACGGTTCCAAGAGTTTGGCCCAGCCAGGTACGGGCAGCAGCAGCCTGTCACCACCAGTGCACCACCACCACCAAAGAGTGCTAGTTACATTCCCCAGGAATTTCTCCGATGCGGTATTGCAACTTGCAAGATGCGGTATTGCAACTTGCAAGGTGGGGTTACATCCAGCGTTCCATGGGCTTCCAAAAAGCTTCTATCAAGGCCTACCCCGGATGCGTGGACGGCTATCACCATCAGTCCATCACTAATTCACTATCAGGGCAGTCTCCGCATTCGAGGACAGGCGCCATGCCCCTTGGACGGGCGCAGACTCGCAAAAGGCCCGTCAAGCTCAAGCCACGCCCTGGCGCCGAGACTTTCTTTCAACACCGTTCTCGGCGCGACAGGCGAGAGAGCGCGAGAGCGAGTGGCAAAACAGCCTCCTCCAGACTCTTGCACGTGGGGTGGCTTGACGCGAAGAAAGTGGACTAAATTGATACGTAGGTACCGCCGGGGCCTTGTCACCGAGGTCAGTCCGGTCAACAGCCCGCCAATGTTATTGGGGAGTCGGGAACAGCCCGTCCCCGAATTATCCAAGGCGGACTCCACGGGAAAGGGTCCCCTTCGGCAAGGCCGAGTGATGACATTCTCTCGAGAACGCGGGGCAGAACCTGGAGGCGGATGCGGATGCGACTGATTGCGGTATTCCCGCCGTTACGTTGCACACCTTCCTAGGTGATGCAGTGGCTTGGCGGCCGCCTTGTTGCCTGCAAAGGTTCTTCCTGGCGAAACACGGTGTCTGGAGTCCTGTCCTGGACGCCGGAACAGGGCTACTGCAGGTCCCGGGTCCCTGCTTCACATGCTGCGCAGCTGCTGCGAATGCATGCCTCGTCTTATCATCCACGCTAAGTGCAAGATATCGATGGTGTTCCAGACTTCCAAAAACAACAGGATTGGAATTGATACATAGATGGTGAACTGGAGCTCTGAGGCCCGGCCAATTGCCGGCGGGGGAAAGAAACGTGAAGAGGCCATTCAGCACTCGATTCGTTGACTTTCACATGCAGCTTCACAATCGGTACCCCGGACGATCACACTGCTCTCCAGCAAGCCACTTTCTGATGACGGGAGTGTGTCCAGTGCGACAAGCCCAGTCTGGGGCGGGTTATTATCAGTTGGAGTATTCCGGGGGAAGCCAAAAAGAATCAACAAGATAGCACAGGGTCACCGTCCACCGAGGATGCCTGCGGCGGGACGTCCGTGGTCCATCATGTCTGTCTCGGCGTGTGTCTGCGCGAAAAGCCGAGGATTGTGCGACAGCAAAAAGAGGCAGTGCTGGAAGACTGCACCCCAGGTCCGGGCGTCTGTCGCCCTGGGGGATAATAAGCGGAGCTGCGAGCCAGACTGAGGACATGAGATTTGGCCGAGAATGGGCGACGCAACTCGCAAGCGACGAAACGAGCTATTGACCACGGAGGAGGTGTGACATCCCTCAGATTCACGATAGCAGTACCAAGTACGATCTGAGCTGGGCGCTGGCTTGCATGCACAGTGAGCCGGAGGCGGCTTCAGCGTACGTATGCAGATATGGCGACTTTATGCCAAGAGAGCACGCCAAAGCCATGGAGACAGTTGCCAATTGGCGCATGGTATCACCTCGTCTAGGGCCCTTTGTTGATGCGACTATCTGTCGATAGTAGTCATCGATTGCTCCTGGTGCCGCAGGCTCGCGGCTCATATCAACCGCGGGATCTTGTTACCCCAGAAAGAAGTGTCTACCATCCCAAATCTGGAGTCTAGACTAGAAGCAACTGGTGCCACGGTCGCCAACGCACCAATTGTAGATGCAGCCAGCTGCTCCGGATCTCGTCGTCCTGAATCCTGATCCCCTTTACCCTCTGCCCGTGGGAAGATCGGCACGATTATCAGGACGTGCAGCGCAGACCCCCACGCCCATACACAAGGACATTTCTGGGCAAAGCGCATGCCAGAGTCAGCTCAGCCGGCTAAGCAGCAGCCGCGAAAATCTGGAGTCAAGGGGTGAGGGAGGGGAAGGGGCCAAGTCCGGGGTGACACGCACGAGTGGAAAGATATCCCGTATAGCCGCCCAAGGCAAGTACCAAGCACAAAAGAACCAGTAACACAGACGCGCACAACCGCACTGGACCAACAAGCGGATTATACAAGCACAACTGGCAATGGCCCACGGCGTTTCCTTCCAGGATGGCGACTTGAGGGCCTCGGTCCGCAGCTGAAGCAAATCTCTACGACTCGCATTTGTCATTGTCCTGCATCAGTCTCAGTCCATGTGGAGGCAGCAGTAAGTAAGCAAAAGGGGGAGCTGGCCTGGAAGATAGGGGCATTTGCGCTTGTTTCTAGAAAGGGGAGCTGATACGACCAGATGTGGAAAAGGCCTGGTCTACCTGTTTGTACGGAGTACGTACGAGGCCAATACGAGCGGCAAGGCGTATCTCTCGCTTATCTACAGCTCAAGTACAGCCCGGAGGCGCGCTGTGGGCAATGGCGCACCCCTCTCCCAGGAGCCTATCTCAGATCCCCCACATGTCCGTCCATCACATGCTACCTCACTTCCTCCTCGTGGTCTTTCAGGACGCCATCACGAGATAACGACGAGCGATGGCGGAAAGGAGTTGGGCACCACATTGAAAGCAACAGTGATCATGCGTAGACAATGAGACAGGAAGTTTGTGCCCCGAGAGAAAAAGAGTGTCATGCTGTCCAATCAGTTGTCTCATCTTGGCCACCCCCAGGGAAGCCCCCACAAGAAGCGCCCATCACATCATCACTCGGCTCTCCACGCAAAATAAACTGTTACTCAAGATGGCGTGCGACCTGGGGCAGAGATGGCTTCTTTCTACGTAAGTGCTCGGAGTACTTACGTACGAGTAAACACGGAGCAACGAGATGACCGCGCTGTTGTCGCAATGTCTGCGTGCGTGTGCGCGCGCAAAGGTGGCAGGAGTGAGTGGTCTAACCCAATCCAGGGGCATTGAGAGCCCTTGAACGGGCGAAGCCTGTGATGATGCACACACTGCACAAAGAATATACAACTATTCCATGCTTGTACGTACAGCTTCTCAAGGTTGGCGAGTGCCGCACGTTGTCAACCTTTTCTGGTCGCTCATGACGGCACGTCGGCCAAGAGGGCGGAGGGTTGTTGGATTCGTGGAGGATGCCGTGAGTGCCGTATGAATCATGGCAAGTGATGGGGACCGCTCCCAGGTGTAGTACTTATTATTATTGCCCACGGCCGTGAGTGCTCACTCATGTCTTTGTTGCTTTGCACAGGTGGTTAATGAAGTGGTCCATGCTTTTGAGGCAGGGCGAGAAAAGAAGGGGAAGTGAGGCGGTTTGTGCAACATCCTCATCATTACTTGCGGCATGCATTCCCCAGCCCCAAGGCGGCGCCAGCAAAGCAATTCTGGGGCAGGCTTGCAGGTCTCAGCTGTGCGCCCGTGGCTTCAACAGTCTCCGTCATGTACCTATCAAGGACAAGGAATGGGACTATCGAGCGATGGCTCTCTCTCTCTGGATGCGCTCAAGTCAGATTGAGCCGCTTATCTCACAGCAAATCCGATCCATTGAAGGCGCCTGGGGGCCCTTGGGGGGGCCGGCGCCCGTGCCTGGACCGACCTCCAGGGTATCTCGGCGGCTCTTTGATGCCCTCGCGTCCAGTCCATTCTCCATCCCTTGGCACAATACGTACGTACACTCCTGTGGGGTACAATCGCCCGGTGAGCCGGCTGGACGCTCTCAGCCAGCCAAGAGCGCACACGTTCGCTGGTTTAGGCACTTGTACGGCAAGACACAATAACCGCGCATGCAATGACTAACCTAGCCTGTCGCTGATTTGGCCGAGCGCAAATTTGTCCGCAGTGACAGACAGGCAAAGAGCTCACCCGGCAATTTTGTCTGTGCGCGTGTAGGTAGGTCCTGTAGGATCGTGGTCCATGGAGTGAGAGTGGTGACCATCATATCTTGCTTGGCTGCTGAAAAGGGTGAAAGGTGAGCGAAGCTCGCCGGGCCGAGACCCAATGAGAGCGTCGGCTCTCTTCTCCGAGGCGGACGCGGACGGTATCTGGCTGGGAAGAGGTTTCCCCAGAGAGATGATCTGACTTGAATTTTGGCTGAATTGGCTCCTGCCTTATCGCTGGACCTGCCCACACCTCTCCTCCGCAATCTATCAACTGTCAGTTTCCTTTGTCGTCACCTGTAACGCCGGCTGTATGGAGGCAGCGTAGACAGCGTAGCAGCAGCAGTGACATGAGTCTTGAAATAGATTGAACGACTTGTGAAAAGCTCATGTCTGCCGTCGGCGTTAACAAGACGCGAAAAATAATCACAGCAAGATAGCCAGTACTGGCCAGCCTGCCAGTGGAGGAGGTGACGCCTTGACGTGCCCAAAATTTACTGAGCAGCCTTCCTTTTCCGACTCTTTCTCGGTGGTGCGCACCTTCCCTGTGCCTCGCCCTCCACATGCAACCCCACTCAATGACTGGCCCCTCGAGACACCCCCCACAGGCCTTTCAAGAGGCTTTTCTCCAGGTGCTACAGCTACCCCACCATCGCGTCCAAAATTTTCTGCACGCCCAGTCTCTCCAATGCCCGAATCTGCTCCCTCAGCGCCCGTCCAGGGCACATGTTCCCCAAACCGCGCCTCGCAAGCCGCACGCCCCCCCTTCTGAGGATCCATGGTTCCATTTACCGACCCCGGCCGAAGGCTCCTACGCTTTTTAAACCATCTGTCTCCCCCAGTCTTCCTTCACACTCCTTCCTTCTACGAATCTTGTTTACTCCAGCTTTTGACAGCACGGCACCTCCCCAGCTTCCCCAGCATTGAACGGCAAAACGATCTCTTGATCAACAAGACCGGCAACCACCAACACCCCGACCATCCACGACCGCCTCTACCCGTGGCTTCTGGTCTGCCAATTCGAATATCCCTCATCTGCGCAGCAGGTGAAGATCACATGCAACGATCACAGTCAGCCGTCGACGTTTCGCGGCTACTCAACCCCGACAACGTGGAGGATACAAACAACAACGGCCAACAGGCTGCATGTGATATGGCCACCGCCGCCGCTGTCCCCGTGATCAAGCCCAACGGGCCCTTGCCTGGCGCACAGAACAGCGAAACCACTGGAGAGCTCCCCCGGCCCTACAAGTGCCCGCTTTGCGACAAGGCCTTCCACCGCTTGGAGCATCAGACCAGGCACATCCGCACACACACCGGAGAGAAGCCACATGCGTGCCAGTTCCCAGGATGCAGCAAAAAGTTCTCTCGCAGTGACGAGCTGACTCGGCACTCGAGGATACACAACAACCCTAACTCGAGACGTGGGAACAAGGGGCAGCAGCAGGTGCAAGGGCAGCAGCAAGCGATGGCGGCAAACATGGGACACGATGGCATGATGGCACCGCCGCCAGCCCCCAAAAATATCCGCTCAGCCCCCTCCTCAGCTCTGTCGTCCCCTAATGTGTCCCCACCGCACTCGTACGCTGCGTTTGCTCTGCCGCAGCCCAACGTGCACCGCTCTGGCGACATTGACATGCTGGCCAAGGCCGCCCAGACGCTTCACCAGAGCCACGGGCCTGCCCACCACGCGCCTCCCAGGCATCACCCCTACCAGTCTCACGCGCCGCGCGGTCTTTCCGCGTACTCCATGTCGAGATCGCACAGCAACGACGAGCATCACGATGAGCATTACAACGGTGCTCTCCGCAACATCAAGCGGTCAAGGCCCAACTCACCCAACTCCACGGCGCCCTCCTCACCCACATTCTCTCACGACTCGCTCTCGCCGACTCCTGATCACACACCTATCGCTACACCCGCTCACTCTCCCCGTCTGCGACCGCTTGGTCACACGACGTACGATCTGCCCGGTCTCAGGAGCCTCTCTCTGCATCACACCACGCCTGCTCTGGCACCCATGGAGCCTACCTTTGACTCCAACGCGCAGTTCCACGGTCCTCATGGCCCGCCCCATGGCAACCCTCCCAGGAGCAACGGCATCTCTCTGACTGATATTCTAAGTCGGCCAGATGGAAGCCAGAGGAAGCTACCTGTTCCTAAAGTGGCTGTGCACGACATGATGAACGACACTGGCTTCACCCACAGTGGACGGAGTTCTGCGACAGCCAGCCTGGCGGGAGGTGACTTGATGGATCGTCTGTGAAGAGCGGGCGATGAGCTCCTGAAGCGAGGGCAATGAGGCGACATTGCGAGGCAGACGCTACGACTTTAATGACATACCACACACGCACACACCACACCAACAACGTTGGTCTATAGACTATGGGCATAGAAGGGAGGCAAGGGATATTTGGCGTTTTGCATGGCATACATCCAGCGCAGGAGCTCTGCAACGGGTCCAAGCTGGCTCGGGTTCTCGACTTTTTTTGTTATTTTGTATTAAGCGGCCAGGCGGCCTTATAGAGATTCACCACTTCACTGAAGAAGGTACATGCTTTTAGCAGATAATCAAACCTATCTAGTACCAAAATTTCCTCTTGATTTTCCACAGCCAAGGCCTCAGATGAATGCTCCGTACTTGAGCCTGTTGTGACTCACACACTGCACACTACCAGCTGCACAAGCTTTTCCACCCCACGGATTGTGGCGCCCGTGATCTTTGATCAGACTCACACGTGTCCCCATTTCTCCCCGGTCACGACTGTCTTAGCATCACCAGGACAAGAAGGTGGTCGCTTCATCCCCCACCAACAAGTCGACTGGCCGCCGGCTACATTAGCTTTGAGAAAACTGCATTCTTCAGGAGATATGCGGTGACGCGCAACGGTCGGAATGCACAAGCGCCTCTACTGTACGTATCCAGACATTTTGCCTTCCCGGTGGCCCCCTCCCTCTCCCTTCCTCCCCCACAGATTTTCCCATGGGGTTGCATTGCCTGAAATTGGCGTGTACTCACGTCAGCCTTGCGTCTCCGTTACGAGCTGAAAGGCGTGTGTGAAACATGAAAAGAAAGTAAAAAAAAAAAGGCACTGCTGCATCTGCCCAGGCTACGCGCGTCACGATGGGCGACACGGCACCTTTGTGGCCACGGGGCGCAAGGGTGGACAGACAAAGAACTGAGGTGTCATGTATAGGCGCCTGGCTTGAGCTGAGCAGAACAGTGAGGGCCTATGCTGCGGCGGGCAGTGCTATGCGTGTCAGATAGCATGTGAAACGGGCTGCCCTACAGGCTCAATAAGAGACATTCATTGGATCTCCCTCCCGCCCAGGGTGATCGATGTAACGAAGCTTGTCGCCCATCGGAAAGCCACAACAAATGAGGATTCATTACAGTTGCGAGGGAGGGGGTTCTGGACCTTTTGTCATATGAGTGGGCATAAAAAAACTGACTGTCATGAGTAATTCTGGGGAAAAAATAAAGCAAAAAGGAGGGGGGCGTTGGTGATGCAATGACATGTCTGGGCCGACGGTGGTGGCCTGTTTTTACGTGATTCCAACGTCTCTTCACTCTTCTCTCTGGACGAGGACGTGTCCTCTTCACCGCCTGTGTGTGATGCGAAGTGCATAAGGTACTAATGAGATGTTGCGTGTGGCACATTTGCGCTGCGAGTTACGGTTTTGTGGCTTTGCCGTTTGTCAACAAAGGGGTGGGCGGGCAGTCGATCATCATGCTCGTTGAGTGGGGGTGGCTTTTCGTCTGGATGCCTGTTTTTGGGCACATGCCAGTGTTGAGGGGGGAAAGGAAAGGCTAATAACCGGGTAAGAGACTGTGTTTGCACTTTGGACGATGATGATATTCACATCCGTCGGTGCGAGGTCTCGGAGTACAACGCGTCAGCATTGATCGGCAATGCTCGGAACCTTATGCGACTCACTGGCCTGATCAGTAGACTCCGGGGAGATGAGAAGCCAGCAGGTCTCCCCGCGGGAGGAAGCTCGCTGCCGAATGACTGCCGAGCGCTGTCTCGCAAAGCATGAGGCCAAAGTGGACTGATCATCAATCTAGCGCCGCACATCGTTGAGGTAGCAGCACTACGGAGTACGCAGATTGCTCCTGGAGACATTCATGCCAGTGAGGAAGCTGAGGCCAGATGGGTCGTTGGAATTGGCTGAATGGAGAAAGAATGTGGGGTGTGGGGTTAACAACTCCCCGTGACTCGCACTTGCACTCAATCTCGGCGGACGTCCGTCGACTCTGGGGAAGGGCTAATATTCAGTGTACCAGTCATCAACACCGAGCGGAAAATCCTGCTCTGATGACGGGCGGTTGCAAGCAGCCACAAGCAAGCTCAAGCCAGAGCACTATGCGATCTAGACTAACTTTAGTGAACTTGGTCGCGCCGCCGCGGTGCCCAAAAGAGCGACTGCATCAACCAGGGATGGTGGCATGGTGCCCTTTTGGCAGCAACGCGCCGATAAGGACTTTGGAAGTACTGATATTAGCACTCAATGCACAGCAGCATTTTACTTGTACGTACCACCGCATGACGGGTCCCCTTATCGCTGTTCCGTCCCAAGCAGCCATCCCCAGTCACGACTCGCAAAGCTCCTCTTCATGCCCCGTGCTATCATCATCGGCCCACCCGCCGGATTCCTCAATACAGACATCCCGAGGCCTCCGGATGACGATAAAGACAGGCAAATTCCTACTCAGGAAAACCCCGCCGCTGTCGTTGACAGAGATTTTCACGGCCCAGGACAAGGATCCTTCCCATTGGAGGCTGGGGGAGGGGGGTGTGCCCGTGGGATTTTCTTTGCTTTGTGGGGAAGGGGCGCCCCTGCCCTGGGGTCGTCGATAACGCTTGCCCTTTCCTTCTTGAGCCTGGAGGAGGAGCGATGAAGTCATCCCGCGAAAGCTTGGCTTCCCCAAGTCTTGCGTGATCATCATCACCTGCCTGCGCATCGAAGTTTCAGGGCTGTCTGGGCCGAGTGGCCTCCCAGTTACAGCACACAACGGGGCAAAAAAGTTTGACAGCCGTCTCCGTCCACGTCCTTTACGCGCGCCTACCACAGACACGAGACGCGGCCGTCAGTCAAACACGGCTGGGCGTGACAAGATTGCCTGCACTGCCGTCAATGGATGGCTGCTGACCCGCTGCAAGGAGCCCGTATTTGCGCGCCGAATCCTGGCAGCCTGCTGCTCTTCGCCCAGGAAACACAACGTGGTCCTGTCGGGCTCCCACAACAGGCTGCCGTTGGCTGTTTAGCTGGTGCCTGAGCTTGGCTGACGAGAGCCATGGCTGCCGCTGCTGGTAGCGCTGTTACTGTGTCCATTCCCATGGGGAGGACCAACACATCGGAAAGCTCCCAGGCACTATCAGCACACGTGGCTCAACTCGAAGAACGAGACCGGCCTTCTAACGTTAGTCTTTCTTCCACATGAGGTTGGCCCCCGAGAGATGACGAAGGCCTCGACACGGAAACCTGCTCAACATGTCCGATCCAGCACTGCGGATGCCATCTCGTCCATCGAGGACAGCAGCCGAGCCGATAACTCCATGCTTGAGCAGTAATAGTGCACTGCTATCTGCCTCGGAACGCAACCACACGAGCCCTTTTGTCTACTCTAGGTTTGTTAACCGGTATGCAGGATGTGCATAGCTATAGAGTGGTGTTACAACAACTTCGGCTGGCTACTGCATATCGTGCCGCCCACACACTCAGATCGGTTATCTCGCTAAATGTGGCCTCACCGGACATGCCAGCTTGAGACATTGGACGGTGCGATGTTTCCTTGCATCTGTACGCAGACGCGGGAGAGGCTGCAAGTATCACACTATTGGGAAGAATTGATGGCTTCTAGGGGCACTTGATGGTGTCGAGACACAGAGCAATGCAGAGACAGGGCTGGGAATGGCTGCATCATGTTTTCTGCGAGGCGGCTTGACCGCTACCTTCTCCCTACTACACAAACGCCGGCCTCTGATAAAGAGCATGTGCTCTGGTTGCGACCTACTATGTGGCCGCGGCATTCAAGAGAATCAAGTGGTCAACACCACTTGGTACGATCACTGTTGCGCCGTTTGGTCACGCTTATGACTGCTCGTTTGGAGTCAGTAAGGCCGCAGCCCGCGTCTTTGCTTGGAGTTCTTTCACATCCCAGATTGACTGATATCGGGTAGCAGACCCGTTGTTGGAAGGTAGGCTACTTCTGTTAGTTCGGTAGGGGCTCATCGAACGCACGTACCGGTACTACATGCAACACTGCCAGTCTGCAACGCAACGCAACCATATCGCATCTCCCACACAGGCTCGGTGATCACACCCGCCTGTCTCGAAGCTGGAACTCACTTTGGTGTAAATCCTTGCCCGGTCTTGGCTACGTCAAGATTCTGGCTTGCTGCACGCATCAACACCAGGGTCCATCGACGATCGGGCCGCTCGGATGTGTGAACCTTGCCTCTGAAAATGAGCACTTGGACTGATCTTGAAACGAGCTGATTCCTGGCGCCGGTTTGAATACGGAGGTGGCTTGTCTGGATTCCACCGCCGAACCGGACGAGGCTGGCTCAAATCAGGCACCGCGCCACTTCAAAGGCTAAGCGCGTTACCGCAAAGTCAATCCCTCGTGGTCAATCAAATCCCTTATCAGGGAGCGGAGGCCGTTACAAGAATAGACTGACTTTGGGACGCGCATGTGCTCTTCGAGTAGGTACCTTCCGAAACCACCTCTGGACCAGTCGGATCATGTTGAGCTCAGGGGCACCCCTATCGATCTCATCGAGAAGCGTCCTGCATTCACACCCTGACCGAGCATTTGGCCGTCCATTACGACTCTTTATCCCAACGGCCTGAATGGCCTTTGCCGCAGTGTACTGCAGGTGCAGCGTTTCATTCCGAGCCGCCAAAAGCCAATTTTCTAGCGGACGCGCGTTGCCTGTTCCCCGAGGTTCCATTGCGTCCTCGGAGAGACCCTTCTCGAGCCAGTCCAGGATCGCAATCGCACTTTGATACACTTCAGCCGGCCGATCCCCTCGGTACCTGAATCTCCATTCGTGCTTGCTTTTCATATGGCGTACATGGGGTGCGCCTTTTCCCCGGCCGTGCCTGGCTTCAACCGAACCCCGCGTCCAGGACCACAGCTACCTACCCCCAACGTGCATATGTCAGGATGTTCGGGCCGAAGACTGCCAAGGCATTTTTTCCGATAATGGCGTGTATCGCAGAACGGGTGGTTGACGTGCTGGGCGTGCGTGGTTGATTTGAGCAGAATTACATCACGAGAGGGCAAACAGCTCGTGATGGTGGGCGTAGATGGTGAAAGGGACGCCGTAGTGAGAACAAAATACGAGGGAGGATTATGCCAGTAACATTCCGTCACACGGCCGGACCATGATGAATGAAGACGCAATTGGGCAGAAGCATGTGCCAGCGCCGCAATGTCCTGGCGGACAAGTGCAATCGTTCTCAGCAAAGTTGTGGCATGTCGCCGGTGGCTGTCGGAAGTGTTGCCTTGAGATGCGGCTTTGAAGGCATGAGAGGATCCCGTTGCACTTCCATTTATTCCACAAATGTTGGACTCCCTTGACCATGCGATCATGCCCTCGTCCTTGTTCGATCCGAGCGCACAAGCCGAGCGCTCCTATTCTACACATACCCATGTACACTATCTTACAGCCTGATCGTTGAGGGAAGGTTCATACCATGAAGAGGCCAGCGACTTTTGAGCTCCCTACCATTTGATGCCAAAGAAGCTCAGTTGCTTCTTGCCCTTCACCTTGGACTCGTCCTGCTTTTCCAAGTATATCCTTTCATGTCCCTTTACGTCGAGGAAGAGATATTTGTACTCGAACTCGCTCATGTCGGGGCGTTTGAACATGTGTAGTCGGACCGTTCCGTTGTCCTTGGGACCTTGTACCTGTGCTAATGTCAGTTTTCGCACTCGAACGACCACGGAGAGGCTGGCATTACGTAGAAGTGCATCAGGAGATGCTCCGTCCCGTCTGGGTCCTGCCTGTTCATCGACCTGGGGCGCCGCATGTTAGCATCTTCAAGCTGCTTGGCCAAGTTATAGTAGACTCACGACACTGGTCGCGCTCTTCGCCAACTGTTGAATGTCTCGTCTCCATGTGCAGATATTTTCTTACCGCGACCGAGAATCTCGAGACAGCGGGCGTCTTCGCGAATCTTGTCGACTGCGCGGTTGAACTGTGCGGTCTTGCCGTCTGGTGAGAAGACGTCTGACCACAAGAAATAAGTGACACCACCCTAACTCTGCGTCAGCCTGGGTATTGATGATTTCGTCCACGTTTTAGCACCCACCGTCAACACAATTCCCACAATGACCAGGCCAAAGTTGAAGCTCTGCTGTGTCGCGCGAGCTGTCTTCTCCCCCGCTGAGAGCTGATTCCATGGCACGCGGCCATCATCGTTGAAGGCTGTGACCTTGCGTCGTCGAGGACCGGGCTGGGCTGTGGTGCCTAAGCTGTTCTGGGTCGCATACTGTCGTGCGCAGAGAAAAGGTCGGATCGCTGGTGCGGTTGCGATTGTAGTTGAGGAGGGCCTGATGGCCAAAACTGACGTGGAGGGCTTCATCCTGGTCGCAGGCCGACAGCCATCGTTCAAGGACCCGTATAGTCCTAGCGCTGGCGATATGTTCGAGGGAAATAGGTGCTATGAGCGATGGGGATTTGGCTTTGCGCTCTTGTGTGAAGCATCAGCAGCTTCAGTCAGTCTGCTCAGTTATCACCGCCCTCGGCAGAACCAACAAGGTGGAGTCGTTGCGCCCTCAATCGGGACTAGCGCGATAATACATGCCACTTCACCCAACGACGCTTGGGCGAGACCGTCTCCTGAACGCTCCGCACACGAGTCCACATTCGCGCGCGCAGGACGACACTTTCCTTACCTCGCCCAGACCTGCTCTACCTCGAACGATCATCGCTGTCGCAGTCCGTCGGTGCTCTACTATCCCCACCATGGCTGCCCTCGCGTCCAAGCAGCAGTCGCTCAAGATCTTCGACAAGCTGAAGACCAAGCCGGCAAACAAGGTATTTATCTTTCCGCGCATACCGCTGGCCCTGAACATCGCTCACCGCGCGCCTCCCTAGATCTGCTTTGACTGCGGCCAGAAGAACCCTACATGGACGTCCGTACCCTTTGGCATCTATCTCTGCCTCGACTGCTCCTCGAACCACCGCAACCTCGGTGTGCACATCTCCTTTGTCCGCTCCACAAACCTCGATCGTACGTATTGGCCACCCCAGGGAGTCAACAGCGCTTGCATATGGGCATTGGCTGACAAAGGACAGAGTGGCAATGGGATCAACTTCGCGTGATGAAGGTCGGCGGCAATGAGTCTGCCACCAAATTCTTCCAGCAGAATGGCGGTACAGCCGCCCTGAACAGCAAGGACCCCAAGACGAAATACCAATCCAATGCGGCGACCAAGTACAAAGACGAGCTCAAGAGGCGCGCTGCAAGGGACGCCCAGGAGTGAGTTTGTTCGTTTATTTCGGATACGACATGACTGACGATTGCCTAGATACCCTGGCGAGGTTGTCATTGACGGCGCTGACGCTGAGGCCGCCGGTACACCTGCTGGCGAGCCCGACGACGACTTCTTCTCCTCCTGGGATAAGCCGGCCATCAAGCGCCCCACGCCCCCCATCTCGCGGACGGCAACACCCACCGGCCGAACACCGTCGCCCTTCCTGAACGCCAACAACGGCAAGGACGTCGCCCGCTCAACCTCGCCGCTCGCCAAGACCGAGTCCGGCGAGGCAGCTGCCGCCAAGCCTGCCGCCGGGCGCATCACTTCCTCCGCGGCTCTGCGCAAGACAAGCACCGCTGGCGCTCCTCGCAAGGCGAATGTTCTGGGCGCGAAGAAGGTCACCAGCAAGTTGGGCGTCAAGAAGGTCACCAGCGACCTCATCGACTTTGACGAGGCGGAGAAGAAGGCCAAGGAGGAGGCTGAGCGCATCGAGAAGCTCGGATACGACCCGAATGCCGAGGAGGAGAAGGTCGACGAGGGCAAGGGCGCCACACCCCTGGCGTCGCCCACGCCCGTCAGCCCATCCGCTGCCACGACCAGCTCACATACCCGCCAAAAGTCGAATGCCGAGGTGGAGCGACTGGGCATGAGCGTTGGACGTCTCGGTTTCGGTCAGATTGGAGGTGGAAAGGCTGCGGCGCCGGCGGCGAAGAAGAACGCTGGTGGCTTTGGCTCGGTGGGACCTGTCAAGGCATCTACTCAAGGTAACCAACCATCTGTGCACATGTTTTGACGTATTCATTTTTGCTAACTCTACTCTTCCATCAGACGAATCCGAGAACTTTGCTCGCTCCAAGTTTGGCACCCAGAAGGGCATCTCGTCCGACGAGTACTTTGGTCGCGGCACCTTTGACTCCAACGCACAGAACGAGGCCAAGACGCGACTGCAGGGTTTCGAGGGCGCCACATCCATCTCATCCAACGCGTACTTTGGCCGACCCGAGGACGAGGACGATGGCGAGGACTATGGCGATCTCGAGACCGCTGCCAAGGACTTTGTGCGCCGCTTTGGCATCACGGCCGGCGACGATCTCGAGAACCTGAGCAACATTGTTGGCGAGGGGGCCACGAAGCTGCAGGGCGCCATCCGGTCATACCTCGGCAGCTGAAAAGGGGGTCGGGGGGGACTCGGGTTTCATTCATACGTTGTCCATGTGCTGCTGAAGAAAATCAAAACACTTTGCTGGGAGGTCTCTTTTCTCGACGACTTGTTTTTGTTACATGGGCAGGTGTTCAGGGGGGTAGACGATATACATGATGTGATGTCTGCGCGCGCGCGCGCGTGCGTTTGGTTAGGCACAGGCTGGAATGGTAACGCGGATAGACAATTCTCTCACTCTTGATTGCTAGAACTGCATGCATGCTGTATATGAAAAAGCAACACTCAAGGGAAACGAGGTTCCCATCATCTACATAATCATCATGATATATATATAACAAGCGCGTCTTGAACGGCCTCTCTCTCTTCACAGCTTGGCAATCATCTTGCTGCCCTTTTGCATCCAGGTCACAGCATCGTTGACAAACTCGTCCACCACGGCGCGCGCCGGCTTTTGCTCGTTGACGACAGCGGCGCACTTGCCCATGAGGAAGGGGCGGAACTTCTCGAGAGGGTCGTCCTCGTCGTCGTCCTCACTGCCGGTGTCCGTCAAGCTGGGCTTCTTGGCGTCGTCATCGCCGCCCATGACCTTGTCGAGGTCGGCCTCGTAGGGGATGACACCCTTGGCGGCGAGCTCCTTCATCTCGGCGGTGCGGTTGGTCTCCCAGTCGTTGATGTAGTCGTTGTTGCGGACGCGCATGGGGCGTCCGGTGAAGATGATGGTGCGCACGTTGTCGTCGTGCCCGGCGGTGCGGACGGCGTCCTTGTGCGACTTGGGCGCGCCAGCCTCGTCGGTGAGGATGAAGCGGGTGCCGACCCAGACGGCGCCGGCGCCCATCATGAGCGACGCGGCGAGGAGCTGGCCGTTGTGGATGCCGCCAGCGGCGACGACCTGGACGGGTCCGCCGGTCACGGGCGACTTGGCATTCTTGCACTTCTCGACGACGGCGGGGATGAGGACGGTGGTGGGGATGTCACCAGTGTGGCCACCACCCTCGCCGCCCTGGGCGCAGATAATGTCGACGCCGAGGTCGAGGCACTTTTGGACGTGCTTGACGTGGCCGATCATGTTCATGTAGAGCACGCCGTTCTTGTGCAGCTTCTCGACGACCTCCTTGGTGGGCACGCCGACGGCCGAGACGAAGACCTTGGCGCCCGACTCAATGACAATGTCGACGAGCTCGTTGAGCTTGCCCTTTGTGTAGTCGTAGTTGGTCTTGCGGGCCGAGCCGCCGACCTGGGGGAGAAGCAGGTCGACGCCAAACGGGCCGTTCTTGTCGTCGAGGTGCTCCTTGAGCTCGGCGATCTGCTCCCTGAGCATGTCGGGCGTGTAGCCGACACCGCCAATGACACCAAGACCGCCGGCGTTGGTGACGGCGGCGGCGAGCTTGGGGCCAGCAGCGACGTTCATGCCGGCCAGAAGCACGGGGTGCTTGATGCCGAACATCTCGGTGATGGGGGTACGGATCTTCTCTGCAGACGCGGCATTAGCAATGGTCAGACGTTCTCTCGTGGCCGCTCCCTCTCGCAAGCGTCGCCAGACGGGAGGGAGCCCTTGGAATAGGGAATCAAGTACATACGTGGGGAGGCCATTGCGACGGTGGTGTGTGTGGAAGATTGGAAGAGCGTAGGGAATATGAAAAGAAAGAGTGAGGTTCGTCAATCTTCGAGAAGGTGAGGATGTGTGAGGAATAAAGAGGAAGAAGAGCCTGGGGCGTTGGGATGACAATGGGATCCCTAAGTTAGGATTGTAGGCGAGATGGAGGGTTCGACGCTCTCACATGCCGAGGCCCAGCCATCTGGGGGGAAGCCATCAGTCAGCCCGACCATCCCGTTTAGGACTAGCGTGTTCTGCCGTAGAAGGGGGGATTCTGGGGAAGTTGCCGAGGCACGCTTCAAGTTCCAGGCCCACAAAGCCCCGAATCCGCTATTTTTACCATCATGGCCGGGCTGGTCGTTGCAATCCGGGGCATTGCAGGTGATTTCTTGCTCTTTCCGACTGTCTGACATGGGGCGCGCTGCCAAACGACGCGTGTCGACCGAGGCGCTGTCAGCTGAGTACACAAAGTTCACAACGTGATCGATTAGCGCCCGCTTGCAGCTACTAACCTCTTACGAACTAGTGCATTTGACCTAGGAGCGTGTATAGGGTGGGCAATCTGCAGCCTTGTACGCCAAGTATGTCAATGTGGGTCGCTGTTTCCCGAAATTCGAGATTGAACAAAGTCGTCAACCTCACCTCATCGAATTCGCCTCTTGCTCTTGCCTGTCTTTGCCTAAGGTACTTGGTGCACCCCACGTGACCATATTGGCCTCTTCCATTATGAGGGTATCCAGCATGCGCAGAACGTGGAGTTCTGCCACCGGATGTGTAGCCTTCCGCCCAGCAACAAAGAGCGCGTCCTCTACGTTGCCCATGAACCGAGCACCAAGGGCAGGCATCAAAGGCGTGCCCTCTCGCGTCACTACGGGCCAGGGTATGGGGTCTTTCGCTCGATCTTATGCGTGCGGATGCCAGGCAGCAAGACCAACCAAGAAGACGGCGTATATTGCCCTGGGAAGCAATCTCGGGGACCGCGTTGCAGAGATAGAAAAAGCATGTCATCTCATGGACAAGCGCGGCATTCGCGTCACGAGGACAAGCAGTCTCTACGAGACCGAGCCCATGTATGTCAAAGAGCAGGACCGCTTTGTCAATGGGGCATGCGAGGTTCGACACAGTTGCCATGGTCCACCAAGTTGGCGCTGACTTTGTCCGGACAGGTTGAGACCGATTTGACACCGCTGGAGCTTCTCGACCAGCTCCAGGCCATCGAGAATGAGATGGGTCGCCACAAGGTCATCGATAAAGGGCCCCGGAACATTGACCTTGATGTCCTCCTTTACGGCGATGAAACGTTTACGCATGAGCGCCTCAACATTCCGCACATTGGCATCCGCGAACGTGAATTCGTCTTGAGACCGTTAGCAGAGTGAGTGCGCTCCGGAGCTCCTCTTGTTCAAATATTGATCCTCGCAGGATTGCTGCGTCGAAATCATTGGAACCCTCCCGACCATGGAAGCTCATCCAGGATTACCTCAACGAGCTCCCGCGTGGCGAGTCCTTGTCATCTCTAACACCTCTGTCCCCTTCATCACCCCCGTTGACGCCGGCACTGCCTCGCAAGACCACCCAGGTCATGGCGATTCTGAACCTGACCCCCGACTCGTTCTCCGATGGGGGACTCCATGATCCGCAATCGCTGGTCGAAACCGTCCGCCGGTTCGTTCGCGACGGGGCGTCCATCATCGACATTGGCGGACAATCCACTGCACCGAACCGCCCACAAGCGTCGGCAGAAGAGGAGCTGGCGCGCATCTTGCCGTCGATCGAGGTCATTCGCTCCATGCCGGAAGCTCGAGACCTTGTGATTAGTATCGACACCTACCGTGCCTCGGTGGCGGAGAAGGCACTGGCGGCGGGTGCGGATATCATTAATGATGTGTCCGCGGGCACACTGGACCCAGACATGCTGCCCACGGTCGCAAGGCTGGGCAAGACCATCTGCCTCATGCACATGCGCGGGACGCCCGAGACGATGAATAAGCTCACCTCCTATCCCGATGGTCTGATTCCCACCTTGGCCTCTGAACTGGCCGCGCGCGTGGCGGCTGCGGAAGCTGCTGGTATTCGTCGATGGCGCATCATCCTCGACCCGGGTGTCGGCTTCGCCAAGACCATGGAGCAGAACCTCGAGATCCTCCGTCGTATGGACGACTTGCGGCACTGGCCTGGCCTTGAGAACCTGCCTTGGCTCGTGGGGACCAGTCGCAAGAAGTTCATTGGCAGGGTCACCGGCGTCGACAAGCCCTCGGAGAGGACCTGGGGCACGGCGGCCACGGTGGCGGCGGCGGTCCAGGGAGGCGCGGACGTGGTTCGTGTGCACGATGTCGCCGAGATGACCGCCGTGACCAAGATGGCTGATGCTATTTGGAGGCGACTACCTTAGTCGCAGGAGACGATACAGTTATCTACCTAATACATCGCCAACCACCTACTTGACTCGGATGCCTCTATATGGATATCTGTTTCCGTGCTCCAGTCTTCCCCGTTGACCAGGCCGAGCGATTGCGACTTGTATTCGGCATACGTAAGGCCAACTTCCCCATGTGTCCCGCATAGAGCTTTCCCACTCGCCCACAGAGGGTCTGGCATGGTTGGAGTCAGATTGGGCGGGTGTGCTTGAGTGGTGGTTTTCATTCCGGCAAAGCGCCTGCTTCGAGAAGACGTCAGGTATCAATGCACGGATAATATCAGCAAAGCTTGCCCGCTTTATCTGCTGGCCAGTCCGTTCCCAAAAGGGTGACATCCAAGGCCACCAGTCCAACTGTCGCGACGCAGCCATTTCTCTTGGCGGCCATGCAGTCATGCAGGCTGGACCAAAGGATGTATCGCTCCTCCGTCACGCCGATCACCGGTGTAGTCCAGTCGCTGACAAACCGACAGCTTCCTCCCCGTCGTCTTCACAGACCGGTCAACGATTTCGGGTTCCAGGCCGCCATCCATCTTGCGGGTGTCCTCTGAGTCTGACCATTGGGAGGGTCCCGGATGCATACGTGTAATTCGGAAAGACACGTCCAGGCACTCGAGGTACATTGGGATACATGTCGACGCCCTGAGCGCACTGCTGCGCTCGCTGACCCAGTGCGTGCCCTGTGTCTGATCTGTACGCAGATTGCACCTTGTCGAACCCATGCTGTCCTTCTGCAAACACCCGTCAATCGTGCAGCGTGCAGTTCAGTCGTCCGTCACCGCTCCCGGATGCACACACGTGGACCCGCGCACGATTCAATGTTGTCATGGCTTGCTTCGACATCGACAGCTGGCGCAAACCATCGGGACGGTTGCTGAATGGGAGTTCTCCCTCATAATGAACGAAGCGCGGAAGATGCCTTGAGTCAAAGCTATTGCAATATTTACTCAATGTGGCCTATACATATTGACATCCAAGTTCAGCTACATCATCCACGCGCCCACGTTCACCCCAGACTCGATCCATGTCGTGCACCCTGACACATCACCAACATCGCAACACCCCCGGCCTTGTTTGCGCAAAAGATCATTTCTGCGCCCTCGTGACACACGTCTCGCGCGGATACTCGGTGATCCTTGTATGCTAGACGCCGTACGACCCCATGCTCAGAGATGGCGCATCTTGGATCTAGGGCTGGCTCCCTTGTTTGTCCCACGACCAACAGGGCTCGCATGGGTGTGGAATCACATGAACTTGGGACTGTTGGTCGTACAATACTAGTGCAGGGATAGCCAGCTTTCAAACAGGGATCTCTCGGGTAGGAAAGCCGGTCAGGAGGCGCGCGGATATACTGGCTGGGCTGAGGCAGTACTTGGAAAGGAACAGCATCTAGAACAGCGGGTGTCACTGGAAGAACCAAGGCAAGCCCGCAGATACCACCAAGTAATGCAAACCGGTGAGAAGCGACTAATTCAACCGATAGGGCCAACATCGAGAGGATACCCAAGCTTGACAATAACCAAGAAGCAATTCAGATAAAGAGACATAGTATAGCAAAAGGAGCACCGCTTCGCAGCTCCAGTCCTTTTCCTTCCTGCGAAACAGCCCCGTCCGTAACCATCAGGAGAAAAAAGCGAGAATGAATGCCCCTCGTGGAAGGGGCGAGCCATGTTGTGATGTGTAGTCTGTTTGTCCGACGCCTTGCCATGCAATTACCCCTTTTCCCCCTCTCCCATATCCTGTACGCCGACCCGAGTCCACTCGCCCCTTTCTACCCGGACATGACGATCGGGCAGCGGAGAGGGCTCTGGCGTATCCAATTTCGTTCAAAAATCCAATTTTCCTGCTTGCGCCTGGCGTCCTTTCTCATTCTATAACTTTCCGGTTCATGTCCAAATACTGTGCTGCTCGCCCGCTCGCTACAATGACATGTTCATGCTCGTCGGCGAGAGGAGCTGCGGGTACGCCCCGTTGGACGAAGGCCTGCCGTCAAAGGTACGGCACGACCGGCTCTGGTCGTTGTTGTTGCTCAGGGAGGACGGGTGCACGAGGCGAGGCAGCGTGATGTTATCGTACTCATTCTTGACTTTGCTGTTGATATCAACACCGGCAATCATGTGCGAGACAGACTCTTGATCATGGTGACCCGCCCAGGGCTCCGTTGTGTTGTGGCCATGGTAGCTGCCGTCCATGGCCCCGGGATAGTAGGTGAAGTGTTTGGGCCCATCCATGGGCTTCTCGTCTTCCGTCGGAAGCATGGTGTCTCTTGGCAAGGCGTGATGATGATGTTGTTGTTGGTGATGATGATGATTTCGCTGATTTGGGTCGTAGATGCCATGGCTAGCGTCGTAGCCCCCAAATGGGTGCATCTGGCCGCCACCATAGCCACGAGGACCCCCCATGGGCGCGCCATAGATCGCAGGCTGATTGTCCGTGTTACGGGATCCGTCGCGGCTGTGGCTCCGCTCGCTCTGGTAGTGACCCGGCGACCGTCCTCGGACGATGAGCTGGGCCGACTTGCGATGGACGATCTTGTGCCAGTCCGGGGTATTCGAGGGCGAAATGTTGACCCACAACTCGACCAGGAGATGGTAGAATTGTTGCTGGGCCCGGCGCTTGCCGTTATTTTGCGTGGCCTGCTTGAATTGGATCCGCTCAAACGTCCACTCCGTCAGCGTCCCGATGCCGCCCGACTCGGAGGGCACCCAGGCGTCTGGGTAGTTGCGCGCCGGAATGTTGCTGTCCTCCAGGTTGAAGTAGCCGAGGTTGATGACGTCCTGCTTGGCCATCAGGGGTATGATGGACGGCGTGGAGGTCGGCCCCTTGTCCCGCTTCGGCGTGTGCTGGACGAGCTCGATGACCTGCTGCTCGTTGCCGGCCACGACGGCCGAGATGCTCACACCGAACTCGTGGACCATGAAGAAACTCTGGGCGCCCACCGGCTTTACCTCGACGGGGGTGCCTGGGAAGTAGGGCCCCAGTGAGAAGGAGCAGGCACACGAGAAGTAGTTCCGTCTATAGCAGGTCCACCTGTCGTCCGCGATGAAGAACTTGTCGATGCTCCCGTTGATGGTAGCATGGCACGCGGTCTTGGCCGTGTCCTGGTACCGCATCTCGCCAAAGTGCGTGGGACCTTCCAGGGGAGGCCTCGTCTTCTCGGACGCCGGCCCCGCTCTGGACGGCGACTCCATCCTGTTGTCAGTGTTGCCCGGGATGGTCCCGTAGCTGACGACGGCGCTGCTGCTTGGACTGGTGGAGACTTGTGGGCGACGAAAGTGTGCGCCCCCGTAGGACGAAGAAGACCGTGTCGGATGCTCCGATTGTCGTCGGAAGGAGGGCGTCGCGTGCGCGTACTGTTCCCGGGTACTCATGTGGTGGTTTAGTGGTTGCGGTAGCAATGCAGTGCGCGGTGTGTGGTCCATGCCCGTGGAGAACGGAGTACTGAGATGTGTGTTAGTGTGCCTTTCTTATGCAAGCACAGCAGGAACCTGAGTCATCCCAGGGACTACAGCGGGAGTATGAGAGTGTGTCTGTCTGTCTGTAACTCACCTAGGACCAAAACTGGGCCTGACGTCAATCGAGGAGTAACCGTGCGAGGCAGCAGCCGAATAGTAGCCAGTGGTGTCTTGAGGATAATGCGTGTTTGGGTCCAAAGTGGGCGGCGGCTGGTAAAGCAAGTTATATGGTTGACTTGCCTCGACGGTGAGTGATGTAGTTGTCGTCGTTGTTGGTTGCTGGTTGTATCTCGAACCCCTAGTTAGCGGGAGACTTGACGCAGGCATGGAGGGGAGGGTGAAGAGCACGAGAATGCTGTAGTACCACCGAGATTCGCGGTGTGACGGCCAGCGATGAAGGTAACACAGGAGCCCCAAGGCCGAACTGAGGGGATCCTCTTGGCTTCCATGCTTCGCTGAAGGCACTTGGAGGGCTCATGGCGGCGCTTCCAAGCGGACAGAGAGGGTTTCACCTTCAGCAGCTATGAGCAGCTGCCGAGGAAGACGGTGAAGAAAGTCAAGGCAAGTGAAGCAGCACAGAGTCCTCGTCCTCGCTTGAGTACTTGCGGAGCATCAGTGATGCCGGGCTATAGAGGCTCGTGACCCTGGTGCTTGTGATAGGATCTGGATGATTCAAGAATGAAAACAGGAGTCCAGCGGTTCGGCATGACCGAGCATTGATGGGGTGGTGGTGGTAGATGCTCTCTCGATGATGCGCTGCTCGCGCACGCAGGAAAACCAAAGGAAAAGATATCGACTCACTGCGCTTGACCCCCGAGGCCATTCAGGTGGTAGTCGAGGCCCGACTCCCCCTCTGGCACCGCGGGCGAGGCATACTCCTGCTTTCACCTGTTAGATGACGTGATGAACTCTCGTGCGACAATGCGGTGGTCTGTCATTGGGAGGGAAAAGGGACGTAATCAGTGCTCTGGGGAGGCATGACTGCTTTCATCGGAGCGGCGGCGTGTGCTGGGCGGACGATGAAGAGTCCAGTGAGTACATGTACCCTCCAGTGGACAACGGCGCAACCGTCAGGCTGACCTGTCAACACGCTTCTACGCCATGTCGCACTGCTGATGAGACGAGAAATTAGTAAATGTCATACGCTTGCCATGCAGCCGCGGAGGATAGGATATGTAGCGCAAGGAGAACGCTCTGTGCAGGGCGTTTTGCTCTCTCGAGAGAGAGGCGAGAAAAGTTGTAGAGATCAACCCGCCCGAAAGGAACAAAGGGGGATGTGCATGATGCGTTGTCGTCTCTCTCCTCGTCTCGGAGGCAGGTCAACGTCAACAATGGGGTGGGCTGGGCATGTACACGTCCAGTACCTCGAGTGACAACTCGTCCGGGGCCGGACACATGCCTGGAGGACTGGACTGCACCGGGAAGGGGTCCCACTGGGACAACACGGCGCGTACCACGTACGGGCCTTCGGATCCAGTAGCACAATCTGCCCAGCGGGAAGAGAGAGAGTGCTGATGGGGT